TTCCACGGCGAAGACACCGATCTTCAAAGGGAATATTCGTCAGAGGAGGGAGACATCCCAGCGTTTCAGGCGGTGGAGGGATGTGCATACGTGTTAGCAGATGGTTACCTCCTCTGGAATCATTGATAGGCTCACCCTCGTGACTTTTGCGCTCGCCTTCACCGCTGTCGCGGGCTACTAGTGGTGCCGATCTTGATGGTGGGTCGTCCGGCTCTTTGATGGTGGTCGCTATGCTCGTCACACACTTGATGAGCCTGTCTTACGGCTGTGCTTTGCGATTTCGTTATCAGCCTATGAGCAGACGTCCACAAAGACAATCAAATGACCCCAAAACTTGCTGGCCCTAACGTCGTCCTCTTCGAATACCATTGCGACTTTTCCGATCGGCGGGAGCTAGCGATAATGCATGGAGAGCTGAAACGGTATAAGCTGCGACCACCACCGTGTGCTGTGCTTCGGGTAGCATTCGCCCCGAGGGATGTAGTCGGTCGGTCGCGCAACTCTAGACCGAGCAGGCAAGGACTGAGGTTCTAGCAAACGAGTTGCCGCCGGGGACCATGGACTGCCTCGCTGGCTTCTACGTTGCGCCATATTCATCCCTGTTCTACCTCCATATCCTGTGGCCCCCCAAAGACTCTCACCAAGACTCACGCGGGGAGAAAGCTGGGGTAAGGTCTTCGTGTTGTCGCCGACCAGCCATCACCTTGGCAGGAAGGTTTGGGTAGATCTCGGCAAACACTGTCGTGTTGGATAGGGCATTGCCGTCCATCATCGCTCTCCAATGAGGAATACCTGGTCAACGCAAGTCATCGGCTTGGGTTGGTGATGTCGCTGGCCCCACCCAATTAAATGCCCAGAGAGGACGGTATGTAAAAGAGAGACAGGAAGTAGTCTGTGCCTCAAAGTGAGGAGTGCAGGGACCTTTAGAGATCATTATTTCTTCTATGGGTCCGTCCCGAGGTGAGATTTCCAGACCCAACTCCTATACCGAGCCATGGTCACGCGACAATCCACGAGACCTTGACAGAACTGAACTCTCCTCTGGGTCCGATATACTTTGTCTGCGTGGTCAGTCGGGCATTCCAGTGTGCGTGTGCGCTGATGCTAGCAAAAGTTATCTTGCAGCACTCTTCCGCTGTGTCAAACAAGTGGGTGGCTCCGACGAGCAGGAGGGTGAGATGGCAAGAAAGGCAAGGGTATCTCCGCCCAGGTCTGCAGAGAAAAGGTCTGCTTGTGGACTTCCTCACAGATAGAGCACAGCGCCAGAATGAATACGTATATGCTCATTGCCAGTAGCTCAACACTGACTTGACTCAAGGTATCAATCTGGGTGTCATTCAGATCGGAAAATGACTCTTCCAGCCCGAACGACGAGCTGTAGCACAAGTGCGCGCAAGCCACCACAAGATAATATCAAGGCAGATCGGCATTCACTCACCTTAGCTGGACATGTGATATATGTATGTAAATGTGGTATGTGTTATTGAACCAAACTGATTGATTTGATGTGATTGTTTTCTATGAGATCTGAGTGCCACAATAGGAGGTGCCGCCGTGTCCACTCGCCAATCCTTCCTATTATGGAGGATAAGGGCAACGAGTGACTCGGCTGAACTGCCTATTCAGTCCAATCCGCGTCAGGCAGGAGTGACATCATAGATCCATCCCACGGCGTCAAGTGATGTCAATATGTTTGCTTGGTAGAGAAACACGTGTTTTGGGAAATTATAAATGTCTCCCACCATTTCCGTTTCTCAAATCATTTCTTCTTCCGCCTCTCCAGGCCCCAAGTTCCAACTCTGCAACAAACCAACACAACGGACCACTTCTTTCTCCTCTCTTTTCCTGGGGTGGATCAAAATCTTCAGAAGAAAGATAAGTTGTCATCATGCATTTCCATCAAACCACATCCCTCCAACGGCAGAGATCCATCCATTACAACATGCATTCGCTTGCAAAGAAATAAACACCCACTCGATCAGTACAACGACACCCTCAGAGAGAGAACACATCCTGCTTCTCGGCTTCAACGGTCCAGACCAGCTTGCTCTTCAACACCATCGTCGTCGACATATGATTCTCCCGACATGCACACCTGCATCAGCAATTAGAGCCTTCGACCAACACTCCATTCCAACCTTCGAAACAGTCTTCTCGACCACCGGCGCAACTGGGCCTATTGCTTTTAGCAATCATCTGCCTGAAGACGTCGTTGTCTCTGGCAATTCTTTCTGTCACCCTGCTGGTGGAATGTGATATCGAACAGACCGAAAGTCTACAGGACCGGACTTGTCTCGCCATGTGACGTTTCTCTTCAGATATTCTGTTCGCAAAACCAGCCATCAACCCTGGCACTGTTACAGGAGTGCCCCAAGCCGGTCCGTACCACGCATCATAGAGGCGCTTTTTCTCTAGCCCACTGTTCCGAGGATCAAAACGCACAACGCTGAGATCGAGAACGCACTGATATCTTCGAAGCTTCAAATCCGTGAAGGACCAACCATGGGAACCTCCTGATCACCATGTTTCTGTGCAACCCACAGCCTCTATTTCAACCACGGAACGAGAGACACAGTCGAGGTGTGGTCTTTCCTGGCCTGGGTGGATAAGATACCTGTCGAACACATACACCTAGGTTGTCCCTCCGGTGCGAGTAACGCCCACAATACCCTATATCAATTCTATTGGTCAGGGCACCCATCCTTTATATATATATATATATTTACTGCCAGCCGAGCTGGTAAAGTCATCGCGGCGAGGTCCTGTCACATCCAAGCTGCTGAACGGATGTGCCCGTCTTCGGCCGGTCGTCGCAGCGGACTTGGAGACCTCCAAGCAGCTGAACGGAGTGTGCCAGATCACGCCCAAGTTATTGAACGGGGTGTGCCCGTGGTCTGTTGCCTTCAAGCTGCTGAGCGATGTGCCTGTGGTCTATCGGCTGTCGAGCGGATTTGCAGACCGTGACTGAAGACTGTTCTTCGTTATGAATTTCCCCTCGTCATCGGATATATATAGCGAACCATCATCCACATTTTCATCCGGAAAGAAGCGAAAACGAGGCGATAATCTTCTAGCTCTGAATCATATGTCTTCGATGAAAATGTGGGCGACAGGGTAAAGGGGCGTATCCCCGGATCACCAATCCACTCCAATGAGGGACTCGATATCGAGGCCTATCGGGTGGGAGGTCCTGAACTCCCCATGCTCCCTATAAGATATTTTGAGACGCCCAAGGACACTGCAAAGCTGTTCGGCGATCATATCGAAAGAGATGTGGTCAAGATCTTGAAAGAACATTCTCTTTGACCCACGAATCCGGTCTTCTACATGATCACTCTACTCGGCCTAGCTGGTCCCGACGCAAAACCGCATACCTATATATATACCGAGCCATAACGGCGTGATAGCTGCCAGCAACAGTGGACGAATGCTGCCGATGAGATGCGCTCGATGAACCGGCGGGGACACCCTGATGATCAAAGTGCTACTGGCAGATCCGCGCCATGATCACACCATTTAGCAAAGAGATCCCTGTCGACGACCATCTCCTAAGTACTAACCCTACTAAGCGTGGTCCCTGGGTGGATATAGGGTAAGGCGGGAAAAGACTTCCCACTAGTACGATCTTTCAGTTGCCGATGAAATACTCAAAGCTGTCTTCCCGAGAGAACGTTGGGTTACCTTGGACCTCTTAGTTTGTGGTTAAAAATGGTGTGGAGGCAAGGGCACGGAAAAGATCAAAGCAGTTCTTCTGATACGATACGACACTCAGGACGACTGGGGTAGCCCTTTTCTACAGGAAGCCAGAAGCGCTCTCAACAGCGACCGTCTCTAGCAGCACGAGAGGCGTAGCACTCGAAGTCCTGCAAGGATGTTTGGCGGGAAGTGTTAACAAACTCTCCAAACTAGTCAGGGACCTATAGCATTCGAGCACGGAGACAACATTTTCAATCCTATTATATACATAAATTCGGTTAATCAACCACTTACACAGTCTTCCACCTCTCCAGCGTCTAAAGACTCTTCATCAATTTCAAGCCGTCGTTACAGCCATCGTCGACCGAGTCGGAGACATCGTGGACGAGTTTTGGACATATATTGAGAACGATAACGACACCGCTGAGGCCACACGAGGCCGGCATGATCAATTCAACAACGAATTCCGGACTCTACGTGACGTGGTCATGACCCGTCGACGGGCGCGAGATCGTTAGGCCGAGGCACGACGACGACTTCTCGAGTCAATTAGCCCAGGGTTCCTCGACACCGACTTATCCCGCCTTGAGTAACAAGTTATCAATATCGTCATGGCAACGGTCTCTAGGTGGAAGGCATTCGCAGCTTCTGCTGCCGCCCACGCCCCTAAGATACCGACACCAGTTGGTATAAAGACTGGGGCTTCAGCTGCAAAAATCAATCATCTGAATCAACGGCTCCTCCTCCGGTCCCTCTCTCGCTGGCACGAGCTTCGAAGAATGTTCCCGGACCAGAGAACCGACCGACTACCCAACCACCCCAGACTCCCTCTTACCCGCCGGTCACAACACCTCAGGTACTATCACGGTGCGTCTGGACGAGCTGAGTGAGCGGCTGTTAACGCTGAAATATGATATGGATTCTAAGGCGTCCAGGTCTAAGGTCCTGGTCGCGGTCCTATCGAATATATAAATAAACGTCGTGCCTGCGGCTTTACGACCAGTCAGACCGAGGAGTGGCTTGACAGCGCCAACGACCGCGGCTTCAGCGAAACCTTAGGTGTACGAGGCCCACGCCGTCGACCCCGGTCTACGACGGGCGGATCAGCGCCTGTACGTGTCACGGCCGTGGAGTACGGGTTACCCAGATCAGTCGGAACGACGATCTGATTGGCTGGCTGCAACTCTGTACAAGGCCGCCTAGTACAGGGCTTGGCGGAAGGAAGCTTGGCAGAGGTGCTCGCCACACAAAATGGCGCCAGCACGTTTCTTTCTTTCTTTCTTTCTTCCTTCTCTCTCTTCAGATTAGTCTCTTGGTACATAGGAATACACATCTTTGGAGCCATCTCCATCTTCCATGTGCCTTACCGTCACAGTGGCCCTCGGAGTGGTCTTGACGGTGATCTTGTAGGTGATCCTGCATTTGGTCCTGAGGGCGGTCTTGGGGACTGCCTGTCGAGCACCAGAGACGTCGCCATCGCCGCTCACAAGGTGTAGAGGTATTGTAGTTAAATAGGTATTGTTTTGCTGGCAGACATAGAGACCTACGCTTAACCGGCCACAACGAATGGCTGCCCACTGGATCTTGCTACGCCGAAGTTGACTGCGAGTCTGACTCAGGTCCGTGATGCCACAGTTCCACCTTTTCTGAACAACGCCAACGCCAACGCCAACAGGGCCTGCGAGGGCCAAAGGTTTGAGTGTAGAGGGAGGAGAGGGTTCCAGACTACCAAGGGTGATTTGAGTGGCCTGCAAATCCGTTAGTTTTGGGGATGCACAACTTCGCTCACAGAGGCTTTTTTGAGAGAGGCTTTTCACATACGAATGGATATTGCTAGACAAACACGTTGAGACTGTTTGATGAGGGTTTGATAAAGATTTGGTGGAGTTACGGATGAGGTTTTTGATGAAGTTGTGATGAAAGCTGAGTTGGCAGCGACGGCGAATCGGAGGTGGTAAGGACAGAATAGCAGAGGAATAACTAAGATCCGGTTAAGATCACGTTACTACTCTTTTCAACAGAGAATCGATAAGCGCCGATAAGGGTTGACTAATCAGAAAAGTGGCTATTTGTCGTTTTAAGCATGTAATACCAGCTCAGCTGACGCTTCGCTGGATTATCTGCGGTAGCCTTGTGGCCGAAAGACGGCGACTTGCGTCGAAATATACGACGTTCGATTCCTTGTCGGCTATATTCCTCGGGGAAGCCGACCTGGTCTTGTTCCATCTCTTCGTGCTTTTCTACTCTACATTGGCTTTAGAACTCCACAGATCGAGCAAACAAATGGACAAGCATCCAAGTACGAATGGATCGTGGATGTATTATTTGCATGGTTCTCGAGTTGAGACATTCAAGTCGACTGGTGCCCTTGTTGCGTGCTTGGTGAGGCTGTCATGCACTTGTAGGACCATGGTGCGGGCACTGCAGCCAAAGGAGCGCTGCATCCAGCGGGTAAATCGAAGGGCGGGAGACACTGCGTCAAGCAAGAGAACTTGTGGTCGACCAAAAATGCCGGTTGGAAGGGCTTCCAGATTCTTGCGGTATTTTCTGTGCTAGGCCGTGGTTCCAGATCTCTTGGGAGCCAAAGAGCTCTGGGGAGGAGAACTTGAATTCCTCCATCTTCAATAACATCATTGACTCCGGAAAGGGAGGAACTGCTTCGATATACCGGTACTCCAGCAGTCCATTCGAATGGATATGTGTACAAGGGGACGGAAAATAGGGGGATTTGGTACAGATAGATGGACAGGCGACACAAGTTAGCCCCACTACGTTGGGGGCACAGAATGTGGAAGCTTGAAAACTGATACGTGATTCACCATTACTTTAGCGGCCTCCACGGACCTTGCCTGTCAAAAATGGAAACGGAACTTTGACCAGCTATCACTCCCCAGACCACGACGCCCTGCACAGCCGTTGCTCGACATAGATGTAACGCAAGGCCCAGCCAGCCAGTAGCATGTAGTCGTCGCCGGCTATTATCGCCTCCCTTATCTTGCCGGTACTTACCCTCCAATTTCTCTCGTTGGTCGCACTACCTTCGGCACATGACACCGGACGGATTGATCGCAGCGCCTGATGGACCCAGTCTGCCCGCAACCGAAAGCGGCGGACAGCCGCCGTAGATTGTCGGTATTTCTTCCTGCCCTCCACGCTCCATTTGATCCATTGCATCATCGTATGCCGTTTGTGCCTGGCGGCGCGAAGTTGCTCGTCAGGAGTTCCAGGCATTTTGGGGAATATAGGTGGAAGTGAGGGAGACTAGTGGAAGCGCACCATCTCTTCCAATGGTAATCCAGTGTGCCCCATCACGGCATGTCTATCTTTATTATACCTTTCCGCCATGGAGCAGACATAGCCAAGATATTCCACCTAGGTGGTCCATCTGTCTTGCTGACGTGGGTCTTCGGAAAGCTGGAACGGCTTCCTAAATTGGCAAGCATGGAGGAGTACATGGAGTGCCCGATCGTATTCAGCGAAGCCCTCGTGGCCGGACGTTTCGAGAAATCTCGGTTCGCACTCCCATAGACGCCTCATTTCCTCCAACGAGGGTTCAGACAAGCCCTTCGGCTTTCCCTCGCGCAATCGCTTCTTTCTTTGCGACTCGATGAAGCCGGCGAAGCCTTCCTTCCCCTTGTACTTGCCCCGGTGGTCCCACTGCCATTTGTGCTTGAATGTCTCCCAGTCATCTAGCTGCGCTGAGAATACCGGAGGCACTTCGCCATCCCGAATGTCTGACCAGGTGTCGTCTAGCCACGGCGCAAGTAGGTCTCCATGGGGGAAATTGATGTCTGTGACGGTTTTCAGGATATCAGACGGCATGACCGGCCGGGCGCCAGCCCTCACGAGTTCGTCATAGCAAAGACGTTCATAGCGGCTGGTGCCCTCGAACCGTCGGCTGCCGGATGGTGGCGTGTCATGTTCCCCCTGTGTCGACGACTCTCCAGGTTTGTCACGGCTGAGACGTTTGTGGAGAAAAGGTATGAGCATGCTACGTTTGTCGACCTGCTCTTCAATGGCGACGCTGAAGATGTGAGCGTAGGCGGCGTCAGGCCTACAGGGCCGAAACGGCAAGCAGTTCTCACCTCAGTCTTTTGATGAATTCCTATCGTTCGTCTTCTAAGAGGATATCCCAGCCACTGATGTCAGAGTCGGAGACATGCCAATTTTCCACTACCTCCACAAATCTCTCCTGCGTACAGCCGAGTACGCCTCGGAAGTCTGCCCCAAGCAAGTCATTTGAGGAATTCATGGCATATGTATGCAGGGGTGAGAAGCCCAGGGGATGAATGAATCAGGGTTCAAGACAGGTAAGGTATAACACAGCCACAGAGTTGGTAGATGCGATCAAGCAGATAGAATGAGTAGAGAGTGTTTTGTGGGTGGCTGATGGCAGTGCCAAGGAACAGGTCTCTGGCAGATTGAATGCAGTTGAGAGTGAAAGGGAGAAAAAGAGAGGCCTCTGGCGAGGTTAAATACTTTGGGGGATGCCAGGTGTTCCAGGGGCCCAGCTCCCCCGAGCCCCCTACGGTGGCAGCTATGGAGTATCCTGAGGCAACGGCCTACTGAGGGGTCGGGGGCAACGTAGGCGTTCTCAGTGGCGGACATTAGGCGGTGGGAATGTGGAGCTTTAAATGTCGGAGGGGGGAGGCTTGTCAGGAAGAGGTCCACAGTCCCCTGGGGATGATTTAAAATGGCCAAGAATCCTGTCATTTGACGACAGAACCTGGACCTCTTCGCTTATCTGCTTGTCAGACAGCACCCAGTTCATGACAAGGCTTTAGGCGTTGGGGGACGGTAGACCGACCATAAAATAGCCACCTAACACCCCAAGAGTTTTGTCAACGGGCTGCGCCTCAGCTCATCCGGTCTGCAGAGGTTTCTTTTGACATTCTTTCTCATCATCCACCAGCGGTCTCTGCCGGTCCAAGCAGCGTCAAAAGCCGAAGTTGTTTGGCCTCTTCGTCGACACACACGCACACACACACTCTCTCTCGGATAACACGCAATGTGTTACTGTGCCTCTCACGGATCGAGAGAGCAGGACTGCTGACTTGCGACAGCGAAATATCCTACTGGACACCCTTCCGCCTCGGTCCCTCCGGGACTGTGATGCCAGCGCTGCTGGACAGAGCTGTGAGTTCTCCCAGCAGACCACAGTAATGATTGCGATGCCGACTGTCGAAGTGGCTTCCGTGGTTGCAACATCCTTCAAAACCTCATTGAGAGGTCAGCGGCGGCGGCTGGTTGTCGGCCTGGCGCCGTTCCGTCGGTTCCGATGTACCTTTTCACTCCCAATTTAGGTGGGATATCCTAACATGAATTTAGGTAGTGGCTCAGGTCCCAAGCGAAGGGGCTTGAGCAGAAGTTCCGAGAAGCCAACCGCTATTGCCGGTATGGTATTGTGCCCAGCAATGACAATGTTGGGGGTTTTTGGTGTTTGCCTACGCCTCCTGTGGCAATTTTTCTTTTCTGTATGCCACCCGAAAACGAGGTGGGGAAGCGAAGCTGACCCTTGCCAGTCGCTCCCCCTGTCGAAGCCAAGGAAATCAAGGACAATGACGCCAATGATGACGACGACGACGACAACGGGGTATTATGAAGGAAACTCCGCACCTTAACCCTCGTGACAAGGAGGGACCATGGACGCAAGTTCCAATAACCCAAATGGTGGTGTGTGCGGTGTCTTGTCTACCAACATTGAAGCTCATCATACTTAGCAAGAAGTATGGGGGCCAAAACCCGGCGGCCGGTGCAAGACATCACGTGACTCGCATACATCAACAAAGTTGTTCCTCGCCTTTTACGTTTCTGCAGCAGCTCCCGCGTGGACGAGGGGCCAATGCCCAGCGGAGAACAAAGGAGACATTGCGTTGCAGAACATGCCCGCTTTCGGCCCGATGTCCGAAGATCTGCCTGGAAAGAGGCGAGGTCGAGCTGGAATCTTGCTTCCGACGTGCAAAAGTCCGTCCACGCGGTGTTCCGGCGATAAGGTGCCGAAGATGAGCAAGAAGGAAGGAGAAAGGTGAAATCTCCCTCCCATGTACAATAGTCGACGGGAGCGTTGGGGCTCGGTCGAGCAGGTTCGAGCAGGACGAACCAGATTCTTGGAGGTTCAATCCCATAAATGGTTTTGAATTAGCCCCATCCTTCACTCCGTGATTGCCCGCTTCCACGACGAGCAAACGCGCTCTGCGGGCTACGGCACGCATCCAGGCTGACACCTGTAAGCTTCCTCTTGCTGTCGAGTCCTCGGGAGCGGAGGCCGGTCGATTCTGGACGAAAGCCTTAGGCCGTTCTGACGTACGGCGGTGCCACAGGCGTGGAGCAAAGGCCGCTATTGGGGTTGTCATACGATGATGAAGATGATGCTGCTGCTGCTGAGGGATCCGACACATGCAAGCCATCTCGCAAGCTTGGACGCTGGGGCTGTGGAAATCCGGTCCATCACCGTGTATAGAAGACTCTACAACCTCAATAGAAGCGTATTCCCGCCTCGAGGGACTGGTATGCGGCGGGCTTCATTGGAGAAGCGCTTCTCAATTCATCCGTCCCTCCATTCCTTGACGGCCCCATTGATGGCCTCGTCTGGCGTAGTTCCGAAAAGCCACCTCGGACAAAGTGAGAGAATGTTTTCCAGCTCTCGGCTGGGATATGGAAGAGCCTTGATGACCGTGTCGAGTATGAATTAGGACGAGAAAAGAAACTGCACTCCTCCCAGGCGGCGATGCCACCGGTCAGACAACCAATCCTGGTGACAGCCATCGCCAGGGCAATAATAGGACGTGGTGTCCGCGGTCTGGGTTAATAGGTACATGCCGAGAACGACACATTTGGCGGAGCCGGATATTTCTTCCGCACGGAGTACGATCCCGTAAAGGGCTTTCTTTTTTTACCTGCAGCTCCCCCAATTCACGAGATAATTTTATCAGAGCCACACTGCGGGATAGCCAGGGGCTGACCGATCGGATGGTGCTCGTCATGGGCCAAGAGAGGTGGTAGATCAAAGGTAGCAGCGCAAAAAGTGGTTTGATACAACATCGTACCTTGGGCTTGATTTGTGCACGTGACTTCGTGTCAACACGTGTTGCCTCGGCGGGTTTATTTGTCGGCGAGATCAGAAAAGCGCGTTCAAGGGCCTCAAAATACAGTCTCCGAGGCCTTCAGCCCTTCGTTTATAGATGGGGGCAAGGTCATCCAGGATTTGTAGGAAAAAGCCCCCGCCACCCAAGAAGGAAGTTGAAAGCAGGTTCAATGTCTCTTTGCGCGTCTGCAGTGTCAAACAGGGCTGCGTCAAGGTATCTCCATGATATGCTCCTCGAGAAGAAAGATCAAGGCAGTTTGTGATTGTCTACTCCCATCTCCCTGCTTGTCTGCAATGTCACTCAGGGCTGCGGTGCAGGGCGGGAGATCGGCCATCTTTCAGTTGGACAGTTGTCTCGACCCCGGCTGTCGCTGTGTACCCGATCCCTGCCCTGATCCCGTCTCTTGTTTCATCTCTGCGATGAATCGGTCGGACGGAGGAGGATCTTTGGCCGCAGGATGGGGGCGGCAGGGACACCACTCTGGCCGCGCCCCTCGCGCACCGAGTGATGGTAGGGGTGACGGCGGGGGAGATCCTTCTTCAACCGTTCGAACACCGAAGTGATCTAGCCATGAAGAAAGATGCAGACCACCGCGTCCTGTGCAGGAGAGCAGCAAAGGTGTCCGTGTACGGATGATGATTTTGGGGTGAACTGTGCCTCGGATGCTATAGGTCTCTTTCTCCCGCGAGGAGCTCAATTGCACAAATTACACATATGTATCTCTATGCTTGCACATCTTGGTTTGTCTGATATATATCCTCAATTATCTCGTCTCTTGGATGGAGCCCAGTATCAATTAAGAGACGGATACGAATCTCCTGCAGCCAGCAGGAAAATTGACTGAGCGCTTGTCGGAGAGACAGCCTGTGTGAGTGATGCAGCTCTTGAAAACGGGCCCTTCTCCCTTGGCAACCGACTGGCGATGATGGTCATGGCTTCGGATTAGGGGCTTGCTCAAGCAAGTAATCAATCAATCAATCAATCTATTGCCCATTGATTGACGGTTGATACTCGGGCGGCAGCAGACTATCCAGGCCTGGTTCCCAACGGTATCGTTACCCAGAGCTTCTGTGATCTTGCAAGCATATGTGGTGATGTGATATCTTGTGCCTCTCTCTTTCATGCTGCGCTGCAGATGTCCTCCTGAGCTCCACCGGACCCGTGCCTGCGATCCCAAGACGGCCCGATATTCGTAAAGACAGGGGATCTGGATGTCGTGGGTTCTTTTTGAAAGTCAAGGAGTCATCGAGAAGGAGGTTTGCTTGAATGTCTTAGGGTTTTCGTATCGAGGGCTCTCCAGTGGAGGTTCGGTCGATATCGAGAGAGAGAAGGAATAGGGTGTTCGTCTGATCCTGTTTGATTAGTGGTCAGTGGTTCAGAAGGACTCATGCATCATCGAAGCCCAGTCACGGCCATCGAGAGTGTGATTGATTGCCTTCGTCTCGTTCCATGCTGTGCGTGTGCTCTGTCTCAAGGGGGCCGCAGGGAAGCAGGAAAATCAAAAAGGAAAGAAAAATTTTGCGTGCGGGGTTGGAAAAATCACGTGTGCGGAGACTCACACGGAGGACGGGGAAATCGAATGCCGGAGGGGAAGGAAAGAAAATTCCGCGTGTGGAATTGAAAAGCAAAGTCGATGTAAGCAGACTCCATTGGGTCGGATGTTTGAGCTGATGAGACAAGCCACCGAGAAACACTGTGACTGGAGCGACAGACTAACGGCCAAAGGGTGGTGGAAAGACTGTAATTGGGCCAGCGCAAGAAAGTGAGTAATCTGCCTGCGTTGGCGGGCAGTCTGGCCCAATCAAGGCCAGCAAGGGAGACTGCCACGAAGCCAATGTTCAAGGAGCTCCTGGGGAGGAAAAAGATATTTATACCTGCTCCCTCTCCGACTTTACTGTTTTCTTCTTCTTCTTCTTCTTCTTCGCCACCCCCAGTCCCCTCCCTCACCTCTTACCTTACCCCAGCCGCCCCAACAACCATGATCGTCCAGCAAATCATCGAGCAATCCGCCCTATACAAATGGTCTCCAGTCATATTGACGGGTGTGTTTCGTAGCTTATTGAGCACAAGTGACTGAAGCTAACACCCTCCGCAGCCGGTCACGGACAGACAGCGTCCATCCATGACTGGATTGGCTTTCCAGCGAGCAAGGTTGAGGTCAACCTGCCACAGCGATAGCCAGAAGCTATCCACCATTGTGTGGTCTGGTCTGTCGGCTCTCTGTGTGGAAGTTCTTAGTTTAGTAAATGTCTTGTTGGAGTTGAGCGAGTGAGAAGTTTCTCAAGATGAGGGTTCTCGTTTCGCCAGCGCGGCACGGAAGAGGGCATGGCGGCGGCTCAATGTTTCAGCGTGCCCTGGCCGTGGCTACATTTTTCAAAGGCAGAACCTAAGAGACATGCAGTCCTTTTTTGTCTGGCTTTGTGGCAGTTGTCGGGAAGACCGGCACCAAGCCCAACACCACCGGTGCCTTTCTGTTCCAGTGCACGACAGTGGCAGAGTTCCAGAGTTTGCACCAATGATGAGACCTCCAACACCAGGCCACTCGATATGCGTCTTGATTGAAACGATGATGAAACAGTTCGGGAGAGAGAACACGGCTGTACCAACACACCATTATCCTATATTGACTATGTTTGTTGTATCAATATTTCAGTCTTGCTCGTGTTCATCCTCTGTATCAATGTGCCAGTCTTTCCCTTGCCACATATTCTTCTTTGTGCATTTGTCGTTCTCTTCTCTCGCAATCATGTCCATTGTGGTCCCACCAGCCGTGGCTGTCATCTTTCTTTTTCTTCCCAGCAAGAGCGGAAGGAGAGGAGGAGGACGTAGGTATCAGCCTGCGGCTTTTCGTGAGGAGGGAGGGTATCGACGTCGATCAGTCTTCACGGTAAGAGAGCTTTCGCATTTCGGCCAATCTCGCCTGCGCCGCATCGAGGGCATTCCGCAGCTGAAGAATCTCGACCTGAACAATGACACAGATTAGCACTTCGGACCTTGGGAGTCGTGGCACCAGGAGACATTGACAAACACATACCTGCTGCTCCATTTCCCTGACCTTGAATTCATGCCCGCTCAACCGAGAATAATCCATGGATTCGCCTTCATCCCTCGCCTTCTGCTTGATGATGTCCTGCACCTGCCGGACCAGTCCACGGCACGCCGCGCCCACGGCCCTGCTCGCCTGCTCTAGATGGTCCTGCGTCTTGGACATGAAACTCGCCTTTACCCGAGATGCAGCAACCAGTTGTGCCGTCGAAGCGGCGACGTCATTCGACGCGACGATCAACTGCTCAGGCGAGTTGCGGCCGGAAATGACCCCGTCAGCGGTCTCAATGAGGGTGTTGGTTGACGTGGCCACGGCCTTTGCGGCGGAGATGAGCCCTTCGGTCCAGCGGTTGTTCTTCTTGTAAAATGCGGTACGGGATGAAGACCCTCTTCCTTCACGGACAATCTCATTCTGCGATTCCGTGGCCGCTTTGATCAGCTGCGCGATGGCGTTGGTGACGGCCAGCGCAGCCTCCAGGATGGAGTCGTTGATCTTCAACTCGTACGTCGAGTAGCCCTCGCGAGGCTTGTTCTTAAGCTTGGCGAGGCGCTGGGCTGCGGCGTCGATGGCGTTGGCGGCCTTGGTCAACTCAGAGTCCACCAAATCACCCAGATCCCCGGTGGTCTTGAGTTTGCTGCCCTTGGGTGCAAACGCATCGGCGAGTTTGGACAGCTTCTGCAGTTTCATCAGCACATCGTGATTGCTGTTGATCACCACGTCGGTCTTCCGCACGGGTTCCAATCCTTCGAGACGGAAAGACTGCAGGTTGCGGAAGAATTGTACTGTGGACATGGCGGACTGTCGAGCGGCGTCGATGAGTTGGTCAGCTTTCTTTTCCTCGGTCGCGAAGCGACTAAGACCCTTCGTGTTGGACAAGACATCGGCAATCGAGGCTGCAAAGACGGAGACGGTCTTGATGATGTCGGCGTGTGGGCTGTTCGGGCCGTCCGCGACAAAGTTATTGAACGCAGTGGAGAATTCGGTCGCACTGGCCGAGGCTTTTTCGATCTGGGACAAGACGTAGGGCGCCGTGGCGTTCTGGTTGCCGGCCTGCATGGGAGAGTCGAGTTCGTACATAGCGTCATCCACCCTCTGCACGCCACTTTGAAGGACAGAGTCGATAATGTCGTTGATCTTGTCGACCGTGGTCTTGATTACTTCGTCGATGGCACCGTCCAATGCCCCATCGGACTCGCCGTGTCCCAGTTTGAGTTCTTCAAGCTCCTCCAACGCCTGCTCCATGCCCGACTTGTAGATCTCGATCTCGTCGTCCTTCTCGCGGAGTGCGGCTTCGTGATCGTAGTTCCGCTCGCCCTGCTTGGAGCGGATTTCGTCCAGTTGTCTTGTCTTGGTCCGGACGGCCTCCTCCAGATCGGCCATTTCACGGTTGTACTTGGCCAGCATGGACGACAGCTCGGATCCCTTGGACCTCTCCGCATCCTCAGCTCGTTCGAGTGCAAGTCTGAGTTCACGCTTCAACTTCTCGACTTCCTCCCGGTTGGACCCCTGGACCCGGTCCTTCTCGTGCAAGGCGCGGTCGCGCTCGCGGATCATATCGGCAAGTTCGAGGTTCTTGGTCTTCATCTCGCGCTCAAGGCGTTCTCGGCGGTCGATGGCTTCCTGGGCCGACGCCGCCTTCAGCTTGAGGGACTTTGTGGTTTGCAGGAGGTCAAGGTGCTCTTGACGGAGTTGAGAGTACAGCTTGGCCAAGGCCTCATACTTGGATCGCCACGTATTGACCTGCTCTTGCAACGCTGCAATCTGATCATCCTTGGACTGGGATTGCATTTGGAAGTTGGCGTTGAGCTGTTGCAGCTGTTCTTCGAGGGCTTTCATACGTTGGTCGTATTGTTGCAGCATCAACTGGTCCCGCTCATACTGCGCCCGAGCATTGAGATTCTCTCGCTCCAGCTCAGCCAAGCGGCCCTGCGTCTGGGCGGCGTACTGGTCCCGGAGGAGTTGTTCTTGGGCCAGGCGTTGTTGCTCCGCTTGCATTCTCTGCTGCTCTTCAAACTGACGCTGAGCCTCCTGCTGTGCCAGCATTTGTTGCCGCTGCTGGTCTTCCCATTGCTGCTGCAGACGTCGTTGTTCCGCTTCATACTCTTCTTGTTGGCGCTGAGCTTCCCTTGTCCAAAAGTCCTCAATGTCTTTTTGCGTGTCTGGTGTTCCGTTCTTCGCCACGGGGGTAGGAGGTTTCTCGATCTCTTTGGCCGGCCGCTTGGGGAGGGCTGGCTTCTCGTCGTCGTCGGCAAGGAGATTGGGAGGGTCTTGAGGAAGCTTCGGCACGGTGATGAGGGACGTCAGGTATCGCAGGTTGGAACACTCATAATAGAACTTGACCAGGCGATGGTGTTGGCCGTTGTATCGGTTGCGGAGGGGCTCCAGTGCGTCGTCGTCCCCGGTGGTGGTGTGCATTGCTCGCAGCATGCTGGTGATGAACTTGTAAATGCCATAGCTTTCCTGCACCAAGGGCACCAGGGCTGCAATCCGGCACTCGTTGTTCGATCCGGGACGGAAGTGTGAGAAGATCAGCTTCTGGAAGGTATCGATCTGGTCCTGCAGCGTCATCAAGTCGGAGATGGTTTCATAGCCTTCATTGGGATCGTTGATCGACTTCAGACTGATGTACTCTTCGTATTCGAACAGGCCATTGAACTCCGGGTGGTTGCGGTGGAAGCCCAACTTGGCCAGGAGGAAGAAGACGTACTCTCGGATGAGGGGGCCGTATCCTCGCAGTCCTTCTCCCGTCACGCCTCTAGCGAGACTCTCAATCCAATTTATGTTCTGCTGCGCCTCTTTAACCGTCACCGGGTGACCCTCCTGCAGGACTTTGTGGATGGTGATCAACGCTTTGAAGGTTTGGACTTCGTCCGCCATGACGGGCCTGTCTCAAGAGTCAGCAGCTGACGACAAGGAACAGGTAAGATGGGAGCCCGAAGACATACTGGACCTTCATCCCGGCCCAGAAGGACAAGGACGATCGATGATCCCAGGTGTAAACGATGCAGGAGCGGACATGTTTCCTCTTGGGCGCAGTCTCTTCAATGCTGGTAGCTTTGCGGATGTTGATGGCCAGGTCGGACTCGGTTTTCGCCATGTCGATATTCCGACCGGTGCCCGTTGCGAGAGCTGGATAGGCCATGTGAGCAGCGTGGTCGTCGATGACTTGAGTCCTGCCGAAGCCGTCGTATATCGCGCCCGCACCTGAGCGCCTTCTTCCCCCGGCGTCGTATGTTGGGGGTACGAAGAACGCCAGTATGACTGATTCGGGGTGGTGGGACGAAAAGACGACAAGACCAACACAGCAGCAGGCTCAATGAATGTTTCACATCATCAGAGAGAGAGGCAGTCGAAGTTCAAGGACGGTGACTGCGGTTGCTGACGCGGTTGAGATGTTTTCGCAGGCAGCTGTTTTTTCGGGAGACGCGGCAACCCTCACCTGCTAGTAGGTTTTGGGCGTTAGCGTCTTGTTCGGAGCACGTGCCTCATTCCGGTCCTTGTTCTTTGAAACAGATGCCGCTCAACACCACGACATCAATTTACTTGTGAACCGCGAAATAATTTTTCTTATACGTCGCAGGCTGGTGCTTCATTGTGGTGCAAAATTACAGCAGTATTGAGCCATCTTTCGTGGCGCCGTGGGCAGAAATGTCAGCATAGGCTCACACAGATCAACAAAAGGTTGGGTTCCAGCCACGTGACTTTACTTTGTCCCTGAGCAACGGCTACATCTTACGCCACACCACGGCACCATTTCCACTGCAAATGAGCAGATAATTTTTCCTAATGCTGTCAGACTAGCTTTCTGTACTACTGTAGAGTTGCAGCACCATAGAGCAGGCTTTCGTGGCGTCGTTGGCAGGAATGTCTCCATCGACTTGCTTTGTGACGGCAAAAGGTTGGGAGACAGCCACGTGACTTCATGTTTCCCCCTGGGTACCGGCGATATCTGCTCCACACCACGGCACCAATTCAGCCGCAAATCAGCAGATAATCTTTTCCACGTCTATCGAGCTCTGTGACTACATAGGGGTGAGATTTCAGCAGTATTGAGCTCGTCATGGTGGCGCTGTGGGCAGGAATGCCGGGATCAGCATCCTTTCGATCAAGGATAGAACGTTAGAAAACAATCACGTGACTTTACGTAGCCGTCAAGACCAGCCACGTCTGTTCCACACCTCGGCGCCAATTCAATTGTAACATATCAGGCTTTGTGACTGTACTGTGGTAAGATTACAGGAGTGTCGAGCAAGCTTTGGTGGCGGCGTGGGTTGGAATGTCGGTCTTGCTGAGCAGGTGCACATTCTCGAATCCTTCACTATTTGGGGACGTCGACTGGGACAGCAGCACCCGCACACTTTACTGGAATGCGGTGTCCGGACTTTGAACCAAGTCATCACGGTATGATTGAGAAGTACACTCCTGTTTTGGTGAGGGGAGAGGAGAACTGAAACTGTTCCCAGAGGGGGATGGGTCGGGAAAGGGAACTCGCTGCAATCCCTGTATTCCTGGTGGAGGAGTCGATGGACTCGATGGTAACCTCGTCAGTCAAACTCTTGTGGGATGTTGTACCAAGGAACGCAGAACTTTGCCACAGGGATCTTGGACTTCTGCTTGTCGATCAGTGATGCCCCTGGGAATCCTGATTGCACCCATGCAGTCCAAGGGGAGAGACTGCGGTGTGTCGCCATGCCATCCACAAAGCCGCCTTGTGACCTAGGCATGGCATGCTGTGCATCCGTGTGCAATCCACAAAACCCTGGTGGTGTTTGCTGTACGTCGCAGTGCAGATCAACAAAGGCGTCTCGCTGGATCATGCACTGAGGTGATTCCTGCTCCTCCGTTGTTGTATATGCAGATGCATTTAATGCTCGACCGGAGACAAACATCCCCGCACATAAAAGTCAACCAAGAAACAAAATCTTTCGTCTTCTTCCATGGTCTCTCTCTCATCGACCAGGTCTTCAGACGAGATTTGCAATTCGAAAGGATGGATGCAAGTTCAAGTGACACGCCGGAGCCTGGCGCTCCTTGGCGGGCGCTCGACTCGCTTTCCGTTTCTGGCAACATAGCCTGCGCGCCGCAGCCTTTGTCACCACAACAGTCGAATCTTCAACCACCACCATCTCAGTCGCGTCTTGAACCACCCGCTCACTCCGATCAATTGCAGGAGGTACTGAATCTCGCGAAAGACGTTGCGACAGACAAACTGCATCTCACACCAGATGACGAACCTATCAAATTCACCATTTCCCAAGAGTCGTGGTTAGAGCTACAAGAAGACTCTAACTTTGAATTGTGCACAGAACGGTACCTCATCATCCTCGTTAATTCATCTGGCCGTACGCTGATCTTTTCAGGAAATCATTTCGAGTCTTCTTCGACAGTTCGTGCCGTCGTCTTACCATTATGCCTCCTCCGAGCCATATGCACCAGTCCTTTATTCGTCTCCTTACGGGACTCGCGTACCAGGCTAAATCTGACATGACACCTACTCTCGCACCTGAGATCTCGATCGACGCTGGTACAGCTATTAGTATCCACACAGGAGAGCACATGTCCTCGGAAAAAGAACCCGACTTAGTTGTGGAATGGACAAAGGATTTGTACGATATCGGAGATCACACGATTGTCGAAGTGGGCAATACCCAACCCCTGAATGATCTCCGATATCTCGCCCGGTTCTACATGAATGGTGATACTCATACCCAACGTGTTATCCTCATCGATATTACCGAAACACCAAGATATCAATCTCCAAAGTCTATCGATACCTCTCAGGAGTTTCGTAGAGACGAGAGAACAGGTGAAATTTGGTTCGGAAACGTCAAGGTAGTTGGGGAGACGAAAATTCTGTGGGAGGTGTGGGAAAGAGATACTTCTGGTGTTCCGCAGCCGATCTTTCAGGAGGTTTTCGCGTTCGGCGAGATGCCGTCAAGAAACCTTCCTTTCTTGACAATCCCCGGAGGAGGTGGTTATGGCGACGCGGCGACTTGGAGAGGGGTGAATACTTCTGTCACGCCACAGATGGTCAAGAACTTCTGGATGAAGGATTGGGCTCGTTCTACTTGCAAAGACGCTAGGAGACGGATGTTGCCGCTGCTAGGTAAGCAGAGACTGGAGGAAGCATGGGAAGAATTTCGCGCCAGGAATCTCAATGTCATCGAGCCGAGTTAGTCGAGTCTGATTCACTCTGCAGGCAGGTGGCTGTCATGGTGGTTGTCATGGTAGCCATAGCAGTGGCCAGGGAATGACCTGGCGCTTATACACATCTGACGCTGCCGAGCCAGAAAATGAAATCTTCCCCCCTATCCCCTTCTCTCTGTCTCTCTCTCTTTTTGTGTGGCTGTCTCTGTCTCTCACACATACACACACACTGGCGCATGAGTTGATGTGAACTATCAGATCATACTGTTCATCGCAGTGCAGTCAACAAAGGCGTCCTGTGACATCATGCACTGAGGTGACAAATTCCCCCTGCATCCGGACACGCCTCCGCATTGTCGCAAGTCAAAAGTCAAACAACAAACAGAATCTTTCGTCTTCTTCCGTCATCTTTCTTTCATCGATCATCCACCAAGCCTTCAGAAGAGATTATGTAACTCGCCTCAAAGGATGGATTCAAGCTCAAGTGACTGCCTGCGCGCTGCAGCCATCATCACCACAACTGTCGAATCTTCAACCACCACCAAGTCTTCAACCACCCACCTACGTACAGGAAGTGCTGAAACTCGCGGAAGACGTCGCGATAGGTAAACTTCGTCTGTCGCCGGAGGAGGAACCTATCGAATTCACCATTTCTCGAGAGTCGTGGTTGAAGCTGCAAGAAGACCCCAACTTTGACTTGTGCACAGAACGGTACGGTACCTTATCATCCCCGTTGATTCTTCTTCTTCTTCTTCTTCTTCTCTTCTGGCGGCGCGCTAATCTTTTCAGAAAATCATTTCATTCAACAGCTCGCGCCCACTTGTCACTATCATGTCTCCTCCCAACGCCAGATATGGTGCCGTTATTGAATTCTTTGCGAACTTCGCGAACGATACTCGATCAAACATGACATCTACTGTAAAGTCTAAGATATCGTCCAAGTGGAGCCGAGGTGTCGAAGAGTTTGTGGGAGAGTGCGATTTATCGCAAAAGCAACCAGACCTTATGTATCAAGTCGCACGAGAGTGACGATGACGGCAGACTCCACACTGTCGTCGAAGTGGGCGTATCGCAGTCTCTTAATAAGCTTCAAGCTCTGGTGCTGCTGTATATGAAAGGAAATCCAGACATTCAACGAGTCATACTGGTGAAAATAACCGAGACGCCAGTGTTCAGACGCCCGACCGAGTCATCTGCCGATATGTCAATAACACCAGCCCCTAAGGAGTTCCGGAGAGATGGGGCAAGGGGTATGACTTGGTTCGGTGACATCAAGGTGATAGGAGAGATCAAGCTGCTTTGGCAGGTATGGGAACGAGATGCCAATGGCAATGGTGATCCGTGTAAGACCTTCGAGGAGATATTAGCATACGGAGCGGCTCCATCCAGAAAGCTACCTATCCTCACGTTCTCTGAAGGAGGAACACATGGCAAGTCGAAGGCTTCTGTTGAACCGGAGATGATGCATGAATTCTGGAGTGTTTGTTGGGTTCGCGGGAGTTGGGAGGATACCCGTAGACGGGCGAAACTCTTGACTGTCTGAACTGGTGTGGTCTGGTCGGGGTTCAAAGCAAACAAGGCAGAGAGACACCATGAGATGGACGAGAACAATCCTGTAACCTGGGTTGTGTCACCCGTTTGAAGTCCGCCGCATTGATTTTCATGATGGCTATGGGAGAGCCTGACCTGGACCGAGCAACGGTGGTTGGAAGCGTCTCAAGCCACACTGCACTGAAGCCAGCGACTATTCGACTCTAGAGAAAAGACAGAATGAATCAATCCTGGCTCAGACGCTTCTTCGAATCTTCCCTCACTGCTCCCCTCCCTCCTTCCCCCCTTTCAAAGGGCACGCCAGATGGGCTTTCTGTACGGCTGTCGGCTCGGTAAACGACATCCTATACCTCAGCTCGGCAATCGGCTGACTGCTCTGTTCTGTAGGCTGTGACTTCTGGAAAGAACTGCGCTCAAATCCCCTCCTGCTTCACGTCCCTCTCCTACCTCCCTGGCTAGCTTTGTCCTCCTCTGGCCCTTGCCAGCAGTACAGGGTCCTATGGAGCGAGTTCTGACAACGCCAAAGGGTGGAAACCCAACGGAAAAATCAATGTCTATCTCGGATGTGTGAGCAAGAAGGTAGAGAAAGCGATGTGATGGCTCAAGCCACTCACATGCAAGAAGAAGAAGCTGACCAAGTCCACAGGGCGGCACTATTTCTATCGCCTGCTCCTCCTTTGTCTTTTTCGATTGTGGCTCCTCCGAGCCTCGGCGACCTCGACCTCGATCCCGTGAAGTCCTGGGCCCGAAGACGCATGGCCAACAACAACATCCATCAACTCATGCTGTCGAATCGGCTCAACTCGAGGAGGTGCTCTCCCCATGCCATGAGTAAGTTGAGCTTCAAACAGCCGTTGGCAAAGTCTGTGTTGTGTCCCAACCGGCTCCTCCGAGTTCAGCCCAAGGGAATCTGCCATACCGAGCGGAGACGTATATATGAAGATATTCTCGTGTTGGAGGTCGCGTGAGAGAAGGTCCCGAGTCATGAATCCAGTTCTTGAACGAGCAGACAGGCCTGCCATGAAGGACGATGATCTTGAGGAGCGAGACGACCTGGAGAGCAGCCCTGATGATGAACACGAGACAGAGCCGACGAGACAAAGCGGAGAGCAGACTCGCCTGGGATGGACGGACGACTGACGGACACAACAGAGATGTCTCTCTGACACTTGAAACACTTGGTCTGAACCAGATCACCAGCGGTCGACTTACTCATTTCAATAACCGGTTTGTCCGACAATGACTTTTTGATTCTGTTGTTGTCGTCATGGCAAACAAGGCTGACACACACACACACACTCGCTCGGGAGACCTGACAGAAAAGCCAGTGTCGGCTCGAGATCGAAAGAATCAATTCACTGTCTTTTCAGCCAGGTTTGACAAAGGGACGACGGACAAAACCAGTGGTTCGGCGATGGAAGCACGTCCCGCCCAGTTAGGTGAGCTGGGAAAGAGACAGAGAGAGAGAGCTACGAGGTAGGAGGTTCGTTGACAAACTGACGGCGTCCCTTGCGACGGCAGGTGTTCTGACTGCCGTCGTATTCTGGGATACCGGCTCATAAGCATGTAATTGTCCGTCTGTCTGTCTCACCGTCTGTGTACACAAGTTGCCACGTTCACCATTGTCCATATGCTGCATGTCTGCCGCATTGTGAGAAGCTTTTGCATCGCAATCGAGTCTCGACTCGCCGCCAGAAGCTCCATCACTTGCTTCGATAAAGTCACCTCAACAAAGAAACATATCGGTGGATACCCCTGCCTTTATTTGTTGGCCGCACCGGCAGTTCGAGTACGGGTTCGAATTGGGGACCGACCTGACTTAGGGCTCTCACCGCCGGCTCGGCTTGGAACGTAATCTTCATCAACCCTCCCAGTACCTGCGTTGTCTTTATTTTCACCTTCTTCGGAAGAGTCGCCATCGTTGCAGTCCAGGCCATCCAAGCTCTCCAGACGCGCGGTTTCGAGCTCTGCTGACTCGATTTTATCCCAGAGTTCATCAAGCGGAAACTGAACAGATACGCCATGGAGGGAGGACGGTACCAAGGACGGTGGTGCTATGTCGAACATAGAAATTTGAAGAGGAGGGCCAGAGACTCGCGTGCCAGTCTCAGTTCGCACTTCCTAGGTACCAAAGTCAGTGACAATATCACCAGGTGTAGTCGAGATGAGTAGTTCACTTGAGAATAGTGCTGAAGTCGGCTACTGGTGGTTATATCACCATTTTCGCGTTGCCAGACGTGCAAGGTGACTCTCTTGGAGTGATTATAGTCAAGAGAAATGCCAACAACCTTTTGGATCTGTAGCGAGGTTTCGAAAAGGTAGAATTGAGCTAGATTCTCGAGCTGTTTTGACTTCCGCGAATATGCCACCTCTAGAGTAAAACCGTAAGATAGTTTATCGACAGAGGAGAAGAAATCATCTGGTTCATGGGAATCCGAGTCTTGTTTGCCCTTCAAAGTGCTAGATCTACGGCTTGTAACGCTGAGCAAGAACCGCCTTTCTTCTGGTGTACCCTGGCATATCGTCCCGAGCTCTCTGAAGAGGATCGCAGCGAAAGAGCCACAGGTTATTTCGTGGGTAAGGGAAAGCATTCGATGAACAAAGGTTTGGGTCTTGGAGAAATAGTCGCACCTATTCGCATCAGCTACAGTCCAGCTGGTGGTGAGTGTTTGTACGTACCGCAATTTGCCGCCATTGACACTGTCTTCAAGAAGTCTTCGGAGGATACCCCACCCAGAAGGGGTTATTTGATATGTGTTCCACTCTGAACCGGGAACCCGTCCAAAAAGGCGTGCCTCTACGTCCTGAACAATGAACGACGCGGTGGGAGCATCGTCAGAAGGCGTGTGGGCGCTGTTGCTACATGCTTCTGAGGACAGAGTTTCCCCTGCTGCTCTGATGGGCTTGATACCTGCGGGAGCGACTTGTGAATGTGATGCGGCTGGTGCATTTGGTGCGGTTTGTGATGATGCGGCTTGTGATGATGCGGCCTGAGCCCCAGCATCGCCGCCGCGACGGTGAGGAAGGTTCTGCATTGCTGTCGGAGACGGCGACGCAATGAGGATGCCGCGACAGCAGTCAGACAAAGAGTGTCAAATCAAACTGATGATGGAAGTGATTGTTTTCCATGAAACCTCTTTCGTACTCTCGCTACACCTTCCGGATGAAGGGTTGGGCCGCACAGCCGGCTGACTTGCCCAGTCAGTCGCGCTCAGCACGTGCGGGCACTGCTGAGGAACACGACGACGACGACGTGACATGTCTTTGTCTGTCTTGCAACCTGGGTTTTCTTTGCTCCTTTGAACACTGCAACCTATTCACCCAGCACAAGCCTGCAGCTTCCATCTGAATTGGGATGGCGGGCTTTCTGGCGGGAGATGATGACGAGAAGAAGTGGCTGCAAGCCCTGTGAGGGACGCGTGATATCAGCCCGTCCGGTCTCATTGAGGATGCGACATCGAGTAACGGCCTGACTCTCCTGCTCACTGTTGACGGCTTCGTCTGATGGGAGACGGCGAGGATGGCCAACGGCGACTCCGGGATCTCGTGCCGACGGCCGTCCAAGCCCTCCTTCAGGGTAATTCGATCCCTGAAATTTGAGTCTCTACCGCCATGCCACACAGGCTGTTCTGATTGTTTGCACTGTTAGAAAACGACGCGCCGTTCCAGGACAATCTGCACAAGCTCCTTGCCGTTGCCTACGATGTGGACAACGAAATGGTCAAGTACCGTCTCGAATCCGAATCTCGATACAGGCAGGCCGACACAACGGGTGACCTGGTCAGCCGTGCTTCTGGCTCCCACCTGTCCCTAGATCGTGAGGCAGAGATAGGAGCTTCTCGATGCTGCTTCGATGATTTTTCCCATAATATTGTAATTTCCGCGGTGCAGGACCAACGAGACGAGGCGAATGCACCAGCCACCCAGACCAATCGACCTGCTGTTTGCTTCTTGTCGCTCGGGCGATGGTCCAAGTGAGTCGTGCCGCCCATCATCGCTTGCTGCTCTCCTCCAAACCTACTTTGGCCGCAATTCAGAATGCGGGCGGAACGAACTCTTGAAATTCGACAACGATTTAGATGGGTAAAAGCGACTTGCCATGGGCTTTGCGGGGTAGTTAGCACTGCTCCATTGTGCGAAATTCCTTTTATTCATGCCCAACCAGCCGCCTCTTTGTCTTTTAAACATCCCGGTTTGACTCTGGAGGTAGGAAGCCCTCGATCAATAGAAAGGCAAACGCACAATGCTCGTCAAAAGTTCCCCCTCTTCCAGTTGATTGTATAGCAAAGCAATAAACCCTGAAGCGCACGCCTGATTGAGTGAGTATCCACAACAAGAGTCGACTCGGTGACTGCGCAACCAAGGTCAAGAAGATGGAGGGGACGCGTGGGGACAAGAAGGAATTCATGCATGTCTGCCGAGAGTGATACTTGACTCCAGCTGTCAAAGAGTATGCAATCAGGCCAAGCAAGTTGGGAAATCGCGATTATGAGGATATCCAAAGGCCTCACTCCCCGCTCTCTCTCGTGTCCTGCCCGGAATCTACTACAGCTCGTATTTCTCTATCACTATCTACAGTCTCCCAAGCATCCGCCACATCTGACACGAGAAGCCTGAAAGCCATGACCATCACTTTAGACGCGTCGGACGTGTTAGGTGACTCCCGATGTTCCTTTCTGTAATTATTGTTGTTCAATGGTCAAAGTCTATTTGTATACCGGGATGATGGTTGGAAGCATCACACAGTTTGAAGCCAACTACGCGCTGCCTCCAGCAGGCAGAGCCGGAGTGAGATTTCCAAGATAGCCAGTCCTCTGGTTGGTTGCCCAAGGTACTTATTTCTTCCTCTTGTTGGGATCTACTTGGATTTCGCCATCGATCCTCAAGGTCGTCGTCCGGCTGGGTACCCAAGGCTATCCCCGAGAGCTACAGTACCTCTGTGGCCCGTCACGACGACGGGTCTGAGGATCTGATCTGCTGCTACCCCGGAAGATTCATGAGGTGGATTGAGTGAGGGTTGAAGGGGAGGTGCTCGAGCATACACAGGGTCAAATCCTTTCCGGCTCGATCCAGTAAACCATCAAAAGCAGGGGTTTCCCATGAGATCCTGTGATATCCCCGTCTCCCCATCAGTTAAATTGAGGCTGGAATACACATGTATCTGCAGGATACTCCAAGCACAACCGCAATTCTGCAGCCGTAGCCCATTGTCCGTCACTAGTCGATCCCTCCTGGAGAACCGAATTCCATTAGATGTCTCCGTGAGAATTGCCGCGTTCGCCAGCGCGGACAGCAACACCTCATAGCCTCTCAGCCGACCACTTGATTTTCTACCACAAGTCGCCTGCCACGTCTGGACCCTCCCAACGAGGAGACCTGCCAGATAGGCGCTTCGTATTCCCGTGATAGAGACACAACATCATTCAGCCTGAACTATGGAATAAACCGACCCGATCGAAAACCCGCCCCGGGTCAACCCGGCCCTTGTAAGAGCCTGCCTTTGTGACATAGGCGACAGGATCTCTTGATCAGGTGGTAGTGTCCCACCAATATCAATCACATGAACCACTCGACAGAAAAGAAAAAATAACCCTTGTGGCCTGTCCGAGCTGAGGTAAAACCAACCTTTCTGATAACGGCAGGTCTGCACAAGATTGAAATCAATCAGTATCGACAGCCCCGGCACCGCCGCCAGCCTCCTGACTTGAAATACTGGCAGCACTGGGAGGAAAGGGCGGGCGAAGGCTTTATTCGGATGTCGGGCATGTCCTTCTTGCTTTCCCCTCGTCGAGGACCTCGACGACGGCTCTCTTGGCGGAGTAGCATTGAGGTCGGAGCACTGACAGACATTGCCTGCCGTTGGCATATGAAAACGTTCCTTGGGAGAGCCTCTGATGGCGTGAAAGGAGGCAACACAAATAATTGACCATTCTTCATACGGAATTTCCGGATCGTCGGTAGGTATTTGTTCCATGTACTGAGACCATTACGGCAGACGAACAATCCACTTCGCCACGTCCAGCCAGATTCCAAAGTGGAAGTGAGATTGTACCGGTGACAGGTCACAGAAACCTTGGCTGAATCGTTTTATTGAGAAGTGTAACAGTTCCGAGACCGCAGAATGAAACAGATGGACGACCATGAGTGCTGCATCTCAACGAGCACGCTTTGACGACCGTTGCTGGATTGCTGGTACTTGATCTAATCCGCGTAATTATTGCGTGGGAGGCATGAGGCCATATTCCCCTTGCTTCGTTCTGGCGGAGGGAGTCCTGTCACTAGACCAATGGATCGACATGCATGTTGAGGGGGTGACATGCCTAACAACAACACTGATTGAGCCTCCTCTCCCTGCCACAGTCTTCCCTTTCTTGCACACCCAGACACGCTCACTATCCTCCGTCTATTCTGTCATGTTCAAAAGATTTTCCAGGTATCCTGACCTTCCTACTTCTGCCCTGTCATCACCAGAGCACTATCGGACACATTCTCTCTCTCCACCATTGACGATACGCGTCTCACAGTAGGCGACCACTACTAGTACCAGCATACCATCAGCGACGACCATCTGTGTTACAGCACGACAGGCATCTCGCCTTCGGCGCTATTGACGTCGAAGACCACCCCATCTGGGTGCGGGTTGTCATCATCGGACTCCTTGTGGCGGTTTGTGAGGCCCTTGGGCACCGCGGGGTTTCTTTTACATTGTAACAGAAAGTGATTGATTAGGTGGATGGATATGGCGTTCCCTTCCCGTGATATCTGGAGAGATGTTGAGGAAGAGGAAGAGACGTTGGAGAAGTCGTTGAGGATAGAGCGGAGATGGCAAGGATGGTGTCATGGACATGTGGACTATTGAGGTCATCGCCTTCTCGTTGTGACGGAGCTGGCTTCTTTCTCCGTCTCACAGCGCTATTGCAGTCGTAGTCGCAGTCGCAGTCGTTATCGCTGTCGCTGTGGCAGCTCAGTAGCGCCTGGAAGGATTGATGTTCCATACAGGCATCATTCATTGATCTTTACTTGCTCGTAGAGAAGGCGCCTGGAGGAAGAGAGCCGGAAGCCGGTTGGTTGGTGTTGACGTACCTCGTAAAGACAATGTGTTGCGGGAATATGGGAGTGGTGCGGCCTCCCCTCGCCAACAAACATCGGTCTTGGCGCGTGGTCCTGGCATGTCGCGCTAGTCTCGATACGTCACTGACGTCACCCATAGACTTGGATATCCAGATGCCACCTGGTGGTAAGTCACATATTCACATATTGTTCGCTCACAGGTCTCAAGCTTTCAATTCATCCAGTCAGTCCTTGCATTTGAGGCTCTCGGCCTCGGCATGTATGTGATACTTGTCTATGCGAACGGTGCAGACTAGCCGGAGACTGGGAACTGGACTCTGTTGTTGTTTTTGTCAAAGTCATTCTGGCTGGTGAGGCGAAGGGGGTAATGGGTCTTGGAATGGAGCACGGACGACGACGGCGACGACAACGACAACAATGTCACCTTTGGAGTCAGAGAAACAATCAACAAACAAACAAACAAACATGAACAAGGAAGGGGACACTGGACTGGACTGAACGATGCCCCTCTATGGCTGCGTACATGCACCTCTCATACATACCAACACTTGCGAGCAGCTCTGAGAGAGAGAGCTTTTGAGGATGTTGTCAAACACGGCCAATGTATGCAGGTCGAACCGCCTGTCACTCAGCCCGTGGATCACAATAGATGATGTGAAATAGAAAGGTTGGCTCAACGGGAGCTTCAGTGTTTTCTTGATTCATTGATCTGTTGACTAGGGATACAGTGCTGATGGAAACCATTCAGTGTCAATACGCCACCAGCCCTAAGAATACATCTCCATACACCAGTTCATGAACGAATCCCGCACCACAAAAAACCCGTAAACTCATTCAGCTGACCTCTCATTGCCTGCCGTGACAGTCCGTCAGATTGCTGCATCTCTCTCCAGTAGCGTGTCTCCCCATGACGCTCTCCGATTCTTCTCTCTGTCATGTCTGGCCCATGGAACAAGTTGGCTTCAGACTTCCAGGCCCGCGTCGCGCGTTTGTCGCACTGCTCCCTCAACTTCATCGTTGATCTTTTTGGCGACAGCATCCATGACACTTGTAGAGAACTTGTCTTTGTACCACGAGATGATGCAGTCCAACTTCACAAGGATGTCCCCAAAATCCATTCCCTCGCCATCTTGGATACGGTTCATTCGGTATTCGGAATCCTGAAAATAGTGCACCCAGAGTTCCATGGCACATCCCTGGATAGCAATGGAGAAGAACAGCGGGGATTGGCCATCTTCGCCGGGAACGAAACAGCCGGATTCGAGCGCCATGGTGATCATAATCTGATGATGGATGATATAGCTTCCGGACAGCATGTTCTCGTAGTGAGTCGTGGTCAGGGGCTTTCCTGTCGTCTCTCGCTGGGCCTCAACGGCGAGGAAAGGGTAACGCAGCTCAATCCTTCCATCTCGCGTGGGCGCAAAACAGATTTCCTTATCCTCATTGAGAAGATCAAGATAGAGCTCGGTTGCAACTTGTGGTAGGCCACGCTCGACCAGTCCCTTCAGTACATCCTCGACCCGGAAGCCAAGTAAAAGGGTCGGGCGGGGAGGCAAAGTAATATAAGTTGGGCTCGACGATGGGTGCGATGTGGACGAAACTGGCGGCACCATGTTGGACATACTCAGTGTAGGCGATGGCGGAGATCCTTCGAGGAACTGCGTCCGAGGGCCGGAGAGACCGGTCAACTTCTCCCCGCTCACCGTAAGGAGTCGGTGACCTGAATCCAACTTCCGCAGAGCCCAGGTGAATGGGGCGATCCATGCGTCATGGCTGCTCTTGTCCTGGGTATACCTGACCCTGAGTTTGTCTGCCAACTTTTCGGCAATCCTCCTGATTTTGCTGGCCCTCCGTTCGGATTGTCCCGATTCCCAGATGGCATTCAGTTGAGCTTGGACATTCGGAGGGGGCTGCCCACGGAGCAGAACGATTTGAGCAGACTTGAGTATGTGGCGGCGAGCATTCAAATATGGAGGATCGAAGGACGAGCCAGAGTGAAGGTCAGAGAGGGCGGAAGCTGGAGGAAGGCGAGGGTGCGGAGAGAACGTCTGCCGACTCAAGCTCTGAAGGTTCTCATAGGTGAGGGGCGCAGGCGGAGGTCTCGGTGGGCTCTCGTAGAGGAAGGGCGCAGGCGTAGCGGCAGCTGCTTCGCTCGAAGATGCTCCACCGGACGACATCGTGGTTTGATGGGATGGTGGCAAGGAGATGGTTGTTGATCGCGCAGGGATGTTGTGGCTGTTGCGTAACCATTGAGCAGGGAGAGGAAGATCAAGGGCACAGAAGTTTGAGACAACGTGGAGATCTGCCTCGGATGCGATAGAAATGGTGAAGGAGAGAGAGACCGACCACGCGGAGGAACTGAGTAATATGATATATGGATGATACCTGGATATTCAGAGCAATCCAGGTTGTGCGAAAGCTGAGAGAATGTGGATCTGAGAAGAAGAAGAAGAAGGTGAAGGAGAAGAAGGAGAAGAAGTGAAATGAAATGCCATGAGGGGTAAGTAAAGGAAAGTCAAAGCTTGAGCCCTCCAATCAGGAGGGTTTAGCCGCTGCCTTCACGTGACGCGTGAATTTGTGGGTCGTTTGCTTGGCGTTTGTAGAAACATCAAACAGCCACAACCAGGACATGCCAGATGTGACGGTGACGGGGTTTAATGCTTGTGTTTGTCTTCGGTCGTGTCGTCTTCTGGGCACTCGGTGCCTTGTTCATTCCCAAATATGTACCACCGATGGCGAACAGTCGTTGAAGGTGTGTCTGGTAGGGGTGTCCACGCCGGCTTTTGTGCTCTTGATTTACCAAGAGAGCTCACAGGTGGTAAACTATGGAGAAGAGGCGGATGTCATTCATCGGGAGCAGTCGGCGTCATTCCGGCTATCTCCCAGACGCCACAATGGCCGGTGACTTTGAACTGTCAACTTCGGACTCCTGGTATGCCCGGACAGCTAGCTGCAGCTATCAATGTTGGCGATTCGGACTTGCGTCCGGCTTGCGAAACAAACTTGGATATGAAAACTTCCGTCGTCGAGTCAGGCCTCGTTTGACATGTTCACCGCCCGCTGCAAATTTGCTAGCAAGATGTGCGTTCTCAGTCCGTACATCCAGGCGACAAGGTACGGCACGCTCGGCAGCGACACTAAGCCAGACATCGGACGATGGTGACATCCCTGTCTCCTGCGAAACCCAGAGCCTGACGGCAAGAGGGTCAGAGTGGGCCTTGTCGACCATGCCATCCATCAGTCGCATACGAGGAGCCGCATGCGGGCATGGAGATGACCCAGATGTGATGATGAGGGCGACGAACTCGAACGAGATGGCATCAACGTAGTCTCTACCACCACTACTCTGACGCCGTCTGCACACAACCTCCTTGTGCAACAAGCGTCTGCTCTAGGTGGGCCTACAAACAGCCACGACGCCTCCACAGCCATCAGGCCCGGCTCAAACATCTATCTCCCTTGCCAGGACCCGCATGAGCCTTTGAGTGAACTGGACCACAACTCCTGCTTTAACGAGCCTGACAGCCCCTTCACAAACGTCGTCAAGCTGGATGTCACACGTCCGTAAATTTATCCTTTGGTGGTTCCCAGGGCAAATCGGAAGGAACGGCCACTGCCCTGGAAATGTGCCCAGATCTCGAAGCACTCAGGAGGGTCAGTCGAGGATATCTGGGCTATGTCGGGCTAGGTCAGGCGGAGTCTCATTGTATTGATGGGTAGGTAGCGTTGGCGACATGGAACAACTCCGAAGCCTATGTTATATCCTTTTGGCAGACGCAGATGAGTGCCTCTGCCGCGAGCAGCGTGCCAAACACAGCCATGTCTTTTGAGTATTCTTATCCGCCCACAATGCGACGTTGATAACGACAACGACAACGACAACGCCGAGTCGGAATATGGATCGAAAGGAATACCGTAGATACTTGATCAAGTTTCTAGTCTTGGCTCCTGACAGGGGTCTCCAACCCAGCAGCACGGGTTCCATGTGTTACACGATTGGCCATTGCGCGGCCCTCTACCGTGCCATGAAAGAATCTTTTGGCCATCATCCTGACTGGACAGATGATGATGAAGCTTGCAACTGACTGCGTATGCTGCTTCTTCGCCTAAGCTTGCATGTACACATCTGGTTGAAAATCGCCTTATGCCGGTCCCGCCCGAGCGGGCTGAAGGCGTCCACGCCCGGCCTGCGGGATCCGGGAGATAACCCGTGTCCGTCCAAGTGCCGTTACAAGGAATGTATCTCGTCCGAAAGGCCTATCAATAGCTACGCAATGTTGCCGTCGTGCGCAGACAAGGAGATGTGCCTTGTCAGCTTGATCAATAAACAGTCTACGGAACTTCTCGCATGATGGTGAAGCAACATGCCGCCGATCTCAAATATGGCCATACACGCGGAGGTGAATGTGGCGTGAAGACGAAGTTGGGTGGAGGCAGGACGACGGGCCAGAGAGATTCCCAATCGTATGATCGTCGTCACTGTCACGACTTGATTGCACATCACAGCCATACCCTTCGCCATCCTCGTAGGGAGTGCACAAGAAGAGGACGCAGGTAGTAGAGATAGGTGCTTGTGTAGGGGGTGTTGGGAAGGAGCTTCGAGGGCACGTTGACTCATATTGAGGGTAGCTGAGATCTGTCTACACATTATCTCCTGCCTCCTCTCCCTACTATGGGACTGGATGGATTCAGGTCGTTCTATTATGCACAAATCCTAGCCATGGTCGGGACACTCTCATATACAGGCTGCTCAACATAAACATATCTCTTTGAAGGACCGACACCTTCTGATCAAACATGAAACCACGGATACGCCACGACAAGAGTATCATAATCTTTTCCTTTGAGGGAATCCATTAGACATCCCACTCAATGCCCCTGTAAGCCGGCCACAGGCACGGCTGCGAAGATGTCGCCTTTCTTTCTTTCCCTCCAGGCTCCAAGGTCGGCATCGACACCTGCGGAAAGGGTGTCTGCGACGTGCATTGTGTTAGCAACCCCGCCGGCACCAATTGAAGGACTCACGACTCACCCCAGTGCAAGAAATAGTCGAGCTTCGGGCTGATCAGCCCCGGGCATGATCAGGAGTAGGAGGACGACGCGGGACTGGGCGCCGGCCCGAATCGGCCATGTCGGCCATGCGCTGTTCCGTAAGCTCGGTGAGCTTGCGCATGAGGGCGGCGTTCTCTTCGAGAAGACGGTGTTTTTCCAGTTCGAGGGCGATGAATTGCTCCAAGCCTTCCCTCGGGCGGCGTGCGAATATGCTTTGGAGGCGGGCCTCGTATTCCCGCCGCACGAACCTGTGGGTAGAGTCGGGAGGGGTCGGGGGAGGGGAGGGAGACTGCGGCTGTGTTGCGCGAGGACGGTCCAGGCGCAGGAAGACACCCAGCAGGCCGGACAGGAGGGCGACCACAAGACCGAAAATCGCGACAGCAAAGTCCCTGACGACTCCCAACATGGTCGAAGTGGTAAGGACTCGAGACAAGACAGGCCAGATGCAATTGACAAATACTGAGACGAGTCTGGTGGATGGTAGATGTGATGGATGGTGACTGTGTTGATTGATCGAGGCGTTGAAGGTGTTTGTAGGCGGGTGTCAAGTGCCAAGCGCCTAACCAGGACTGGCGCCGCCTATTGCTTTGTCAGGCACTCACTCTTTGGATGTGAGTGCACAACGTAATGACAAAAAGAAGAGCTATCGGGATGGCCTGCTGAGGTCGTGGCCGCTGGGCATTCGGCCGCCATTTCTGTACCCGAGATGACTGTGAACCATTGTATTTCGCAGCAAGTTCATCACTGGTCCCAAAATAATATCGTGGAGTCTAGGCTTCCCCGTCTCGAGCCAGCAGAGTAATACAAGAGGATTGGACGACGTGGTCTTCGTGGTTTACGACCTGTTGTCAGGTCAGTACAGAATGCCCTGATATACAGTTAGTGCGGCGGCGCACCTGCGAGCCGATTGAAAAGATGAACTAAAAGGGGCTTGATAACCAGAAACCCGGACTTCACGTGGAGAATCGGTAAGGGGGTGATCGACAGAGTCACATCCACATCCATTATCTTCTTCGAGGACATGTATCGACATGAGAGTCAGACCGAGCTGGCGAAGTCGTCGACAAGGATCCTCGTTTGCGACGAGTGTAGAACTAGCAGCGGATCCGTGGAGAACAAGGTCAAGAGGTGGACGTGCGAGACCCCGGTCTCAATGGAGAGTGGATAGGGCTACCTGTAGCAGACCTTGATCACAATCTCGAACGAGATCCCGGTCCACCAGAACGCAGCGATCGGCACAGCATCGGGAGGTGGCTGGTAATTTGCCGCTCAGCAAGAGGGTGAGCAAGTTCAAGGTGATGGGCAGGTCGATGATCACGAATGAGGTGATGCTCAAGATGATCAGCCTCACCGTAGCACGGGTGTACCAGCATCCACATTTTCTTTTAGAGGCCCATCTCCTTGTATACCTTGTTCCACAGCCATATCAGTAAGGTCACGGCGGGAAGGTGACCTGGGCCAGCAACAAGTCCAACTTGGGCATCAAGGTGTCGTACCACAGCCTGGCGTAGTCGTCCACGGTTTGAGGGTGACAACGAGCTCCACCCGGAGGCCGAGGCACTAGACCCGGTCTCGACCGTCGGCTCCTTGATTAACACGCTCGATCTTCAACGCCGTCAACACAATAGACCAGCGGTTTTCGCAAGTGAACAGTGGTTCCCGAGCCATTCAGCAACTGGATAGGTGCAGAGATTCTCGAGGTGGGCTGGTTGATGAACAAGTTTTAGGCGGACCACGAGAACGCGAGTTTCGAGTAGTACAAGTACCCCGACACGACAGTGGAGTCGTTACTGGAGATGCACCAGATCACCAGTATCACAGTGAAACCGTACTAACTCCGACAACGTGCAGTTGACCACGGTCCTCAACCCCTTGATGCACCCGGGGAGGTAGGACACGGCGAGCAGCTCGACTCCACGAGTGAGGATGTGTCCCAGTAGAGTAATCATCCTCGAGAGGCACATGCAGCAGACGCAGAGGTTGGCAGTCTCGATCAAGCAGATGCAGTCGGACCAGATCGAGCGGACGAAGAAGAGCCAGGTCCCCGTGGTCGATAGTCTTAGCAAATCTGGATAGCGGGACTAAGCGGTGGTCGCGGCCGCGTTAGGGGGTTCTGCGAATAGATGACGATGGATATGGAGAAGGCCAGAAGGGCTGATTATAGCCTTGCCCGAGGTCATGGAGGAGGATTTTCTACCGCGCCGGCAGGGATGAGGGATCGAGCATGAAGGAGCAGGTGTGCTGAGGTCGGATCCGAGAGAAAAGGAAATCAGAAATGATGGTTGACTTCTCAAGTATGAATACGGGTCCGTTTTTTGGCAAGTGCCACACTAGGATCATTGAAGTTCCCCTCTGAAGGCAAGATCAAGGAACTATTAGTGGCTTTACGGCGAGGGTAGACATCTGCAGATCCCCATAGTAACCTTTTTGGCTTGCGAGACGTAAACCGGCGGAGTCTGTGAATGGAGGGTGACATCTGCTTTTGCAAGAAGATAGAGCACACGGACACACATATCAAAGAAAATAACATCATCGGTAGAAATGGCAAAAACTTATCACAAAGCAGGTCAACCAACCTGGTTTGTGATAAGCGAAACTCGCCCTTGCGGGTTGGTTTTTCTCGGCCGGCCGGTTATACTACGAATTCGCTACTTTATAGGTTGATGTCGGTGGGATTCGAACCCCAGGTCCTGCTGCCGACTAACCCCGGTGGTAGTCTTGACCTGACAGGACCGGGAGTCGACGTGATTCGCCCTCGCCGTATCGAGGGGGTCTTGGTGTGGGAGAAATTCGCGAGAGATAAAAATATAAGTCTGTAATTTGATGTGGGGCCTTTTGTGCCAGGAATAGGTACATAGGTAGCGCAGCAGATGCCTGGCCTGTGGCCACGTACATATAATCATTCACTGCCATCCCATTTACTGCAGACTCTCGACAACTCTCCAAAAGGCCTCTTGGGTACTACGATGCGTCTCATTCTACGCAACCCTAGGTGAACTTGATCCATTTATACCGTCCCTTGACACGAGACGGCCAGAGGAAACTAACGAGGGGTGTTTGAAGTTGAAAACATTCACACATCCCAGAATCTGTTGCTGATCGCGGTCGAAACATCCTCTTTTCCCATTACAACAAGATCTCCAGCCGCAGCCAGAGGATGACGGACACAACCAGTCCCAAGTATGCGAGTTTCGAGTCATCTTCGCTGTGTGTTACAACTGCACTCAAACGGGCTACGGGAGCAATACCAGTCAGTCTATCTTCAAGCCTTCCGGAGTCTTGGTCACCATTGCCGACGCCCTTTCTGAACCTTCCAACTCGGACCTGGCAGATTAGTATACATACGGCAACGGGTCCCATGACCTTCCACTGAATAATGCCTCTCCACGAGCCCTGCTTAGAGATCCTCCCATACTTTCAAGCCAAAGTGGTGAAGAATTTGCTCGTCCAGCCGAGAAAGAGGACATCTCTATTGATTGCCCGCTGCTGCCACCGATCTCGAGGTTTGGGGCAAAAGGCCCAAACCGGGGGTTTGGCGAGGCAGGACGTGCACAATGAGAAATGCTCTGGAAGCTACTTCTCCCGCCTCTAATAACTGCTCTCGACGAAATAGAGGAAAGGGAACTCTTGAGGTCCATGGATGTAGATGTATCCATCTGGCTCGGATGGCTCTAGTCGACGGAAGGGCCACGATCAAGTCGGAGGATGAAATGGTAGGGCCGATACAACCGAATAATTGCGGCACTGTTTAGAGGAAGTCAGGTAGGTCATGCTCGACCATTCTGGGTAGATATAATGAAGGAATGGAGAGTGAAGCTTCCAGACAAAGGAGTGTGGCAGTCGTGGACAGAGAGCGACGTGTTCAGGGTGAAGAGCGAAAACCTGGTGGAGGGGTGCGACCTGGACCTGGACGTGGGAGTGGTTTCTTCATCGCCACGACGAAATCCGACATCGTTCCGTTCCATTTTCCACGAGAAAGCAGGAACTCTTGGTGCCACCGACCAACTATCGCTCCCTCACGCACTCACTCACTCAGTATCCGACACCAGCATCTGTCCGCCTCGTCACCCGAGCCGCCCACCGACCGCTTCGACGGCGGCGGCAGCGTTGGCTTCGAGACTCTCATTGTCGGTTGGCATAGTTGGCTGGTCTTGAACACGTACGTGCGCGGCGGTCGCCATGTTGACCTCGCCCATGTTTCTGTCTCCACACCTGCAGGATATCGTGCAGCTCATCCTCGTTGATGATCATCCATGTGAATTCCAGGTACCTGAGGATCCACGACCTGTGTTCGTGACCACGAACATGAGCTCTCCCGGCCGGCAATCCAGATTGTGGCCTTAGCTTTCCTGTAGCAGCCTGCTTTGCAGCCGGAGGAGGCTGGATTGACTGCTGCCTGCCTTGGAGGCAAGCTGCAGAAGAGTGCTCTCCTCGACCGCCGGCCTCTTCTTGTGGGAGCAGGTAGTTGGGCACACTCCATCAGGGCGATGGAAGTGCCGTGTCCACCCAAGGAGCTGCATGTCACGAATATAAGCAGCGAAACAAAAAGTTGGTGGTGTTCGAGTCAGGACAGTTCAGGACTTTTTGTGTTTGATCCACAGCATCGACATCAACTTATCTAGCCCATCGACCAGCTCGCGACAGGTGGCTCGAGATGGCCCTCCGAATGAAACGAAGAGGTTTCTCACGGTGATCAAAGGGCGCTATCATTCTGAGGGTGGCTTTACCCGCACCTGCACACCGCTCGAGTAGATGTGTGCAGATCGATGACGATTCGGGTGTCTTCTCGCCGTGAAGATGGGGGAAATCCGGTGGCTGGACGACCCTTTTCGTCACATTCAAGCAGATGGGTCAGATCGGTCTGCTGGAAGGCGGCCAGGAGGCGAATGTCGTGGCGAAAGTCCAAAGCGATGCGCTCCGATCTTGTCCCGTGACACCCTCGGCTCAGTTAGCGAAATTGACAATGTCTATTCCGCACAATACCTCGCCAAATAAATGTTTTGATTGACAGTCCACCATCTGTCTATTCACATCTCAATTCACTCCCCGATCTACCCCCTATCAATGTAAGTCACTAGTATAAGTAGCTACTCGTCTTCGAAATGTTATAAATACCGACCCCCCACTCCTTGATCTGCCCCAACGAGTCTGGGCCACTCGAACAAGCAGACAAGGCTGAGGTTCCAGGAGGTGCTCTCAACGGTGAGTTGTCAAATCGTGGACAGACAAGACGACACAGTATACAAGTCTAACCTTTTGCCAGAGTCATTCCCTTATTTATTCCGTACTCTAATAGCCTCCTTTCACTCGGAATACCGAAGTAAAAACCCCTCCCTGAGGAGTACTTATATATATATATATCGCCAGACGCAACAGCCCAGACATCTTCAAGAACCCTCTGCAGTATTCACCATGTCGAATACTGCATACTCTGCTGCTGCTTCTGACGCGGCATGCTCGATGAATCTCGCTCTTCGCCAACTCCGTGATATAAGGGCTGCTGCAGCTAGACAGCGCAAAGAAAGCTCGGAAGAGTATAGACTCAAAGACCAGTCTTTAGAGAAGGTCCGTCGAGAGCTAAGGAAACACTGCGAACTGAAGCTAGAGCTATGCCGCTCTAAGAAGCAAGATTTGGATAGAGAACGAGACGCGATTGAGAACGACCGATCTCCTACCCCAGAATAACTCAAATATCTGGGTACAATACCTCAGGAGCCACATCAGGAGATTTCTGTTCTTCAGGAACAGTCAGATCGCCTGATTGGAATCGCCCTACTTGCCAACTGTCAAAATCTTGCAGAAAGCTGGTTACATCTCGCCATTGTATACGGAATGGCTCTGGCTCCCATCACATCAAGTATGGATGTCACAAACAGAGCAGAAGAGCACGTGAGTAGCGGGGGAGTTTGACTTCATCCGCGCCTGGAACAGCACGACAATTGACGGAGAGCCACTCCCAACACCCCTGGAGGTCATTTCCTTCGGGAAGGAATTGGCGGTACGATTCGAAAACGCAGCCCACATTGAGCAAGGTGCAGGGTGGAAAGCTAAGCTTCCTAAGGGTGTGGAGGTGAAAGCTAAGAAATACAAGTCGCCACTGCACACAATCTTCAAAGTGTCCAAGGTTTCCCTGGCCCCGGCGCCCCGTGTGGTCGCGGCAGTTGCAACCGCCTTTCCAGAGGACAACTTTCGCTTGTTTCAGCGCACAGTGGGTTTGACACGCGTGGACGAATTCTACATCGCCTTTTACCGGGCTCCCAAGAAGCATCCTCCTACGCCACCGTAGCTCAGGAGGAAGCGTGGAGTAAAAGGACTACTCAGACCACCCCAAGCAGTTTTAGGCTTGTCAAGCACACACGAGAGAAGCATACTTCTCGCACCCGAGGAGCATCACTCTCTCGAGCTTTGAATCCTGTCATTACTGTACGTAAAGGATACTTGTTACCACGGAATCCTATCTCTCGCTGAGTACTGCCTATCTTCAGCAAGGCATTCTTGACAGGGGATCTCCGGACAAGATGAACAACCATGACCACACGGAGGCCGTGAAGACGTTGACCAGAACAATTTTCGTCAGCTCTTGATATCAACTATTATATACCAGAACGACAACCGACACATTGTGGAACCGCAGAGATTTCATAGAAAACAATAAGTTCAATCACTTTGATTCCACAGGTTATGAGCCCGGAGGTGCTCGAATCACTATTCGATCTAGCGGCAATTCAGATCGTACCAGATACATCACAGAATCACAGCTCGTCATGTCTGAACGTAGTGGTCCTGGACCAAGAAGCCTTGAAGGGCCGTGGACGTCTAGGCGACCTGGACGAAAGAGCATTGGAATTCCAGGGTGACAATTTAGCACGACCATCAAATGAATACCCCTATCTCTCCTGTTTAATAGCAAGCATCCAAGCGTGCCAAAATCGCAAGCGGTCAAGCCTCTCTGCTGCCGCTACTATCAGGGTACTTCGGAACGCCCTGCATGGGTCTCGTGGCTGCTGCTGGTGGGGATATTGGTGGAACTGGGAGTGGGACTATGTATCCTTTCGGGAATTCTTCAATAAACAGGGACTGAGGATGAAATAAACCACAATGCGAGCCTCCTTCATCGGTGAGGTCGCTCGACTTTGATTTGTCCCATGCAGCGGCAGCGGTCCCGTGACATGCTCCGTTGGCGGAAACCGAGCAACTTGGGACTTTGCAAATCTATCATCCAGAAGGCCCATGTTTGTTGTCGTTGCCGTTGTCGTCGTCGTTTTCGTTGGTCTTGTTATCCCTGTTGTTGTTGTTCTCGTTACTAGCCCACAGGCAGCGTCCTGGCTATCGTTCCCACTTTCGCTATGGATGAAGATGAAGGACTACCTGACTAGCCATGCCGCAGGTGAATACTACCCATGGAACAAGAGCCGACACGTGCTCATTTGTGCAGGCAGGTAGTGCTCTGCACACCTTGGCGGTATCCCAGTGTGGCAAACCTATTCGGCAGCTTGTCGTTGGCAACAGCCGCAACGTGGAAGGCGAAGACTGCTTTCCCTTGTTGGCGACATGGTAAAGGCGTCTGTCTCTTCCATACAATGGAGGTCTATGGGTGTCAGGTCAGCCTAAAGCCTAGCTGGGAAACTTCAGGTACTCCGGCGGATGGACGAACGGACGTTGAGCGTCTTCGGCCGCAGCGATATCCGGACGAAACCCGAGTTCGTGGCCAGGAGGAGTCTAAAACTATTGAGTAATTCATTGACAAGGCAGGCCATCAAAACCAGGCTGCATCTGATCTTGACCATGTCTCATCTGTCGCACTTCGAGCAGTCGTCTCTTTATCACGACCATACTGCTTCTTCACGATCAACCCCCAATACACCTGGCCTGATTGACCCAGGTCTGCGTATCTCACTTTTCGTGGGCTTCTTCAAGTACACGCGCTCTAGGAGATCGTGTTCGTACACATAATGAAGCGTACAATGCGTCACGGCTGAGGAGAGATGACGTCGTACCTGACCATCCACGCATACACACTTGCACCGTAGTCGGTCACTCGATCCCAACGGCGAAGATAGACGTGCACAAGGCTGAAGGAGCCCCGAACTGTGGCATGCTACTGTCGGAGGCTGGATCTTCTGTCTGTTGCTAGCGGGTGCCAGATAGCGTGATCCCGTTTCACTTCCAAGCTCCAAATACCTCAGCTACACCGACCAACACCGGACGACCACATTGGAAAGGAAGACGGATGAACTCTCCTCTCCTTTATCAATGGATACAACGAATTCTCACCGGCTGCGACAGTTCATGTGCGCGCGACTCACCCCTCGCTCCTCCTCCCTTGGAATGCACCTTGTTTCCGCTGCGCATGGCGAAAGTCTTCGGTATTGCTACTTGGGGTGAGAGGTATCTCCGACGGGGCATAGCAAAAGGGTCAATCCCTTGTGACATTAGGAGCCTTCTCTGCACCATGAGCATCAAACAAAGTCGACCTTTCTGGCTTCCATCGGATTAAATTCAGACGGAAACCAGCCTCAATGTCCAGTAAATACTGTCCAGATCTTGAGGAGACCATGTACAAGCCTTTCGCCAATAGCTGAGGTATCACCTGCCTTAGAGCCATTGAAAGAACCAACATCATCTGGAAGTGAGTCCAGACAAGACACCAACCGAGATCAGAAAAGTGACCTAACCTATACCGCCACCACCGGCTTAAGATGAGACGCAGGCCGTTATCAATTCGCGGTCACGGGACTAGCCTACTTGCGTCGTTCCTGAACCTCGAGTGAAGATGAGAAGAATGTCAGGTGGGATAATCAGTCCATGGGATCAAGCTGTAAAATGTGCACGCTCTGGTACCGTCGTCGGAGTTGGATGGAATTGACTTGCAGATGCGAGGAACAGGTGAGAGTTTGAGTCGGTCTGATTGCACAACTTGATGTCTGGATGGTGGACACGTCGGCGGCATGAGGGGAGCATTAACTTCGTCCGCGGGAGTCCTGTACCTATCAATTAATCACAAATCCATTTAGTTCTCAGGGGTAGCCAGCAGCTTTGTGGATGTTCAGTGAAACAACCAAGTTTGGGGCCCGAGATAGCCAGAGTAAAGCCAGATTTATTGCTGTCAAAACGTCCATGGCGACGTCCATGGCAGCCCTGCCTTGGGTTCTGGGGTTTCGTCAGGCCAGGATCTCCTTCTCGACATGTTGGGAGTGTTTGAGTACATGTCATCGTGTCCGTTTGTGACTCATGCTCTGTTGCCGACCAACTTAAGTAATGCGTAACCTATCGCCGCCGATCTAATTGCTATCGAGCGATGGCTTCCCAACAGTCGATACCAGCGATTGTTATCTGGCAAGGACTACCCACTTCACGGATGTCCAGCTTTTTGATGCCCAACCGGGTATTGTCCAACTCGGAAATGCATCATTTGGTGCTGCTGAACCCGTTGATGCCCAGGGATTGACCCTCAGTCGACGATACTGGCGACTGATGTCCTACGAGGACTGCCCAAGTCATGAGTGCCCAACCTCTCGCTGCCCACCCATTGCATACCAACTCGATCCTGCCCATCTATATCGCCCAGCGACTGAAGCCCGGGTTTTGATGAAAATTGCGGCCAACTCTAGCTGAAAACAAGCCCATAGGAGCCATTCATGACGTGTTTGGAGGTGACTCGCGAATGGGAAGGGCGTACAGCTACTTTTCCGTCACTCAAGTCAGGACAGGACGCCCGGCAGCAGTATGCAGAAGAACAAGTGGCCGCATCGACGACACGATTCGCAGTATCGGAAGGACGGATAAGATTGACTCGATTTTCACTCAGATTGCACATTGTTGTCGAAGTATCTACTATCAAAAACTACCGGAGTTGTGTGGGAAATAGGTATTGCCCGGTCCAGAAGGGCTCGGTACAGAGGACCCACATTAAATGATAAACATATAATTTTATCTGTCCAAATTTCTCCTACACCAAGACCCCCTCAATACAACGAGGGCGAAGCCGCAATACCTAGGGTTCGAATCCCATACCCTGCTCACGCCGAGCCTGACCCAATTTCCCATGGACGAGAAAAACCAACCCGCAAGGGCAGAGTTTCGCTTATCACAAACCAGGTTAATAACCCATTAACCTGCTTTGTGGATAAGTTTTTGCCATTTTTGACGTTGGAGTTGGAGCTTCCTGTTAGCTAATAGCCCCAAGGATATATCTGACGAGCTGCCTGTTGCAAACACGCTCCCGGGCACTGCGTCTACTATGGACCACTTGATACTATTCACACACGCAGCCCTTAGATGAATTGACCTGGGTGTCATTAGATGAGGTTCTGTGGAATCAAGACGTGGTATCCATAATATAATGCTCTTGAGATACTGCAATAGATAGAGGTTCACAAAGCCGGGAAATTCTGTACGGCAACATGACCGGACCCCCATGTATAGCCAGCCAAGAAAAATTGGATTGTATCTACGATGAACTTCCGGTGTGACGTCGATGCTTCTGGAGGCATCTGAAAGCTGTATATATATGAAATCTGCACAGTAGAAGCGTGACATGGATTTCGAGAGCTTGAATCGACGTTCAAATCAAGACGGCAGCCGGTCCCAGTCATTATCAAGTCTGTTATTCTTTGCACAGAACACGCTCTGAGCCCAATCGGCGACCCTGCGGTGGAGAAATTGGCTGTCCAGAGCTAAGCGCCTTTACCACTCAGCGGAGAGGACAGGAGAAAGGCTTAGCCAACGAAAAGAGTGACGATGTCCGACCCCCTTGACGCATACAGGTGGTTGAAGGTAGTGAATCGACGGTTGATAGCCGAGTAATGAGTAATTTGCTAGAGTTCTGAAGCGTAGTGGAATTCTTAACTACTATGGGTTGGCAGGGGAATTGAGATCGAGACCACCGGCTTTGATGTACATCCGTATCCGCTAACTCAGCGCAAATCCCGGTAGCGAAGAACGGACTGGCTTTCTCCAGAGTCTCACCAAGCCTATACCTCTATGTCTCGGTTCAATTGTCATCGCAGACATCTACTGCTGACGAAAAGCACCAGCGGACGGCTTCCAAACTCACGTCAACTGTACCTCTGAACTGTAGGTCGAATTGAATGATAGGTGAAATGGCCACCGCAGCCTGATATCATGCAGGGCACGACGAGTATATGCTATTTCCACCCGACTGCAGCTTTGCTAGCTAGTGACCTGCAGTGGGAGGTTTTACTTGCGGTGTGATGAAGAGAAGAGTGGATGCATTGTTGTCTGATGATTGGTGGCCCTGTAACCGCCAGAAGGAAAAGGGAGGCGCTTTTGGCCATGCCGTCGATCTGATCTGCGCGAACAATCAATCAGCATTACCTGCCGGCCACGTTTCAGCCCTGTACAAACGCGGCTCGTACGCTGGGTCGAGGCTTGTAATACCGAGCTGATTCGTCCAAGGCCGTAAGGGCAACGAGATCAGGAATCGCCCACTTTGAGACATGCTTGCCACCGGCATGCAACGGGATGGTATCGATACTGTCTGTGACTGTTTCTGCGACATGAAGCCGATCCACTCCGCATTTTCTCTGGAGACAAACATTCCATGTCCAAGGCCCTTTTCTTAGAAGGACTGAGCCTTTGTCCTCATCAGATGATGGCACTGCTTCCTTGGGGCCGAAGTCATAGCTTCCGACGGCCCTTCGGTTGAAATAGCCTGGTGCGGCAAAGGAGCATGACTATAGGTGTGGGGGAAAGGCGAGAAGACCGACCATGGGAACTGTGCTGTTTAACCTCGGTTTCATCATCAAGCCCGCCACGGGGCTGAGTGATGGACGAAGCATAGGTAGCCGATACCTCGTATGATAAAGGATGTGGCTTGGTGCCACTGGGGAACCATTGTCCTATCCCGCGATGGCGGGCGCATAGGATATCCCCTTCAGATGTATCCGACGTACGTTGTCAATGCTGGTGCTACGCTACTACTACGGGTGTGAAGAGAGTTTCCCTTATATTGAGTGGCGTCCTCATTAGTTAATCTCTCCCCTGGCCAGCACAGACGTGAGGAAAAATGTGGTGTATGTATCCAAGGAGATCGCACCAATTAGCAGCACCGCAGTATGTCCCAATTCTGTGCGCGTGGCGACGTAGGGATACAGCCCTTGCTAGGCTCGCTCGGTGTACTTGGAGCATCAGAGAATCCTTCTCGATCGGCCGTGCCGTATGCGAGTAAGGCTCAACCAATGTGATTGAGAGATTGTATGTCTATTTTTGCTCCTGTGCGTCGCTGTTTCAGCAAGATCTTGCTCCCCTGTGCCATTGGTGATTGTTGTTGATATCACCATCGCACAGAATCTTCTGATGTCGGCAGCTCTCCCGTGCCAAAGGCAGGGTTCTTGGGCGTCATGGCTCGAGGTTTGCGTATCTCGCAGCTTCAAGGAGGTGAAACATAGCGGCGGGAGAAGCTGGTGGACAACTAGAGAGGCTGCAGCAATCATCGGACCAAGCAAGATGACCCAGAACGAGGGAAGCCGAGATGGTCGGGGATTTTGGGTGGGCGTTAAAGGGATGTGGGTGAGACAATTATCGGCATTCTCTACGAGGTACGTCGAGATGGCACGCATTTCCCGTGGCATTGGTTTGCATGCCTCCGTGCAAGGTGTCGGTCAACGCCCGTTGAGCTGGCCGAGTAGCTTCAAGCAAGAATGTGACTGTGACTGGCTATTCTGTTCGGCGTCCTCAAGAGATATAGCATACTGCCACTGGCAAGGCAGATTTACCCAGTAACTGACTTAATATTAATAGCTTCGGGCACTGTCAGAAGTCTGATCCAAGTTCTTCCATCAAACTGGAGCACCTAAACATATACAGTCTCATGCAAAAAGTCTGAACACACCGCATGATGCCGAGTTACGCTAGTCCTGATGGGGGAAGGCTGTGGCGCACTTAGCTCGCACGAACCCGATTAGGCGATTTTAGTAACCCCTTTAGGCAACGATTAGGAGATCAGGGAGACAGTTAAGGGTGGCTAACAGGGTGTCACGAATCACAAAAAATTTTGCCCTGAACAACGGGACCAAACTGAACAGGCTGGCCGAGCTCGATACAATGCAATTTCACCCTTGGTCTACCGTGTTTCCTTTGCGATGCACTGAGTCTACCACAAGTCACATGTCCTATTGTCAGAGCAAGACTGGCTCTTGTGGTTGGATGTGGGTTTGTATGGTCGGGAAAAGTGAGCGCCCTAAGGAGTACATTGTTTGATTTTGAGTCGAGATATCTCGCCTGGCCTTGACTAACTGACCGATTGTCAGAGAGCTTTGGGGTGGAATTGTTAGACGAACAGAATGCAGGTTGAATGCGTATCGGTTGTGCATATAAAGCTGCCCTTGAGACACAGACTACTCGCACTTTTGAGAAGGAAAAGGATTCTCTCTCTAGTGCGAGTACGGGTGTTTACTTATACCCACATGGCCCATTCTAGTCCGTCCTTTCTTGGTATGGCTGTGCACGTACCAGCGTGTTCAATATCCCTTGTAATCTCAAAGTGGAGCCTTCCGTATCCCGCTCAATCTCCTGGGCCCTTCCGTGTGTGGTTACGGACCCTTTGCACTCGGTGCGCGGTGACACCGATTGTGTATTTGTGGACGCCTGCACCGTATAGTCCAGACGGCCGATCCTGTTGTTGCCGCATTTGCCGCATCCGTGTACGCTACTGGCTCCGCTGCTGTCGAATATCCGTCCACGATGCGTGGGCCCTCAGACGTCCAATATCCTGATCCCTCTTATGGACTCAACTGAGCACTCGCTGGCTGGCCCGTGAATAGAAGCGGATCTGAATGAGCAGTCGTGTGTGGACAGGATCACCAAACCATGGAACAAGAGCTTGGACAAAAAGACGTGGGCAAGAAACATCCCAGAGACGAGAGGAGGACCCGCGGGAAATGACAGGCCAGCAGCGGACAACCATCGACTGGCACAATTTCCATCCGAACTCAGTTAAAGTAGGCTTTTTCCGATGTTCGTGACCTGCGACTTAGACGCAGCCAATTCTTCCCTCTACAACTCTTCGTTGACCACTCACTCCATGAGTCTGTATATCTTCTCGGCCCCTGGCTGCTCATCACTGATTTCCTCACGCGCCAGAACATGCTCAAGAACACGAAGCAACAGAACAAGCCTGCAAAAAAGGAGCATACGTGGCTTTAATGGATCCTCGTCTCCATCCGAAAGACCCGGAACATGATCCTCGACAACAATAGACTGGTGGCCCACAAATGACTTCCTCCTCCTCCTCCGCCTCGTCCTCAAGAGCAATCATACCCCTTCGCTCGACTATTGAGGAGAATGTACCAAGTCCGCCAGATTCCCCTTACCCTTTCTTTCCCACAAAGACCAAGATTTGCATGTGGCCTACACCCGCGGGGGAAGCCGTCCGTCGATGCACAAATGGTAAACTGGATTGCCCGAAGAGTTCAGCAGACTGGGAGAAGGCCAGGGAGGAGCAGCGACGTTCTAAGAAATCACGATAGGTGGAAAGCAGCGATGATTCAGTGGACTCACGGCTCGCCTACACCCATATGCCAGCATGGATTCGACACCGGATGCGCAATGACGCCGTGCGAGTTCTACACAGCTGTCGTGCGGGCGAGGTGCGCGACCCAAATCCTACAGTCGCCGTCTTTGAGGGGGAATTTTGTCGGTACCAACCTGGACACCAATTTTGATCCTAAGCCCCTTCCTAAAGACGTGATTGTCGAATTATCAGCAAATTGGGCGGTCCAAGGCCTTCCTCGACCCGAGAATAAAGAGTCGGCTGAGCTCCATAGTCGGCCGATGGAAGACCCGTGACACGGGAAAGGATTGAGGCTCGACCATTCTTTGAAACAGATCCTTCTTGAGCGTGCGGACATTCTACCCACCAGTCCATCCTTGAGAGGGACCTACAATTCACGTATTATTGCAATAACCTGCTGCTGGAACTTAATATGGAGTATATGACATAGCCAGTACAGGCCGCCACGACAACGTAGCTGACAATTAGATCATCACGGCCAGCATTGACAGCGACTAAGGACGAAGTCGTCCACTACATTGGCAATGCTGCCTGCGAATGCAGCTGTTTTGGTGTTTGCTTTTTCTGGGAACGAGGCAGTTTAGGTGCCGCCCAGACTGAGACGCCACAACTACTGAGATCTATATGATATGTCCTTCGTACTGTCCTTTCAATCAAATCGCCTGTTGCCGTCAACCCAATCTGGGACTGTGATCAGAGCACCTGTCTATATGTATTTCGCAATTAATACTATCTCTTCCGTCTTGCAATACCGGGCTCTTTCGTCCCCTCGTGAACTTCGACATATCGCCTACCGTCACAACCTTACCGTTAGCAGCAAATCAGGATACCGGATATAGCCTAATGCCTGCGCCTACATCTCTGTCACAGACAAACCGACCTCCGTTCTTCTCCCTACAAATCATATCACATTTTCCATTGCTGGGTTTATTCGATCCCTACGACGGCAATATCCAACGGCAGGCGGTGAGACAGGGGCAGGACACTTCGCGTGAGATTCCCTATGCGAAGTTCTGATATGAAGCATAGGAAACGATGAGTTATGAGTTGTCCTCTAAAAAAAATGAGAAGATGACCAAACTGGCAGCATAGAGGTTGCGGGCAGTGTCACGTGCCGGCGAGGCTGATATGGAGCCTTAGGGTTAGGGTTCAGCCTCGCAACACCAGGAGACCCGGATGGGCTGGAGCAACCTGAAAGACTCGCTGTGCTCAGGTCTTCTCTGGTTCCTGAGGGAGAAGAAGCAGAATCAGTCACAGTGTGTATTTATGACGGGTCTATAGACGGGCAACTCGGGAGTTGGTGAAGCCTGTGATCTGCAAGCTGTGGAGTTTGGACCAGCAGGAGATTGTCTGGGAGATATGGATGCGGCACAATGACAAAAGATCCCGGCGGAGGATGATGAGATTGTAGTCAAGACGATGCTGAGGATGTTAGCCTAACGCCGATATTCCAAGACGAACAAACAAACAAAATATGGGACAGAAGGATGTAGCTCGAGAAAGGATCACTGCGCGTCCGACTGTGAGTAGAGTGTGGAGTATTGTGGATGAGCTCGGCGACCATCGTGTTTCGCGTTGCTCAACAGTATATGCAGGCCTCAGACGTCTAGCAAGCTGCGGGCGGCCGCGTCAAGCACCTCGAGTCCATCACTAAATGAGAGTTGCTCTACCCAATCTGGTGTATTTAAAGGAAGTATGGTCACATGAAGTCGTGTCCCCAAGACTCAGCTGCCCCAGCCAAGCAGAAGTCACGTCACATGGCAAGAACCTATATTCGTATCACATCAGGCCGAATGGGCCAAATTGAGCATATTGTACTTTGACTCCGAGATACAATCAAAAGACCGCACATCGAGAAGTGGTACCAACCCTACTCCAATGCGAGAGGGAGATAGCCGCTGAATATTTCTGTTCATGTTTTGGGGACGTCAAGGCCATCTGACAATGACGGCGACAGACGCAATCTCAAGAGGTAATCGACTGTTCCAGACACCAGAGATGGAGCTTAAGGCCTAAGCGGGTACGAAAGCCAACACGGTCCTACCAGGTATGATGGAGGGTGGCAGGGCAGTCACGGCCAGTCGAAAGCACGGAATTCTCCATTCCAACACATTCTTTACACTGGCTGTTACACAGGGAATTTTTGTGCGCGTCAGAAGGAGTCGAACCGGCATATGTATGTACATGAGATACCGCAGGAGGGTGGTGAGAGCTAGCCTAATGGTCAAATCCACAGTTTTATCGAAATGTGTGCTGTGTATATATGTTCTGTTTCGCTCCACTCAACAGGACCAAGTCCCTGGACAGGAACGCACGAGACACGCATGGATCTGTCGACATGAGAACTCCAAACCATCTTGTGAGATTGCAGCAGTCCCAGAGACACGGCCAGCACCACGTTCCCTCGCAGCGATGACGCAAAACTGGCTGCAACAGATCAGGAACCGTCATTCCGGAATCACCATATCGGCTTGAAACTCCCTGGGATGTCTGACAATAGACAGACGCCCTCCTCATTCTCGCTTTTTGGGGGCAAGGAGAGGTTCAAATTGCGGTGGTGGATCGAAGTCTCTACCAGCCTGCTAGGAGGAGCATCTTGACTGGTGTGAAACGATGCCATGACGTTCTGTGACACCCTCTCAGGCACGTCTGCCCTTCTTTTTGGACATATTCAGACTCATACACAGGAGGTTGCCAGGCCGGGGGACATCACGCTCGCAACGTCCGCCCACCCTCCTTGGAGATTAGGAAGAGCCGTACGCTCAGGGTAGTCTGGCTGACTGACAGAGTCGCAGAACGCCCAATGCCAGGTAACAGAGCATTCAGTCCATGTATGAGGATCAGGAGATCCGTGTGTCTTTGCCATCGTCTTTCATTTTATCCGTCTATTTCAATTTTAGAGCCTGTGCCAGCAGAAGCAAGGAAACCGCATCGGCGGAAAGGAAACCTCTGCATGAACTGAGCAGCAGTTCGTTTTCAAAACAGAATTCTCATCCGAATAAACACTGTGCCCCCTCCACGCTCTTGAAAGGAGTACTGGGAAGATCAAGTGTGAAGGTCTATAGGGCCTGAATGTAGGAATTGGTTCGAGATTCGGGGGAAGAAAAGGATGGAAACAGCCGTGTCGAGAGGGAGAGATGGAGTGCGCGTCAGGCTGCGTGGCCACACAAGTCGGCGGTGGAAGGCAGAGCAAGCTAGGGAGCGAGCACTTCACAATCTGTAGGAATGTAAGTGTCAGCAAAGCATAAGATGAATATGCAGGTAGTACTACACCCATCCCCCGTGAACCTGGAGTTCCTCATTCACCGCGATATCGTTCCGCTTGAAGCAGCTGGCATGCTCCAAGATCTTGGGCCTGAAAATAGAGGGAGGCATTTTTGGAAGCCCATCTCTGCCTCATGGGGCCCAGAGAAATATTCAACGGAGGGTTCGTGGCAGGAGACGCTCAGCAAAGTGCAATTCCAACAGAAAGAAATCGGCTTACATGGATCTTGTGTGGTGAACTTCGGCGGTGGCTGTCGGCAGTGTTAAGAAGTGCAAAACAAAACCCTTCTCATGATGGCCCGAGGCCCAGTCGCCACGGACTGGTTGAAGATAAACGAATTCGTCGAGGAGTGGTGAGTGACCCGGGCAGCATAGGGAAGGGGAGAAGCTTCATACCCCAGCTGCGGGATAGTCTCCCCAGCGGGTGGCTAAAATGCCGTCTTTGGGGTGATAGGAGCCCTAAGCATCCTATTGCGAAACCACCAAAACCTTTCGAGGCTTTAGGTACTCTAGGCATGGACTCTAGGCACTCCAATGAGAAACTCTAGGCGTCCACATCCACGACGCCGGTTGCTTCAGTGGGTAAATGCAAGGGCTGGGGTTACGTGCCAGGTGGTTCGTCATCACAAGCAACCCCATTAATCATTATTGACGCTTTCCTCTTTTTTTACTCCCTCACTGCCCGTTTCCTCTTCTTATTCTCTCGCGTCTTCCTTACAACGATTTCTCGTGCCTATCTTCTTCCTCTTTCGTGCCGCCGGCGCTATTTCACACAATGACGTCTCACCACGGGCAAGGTCCAGTACACGCCAATCTGATTTTGCCATTATACCGTCCACGCTCTTTAATCCTGACTTCGATACACGACTCCTCGACCACCCTGTTCCAGCAGCTAGGATCCCCGATTTATACAATATCGAGTCTGTTATTGTTGACTGGCACTACCATCATCCAGTGCTACTTGCATCTCGACACCTCTTCTCTCGTCTGCGCGGTCGACAAATGGCTCACAGACCACCCCGCTTACCCATACCGTGAGAGTACTGCAGGTCTTTTTCTTTGGACGGTACATAGACTTGAAATTGGATAACATGGTTCATTTTCACACTATATATGAATCTGACGAAGCCACAGTTCAGGGATGTAGTATTATGCTGAGCGATTTTCACAATCAATACACGAATTTTATGAATCAGAATGCTTTTTACTTCTCCCGTAGTATCATTTTCTCCAAACCGTGCAGAGAATATCAGCAAGCGGGAAAGGCCATGGCGTTCGGCAACCCAAGCAGACATCCCAGAAGGAGGAATATGCCTTGGCCAGCAGAGGAGTACCATTCCCGCCACTTGGAAGCCTTGATAACACCCCATCCTCGAAGAGGCTCCCTCCTACTCCGGGCGAGAGGGGAATCATTTGGCCTGGTGTGGAGCAGAGAGAGGGTGTTGTCCGTGTATTGCCTGCGCAGTTTGTGCAGGAAGTTTTCAATTGTTCTATCCTCATGAGCTCTACTGTGTTCTGCTCTATTTTTTTCAATTCGACAGTGTGGCAGATTCTGGGTTCCGCAGCAACACTCAACAATCCCAGTCCTGGCAGTCCTTTTTTTGGGCTTGTCATTGGAGACGGGTTGTGCCACCGAGAGAAGCGATGGTTATTGCGAAGCGGGAGGCATCGTCGCAGAGGAGGAGGAGGTGATGGAGGAGGGAGAGGGGGAGATGGTGGCGGTGGTGGTCGTGCTGGTCGTGGTGATGGTTACTGAGATGGCGCGATGGGAGAAAAACACAGCACTCAGTATCCATTCCCATGTTTCGTTTTGCAAAGTGCTGGAGACTCGGGACCTCGACCACTCCGTAGCCATCAGTAGCAGCATGGACAGGGAGGCTTGGAGGTACCAGTCGTCATTTTCGGAAGCATCCTAGGAATGCGGTCGTCAAAGGACCTGCGGTGTGAGAAGAGGACAGGGTTGTCGACATCAAGGAGCCAGTTTCACAGTTAGCGACGAGGAAATTTTGGATTGGAGGTCGTAGCCACACCTGCAAAGACATTCCTGGGTCACATTCGACACCTGATTGAGGGCAGACAGCCTCCAGGCAGACGCACCGCAGTTGAGAGAGCGAAGAGAGGCAAAGGCAAAGCAAAAGAAAACAAAGAAACGCAGTTTGGAGAGAAAGTTTGTAGGCAGACATGGGAATCTGATCGCACTCCCGAGCACCTTAGATTTCTCACGCTCTTCGCATGGGGATATTTCCCAAACCTTACACTTGGTTTTGACTTATATAACAGTGATTATCCTCTCTCTCACACAGCGCGTTAAAATCCACCAGTTTCTGCAACTTGGGTGCCTTTTCCACTTCCGGTTAATGAATGGTCGCGTATCACATGAAGCGAAAAGAACACCTGAACTCTCTCATTATGGAACATCTAGACCTGACTTTTACACACCCCCAGGTGCAGAGACTCCCGAGATACTCTTCAATGCAGCAGAGCCGGATCCAGATTGGCCAGAGGTTCGTCGACTCGTTCGATCTGATCATAGACGATGTCGTCTTTGTCCGAGACATCAGCTGCCTTATGCTGCCCATTGTATGCGTGATCTCTGCCAACCGGGTAACAAACGACTCTTGGTGTATGCCATTACATGCTTTATTCACTGGGTCCTTTGTTCCTGTTTGCTTGCTTGCCTACAGCCAGAGCATTTCAACACGAAATATATATATTATGCAAAATTACGACGATCTCCTACGACTTCTGACAACAAAAGCCCCCCTCGAAAAAAAGCTCTTGTGCCACTTGGTTACCTTGAAGCTTCCCTCCCTCATATCCACCATGCCTACAAGAAATCGCCCCCAACGTCAGGTTCCGGCAATGAACGTAGTTTACCTCTGCACCGTCGCGCTTTGCGTTTACATTGCCGTGCTCGCCCTGAATTGCACGGTGGGCGTAGAAATAGGTTGGCTCATTGAGTGGGGACCTCCCCTGGTGGCAGGGGCGTTGTTGGGGAGGAAACCCCTAACGATGGCCTGATTATGCATGATCCGCCTTAAGATCAGGGGAGAAAATGGGACTATCCAGTTGGAGCAGAGGTGGGAAAGACGGTTTCGATACGCCGAGCGGGACTTCAAAAGGACACCCGACACTTTCGAAGCTATGTATGGGTCGTGTATGAGGGTTTGTTCTTTGGTCGACTCCAGAGACGCCTACGGGCAAGGGAAAGTGGTCGTCGGGAAGAGCTATTCACATGTACCACAAAACACACAACAATTGACGTATCATGTCCCCTCCGTTCTTTCTCCTTCCATAAGATTTTGAGATGAGCATTGGCAAAGCCAGCAAGAATATCACCAGGCATCATTCTTGCTGTGTTGGCCTGGCCCAAGATCCAGTCGCTGAGGGTGTTCACAGGAGCCTCGGTTCCAAGCCGGATTGTCACAAGCTGATTGGCTAGAGAGCGGACTTCCTCCGAGCTTCCATCTGCCCGCATCACCATCAATGCATGATATAATTCCTCGAAATTAGTATCATTAGATCAAGCTCGACGAGACTAACCCAACGGTACCAATTATAGCTTGATACTGCTGGTAGATGAAAAGACATCAGTGGCTCATCCGCAGGGGAAGTGATTTGATTGGCTGAATATTCTCCGATTTTGTGTAGGCCCTGATCAGTCCGATATATCTCTGGCAATAGCACCTCGCACGGCTTTCTTCAAAGGGCGTCCGAGCTAGGAGAATGCGATCCAGAGTGGTCCAGCAGCGAGACTAGAGACATGTAGGGTGCCAAAACAACGAGCTTCGCTGGTGATGGCATGATTCACGCAGGAGACTTTTTACCACTACATATCATACTCTATAGAATCTTTGCAGCAGAGCACAATCAATTTACGGCCCAGAATCCAGCACCCCCAGTTCATCTCCCGCAAAAGAGACCCAAGACATATCGAGGTCTTGACCACAAAGGCGAAAGAGAGACATCAACATAGAGTTGGAGCTTCTCAGCCCGAAACAGCGGGACGATCATAGTTCGGCCAGACTGCATCTCTTGCCTGCAACGTCACCGTGGGTGGTATCTGCATTGGAAGTAGAACACGACTTCCGACAGAGAAGAAGACCAAATACTGCGGCTGCGGAGGCTCGACGAGACCGAAGGAGTGGAAAACCGGAGGGCAATGGAGGAGGTAGCACTCTCATCTCGACTTGCACCAAGGATAGCCGAGTAGTCCACTACCCTTCCTTGCCATTGTTTCCTGTTGTTCTCCCTGTTGAGTCTGACCAGCGATGAAAGGCGGAACACCAACGGTGAACCTGCGAAGCTCTGTAGCTTGAGTATCGTTCCAGGTCGTGCGTCTTGATTCTCGAGAGTCTTCGGCTTTGTGTGAAGCGTTCTTCCCATCCTGGTGGCGTCGAGTCCCCTCTGGCCGCAATCCCCTTGTGTTCTCGTATCCGCACGAGAATTTGACAAGCCTTGCCCTCAGCGTTCACTCGCTGCTTGTGAGTCCGTGTCTGCGAATCTGCACGAAGCGGCAGTCCTTCCCCCTCTTTCGTCTCCTTGTTTTACTTGTCTTGCTCTGCTATCCTGTCGGGGGTGCAGGTTTGCATATGTTCCACCCCCCATTGCTCTGTGCTCTGACACGAGCTCAAGGAGCGCCGCATCGATCGATCGGTCAACCCGAGGGAGGGAGGAGACGCGGCGAGGTTGGAGGCAGGAGTGAAAGAGCCCGCTTTCGACTTCTCGACAAGGGATTTCGGTTGCGTAGGGAGAAACGGAAGGTGAGTAAGAGCGTGGAGAGCTTTGCTAGAGCCAGAGAAAGCCAAGTCAGCAGGAAAACCCCTTCTTTTCTTAGTGAGGACTGTGCAATTACCATTTTTTGCAGAATTCAAGCGCAGCCATTATCTCAGCCTCGAAATATCCTTTCTCGATCAAGTTCCCGGTTAGCTGCGGCAGCCATTTCAAAAAGAGGATGGTGCTGTCTCGATGGGGGATAGCTCAGCCCTTCGCGCCTTGCAGTGTTGCTCGGAATCTGTAACTGCGAGAAATACCAGAGCTGGTCAGTCTTCTCCCATGGAAACCACCACCCGTCTCTGCACTCTCAGAAGGCCAGATGGCAGATTTTCCTCGATTCTGCAATGTCTTCATGGCTGCCATCTCTTGGAAGTTGGAGAAATACTCGCATCCTCATTCTTGTGTTCGCACCTGAAGCACAGTCAACAATCCCGCATGAAAGACCTGCAAACTCGCCAATTCCTCTGGGTATCTGCAGTCGACGGCACTCCTCTGGCTCCCTTGTGAATTCGATGCTGATATGTGGACTTGAGGCCCTTCCAAACTTCCTCGGAACCCCGACCTTGCCGCCGAAGCCTGAGCCAGAAGCCGATAGCCTCCATCGAGCCAATGAGCGACGCAGTTGCAGGTGAAAAAGATCAGAGCTCCAAGCCTCGTCGAAGAATACCTATGAGCCCCATTGAAGGCTTTTGATCAGTGGCTGCGACCTCTGTATGCCTCCCTCGACTGCCGCCTGCCCTCGCCGGTGGTGCGACCTGCCTCCCGATCTATGCCGAGTACTCTTTACCACGACGCTGGTGGTCGAACCATGAAGCAGGGTGACCATATATACCTTTTCTTAGCCCATCCGTGCACCCTTCCAGATTGGTTGCAGCGCTGTGACCTCTATACCTATGTTTCTACTCGAAATCCTCTGCAAGTCAGGCGACCGCAGCCACCAAGACGCAGTCTCTTGGGAATCTTCTGCAGGAGGACTCTCTGCAAGAAGACAAGAAGAAGGAAACCCAAAAAGTGCAAGAAGAAGAGCCCCTTGCTGGACGAGTACTCTGCAAGAAGAAAGAAGCTCTGCAAGTGCGAGCAGAAGAAGCACCTCCAAGAGGGAAAACTCTACAAGAAGAAGAACCCGCTACGAGAAGAAATCCCTGCTGAAGAAATACTGCAAGAGGACAGTCCTATGAGAAGAAAACTCTGCAAGAAGAACACCCCCTGCACGAACATAGGACGGGAGAGATATAGCCCTTCAGCTGGTCTCCACAGACACGGGTTGAACTCTAACATTTGACTCTGCAGCGACACTGTGCCGCTACTATCACGCACCGTCGGCTTGGACTGACATGGGTCAGTGGGATATCGCGCCACACAGCCCAGCATCTATCTCCATCTCATCTCGTGCAGGAGGCAGAGTCCCACTCACTCGTGTGGGTACTTGCCTGAAGAAAGATAACGGACATTTCACGGCGAAGTCTCGGAGCCACGGAATGGTTTTTACCCGAAGGGCGATCAGCGGCAGGCACCTTCTCACTGGAGCAGGGGCAAGTTTACCGGCGAACGGGATGAACGAATGAACGAATGAAAGAATGCCACGTCCTTCGGGCCCAATGTCTCTTCCCCCCTGGATATGGGCCGATGGGAAGGAGGAGAAACAAAGACCCAAAAGCAAAAAGATGACATTACATGTCACACAGAGTGGGGATGAAAGGGATAGGGACGCCTTTCGGCCCCGGCGATGTGTAAATAGTTGCATTCCTCTGCAGAACACAACAAGAAACGATTTGCATAGATTGTCATTGTTGCCTAGCCGATGTGGTAAAACCAAGTACATATTCCCTCTCGCCCACCCACCTACCCACTCACATCACTTCCTTCGTCTGCACTGGTTACATTCGTGCGATGGTGATAAAGACATAAATAACAGCAATTCAGACAGCCAACAACATTCCTAATGACAAAGACATAAAGAACAGCAATTCAGACAGCCAACAACACTCCTGAATGGAACAGGGGGGGTCACTCCGTCGCCATAACCCTGCTCTCATACGACAATAGGAGCCCAAGTCCATCAAAAAAACTCGCATTGCGCGCGATGTCAATCCTCCTCAAGTACAAATACCTTCGTTGTCGACTCCTCAACCAGTTCCTCGGCAATGTTTCGCCTTTCCCGAGGCCATCGCCGATATCCTGTCCGCGTACCACGCCAAATGCCTCACGCCCCAGGAGCAGTCCGAGGCCCTCATTCAAATGCTAATCCTTCCAGCAGCCTTCTCTGCACTGGGGCACACGCTTGTCAATGTCTGTTGAACTACCAGATGGAGCCACTGTCTCACCTTTGTGCAAGCTGATTGAACATCTTCAGTTACGTCTCTTCCGCTTCAAGATTCGCTTGGGCGGTGCCGGCAGAAGTCTTGTTTGCTGCCTCTCCCTTTCCGGATCCATAAGTTCCACGCCGTCAAATCCGGACGTGTAGAGTCCGCAGCGCGAGCACGCCACCACCTTTGGTACAGGAGCACTCCCAACAGGGCAGAAATTGATCGCGATAGCGAGGCAGTCAGTCACATTCACCACCGCATGGTACTGTCTCGGGCGCGTAAAGACCAGGTCACCGGATCCAGCAACGTGGATGTCGAACTTGATGCTTTCCGTGGCAAGGACCTCTGGGCTCACCAGCAGTTGGTTGTGAGCTAGCCACTGGTTGCAATCACCCCGTGGCGAATATCGTTCGATGAGCCGCTCGAAGGCTTCATTCGACTCATGTCGAATCAGGATCCAAAGCTTCCACCCGCACAAGACCAGGTTATACGAGCCCCAGTCGGCATCCTCTTTATGGAATGCTGTAGCGGAAGACGCTGTTCCCCAGTACACCCACGGTGTGTTCGCCCCGTGCAACTCGGGGAGTGTCTTGAGAGCACCTGGATGAAGGAGGTCCGCCAGCAGCTTTCCGACAGGGCCAGAAGAGAATTCCGCCGGCCCAGCATAATAGAATTTCCCAACGCCATCAGGTCTTTTGGAGATCAATTTGTCGAGGACTTCAACGCAAGCCTGGTCCGATGGGCGCTCGCTCGGTGGTTGGATTCTTGGGAGGACTCTCCGATCGCGTTTATTCACGAGGTGTACAGCTCCGGCAAGTGTGGACGAGACTACAAACACCATCATCGAGACATGTTTGCCTTCTGTGCCCAACGGCTCCAGCTTGGGTTGAACGACAGATCTGTCCACCGCCGCCCAGATGGACCCTTCGATCCCGACGAGCCCGGTGCACTGTTCGTTCTTCATCAGGTTTGTGATATTCAAAGGCAAGTTCTCTCCCATCTGCTCAAGCGAGAGGAAGAACTTGATTCCCTCTCTTGTCTGCCTCAAGACCGTGAGGGAAGCATCTCGGTGGGGACGAGGAGGTGGAGGGTTTGGACGAGGAGTCTGTGTTCGACGACGCTTTTGCTTTTGAACGGGACTGTCGGCCTGCTGCGGACGCTTGCGAAGAGCACGTCCAGGCTCGGGACCAGGGTGTGGAAGACGGCTTTGGGCTGAAGCGCAACAAACAGACGCGTTAGCATCGTCTCCAGGAGCTGCTTGAGAAGCTTGAAGGGGGAGGGGACAGTGGCTGAGTACCTTCGCTCGACGACTCTAGGGGTTGTACCTGGGGAGACATCTTTCCAAGCACGTTCGCCTTGGCGGTCTGTAACTTCAGTGGAAATGAGGGAAAGGGGTGAGAGAAACAGCGAGAGAGGCGGTGTCGGGGAAGCGCTTCAAGGACTAATCCGAAGCTTGTGTAGTCTGAGTCATGCACGTGATGCCAGCCAGCGTTCCTCGACCGTCTCGTCTTTCTTCTTCCACAGCTTAAGGTCCGACAAAGATTTCACCATCTTCCCGACACGTCGACGAAGTCGAAATCGCTAAGATGACGCCTCAAACTGTGGAGCTGAGCGACTGCCCTGACGAAGCTACACAGAGCATCGCCAAGTATCTTCCACAGGCGGACCTCAACTGCTTCGCGCAGACATACCGGTGAATCGTGCCCGTCTGCTGCCCTCTTCTCTACAAAGAGCCAATGCTCTCGCTCCCGCTCAAAGTGCTTTGTATTGAGGAATGGTTCGCGCACGTGCACATTGCAAAAGCAAGCATGGGACTTGAACAAAAACCGGAGGACCTATCCGCGGAAGAGCGGGAAAAGATTACCATGCACGACATCCGGACCTAGGAGACTTTACAACGTGGGATGGTGTTACATTAAAAGATGGTGCCGTTGTCGGAACCTGGTATTGAATCTGTGGATAGGCTTGAGGGAGGGGGGAATAGGAATCTCAACACCAGCACAACAACAAGCGGGAGTGGGATGCAGCATGATTTACCTGAACGAATGGCTTTTAGTCGAATTAGTGAAACCGCCTGAAGTCGAATTGTCGTCCAGAAAAACGCTCCTTGCCGTCCGTTCAGCCCAGAGTGCCGTATATACACCTGAGGTACCGCCGGATCCCAGGAAGCGCGTACAGCCTCCTCGTGACCCTTAACGCCCGCTGCACACCTTTTTATACATCAGATAATTAAGGTTCAGACGCAGACAGAGAGCAGTGGGATCAGGTCCTGTCTCCCTGCAACTTATGATCCAGCAGCCCCAGCGGGATGAGACATACACCAGGCGATTTGTCTCGTTTCGGCGGATCGAACGGTGCCCATGACCATATAATTATATCAAGGATTGAGGGAGATGCAGGGTGATGTTGGTCCCGGAAGTGGCATAGGGGTGGCTAGCAACCTAAGCTGCGATGCGGAGGTTGTTTTGTTGATATAGCGGCGACGCAGCCAGAGACCCCAGAGCCCCGGGCCCCGAGCCAGAGCCCAGAGTCTGCTACCCGCCCGGACACCGCTACATTTGCGAATCGGACGGACTGCATTGATCTGTCTGGACTGCGAGACCATCTCCAAGGGGTGGTGTAGTTCTATCTATGGCTTCCACCATTTGACATATGAATGAATTGAGGTGGCCCCTTCCCACGGGAAACAGCCCACGGCGGCCTCCTCCTCGGACCCAACGAGGGTCGATTGGCGTAAAGAAGTCTGGTCTGTTACTTGAATTGAACATAGGGCGGAATTAATGCAGTACGTTTTGGCACCCTTGGACTCCGCCGCCAGTGAGGATTCAGCCGCCGGGGGGGTTTCAGATAGGTAGAAAGATCCCAAGAATGAACATATTTATTTGCAGCACGTTCTTTGCACAAAGCTTCTGGATTCTACTACCAGCATCGGCTTTCCCCTGATATGCTCAGTCTTCCTTCCTGGGAGTACGACAGTACACTGTGACTGGCGGGCGCCGCACAGACAAAGCCCTTGAAGACAGACCCACGATCAGATATGGAGGTGGTCTCTATTTGACGGAGTCTTTGCAGCACCCAGTTATCTATGTACATGGCCCTCGTTGTGTGCTTTGAGGTACGTCTGTTCCAAAAAATCTGGAGAGATGACAGACTGCCAGATATCTCGCTTTCCCAGGACTCCCTTTCAGCGGGAGATGCACGGGAGGCCCTTCTCCTGCGTGTGCAGGAGAACGAAGTGACAGTGCTTGCCACGCTGCGTTACCAGGGAGGATGCACACAGAAGGCTGGCTCATCGCCACCGTCCGATGTCTCATGGGTTCGTGACCTGGCCTAGAAACCTCCAGCAAAGGCAAAAGTCCAGTGTAAGACTTTTCCAAGATGTGTCCTCCTCTTTCTGTAATCCCGGCTCTTCAGAATTCACTCCCCCAGTCAACGATTCTGTAGCATTTCCTCGATTGGGAAGGGCAGTGTGGACGATTCGGAGGCTCAGGAATGCTCAGCACCTCTGAACGCCTCTCTAGGATCGTGGGATCTGAGGCTTTTCGTTCGCAGGAAGAGTCGGTTTTGTTAGGGCAGCCGGTCCATGTAATGCTCAAGGCAGTGATCCGTGACAGCGCGGAGGGAAGGGATGCAGCGTCCAATTTGGACCATCGCCTGAGAAGAGATATCAAGGCTCCCGTCCTCAGACGCATTGTAACGCAGTTTATCCAGTAGGCAGGGAAAGGCAGGCATCGTTGAATGGAATTGCATCCGGTCAAACAGAGAGGTGCGTATTTTCGAAAGCAAACTCTTCAAACAAAGCTGCGGCAAGCTGGACGGAGTCAACCTTCGCCGAGCTGAACCGGGGGGCACATAATTTGCCTGCGGCTGTGTGCCCATAACGCTGTATGAGAGACTTTTGGGGGGATGGGCTTAATATGCTTCCACGTTGGTGAAGTAGAGGAGGGTACTAGATATTGTATGCTGCTGCCAGCACAATTCTGTCGAATGAGTTTAAGCGTGCAGCAGAGAGCAACAGGTAGATCTTTATCTATTTCCTGTCCCTATAGGAGGCTTGAAATGGTGTTCGCCATGCTCTCTATCATCTTCCCAGACAATCACAACCCTAGACGTGAACCATCGACAGGCTCTTGTCTTCATCCGCGTGGATTTGACAGACAGAGCACACAGGGCATGGAATAAGTACATGCACGAGTGTTACAGAGCCCGCGTCTGCAGCACGACTCCTGTTGTGCAGCCACCGTGGTTTGCATGTTTGCCATACCCGAGAATGGCTGCGGTTTTCTCCCATCGACCACTGCTGGACAGCTCGTCTGGACTCTTGACGTGTGTGTATGTCCCTCTTCTGCCGCTATTGTATCGTCCTTTCTGTGCATGGTCACAGAGCATGACGTTGTGTTCCTCCTTTTTCAGTCTCCGTCCCTGCTTCACGACTGACCTCCGCAGCCAACGGTGCTTACGGCAGGCCGGCAACCACGGGTCCATACCAGGTATGATAGGACCGAGATCGAGGAATGCGAATTGGAGAGCTTCATTGCGGATGCTGCGGCGGAGGCCCGGCGCTGGCTCGAAGAGAGCGCCGATAGGTTTAATCAGCTCTGGTCAAGTGATTGAGGATGCGTGGCTCGCTGGGAAGTCTCTCGGTGTCATAGGGCTTGGGAGACTGATCGTCTGATAGATATGGGTTAGCTGGGGTTGTTGAGCGGAGGAAAGATATCTGCATACCTTCTGTTGAGCCCAGGTACAGCACCACCGGCGAAGCATTTTTATGGGCGTGTTCACGGTCCATCCTGCTGAGCACTCGCATTTGTTGTCTGCAGCGCCTGAACAACTTCGCCCATGGACCTGACACTGCGATCCCAGTAACCGGCCATTTAATGACCCAGTGGCATTTGGGAGACGTCGAGAAACTGCTTCTGGGTGCATCGCTGTTCGGCCTTGTGTACCCGGCTCTTGCAAGCTTCTAGCTCTTTTCCGCTATCAACGACAAGGGAGCTGTCGATAGTTGTAGTATGCAGTGTGGCAATGTTCGGCATACGAGCGCCTCGGGGCTCAATGATAGCGTCATTGTCAGTACCACTGTATTGCTGATAACTTCTCGTCATCAAGCCTATACAGGACGCTGGACTTGCCGGGTGCCAGGTTCTCAAGTACTTTGAACGAGGAGGTTTCTTGTGGTAAGGCTGAGGTGTGGACGGAGGAGGACAAAGGCATTGCTGTCGATCAGCAAGTTCTCTGCAGCAGATGCAGGACGTGGGCGTGGTGTTTCGAAGGAATGGCCTATTGACTGCGCATGGGAACACAGACACTAAGGCGGGGGAGGGTCAGCGAAGCAGAATCAAGACTGCATGAAAGGATTTGCACTCACACTATCGAATATGAGGAGAGCGATATCTCTGTCCAGACGTGACATGCTATGTCGCTGAGGAGGAGAGCGAGGGTGATCCTTCACGAAAGTATGCTACCACTTGGATCTGCTTTTTGTGTTTTTGATGCCCCCAACCACTCAAATCTCCACTGTATCGACTGCGTTCGGGTATGGTCGACAAAGCATCTGAGAACTTTCATGAGATCGTGAATAATTGTGACCAGATCTTTGACAAGACTCAGCAACTCCTCGAAGGCCTCCACAATATCCCATAGCGGTTGCACCATCTTCTGTCCGCAAGATCGACCTGTCATCTAGGTCACTAAACCTTTGTCAACGCAAGCCAACCCCGGTTTCGGCGATTTCGGGCACCTCTTGACTAGTCGTTTTTCCGTTCGGTGCTTCTCAAGGGAAGCTCGAAGGCAGCGGACCTTGGTGAAAATTACTTTTCCGTACTGGCACATGATGAATGGAGACTGAGGTAAGCTAGGATGGGTTAGCACACGGTACAACGGGGGCGGGAAGTAGAGGGATCGAGCTGGAACTCAACGGTTGAACTGGGATATGAGGTCAATGCCTAGAGGACCTGTTGGAAAACGAACAGTGAACTGTGGCTGCAAAAGACCTCTCTCTCTGAGATGGCTTTGGCTTGCTGATGATGTCTGATTGAGTGAAATAGGCTGCGGATGCAGGATTTGAGAACAATGAGGGTGGACAGATTCCAGCCAACACTCACGGTTGGATTGATTTGAACTGACTTGGGATACTTGGAATGGGGGAGAGTCATAAGGACTCTCTGCTCGACTTAGAACTGCTTGTACTTCGTCCACGATGTCTGGTAGTGGGTGGGATACATAGTCTTGCTGAACATGGACAAGGAATGAGTTGGATTCATGCTTCCATCACTCTTCCCATCTCTTCGTGGGTAACAACGAAGGCCAATTGCACCCTTATCTCTGATGAGCACATGATGAGAAACCCTCCCGGGATACGTTCATCCTTTCCCTTGTCCTGCGAACGCCCCTTGATTGAGCTAATCTCGCTCTCAGCAGCTCTTGTAATATTCTTCGGGTTCCATGCTGTGCCATTCCGCCGTCTACCCGAGTCTGATGTACAGCCTGCTCTTCCATTCCAGGGAGTGTCAGTTTGATGTGTGTCGAGAAGGTCTTGGGGTTGGATAGAGGGGGTTCTCGAGGCCAGGTGCGCTGTCGCAGCTTCGGTGTCAGGTGGTTTGCCTGCCTACTGTTAGAGCGTGCTTCTGGCGTCAACGATAGCAACAGATTCCAATAAGGTGAGCAATATACCTTGACAAGCACACGCCCAGGACGATCTATTCAAGCGTGGGGAAGATGGACGATGCAGAGCGCAGTGAATGTCAACACAATGGCGATGTTGTGGCAGCTGGCGGAGATATTATCTGCGCCACCAAGTCAGCCTGCAAACGCGAGACGAGATACAAGTCCATCACTCCAACCCACATTCTGAGAGAAAATAGAGGCAACCGGCTCGCCTGAGTTGAATTGAGCATGATCAACATCACCCAACATACTCTTGAGAAACACAAGCCCACTGGGGAGCTTGGCCCCCCAGGTCAGAACACCGCAAGAAAAGACTGCCAAATCACAGCCTCTGGGGTTTGGCTTTCCAATCAATTTTCTGGCTCCACGCCCACGACACGTTCGGCTTCCTTGCTTAGCGTCCAGACACCTGCGCGATCACCGGAATATGACTGACTTGGATTTGAGAGATCTTCAGCCAGCTTGACCTCTTTGTGTGGCACACCTTCTACGCCCCTCGTCTGTCCAGGCCACTTACCAATTGCTCATTTTCCGACAATAGGCGATTCCACCTCGTTCGATCCGTCATCGGCTGCTTCTAAGGAGCCTATAAGACCCGGGTCGGTGCTTCTCTCGCCATCATTGGAGATCAAGCCCGCACCTGCAGACCGACTACGTTAGAGCGATCTTGAGAAGGAGGCGTTATATGGCGTAACTCGTCTCGCTTTCCAGCAGTTGACGGTGTGATGGGGAAAGTCAAGTCACGTGCCTGTATATTGTATAGGGAGGAAACGGGGGCTTCTGATTGGTGGGATGAAGTGGAGAACTTTTGCTTTTCTTAAGAGGGAGACGAAGGTGGACGTTGGTGCGATCAATTGACTTAGCAGGCTTGATGGGGGCCAGTGTGGGCGGTTGAGGGCCGATGCAGAGGGGCAAATGGGCCGGCATCCCATGCCTAACTCTAGGCGGGCGACTCTCCCTTTGGGCGGTACTTAGGCACCTAAATAAACTGTGACTATTCTTACATAGAAAGTTAGTGAGAGAGAGTGAGAGAACAGAGTCCTGTAAAGCGGTGGAGACCTCCCCGCAACGCCTAAAGTCTGGTGTTTCTCGGGGCGTTGCATTCACCCCCAGAGGTAGACTTTTAAGCAGAGATTGTCCCTGCCCCCTTCCCCAAACCATGAAAGCCCATGTCGATCAAATGCGCCGCCTAGATGTGCATCCCAAAATTCTTTGCATGCATGCACTCTTCCCCAAAGTTGTTTCTGAGGCCCCCAATATGCATCTACTATCCCCTTCCTCCTTCCCTCTTGCTTGCGCTGCACTCTACGGGCTGGCTGGCGCGCAGGCAGCTGAGCTGATTTGTCGAGGGCGAGGTTGAGCTCGAGATCGAGGGCACAGCCAGCGACGGCGGCGGCACGGGGGTTAGCTGGGTTCGTGGCTTTGTATGTGATTTCCAGTCAGTCAATCACACGAGACGCACGAACATGTCGCTGCTTGTGTTTGCGTCCTGGTGATCAAACGTTGCGGCAGCGCTGAAAAAGAATGCACTACACCCTTCCCTTCTCTCAGCCCACCCTCAACGACGGCCACCAAGGTGGTGAAACACAAACACAACCACAACCACACGAGCTCAACAAATTCGAGTAGAAACCGTTGTCGCGAGGGAGCTGGCGTATGAGGGCTTTCTTCTTGACTCCCCCAACCAAGTAACCACATCACCATGGGTGTTTTTTGGGGGCTTTTCTCTTGCCCCTTTTTCCCTTTTGGTTCCACTAAAGGGGTTCGGGAGAATTCTGGAATCACTCGCAGGCAGCAGAGCTGGGGAGCATGAAATAGGATAAATAGTCTTCTTCATCTAGGTAGATCAATCTCATCAATGAAATCCAGTTCCTTGCATGAATGACACTGACTGATTCACTCACTCAACCCCCTTTACACAGACAGACAAAGGTTGCTGTGCAAAACGCATGCATGCATGCCTTCGCGCGGTTCGCGATGCGTGATACCGACGAGTGATGTCGGGAAAACCCCCGACAACCAGCAGGGGAGAAAGCAAGCAAGCAGACCCGTGTCTGTCATCCATCCCGGACGAGCCCGGTGACCAAAAACTTGGAAGTTGGGACTTATTTGCATGTTGGTCGCACTGAGCTCGATCGCAATCAGACAGACACGCCAGCCAGAATGCTCAGAAAGGGGAAGAGAAAGGCAAAATCGTGTGTCCTCTCTCGCCGGGACATTTGGCGCCGCGCCCGTTGCCCCCGGCTACACCTCCAATATGTGTCCTTTGGGGGCGGTCGGGGAGCGGTCGTGGGCACGTCCGCATGCCTAACACGCCTAGAACTAGACTTGCCAGGCGCAAACATGAGTCGAAGAAGCAGCGCCCATAGCCACCGCGACTGGCTCCCTCCGCCACCGATGTCTCGGGCACCGTGGCTTCTCCCCCGAGGCCCCCAATTCCACCCCCGCCGACACCTAGAGTTCATCACGAGAGCACTACTCTGACTTTTTGCTTGTGTTTTCTTGCACACTCACAATAGGTTGGTTGCCTTGTGGTAGTTAGTCATCACCTCTTGAAACGGTATTCTGGATTGATTGATTTATTGAGTGATTGAGTAGTTACTTGACTGTGCAGGGGGGCTTAATTGGGAGTGGGAGTTAGAACTGTGCTACTCGTCCACCCGCGAATATATCCCTCCCATGTCTCCAGGATGTCATGTCCAAGCACGGCCTCGCTGACAGCAAGACAAGCGCCCCGAAGGGCCGTGTGCAGCATTGATGGGTCGATGAAGATGTCCCAGACACTTCCTCCTTCCTTTGCTCTGAAGCAGACTGTTCCGAAATCCAAAGCAAACAAATTGAGCTATACTCGGACACAGGGCTCGGCTGTTCTGCATGATTTGTCCAAGTAAGCTCCTTTGATAGACGCAATATCTAACCAAACCGTCTATACATCACGTGAAGCTATTATCGATAGCGAAAGTTCTACACTTCGCCCCTGTCATTCTTGTTGTTGTTGTCACAGGCACCCGTAACTCGGAAGCAGCGATCATAGGGTGTTCCTCTGTGGCACTGCGTGGATCAGCTCTGCTGCTGGCCTTGCGTCACCAAAGAACTGCAAGGCATCTTACCTTCTTCTTCCGAGACAAGCAGGACAATGTTGTTGCTATGATGGAGTAGTCAGTTCAGCGGACCTCGAGGCTGAAATTCCGCGGAGGTGACGGTGGGGTTTGGTTGGTGGAGAAATCACGTGCCAAGAGCGCAGGTTTGCTAAAGTTACGAGTCCGACTTGTCCGTAGCTGAAGTCTCTTTGTTAGTTGTAGGTGCAAGTTGTTGAGGGACCCGAAGTTCAGTCCGCGGTGATGGTTGGCATACCGACTCAACCCAATCCTCGTTGTGAGCGAGAAGTTATGTCCCAACATATCATAGCCAATGTTTCCTGCAAAGAACCAGCTTGCGTCTTCTTCTCGTCCTTCGTCCTGCCCTTCCAAGGCTTCACAGCACATTGTAACCCTCGCCCTCGTCTGCTTCTCCGAGACCTTACAGCAGACATCGTCCTTCCTGCGAGCAATTGACCTCCTTCGTCCTTCACGATGCCTTCGGTCTCCCGAGCACCTCACCGCCGCCGAGAATCAGACCCGCCTGCTGCGGTGGCACGTCCCTATACCGCCAACATGGAATCTTACATCCCTTATACTCCGCAATACGACTCTACTCAGGAGCGAAATCACGATATGTCGATCGAGGCACATACCAACCGGGTCCGAACTATTCTGGAGGAGCGGGGACACCTTCTAGACCTGCGTGAACATATCCTGGGGCCACCACAGACGGATGCTACCATGGTGTCTCGGCTGTCGTACAGCCTGGCACTGTTTGAGCAGCATCGCCAGGACACCATGCTGGCCGAACGGCAGTCTCGCGACGAGGTCCGGGGACGCAGTGTGCAGCTCAGAATCGAAAGCGAGAACCTCCAAGACGAGAGTGACAGGCTCGCAGGGCAGGCCGAGAGGCTGAGAATGGAGTTCCAGCGGCTCGACGGCCAGGATGAACAGTTTGCTTTCATGGTACAGTGGATTGCAGACAATTACGCCTTGCACTGCCGAGAGTTGGCAAGAATCAAAAAACGCATGGCAGAGACAAAATCCGCGGCTCCTGTGCCGGAGAAGTAGGATGTGAGCACCCTGCTGCTGGTGCTGCTGGCGACGGAGCCGGGGTGTGCTGCTCACACCGTCTTGGGTTGGTGATGGGAGTGTCACAGAACAGACTTACACGTGGGAATCTTCAAGAGAAATCGTGAGGACGGAGGTACATACTGCAGGTTGGGTGAGCATACAGACTCCAAGAGTTGCCGGGTCAGGTCTGATTTACGGGGGCAGACATATGGTATACAGACAGCGCGCAGATAGATAGACATATGAAAATTAATCTGTGCGACAAACCCCGTCTGAGCTCGATTCTTCTGTTTGCTTTTGCGGTTGAAAATGGCATTCTCCCAACTCAAATCAGAGCGGCGAGGACAGACCGTGGAAGCGAGCCCAGCCCCAATCAATATTCATCCTCTACACGATACTGGCTCGCTCGATCTATCTATCCCTCTCCCTCGACCTTCCAGTCCCAGTGGGCCGGTGGCTGTCGGACCCATGTGGGGCGGGCAGAACAGGATGTGGGCATAAATGGTCTATGCCATGCATGCATGCTTGCTTTCGTCCGTGGCGGTGATTGTTAACGACACCACCCATGCATGGGCCATTGCCAATGCCCAAGTACCAAGATCAAGGTGCTTGACCAGGAAGCAGGTTAGAAACTTCGTTCCCGGACTTGGATGCTTCAAGGAAAGCCTGTGTGCGTGTATTACCTCATTCTGCCTCGTGAATCAACGAACAACCGGGAATAATACGTGGTACAACTTGATGCCTGGAAGCATGTACCGTTCCGCCGTGAACCACCCACGGACCGTAGCACCAGCAACAAAGAACATTGCCGACCTGCGCCTCCTTTTTCTCCTCTACCTTTGCTCCGTTGTGTGTATGTGCATTTCTTTCCCCACTGGCCCCATCTTCTGGCCGTGTTCTGTGTGTTGTATTTCTTTCTTTCTCTCTCTCTCTTCCATGCTCCCACGTGCATGTCGCCTAAGTCGCCGACAGTCGTGGCCATAGTCTCCTCCGACGCGGCCCGCTCGTCGAGGCCGAGTCGGCCGTGATCAGGCCGCGATCAAGAAATGCCGAGCCTAGGAAGCTGTGGTTCGACGCCATGACACCCAGGTAGCGGAGTCGCTCGCCAAAGCACCAGCGCGGCTTGCTTGGGCACAGCCCGGACTCGACGTTAGGGCCGCTGTCGAGCGCGTCTGGGTAGAGGCGAATCTCGCGGCCTCCGTAGATGAACGGGCTGCCGGGGGGCTTGTCGACGTTGGCGGCCAGCAGCGCGGCCGCGCCGTGGCGCGACGTGATGCCGCAGCGTCGGTTTCCTCTGGCCCAGTGCAGGATCTTGCCGACAGCACTCGCGAAGGGCCAGTTGGCCACGACGCCGCGGCCGCCGGGGATGAAGATACCTAGGTACGGTGCTCTCGGGTGAACTCCTTGTCGCTCCGCACCTCTTTATCCAGGTCGCGCGGCGTATAACGCCTGTTCCTGTATCTCTCAAACATGCTGTTGATCGCCGTATCCTGCACGAGGAAAGCCCACTCCTCAAGGCTCACGGGATTCCCATCCCGGTGGCGATATCTCTCTCGAAGCCGGCGACGTGGAAGTGAAGCATCGGAACGAACAGCTCCAGCGGGTTGTTGGCGGTCAAGAAGAGCTTGGTCTCGGTCATCTCGAGATATCTCACCGCTGTGGCGATGACTAGGGCCTTCCACTTACGTCCTCGGTAGGCGTGCGCGTAGTGTGCGCCGAGGAAGACAATGTCCGGCATCGCTTCGCACCTCATGGAGAAAGGCGACGAGGCTCAAAGGTTCGATTGCGTGGAAGCCGGGACGTGGACAGGGGCTCGATCAGACGAGGTGGTCGCCATGGTGGAGGGCTCACAGGTGTGGGTGGCAGATATAACAGTAGAGACGTGTCTTTGACAGAGCGCAGCAGTGTTTGTGCTTGTACATATCGAGATGAAGTTATTCGTCTTGAAGTATTTTTATCCCACTATGCTTTTGAGGTTGGAATAACGTTGAGGCCGTCGATGTGGTTGGTCCAAGCTCCAAGTGGGCCAAGTGCCTGATTGGCCTGGTGGACTGCCATGGTGTCAGGCTGCGGGTCCCTACAGACTTGGCATCAAAACCCTCTCAAGGAGTTAGGATGCTGTGGCCATGGCTTGAACGATATGGAGATCCTGAAGAGAGGTTCCTTTCATGTGTAAATATGTGAGTGGGTGTATTTGGTTGTTAGCCGACACATAGTCGCTGCGAGAGGAATATTCACCCCTTGTGCAAACGTGGCCTGAGCTGACAGAGACTGTGAGAATGGATGGGACACACAAGGAGCCAGCCTCCTGTGGAAGGATCGGTGGACGACAAGGGGTGGGGGAAGCCAAACCACAAATCCTCTTTCAGGACGAGACAGGTGGTGCAACGACAGAACCGCCCCTGGGGTGTCTGCACAGGAGTAAGTCATTTCTCTCTCTACGTGTCCTTGATCGTCGTTGGCTTTTTTTTGATTCTTTTGCCCTGCATATATTATCCGGCTTCGCTCAACAGGAGGAAGTTATCTTTGTTCGCACCATCACCAGCAAGTCCTCTTTGTTTGAAAGTCGACGTTTTGTGGTCTCCTGCACAGCACAATGACCGCCTATTTCCTGCCGGGTGTTGCTATGGTCGTGTGCCTCCTCACAGCTCGGTGCAATTCGTTGCAGCCCTCATGTTCGTTTCCTCTTGCTTCCTTTCTGTGTGATCATCTTCTGTCCCAGCAATGAATCAGTCGCACTTATCCGTTCTCCTTTTTTTGTTGTTTTGTTGGCATCTTGTGTTCAGATTCCACCGAGTACTTCCAAGGTCATTCACTTTCGGCAGAGATGCTTCGCCTCCGAGGTCCCCATCCCGCTCGTCTGCTTGATTGAGTGGGTGTCTCTCTAGGTTGACATGGCAGAGAATCACCCGAGGAGTGCGGCACGCACGTCATCAAAGTTCTTGTCGAAAATCTCAGTGAAAGCCGTGTCGAAAGCCGCGTTGAATGTGTTGGCAAATAGGTGGTCACCTTTCTCCAAGAAGACTTTGCGGAATTCTTCGCCGTACAGCTCGTCGCACGCGCCGAAGAGGAGGGCCCTGTGAACATTTTCGTCGCAATAGTTGCGGATCAGGTTCTCGACAGCACGCAAGTCACGTTCGTGAGTAATACCCCCGCTGGCCGCAATGCAATACCTGACGTGGCGTCGCAACCACTCGCGGGCGCGAGGGACCAACCCGCCGGGGATGCGGCGTACCACCTCCCCACCGATCGTATCCATGAACGTTTCCCGGATGTCGCCCTCAATGTTGGCTTTCACCTCATCGTAGGTCTTATCGAAGAAAAGTTGGCCGATCTCATTGATTCTGGGCCTGTAGATCGGGCTGAACTCGTCGTCAAATCGCTTGATGTGGCGCTCATGGAATGCCTCGTCGAACGCAAGAGCAAACGCCCGGTCAAAATGGGTTGTCAACGCCTCCATGGCTGACTCCATGACATGCACCGCGAGGGACATCTTGCCAGAGTTTTCTTCGTTGGATTCTAGGGATGAGGGCGAAGATATAGGCGAGAAGAGATGTAGGTAGCGTTGAGGGATGAAGGCTCTGAGTAGTAGAGGGTAGGAATGGGTTGGAACTCAAGGTTGATGTCCAAACCTAGTAGAGAAGGGGGAGTAAAGTTTCAAGTTGAAAAGAGTTGTGTTGAAGAGAGGAAGATTTATACTCTGTCACGTGAGAGCAGTAGGTTCAAGTGAGAATCTATCGTGTGTCTCATGCAAGGACAAAGTGAGGTGATATGCAGGCGGTCCTCGGACAAAGTGTGATTTGAGTTCTCACCTGCTCCTTATTTCTTTTCATCGGTAAAGGACAAACAGCGACGGCCCATGAACGGCAGCGACGGACGTCCTTAGAGCTGGAAAGGGAGTCTGTACCTGGGTTCCTGATACAATGGATCTACCCAACAAGCCTTTCCTTGTACGATTCTCCAATCGTGCCGTGTTTGAACTCCGTCACGCGTGATCCTGGGTTGACTGGCTCTTCCAACAGGGTCTGAACTGCGAGGCTGAGCCAGGTACCTGGAATACCTCGTGCTTGGCCATCGGGTCGTTTCAAAAAGTGATGTGGACCGAGAAGACAGGCTCCTCTCAACTACCTAGGTGCCGGGTACAACTTGCGCCAAGGCCAGGCAAAACGCCCAGGAGGTATTTCTCAATACGTGATTCCACCCGGTTCCAATGCCCAATGTTGTACAGGTCCAGCGTTATCATATTGTACTCGTTAATGCAATCCTGCCCTTTTATATACACCTTGTCCATGTTCGCAGCTGGTGGCTGGTGGCTGCTGTGCATATCCACTCAATCTTTCCTCTCGCGTTTGTTTCTGGCCGCTTCTTCTCTTTCTTCGGCGAATTCCAGGACATCGAAGAGCTCTGTGATAGACAGTGTCATGGTGATCGACTTCAGATCCACGCCACGAGGGGTGACTTCAACAGGGCAAAAGTCTTCGAGAGTCAACACAATGCCCGCTTTGCAGTCTGGGTTCTGGTTGCCGTCGTTGTTGCGGATCACCTGGCCAGCAGTCAGGGACAGTCACGAACATGTAGCCAAAGCGGATATAGACCTTACCACTGTCTCATCACGTGTCGCTCCTTGAAACTTTCCGCCGTCGTCGAATATGGCTCTCCAGATGGAGATGTATGCGAGCTTTCCGTTAGGATCCCCCAGGTCGATTGCAAATGCCGTGCGTGTGGCGCCCTGAGTATTCTGGATATACTCCTTGCACTTGGTGTTGACGGATTTGACCGTCTGTGAGCTCCCAACTTCGCCAACCAGAACTGGGACCAAATCGTCACCCATTTGGCTTCGGATGTCGATATCGGGCGAGCGCTTGATTTCACAAGTGCTGGCCGTGGACGGATATTTCATCATGGCGGAGTAAGGAGAACCCAGTGACGAGGCCAGGGAGGCTGCAAAAGGTTGCTTGTGTTTGTGTAACTCGGTGATGAGGATTCGCAGTCGGCGCGCCGTCATTGCGACTATGATGCCGTGCTTCGGGTTTGGTTTTCTGACGGTAAGGACCTCGACATCGGCGTCGTAGTCGTATCTGCCATGTGCAACCAGTCAACCAAAGCTTCACCAGCAGGTGAATGCGTATCCTGGGCATTGAAGGCACTTACCGGAGCCCGAACCCTTCAAAGGCACCTTCACCATGCAGCAACACCTCTAATTGGGCGAACTGGTCGACGGGGAGAGGGAATTCGACGTGAGCAGCCAGGTCGGGATCATCACATCCGCCCGTGAGCCAGACCACAAGCTTTTTCAGATCGGGCTTGAGTTGTCGGTCTAAGTCGTCTGTCTTGACCAGGTCTTGTAGGGGGTAGCCTGGATGGTGGTGACCGCGCCTAGAGCGCCTAAAGCCCATTTTGCTGACAGCATTGCCCATTGTACGTAAAGGGGAGATTGGCGGACGATGAGCAGATCATCAATGAGTGTCACAAGTCTGTTGTGACGACGGTGCTTGGACTGGCGAGTGGTGGTGAAGTCGCAGACAGTTGAGGGACTGGAACTACGACTGTGCACATGAACTGCGCAGATTCACTCCGCCGAAATGGGCAGGTACAGAGAGACTCGCCGTGCGCACCATGGCTTCGGTCGCGCAAGTAGCTATAAAGAAATAGCATCTCAAGAACAGTCCAGGAAACTAATATCAAATACGACTGCGACTATAGCCACATGCCGTACCACCGCATATCACACCACTCCACACCAACACTACATCGAGGAACAATAAATGAATAAATAGGCCGCAAAACAAACAACAGGGCTCAAATGTTCAAGTCTGTCGATTCGATTCGATACGACGCACTCGAGATTTTTCTTCATGGAAGATCCCAGCTGCTTGCTTCGACGGGAAAAAAAAGGACTTGGACTCGGGCTACCCAGCACCAGCACCAACACCAGCAGCACTTGATCCCGCCTCTCTGTGTCTGTGCTTGTTTGCCTCGCTGTTTTGCTCGCAAGGTCTACTGTGCTACTATATCACGTACCCACCCACGCACCAAAGGGAACGATCCGTACAACCCGCACGCCTTAGCCAGGGGAGGGGTTAGGAAGACGTTGTTCCACCCTCTGTATATTCCAATCAACCGCCTCACAATAGCCTCGGAACACAGTCTGGGGATTTCATTCATCAGTGTAAGTGTGTTGGAGAACATCTGAGTTGGAGAATTCTCTGCCATGGCTTGTCGCCCTCCTCCGCCCGCGTTCCCCGCATTTGTGTGTGTACCGAATACCCGAACCCAGCAAGCATTTATATCCCCTCTGCTGCTCGCGGAGATCGAATGGATGTGAATGGGGGTCCGCATCCATTACACTTCCAAAAATAACACGCAATAATGGTGGTCGCAACCGTCACAGGGTCATCCCGGGGAATCGGAAGAGCGATAGCGCTGCAGCTGGCGGACGATGGCATGGATATTGCCGTGAGGACCAAGATCTGACCAGCATTCCTCCTTACTGACCTGTGTCGATAGTTGAATGATGTCCAGGCTCAGCTCTCAGAGCTCCAAGCTGTCAAAGCCGAGATTGAGAAAAAGGGTGAGGCGAGTACTCCCGTGCAGCCAGGCTCTAACACTGATTCTGTACTTCAGGACGCAAGGCTGCCACCTTTGTCGCCGATGTCAGCAACGAGGAACAGGTCGAGAAGATGATTGTCGACATTGTCGCCGAGTTCGGGGAACTGAATGTATCATCTCCCCATATCGTCCCACCATTGTTTTTCTGCTGTTGATCCTATGGCCAGGTCATGGTCGCGAATGCCGGCATTTTCATCCCCAAGTCCATCTTGGAAGTCAGCGTCGCAGAATGGGACAGGATCATGGCCGTGAGCGAGTCCCTCGAAACAGCTGTCACCGTCGCCCACCCAATTGACCGCGGTCTTACAGATCAATGTGAGGGGAGTATACCTGTGCTATCGTGAAGCCGGTAAGAGACACTCATCGTCTGAAGCCTTGTTTAGAGTGGCCAGCATCTCACAATATCCAGCCAAGCAGATGATCAAACAAGGAAAAGGCGGCAAGATGGTGGCGGCTTGTTCAACTGCAGGATACCGTCCGGTAAGAACGAAATGGTCCCGAATCTGTTCTGATCAACACGAAATGGGCTCTCTGATTCGATCTTCTCTGGCGCTCAGTCCGCAAGCCACAGTGCTGCGTACACAACGAGCAAGTGGGCCGTTCGTGGACTCACGCAGACGGCCGCCGTGGAGTTTGCCAAATATGATATCAACGTGAGCGTCTCCGCGGTGCTGTCAATCAGGGGGTGATGAACTGACCTGCATCCAGGTGAACGGTTTGTTGTACAACGGCCTAGCTATTGCTTCTTGCTGACCGCCGCCGGCAAAAAAAAATAGCATACTGTCCGGGACCCGTCGACACCGATGTGAGGAAACCCCTTCAGCAGCTCGAGCTTTTGACTTCCGTGCTGCAGTTTGACTAATTCATTGTCAGATGTGGAAAATCATCGATGCCGACATCGCGGCGCGCGAAGGCCTCGAGAAGGGCGTGGCGTTCAAGAGATCTGTCGAGGCACGAGCAGCGCTCAAGCGCGCACAGGTGAGGCCCGAGCATACACATATTTGCCCTCCAGGCCGCCGGACAATGCTAAGTACCCACGTCCGCAACCGCGGCTTAGGACCCCGAGGACCTCGCGAACCTGGTCAGTTTCCTAGTCAGTTCCAAGGCGAGGAACATCACTGGGCAGAGCGTCCTGTGCGACGGTGGTGAGATACATCCATCCCCCTTCCCTCACGCCCACTCCTTGAGTGTGACCGCGCCCAGATGTGTGATCGGGCAGAGCTGATATTTTTCGGTTCACCACCAGGAATTGCATTCTCGTAGTCGAGCGGGATGCCAATGTATAGGATGTGTGAGCGTTGTGGGTAATCTGGGCACACTCGCTTCCACGCATCAGGGTCCTCCCACGGGAGACAGGAGGAGTGGGACCCTTGGGGAGGGAGGGGGCCTGCTCGTTTGATTTGCAGTGAAATGGACAGTCAGTGGAAGAGGCCAGAAGATAAAAATGAAAAAACCTTGTTCCTCCTACCGAAAATTTTGCTAAACAAACATCACTCTTCTTTCTTATGCACAGCGCAGCGGCGAAGAATCTCAATCTCTTTCTCCAGAACCGAAACGATCTAATTTGAATTACAGGTAACATCTCTTTAACTTTTCTGATACTGTACCAGGATTCGATAGGTAGTTGGCATGCCCGTTTGCGAGAACGCGCAAGGGGCCTGTTCCGCGGGTCGGTTGCTGAGAAGGGTTTTCAGGTTGAGGCACTGACTATACGACGACCATCACAAACACAAAAATGGCCCAAATGACCATGCGTGATCGTGTTGGGTGGCCACAGTCTCTTTGGAAACGAGGAACAATGAGGAATAGAAGGTCTCGGGTGCGACTGGCACTCTCTCTATTCTCTGTGAAGCAGGGCTCAATGTGGATCTATCACTCGCTGCTGATCGTGTTGCTGGTTCTCTATCAAACCCAGTGCCCTCCAAAGAGGGGGAGATACCCTAGTACAGAGTTGTGGCTGTACTAGCCACTACGGCTGTTGTAGCTCATTACAATATAACAATATAAAAGGCGCAATTAGCAATAACATACAACAAGAACTTACAGACAAGAACGTGCAACAACATGCAATACGCAACAAGTATGGCACGGCAGCAAAAATATCCAACGACACATCCCCGTCTGTTTGTCTGCCTCCGGGGGACTGACGTTCGTGGTTCCTCACGGGCTTGTCTCTGGTCTCTCTTCTGTGGGGACATTCCTACTACTCCAACATGCTGGGTCAGTGATGTAGGCTGGTTGTTGTGTGCATTAAGGGGGAGCTTTATTCACTCATGCATGCATTGATGCTTTCATCGGGGAAAAGGGGCGTGGTTTCACGCAACACGCAAGCCCGTGCTTGGGAAGTCTTCTCTTTCCTGCTGGCTTCTGCGCTGGCTGATTGGGAGAGAGCTGGCGAACTATATTCCGACTATACGGAGCCGTATCTCGGTCCCGGAGTTGGTCCCGGTGGCATCCAAGCTGTAGCATCCGCTGGACGTGGTCTGTGGAAAAGCGTGAACTGTTTACAGTATTTCACGGGACGACGACAATGCTTGGAAGGTATGGGCTGACTAGCAACAGAAACGACGTATGCAAAAGCTATCAAACGTTTTGATCGTGCAATGAGACAGTTTCCGAGGATGAATGGTATTTATACTTGGTCTTTTTCAGCGAGAGAATTTCTGGTCATGTCGCAATATCAATCCCCGTACACCTTCCACTTCAGCAGCAAGAGTAAGCAGTGTCTGAAACTGAAATGTCGAATTCGATGCCTTCCATTCCCTGTAGTAAAGACGGAGAACGGCTGCATGTCGCGGTCCTTAACCACCGTGGGAAACAAATAGAAGCCAAAAGGTAGTTGTTCTGGGACGACGTCCATAACTCAGCCTGTTAGCTATGAGCCTAAGGATAAGATTCTCCGAAGGGAACTTCAGGTAGCTGAAGGTGTGTCCTAGGTCTGCTGTTTGTCCGTCAGTAATGAATGTGCTGTGTGCTGTGTGGTGGGTGGTCGCAGCGTACGTACCCAAAACCATGGATGACGAGAAGCTTTGAGAGCCTGAAGATGCAGCTTCATCGCATCGAAGATATCCTTAATTGTCTCTCGCAAGATGAAGAACCTCTTTGGCTGCCCAGGGCGTGGAACTCGGACAGCTATGGCTGAGCCTCCAAGGTTGATTAGGTCTACCCAAAGCTGCTCCGTATAATCCGCGTAGGACCATTTCCATCTCTGAAGCCATGTCTGGCGATGAGGAGGAAGCTGAAGCATGTTCGTACGGCGTACAGACCCTCCATTGTAAAGTTGTTGAAGGTTCCGAGAGGGGGGCTGATTAATGTCCAGACGAATATTCCTCACACCTGGAATCTGGAAGTGGGCGTCCTCGAGAGGATCTCTCGCGTACATATCTCTCCCTCCAAAAGATCGCCACGTCTCCACTTGGAGTATGATTTGTCCAGGAAAGTCAGTCAAGGCCCGCACGCGCAGATCAGTGGCGCAGTAGCCGCAGTTGACTAGATCCTCACACAGTGGGTTTGGCACGCCGAGACGCAGTTGGCGCACGGCCTCCAGAATAATTGCAGGGAGGGCGGTTCTTAGGTGAATGCAGCCGATGCCGTTAAACTTGCCCATTTCACGCATGAGCGCGTACTCCCAAGAGCGGTCATAGTATCCTTCTTCGGGATCGATGGAAAACGTAGGAATAGGAGCGGTCAGGCTGTAGACGCCATGGAGGAGAAGCCGACCCTGCTGGATCCGAGCATCGAGGACTCTGGCAACTTTTCTGCCCCGGGTCCGGAACCATCCGCCGTCCTTGTCACAGCTGTGGGCGAGCTCGTAGAGCTGGGGACCATACTCTGGGCCCAGTTCATGTCCCCGTACAAAGAGGTCCACCATTTCTCGAGAGATAAATCCTGGCTCGTGGGCGTAGCACCAGATGGGATCAAAATCGAAGAACGGATGGTTGGAGTGGTTTGGACAGCGCCAGCGTGATTTTTCTCTCCAGTCAAACAGTATTTCGCAGCTGTAGCATACCACCATCTGTGGCAGATCTTTCTCCAATAAGCGAATGAAGACAGACCTCTCATCGGGGAAGCCTTCCATTCTGAGCTCAAAGCCGGGGGATAGAGTGTTGTAAAGGTATTTTGAGGTCAGCATGAGGCATGCGAGAGCGCTCCGTGGTAGCAATGTGACTATTGTCAGCAGAATCTCTGCCGGCAAGAGGTTGAAGACTGATGGCACGCTGTCCGGGCCAGGACTGAGGCATAGCTGCCGGATATTGGATGGCGTCGACTTTTGTTTGAAGACAGAGAGAATACTGTCCACGGAGCGGATGGGACGCATTCTGGACAGGACTGCGTATTCGGGGAGGGTATGTCCGACGTCAGAGGTTCGTGGAAGGCAAATCCATGCGCAATGGAGAGAGCAATCCTATCTCGAAAGGTCAGACTGCAATGGATGGAGGGATGAATGAACGAACTGAGAACGTGTTGGGCGAAGTTGCAGTAATTTCAGGCCAAATCTTTTCACTCTTGGTGTCCATGCGAGGTAGCAGGGAGAGTAAATGCGCATTGACATGACGAAGAGCCGGCAAGATTCACCCAGGCAGGCAAGCAGGAGGGATGTCTTGATCTCTGGACTTGGGAGTGGTGAGGAAAGGGCTCATGAAGCTCGAGAGAAGAGTGAACGGCGGATGTTGCCTGATTACCCAATGCCTTCTTCGTGTGCTAGAAATTGCCCAATTGCCACGATATCACGGCTGTTAAGGCCCAAGGGCGCCTAGAGCCCCCTACAACCCAGGATGAACTCCGAGGGTGGACACGCTGGAACCGGCAGATAGCCCGCCCCTCGTGGTGATGTGTACTTGGACAGAGAAGTTTGGAGCCTGGTAGCCACGGGCAAACACACATCCCCTCAAACAAAAGCCCCTGATTCCCATTCTCCAATTTGTGTTCCCATGAGATCGAGACTTTCTCACGCATTTTGTGCCTCCTGATGTCTAGCCGGAGCGCTGAAGAAAGACATGCTCACGGAAAAGCAGCCTGGACCATTCGGTAGGATATAATCTGTGGTGTGTACTTTTGAGCTCTGAGCCGGGAACCTGGAGCGTCAGATTCTCGGCGTGTTTTTCAAGAACCAATTACACTGGCCCCGTGAGGAAGATCACGCGAATACTCACAGAAGTGATATGTCATGTGTGGATTGTTTAGTTGGGTCCGTTGTCTCATGCTCAGGATACAAAAGAAAGTGATGTCTGCCTAGAATCTCCAACACCATCCCACCGCGTATAATAATAAGGCTTCAAAGGGCCTCTGCCCCCTGCCCCTGCAGGGGTTCAGGGTGCTATCATCATGAGATGTAAAAGGGAATGTACTTTGTAACAGCACCGTGCCTCTTGTAACCCTACTGTTGTTGCGTACCATGTGTATTGTAAAAGTGAACGGTTGTTTCCTCTCCGGCTGTCCTCAAGCTTCAAAGCTTCACTCCTTGCTCTGGCTGAACTATGCAGGTGCAGCGAGCGAAGACCGACTTTCGAACGGCCACTCAGACTCCGAATCGGGAGTTCCTTCATCATCATCAGATGAGCTCTCCTCGTGGTTGTCTTCCAAATCATCACCAAAATCAGCCTGCTCGAGGACCGAACCAAGCTCGCGCACCGACAATTCAATTTCACGATGATGGAGGAAAGGAGGAACATGTTCTTGTTCCGCAAAGTCCAACACGCAAATCTTCAGAGGCTCACCAGCAACGATGAGGCCACTGTCGTCTCGGATCTCCTGTACGGAAACGTAAGTAACTGTTGACGAGTTGGTTGCAATATACTGACTTGAGTACGATAAATCAGTCCCAGACCAGTGGGATCGGTATAGTCTCGTCTCCAAGTGCGGAGGGTGACGGCCCAGCTGCGGCGTCGGTCATAGTCAAGGCTGATGAATAAGGAAACCTTGCGCCGGCTATGCAGGATGTAGAACTCAGCCAGGTCCTGAATGGAGTCTCGCTTCCCTGCAAAGGTAATCTCGACACAGACACCAGATCTGGGTGGGGAAACATGGGTGAAATAAATGTCTGGTTGATGGGAATCACATCCTGAAGGGGTTTCGGCTTTTGATTGAGGCGGGCATGTAGCTAGAATCCTTCTTGCAAACGTTCTGACTCCGTACGCCCTGCACAGTCTGTACAGCTTCTTCACAATGACCCGAAGAAAGGAACGTCTCAGCACGTCATGATAGCGTGAAGAAATCTGGAGAACGAATGTGTGGTTGTGAGAGAAGTAATTATACCTAGACCTCGGTGTCAGCAAGGTCGAGTCGAGTCGCATCCTTCATCTCAAACATACCGAAGTGGCCCGTTCAGTGTGGTGAGATACTGGTTGACGACGAGCCAGAGATTTGGTGACATGGGATAAGTCTTCCACAACGAAGATTCCCTGGTTCCTTCGGCTAGCTGCGTGTGGAGGTCGTCGACAATAGCCTTCATTTCGACCTCCAAGTCGAGGGGAACATTGATCAATTGGGTATCCATGGCCGAAGAACGGCTGCAACAGTCGTCCAGGTGGACTTATGAGAGAAACGAAGATTGCACTGAGAGATAGGCGATACTGGAGTAAGACTTTGTTTGAGAGAGAAGGGGGTGGGTGAGGTAGAGTCGAAGTGAGTGGTGGATGAGAAGGTGAGGGCCCTGTGTAGGGAAAACCGAATGGAAGGGAAATCATCCTGCCTTGACGAGGAAGGAAAGCCAGGAGAACTGACACTGTCGACATCAGCTCTTCTATCTGGTTCCCTCTGCAGTTGCCTGCTCAGACACAGCAATATAACTTAAATTTGTATACTTTAGCAACTGCATCCTCATCATACGCATTGGAAGTCTTGGCTCGGAAAAACCTGCCTTGCGTCTCCGCACCGTGAGTCGCTGGTCGGCAAACTTGCCTCGGGCTTCTCCGCACCGCCAGTCTAGCTGCGCCACCTGCGCCATCTGCGCCAAATATCCTGCCTCGGATTGTTTTTTTTCCTTGCACATTGTTTACTCGACGCCGGCCTCACAGCCCATCAACCATGGCTTGAGAAGACCTGGCCTCCGACATCTGGTGGAGGTGGCTTTGTTCCCAAGGTGTGCTCTTCTCTATCTCTCTGCTACAAATGCCTCCTGCGTCTCGGGGATCTATCCCGAGCGGCATCCGTCATGCGGCCATGCTCTGCGGTCCTCCCTCAAACCTCTATCGATACCAACCTCTCGCCCGACACCGTCGCACGATCACTCTTCCCAATAGAAGTGCACTGAAGGCAGCGATAGCGTACAATGGGCAAAAGAGCGGGAATACAACGGGTCCGGAGCCAGGATCAAAAAAGCCAGGAAATCCATACAAGTCGTCTACTTTCGTCCCGTCCTTTATCAGGAGCTGGACATGGCGGCTCTTCGTCATTGCCCCGCCCCTCATGGTCCTCTTCATGTCGTTGCCTTACACAATCATGCGGGTGCAGGGCGCTTCCATGGCCCCTTTCTTCAATATCTCCTCCTCCCCGGACCTCCCGCCAGCCGCGCCAGACATCATCCTCGTGAAGAAAGTTAAGGGTATTGGATTGTTGTCAAGATTGATGGGGGACCGATCGACCCGACTGAAGCTTGAAAGAGGTCAAATCGTGGTTTTCTACGCCCCCCATGACCCCGCAAAACTGGCAGTCAAGCGGGTTATTGGCATTCCCGGGGACAGGATCAAACCTCTTCCCGGGTATCCTGGTGGCGCTGACTCTGTGATAATACCATACAACCACATCTGGGTGGAAGGGGATGCAAACAGCCGCGAAAGGTCCATGGATTCAAATTACTTCGGTCCCCTGAGTCAGAACATGGTGTTCGGTCTGGTGACCGCAGTTCTCACGCCTTGGACTTCCCCGGTGTCTATGAGGTGGGACGAACATGATTATCCCGCCAAAACCAGCGGGAGGCTGGAAAAGGACGTGGTGCAGCATGCCAAGCTGGATCCGGACGTGGAGGCCTCGCAACAAGATGACCCTTTTGCGGATGGCCGAGCTGCGATTGAGTTGGCTATGATGCGGCAGAACCGAGATCAACTGATCACCTTGATGAGAGACAAGTCGAAATCGGACCGACTGAAGAAGATGTATGAGAGAGCAAAGACAGAGTTGCACCAGGGTACCAATGAGTCGAAAGAGGTTGCGAGCGGTTTCGTGGAAGAACTGCAGGTCCTGTTTGAAAGTGTGGGCTTGAACAAGGATGGAAGTCCGATTCCTCCGGCACTTAGGACCTTGACGCAGGATGGACAGGAGGAGGACTTCGAAAAGCAGAAAAGGCTGAAGGAATACCTGGCTAGACAGCAGCAGGTTTCGAACGAAAGTGTCAAGCCTCAGTCTCAAACTTTGACATTGACGAGATAGATATTGCATGACCACAGCTTCATCTCTTTGTCCTGCCCATCGGCTCGAAAAATCTACACTTACTTGGTCATGTAGGCGGATAGTGGTGATGAACCGCACCTATGAGCCCGTCCGCATTGCTTGCAGGGCCCTGTTTGCCCAGCCTGTTGGTCTGATGTGGTCTGGGGCGGAGGGAAGGCATTTTCTGCCAGTCCTGGTTGCGCGGGTTGGGCCTGGGCGCCGCAGGGTGAAGTAGCCCCAGGGTGTCGGCGGCGTTGGTAAGGTCAGAATCTGGATGGAGTTCAGGCCGACAAGCTATGAACACTCCAGGCCTCCAGGCAATAAGGTTTCATCGTAGACAGCGGCTTCAAAGCAGCATTCAAGGCGCAAATGTGAAGGAAGTTTAGGCGAGGCTGCATCAAAGCCTCACCGGGTCCGATTGGTCGACGCACCTTCACGTGACTGCGGAAAAATTTTTTCAAATTTTTGTTATAGCGAACAACTCGGGCGACGTAACTCGTCAAATCGAGCACACTGCGCCTTTCGCGCTACATCCTCAATGAACTCTACCATCCTGCCGTGTTGCTATGGCGGTTACGATTCGCTCGGCCACCAAAGATGACCTACCTCAGATCCGGGAGATCTTCGAGCATTACGTGCTGAACACGGTTGTTTCGTTCCTGGTACAGAAGCCGCCGTCGAACTACGTTACCTCTCGATTCCAGGAAAGCTGCGCTCGTAATCTTCCATATCTAGTTGCCGTCGATGATCAGGGCCACGTCTTTGGCTATGCATATGCGTCAGCCTTCCGTGGCTTCATGCTCGGATATGGACACACGGTCGAAATCAGCCTCTTTTGCCACCCGCAGCACACGAACAAGGGCATCGGAAGCCAGATGATCAGGCAGCTTATCGCGTTGCTCCGTACCACTAAACACCTGACCCGCGAGGCCGGTCACGAAGACAGTCCTGTCGAATCCGACGTGAAGAAAGTGATGGCTATCATGGCTGTCGACGAGACCGCACCTGGACAGGGTTTGGCGCTGCGAGACTGGTATAAGAGATGGGGATTTCAAGAGGTGGGTAGATTACAAGGAGTTGGTTTCAAGAAGGACAGAATGTATGAAATACACTCAAGAAGAACGCACATGCTGACAAGCTCCGTGGCCAGACTTGACACTATATACCTAGAGTTGCATTTGCAGTGACAGGGACAGTCAATGTTTCTTTGAACCCACGCCGATAGCCTCCCTCTTCCTGTTCACGTCCCCGATCAACTTTTCCCAGATCCCCGAGCATTTGACGCTAGGCGAAAGAGACGGTGGCGGCGCAGGAATGAACTCAGTGGCGCACGTTGAGTGAACTCTATGCAAGGCATCACGAGAAAATGCATGGTCATCCTGATTCCAGGAGAAGGAAAGCATTCTCCAGACAACCCGCTCTGTTGGCGATGTTCTGACAAAATCTCGGTTTTGGCCTTTGGTCTCATACCATCTGAGACAAAGGGATTGTCGCCATGACTTGTGGAAGCGATTGTTGGACTGCATGGCCCGGCTTCAACAGCACAGGGTGTCTGCCCTCAGAACCCGGCGGCACGCACCTCTCAACCCTTCCATCAGACGTTGTGTTTGTGACTGTTCTTAGACGGTCAATTCGGGCCCAACAAGCTAATGGTATACATTTTCAGGCCACTTTGTAGATGCTCGACCTTGAATGGCCAGTGCAACCGCCGGAACGGATTAACATATTGCCGGGCCTTTACACCGTCCTACCTCATGTCTACCCTGCTGCCTAAATTGTGTCACTCTTGACTCACTTGGCATTGATCTCTAACTTCAATCTTGTGGAGGCTAAGGCGAGACTCTTCCCACTTGAGTGCTACTATGTGATACTGAGCCACAGTTAGCTGCGCCTTGAGTGAATAGTCACTTGGCTAACCGCTTGTCACACCTCGCCTGGCTGCCTGCCTTGCGTGTGGCATCTTTGGTTGATCAACAAGCCATAAAAGCTACCATCATCCGTCTCTCTCTCTCTCTTTGCCTATCTTCATTCCCTTACAACCTTTTCCATCTCCATTTTCCAGAACACTTACATCTCATCAGTCACAAATCTTGCTATCTCATCACCCGACAACTCTTTAAATCTCCCAACACTGACAACCTTCCCACCATGCCGTCGCCGTTTGGCCTTGAGCAGCGGCTGTGCGGGTGTTGGATCCCTGTCAAGAACAATGTGGTCGAGAGAAAATATCTTCCTCAAGTCGAATTGTCCTCTCACACGCACATCGTGCAGGCAATGTCGCGTACCAAATTGAAACAGCTCTTTGTCAACAATGAAGACCACAACCTCAATGATGTTTGCTATACGTTTCCTCTCTACGACGGGGTCAGCGTGGTTAGCTTCACATGCACCGTCGGCTCCAAGACCATCGTCGGTGTAGTCAAAGAGAAACAGCAAGCAAAAGCAGAATACAATGAGGCGGTGGCGCGAGGCAAAACAGCAGGTCTCTTCGAGCAGCTGTATGAAGCCTCTGATGTCTTCACCACGTCAGTCGGCAATATCCCTGCCAAAGAGATGTTCTGCGTCGAAATCGAGTATCTCGGCGAGCTCAAACACGATGCCGAGACCAATGGCACCCGTTTCACCATTCCAACCACGATCGCGCCTCGCTATGGGTCACTGTCGAGTGATTCTGCGGATGCCATCTCCCGCGCCAGCGTTGGTAGAGCTCGCATCGCCATCCGCGTGGATGTGAGACTTCCAACGGGGGGCATCGTCCAGGGCATGCAGTCCCCAAGTCATCCAATCGCCGTCACCATGGGTCGTACCTCCGCCATGTCGCAGGATACTTACAAGAGCAATCACGCTTCGGCAACTTTGACACTTGGTACCACCAGACTCGACAAAGATTTTGTCCTCATTGTTCTGGCCAAAGACGCTGAGATTCCGTGTGCTTTGCTCGAGACTCGCTCAAGCATTCCGCTGCAGCGCGCCCTCATGACCACGCTGGTTCCAAAATTCAGCCTCCCCAACATCTCGCCGGAGATTGTCTTCATCATTGACAGAAGTGGAAGCATGGCGGGAAAGATGGAACTTGTGGTTTCCGCCATGAAAATCTTCCTGAAGTCTCTTCCCCTGGGGGTAAAGTTCAACATTTGTTCCTTTGGGTCATCGTACTCCTTCCTCTTCGACAAGAGTGTCACGTACGACCAGTCCAACCTCAAGATGGCTCTTAGCCATCTGGAGACATTCGACGCGTCCTATGGCGGCACGGAAATGCTGGAGCCAATCAAGAGGGCAGTTGCAAACCGCTTCCAGGATCTTCCGCTTGAGGTCCTGGTGCTTACAGATGGCGAAATCTGGAATCAAACCGCCTTGTTCGCTTTTGTGAAGGAGACGTCCAACGCTCGCTTCTTTTCTTTGGGTATCGGTCACGATGCTTCGACTGCTCTTGTGGAGGGCATCGCCCGGGCCGGTAATGGATTTGCGCAGTTCGTCGCTCCAGACGAGAAGATGGACAAGCGGGTTGTTCGCATGTTGAAAGGTGCTCTTACGCCTCACGTTTCTGACTATACGCTCGAGGTCAAATTTTCTGGCGAACACGCGGGATCCGAAGACGACGACTTCGAGATTGTGGATCGCGAGAACGACCAAGTTGAGAATGATGTCGTGCCTGACGCGCAGAAAGCAGAATCCAAGGAACCCATTTCCCTCTTCGACCCCAATGCAGCCGAGGAGCCAACCAATCCTCCTGCCGGCCGCTATGATAATCTGCCAGCCGTCCGAACCCCGAAGACAGTTCAGGCGCCTCACAAGATCCCGGCACTGTTTCCGTTCAATCGCACCACTGTCTACCTCATGTTGGGCCCCGATACATCTCACAAGACGCCCAAATCAGTTGTGCTTAACGGCACCAGTGCGTATGGCCCTCTCAAACTAGAAATCCCGATCGAGGACATCGGCGCCGGCGAGAGCATTCACCAAATGGCGGCCAAGAAAGCAATGCTCGAGCTCGAAGAAGGACGTGGTTGGATTGACGAAGCGCGAAACTCCGACGGCCAACTTTTGAAGACTGTTCATGAAGGGAAATGGGATCTCATCGTTGAGCGAGAAGCCGTTCGCTTGGGTGTCAATTATCAGGTCGGAGGCAAGTGGTGCTCATTCCTTGCTGTGGAGAGCAGCGGCGCTGCTCCCAATTTCGTACCCAAATCGGCCCGTTATGGCTACGAAGGTGACGGGACTGCAATGCGGTTTTCAGATGTCCGTCCCTCCTCCATTCCTCAAGCAGCGTTTCCCGCACCCCCGAAAGCTCGGGCTCCAAATTCCGGTCTCTTTACTTTAGGAGGACCTCCCCCTGCACCGCCGCAGGCTCCAAGTCCAGGATTCTTCGGTTCCAGTTTTGGGTCTCGAGGAGGTGGAGCGTTGTCCGCAAACTTTGCTCGAGCTCCAGTAATAGCGAAGAGACATAGGGGCGGATTTCGTACATCGGGATCTGGGGCGGGTAGCTCCCTTGCTAAGAAAGACCTTCGCGGAGAAGCTGACGACCGCAAGGAAGTGGTCGACATCTCTAAGCTCGGTGGCGTAGAAAAGATGCATCGGATAATTGATTTGGTCGAATTTGACGGGTCGTGGTCTGCGTCGAAGGATCTTCTCTCCATCCTTGGACTCGACCATTCCGAATTCAATGCTATCAAGGCGGCGAACAACACCTTGGAGGTTTCTGTCATAGCTACGGCGCTGGCAGTCGCTTGGTTGAATGAGCACGTTTTGTCAGAGAAGGATGTCTGGGAGATGGTAGCCGACAAGGCGATGGAATGGCTAGCCACACGATTTGGAGGTGAACATGATGCACAGCTGACTGTTGAGGCGTTTCAACGAGTTTTCTGAAGAACCACGAATTTCGCGCCCATGATGCATACCAATTAAACACCAAAGGCATAGGAGATAATTGGCTCAACAACGGTCCTTGGTTCGGGAAAACGGAGAAGGCAAAATGAACATCAAATGTGGCTGGTCATTGTATCAACAATAAGGCATGGCTTGAAAGACCGGAGCATATCAGACATTAACATGGACTTGGAGGGTGGACAGACATCATGGGAATTGCTCTTTGCTGCGAAATAATGCGCTGACGCGGCGAGTTCTTTTGGCGGAACCTGGAACATCACATTTCAACATGCTCTCAGTGCGAAAAAACATGAGTCTGAGCTGGAATCATTTATGTAGCTAGCTGGGTGGATTTGACGGGGCAGGCTTGCGGACATTTGTCTGCTTGGAGGCGCCAGCATCTTCCACCTTTAGCACAAATCACACAACTTTATATGGGCCAATTGTTCTCGATTCCTATCAAAATGAAGCCGTGGCTTCGAGTGTCTAGTATGCAAGATAACAATAACCCAGAAGACGACCCGTATAATCAAATACAAACACTATCCAGACGTGATAGGATGGCAACCCAATCAAGCCGTTGCCCTGCCCGCCAAACATGCTCGGGACAAGGACCCCCGGCTTCGACTACAGAAAAAGGCAATATCCTGGGAGAAGGGTATCATTACGTCTACTGGCTTGAGTTTGGGCCATAATTGGTTCGCAGAGTGTCGAAATCGGATGCGAAAAAAAACAACACATCCAGCAAAAAAAAGTGCAAGAAAAGGTCTAACTGGGATTCGAACCCAGAATCGCTTGATTCGTAGTCAAGCGCGATACCATTTCGCCATTAGACCTTGGGAAACATCAAGGCACATTGCTCAAACCATGAGACTTTGTGAGTGGGTGTTTCAATGACAGAAATTTGGGTTTATAACATATAAATGTGCATTATTTGTGGCAGAAAACTTTTGCCTCGGCTCCTGGACTTGCCCCGTGACAAGCAAACTACACCTAAACCAAAACAAAAAAAGCTTCTCCAAGAATCTCAAGATTCTCAACTTTCCCTCCGAGCAAGCAGGGAGACTCGCCGCCGCGACCGCCTTCTGTCCTGAGAGAGAAAGTGCTGCGCATCTGCAACTTGATGAAGAAAATGCTCCGAAATGGCTTCAGAGTCCAGCCTGACTGACTGGCCGGTTCGCAGCACGACACCCACTGATGACCATGACGCTGTGGGTGCGCAAATTGACTGCGCAATCCAGCCATTGTTCCTCCTTTTTTCCTTTCTTCCTGACGAGACTTCCTACTTGCAGGGTTCTCAGTTCCTGGCTATCGGTGGGCAGGTGAGTGGATTCCATTTCACGCAGGCCATTATTCCAGTCGAAAAGGAGTGTTCAGTTGTTGTGCATGCCTCCCCGACGCAGCCACGCGCCGTGCAGCGAATTCTCTCGTTGTTTGTTTCCCTCCCCCTCTCTCTGTGCCTCGAGATTTACTAATAACATGCAGACTGCACACAGACCATCTACTTGGAGATGGCCTTCGCTTGCTTGCCTTCCCTCTCTTGTTGACCCCGACACCACGACGCGCCCGATTCAAAGATGACTCTACGATGCTGCTAGAAAGAGACGGTCGGGGTGCCGCAGTCACGGCTGCCAGTGCGTTGGTGGGACATGGTACGCTTGGGCTTCCTGTCCTTGAAAATACAATCGTGGAAAAGACCATTTGGCACGGGATTGGTGGCAGAGCGTGACCATGCTCGACAAAACTGTATTCAACGCAGGATTCCACCCCAGACGCTGAAGTTGGGTTCCGCAACATCAAAAGAGGGGGCCCTCCTGGGGCGGGAATGTACATTATACAATATCTACACTGGCAGCGATATATTTTTTGACGCATTCTCACGGGGTTTTGGACACAGTTCGCACTTCAAAAAGATACAATGCACTTGAGCAAAATTCGTGAGGACCTTTGTGTCGGCGATTGATTCAGCTATTCACGCACTGACGGGCAAGACGCCGACTGTGTCTGCTGACACGGAATCAAAGAATCTCACAAAGATCATCATCCTGTTCTATGTAATTTCAACGGTAGATTATACGGAAATGGACCTTCAATTTCGAACAAGACACTTGCAAGCAGGGTGCCGCAGACAAAAGAACCTGGGTGTGCCATCCACTTGAGATGTTCCACCCATCGCCCGAAGACTGGATCCCATCAGGTCAAGCGGTATCCGCGCCGAGACATTGGTTTCACTAAGCGCAGACCTCTGGATAGAACGAGCATGCATGGGTGAAAGCCTGGCCATGTCGCAGCACACTCCCATTCCGCGTGTCGGCGCACGGAAACAAAACACCACAATCAGACGCATCCAGGCAATGGCTCAATCACGAGAGAAATTCCCGTGCGCGCCCCGAATACCCTTCAGCCACCACAAGAGATGTTCTTCACCGTTTGACACTTGCTCACAGGTGGAATTGTGCCTGCAGTAAAGTCCCTGCTCTTTCCCATCTGACTGCGCCAGTGAAGGCACGAAATATCTCTTACCGCCGCGAATTCCCCGGTTTTCCCCGGAGTTTAGGCTTGCGTTTGTAGGAATCGGCTCGAGGAGGAGGAGGAGGGTGGACTGTTCATGGGAGGGTTGCTGGGGCTCGATGCTGAGATGCCGACTGAGGAAGCGCAGGCTCGATTCCCCCGTGCCGGGGACGAAAAATGATGGTTCCTATCACCTGGTCAGCACTGAGAGGGGTCAGGAGCGTAAGCCCTGTATCCAGCGTCCAGGCAATCAATGGTCATCCATCGCAAGCACGCAAACACATCGAGAACCGACAGAAAGCAGGGGGAAAATCTTGGATTTTTGCTGAGGAAAAAAATAAGCGCGCTAGTATGAATGGGGAATTTTCGGACCGGAAAACGAACCTCCAACCAGTTATATGCATAGTCACGATTAACACCCAGGTTGTCGACGGTAGTTGTCGATATCGCCGCAAGGGACGGCGACAACCACCATGAGGAAAATACAATGGGGATTCTCGTAGCTATCTCGAGGCCCACTGCGCTCAGGCCTGTGTTCAGTCCGGCTTGCGCCGCTGGCGCACCAAATCAAAATTAATGTGTATCAAGCTCGTGTGTTGATGGGTATCTCGGAATGCATCGCCCTCTGCCATTGTTCAGCGCCAAACCAGTCTCCGATTCATTTGCATCCAGTATTTGCACCCTGCCCCAGAAATTTCATTTTTCCTTTGTCGCTTAACCAACTGTGACCATTTTTCTCGTGAGAGACTGAGTTTTAAGGACTCTCTGCCTGGGGAAAGTCGTTGATTTCATGTACACCAGTTCCAAAAGTTCGTTGTTTCACCTCGTCGCCAAACCAGATGTGATCAGTTCGTGGAGACTTAGTCCAAAACCACTACCTCGGAAGAGTCCTTTGACTCCTTCTCAGGAAACTCGTTCTCTTCTTTCTTGATGTAGACTGGTGTCTCGGGAATATTTGACTTCTGGGGGGGGTTAGGAAACAACTCAGAAGCATCATTTGGCTTCTGGGGGAAAACGATTGGCATCTCAGTGAGCTCGGTGGACTTCTCGGGAAGGTCGTTTGGCTTCTCAGGCGGATCATTTGGCTTCATCGCGAAGTCAAACTCTTCGAAGTCGGCTCGTAGATCCTCGGCGTCCTCCGCTTCTGCGGCGTCGGTGCTCCCGTCCTTGCACAGGAGTGAATCCATCCAGTTCGTTCGGTCTTCCAGTTGGAGCAAACGTGCCATAACCTCTCTCCCAAACCAAACGTTGAACTTCTGATTCGGTTGCAATGTAAAGAACATGGATTCTGTCACGCCCACGAATTTCTTGGCCCTCGGAGTGCCGCTGGCATAGTCGGCCAATTGGACTGGTTCTGCCATCCATGTCCACACTCGGAAGTAGTTCGTACGATGTGGAAGCGGGTAGTCGGCAGGACAAGTTTGGAAGTCTGGGTATCCACACTGAGCTGCTCGGATCTTGAACGCGGCCTCAAGCACCCCTGGTTTGATGCGATTCACCGGACATGCCATAAGTTGCCAGTGCAAATGCCGGATGCCGGAGCGATGGAGTTCCCAGCAGACCGCGCCGAGTTGACCCTGGCTTTTCACTCCGATCATGAGACTCAGAGCTCGGCGGAACTTGTTCATTTCCTGGAATTCGGCAGCTAACTCGTCCGGGCTTCGCTGGCCATGCGCTGACTCGTCTCCTGCGTGGTAGAATGGAACGATCATGGCGTGGCCGGAGAAGGAGAGCTGCGGAAAGGTCTCTGGCAACGGCAAAGGACCCCGGGTGGCCGTGACCATGCTTTCGTCCCCCAGAGACACGACAAGATGATTCTTATTGCCAGGCTTGTTGATACACAGGAAACATTCCGTAGGGCCATATCGTCGTTCTTTCCGAGCGCGCTTGGCATTTTGTGGCTCATCGCCGCCCTGAGATGCTCCCTTGCCGTCGATGGCAAATCGTTTCCTTCCTGGTGAGGATCTAACGATGAACGGTGACATAAGCGGAGGTTGAACGGTGGGTGGAGGACGGGAGGTGTCTAATATGAATGCTGACATCCACTCTTTTGTGGGCATAGATATGTTCGCCAGACTTTTGAACCTCGTGACGTTCGGTTCATCGAACGTAGCGTATTCGACGACATGCTTGAAGGGCTCTCGCTCCCACAAACCACTTGGACTGCTCGAGAAATGATACCAGGGCTTGGCCGCTTGGCAGAGATTGGAGATGGACTGAGAGCCGGATGTGCCGTCAACACCCGCAGGCAGCGCGATCTTCGACCCATTGGCGATGTTTGCCGGCCATTGGTTTGTGATGAGAACGTGTACAAACAGAGCGCTAGGGAGTCCTCGTGCCTCGCTATCGAAAAACTCTGGGCCATAAGGATCGGACTGCTGAGGGAGCGGCAAATCGATTCCTGGTGCTTGTCGACCCCCAAGGTACATGATTCTCACACCGTCTGTAGTGTTCATGGTCCCCTTGCGGCCTAGATAGTAGAGATTCGCACAAAGATCGCCATCTCCGAGCTTGGTTTTGACCGCCTCTGGGAAAGCCGAGTCGCCAACCGTGAAATACGTAGGGAGAGGAACATTGATCTGACCGTTGAGCAGCGCCTGCAACTCGCCTGACTTGGTTTCATCATCAGGAGAACCAAAAAGATCGCCGACAACAACAGCTAACGTGAAGTTGTGTTTGGCATGCAACTTCGATATTTTGCTGAAGGCAGCAGTCAGTCGACCTTGGATGCTGCCAACAGCGAGGCTGCCTGGGTTAGCGATAATACCAGTACATCTCTGAGTCGCCGCCGACTTACATTTTTACTGTTGCCATGCTGGCTTGCAGATAGGGTGAGGTGAGAGATTCAAAGGTTGAGAGGGAAGAATATGTTGTTGCTCCACGGTCGCTGGGTGGTGCGACACTTGCAAAATGCCGGGGAACTAGCCGCTCATGCTGTCCTGGATGTAAAAGAGAAGGACAAGGCAAAGAATATGAGATTTCTAGAAAACAAAGGAGTGAGTGAGTGTAGAAACTGAAGTAAAAGAGGTTGATTTTGAAAGTCTCTAGTGGAAATCAGACTGAATTCATTGGTCTGAACACTCCACCTGAGTGAGGTATGGTTACGGTGGCGCATGTCACCCTTACACGCACAGTCTGAACACTTCACCCGACTGAGGAAAGGGTACGGTGACACATTGTTCCCCGCACACGCACAGTCTGAACACTCCACCCAGCCGCACTTGCACGTGACGGCATTGTCCCCTCATAGATCTATTGCGGTGCCACATTCTGACACACATGCACATTGTGGGGGAATTTTTTCAACTGCGCCCTCAAGCAAACTTCATCTGCACCACTTTTTTGCTTTGATTCATCCTCAAAGCACCGCGCTCGCGGTGTCCAACTGCTTCACTCAGCCCCTAACTTTCACCGTCCCATCATGGCTGCCATATCTCCCGGGATCCGCATCGGCACACCGCGGACCAGCACATCGCGCTCCGGCACACCGCGTCCCTTACGATTCACGCGCCGTGGGATGAGAGGAGGATCCCCTTCACCCAAGCAACACAGCTTTGAGTCCTTCTCGAAGCGGATATCAAAGTTGAAGATTGACCCAGCCCATACCGTGGAAAAAGTCAGGCCTTCAAGGGAGAACCAGGACGGCTTGCAAACCTTTTTCCACGCAACGTTGGAAGAGTGGGCACAGCTGAATCTCTCAACAACATTCACCAGCTTCTTCGGGCAGGCGAGTCCACTGAGCGAAACCCTCCCTTTACTCCTTCACCATGCACCCACGATCTTCAATACCCTTATCGAACACATCGAACGAAGAGACGAACATGCCCTCGAACCTCTCCTCAGTCTCCTGGCCCAACTTACTCACGATCTCGACCATGGTTTCGAACCTTACTTTGAAAGAGCAGTACAAGTGGTTTCACAGATTGCTGCCACCATTGACAAGGTCGAGGTCGTTGAATGGTGTTTCAACTGCCTGGCGTACATGTTCAAATACCTCTCGAAACTGCTCGTACAAGATTTACGCCCCCTGCTCACCGTCATGATACCCTACCTATCTGCCACGAAGGAATACGTCGTCCGGTTCTGCGCAGAGTCGCTCTCTTTCTTGCTGAGAAAAGCTGCGGCGCAGTTTGTCACAGATCAGGATCCCCTGATTCTCGTTGTCCAACATCTTTTGGGAGAATACCCACCGCAAGATGGCGCAGTCGCCCTCAGTTCATATCAATTCGGAGTCATGACTCTGTTCATGGAGGCCGCTCGTGGGGTCGACTACGAATATTTACATTCGTGCTCTGTACCCCTGGTACAATGTCTACTGGACTGCGCTCTCCCCATATGTCACCAAGCGCACATTCGGTCCATTGTGGATGGTGTTCTGGTTGGCCTGATAAATGAGACGAACAGCGAGACATTCGGCGCTGTCCAGGCGGTCATCCTGGATACTGTTCGGCACTGTGCGTCGTCTGAGGAAGTCAACCAGTTGTCTTTCGCATTCAGGCTTTTGCTTGTTCTCCTGGGGACCCAGAAAGGAACGAGGGTCAGTCAATGGCCGTCCGTCATCGAGGCCTTCCAAATTGCAGCAGCGATCTCACTGGAGCTCGAGGAGAGAACGCAATTCAGTCCCATTTTTGCAATCATGGTCGCCATGATAATTCAATATGCGCCCCTGGACGACATGTTGAAGGAAAAGTCGGCCTTGCCCCGTCAGTTGTTGGAGTGGGTCGACGAGCACCTTTCAGCACGCGAGTTCTATGCCTTCGCCACCGCCTGTGCAGAGCTTGGGAAAGAGAGATTCGTCAAATTTGTCCTTCCAGAACTCCAGAAATACATCTCGAATCACTGGTCTGATGACGAGGTGAGTCTTTACTACATGCTGGAGAGGTTGCAGCAGAATCGAATCGGTTTCAGCGACTCTGAAACCGCCAGGTCATTCAGTTGCCCTCCGGAGTTTGGGAATTTCATCCTGAGTCAACTATCCTCGAAGGAACACGATGAGGATGCAGTCACGACAGAAGAGCTCGCCGGACGGCTCCGCTTCTCCAAAGTTGCTTGCCTTTTTGGGGATTCTGAAAATACTGCTAGATCCCTTGACGCCTTTCACAATCTGCTCATCCGCGTCTTGGACGATGTCGGGAGCGACCTTGACCTGCACCAACGGACAGTCTTGGGCTGGGGCTTTGACGCCTTTGTCGAAATCGCACCCGCTGACGATCCACGGCTCAAGGACCTTGCTTCACGTGTTCCGAATTTATCACCGGTGGTCTTCCATCTACCAGCTTGTGTACAAGCGATGAGCCGTCTGTTTCACAAAGTTGGTGTACCGCAGGGCGAGGATTTTCAGCTCTTCGACAATGTCCGCCAAATTCTCATGCGAAACCTGTTGTCGACAACAACCTGCTTGAAGAAGGCATCCGCACAACTGCTTTTTGCCTTGGGCGGGTCACGTGATGAGTCCTGGCTCAGAGAAATCATCAGCCTGATCTTCGAAATCCTCAATACCCCTTACACTCCCGCCGAAGTCCGAAAAATTGGCCACCTATTGAGGCGAATGCTATATTGGCATAGAGACAAAGAAGGCGACTTCCGATTCCACAATCTTGTGCCTTATTTCTGTTTCGGCTTGATGACACATTACCACGACAAAGCAAGAGCGCAAGTCCTCCACACTCTCGCTCACCTGATAGGTACGTTGCGGTCTGAAGAGACGATAGTCAACATTGCTGTGGAATGGCTCCAGTCACCACCTCATTCGACACAATCATGCCAGAAAGCTCCCAAGGTGGAAAAATCGACACCCTCTTCCTTCGAATGCGGAGAGCTCGCATACGTCGATTCGTTATACAAATCGGTCTCGGTTGACTTCCAAAATTCCGGCGAGAGATTCCGCAGCATGCTTGAAGACGAACACCGCCTGGAAAATCCCAATGCCACGCCTGAAAATGGTCGATCGTTGGCTCTCGTGGTGCTAAATGCGATGCCGGCTTCAGCCGAGTTCCGGGCTCGTTCATGGATTCCTATCTTCCTTAATGTCCCCTTCACCCGCGCTCAACTGCAACCCCAGCCTGGCTCGGACGCTTCTGCATCGTCGCACACAGTAAGTCCAGACCTCGATGACCACGAATGGTCTTTCCAAGACAGGAAAGCGTTCTTGTCCCTGTTCGGCCACTTCGAAAAACCTGCTGCGGTCTTCAAATCTTCCGAAGTCCATGCAAAGCTCATGACTCTGTTGAGTAACGGCAACGATGAAATCCGAAAGCTGGCTCTCAAGGGCATACTGACGTGGAGAGACCCGGTACTTCGCCGGTATTCCTCGACCATGCTCCTCCCGTTGGCCGAAGGGAAATCGGACACATCCGATATAGGTAAATATCTGACCTCTGATGGGGAGAGTCTCATCAGATCAATGGACCGGAGCACTGTTCTTCCAGTTGTCCTCCGGCTTGTCTTTGGCGTGATTGTGGGCCGGGCAGGAACGGCAGGATCTCAAGACGCTCGGAGGAAATCATTGCTACGTCTTCTCCTCCGACTCTCCGAGGAAGAAGTGTCCATGTTTCTTGACATCGCTCTGGGCAGGTTGAGAGAGGTCAAGATCCAAGTCGGCCCCCCGAATCTCGCAAGCCTCGACCAAGCATATGTCCCGGAAGACCAGCGATATGGCTTTCTGCGGTTGCTGTTGTCGATGTTGGAGACATTCGAGCGCAAGTTCGCTCCCTACGGTCGACATGTCGTCGACGCGGTTGTGTTCTGCGTCGCCAAAGCTTCTGAGACGCCAGTCAGGCCAACTGGCACGGGGGAGTTGGCCCGGAGTATCCGACGAACAGGCTTTCACTGCCTTGTGCACCTCTTCACTCATTGTCCTACCGTCGACTGGCCGGTATACCTTCGCAGACTCTTTGCTGATGCAATAAGTCCGCGCCTCGACACATTCTCTTCCGAGACGACCCAGATTTCGACTCTGCTCCGCCTGTTTGCAACTTGGGCCAAATCCGCGGATTACGTCATCTACTTCGGAGATTACGATCGGCGAGTCCCGGAAGTCACGTGGCAGGCTCTTGCAGCGGATTCAACACCAGTCCATGTCAAGCTGTTTATTCTCAACGACATAGTCCTTCCATGGGCTCACCTGGCTGACGATGAACGGCGTTCGCCAAACAACGCTCGTGAACTCCTCAAAACCCACTCGGACGGTCTATTCCGAGCTTTTGCGGCCCTCCTCGAGCGGACACCTGCCAGGCCCGTCCTCTCTGCAATAACGATCGTCCTGCCCCTGCTTGCCCCTTTTGCTGAGTCTACGGAATCTCGACAGTCCATGGTGAGGCTGCTGACAACTCTGCTCAGCGATGATGGGCTCAAGATACCCCCCGTTATCAAGGGTCAACTCCTCGCTTCTCTCAAGAGCTTTCTGGGCGTCGGTACCACTCTGGATGAAAGCTCACACCTTCGACTTCTGACACTGACCTCGTCTTTGTTCAATTTCTTCCTGGACCAGCCAAATCGTCAGATACTGTGCGACGTGCTGGAAATGTTGTCTGTTCGCGATGAAGGTCTCAGTCGAATCGCGCAAATATGCAGTGGGCTGAATGCCACGTCCTCCGAGCGACTCGGAGAGATTGATTACGACAGGCGGCTGCAGGCTTTTGAGACAATCCGGAATCTGAGTTTATACGACAGCAGTTCGAGTTACCAACCCATTATTTACAACCTGCTGTTCTTCCTGAGGACCGGTGACGATCTCGCGATACGGGCAAACGCCTTGGAATGCCTTAGACAGATGATTGTCAAATCCCGTGAAATCGAGGCTTCCGACTTGATCGACGTGATCGTCAATTGTGCTCTGCCTGTGACGAAGCAGTGCATCAAACATGAATCGGAGTTCATTAGAGCGGACTTTGTTACTCTCCTCGGCCTTTTGGTGCAACATGCTCGCCATCACGGAGATCTGATGAGCATGGCACCCCTCCTGGTTGGGAATGACGAAGAAGCGTCGTTCTTTTCGAACATCCTGCATGTCCAACAACACCGCCGTCTTCGAGCCATGCAACGCCTTGTCTCTGAGGTCGAAAAAGGGGGCATCGGCGCCGCCAACATCGTGGAGATTTTTATTCCTCTGTTAACCATGTTTGCCCACGACTCAAGCTCGGACCAGTCAGCACAGAGCGCCAAAGGTCAGAGTGTCTCGGCGATAGGGAGTCTTCTCAAATGGATCGACTGGAAACAGTTTAAGATACTGTTCCGCCGATACAAATATGACCTCGATGTTGTCAGGGTCGAAAAGAAGGTCATCACCCGCCTTCTTGCAGGTGCCGCCGATGCATTAGTATATGCGAACAAGCACCGGTCTGAAAACTCGGCAACATCACCAGATCAACCAATACCTCTGCTCGCACTTACGCTTCCCAACAGAACTGATGTGGAGCATGAGGTTCGGCTTCAGTTCATACCCAAACTTGCAGAGTTCGTCCATTACAAAGATGAAGCAGAGATAAGTTGGCGTCTACCCGTTGCCGTCGTCGGGATCAAGCTCATCACGCTGCTGCCTCTACAAGAGGTCGCAGATGCTGCTTGCCCTATCATTCTTGACCTCGCCCAGATTCTCAAAAGCAGATCTCAAGATTCTCGCGATGCCGCGCGCAAGGCCCTCTGCGATATCGTTCTTCTGCTTGGTGCCGGCAGTATGTCATTTGTGCTTCGACAAATGCGCACGGTTCTCAATCGAGGGTATCAGTTGCATGTCGCCTCATACACCCTCCATGCAATCCTGGTGGCGCTGGTTCCGAAAGCCGGGCCTGGCGATATGGACTATTGCTGCGAAGAGCTCGTTTACCACATCACGAGCGAGATCTTCGGCGCGGTGGGCCAAGAAAAGGACAATCCAGATTACGTCAGCAGCATGCGCGAGGTCAAAACCAACAAGAACTATGACTCCATGCAGCTTCTGGCAAGTTCAGTGAGCGTCCCGTGTGCATCAAAGCTTATCACACCAATCCAGACCATCCTGTCTGGGCCTCTGACCATCAGGCAAATCGGAAAAGTCGATGAGCTTCTCCGGAGGATTGGCACCGGCATCACCCGGAACCCGTCAGTCCTTCCGCGAGACGTCTTCACCTTCTCGTACCAGTTGATTCGATCGATCCATGAACAGGAAGTGGCCGACCGACGCCAAACGCCTACCAACGACGAAAAGAACCGGGAGAGATATCTTGTTCAACTGACATCGGCCGACACAACAACTCCGAGACACAACTCGACCACCTTGTTATACAAGCTCGCCAAACTCGCTCTGGAATTGGCCAGGGGCACTTTCCGCACATTCCCAGAGACTGTGACAGGCGAGAACGTCCATGGATTTCTTCCCATCCTCGGCGACGCCTTGGTTGGAGGCCAAGAAGACGTCAAACTTTCCGCGATGCTTTTGCTGTGCGTCGTCATCAAGGTACCACTTCCCGAACTTGACCAAAACTCACACTTGTACGTCGACGAAGCGGTCAAGACGTTGAGGAATTCGACAAGCACCAACGAGGAAGGGGCGCAGGCTGCGTTGAAACTCATTGCTGCCATTCTTCGTGACCGCCCGACTGTCGAGGTCAAGGAATCCGATATTGCTGAAGTTCTTCACCGGGTCACTCCAGACATCGAAGCACCAGACAAGCAAGGGCCGACATTCAACTTCATCCGAGCAGTCATGGGAAGAAATATGCAGTTGCCCGAGCTTTATGATCTGGCAGACAAGATCGGGGTCTTGATGGTAACAAGTCAGAGTAAGCAGGCACGTGACCTTGCGCGAGGGGTTTTCGTCCATTTTCTGCTTGGCTATCCTCAATCCTCGTCCAGATGGTCGAAACACCAGGCATTCCTGTTGACGAATCTCGAATACCAGCACGCCGAGGGCAGGCAATCTGTCATGGAAGCCATCAATACCTTGACGGGAAAGATGAAAGGAGAACCGTTACAAGAGCTGATCTCGGCCTTCTTCGTCCCCATCCTCCTTCAGATGGCCAATGACGACAATGAAGGCTGTCGACACCTTGCTGGAGCTCTCCTTGAGCGGCTTTTCACCCTGGCAGAACGTGGCCGCTTGAAGGACATGTTCGAAATTCTGAACAGCTGGATCGCTGGTGGGGACAAGGCTCAGATGAAGAGACTCGGTATGCAGGCATACGTCGTCCTCTTGGACACGGACGTCCGTCTGAGTGAAGAAGAGGTGGGCCAGATTCGGAGCATCACTGCCAAATCGCTTGAGGCGACAAAGACAACCGAGGTGGACGAATGGGAACTTCGGTTCCAGGCATTGCTTTTATTGCTGAAGCTGGTCCAGTCGCATCCCGTCGCGGTTTGAACCCGGAGCAGGGTGCTTTGTGGTCGCATGCGTGGTCATCTCTAGGCCATCCCCATGCCTGGATCCAAAGCACATCGGCAAGCTTGATCGTTCGATTTTTGGCCGATTGCGTCTCGACGGGGCGCAAAACGCTTCCGCTGACCTGCTCTCACGGTCTTTCGGTGGGTGGGGAGGAGCTGGTTGGCATGTTGAAAGCCTCGTCTCGCATCTTGCGCTGGACGACGGACAATGAGGAGCTCACCACCCAAATGCAGCAGATCCTTATGCTTCTGGGTCATTTTCTGGACAACAACCCGATCACGATCGAGGTCAATCCGGAACCCAAGGAGGCGCAGGCGCAGGAGTTTGAGGGGTCAGATTTTGAAGAGGCCAGGTCACCACAGGAACTCAAGCCACAGACAGCCGAGTTAGAAGCCACGGCAGAAGAAGCCAGTTCCGAAGAGGCCGAGTCTGAAGATGATGTCAACGCCGAGGCCAGCGCCGCCAGCATTCCCGCTACTCAATACCTCCTCGATCAACTGGCGCGCAATCTCCGTGTAGAAACTGCTCCACTGACATCTGCGGCGTTGCTCCCAAAGAAATCGTCGCTGCAACTCCTTACGAAACTCATCCCCATTCTCTCGACGTCCAACTTACCCAGCCCCCAGGTCAACGCCATCCTTCTGCCCCTCCAGCATATGACTGACACCAAGACGATTCCCCCACGTTCCGCCGACCCGACCTTTGGTGAAACGTACCAGACTCTCATCGAGCTCGCACACGAAGTTATGGAGCAGCTGCAGCAGAAGCTGGGAGACGCAGAATACGTCAAGGCGGTCACGGAGGTCAGCAAGATCATTCGCGAGAGGAGGGAAACACGCCGGACGAAGCGGCGCATTGAACAGGTTGCCGCCCCGGAAAAGGCCGCGCGACACAAGAAGAGAAAGGGCGACAGGAAGAGAGACCGGTCGAGGGAGCTGGCCGCGGCACACCGCAAGAGAAGAAGGGAACAATGATATGATACGAAACCAAACTGCCACAGAAGGGCTCGGGCCACGATTTTCTTTGGGGTTTTCGGCGTTAAGGCTGCTTGGGTGTAGAAAAAGGACGAGAAAGGGAAGGAAATGAAAGGGCAAGGAAATGCAGGTCATACAAAAAATGAGGAGTTGGTAACAGGATCAACCCACTGTCGTCCGGGCACAGTGTAATGAGCTAGGGAGTTTTCCAGAAATAGCATATGTTCTTTGAAGAAAAGCAATTGAGAGATTTTTCTTCAATATCTTTCTATTGTTATTTGTCGGCTTGTAAACATCCCGCTTCCCATCCTTTTCCTTCTCAACCATTGACACTGGCTGACCGTGGAATATCTGTGCCGACGGCGGCGGTGACACCGGCGTCGATGGGCAAGATCAAGCCCGTGATCCACCTGGCCTCGGGCCCTGCAAGGAAGCGGACGGCACAGCCCACGTCCCAGCCGTTGCCCTCGGTCTTGAGCAGGCTGCGGTTTCGGCGGGCCTCGCGGGCCTCGTCGCTCATGCCGCCGGCGTACATCATCGGGGTGTAGACCATGCCGGGACACACGCAGTTGACGCGGATGCCCTGGGCGGCGTGGTGGGCGGCCATGGCACGCGTCATGTTGACCACGGCGCCCTTGCTGGTCGGGTAGAGCAGGTGCGGCGTGCCGCCGCGCAGGCCGGCCACGCTGCCCATGTTGATGATGCTGCCGCGGTAGCCCCAGGCGTCGTCGTTGCGCGCCATGGCCGGGATCGCGTACTTGGCCATCATCACCATGCTGGCCACGTTGACCTCCATCGACTTGGCCCACGCCACCATGTCCACGTCGACCGCCGTGCCGGCCGCGCCGCCGATGCCCACGCAGTTGAACAGGATGTCCAGCCGCCCGTATGTGTCCAATGCCGTCTGCACGGTCTTCTGGCACTGCGCCTCGTCCGTCACGTCGGCCTGTACCGCGATGGCCACCGCCGGCCCCTCTGTCGTGTGTCCCCCCCGCTCGGCCTCGATCATCTCGACCGTGCGCTGCGCCAGCCCGACGTCGCGGTCGACGCAGACCACCCGGCAGCCTTCGTCCGCGAGGAGGATGGCCGACGCACGGCCGTTGCCGATTCCGTCGCCGTGGGCCCCGGCGCCCGTGATGATGGCCACTTTCCCGGCGAGGGAGCGTGGTGGTTTGGGGAAGTGGTAGTCCATGATTGTTTTCCTGGGGAGGAGGGGGAGAAGTGCGGGCGTCAGAAAGGAAGAAGGAAAAGAGGAAAGAGGAAAGGGCACGGGGGTAACTAACTCCCTGTCACACACACAACACGAAACAGGCTGGCTGATATATAGGAGTTGGATGCTCGGGGCATATGGTGTGTATATGTTTGTGTGTTGGTTGGGAGGGCGCAGGCAGATATTACGCTCGAGTGTTGTTTGCCCAGCCGAGGTACATAATTCTTCCCTCCACCAAGTTAACTGCCGCGAGTTCTTTGAAGACGCAACTCAAGTTTCCCTCCGTAAACCTCACTGTCATTACCACCACCACCACAATGGCAGACCGAAATGGTCCCTCGCAGGCAACCTGTTGAAGACAGCGGGAGAAGAAAAATAAACACACGTTCTGGGCTCTCAGCAGGCGCTCTAGTGATGGACTCGGGGCGTCTGCGGACGTGAACTGTAGGCACTCCAGTGATGGAATCTGCGCTCCACAGGATTATAAAAACCTACACCATCATCTACACTCCTGGGCCAAAGGGCCTCCTCGGCTCAAGCTCTGAACAGGCGCAGGGAATGAAGAATCTTGACTGTGAACCAGCAGTACTCCCGCGCTGATCACGGAGCATGAGAGAAGAACGGGTTGAACATGTCTTCCATACTGGCCAGAGGCATCTCGGGTATGGTCCTTGCAAGAGAGCTAGCTACACACCATCAACACTCCTGGCAGAAATGGTTGTCCCTCCTCTTTTGATATTCATTAATCAATCGTGTGCCAAAACCCGAACACCGGTCCCTTCTCTTTCTTTCTGGTCGCGTCGTCGAGCCCTCGTGCTTGAAGCGTTCGGGAGGGGGCAGGTTCACAGGCCCAACGGATTATCTGCATTCTGCTCCTTGCCTCCAAACGGCTCTTTCATTCTCTGTCCCTCGGCCTCCTCTTGTTTGGCTGGGCCACCTTCGTGGTTCCCGTAGCCGACGCCGAGTTGGTCGCCCCAGCCTTTGCCCATTCTCATGATGCCACCGACGGCGGGATCGACCACGCCGCCCACGGGGCCTGCCACCTTTTCCAGGCCGGGGCCCACGTACTTGCCCACGGGGGAGAGGGCTCCTTCGATCTTGTCGCCGGCGCTGTCGCCGAGTTGTTGGGGCTTCGACGCCCAGGAGGAACCTGCGAGGTTTGGAATCCAGTCAGCCTTCGACGATACTGCAAGAATGAATGCCCCAGCCTTGCGAGCGTGGTTGTACGTACCTTGCTTCTCCTGGCCCTCGGTGTCCTGGGCTTGGACGTTTTCCTTCTCCTCTGGTGCGGACATGGTCGGTTCTGAGTCAGGGGGGACGGCGCTGTTGTCGACAAGTTGGATGCGATTCTCGTGAGGAGCTGTGCTCATTATCTGCTGCAAAGTGAAAGAGAGAAGGAGAGAGCAGAATGTTGCCAGGGCACTCACGCCCGCCCGCACCGCAGGGTTGGCTACATCATCGCTCTGTCTGCCGGCGACGTATGACGCTGCTCGATCAAGGGTCTTTGCCAGGATGCGGAGGGATGGTTGTGAGGCCGATGGATGGATGACGTAGGTCCGTAAACAAGCTGCGCCAGAATCCTGAAAGTGAAAATCTTTCACAAAGTCACGTGATAATCATGTGTGAGCGCTTCGCCGTTGCAAGTACGACGCAGTCTCTTGACGGACGCCGTGAGGATCCCAAGAGGAGGTTGGGTATCTTGCACCCTGTGCTCACTGCTTTCCCATGTCTGAAAGGCTCATCAGCCGCCTGCAGTAGCCTCATCGGAGCCCGCACAGCCCACGCCTACCCTTCCATGCGCTCGATTCTCAGAGGGCCACCTTGGAAAAAATGCCCATCGTTGAGCAGTACGGGCATTGATGGTATTGAATGATTTACTGGTAGGGAAGTTTATCTGCCCAAGCATCCTCCATATGCATCCGACCGCGGCTTGGGACAGGATTGTCTCGCGTCTTCACACGGGTTGACAGGCTCTCGATTCCGGCACCTCGAACCCCTTCTCTCCCACCCTGATTGAGCCTCGCTCTATACATCGTCCCAAGTGCCAAAGATCGAGAAAAAAAAATGCCGTTTCTACAAGCCTTGGACTTCTCCCATGAACACTCATCCCACGTGTCGGGCGAGCCATCCTCCCCTCCGCAGCCAAACCGCACCTGGCTTTTTTCAAGGTACACAATGTACAGATCTGGGACTCCCCCACGTTGGATCCCACGGCAATATCATATGTTACTCGGGGACAAGCGGGATCTGTAGAAAGAGAGATATATCTACTCCTTTGGGAGCGACGGTTGTCGAGCATACACTTCTGGGGCTGAGGGCACCGTCATGCTGCCAGTCCGTCTGCTTACATGCGTTGACAAGACGGATGGTGAAGTGCCCATCACTGAGAACGGTCTTTGCGTCCGGCTGAGTCTCAAGACTCCATGCATGGCTTTGACCTAAGAAGTTGGAATAGCGATCTACTGTCGCTGAACACAAGCTGAAGGGCTAGTGGGAGTCGAAAGGCCCTCTACAGCGAGGATTTCTGGATGCATCAAGTCTTCTTGTGTGTATTTCTATATATTAATATAATATATGCACAGTGCGCTCTCTCGCAGGTAATTCGGTACAGACATGGCGTATCCCAGGCATGCACTGCTGCATTGTATACCCAATATACCACACCGGCTGTGCGAGACCCGAGACTGCGGCAGCCACGGTAGAAGGCTTTTGGAAACAGATTGAAGGGAACTGTATGCTGTCCTCGGATTTTCTGGTCCGCGAGACAACGCCGATGCTGTGGGAAGGCAGACACCCTGGTGGATCACAGCAGCCCGGTTGAAGACCGCGTGAACTCGAATGAGCCCCCGGTGCACCTGCGCCACCGACAGACAGGATACCATCCATTCCATGTCTCATCGTATTGATGAACGGGCAGACTTTGTGTCTTATGCTTTGGGATCTCAATGCGAACACACAGCGATACGGCTTCTCCAGCCTGGTAAAGGAAGGCCTTCCTTCCGCCTCGTCAACGCCTGCAGGTTTTCCCTGTTGGTGGCTCTTTGACGTCTGTGAACCGGCGGCAGCACCTTGGTCGTTCACAGAGCCAACTGACTGAAGTTGCGCACCTGGAGAAGTGGTGTAAATACCTTGTAAATGTACGTCTGCTTGCTTGCTGTAGAGAAGTTGCTCTCATTGCCTTTCAACAGTCACCCAAGGTCACCGCAGATCGCGAAGGACCGCATACAAATAGGGGGGCCCCTTCGCATTTGTGTGCCGTGTAATCACAAGGACGTTGTTCCCTTCCCTGCTCTTTAGATATTTAGCACGTACGAGCCAGATAGTGTATCCTGTCTCTTCAATCTCCGGGTCGGTCGATTGTGTGTGTGCGTGTGACAACCAAGGGCCTTTCCACCTCGTAAAGGCCCATCGAAGGACGGATTTGTGCACGCGTAGACGGTCCGTAGAGGAGTGGATATCGATCGTCAAAGCGTGGGGACGTGTCCTGCTGGGCTTGAAAGGGAGGAATGGTGCTTGCTCGCTGAGCGATAGAGGCCCGCTACGGCGCAGTCAAGGAGTCAGGTCGGTGATCGCGTCTCACAGCCGGGGGGGAGAGTCTTGCGCCCTTGGGAGAGCGGTTTGTCGACAGCTCCTCCACCACGATAGAGCGTTGCCTTCGTCACGGTCTGCAGCGCGCATCGATCGTGGTGTTGGGGAACGATAGCGTGTGTCGACGCGGGAGCTGGACTGGGCGAACAGCCCCGGACGATTTGTGGCTTTGCAGGGCCGCGGCCTCTAGCGGATGGTCAGCATCAAGCACACGGCCTCCTTCTCATTCGTAACAGCCGGAATACAGCACACCCCGCTGGCTCACTGTCCACCGCGGAGCTGCTGGTAGGGAGTAGCTGCGGGAGGAAGCGGTCAGCAACAACCGCGAGATTGGGCTCTCTCGGGGCGTGGTGTCGGTTCGAACGCAAGGGAGATCCATAGTGGCAGGGGAGACCTATCTCCCTCTGGGACACGGCGCAGTTGGGAAATCCCCAGAGTCTCCCACGGTAGAGGCCACTGCAGCCTGTTTTGGTTCTCAGCCTCGATTCCGAAGATTGACCAGGATGGCACGTGGCTGGGTTTCCCCGCGCGAGGCTGATGAGTTGGAGAATATCAGACAGAAAAAAAAACCAACGTTAGTCCATCTTATCCGCCTGCGTCGGGTCTGGGGATCGGGCTGATCTGCAGTCTCAATGCCAGAATTTCAGTTGCGTCGAACTTTATGGCCCGTCCACCACCTCATGCACGCGTGGGCCGAACACAGAGCCCGGGCAGGAATTGATTGGCGTGGCCCACCCGACGATTCGGTTCCTACCACCTCAATCTCGACGTCGATCGACCCTTCGGAACAACGGCGGTCAATCACAATCGCACAAGAGCTGGACCGGTGATGAGACAGAGTGGCTTGGAGTGCGGGAGATGCGCGTGATAAACGCTCAAAGAGGAGGAAGGGGAGGGGGGTCTACAGTGATAAGCAGAATAGATAGAACACTAGCCGTGCTATCTTCATTCCCTTGTCCTCTTGTCCTCCCCGGGCCGGCCCTTCTCTTACAGTAGTTGGACTGTGCCATTTTAGACCCGAACTCTCTCTCTGTGCTCGCGACAGACACCCTGTTCTTGTCACACAGACAGGCTCCCCCCTGATCATCTAGGGGATGTGGAAACGGAACCGCGGGTGATTAGGTTGGTCAAGGGCCGAGGTCTATAGAAATGTGATGCAGTCGTCAGCGATTCCCGTCCTTCCCCGTCTTCCCCGTCTTCCCCCCTTGTCCACGCTTCCACCCAGAGCGGCCGGGAACAGGCACGAAGTAAACAAAGGTGGCAAACGAAGGTTCGAACGACAATTCTTGTTAAAATTCTCATCAACTAACGATACAAGCGTTGGGCCCGGTAATATTCATCCGGTAAAACATTACGTTAATTCGTTCTCGGCGTAAAAGGCATGCATGTCCCCGACACCCCAGGGTGATAACAACGTTCCCGTCCCGTCGTGGTCGAATCCGCCATGACATGATTAGTCCACCATTGATTTCTTGCACCCTCCGCAGTCGAAGTCGTCAAACCTCTTCTCAAACTTCTCAGTGACGTCCGAATGGCCCGTGCCCGTTCAAGAAACCTGCCATGAAGTTAGCATCATTCTCATGCTCTGGCATGGTGCCCTCCCACCTGAATAACTGGCCACGCCAGCGAGGCAGACGAAGCTGCATCTAGCCATGGTACGGTCGGCGGTGGCGACGGTGACTGCTGAACAGGCATAGTCGGATCTGCAGGCCAAGATGCTTGTAGAACACGTGGATCCACGGTTGGCAATGGCGGTTGTGCCTCCGAGGGCGAGGCCGAGAGTGAGGGCGCGAGTTCAGGCGAAGGAAAAGGCGACTCTATCGAGGGCAGCGCCGTGTCCGGGTCAGGCAGAGGACAACGCGTCTCTATCCCTTCCATAAGCGTCTCAGGAATGGACACAGCAGTTTCCGAAGCGGCGCGCTCGGACTTCGGCGAGGGAGAGCGCACCCCAGCAACCGCTGTGGCGGGAGGGGAGGCCGGGGGTTTCGCGGACACAGCGGATGGCGACCCAGCGATGTTTTCCGGTGCTGGCGAGGGTAAAGGTGGAGCTGGCAAAGGTAATGAGGTGACCGGCGAGGCCGGCGTAGGTGGCGGCCTCCATTTGAGGACGATAGTCCCCGTCGGAGTATCCAGCCTTATAGCCCCCTTTCTATCCCTGGACTTGGGTATCCGCACCTTGGTTGGCAACCATGACGCCGAAGTGCGTGGTATCTGCTGTGAGGACTCGACAACCCACACGGCATCGAGTGGAACTATCCCCTGTTTCGTGCGTATGACATCTACAACGCATTCTGCGGAGATGACGTCCAAAGAGGTCGACAGCATCAGACCGTCCGTGGTGGACTTCTCAATGGGACGGCCTGGAGTGTGGTCGTGGAACCATGCCACCAGCAACAAGGTCGTCATCTTCTCAGCCGGGCGCATCCTTCCCAGCGTTCTGACGTCCAGGACTAGGGCCTTGGCTAGGAGGGATCGGTCGGCCTCCCAATATCGTGCCAGGACCTGGTCGTTCACATAGGCGCGGAAACGAACGCTCGTGGGTGCCGAGTCTTTTTCCTTCAACTGCTCCCAAGGAGGAAGACCGGTCGCGGCGGGGATAACCTTGTAACGCCGGCTGTGCAGCCCCGGGTGCGATTTCACCCTGTACAGGATGTCTTCTGGCTCCACAAGTGGTTCCGACGTGGGTTGTCCGGGAGCGGGAGTGGGCTCGGTAACTCTGCTCGCTTCCAGTGCTGCGATACGCTCCGAGGCGCGACGGGGTGGCTGCCGCGGGCGTTGGGGCGCCATCTTGGGGTTGGCTCAGGCCTAGAGCCACACCATGGTGCTCATCAGCGTACACGATCTGCACAGAAATCCTCATGGGCAGCGTACCGTTGCCGTAAGCGAGTGGGGTTAGGTCAACTGCGGCCTAGAAAAAGAGAAGGGTTGGGGGGCCAACGCGTGGTCTGATTGGGCCAGCACCGGCATGCATTAGTGAGAAGCTCGCTAAACAGGGGAGGAATGCTTATACCCACTGACCTGGAAATTTGAAGTATTCCTGAGCGATATTTTGGTCGGGCTTTGACAGGTGAGGGTGAGAACTGGCTGGGAGCAGAGCGGCACAGAATAACAAACAGAGAGAAAGGAAAAGAAATGGAAGAGAACCACCTGACAGCGAGAGAGCGAGAGGGCAGATAGATATATGAGGGAGGCGGAGGCCTCCGCCTCTGGTCACGGCTTCCCTGGGACTAGACGCGTTCGGACTGTGGGGCCCCGGGGGGGTGACGGCTTCGAGAAGGTGTGGTTGACCAGTAACAATGCTTGACAATCCCCGCTAGACCACTACAGGCAGTAGCGGTATGATGTCACGCGGGGTCGAGGAACGATTGGCCGAACTAAGCGCCACGGTATCCACTGGTATGTGCGCACCTTTCCTCTTCCGGAACTCTCAGCTGTGTCTTTCCCTGTTTCATTGACCGCCGGCTTTTCTCTTTTCACCACATGTTTGCGGACGTCCATCCTGTCAAGACGCGAACGGTTGACCACTGGCCGGGGAACTCCAGATAACTTACATGCAGACGACATCCCTTGCATAAAATATCAATATCGATATTTGCCGGGCCCAGTGCCGTTCGCGGATCGGCCGCTGTAACGTCGATTGATGGACGACAATGGCCGTCCAACCCCCCGACCTCTCCAGCCAAGCCTGGTCTCCTCTTCCAAACGGGCGAGGAAACCAAGAAGGCGACAAATACAATTCTCCCTCGAGTCTCGGGAAGCCGTGACCGCTCCCTTCACTGAGTCCGCAAGGCCGTCGGCGAGCACGGAGCCAGAATGGTCGCCCAGTCTGCAGCCGACACAACCTCCGCCCACAAGCTCTGGCAACCCACAACAGCAATATCCCCCTGTACCACCGAGCCATGCCAGCCACACACAACAGCCTTATGCCATGGCGTCTGGATATCCTGAGCCGCCTCAGCAATCGCCCTCTTGGGCACCTGGGCATGCTGGCAAGCCTCAACAGCCTTATAACACCCAGACTCAAGAGTCGTACGCAATAGCTCTTGGATACCCTGCTCAGGGACTGCAGCAGCCACACGATAGGCCACCCCCGCCTCCGCAGTCGTTTTTTACTTTTATTCAAGGATATGCCCAACAGAGCCAGCAGGCACGCGCGGCTTCACCCAGGTATACTGAGCACGCTCCGCAGTCGGATACCCATCCGAACCAACATCCGCATCCCATGGCACCTGTATTCCTGGATCACGCTCAGCAGCCGGGTACGGTGCCATCTGGCCATACCGATCAGGGCCAGCCCCCGCATGTTATGGCACCTAGATACGCAGGTCACGCTCAGCCTCAGCCGCCGATACATCTTCCCCCAGCACAGCAGTCGCACTTCTTACCACCAGGGAATTCAGATCATGGCCAGCAACCGTACAACAGGCCACCAGAAGCTTCTTCTCGCCACGCTCACGGAAGCCGCCTGCAGTCTTATTCGACGACACCAAATCCTGGGGCGCTGCCGCCCGCTGTACCTGGAAGCCAGCTTCAGCCGTCCTTCGTACCGGTAGCAGGCCCCTCGGGCCCACAGGGTACACCTTTGCCGAACCGCCAACCTCCAGCTTCTGGAAGTCAGGCAGCGCCGGGTCCTTCGGCAAGCAGGTCATCGCCAAGAAAGCGCTCCGCTGAGGATCCCATTCCCGAAGGAAGCAGAGGTCCTCCCCCGGCCAGGAGGCGGCGTGGAGTTGGCAGGAAGCAACCTCCCCGCCGCCCCGATATGCGTACGCAGAACGCGACCTTGCAGGCGTTTCAATCGTTCGAGAAGAAATTCAGAGACTTACAACAAAGCTACAGCGAGAAGATTGACCGAGCGGAGCGGGAACTCGAGCAACGCGAAGATGAATTCAGGAGGCGCGAGCCTGGCATGAGAGGCGAGTACCAGCACGTGTTGGAGTCCATCAGGTTGGACCACGAGAGACAACGCAAACATTGGAAGGGAGAGTTGCAGACGCATGAGCGAAAGTGGAATCATGTGGTCCAGCATGAGGACTTGTTATGGCGAACGGCCTATGCGGAGCTGGACCGGATATGGGATATGTGGCTCAATGGTTACACCGAAGGCCAAGTCTCGAAAGAACTTGCCGAATACAGCTTCGAGCTGGACAGAGCGACCTGGTACTTGGGTGCAATCCCTGGAGATGAATTATGGCGGCGTATGCCTACAGAGCGGGCGGGAGTTCGTCCATCGCAGCCACAGCGACCGCCCCAGCCACAGAAACAGCCACAACATCAACCTCCGCCACACCAGCAGCCACAACCTCAACCTCAACCTCAACCTCAACATCAATATCAACCTCCGCCGCAGCCACCTACCTCTGGCACTGCACCGCCATCACCAGAAAATCCGAACCCAGCATTGACACCAACGACGACACCACCATCAGGATATTCGCTTGCCTCAGCGTCGATGCCGCCTCCCCCGCGTCCTTCGAGTACCACAACATCAATGCCGCCTCCCCCTCGTCCTTCGCGTACCACAACCTCAATGCCACCGCTCCCTCGCCCTTCTAACACCACTCCGCCGATTCCCACCCCCAACCACCCTTCTGACGCAGCAAGAACAATGTCACTACCGTCACGCCCGAGAAGACCACCGATAGTGCCACCGCCACCACTCCCCTACATTGAATTCCCCCCGTCACCGCCGCCTGAGCCAGGAATTACACTGCTGCCACCGCTGCGCCCGAACATAAGAACGGCAATGCCGCCATCCCCTCCTCCTGACAAGGCAACAACAACGACGCCTCCACCTGTGCTCCCTGACATAGGATTCGCAAGGCCCTCGCTGCCGCATCCAAATGCAACGGCGGCACTGATATCGCCACGACAGCCTTATTTAAAGACGGTGGCGCCTCCAACGCAGTTTCCTCACGGTGCGGTGAAGATGCCGGAGACGCCAGACCGTCTCAAACTCAGGGTGGTGGCGCCGGAGGGAGAGGATGATAGAGCACCGGCAATGCCGCCGCAGCCACATCCCCATCCTCACAGGGCAACGGAGATATCCCAGCAGCCACGTCTCCTGGGACCAAGAACAATCTCCCCAGAACTTCATCCTCCCAGACCCATAACGATATCCCCAGAACCCGATCCTCACGTAGCATCGACGATTTCACCGCAGATACATCCCTACAGGCCATTGGGAATCCCATCACTGCTGGGTCCCCAGCTACCTCTCATCACAAAAGCCATAACAGCGACACAGCCATCGCACGAAGATCCGTCTAGGCCACCGGAAAACCCACCACCGCTTCCTCCACATATAGCCGCAGCGATAGCAGCGTTAAAGACACCACAGCAAGATCTATACAGCTCATCAGAACCAAGCCCTTATACATCAATGGCGATGCCGCAGCCGTTGCAACCGGGCAGCTTCTACAGAACAAGGGTGGTAACGTCGATATCGCCGTCGCCCTCGCCACCACTAACATGGTCATTGTCACCGGAACCAGGACCAGCAACAGCACGAGCTCCGGTACCAGAACCATCACCCTCACCTTCTCCACCACTGCCACCACCACGACGTCTCACAATGGTAGAGTTGGAGCCAGCCACGGATGCGGAGGAGGAAAACGGCAAGGACAAGGGAAAGGGAACAGGCAACGCTCAACATACGGGCGAAGCTACGAGCAAAGGTAAGGAAAGGGCAACCACACCACCTGGATTCATGGCTCGACGGGGTGGCATGGATAATGATGATGATGATGATAACGATGACGACTCATACCTCCGCGATGTTACCCGCGTCGGATATTGACAGTGGTGGTTATTGTGCTGTTTTTCTGACGACGTGACGAATCTGATGACTGTTCCTTCAGCGACATTGAATCTACCTATTCTTCCGAGCCGCTGAATATCCAGGGATCTGGACTTGGAACGAATGCCGTGTCTTTGTAGCGATGTGACGAAGCCCCGGTGCAGTACGCCAGCATGGCATAATACCAAGTACGAACTCTGCCGAGAGCCCCCCGGTCTCGGCCTCTTCTTTTCTGCTTTCCTCGCTTCCCGAATTGCCATCGCCAAGTGATAACCGGACCATTCGCTTCGCCTGCCTCTTTTTCCCGATACGACACTCGACAGGCAAAATCATCCCGCGTATCCGCGCGCCGATGCAGACTGCCAACGACAGCATATAGCAAGAATGTTACTTTATCGGAAGTTGTGAATGTGTCCCTGTGCGTGACCGGAGGGATTCCCCGGAAAGACGGGAGGGGGTTTCTGATTGGCTCGAGACTCTTCACTCGTCCCCCATCAAACCCTTCATCTGCCCGCATCTCGGTCGGATTTCGATACCACCTCGTGAAATGGGGATTGCTCGATAGCACTAAGCTAGGCGCACCTCATGAGACCAGCTACGGGTCCGGGGGCGGCGTGGATCAAAAGTTACAAGCACGGAAAGGATTCCCCGCGCCGCGGCTGAGTCATGGCGGCCGAGCGGCGGTTGGTTGGGCATCTCTGGGTACAGCCCGTGGCAGCTTATCGATAAGTGAGTGAGTGACTCGCACTCACGAAAATGTATGTACAGGTAAGTTGACGAAAGTTGGGCGACACGCTTGCTTCGGCGGGGGCGGCAGGGCCCCGTTGGACAAGCCTGTGGTACCTAAATCACCGCCCCCGCCCCGCCCCCCGATCTTCGATTTTAGACGATAATTCGACAAATGCGACACACCGTTACACCCCGAAACCGGCTTCTTTTTACGGACGTGCCGGCGTGCCTGTACACACGCATCCATCCATCCCCTCCCCGGGGTTCCCTTCAATCGGTGCTTGTCGTCGTCGTCGCCGCCATATAGCATTGTAGTAATATATTAGTGCCTGATAATATTTTGTCTCCTGCGTTTTTTGTGGGATTGTATATTGGGCTTGGGGAATTATCCTCACATAAATTTTGGGGGGGATGAAAGCGAGATACTACTCGAGTTGTTCGGGATGTTGGTGGTGGTGGTGGTGGTGGTGGTGGTTGTTTTAGGTTTCCATCCCAGGGCTAGTGGGCCGCAATAGGTGGCGTATGAGCGTCTAGAAAACACCCCACCACCCCCCCAAAATCCCCAGTTCCGGGCGCCCAGTCCACCCCCAATCCAGCCTAGTAGCCTAGTGAGGTGCCCGTAGTGGTGCACTTCGGGTGCCTATAGTAGTGAACTCTAGGTAGCCGTAGTAGTGTACTTTAGGTACGCCCCGGGGGACGGACGCACAGACAACCACCCTTTCCTCCCTTCCCCTCCCGTGACTCTGGATCCACGCTGCCAGCCAGAAGTTACGCAGGAAGACTCAACTCAATGACGACGTCGCGTTGCCTGTGTGTAAGTAATGTATTTGATCGATCCATTGATTGATTGATTGATTGATTGATTGATTGATTGATATACGCCGTACACAGGGGCAATACCCACAGGAAGAAGAATAATTAACACCGGCCATCTTCCCGCCGGTGGACATAATCATAATAATAACAATAATAATCACTTGGCTCGTGATCACAATTCGCATGCTGGCCTGGCCTGGTCTGGAAAATGAGACCCTCCCTCATGGATGAACCACACTCGCTCGCTCACTAACTAATTAACTAACCAGTCGACCTGGGTGATATAGAGCGGGAAGACAGAGAGAGACACAGGAAGGAGACATTGAGCAACCCACCATCACCACCACCGAACCGTCCGGGCTGGCTTGCTCTGCCACTTGCCTCCTTCCTCCTCATGACCATCCGCCCGTGCACCCCGCCGACCGACCGAAAGACGAGTTTGTTGTCACAACATGTGCGTGTATATGTGCGTGTGTGTGTGTGTGTGTGTATGGAGTGCTTGTCCCTGGAATTCTGCCTTGAATTCCCTTATCTTGTCCTCTCGGCAGGCAAGCAAGCAAGTACTTTTCCTTTCTCTCTTTTCCCCGGGGTGGATTGTTTTCCTTTCCCTTCTGTCCCTGCACTTCTCCCTCAAGTCTCTCACTCGGGAAGAGTGCAGATAGATAGAGAGATAGATAGATAGGCCGGGAGGTAGGCATAGAAGATGGGTGGGCCTGCTCTAGTGGTGGTGGGCTCGTTTCTTTAGGACACCGCCGACTTTCTTCAACTTGGGGATGCGGATGCCACGGAGGCGGGCGGCGAGGGGGTGGCTCTGGTCTTCCATCAACATCCTGGTTTGCAGAGAGATCCGAAGCAATTAGCATACACTGACTCACAGACTGAAGTAGGTAGGTGGATGGGGAGCGCTCCCGCAGCCGCAGCACACACTTACCGTATGTCGAGGTCGTCTCTGATTTCGAAGTTGTGCGCCTCAAACTCGCACCAGGTGAAGAACTGGATGGCCTTGTCCCACTGTCTCTCACTCCGCTCCAGCGGCTGGTGCGACAGGTTCAGCGAAAAGGGCGCGAGCACCCCCAGGCCGACGCGGACCATGTTGTAGTGCCTGATGTAGGCCCACACGTACATGCGGCGGAGCTCGTGGTCGTCGGCGGTGGTCGCCATGGCGTACCAGACCATGACGTGCAGCATGCCCAGCGGGGTGCCCACGGAGTGCATCATCTCGCGCTGCATGGCCTCCTCGATCCTCATGCCGTAGAGGTGAGCCTGGATGCGGCGGCGGGCCCCGGTCAAGAGCAGGTCCAGGCCCTTGTTGTGGGCGGCCAGGAATCGGATGTACAGCTCTTCCTCGTCCGTGGTGTCCTTGTAGAATTTGCGAATGCGGCTGATTTCCTTGTGGAACACCTTTCGCTCCCCGTCGATGTTGGGGTCTTTGGGAAGAACGTTGGCGGCGGGGAAAGTGACCATTTTGAGCACTGGTGAGGCTGAGGGATTTTGACGGATCGCGATAACCTAGAACGACGATGACAATGACGGGCAGAAGAAGAGAAGAAAGAGGAGAGGCTTGTTATCAGCAATTTCAGCAAGGGGGCTTGAGTGACAGATGACATGGGTATATATAGACAGTCGAGCATGTGCTGCTGCTGCTGCTGCTGGGCGAGTGGGCGAAGCGCGGACCCAGGTAACCACAACATCAGAGTGAAAAGCGGTTGACTGTGGAATGTGACGTGACAAGTGAAGCCCGAGAGGCGGCCGGCTTCTTCCTTTCCGATGGATTTTCATTACTTACCTTTTATCAATCTCTTGATCCCATGTGGTGCAGCTACTGCTGGCCTCCCTTGCGTCCAGAGCCAGTGCCAGGCGGTGAAATCCAGCCAGATGGAATTCAAGCCTCTAAGGACCGAGGGTGGGCTCCAATGATACGCCCCGATTTTTCAGCCGCATTCCCAGCACAGGCCACCATGAGGCCCCGGGTTTGGCATAAGTCGGGACTCAAGGGACGGGGAAGGCATTGACAGCTTACGGGGACACCATTTACACTTTCTCCCGTAGCGTCTTTATCTGCTAGCTTTTCCCAGGTGCTGAAAGCCAGGACTGTAAGAGAGAGAGAGAGAGAGAGAGACAGAGCGATATCAGCAAGTTCCGGCATTGTTGGCTTCTGCATGCAAGCAAAAGAAGGCGACCTGTCAGAAGTTGTTTGGGGTATCCATCTCCATGGTCCAAGCGTCCTATAGAAAGAAAAACAGGAATTGCCCCAGTGAGGCTCTACTCCATCTCCATCCTCAGATCTGGCAGCCCAACTTACTGCTCGCCTCCGCCGACCAACTTTGTACCGTCCCGTCCGTCTCTAGGCGGAGCAACGGAAAAATTTGGGATGGTGGATATGACCGGATTGGGCAAGCATCGTCCCACTCCGGCCGGCGTGGGCGAATGGCAGGCCGCGAAAGCCTAAAATGGACCCGCCCGACAACAGTACTTCCTGAAGGAGACTAGCATGTAGTTCCCCAGCACGGGTGCCCCTTGCAGCAAACCTACTGCCAGCCTCAAACTCCCAACTTCGTGTTGCAAGACCTACAGGAAGCCACACACCGCTAGAACAGTTCAGCTGGTGCCCAATTATACTGGCAATGCCCAAATCCAGGGAGATGCTCCGACCTGCAGGAAGAGGGCAAGAAAAGAGAAGATAGACGCGGCTGGAAGGGGTATATATATGGGGACTGCTCCCTTTGGACACTCCTCTTCCCCTTTTCTTCTGTTTTCTCCAGAATCCAAACCACCGTCTCCTGCTCCAGAATACGAGAAAGCCTCCCTCCTTTTCCTCCTTGTGGGTTGTTGTTCCTTGCGTCACCCTTCCGTCCCTCTTGCGAACATCCACTAACATGTCCTCCAACAGCAGCCTGACAGTGCCTCACGATGACGTCCCGTATGGCAACAAGCCGCGGCGCCCTCAAACCCTATGCACGGCCGGTCAACCGTTGCGGACGTTCCATGACCACCCGCGGAGCGTCCAATCGAAGCGTCATCCGCGAGCTCAAGGACCTCAATAAACAGCTCGTGAGCCTCGTGGGTCTCGTGGGCGCCGCCGTCGATGCGGTCGATCAGATTCGTACCGTGAACGGACAGCGTGAGGACATGCGTTGTGCGGTGGCAACGGCAATGCCAGCCCGCCCGGCGTGCCAAACACGCCCCCCTGAAGATCCGGAAGAAAATGACCTCCCCGTTGACGAGAAGGTCCGTTGGCTGCCCCCCGGGAACACGCCGTCGCTCATCTACCTGGGTCGGGCTCTTGACCAGAACGACTTGACCGTCGTGCACTCGTGGTACCGGCGCCTCGAGAGCCGCGTCCGGAACCATGCCCGCTACAGTATTGTGGAATACCACCGCCTGCTGGGCAACCGCAATCGCGTCGAGATCCGTGAGTCTCTGCCGCACGGCTTCCTCGACGGCTGGGTGCGAACCCACTGGGATGACGCATTCTCGTACTATGCCCCGGCGGTGCCGGCCGCAGCGTGGCCCGTGCAACTCAAACTGCACATCAATCCGAGCCAATATATCTTCATCGTCGCTATCGTGTTCGATGACAACGTCGGCCCTCGTCCATGTCAAGACCCCAATATCTTGCAGGCCTTCTATGTGAGTTGGAGCATGCCATGCCATGCCATGCCATGCCCCCTTCACGATGGGTGTACACCGCTGACCCGTGTTCCCCCAACAGCCGGCCAACGTCACCACCATGCTTGATTTGTCGTCCCTCTTCTGGGAAAAAGCTCAACTGCTTTCCCAGACTCGCGACCTGGACAAGTATGCTGGCGCCATTCTCGAAATCAGCACCGAGTTCCGCACGCAATGGGACGAGGCCAGCAGCGACCTCTCCGACCGCATCTACGATGCCCCCCGTCAGAAGGCGCTGATGGACATGGTTGAACGCGAGAAGAGAGTGAGCAGAGCTGTAGTGGCCGTCGTCGAAAATCCGGCCAAGGCGGACCAGTTGTGGGAAAAGCTGGCGACCGTGGTGGACCAAGGCCGCGAGGAGTGGGCGGTGGCTTCGTACGTGCTGCGCGGAGCCATCTGCCACCAGTTGTCGAGCGCCGAATCCATCAACACCGACCCGGTGAAGATGTTTGAAGACCCATTCACCGGGGCGCTGTTGGCATAGGCCGACGAAGAGGAGGCCGGAGGCGACGCAGGCACTATTACTACTACTGCTTAGCCAACAAAGAGCGGTGCTGGGGAAGAGATGCCACCGGGGAGATCTCACTCCCCCAGGATTTAAATGGGACTTTGTGAGATAGTTTAGTATCTCGGGATTCTGAAATGCCCTGTGAGAAGGCCCGACCTGAGGGGCCCCCCAGAAGTAAATCGTAATTCTTGCAGATTCATCCTCCTCGTGACTGTGAACTTTGGTTTGGTCTGGAAAAACATGAACAAAAAAACAATTGAAAAGCAGCCTTGTGAATCATGCTGCCCGTATTCGAGCAATAGGCTTTCATGCACACCATGCACCATGCATATCCGGCACCACCACCATCACCATTTCACAAAAAATCAGTGAAAAAACACAGCTGAAGGCGCCGGGCTCGTTTTGGCAGTTCCCGATGCCCCCCATCACTCCCAGCCCGGCCCCTACTTGTCAGGTATTTTTTGTGTAGCGAGAGAGGGATGGATGCTCCCCTTCTTCGTCTTGCTTGTCCCTATTCTGGCCCATTCTCAGTCCGGAATTGAGATACAGTAGGTATGGAAAATATATTGGGCGATGTTGGTGGAGAGATCACGTGCCATTGAACCGACACACCTCAGACTAATGCTGTGCAGCCAGCGCCCTCACATTATGTTTTGGGGGCATCTGCGCTCGGAAAGTCATACAGACACGGGAGGAACTGGGGAATGTCGCTCATCGCCAATGCTGAGAGATGCACGGCATACCAGTGACATCCATGGGCAGAATTATACACATGGGACCGACCTTTGAAAGGGACCTCGCAGGGGATGTCGTGTATAGATAAGGTCTAGGGCACGTACCTCTAGCGTCGCCCGACGTCGGCGACATCACTTCCCCCCCGGAAAAGTAATGTTCTTACTGCTCTGTTTTCTAGTTACTTGATCAACTGGAGCATTGACAGCTCGCATGAAACTCGCATAGATGGTTATTTTTTCTGGATCTGTTCTGCTCTCTTCCCTTGCTTGCTTTACCCTCGTTCGTGTCTATTCCATTGCGGTCATCAGAACAACTTGTGAGTTGTTTCCCCTCCACGTTTGGTGGTAGCGAGTAGGTCGAGCCATGCATTGACAACAACGTGGGTACTGTCAACGAAACCTCGTTGATATTGATATCGACAGATAAGTGCTATGAAAGCATTTCCTACCTGTATGCCGTGCACCTTTTTGTGCCTCGCTTGTCCGCATCAGCTGGGGCGAAAAGAAAACCCGCCCTCCCCCGGGATTCAAAGGAGACAGAAAAAGGGCATGGCAGCATGTGCCGATGCCGCCAAAATGCCTGTGCCGTTTGCCAAGTTGCTGGGGAAGTCTGCCGCCACGACCAGAGGCCGTGGAGGACCAAGCCGCAGGACTCACGTCGAGGCAGACAACGCCTATGCAAGTCCAGGTACATACGTCCTCCATCCGCATGTGTTGTCTGAATTCATACATGCCATGTACTTACTGACATGTCCAGGTTGGCGTGATTACCTGCCTCCATCTCCCTCCCTCCCTCCCTCCCTCCCTCCGCGCGTCGGTCCATCGATAGGCGGGGACCTCTCGCGAACGAACAAACAAGCAAGCCAAAAGGATGATGTGGTCGGTCGGTGGGCGTTGCACGGCTTGACCTGTGTATGTGCGTTTGTGTGTGTGAGCGTTGAGCAGTGGATGGAGCTTTAAAGGGATTGGGACTGGGATTGCTGGGAATAACAGGCATAGGCATGAGCATGATGAGTATGATGGGAATTGGAACAAAAGACGGGGATTTTTCTTATATTTGGGGGTCGTTGCCTGGTTGTAGGGCGCAGGCACAATACAAAAGTTGGAAAACAATCAGTTATCAATGAATAAATGAGCAACAACAACACCAACAACAACAACAAGGGCCGAATGACTTATGGGGAGCTAAGGATATATAGATAAAATGCCACCCGACCATATCTAGCCATGAGATAATTTGTTTTCTTTGGGAATACACCAAGGTAACCTACCTACCTACCTACCAACTTGTGGCAGACGCAAGACATTACTGTATAATGCAATAACATAAGTTTTAGGCATGGGACGTGCCTAAATTGTGGGCAAAATTAGTTAAAGGCCGTCCCTATCGAAACCGCCTAATTTTCTCCATATCGTCCTTGGAATAATTAACTTAGGTACAATAGGTACGGGATGATACCTCTTCAGCCACGGCGCATGAGTGCATTCACGTGAGGATAATTCTACTCGTGCAGGAAAACATGGGTCTTTGGATATCGTCTGGCATGAACACCCTTTCAGAAAAGAGAGAGATACGCAGAGAAAGTATCCAATGCGTATTTGCAGGAATGTATGCGTGCATTCTAGCTAGGTGTGTACAGAAATCCTGGCTTGATTGCCTTTCTTTGCGATGCTGTCTTGCCCACCAAATTCCCATGACCTTTTCCCACCTATCGATTACCAGGAGGTAGCCTATCCAGCCTCGAGTTGTTCCGAAGAGGCATGTTGTTGTTGTCCTTGTCGTCGTGTGCGTCTTGCGGCGATATTCGTGGCTTCATGGGCTGACTGGCTGAAGGGTGGCTTTAGGTGGTCGTAAGGGGGAAATAGGCGACTCTGGGGGTTGGTTTGGGCGCTCCGGGGGGGCATGCCCAGCACCCCCCAGCTCCACAGGCGAGGGGAACAACAACGGCAGCCTGCCTGCACTTTTACCCACAAAGTCCCACGCGTCGCCTAACAGAGAGAGGGCTGACGACCTTCCGAGGTAGATTGTTGTTGTTTGATCGATGAGTTCTTGTTGCTGGTAATGAATGTCAAATGCAGCGACACCAGCAACGCAACACCAACAATGAGAGTGCCGCTGTTTGCCATGGCCCATGTCCAGGACGTGGGACATGGTTTATGATTTCTGTTCGTTGGCTCTTTCAAAGAGCTACAATCTTCTTGCTGATAATCACGGGCGTCGGTCGATAATCGCGTTAGAACGGTTGTTTGTTCTCCTGCTCATAGTGTAATGTAAGTAGGCTCTGGATCCCGTCGCTGTTGGCGTGAGTGGATGAGACAGCGGTTGAGGATACAAACAGCAGCCTCGTTAGCCTCTCTGCTCGTTGGTGCTCTTATAATCGCCACGGGTGAGATTTCGATTCGTCCTCGGGCTCTGTGAGATAAGTCTAGCTCAGACCGGCTGACTGACCTGGATCAAGCATAGAGTTTGTGGCCCTTCTAGGACGACGAGCATGTCAGGTGGTCAGGCATCGGGTGTGCATCCATCCTGCGGACGGCACGGTGGACACAGGGCTTCAACTTGGATAGACTGAGCAGGAAATGTGGTTTCGTCGCCGTCGCAGAGACTCACTCCCTCTCTCTCCACAGCCTCGCGCGGCGACGGCGACAGTGGTGAGAAACAATAGATACCGTCGATTTATTCCGACAGCCCCGAGGAGTTCCATGTCTTGGGTGACTGGCGCAGATATCCAACACCGGAGGTGCATGGGTAGAATAGAGGCCTATTGGAGAGAAAAAGAGAGGGAGAGAGGGAGGGGGATAGGGACACTCCTTGGATTCACTCCCACGGCATAGCCATGGTCCTTCGTTATTGGCAGTACAGTGAGTGAGTGAGTGAGTAAGCGACTCCTCAAGACTCTTAGTAAACGAAAGAAGGGCGGACAGGCTCAATTGTGCCTCACTTGGACCTGACAGCGTTTTCTGTATAAGTCGGGAAAATGTAAGGCCAATTGCAACTCGAAGAACACAAGAACGTAATGAACCCTGATATCAACATTCGTAATCATCACGTCGTCAACCCTGTCGCCACGAGGAATGCCATTCTCCTCCGTCGCTGACCGTAGTCACTCGTTTTCGAACCTGAACTCCCCCTCTTCACCGTGCTCCTCGACTTCGTGCTCGATCACCCTCTCAATCTCGCTGGCAATGTTGAGCACCCAATGGTCCCTCTCTGCCCGACTGCGGCATTTGAACACCATCGGTCGTCCCAACACCCCCAGCTGCCCGACTCGACGAAGCGTCGCCCTGGTACGCCCGCCACCGCTGCGACTAGGGCCCGGAGCTGCATTCTCTGCCGCCGTGGCTGTTCGGAACCAGCTCTTCTTCCTGTTCTGCCACACCACAAAACACGTCATGATGTCAACGTCCGCGCTGGTCCAGCCATCCTCCAGGTACACGCGCGGGAGACTCGCCAGCCCCGGGTGGTTGGCGTCGAAAGTCCGGTTCTCGTACAGCAGCTCTTCCCCAACAATTAGACCACTGTAGACGTAGCAATCTTTCAGGTCCACGGCCTGCTGTTTCTCTTGGTGGACGAATTTGATGGGCTGCCCAGTCCTTTTTCTCACCGCCGACTGGAAAATGAGCATCTGGCCCCCAGTAAGGATGACCTGGCACCGGTGAAAAGTTGCCCGTCGGCGTGTTTTGAGAAACACCGATCCGGACATGGTGATGCTGCGGCAGCTGCTGATGGCGCACATGTTGTACAACTCCGGACTCGCCTGGCTGCGGCTCACTTCCCATTTCTTCGCAAACTGGCCGATGATGGCTTCCATTTCTTCGTCCACAGAAAGCTGCTCGAGATTGGCTTGTCGCACCGCCTTGAACGTTCTCATTTCCGCCGCTGTGCGCAGCTTCCAGTATCTGACCAATTCTCTCAGCCGGCGGATCCATTCGTCGCGCGTGTCCTTCGAGTAGGCTTGTAGGCGAACCACCAGCCCGTTCTGGAGCACGAGTTCAAAGATGCGATCGTCGTCGATCTCTTGCGTGGACCCGTCCTCTCGCCGACTGTCGGCAACCTCCTGGTGAAAATCCACGTCCGAGCTCGACCCGGAGCCCAGGACTTCGTCGGCGAGAGTAGCGCCCCGTTTCATGGTGCGCACGTGCTGGATGTTGCACATGTGGATGTATCCGTCCGCCTCCAGGATGTTGGTCACATTCCGGCGAGCCTCTTCGATGGCGGCCCGGTCGTGACTCTGCAAAGTCGCCGGGTTGCCGGAGGACAGCCACGAAATCTTGCCATTATCCAATTTGTATGGTTCGATGTCGTACATCAACGGGGAATGCTCCACGATCTCGTGGGAGGAAGGAACACCCCCTCCGCTAGTGGTTGCGAGTTGCGGCGGATGTGGCGGTGTCGCTTTCGCCGGACGATTGAACATCAAAAACTGGTTCTGCGACGAGAAAAACAGACGCTTGAAGAATGCTTTCCCCAACTTGGTGTGTACTCCTTTCTGAGACGTCAATCGAATCAAGAACCCTTCAACGGGGGGCGGCTCGTCGTAGACCTTGTCGCGTCGGTCATACGTAGATGTGGCGTAGTGCAATTTCGGGCGCAGTTCCAGATCGTGTGACCGGGCCATGGCCATCGACCCATACATGTGTTGCTCGTTGATGCCGTGCACCCATTCAAGCCGGTCGTATCTCTTCCACGCCAGACCCATTTGAACCGTCTCGCTCCATTCTTTCAAGACCTGCGACCACTCGCCATCTAGTTCCAACATGGAGATGCTCTCGGAAATGATCCTCCCGGCAACGGCTTTCTCCGCCGCGACGGTTCGCACCAGGGCGGTCTCCTCGTCTGCGGCATCGGTGGCAGCGATCTCCAGTTCTTCAAACGGCCTCTCCAGCCGCACGGTAACATCAAGATCCGGGACAATGACTTCGAGGGAGAACGGCCGTTCCCAGCCGAGGATGTCTCGGAGAAAGGTGTACCACTCTACAGAGTGTCCCTGCGAACGTGGCCGCACCACCATGATTCTCGTGCCTTTTTTGTACGGATGCCAGATGACCACGGTCTTGTCGAGGGATGAGTACAGATTGACTTTCGTCGTCTTGGGATCAAGTCTGATCTCATGCCGTGGCTTCTTTTTTGTCGAGCCATTGTCAATCTCTGGGATGACTCGGGTTTTGTAGACTTGCAGCCTGTAGTCATCGACATCCTGCGCTTTGCTCTTTCTCACCACGACGATGAACTCCCGCCACTTGTCGAGCAATCTGGTCCCGATCTTGAAGCTCTCATTCTCATCAAACTCTTCCGGCACTTGCTGGAGAGTCATCTCCACTCGGACCAGCATGCGTTCCATTTTGACCACAGTTCCTTCTTGTAGAGTATTGCGTCTCAACCGCCGGTTGGCGACATGCTCTTGTACCCGAAATGCTTTGTTGACCACCTTTTGCTGGCCGCGTTGAACTCCTTCCGAGACCTTGAATCTGACACCGGTGCTCACACGGCCCAAGCGATAATCTTGGACTTCAGACAGAGGGGCAGGTTCATGGCGCTGCAGGGACTTTGCGGACGCTTCGGGACTGCGACGGTCGGCGGAGAGGAGGGCAGTACTGGAGCCAGTTTCCAGATCGTTGCCAGTGGAAGTCGAGGGCTGCAGGAACTTTCTGCTAAACTTTTGCCCGGTATGATCGTCATTGTGCTCTGAGGGTTGCTGGTCAGTCGGGTCTGCGAAAGGATTTTCGTCGGCAACCTGGTCAGATTCGGGGTTTGGCGACTTGGCGATTTGCATTGTGCTCGGTCCCGGTCTGATGGTGTCGCTGGAGTCGTCCGGACTTAGGTCTCGACCGACGGGGGTCCCGAGGGTGCGGCTGAGATTGCCTGACACATCGACTGTAGCCACTGGAGCGAGCTCTCTTGTTTGGACTGGTGGTTCCCAGTCATCTTGTTCTACGTCGTCCGCGTAGCCTGCGCTTGAATCTTGTTCGAATACATTTTCAGGCTGAGGGAAGCCAAAGGTCATCCGAGCGGCTGTCGAAGGGCCTTCAAGACCAGACAACGTCCTATGTCGACGGTCTTGCTCGGTGGCGGCGCGGAAGCTTGCCCTTCGAGAAGAATATGTGTTGAGCTGCAGTCTTCGCCGATACCACTCTTTTCGGTGGCTGTTGAGCCAGCCCTCCGGGACAGGACCGATGAAGAAACGGTGGGAGGTCACATAAATGTGCTCAGGAAGGGCATGTTTCAGGCGGTGGGCAGTGTACGAGTTGGGGTCAAGAGCTTCGAAGTCTGAGGCGTTCGTGGTCACACGGGAGGTCGACATCTTCGTACCACAATACAGGATAGCAGCATAGTCTTGTAAGGTATATTCGTTGGCATATGAGAGGATGTAAAACGACTCCTCCAGGGAGTTTCGACAAAAGACGGCGTGGACAGTAAGTAAGTAGACTGCGCCTCTTGACCCTTCGACGCGTTGCGCAGCCAAAATCAAAATCTGGGAATTCAATGACGTCAAGCGTGTTTTTGGATGTTTGCTGTGTTTGCCATGTTTGCACCCCGCCGCCGCCCGAACGCCATTGGCATGCGCCCTGCGCCCCCTCGACAAGTCTTCACCGTCATTTGCATCTTCCATGCTCACCATCCCTTCGTATACTCTCTACCGAGCAGAATTATATCTCACCTGTTAGCCATGTCCGGCGCCCAGATCCCACCAGGCAAAACCTGGTTTGACACCCACAAAGTGCACTTCGACGACGTCCCCCTTTCCGACGACGGTGGCATTTCCACTGTCGAATTCCTCGATGCCTCCGAAGCCACCACCACCCTCTTCGATCTCCTGGGCTCCGTTGCCTTTACGCCTGTGAAAAACGACATGATGGGCAATGTGACAAAGATTCGGGATCGCTACAAAGCTGCCCCTGAGGGCTCAGCTACAGTCCAACAGCTCGTCAAGACAGAATTGGCCTCAAAATCCCACAAAGCCACCGAAGGGTTGGTATGGCTGACTCGTGGTCTGGATTTCACAGCACAGGCTCTCCGGTCGGACCTCACCACCAACGCCTCTGTCAAGGCTGTGGAACCAAAGCCCAACAAGGAGCTCGCCGATGGATTTCGAGCAAGCTACAAGAACACTCTGGCTCCTCATCACGGCTTATTGATCAAGCCCCTCTTCAGTGCCGCCATGAGTGCCACCCCCTACCGGAAAGACTTCTACGTGCGATTGGGAGGCGAGGGGACAGACCCAGAGACCACAAGGGAGGCGCTGGAGAAATGGGTGGCAGCGTTGGAGAAGAGAGTGAGCATTCTGAAGGCCTTTTTGGCCAGCAAAGAGGCGAAGTGGTGAACCACAGGGTTACCCATCATAACACATTGGAACAAGGGAAATTGGCAAAGTATTTGTTCTGGGGGAGGGGTACATCACATCCTGGCTAGTTTGTCTCAGAGGTGCTACATTAGCAGCAGACAGAGTCACAGGCTTCATGAGCAGGGGTGTTGCATGACGACAGATTTTTCCACCACCTGTACCTCGTTTACTGCCCAGTGAATGTAGCCTGCGTGGCCGAGGACGACCATGTCAACGTTGTTTGCTCAACCTGAGTTTCCCCGGTCGGATCGCCACACCTGCCCAACCAGGATGGCGCGCAACTTCCCCGCGCGGTCTGCAACTGCGTCTTCGCAAACTGCGGATTTACTCACAAACTGCGTGACATTCAATCGCAGCAACTGCCACCCACTTCTTCTTCCTCGTCTTCAAATTCCATGCTTCGTTCAATTCTCACTTCTTCTTTTCTCTCTCTCCGTCACCTCCCTTTTATTGTTCCATCAGTCAGAACTCTCTCGCTCTCTCTTCGTCTTCCAGGTCAAGCAGACGCCTGCCAGGCTTCTTGCTTTACCAGCCAGGTAACCTGTTCTATTCCTCATCATTTTCTTTGGTCCGCTCCTTTGTCGTTCGTGCTCGTGTTCACAACATGCAGGCATCCACCATGACGTTTGCTCCTCTATCCTCTGCAAACCCTCTTCTCCTCCAAGATATCCCAACTCTCTCGGTCCTCTATGCCCGCGGCCAACTTCATCCCAACACTGAGGGGATTGACCTCCCTGTCCCAGACCAAGTTCTAAATGACAAAATATGTGCGGTTCAAGCCGATATTACTACCATTAAGACGGATGCCATAGTCAATGCCGCGAACCGTTACCTCCGTCCAGGAAGCGGTGTCAACGGATCCATCCAGCGTGCAGCTGGTCCTGAGTTGGCGGAAGAGTGTTCCACCTTGGGAACCTGTCCTACTGGCTCCGCAAGAATCACAAATGGCTACAATCTTCCCGCCACCAAAGTTATCCACGCGGTTGGTCCAGTGTTTAGGGATCATCAACTTTCGGAACCACTGCTGCGTAGTGCATACCGGTCGGCGCTCAACGTGGCTGTTGACAATGGTTGTCGCACCGTTGCCTTCCCCGCAATTTCCACCGGTATCTTCGGTTATCCTGGTCAGGACGCCGCAGAATGTGCCATTTCAGAGGTTCGTGCGTTCCTCGAAGGACCAAAAGGTTCGCTGCTTGACAAGGTCATCTTTTGCCTCTTCGTCCACAATGACGTGGTCCTGTACTCCCGTCAACTGCCGTAAGTGTCCTGACCTCTCCAGGCGCGAGACTTTGCTGACTTGTGCAAGCATCTTCTTCCCACCCACCGACCTCGACTTGTCCCATGGAGGTGAGTATGGTTTTGATACAGTTGACCGCAACAAAGAGAACAACGAGCCAACCAATGGACAGAACGCCTTGGAGCCTGAAGATGCTGAGACAAGCCCGGTGAGGCGTCAATTCACCCGATCAGAAATATCCCGACTTCAGCTCGATGGGGCGAATGATGAGCCTGCACATGCTGAAGGAAACAACATGGTCGACGACAAGAAGGACGCCAGCTTACAGACTAACGACGTAGGACCATCAGGCAAGGTGAGCACCAAGTTCTGCACCAGTAGCACCTTCTCAGTCACTAACGCAGGATGAGGCTAGGGAATGTGACCATCGACGCCTTGCAATCCACGACGGTGCCTCTTCAAATGGGCTTTGGCCAAGCGGAGCTCTTGTGTGTGAAGACTGCGGAGCCATCATGCAGAACCCTAGCAAAGACATTCACACTCCTCCTCCCCGCCGGATTCCTCGGGTCTGAACGCGAGCACAAAGATCAAACATGAGAAACAGTGAGGCCGCAGGCAAAAAAATACATGGAAATCCCCCAAACAAGAGACAAGACAGATAAGCACAGAAGATTAAGGAGACACATTGATACTGGCGACATTGCAGTCTCTCTCTCTCTCTCTTTCTCTCTCTCTCTTAGCGGGTGGCGTTGGTGCAGAAGCTGGACGGGCGCATGGACTGTGTTGTACACTAATGCTCTTCGGAAATGTACATGAATGGTAATGGCGGATGGCGCTGCTGGCCGAGCCAGATCCTGTTGAGATAAATCCCTCAGCACGAGCCTCCACATTGAGTCCTCATGATGATTGAGGCAGGGTGTTATGAATAAACCGTTCAGTCTGGGGACCTCTGTTCGTATTCCTTGATGCTCTCAACCCGTTGTGCACTAGACATGTTCATTTTCCTTTTGTTGTCGACGACAATGTTGTCCACGGGACGGATATACACGCGTACGGGGTATATACGAAACTCACCCAATGCTTTATTTACCCCCAGCAAAGAATTCCCGATCCTTGCCTAATCGCAGGATCTCCTCGCACACTTTCGCCGTCACCTCGTCGGTACCCGCCTGGCCACCCAGATCTCTCGTCTTGACGCCCCTCTCCAAGACGGCCTCGACGGCGGCCATGAGCATGTCGGCGGCTTCAGGTTGGCCCAACCACCGCACCATCTCGGCACACGTCCAAAAAGTGCCGACGGGGTTGGCGACGCCCTGGCCGGCAATATCCCAGGCAGAGCCGTGGATGGGCTCGAACATGCTGGGGTTCTGGCGGGTCGGGTCCAGGTTGCTGGTGGGTGCGATGCCGATGGAGCCGGCGAGGGCGGCGGCCAGATCGGACAGGATGTCGGCGTGCAGGTTTGTGGCGACGACGGTGTCGATAGTCTCGGGCTGGAGGGTCATGCGGCATGTCATGGCGTCGACAAGCATCTTGTCGGCGCGCACGTCGGGAAATTCACGTGCCACGGCGTCGTTGACCTCGTCCCACAGCACCATACCGTTGCGCTGGGCGTTGGACTTGGTCACGAAGGTCAGCGTCTTGCGAGGGCGCGAGCGTGCCGTCTCGTACGCGAACCGCAGGAGGCGCTCGCAGCCATGGCGCGTGAAGACGCTGACTTCGGTCCCCACCTCCCACGGCTGGGAGACGTGCGAGCGGCCTCCGTGGCCGGCGTACTCGCCTTCACTGTTCTCACGGATCTACCTCGTACAAAGTGGTTTTAGAACACACAATACCATAACAAAAAAGGCCGGGGGGGGGAACATATATATGCATAACTTACAATGACCCAATCCAACTTCTTCGCATTCTCCTGACTACCCTGACACGCAGAGAGCGGCGACGTAACCCCCCGTAAGATGCGGGTCGGCCGCACGTTGGCGAACTGCTGCAAGGGCTGGCAGATGGCGAGGCGCAGGCCCCAGAGCGAGACGTGGTCGGGCACGCGGCGGTCACCAACGGCGCCGAACAGGATGGCGTCGAATCCCCGGCGCAGGGCGTCGAGGCCCCCCTCGGGCACGTACCGGCCCGTCTTGAGGTAGGTGTCGCTGGACCAGTCGAAGTGGGTGATGGCGAAGGTGAACTTGGACGCGAAGGCCTGGGAGAGCGTGTGCAGGACTTGGATGCCCGCCGAGATCACCTCGGGCCCGATCCCGTCGGCGGGGATGGAGGCGATCTTGTATTCTGTGGAAGACGGTGGTCCTGGATTGGAGCCCATGGTTTATTGTTGTGTTTGTATATAGTTATACGGAGATGAGGTAGATAGATATATCAGGGGAGGTGTTTTGTCTGGAAAAAGTGAAGATTGGATTGTCGTGAAGTGTGTGATATTTGTGCTCCTCCATTGAGATGTGTATAGAATATATATGACTATATATTGTCCGAGTATCGGCTTCACCCGGACATTCTCCGTCTTCCCGTCGGGCCAAATCACACCACGGCCTCCAATGCCGTTCATTTGCCACAGCTGCAACCGAACAACAAATAACACAAGGGCAAATCAATTTTGGGGGGCGAGAGACGCATCTTGTCCCATTAATGCTCATCATCAATTCTCTTCTGCTGGTGGGTTTGATTTATCGTGTTGTGTATTTTCAGTCAGACGAAAAAATAAACCCGACATGTACGGCGTTGTGTGTTTGTGCGCCACGAAAAAGTCCCCAGTCAGACAGAAAGTAAGAAAGAAGCATGGAAAAAGGAAAACCAAAGAAAAAGAATGAATGGAGATTTATGCTTTCATCCACCACCACAACCACCACGTATTATTTATTTATTTAATGCGACAACCTCTCCACCCACTCGGCCGCACTGAGCACCTCGGCCTGCTTCGCAATGACCTTGATCGCCGCCTCGTGCATGTCTTGTTCCGTGTCCCTGCACAGATCCGCCAGCACCACCAGCCGGTAATCCATGTCCGCGCCCTGCCGCACCGTCGACATGACCACGCCGCTGGTGCTGAGCCCGGCGATCACCAGCGTCTCGACCCCGAGACTGCGCAGCACCAGGTCCAGGTCCGTGCCGTGCAGGGCCGACACGCGCCGCTTGATCACCACGATGTCGCCGTCGTGCGGCGCCACGCTGGCGTGGATCTGCGTCGACGCGGAGCTCTCGCTGAATGACGTCCCGCCGGCGGCTTTGGCGCCCGCCAGCAATGCGTTGCGGGGTGACACCTCGGGCATCCCTGGCCGAAACGCCACCCGCACGTAGATGATGGGGAGGGAGGCCGCGCGGGCCGCTGCGATGGTTTGGGACAGGCGCTGCAGGAAGGATTCGGTATTCTCGGGACCTCCCTGGACGCGCTCGATGATGCCGTTTTGGATGTCACAAACCAGGAGGGCGGTGGTGGCGGCCATTGTTCTTGTTGTTGTTGTTGTTGTAGGTTGGTTGGTTGGTTGGTATTTGATGTCACTTGGGTCTTTTTCCTTTTTGTCTCCTCTCAGAAAGAGAAGTATAACTTCCGTAGATTTCTTGTTGAGCACTCGAAAGGTGAGGAAACAATTCCAAAATCTCCCAAGTCAATCAGAGCGGTTTCCGCAATATATGTATACGTGATACAAAGTACCTCCGGCCCGGAGTGGTCTATTTCCATCTCCATTGATTGGGCCCGAGCAGGCCGGTACCGGGACATTCTGGGCTGCAAAAGCTGTGCAAAAAAGCTGACCGGTCCGGTGCGCGCATCACTGCCATCCAGACAATCACGTTTAATTCCCCCCCGGAATCGTGGCAGCGATGGGCACCTAGGACGCGTTTTACGCTTTCCGTTGCCCAAAAAGTTCCATTGGGTGGGAAAAATATAGCTGGGCATAAGGCGGGCATCTCCAGACCGTGCGGAAGTCACCGTCGTCTTCGCCTTACCCGACGCCCTGGCACATCTTGGAAGATGGATTTCTGCACATTAAAAAACAACAACAACAAATTGTTCAAAGGGACAAAGGCTAACAGATTTTCTTTTCCTCTCTCTCTTCTTTCCTGGATTCTTATCGTGCAGCGTGCTCAAGAACTGATATTCCAAAGCAGGAGAAAGGGTATCAAGACGATTTGTCGACCAAAATGGCAGAAAAGGCTCGAGTCCTTCTCGTGGGAAGCGGTGGCATCGGCACCATGGGGGCCGTGAGCCTGGAAAAGGGCGGGTTGGCGACCGTGGCCGCGGTGCTGCGATCAAATTACAGTGTGGTCAAGGACCGGGGATTCACCATCGACTCGTGCGACCATGGCAAGTTCGACGGGTGGAGGCCCTCCGAGGTGCTGTCGAAGGTGCCGGATGTGACGTCCACCAACAAACCATTCGACTATGTCGTCGTCACCACCAAGAACATCCCTGACGTGCCGCCGACCGTCGCCGACTTGATCCGCCCCGCTGTTACGCCCGGCCACTCGGTCATCGTGCTCATCCAGAACGGGCTGAACATCGAAAAACCCCTGATGCAGGCCTTTCCGGACAACGTCGTGCTCTCGGGCGTGTCGCTGATGGGCGCCGACGAGCTGAGTCCCGGCCACATCCTCCAGAACGACGTGGACCGGCTCTTCATTGGGCCATTTCTCTCCCACAAGATCGACCCGAGCAAGCAGGTCGCCGCCGCCGAGGACTTTGTGCGAATATACTCCGCCTCGGGCAAGGTGCAGTGCTCGTATCAGGCCGACGTGCTGTTCATCCGGTGGAGGAAGCTCATGTATAACGCCGTCTGGAATCCCATCTGCGCCCTGACCGACATGGACACCACCCGCCTGCGACTCGCCTCTGACGCCCAGGACCCGGCCAGCCCCCTCAACCTGTTGGTGCGGCCGGCCATGAACGAGATACGGGCGGCGGCCAAAGCGGCCGCGGGCGTCGAGCTGGACGAGTCCCTGGTGGAGGCGCAGGTGGAATGTGACCCTATGGAGATATTCTGCGCGCCTAGCATGCTGCAGGACCGGCGCAAAGGGCGGTTCATCGAGTTCGAGAACATCCTGGGTGAGGCCCTGCGGGAAGGGGAGCGTGCAGGCGTCGCCATGCCCACCATCAAGTGCTTGTACGGCCTGTGCAAGGCGACGCAGTGGCGGACCATGGAGCAGAACGGCCTGGTCGACGTCCAGAAGCTGATGGGGACCTACCGCGGGTCTTCAGGTGCTTGAAATAGCCCACCAGCCCCTAGCCTTTTGGCGAAATTCGATAACTCCGCGGCGGGGAGAGCAACGCCAAATGATGATGACGATGTTGATGGGGTGGGTGGGCCTAGGCCGATCGCTGCTGAAAAGGACAGGGGATTCGGAACCAATGCGAGTCCGTCGTATGTAGCGAGGTAGCAATCTGAAGAAGAATTTGTGCCCCTTCCCCAGATCGATGTGACTCTGTCTGTCAAGATCTTGGAAAGATGAACGAAGATTCAGCCACTGTAAATGCCCCCTTCATTCTTTGTTTGGATTGCTCGAGTTGTGAGATGGCCGGTTCTAGCCACGCCTTCCAGACAGGAATATCGGCCACGCCGCACATCATCGTCCAGGCCCTCGTGTCTGTACTGCACTGTCGGACGCCGACACATAGCACTCAATGGCTTGCTGCTGCTGCTGAAAGGGCACTCCTACCTCTCGTGTGGTGGTGATTTCTTGCTCATGTGGCCCCAGACTGTGGTCGAGCCACCTTGCAGGAAGTCCTGTCGTCACAACTCCCGAAAATGGGCATCGTGGTTCGTTACCAGCTTTTTGATGCCGGGAGACGGGAGAGGGGAAAGAGATTAGACTTAAACAGGACGGCCAGAGCTTCGTAGCAAAACCGAACAACATCCGTCTTCCGCTCTCAGCCCGACGCATCATCTCTACCATTCTCTTGTCTTCGGGTTTTTTCATTTTGCTTTCAGACATGACTGTTATTCAGCATGTCCAACCCTGGCTCGTTCTCATGGTCGAGCCCCATCCAGCAGACCAGACAATGTCCCGTTGGCGCCTGATTGAGGAACCATCGCCTCACGCGCCGGTCGCTTACCAGGGTGACGATCCCGACGTTGAAGAGCGTGTCACGACTATGATCTGCGTCGACGGCTCGCGGCCGACCGACGTGCACATCCCGCGTGCGCTGCTGGAAAGCATTGAAAAGATCGGCCTGCATGCGGACCACCAACCATACCTCAACACCGCCGTCTTTCCCCATCTGCGGGAGATTTTCGACAACGGCGACGTGCCGTACTATGTAGCCCAGCACCTGGACCGTGGTGGACTGGATGTGCGCGAAGAAGAGCACCTGGATATGGTAATCCTGCGGAATCGGGCCAAAATACACAGCCAAGTCAAGCCCGCGTTGCCGGGCTGGATCAGAGACGTCGTCGACGACCCGGCCCGCCAGATCGAACTCAAAATCCGCATCTCGATGGATTTCCGCACCAAGACAGAGCAGCAAGGTCCCATGCGGGTGTCTTACACCAACGGAGTCGTGCGGATCGTTTCAGACGCGTGGTTGCTTCCGCCGGCGAACCTCACCTATTGCTGGAGAGCAGGCCGACCCGTGTTCACCGTCGAGCGGCCTATCCCCAACTATGCTGTATGAGAGGAGAAACAGCGCCCATAGGATGATGGCATGGGAGAGGAGCTGAATATGGGTGTCACGAGCACGAAGAGACACTTACTTTGACGTTGCACACGTGGAACGTTGGAAGCGATGATGATGTTGCATCTCTCAGAAATACTTGCAGTGCACCCACCAGATGATCTATAGTCAGCCACGGCATAATCAAAATATGCCAGATAGATATTGTGATCTTGCGTAAAATGCCATCATCACCTGCGCAGGCAGGCTCTTATCGGAGCAAAGGGCCCAATGATCGATCGATGTCGCTTACCTCTGTGGCGGAAGAAACCTACGAGTACTGTAGTACCCAGGTACTAACTTAGTGTCAACGTGGCCGTGATGAATCGCTAATTGGTGATAATAGTGGCGACGAGCTACCCTCCCGTGTCTCTGCGATGCGACCTGTCGTGGATATATATGTGATATTATTAGGGACCGGAATCGGGTAGCAGCACGCCTAAAGGGGGTAAGGACAGTGGGCTGATAGGCACTAAGGGCACCTCTTCTAGGCTTGGAGGGGAAACAGAATGGGCACCTGTGGGCTCTAATCAGGACACATCCCAGATACCGACGGGTCGCCAAGGGGAGGAGGAGTGATAGGCGTGATGGGCGTGTGGGGGGGCGTCGAGAGCATGTCGGTTTCAAGTCAGCCGGGCGCGCCTGTTAGGGGGTAAGCGTCAGATAAACTTCCCGCCCCACCCATCCGTCCAATTTCAGATTGTCGGGGCTGCGCGCCTATCAAACATGCGTTCCCCTGAAGCTCCGAGTCTCAGCTTTTCCAGCCCAAGGGATGAGGGATGATACATGGGAGGGAGCAAGGGAGCGAGCGAGGGAGGGCAAGACACCAGAAAAAAAATGTCCTCCCTCTCTTTCGTCGTCCTTTCGTGTCCTTTTTCAATCTCTCAACCTCTTGACCCTTTCCATCAGAGGTTGAGTTGCCCTTCTTCCTGCGCGCAGCCTGGAAAACCAACATGTCCATGTCCCTGCCTCGAGCATTGAGCCCTCTGAGGCTTCTCCTCGTCTTCGTCACCCTCGTCTCTCTCTTCCTCTTTCGATCCTACTACCTCCCCAGCCCCGGCCCGGACGCTGAATATGGCCTTTCCTCCTCCGCATCCCTCCTCGAAAGCTCGAACTCCCACGCCCCCGCCACGGTCGAAGATGTAGCCGATCTCGAGCTCGAAGACAGTTACTACGCGCCCGACGACGAAGATACCGACCTGGTCACGCAGCCGGCAGAAGAAGAAGAAGAAGAAGAAGAAGAAGAAGAAGAAGAAGAAGAAGAGCATGCATCCCCGGACACCGAAGCTGAACCCGAGTCTGACCCCGAGACTGAGCTTGACTCGGATGCTGAAGCTGAGGTTGAGGCTGATGTTGAAGCTGAAGCTGAAGCTGAACCCCCATACGATTTCGAAGACGAATCCGAACCCGAGCCTGCACCCAAGTCCACGAGCTCTTCCAAACCTGTCCTCTCTCCATCGACTCCTCTGTCAACCTCCGACCCTCACCTTCCACCGTGTCGCCAACTCCCGGGCGCAGACAAAGTCGTGGTGATTGTCAAGACCGGGGCCACTGAAGTATTCGCGCGTGTCCCTGAACAACTCGTAACACTGGCCCAATGTGTGCCCAACTTCATGGTCTTCTCCGACATGGAGCAGCAGGTCGGAGAGTTCCGCATCCAAGATGCCCTAGATGAGATCGGACAAGAGTACAAGGAGAACCACGATGACTTCCGGTTCTACAACGACGTCCACGCCGCCCATGTCGCCCACGGTGATGTGAGCGTGCTGGGCTCTGACAAGGCCTGGGCGCTGGATAAATGGAAAAACATTCCCATGCTGCACAAGGCGTACCTGAAATATCCTGAGGCAGAATGGTTTGTTACCATCGATGCCGACACATATCTCAGCTGGGCGAATCTCCTTCTCCTGCTTGACCGCATGGACCCGGACGAGCCGCTCTACGCAGGTTGCGTTTACTGGCATGGCCCGACGGCGTTTGCACAGGGCGGCACGGGCTATCTTCTCTCCCGCAACGCGGTGCAGAAATTCGAAGACATCCGAACCCCTGAGAGGATTGCCGACTGGGAGAAAGAGACGTCCACAATCTGCTGCGGCGATGTCATGCTGGGGGTCGCCATGGGCCACGCCGGAGTCAGCGTCAGCGGTGCCTGGCCGATGTTCCAGGTGGACCCTCCATCTGGATTCACCTGGTCCGACTCCGTGTGGTGCACTCCGGCCATCACCTGGCACCATGTGCATTCATACGAGGTCGAAGCGCTCTGGCAGTTTGAGAAGGACTGGATCAACAAGACTTGGGACGATGAAGATCCGGGCGGAGTCCCGTACTTGTACAAGGACGTCTTCGAAGATTTCGTCCGCCCACACATCACTGAAGAGAAGAAAGACTGGAACAACTTCGCCGGGGACAAGACCTTTACACAACCGAAAGAGGACCACGTGAAAGAAGACAACGACTGGGACTGGAAAAATGACGAAGAGAAGCAAAAGATGTGGGATGAACTTTCCGAGCTCGAGCAGAAATCTGTCGAATCTATCGAGAACTGCCGGGAGGTCTGCGAGAAAGACCTGCAATGCATGCAATTTGCCTGGCATCCCGGCACCTGCAAATTGAACCATTCCATCAAAATGGGCCGGCCGTCCGACCCCAAAGACGAGTACACCTCCGGGTGGATGGTCCGCCGCGTCGAAAAGTTCACCGCAGCCAGATCAGAGTGCGGCGACATTTCCTGGAAAGTCGGCTGAGGGACCGTCCTGACCCTTGCCTACGTACGACGACGTCCACGATGCAACGACAATGTCCTTGTCAACCAGCCCCGAACCGACCAACACCTGCAATGCAAGAACAGCCTTCCGGATCTCATTGACCTTATAGATTATTTCAACCGAGTCCTTTCTCTTTCTTGATGGATGCCTCCTTTTTTCTCTGCGGCCTGCAACTTGCTGGAGGATGTTTTGAGAACTTTCTGTCTGCTTGATACCCTTGCAGCTCCGCGCACGTCGGCGTCTTGTTGTGTGGTTTTCCTCTTCGATTCTCTTGTATATATTGTGTCACTGTTTGGAACGGATACCAGCACCGGCGATACTGGGATGGGTTTTTGGACAACTTTGGACGATTTGAGCTGCAATATACGACCATAGAGCAGCGTCTTGAATATTTGTGGGCGGTGCCTGGCGTTCTTCAGTCAAGGGGGGGGTAGGGAGCTGGGATCATGTGTGATGCGTTGCTGTCTCGATGAAGGGTCTCGTTTCTTTTGCGCGGCTCTCGGAGAGGTGTGGCCTTTTATTATCTTTGGATTAGCAGTCCAATACCTATACCCGGACTTGATTAATGAGCATCAGACCGTGCAAGAAGCATGGGCAATAGCATAATGGATCGCATTGACTCGTAAAAGAATGTCCTATGCTTGCGTGTGCAGTCAGCAATCCCAGCCTCATTCACAAATTAGCCCTTGTCAAGTTCCTTCCCACTGTGCCTGTTTTGGTCCCCAATTGACTCCTTCTGCGTGTTGATAATCTAGGCACCTAACGGGCTAATCCGAAGGCCGATATACTGTCTCAGTCTCCTTTCCTTGGCCGTTCTTTGCCCATTTGAAGGTAAACCCAGCGCCGCCAGGACAGAGTGGAGATGCTCGTCGCTTAGACTGGTAATGTCTTGACCTTTCGCCGGAAAGTCATCGATAGGCTCATTAGTCTTGGGATTGACTAGTGGTGAGAGTCGATCAGTGGGGCGACTGAGGAATGAGTTTTGAACTCGGGCGACATTGTTGAAGTCACTAGAGAATAAGAATTAGTATTCGTCTTCTGAATTGACTGATCCTGTTACTGGAGCACCTGAGTCTACCATCACGGGCACCTAGACTTCATCACGGGGGCACCTAGAGTCAACCACCACGGGCACCTAGACTCCATCACGGGGGCACCTAGAGTCTACCACCACGGGCACCTAGACTCTATCGCTAAGGTACCTAGAGCCTGGGCAATTGTCATCGCTTTTGTTTTCGCGCTCTCGGCACCCTACTACGGTATTTTGGACTTACTTGGCCAGAATTCGCTCAGAAAGGTGATCAAATTTGCGGTCCATCTCCTCAAATTTGCGGTCCATCTCCTCAAATCTTCGGTCCATCTGGTCAAATCGAGTGTTGAATTGGGTGGTGAGGTCCGTAATTCGGGCGTTGAGTTGAGTGCCCAGCTCTCTTATGGCGTTGAGAAGAAGACTGCCTTCTGCCAGCGGAGGCACGTTTCGAAACTTCACCAACTCCTGCAAGCCATCATGGAAGCATTGTTCCATACGATCAATATTTGGCTGCGGACCAAGCAGCGCCATGATGACAGTAATGGTAGTTGTGGTGGTGAGAGGAGGGGAAGAAGAGGAAGAGGAAGAGGGGAGTTTGTTTATGTACGAGCAGTTTTAGCTTTCCTTGGCTGCGCTTGCATTCCAACCACGAAAGCCCTTCGTCGCCCACGCCGCGATTACACGCTCGGCCACTCACTCACTCACTCACAGACATTCCATTTGCTTTCAGAGCCCATTTTCTGGTCTTCTTTACAGCTGTCTCACCTAAGTGTTCATTCCCCCTTTCCTCCCAGGGAACGTCTCTCTCTTTGAGCCCAAGGAGCATCTTGGAACGTTCTACTCTCAGACATGACATGACGTCGACGCTCCTTCTGGCTACCTTCCGCCCCCATTGACTCAATTGGCAATGGCAGACTCGAAGACCTCGTCTCTGCGGTTGCCCGAAACCTCCACGTCTTCGCCTCGACGGGTGTCTGGGCAGAGCGTGCGGTTTGCGGACGTCGATCAATATGTTCCTCTCATTCCGAGCCGACTGCGCGAAACCACCATCCTCTCTCCAGAGGACAAGAAGGCACAATCCAAGCCTGCAGAGGGCTCCAGTGATGAAGGGGAGGACGAACTGCCCACAGTGGACGAGACAACCCCCATCTTTGACGAGCCGGAGGCATTGACGGACAACGACGAAGAAGAACACAATAAGCAAGATGACCACAATGAAGAGAATGCTGCTCAAGAAGAACAGAATGGAGAAACACCCATCGGAAACTATCACCACACCCGTATTTGCGGTCTGCGGAACTGTAACCACGGGACGTTTTCTCCTAGAGCTCCCTCTGTCGACAGTCAGGCGAGCTCCAGCCTCTCCTTCGGTGGTCGATACCCTGACGAGATTGCGGAAGACGGCAGTACACGGCACACGGTTCGAGGCATTTTGGGTGATGCAGTTACCGACACTCTGGCACCAGTTAAAAGCCTGGGCACGACCAGATGGCTGGCGGAAAGACACGGGATTACGAGCCATCGTTTCATGTACTTCTCCTACTACTTCCCTTTCTTGAAGTGGATCCGGCAGTACCGTTGGTCCTGGTTCCGCGGGGACCTGGTAGCAGCTCTCACCATGGCATCCTTTTACATCCCGATGTCGCTCTCGTTCGCGGACAACCTCGCTCACATTCCTCCCATCAATGGCCTCTATTCCTTTGTCTTCAACCCGTTGATCTACGCGTTCTTGGGTTCTTGCCCGCAGATGGTCGTTGGGCCTGAAGCAGCCGGGTCTTTGCTGGTTGGGCAGGTGATCAAGACATGCATTGACCGGGGAGATTCCCTGGATGAAGATTCTAGACTCAACGCGGAGATCGCCGGCTTGGTGACCGCCATAGCAGGCGCCATCCTCCTTGTCGCCGGCCTGGCCCGACTGGGGTTTCTCGACAGTGTCCTCAGCCGACCCTTTCTTCGAGGCTTTATCAGCGCCATCGGAACCGTCATCCTCGTCGATCAGTTGATTCCCGAGTTGGGTCTCGGCGAAATTGCAAAGCAAACGAACATTTCACACGGAAGCAGTGCTCAAAAGCTGGCATTCCTGGCTAGGAACATTGGGGATGCTCACGGCCTGACGGCGGCGGTGTCCTTTGGAGCATTTGGCGTCATCATGGTTTTTAGGTATCTGAAACAGCAACTGCAACCCCGGTATCACTGGGTGGCATACTTTCCCGAGCGCTTTCTGGTGGTCGCTCTCGCGGCCATCCTGGCTTGGGCATATTCGTGGGACAAGCAAGGCCTCGAGGTCCTCGGTGCCATCAATGCTTCTGGCGGCACAGCCATCCCGTTTCACTGGCCCTTCTCATTCCGACATCTGAAGCACTTTGACACAGCATTGAGCACGTCGTTTTTGATTGCACTGCTGGGATTCTTCGAGTCCTCGGTCGCGGCAAAGAGCCTCGGAGAAGGGGGTCAAGTCAAGCACATGATGCTCAGCCCCAACCGGGAATTGATTGCTCTGGGCACGGCGAATATCACTGGCGGCCTGTTCATGGCCCTGCCTGCATTCGGTGGCTATGGCCGAAGCAAGGTCAACAAGTCGACTGGGGGCGTTACGCCCATGAGCAGCATTTTTCTCAGTGTCATCACCTTCCTGTGCATCATGTACCTCCTGCCCTTTTTCTACTACATCCCCAAGGGCGTTCTGTCGGCCATGGTTTCGGTTGTCGCCTGGTCGCTCATCGAAGAATGTCCCCATGATCTCCGGTTTTTCTTCAAGATCAGAGGCTGGACGGAGTTATCACTGATGACCATTATCTTTGTGGCCACGGTATTCTATTCCCTGTCGGTCGGAATGGCACTGGGCATCGGCCTCTCTTTACTCGCGTTGATCCGCCACGCCACGAAGCCGAGGATCCAGATTCTGGGCAAAGTGCCTGGGACGCCGGACCAATTTGAGAACGCCGAACTAACACCGGAGAACGTCGAGTACATCGAAGGGTGTCTGATAGTCAAGATCCCCGAACCACTCACCTTTGCCAACACGGGTGAGCTGAAGAACCGACTCCGGCGATTAGAGCAGTACGGTACCAATGCTGCCCATCCTTCCCTGCCACGGGTGCGCCACGAGGACAACAACCGCAATATCATCTTTGACGTGCATGGCGTCACCTCCATCGACGGTTCGGGGACACAAGTGTTCACTGAAATCGTGGAAGATTACGTCCGGCGTGGCATTCGTGTTATTTTCTGCCGCCTACCTCAGAGACGCAGCCAGGTGTACAAACGCTTTGAGAAAAGCGGCATTGTCGAGCTGGTTGGGGGGACGAGCCACTTTGTGGGCAGCGTCGAGGAGGCGTTAAGGTTGAGTGAAGCGGAGGACCTGGGGGGGTACTACGATGAGTGACAGCATGGCAAAGGGTCGAGAATTGGGGGGAGGGCACCTTGACCGAAGATTGACGAGACATCACGAGCATCAGCATTTCGCATCACTAGAGCACCGGGAGGGCATGGGCCCAGTTTGCGGGTTACAATGGTTACAGCAATATTGTTATACTCCTAAAAGCATGGCGTGGACAGGGCAGGCATGGGCGGGATATGAAAAGCAGGCGCTTTTGTCACGGAGAGGCGATCCGTCTCCGTGTTTTTTTTGCTACTGATATACCATACCTCCTCTTCGAACCTGAATCGCTCACCCACCCCGCGAGGGCACCAAGAAATGGCATTTCTCAGCAACTTCCTTCTGTTCTCTTTGACTTTGTTCTGCGTGTGCCTTCTGCAGCCCGTCTCTTCCGTCATTCACTTGCCATTGTACAGGAGAGGAGGCCGTTTCTCGTGTCACGAGTTCGCGAACCTGACCCACCTCTCCGCTGCTCTTCACAGCGCCGAAGCGGAGTATGGACGCAGCTACCGTGTCATCGAGGGGGACCGCCTGGTGCGAAAATGGGATGTCAGGGCACTCAGGGATGCGAATGATCCGGATGTTGTTGGCGTCGTTGGGGGGATGAATCGATGGTAGGTCGGAACAGGGAGGATATGGGATGGATTGCGCAGGGGAAGACCGAGATCACTGACTTTTGATGTTGTCGAGGGGCGCAGGTACACGATGCTGGAGGTGGGCGAGCCACGACAGCGACTGGAGGTCGACGTGGACATGTTGAGGCCGGATTTCTACACGATCACGACGGCGAGCCACGGGGGCTCTAGATACGACGGGTCTGCCTCGCACAGTCACAGTAAGTCCGCAGCAGACAGGATTCCTCGGGGCTATGTTGTTTTGTGTGGTGTGTTACTTACTGACCAGAAAAAACCCCCAGGGCTCAGTCGCGACATGGCGCATCCGATCTGCGCGCGGAGCAGCGAGGAATTCCACTTCTCGCCCAGCAGCCTGCTGCCGGTGCGACTCGACTTCCCGACGTGTGCGCCAGCGAGGTCATCGCCGCAGAGTCTGGGGCCATCGGGCACGTTGCTGGGTCTGGCACCGCACGACACCGCCTGGCTGGCGCGGGTGTCTACGACGGCGATTCTGGCGCAGTTGCGCGCCCAGGACGCTATCGCCGAAGAGGTATGGTCGGTCACGCTGCTGGACACGGAGACCGGCATTCTCAGTCTTGGCGGCACCGTCGCGCAGGAGGTCGAAGAAGTCAAGCTGCGTGGCCATCTCGAGTTGAAGCACTTTGGCGAAGTTGGCGTCACGACAGAATGGGTGAGTGAGCAGGTCAAGCTGCAGCTGGGCCAGGCCATGCCGCCGGACACGCCCTGGCAGCGGTATTTCTGGTGGACGGACGTGTCGGGCACCGCAGGCTGGTGGACGGCGTTGATGACGGGCGTGTGGGTGGACGGAGTCAAGGTATGATATATGATAGCCAGCCATCCCACTGTGCTGCAGTCATTCGTACTCCTTGCTAACACGACGGTCTCTTTCGTTACTCTCCCAGATCCTCCGCAACCAACCCGCCATCTTCGACATCAACGTGCCCTTCATCCTCGCCCCCTCTGTGGCCGCTGCGCCCTTCTACCACGCGATCGGCGGCACGAAACGCCTCCCTCCCCCTTTCGAATCCTTCTTCGCCTTCCCGTGCTTCAAGGAAGTCCACGTCGCCTTCGAGATGGGGAGCTCCTCGCGGCGGCTTAACATCCCCTCCATGAACGGCCAGGGCACCTTCGAGGACGGCATACTGGGGCCTGTCGGGGGGCGCTTCAGCTTGGGGAACCTGCGCAATGGGTCTGGGTACTGCGTGGGTGCAGTAGTCGAGACGAACATGGGACACACAGCTCAAGGGCTGCGGAGTGGTATGCGCAACGTCTGGGTCCTGGGCGAACCTTTCTTCCGCGAACTCGGTGTCGTCTTTGACGTGCATAATGGCAGGGTTGGGTTTAGGGTCTATTGAGCACCGAAAGAAAGAAAGAAAGAAAGAGAGGTGACTTGACATGACTACATAACGGGCCATGGAGAATTCAACAAGGTGTCTTCCCTGGTGATCACACCTTGGTTGTTGTGGCGTATCTACTTGCTCTCCTTGAGGATCTGCCTCAGCGCCTTCTCGTACTCCTCGACCTCCTTCGCACCCACGAGGGTGATATCCCTGCGCTTCCCCTCGAACAAAATCGTTGGCACGGCATCCACCCCGTTGCCTGCCTGCATGCGAACCATACTGCAGTCGTCCAATATATATTATCAGTTTTATTCCTCTTTTGGAAAGGCGGCGCAAGAAGAGTAAGATAAGGTAAGAGAGGGGAAAACTTGCTTCTTGACATCCATCAAGCCATCGTTTTTATCCTGGATGAACGGACGCGCTTCGGATTCGGGAATGCCCGCGTCGGCCGTGGCTTGCAGCAATGTCTCCTCGGACGAAGGGTGTTTCTCGTGCTCGAAGTACTGCGAGTAGAGCGCTGGAAAAGATGGTCAAAACAGGAGGAATTATGACAAAACGTCAATCAATGAAGGAGACATGAGACACCCTTACAATTGATGATCTTGTCCGCCGCTTCGGGGCCCTTTTCTTCCTGGAAGTGCTGGATCACGCGGTGCGCATCCATGGTGTTGGCCACGGTGCCGCCGAACTTGAAGTTGATGCCGGCCGAGACGCCGTATGCGGTCATCAACGTCATATACTAGTAGACCGTGGACGTGGATATATATGAGCAACGGTGTCAAAGGAGGAGGAGGAGGACAGGAAGTCCTGTGCAAATAGTAAACAACTGGCAATTACCATCTTCATCTTCTCCTCGGAGTCGCCATAGCGCGATTTCTTGTACCAGTCATACTTGCTCTCGCCCTCCGCGGTCGCCGTGGGGTTGAGCTGGTAGGGGAAGTACTTGACGACGAAAGTCACGTCTTTGGCGTCGTCGCTCTGTCGGAATCGACGGAGGGCTGTACGTGTCAAAACAGGTCGTCAGGCGGCAACAACAGCGCCTCATGGATTCGATGCACAGCAACTTTTGGGGAAGGAGAAAACAGACCTTCGTCAAGCCTGCCAGACTCATGTCGTTGTTACATGGAGCGGGCAAAAAGGCAACGGGGAACAACAGAACAAAAGAAACTATACCGTCGTTTGGCCAGATACGTCCTATATGGACACATCATCAGCCCGGTTATCAACATGCAACAAACATCCCCACGAATGGTCTGGATGGACTGATGTCTCACCACGGGCAGATGGTGTCCAGGGTGAACGATATCTGTGCTTCGAACGTCATGGCTTTTTTCTTTCTTTTTTCGAACGTCACGGACTGGGATGTTGCGCAACAACGACGGAGGAAAAGTTCCAACTCCCGCGGAGGACAAGGTCTCAAGTGATTCGCAAAGACACGACACCGGATTCTGTGCTGGGCTAGGCTGGGGCTGCGGTGTTGGTTGTTTGCGACCTTTGAAATTGATATTCGATCTGGAACGGAGAAAAGGATGTGAATTAGTGATCAACCATGGCATCGGACCATCGCCAACCGTGTCTGAATTTCTTCTCTCTGGCCTGATTTCCCCTCTCGATGATCCCCTTAGAACGCCATTGGAGTTCGGGGCGTCGGAACACACGTGACCGGAGATCTTGTGTCGCGCTACACCGGATTGGGCGCCGGAGAATTGTTGTTGCAGAAAAAGCAAAAAAACTTACATAGGAGAATTTCCCACGAGGGATTGCTGCTCTCAAGTGCATGGACAAACGGATTGTGACAACTCGAAGATGCTCTATTCAACGATCTCCATCGCTCATGCAACACCAAAAAAAAGACGTCATCCACAAATGGAGGGCTGGGAACGGCCTAGTCTGCCTCCCTGTTGGCCTGGTGAACCGCCGTCAGTCAAGCCACCAAGCCCCCCTGAATGGACTGGCCCTCGCCACCGCCACAAAAAGAGTCAGGCGGCCCGGGCTATACCTATACAGTAGGTCAGCAAACAGAATCTGACACTCCGGGTTCGCTCGCTTCGTCCAGGTTACCCCTTGCACCCCGGTCTAACCACGCCCAGCCTCTCAAAACATGACCCGAGGCCAAGGGCTTTAGTGCCGTTTCACCTTGAATCCAACCTCTCCTCCCCTTCCTTCTACCTGCCAAACTGCTTTTCCCTAGGAAACCCCTAGAAAAAGGCATACTGTGAAGTACGCAGTATACGTCGATGGACCAATCGCAAGGGTGGAACACAGCAGGCTGGCCGGGCTGCAAAATACTCGCCCACTGATTCCCAGCCCAGTTCCATTCTCTCCTTACCATGGCGGATACTCTCCACTTGACGGTTATGGACTGACGTCGGTGTTCCTACGGACCACTATGATCCCTCTCTCCCTATCCCGCCTCCTGATTCGAACCGACTAAGGCGGTCGGATAGCCCAATTAGGGTTTTCCCAGTCACATTCAGACTGGGGGAACACAGCTGAGCTGTCAACCTCTCCTGTTGTGTGCATGACGTGCCTCCCTCTCTCCCCTTTTGCAAATCTATTTGAACATCCGTCGTGACCGTTGTGTTTCCTGTTTCTTCTTCCATCCTGCACATCATTCACTCTCAAGACCAGAAAGTCATTCGTTGAAAAAAGGTCGATCGTTCAATCAATACTCACACACATTATTTCCACCGCCACTCATCAATATACTCTAATATCACACACACCACGTCACACCATACATACACCATGAAGTCAGCAGTTGTTCTGGCTCTTGCGACACTCGCCGTCGCAGCACCTGGAGGCGGCCCAGGAGCAGCCGGCGGATGGGGTCCCTCTGGTGCCGGCAACGGCGGTGGTGAAGGTCAAGGCGGCCCAGGAGGACCTCAAGGTGGTTCCAAGGGCGGTCCCCCCGGCGCTGGCGACAGCGGAAGCTGGGGCGACTGGTCGAGTCAGGGCGGAAATGGAGGTCAGTGGAATGACTGGACTACTTCTGCATCCCCAACGACAACTTCCCCTTCCCCCTCCCCCTCCCTCCTCCTGTCCCTACCACGTCACAATGGGAAGAATGGACCTCGACAACGACAACGACAACGACAACGACCACCACCACCACTCCCAAGCCCAGCCCTATTACAAAGACAACGACGTCCCATTGGCAAGATTGGACGAGTACTGATGTCTCTCCCGCTCCAGCTCCCGAGAGTTCCAAGTGGCAAGACTGGACTACTTCGTCGGCGCCGCCCGCTCCTGTCGTCACTACGTCTTCCTGGCAAGAATGGACCACCACGCCCGCTCCTCCCGCTCCCGTCGTGACCACATCTTCTTGGGTTGACTGGACGACTTCCGCTCCTCCGGCTCCGGTTGTGGTGACTACTTCTCAGTGGCAAGACTGGAGCTCTTCCGTCGCTCCCGTGTCCACGACCACCTGGGCTGAGTGGACCACTCCTACCCCCGTCGCGCCCGTGGTGCCAGAAACCACCAGCTCGTGGGCCGATTGGTCTTCCAGCGTCCCTGTCGCTCCCGCTCCCCCAGCCTCCAGCAGCTCCTGGAGTGACTGGTCCTCGACGACTCCCATCCCGACACCCGTCGCGCCCGCCACGACCCCTTCGCCAACATCGTGGTCGACCTCGGTGGTCTCGTCGACACCTGCTGCGCCTATTGCCAGCCCGTTCACCGGTGCCGCCGCGCCGGCCGCAACTGGCGGTTTCAAGGTTGCTGGTGCCGCCGCCGCCTTGATGGTTGCCGCCTTGTTTTGAAAACGGTCACACCAACCATCACCATCTGCATTCGGCGCACAACAACGCAACCCCAAGAATTGTTTCGCCGCCGTTTCTCCCGACTAAGCCAAAGTTGTCTTTTGGCGACGTTGGAAGTGATCGGGTAAACTTCGGAGGAATCTTTTTGGGTCTTCTTTTCCGCGCAACACCGCTTAATGACCGACCTCAACGACCTTAATGAAAAAGGAAAAGGGACCTCGACCACCCCTTTTCGGCACCCACGAGACTCATGATCACTCCTTTACCATGAGGATCCTCCCCCCACTGGCTTGGAATCAGGATTTATTTGGAATATGGAGAAACTGGAAGGAATAAGAGAAAAAAAAATAGCACAAAAACCAGGGCATTTCTCAGGGGGAAAAAGGACACATGTCTTTGGGTTTTATGTATGAAAATAGAGATGGCTACGCCCACATGCATCCCGGGGATCTAGGTATCGCCAGACCAGAGCACACACAGAATAGAAAATATAGCATTAGCAGAGCCATAGATGAGCTCAGGCTATAAAAAAAATTGATCATCTCCAAATCACATATGTACATGCCACCTTTTCTGTTCCTGGATCCCCATGTGCCCTTACCCCCCTCATTCCTCCCTCTTCTTCCGTGTTCCTCGTGTCACGTTCACAATTATGTTTTGCGAAAGGGAAGGATTGGTGGTTGACGCTCGACAGACCGACGGACTCCGTCTCCGCTTGAATAAATGACGAAACCCTCGGAGGGACGAGACACATCAAGGAAGTGAACACACACAAACGGCGACAATTGTAAACGCGCCTGCCTGGCCTGGTCGGTCCATCGGACAATCCAATCGGTTCATGCGTGCAGGCGAACAACTAAGACATTCAGAACAAACAGGACTGAAAACAAGAATGTCTCAGTTGGGGTAGCACAGCAGTGGTAACAGCACCAGCAGCATGGTATGGCATGGTATGGCATGGCATGTGGTGTGGGTAAAAGGAAGAAGGGGCAGACGGTGTTGTCACACCGCCACCTCTCCAACGAAGTCTCGACTCTCGTTTCCCACCTCTCCTCCGTCCGGCCGTCCTGCGCAATGGAGGAGGGATCAAAAAACAAAAGCGCCTGGTCTGCGGACTGTGTCGCCGTTTTGGACAAATAAAACATACATGTGTGTACAGTATGTATTGATGCCTGGGATACCTCTCACACATATACACAAACACAAGTATGTACATACAGTACTTCCAAGATATAAACTGCCACGTAACTGCGTAGATGTGGTGTGATGTGTATTGTGTATGTCCGGGATAATAAAAAGTAAATGTACGTACGGGGAAATCCGCACGTGATCATATCAATAATTTCATCATCATTCTATCTCAGCACCTGCTCAGCCAGCCCTCGTGAATGGATTAATTCTCCAGCAAACTTTCCCCTTTCTTGTCCTCCAGCTCGATGATGTTGAGAAATCCCATCATGTTCATGTTCATGATGTTGTTGCTGTTGCTGTTGCTAAGGTCTTGTGAAGCCCAAGGTGATAAGCTCAAGCTCAAGCTCTCAGAAAAGCAGATCTGTGTTTCAATGATTTCACTGCAGGACGCAACTGCAATGCCCTCCGAGTGAAGCCCAACTCAGTATTCTCGCCACGTCCCTGTTGCTTCCAGCCACTGCTCAACTCAGCTGGTTCATTGTCCCTCCCCTCGAGGCAGAGGGTATCTGCGCCATCTCCACCATGTTCGTTGCTCACACGCACCCTCATCCATCGTGCTTCCCCACCACGCCGCCTGCGCTCAAGGTTCGGATTCATCGTCGGGATACGCTGCGTCGTCAAATTTGGAATCGTCCAGCACTTCGACAAATCGAACCCGCCTCCCCTCTTTCCGCACTTTCGTCTCCGGCTGCTCGCTCGGCTCCGCCGCCTCAAAACATTTCTGGTTGAGCTCAGCATTCCTCTCTGCCTTTTGCTTCTGCCGGAACTCGTCTCGAAGTCGTGACTCCTCTGCGTATCTCCCAAGGTCAAGAGCCGAGACGTTAACAATCATACACCGGGGCATGATCCATCTGCCGACCAAATCGGGGAGGTTGAGATGGATTCCCTCGCAGCTGAGATTTAGCGAGCCGTCGTCGCGGATAAATTCCTATTGTTGGGGGTTTGTGAGTGTCAAAACAAAGCCAAAGAAAGGATCTTGGTGTGGGTTTCTGACCTGGCAATTGACTATCGTCTTCACACTGACCCCCAGTTTCGTTTGCGAGGATAACCAATCGGATCTCCAGACAGAGATTGTCGCTCGTTTGCTGTTAGGATAGCTGAGCTTGACGCCAATCACCAGCACTGCCTCTCCCTTGGTCTCCATGATGGCCGCTTCTGCGATGTCCCCCAGTAACTCCGCTGGCTGCGTGGTTGCTACCTGAATGATGACCCGAGGTTGTGACCGATTGTGGTGTCGGAAGTTCAAGTCGAGATGCAGCGTGGTGCGACCCGTCTGCGACGCTGGCAACTCCACCTCGAAGTCGGTGTCTCGCGCCGTCTCCTTGACAAATTTCGAAACCACGAACGTCCCGTTTTCTCGATAATGTTGCATCTGACGCTCGATTTCGTCACTGAGCATCGTGATAAAGTACGAGTGTAGGTCACCTGGTTGACTCATGACGACAAAGACCTGTTTCTGCGCGAAATACTGGGTTCTGGAAATTTGAGTCTAACATCAGTGCTGAACACATGAGAGAGCGTGTTCAAGAGCAAACCTCACCTGCATTTGCGAAAATATTTGCTAACGGTTGTGCTGGACTTGATTGCCTTGTAAGCTTCAAAGGTCAGAGGGACTTCCATGTAGAAAGGATTGGCAGCGTCGTGGTCGGAAAAAGAGCCACGAATCTTCCTCATGGTCTGTACGGCTTCCCTCCTGGTCGCGGCCAGCGCCTGGTCTCCGAGAGAGGTGTCGGTCAGGGCGGGCGGAACATCATTTGCGACGGGTTGCGTGCTACTCTTATTTGGGTCGCTGCTTTCGGTTTCGGCCTCACTTCCAAATCTGTTCCGCAACAGCACCCCGCGCACTGGAGAGTCTGGAGGATCGCCCGGGCAACGGCTCTCAGACATGGTGGCGATGGCCACGAAACAGTTCTACAAGCCGCGACAAGAATGAGAGGGAGGAAGCTGTCGGTGGTGGTTCAAAGCAGTGATGGAGTTCTAAAGGAACCAAGGTCGGAGGCAGAAGGTGAAGGGGAAGAAAGTGCGAGCACAAGAAAGGACAAGACCAAGCTAGGAGCAAAAATCACGCCACTCTAAGGAGCCTTTTCTGACTCAAACGCACAAGATACTTCTTGGAGGACAAAGATACAGGCTGTACATCAAAGGGGATTTGACATGTTCTGCAAAGCCTGGATGACAATGCTATCTTGATGCACTGGCAGCGCTAAACGGCAGACGAAGAGCTCAAAGAGAGCTCTAGACTTGTCGGAGTTCTCACGGGCCATCGATGGGGAGGACACCTTCGTCCCAGGACGGCGAAAACTGCAGCATTGATGAATCCATGAATCCCTTTTGCTGTGATAAGATACGCAAGGCTGTCGCCAAGCCATGGCACTGGACAAGGCTGGCGGCGAGAAGCTAGTCCGAACACGGTAGAGCGTGAGCCGACTTGGCTTGGCGCAAAAAGTTCGGGCTCCCCGCCTGCGGACGTGATGCCTCTGCCCGCACATGCGGCCAAAAAGACACACGGCTTGACTCACAACCATTATATTCCTCATCCTCCACCGACAACTCTTCACGTCACAGACATTCTCCTGATCGACACCCGCCAAAATGTCGGACCCCAACTCCCTGACGAATTGTCGCTTCTACGAGGAAAAATACCCGGAAATTGAGAGTTTTGTGATGGTGAATGTCAAACAGGTAAGTGGCCACCACCACCACCACCTGATGCGTTCTCCGAAGTGAGCAAAAGGTTCTGACATTGTTCCTGTGTGTGTGCGCGACAGATCGCCGAAATGGGCGCCTACGTCAAGCTCCTCGAATACGACAACATCGATGGCATGATCCTCCTCTCCGAACTCTCGCGAAGACGTATCCGTTCCATCCAGAAACTCATCCGCATCGGTCGCAACGAAGTCGTCGTGGTCCTGCGAGTGGACAAAGAGAAGGGCTACATCGACCTGTCTAAGCGAAGAGTCTCGGCTGAAGATATCGTGCGCTGCGAAGAGCGGTACAACAAGAGCAAGTCGGTGCATTCCATCATGCGGCACGTGGCCGAAAAGACGAAGACGCCCATTCTGAAGCTGTACGAGCACATCGGCTGGCCGCTCAACCGGAAGTACGGCCACGCCAACGACGCCTTCAAGCTCTCCATCACCAACCCCGACGTGTGGAACGACGTGACATTCCCTAACGAGATGGTCAAGCACGAGTTGATGACGTACATCAGCAAGAAACTCACGCCGCATCCGACCAAGGTCCGGGCCGACGTCGAGGTGACCTGCTTCAAGTACGAGGGCATCGACGCCGTCAAGGCCGCGCTGAGGCAAGCCGAGGCCAGAAATTCCGCCGAGACGCAGGTCAAGGTCAAGCTGGTTTCTCCTCCGCACTACGTCCTCACCAGCCAGTGTCTGGACAAGGGTATGGGCATCCAATTGCTCGAGCAGGCAATCAAAGACATCGATGAGAATATCAAGGGAGCCGGGGGGGCGTGTGTGGTCAAGATGGCCCCGAAGGCCGTGACAGAGCATGATGACGCCGAACTGCAGGCACTGATGGACAAGAGGGCACGGGAGAACGAGGAGGTCAGTGGCGACGAGGATGTGAGCGAGAGTGATGAAGGGCCAGAGGTTGCATAAAAAAGAACTTCAACATGACTACGGAGTTGAAGACTGGGACACGAAGAAGAGCATCAGATCGGAATGATATTTTTTGCTGCGGCGGCCTGTGGCTATCCTACCAGCTCTGTTATCGGCGTTGGTCCAATTATTTATGGAGTATCCAAAATCCATCATTGCCATTACATTTTTTGCTCGACGGTCGTCGTCTCGGCCGCAAGTGCGGTCCTTTGCCTGTCATTTACCCGTTCGTTCGATTGCTTGATAGCCGCATCTCTTTGCTCTTCGGCCCAATCCCGAGCATTTCTGTACGCAGTGGCTCCTGCGCGGAATGTTTCAGGCGAGTCGTGCATGGCGAACGATCTCAATTGATGCATAAAGTATGCGGGCCGACTACCAGGACCAGCCGACGGGGACGAGTAGACGGTGTACAAGGTAAGCATTCCATGAAGATATATCGACGAAATGGTATGGGCATTATTGTCAAAGACGGGGTCCGCGGTTTCCCCAAATGATAATAGGCGGAGGACACCTCGCTCCCCGAGGGCGCCGTCATAGGTAGCCTGCCGGAGCGCCGTCGAGAAAAGGCCACTCGGACTTGTTACGGCAAGGAAGAAATTCGGGACGACGGGCAGATTCTCATCTTGTGTCGATGGAACGATAGACTTACTCAACTCATCCAGGACGCGTCGATCTAGTTGTTCGGGACGCGCACCGTAACAGATGTCTGGACGGCCAGGGGCGAGTGTCCCGTCCGTGAGATGGTCCAGGTTTGTGAATGGGACATCCCTGCACACGCATTTATGGTCGCAACCCTCAATTATTGGTATAACGGATGTGATCACCTGCTTCTTCTTCGCAGCATCGTCATTCCTCTGCACAAAGTCTGTATGCTCTGCCTCCGAGAATGTTGACGACGACAGAGACCCCCGTCGCTCTTTCAATCTTGTATTGATGACCTCCCAATTGTGTGGTTTGTTGGGTAGGCGACCGTTGGAAAACTTATACCCCGGCGGGTAGACTGCGCCGTCGAGGAGGTTCTGCTGGAAGTTGCGGGAATAGGGCCCGGTGCTCTCGGTTGGCTGCGAGGTCGACGCGGGGTTCGAATCAGACGTGTGGCTGCGAGATTCAGGGTGGACCGAGATCACCCAGGGCATTTGAGGGTCTATGGCTGCTCGAAACTGGTGTTGAGTGTCAGCATCGAAGACGGTGGGATAGCAGGTGACTGACGCCTCTCAGGGCTGACAGGTCTGGCCCGCCGGCGCTGGCAAGCTGTTCCAGTTCTCTGAGGTGGTCGGGCACGCAATGGTCAAGGGAAAGCAGCGCAGATCGTTTCTCAGGAAGCGCAGTATCTGAAAGATGAAAACAGTCGCGCGTTCCGGGTACTTGTCTGTTCCTTCGTTCCAACTCTTCCAAAGCGTCTTCTTGTAAATGTATGCAGGATAGATTGTCCCAGAAAGCGGGTGGATAGTGAGGTTCGCTGCTGCTGAGGCGGCTGCACTTCGTTCGTTTCGAGTTGCCTTGAGATGATCCTCTGCCCGTACGTCGACGCTTGTTCGGGTTGACTTGTTGGGCTCCGATCACATGAATATTGGCTTGAGGTTGGCCTTCTGGACGAGAGGGCTGGACGGCGGCAAGGGCCGCTAGATCCATGATGGCGATTCAAGGAGGCTAACCCCGATGACAATGAATATTGACACGCAAGGACATAGGAGATGCTATCGTAGGCTGGTCGGAGTTCAAATATATCACGTGACCAACTGCGCAAGCTACTCGCCTTGGCGGCATAAGACAGGTAAATCGACGACGAGCTCACGTGGGCACTCACCCACTCGGCGCCGCTTTCAAGGATTGTTCACCTCCCACACAGGGATATTATATTAAGAATCTAAAGCTATTGAAGCGAATCCATGATGCCGCCGTACAAGTTTATCAAGCCATGCATACGCCATCGGTAGGGATTTGCAGAATCTCTGGATAATGACTGAACCGTTGTAGCCTATCCGCCATCCTTATGACTGCGTCTCATCATGTAACATCTTCTCCCTGCCCGGCCTCCTCATCGCTATACACGTAATGATATTCGTAATAGGCTCTCCGACCTTGAACATGTTTGACTGTAGAATTCTGGGTCGTAGGAGTCTAGTCGGTACGATTTGGGGATCGTTTGAAAGTGGCAGCGACGGTACCACCGATTGCAACGACCGACACACTGAATATCTTCGTATTTATTAGAAGGTAGCATATAGTAAGCACAAAGATCACTTACAGCGAAGACCATTCCAAACAAGAATCGATTCTCGAATTTGTCCAATCTCGACTCCATGTTCGCATTAAGGACGCTTATCTGCGCAGACATAGTTTCAGTGAAACTCTTCATCTGCATAGTCAGGTTCTCGTTGAGGTGTCCCATCTCTGATTTGAGGCTCGTCATCTCCGATTTAAGGCTCGTCATCTCCGATTCAAGGCGTATGAATTTTGAGTCTGCTTTCCCCTCCTGCTTCTGTAGGCTTCCAATGAGGTTTGTCACTTCGGATTTCGTCGCCGTTAACTCTTTATTAAAGTAGTTGAGCTTATCATCGAGAGATCTGCTGGATTGAGGGGCAGAGCTGATGTCCTTATCACCAGAAAGCAAACCTATAGACATGTCAATAGCTTTACGATCGAAGTTGAGTGATGTGTCTTACGCGCCGTTGCCTGGAAAGTGCGGGCTTGGGATATGCAACATGTAGCTTGTTGAACAATGCTACGTCGTCCAAGGCGGAAAGTTTGACGCAGCATTTTGAGGATGCTGTCGGAGAGGATTTCGAAGTGGCATCAGGTCGACTGAGGGTGATGGTTGTAAGAGTGAGGGTAGTTGTAAAAGTGAGGGTGAGGAAGGTCATCTCGGTATTTAATGCCAAGACGGCAGGCGGGGTGGAGTATAGGGCAGCATCACCCACGTCTCAAAGAAGGGTGACCTGGGCGTGAAATCACCTTCTCTTGGCTGCGGGGAGTTTCTGGGTGAAGAGTTGCAATGAGAGCGTCACAAAAGCCAAGAGCTTGTCTTTCAGCTCAAAACGTTGATCCATCCCTCTCTTTCTCTGCGCCGGTCTGTTTTCTGTTCGAGAAGACAGTGTGCCTGATCGACACCCACGCCTTTGGATAGGAGGAACGCAGCTCAATCCCTCGAGGAGCTCTCCAACTCGCACGGAGGGTGCTACGTCATAGCTTCCAAAACAGCTATGGTCAAATGGTCGACGCTGCTCTTCGGAGCTCGCGAAAGAGACTCACCACATCGCCACGCTGAGACTCGGAGATGTAAGCTATGCTTTATCTCCTCTGGCTCACATAGGTATTGACATTGAGCAGTGCTGCCCGCTCACACCTCCGATCTTCCACCCTCTGCCCTGCCTGCCAAAGAAGTCACCAAAGTGGCCCTGCGATTGAAGTACCAGATCGAGGAAGTCATTCCCATCGAGCTCCCCGAGGAGAAGATTGTGGCTGCCAACAGCGCCGTGATAACCCACAAAGTGGTGCAGACGGCCAAAGAGGCGGGCGGGAGCGACAATGCGGCATGCGTGGTATATTGCCTGCTTGTTTGCAAGAGATGGTTCACCAGACAAGCCAATCTGGAGCTCTGGGATTCCGACCTACATCATGTCCGTGCGGTGGCCTGTGAGATGATTGCCAAACGGATCATCGAGGCCGAGGAAGACCAGGATTACCTGATGCAGGAAGTCCTCCTCAAGCGCTATTCGGTCATCCGCAAAGGAGAGGAGACGGCCCCTGCCAATGTCATTGAAAGAGCCGTCGACCTGCACTGCCTGATCGTCATTGGCTCCTCGGGCTATCAAAAGTGCATCAAATATCTTTGGAGAGGCTGGATTCACCAGGACGACAAAGACGCCGGTAACTTCGTCGTCTACAAGGACCGCGCTAATACAAACTATTGGGTCCATCTGAACCCCGACCGCATGCGCACCCCCGTGTACCAGAACGCCTTGCAGATCACGATTTCCGTCGTCTATCTCGTCCTGTACACCCAGGCGGTCAATACCGTGAATGAGGACGGCGACCTCGACGTCGTGGAGGGCATCCTCTACGTGATGACATTGGGCTTCGTTTGTGACGAGATTGGTAAATTTTGGAAGGTCGGCATTTGGTATTTTGGCTTCTGGAATGCCTTCAACAATTGCCTCTACGCCCTTCTCACTGCCTCCTTCATTCTCCGCATGACTGCTCTGGGCCATTCCCCCGATGAGAGTGACGACCGACGCCGCCAACTCAACCGGCTGGGTTACCACATATTTTGTGTGGCTGCGCCCATGTTCTGGGGCCGCCTCCTCCTGTACCTGGACACATTCCGCTTCTTCGGGGCCATGCTGGTGGTGTTGAAGGTCATGATGCGCGAATCCCTCATCTTCTTTGCCCTCCTCCTGGTTGTCTGCGTGGGGTTTCTTCAAGCCTTTATCGGCCTGAACCAGGTCGAGGGCAACAGCAGCATCACCAGCTTCATCATCACCGCCATGGCCAATTCCGTCATGCAGTCCCCTGACTTCGAAGGCTTTGATAATTATGCGCATCCCTTCGGTCTTATACTATACTACATATTCACGTTTGTGGTCATGGTGATCCTTCTCAACATCCTGATTGCATTGTACAACAGTGCGTATGAAGACATCACGGAGAACGCGATCGACGAGTACATGGCTATGTTTGCTCAAAAGACGCTGCAGTTCGTGCGTGCCCCCGATGAAAATGTCTTCATCGCGCCCTTCAACCTGATTGAGCTCATCTTTTTGATCATTCCCTTTGAATGGTGGATGTCCGCCGATCGCTATGAACGATTGAACAACTATGTCATGGGTGTCATCTATTCCCCTCTCTTGCTGATCACGGCTGGTCTGGAGTCGATGGACGCCCGCACCGTGCGAAGCAATAGGAGCCGAGGAGAAGAAGACGATGACACCATAGAAGAATGGGAGGAAATGGCGGGCGAGGTGAATTTCGAATCCGAGGGGTGGGACAAGAAGGTTCAGGCCTCCCGACCGGTGGTTGAGGTCGACGCCGATGTCGTCGAGATCAGGCAGCTCAAGGAGCAAGTTGATGAACTACAGCGGATGGTGCGGGCGTTGAGCCCCGAAGCGGATGGAAGATGAGTTGGTCCGGGCACCCTCCCCAGGTTTCTACCGGTATTTATTCGGCGCCGTTCGTCTGGAAAACCATAATGTCTATTCAGGTGCTGATGTCTAATGCATTCGAGGAGATAGGGAGAACTGTGCTCCACCACAGGACCGTGCAGCATGTTCAGTTCCCATATCACGTGATGTGCCAATCTATATTGGTCGGGGCTCCAGCTTTCACTTCGCTTCCGCAGTCTGCGCAGCTCCACTGTTTACTTCTTGGCTGTACCATCTCCTGTCCGGGCTTCTCGTCAATGTTTTCACTACAAGTCGACGCCGCTCCAGACCCTCCGTTGGGGGCGGAGCCAACTCAGTCCGGGCTGTCCGCCGCTTGAGGAGGGGGAGGAAACCATCTGCAGACCGTGGGAATGTCTATCGGAAGCCCCCTCCACCACCTCCACAACTTCCAGAGCACATACGTCGTGGGACCCCAGACAGGCAGTTCGGATGCACAAGAATCCAAGAAGAGTTGGACCTCGCTGTCACATCGGTGAACCATCCTGACGAGCCAACTAGGAAAGCGGCGGCCGCCGCTCAACCTGCACATAATGGTCTTGAACGGACGGAGAACTGGCCAGCTTTCATGCTGAAACGCTTTCGCAGCACTTTCTTCGGGAGGCGACTGGTATCCGGACTTTTGCTCGAGCCATCCAGAGCATCATTTCTCATGGTGTCTCTACGTGGCTCGAAATGATTCGCCAGGCACTGGATTCACACGGGTCGATATGGGAGCTCAACAAACAAGTCCCACACACCGCAGCACTCGAGGCTGTGGAATGACATAGGTGAGTCTCCGTGAAGGGCATGCATGGCGCGAGGTGGGAAGACGGGCGGAAGACATGTGTTGTGAAGGTACCTTTCTGTTATTGTTTGTCTTTATCGCTGGAACCCTGGCGGGACGAAAGCAATGGGTATGGATGGATGTACATGGCAGGGAATAATGCTGCATGTGATAGGAAGCCAGTGAGTGGGAGGGAATGTATTGTTGTTGTACAGGTACCTGTCGGTTCACCACCTGTTTCGTAAGGCCATGCAATAAACGTACTTTCATCACGTTAATCCAAGGCAATGCATTGAGCACTGTAATTATTTGTGTATTATTTAGTTAATGAACATTTCTTTGGTAGATTGGTTGTTGATTGGAAAAGCATATGCCTATGATCTGGGCGATTGGCGAAACCTGAGCGAGTCTGGACATTCCCCGCACCGATAAACGAGGCGCCTCACCTTTTTTTCTTTCTTTCTGTCGCAGCATCGCATCACAGGTCGAGCAGAGTTGAATTGAGCCACCGCGCTCTTGCTATCCATTGTTCTTCCACCATCAGTGACGACCATGCCAGCTAGAGCAGGTATCTGAGCATTGTTATTGATTGTGTCGTGTTGCCGCCTCTCTTCTGACCATACCATCACCACCACTACCACAACCGCCTCCCTCAACAACAGCAACAGTGCATCATGACAAGCCCAAGTATGCAGCAACCCGATACGCCGAATCCTCCTCCTTCGGCCGGCAGACTCCTTCTTCCCGCGCCCTTCCATGCCTTCTCCTCCCCATCTCCGACGCTGGTCACCCAGGGCGCCGAGGCCCTGCTATACCGGACGCACTTTCTGCACCCGACGCAGCCGGCCGCCCTCAAATTCCGACCGAGCAAAGCATACCGACACCCCACGCTGGACGCGCGGCTGACGAAGCAGCGCGTGCTGGCCGAGGCGCGCATCCTCGTCAAGCTCAAGCTGTCGGCCCTGGACGCCGTCACGGTCCCCGCGGTGTTGAGCCTCGAGTGGGATACCACCCGCAAGGGCCGCGGGGCGGGTGATGTGGCCGGACAGCAGCAGCAGGGCGGCGCGTGGCTCCTGATGGAGTGGATCGACGGACGCAGCGTCAAAGACTTACTGCGCGCCTGGGACGTCTGGTACAAGTCCCTCGGCGCGGCGGCGAGTGCACAACAAGGACACCATCACGACGAGGTCGCGGCCCAGGAAGAGGCCGTGAAGAGATTACTGCGCCGCATTGGCCGGGCGGTCGGGGCCATGCACGCCCGAGGAGGCGTCGTCCACGGGGACTTGACGAGCAGCAACATCATGATCCGGCCTTATAACAACAGTGACACTACAACCACAACCACAACAGGCGGGGACACGAGTCGCAAGGATGAAGAGCAGCTGGGTCTCCAGTCGGAAGAAGAAGAGCAAGGAACCCACACGCCGTCCCATCCGCCTGATTTGACCGGCGAGATCGTCCTGATCGACTTCGGCCTGGCCACGCAGTCCGTGCAGGACGAGGACCGGGCCGTGGATCTCTACGTGCTCGAGCGGGCGTTTGGGTCGACGCACCCGCGTCAGGAAGGCTGGTTCGACGCCGAAGTCTTACAGAGCCAGGAAGGGTACCGCGGCAGTTTCAAGGGGTCCAACGTCGTGCTGAAGAGGTTGGACGAGGTCAGGTTGCGAGGTAGGAAGAGGAGTATGATTGGATGATAATGGAATGGATGAATGAGAGGCAGGCGAACGAGATCATTTGGATTTGCCTTTGCAGATCCTTTTTCTACAGAAGCCCGCCGCCGTCGGCTCCAAGGCCCCAGCGCCATGCTAAAGCTCTCCTCCCTCCCTCCAGTCTATTGTTGACTCCGGGAAAGTGCTGCTGCTGCTGCGTCCCCGGCGGGCTGCTTCTCTTCGATACAGCTCCCCAGCTGCGCCATGGCAAAATACCCTTTGTTCTCAATGACGCCGCGGTTCTTCACCACGGCGGTATACTTGATGACCCACTGGGGCTCGATGTCGCCCTTCAAGCCAGGCTCGTCGGGTCCGCCCTCCGGGTGCGCCGCCAGGATGCCGGCACCGTCTTTGCCGGGCCCCAACAGTTCCCTCGTCGTGCCGGACGGCAGAATGTCCATGCAGTCGGCATGTGTCAACAGCTCGATCTTATTCTCCTTTGCGAACATGATCAGCGACTTGGGCACGACGCAGCAGTCCTTGACGTTGATCTGGTCCACCCGTGGCCGGATGCGGACCTCGGGCAGGAATTTCGCCAGCCGCTCTGAACTGAACTCGGACACCCCGAGCTGCGAAATGACGCCCGTGTCGTGCAGCGACTCGAGCACTTGCCAGGTCTGCACCTGCGCCTCCAGGCTCTCCTCCGACTCGTCGGTGGCCTCGCTGGGGTTTTCGTCTGCGGAGGCCTGCTCCTCTGCTTCATCGTCTTCTACTACTCCTTCGTCATCGTCCCGGTCGCCGTTCTCCTCCCCCTCCTCTTGTTCTTCATCATCGGCGTCAAAGGTCACTCCGGGGTATGAAATGATCAACAGATCAATGGTGTCCACGCCCAGCTCTTTCAGGACCAGGTCGATGGCTTCTCGTGTGTGTCGGCACCGCCGCGTGCTCGGGATGCCGGGGAGGAAAAACAGTTTGCAGGTCACGTCGTAAGCGTCGCGGGGCTCGACGAGCGGGGTTGGCCGCCAGGACGGCACGTAGAGTGTATCGTTCTCCTGCGTCGTCCAGACGGGAGGGATAAAGGTCTCAGCTGTGGTGGTGGTGCCGCCGGCAGCGGCTGCAGGGGCAGGAGAGTAGTGTTTGAACGAGGTGAAATTGGCGCGCAGCGAGTTGATGAGCTCGATGTTCGATCGCGAGAAGCGTGGTCGCCGCACCACGGGGTGTCCCGAGGACATGATATTGCTACAATGAAATTGCCAGTTCATGTCAGCGATGGTATTATTTATTTTGAGAGAGAGAGGCGAGGGCGGGGGGTTTTCAATGCGTACGAGGTCGAGAGGATCAGCTTCATTGTGAGCGGCCCTGCTGCGTCGTGTTGCGGCGAGTCGGGCGGCGCAGAGTCAGTGATTGTCCTTCCAGGGGCATGTGTGTCGTCGACCTTCAGACAGATCGATCAGAGACGGACGGCGGTCGTTGCATCCACATCCATATCCATATTGCAAGTCATACCCGGGGATCCATGGATGGATGGATGGTTGGATAGATGGATTATTATTATCGACTGAGGGGCTTTTTTGACGCCCAACGCAGTTTGGCGCACCTCGGCTCATTCACGTGACTGACTGGTTCGCCCATTTGGCGCTCGTGATATCGCGTCTGGTTGGCGTTGGGGGGGCAAGTCACGTATTGTCCGCCCTTCTTGAAGCAGGTGCAACACATCCTTCTTTGCCTCTTTGCCTCTTTGCTGTCACGACAGCTGTCATCGCTAGGCCGTATCCTTCGAGCTGCCCGCTACAATGGCTCTTGAGCAAGCACCTGGTAATACGCCCCATAATCGTGCCGCGTATGGCCCACCCCAACGTCCGAACGACCCTCTCACACCAGCACCCTTTGTCCGCAAGATCGATTTCCTGCATCAGGGTTATCCTGCGATGTGATACTCTAAATTTTTGAGGCTACCTACTCTCGACAACTAAGACCGCATTGGACGCATGCGCCATTGTTGCCCGTAACACGGGGGATGGCTTCTTCACCCTCGATCGAGAAGGCACCCAGCGTGTCCCCGCCAACAATATGGATCTCTCTTTAGGTGGTAAAGAATACTACTTCCAGGTTCCGGCTCAGTGAGGTACACGTGAGTATCCTCGAACGTGCAACCGCCCCCAACTCAACAGCTAGGCCTCTCAAGACTCCCCTCTCGTCCATACATTTATCGAGTGGCAATTCCCTCATGACAATCTTCCAGCGCATTGGCGCTGCGATCCTATCCATGTTCCCATCACCCTGCGCTGCCTCCTCTCAGGCTCGGTTTCTCTGATTGAGAAGGCCCACATTATCCCTCAGAGCCTATTCGAGCCGAACTGGGTCCGCGACAATTCCATGGAGAGCTACGGTGTAATGGATGGTCCCTGTAACACTCTGACCTTCAAAGTCGATGTGCATCAGTCTCTTAATCGCAGGAACAAGTTCGTGATTGTTCCAAAGTATGGTCAAATGGTGAGACGCGGTGAACGTGAGGCACGGGGAAGAGCGGAATCGGGGACGTAAGAGGGTGCGAACGTTTTCGGGAGACCGTGGTAGGTTACGTTGATGATCAACCGATAGCCACGGTCAAGTTGGGCGTCACCCGACGGAAGTCTTCGGTGGATGTCTCTGGCTTCTTCGATGTATTCTTGTAGACTCAGGTCTCCCTGCGAAAGTGAGCCCAAATCCTTGTATGCCGACCTGCGTTCCACTGGTCTGTGGTGGTGACGTGGGAATCTGTCCTTGAGGGCAGCAGATAGCTTCTCAACAACGGCCTCCAGCAAGGTAAAGAGGTTGAGAGAGTTGGGATTTACGGGCAACTCCTTGGATCATGGACCATGAACCAATTGGTACACTGACCAGGCACTTCCCACGCAGTGTAGTTTCTGTATTTTGCGTCAATTTACACAGTCTGGTCCGGGTTGTAATTTGCGCCGGTATTGAAGACTTCCCACAATTTCTTATCGTAGACAGTCTTTTCTTGGACATTTTGCCTGATGATCCGTCCAGTACGGATAAATCGACAAGTAGAATTCCGCGTTGGTCTCATCCATACGATGAAATCGTGTCTGGATCCGGTTGTACAGGAGTGAGTGCAGACCGGTCGGGCTTTACAAGGCTTGCACGTCCCCCCCAAAGAAGCGGCAGTGTGGTAGGAATGGTAAATGCATTGCGAATGTGATGGAAATGTAGCGTAGGTGAGGAGCGTGGAGCGTGGAGCATCTCAAAAGCGGCTTGTTGTCAAACCCCAATTGAGCTTTAGGCGCCAAGATATGATTTCCCTGCGGACAATGGAACTTTTCCCTCCTGCGCTTCCATCTCTCCCCATCCATCCCGATGACCTGACCCCTGCGGACAGGCAGGATGGCTATCAAGTGAGATGAAAACTTGGTCTTTGCATGAAACCTCCCATACTGACGCTTGACAGATATCTCATTTTGCTTTCCCGCCAGGGCAAAGTGGTAGGCTCCGCCGTCATCCCCCGAGTCGTTGCCCACCGTGGTTCGTTTCGCTGACTTCAACCCGTTCATTTCTTCCAGAGACTGGCAAAATGGTTCACCACTCTGTCCCCCAGGGAGAAGGCCAAAATCATCAAGGATGTGTCTCAGCTGGTTCTCGCCCGGCGGACCCGAATGTGCAATTTTCTTGAGTACAAGGGTGCGAATGCCCACGACCAACCCATCACTCTCCCAATCCTCTGCGCACTTGCTTTCCCTGTGCTTCGTGTGAATTTCAGGCTGACTTCCTTGCTGCATCGTTGCAGACACCAAAATCGTCTATCGTCGCTACGCATCCCTCTTCTTCATCGCCGGCTGTGACTCTACGGACAACGAGTTGATCACCCTCGAGATCGTTCATCGCTATGTCGAACAAATGGATAAATACTACGGGAACGTGTGTGAACTGGACATCATTTTCAATTTCCAAAAGGCCTACTTCATCCTAGACGAACTCCTCCTCGCTGGAGAGATGCAGGAAAGCAGCAAGAAAAATGTGCTGAGGTGCATCAGTCAAGAGGACAGTCTCGAAGACATGGAGGTAAGTGAAGCCGTTGATCTCCTCCAATGCACCTCTTTGAGGACTGCCACACCCCGGACCGGATGAGCTATCGCATGGGACCATGATTTCTTGTGGCGAGCAACTCCTCGTCGGCGCCTTTCCTGCTGCGGCGGTAGGCTTTCATCTCGCGCTCCTCCTGTGATTGTTGAGGCTAATTCCGCATGTCTTATACCGGACCAGGTCGAAGAGGAAGTCACCAAAATCATGTAGAACATGATGCCGACGGCCACCGTGCTGTTCGGTGGCATGTCCTCGGGTGCGGATCTACTGTGACACGCCGATCCTACTTGCTTCGATGCCCTTTTCGTTCGCGAGCGCAACCCAATGCTGAGAATACGCCATGATTGACGAGCCGTTCTTTTACAGACCACCGAGGAGGCACTACAGAGAGGCGGATTGATTTGATCGGCGCAGTCGCCACGGCAGTCAAGAGACGGCGTTCAGGAAGGAAGATACCCAAGGACGGACACATGGGCTTTACAGACAAGCGGTCCGTGCAGCAGAGACGAGTCATATACATTTTGTGGCGATGAAAGGCTATAAGACAATGGAAGCATACTACCGAAGAGTTGAGCCACCGCCATCCATCCTTGACGAGCTGACGCAGACAGTGACTTGGGAACCTCGGATCGCACGTTGCAGGCTGCCATTGACCTCATTGCTCTCGCCCAGTGCTTGATCTGACTTGAACTCCCATTGTCATCGTCCGCTGCGGTGCATGTGCGAGGCGGAATCCGCCTATTGGTCGTTTCGCCGAGTGCACGTGACTGCACAGCCCCGGAGGAGTTTAGGCCGCGAATGCGAATCTCCCCATGTTGCTTCTCCGCCCGACTTCGCAACCTCGTCCTGCTCCTACATCTCTCCGTCACTCCATCATCCATCAGCAAGTTATCATGGAATCGCGTCCCTCTTCTGCGACCTGCTAGACGTCTCATCGTCTAGCTATCCGAATTGCCGAGAGCTGCCTCTGCAGCCAGCCCTGGTTATCTCTTTGTTCGCGATCGCTTAGCCGGTTCAGGTCAACCATCCTCTTCGGGTCATCATCATCTACATCGCGCCGGCGAATCCATCGGTGTGCGCAAAGCGCTCAGCGAGCACTGCGAATCATCTATTCCGCGCTAGAAACCGCAACACCCTCTATTCTGCGCCTGCGCCCTGCTATGTGCTGAGTCTGACTCGGCCCGCAGCCCTAGCACCATGAAGGTAAGCAGACGCATTGTCGCCCTGTTCGGACTTGGAATCGACTCTAACGCATGGATCTAGTTTATGCCGAATCGCGACCTTGACACGGTCACCTCTACGCTCAACTTTAGCACCCCGGATCTCCATGTGGTGGGGGGATGCGATCTGTACACCACCAAGGCCGCCGGAGGAGACAAGAAACTATACAAGGACATTGAAAATGGTCTTGAAGCACAATACAAGTCGAACCTGCAGTTCTCTCAATCGCTGTCCCCGCCTCAGGCGCATGTGGCGGCGTCAAGCCTGAATCTGAGCCGGAGCAGTCCCTTTGGGAATCTGGGAATGATCAGTTCGCGGAGGACATATGCGTATCTCATTGCCACACTGAACGCCAGCCACCCTCACTACGACTTCTCGCACGTCCTCCGGCCCACCGATTTCAAACGAGAGAAAAGCCTGCGGCACGTCATGAACACAGTGGACACGACCATGTACAATCTGCGTCCGCGGCCCGTCAATACGTACCCCAGAGATTCCGCAGGCCCTGCGTCCGCTCAGTCGCAATGGGGACCGGCCATGTGGAGACTGATCGACCAACAAATGAGTTTGCGCGAATGCGCCGTGTATCGATACGCGCCCGAGGATTACGATCCTTTTGAGGACGACGACGAAGGGTCGATCTGGTCGATGAACTACTTCTTCTTCAACAAAGCGAGGAAGCGTGTTTGTTACCTGTACTTGCGAGGCATCAGCGTGTTGGCGGTCCCCACCGTCGATGCACTGAGGACGCCCATCCGCGCCAAGCGCTTCGCCGACGAGGAGGCGGACGGGTGGGTCACCCCCGACCTCGGTGCGCACAAGCGAGCAAAATACTGGCTTGGGGATCGAGACGATGTCGAAGTCGCCGAGCACGACAACGAAGCAGAGGCGGACACGGACATGGCGGTGACGTCGGTCGAGAAGGATGACGATCCCATGGATGCTTCTCCTTTGAAGAGCAAGCGGTCATCCAAGGAGGAACAGGGGGAAGAAGAGGAGGAGGACTTCCCGCCGCCCACGAGGCCGGTGGTCGACGACTTCGACAATTATCTGCTGAGCGACGAAGAGGTGCGCAGTTTGAGAAGCCAGAGCAAGAGCACGGCGCGGGGAGCCAGCGAAGAGGTGGTGGGACCCATGGAAGTGTAATGGAGAGCGTGCATGTGTCTGCATCGCGCCGCCGCCGCCGTGTCGTCCTCTTCTTCGGGCCTTGCCTGCTCCGAGATTCGGTCACTGTTGGGTCCTCTTTGTGATGAGATTGCCCGCTATTTATACGGACCGACCAGACTGACTTTTGAGATTGGGTTTTTGCTTCCTTTAGCCCGGGGGAGGACGCGTTACCATTTGGGAACTGTGTTGTTGTACCAATAATGATGATGATGACGATACTTGTTGGAAAGGAGCACGCGGGGCAACTGTTGACGGGGGGAGAGCTTGCCCTGAAAACTAATGTTCCTTCGATACCTGGAATGCGAATGGGCTCGGAATGGTTCTTTTACCTGATGGTATTTCGTGGAGTCACCATGGAATGGAGGGAGTTTCTTGGGAGAGCAAGGGAAGGGAAGGGCAGCCTACAGGACTTGACTCTGTTCTGTCTTACCTATCTGAAGTTCTGATAGGATGGGGGGCAACGTTATACAGTAGGTACCTCGTATATAGCATTATAGTACTCTTACCAGTCGCTTGGTCTAAATCTCCATCCAGATCGAGAGGGAGAAAAAGAGGAATGCGATTCCTCAGTCACACGTGACCGGCTAGTTGGCGGCTCGACGGGTCACTTTTTGGCGGCCTTGTGATTCACAAAGGGCAAGTTACCCGAGCAAAGATGCGGAAGTCTGCGAAAGTAGTCAACAGCCCGCAGACGGACCTGATCCTCCTGCCAACATATGCTCGGAATTCATCAACTGGCTTTGGAACTCGTGCTTCAAAGCCCTTCCTCTCGCCCTGTGTTCACTTCCATTCTACGGCGACCTTCACCGCTCAGTCTGTCCTCTTGATTGCCCCTGTCGCCGGTCCACGATTCCAAACCCACGGCAGTCAACCCGAACCCGCCCCCCGGCGCAGCGGCAGCTTGGGTACCCATCGGCCATGGGCGAGAAAGAAGACAGAGAGAAAGCTGAGAAATTAGCAGCGGCGAAAAAGAGGGTAAGAGAGCACCGAGGCGGACCAGATGTTGGATACAATATCTCCCGCCTGCGTCCCGACGCGGTTGAGTCCTCCACTGACTTCCCTCCTCTGTCGACGTAGGTTGCCCAGTTGCAGAAGAAGAAGAAGGCCGCGGCTGCAGGCTCGGGGGAGAAATCCACGACAGCTGCCAAAGACCCTTCCAAAAAGGGGGACGAGCCGGTTGGGGATAGGACAGAAGGAGATGTCGATGCCGATACCCAAGAGAAGGCCACAAGCAAGGTAGACGAGGTCGGCGACGCCGAGGCAATCCCCCCTGCTGCAGAGGCAGAGGCAGAGGTAGATGCAGACGAAGAAGCCTTCACTGCTGCAATTCAAGCAGCGAGTGCCAATAGTCCCACGCCGGAAACGGTCCTTTCTCCCGCAACGAGCTCACCCCCTTCTGGCGATCAAGACCAGCCCTCCTCCACAAAGGGAGCCAGTGCTCGCCATGCTGCCCGCCAACCGAGCATTAGCCTGCAAAGCAAAATCCGGAGCACCAGTTTCCGGGACAGCGGACCGTTGAGCCCTGCTCTGATGTCGGGGAATCCTTTGTTGAGGGTGGAAGAGCTGGAGAAAGAGAACAAACGGTTGACAAGGGAAGCAGAAGCCCACGAGAAGAGGTGGCGTAAACTGGAAGAAGAGTTGGAGGAGGTGCGGGAGGAGAATGCTGAGAAGCAAGCAAATGGCGAGGCGGATGAGGAGATTCGGCGGTTGCGGGCCGAGATTGAGGCACTGAGACGACGAGCAAGTCTCAACACAACCACACTCAGCCGGAGGGGCAGCGCTGCGGGTGAGGATGTGGCCGTGTTAAAGGCCGAACTGGAGAGGAAAGATTCCGCCATAGCGGACATGCAGCTCGAGATTTCGAGACTCCGGGGCCAGCTGTCGAGTCAGGCCCAAGGGTGCGAAGCGCACGGAGAGCAAATTGCCGGGCTGCAGGCGTCGTTGTCGTCGGCAGAGACCAAGTTGAAAACATTAGAGAGTGACTTGTCAGATGCGAAGAAGGCGCTGTCCAAGGCTAGTGAGAAGGCTGTGCTGGACTCGACGGAGCGCACCAGCAAGGAGATGAAGATTCGGGCTCTGGAGAAAGAATTGCAAGAAACTGCCGCACAAAGGGACGAGGTCGTGAAGAAAGCCGAACAGCTGGAGAAGAAGATCGAAGTGATGAACAAGCTGCACCGCGAGGCCGAAGCAAGGCATGCCTCCAAGTTGGCCGCGGCCGAGGCCACCGCCCGAGAAGTGCCAGCGCTGCGCATGAAGATCGAAAAGGCCGAGAATGAAACTGCCCAATTACGGGAAAGGCACAAGCGTGTCATGAGTGGCGATGGAGGAGGAGAGGGCCTGGATGAGCTGGAAGACGAAGAGAGGCAGAAACTCGAAAGACGAATTCGGGAACTGGAAGGCCAAGTCTTTGATCTCCAGCGTGGTGTCTGGAGAGACAAGAGAGTGCAGATGCAGCCTCGGGGAGATGATGTCGGATCGCGAACCTCGTTGGATCCTGGCCCGGAGGACTTTGACGACGTGGATCTCTCAGGTCCTGGAAACACCAGCGGTCGACGGAGGAGCTCGGTGAACCAGCAGCAGCAGCAAACCCGCCATTCCAACTTTGCCCAGGTGCTGAATTCGGGTCTCGCAGCATTCCGTGCGAGCACCACGTCTCCCAGCCAACAGACTCGGGCCCGGAACGATTCTCTGCTGCAGGAGTTCGACGACGACGAGGCCTTTGACGAGAACGCCTTCGCCCGTGCCCAGAAAGAGGAGGAGGCCCGGCAGATGGTGGAGCATGTGAGAGAAGTGAAACGGGGATTGAAGCAGTGGACGGGTTGGCGGCTGGATCTGGTAGAGGCGAGACGGGCGGGTGTCGGGGTGGGATACGGAGAGATTTTTGAACTCTGAATGGAGACACGGGGCCAGAGTCGGGCCATGATTCAATCCGTGAGCTGCCCTTCAGGCCTTTTGTGAAGCAAATGGCATGGATATGTCCCGTTCATCCTGTTCACGTCTCTTGCTTCCTTGTTTTGCTCTTTGATGGTCGTGGTGGACACGGCAGGTGCGTGTGCGCCACCGTAGAGACGCACTTTCTCTACGTCGCTGCACACTGTCACCTGGTTCCTGTTCAAGAGGTGGACGATTCACTCTCCCCCCGTTCACCTCTGTTCATCCCACCGACACCGTCACAATGAACTCCTCCAACGCCGCCCGTGGCACAGAAACAGACAGCGATGAGTCGACGCCTTTCCCCGTCACCCCTCCCCGTCAGATCATTCATCCCTTCACCTCTTCAAGCTCCTCCAACGGTGCCGACTTGACCGTCTGGGCGCTGGACCAAATCTATTCTTCATGTTTCTCCGACGACCCACGCGGCTGGGACCGTACCCGCGCCTTTCTCGGAAACCTTTCTCCCCATCTGCGAGCCGTAGTGTCCTATTTCCCCGACTCGGCAAACGGTGAATACTGGACGCCTTTCCCCTTGTCCAACGAGGACTTTGAGTGTCTCAAGCGGTCCAAGTTTCACGCGGATGAAGATCTGAAGTGAGGGCCCCCCCGGTCTTTGGCAATGTTTTTTGTTGGACACTAACTGGCTGCGGAGGTACGACTATGACGCCCTCTTCGAAATCCTCGTCTTCAGAATGCCGGAGCCGCATGCGCATAGCCATGTGCAGGTTCGCCTGGCCTACAAGATCGTGGCTCAGCTGGAAGCAATTGCGGAACACAATGACACTGTCAAACCCTTCATCAATCGTCTCTACGCCTCCATCCTGTCCCCGTTCGAATGCACGGACTCAGAACGTCATCCTGATTTTAGTGCCCACCATCTCTCCCAGCCAAAGCCAGCGGTGATAGGGGAAGTCGCTCTCCTTGAAACCGGGAAGAATCTGGACCGCCTGGCAGACGAGTATCACTTCGAATTGCGAAGCTACATCAACGTCGTGTTCGGACTCAGATTTGGATTTTGGAAGAATGAAAATGGCCACGTCAAGATATCAGCCATGTTGTCGACCTGGAGACCAGTCTTGAGGCATGGGTTGTATGTCGGTTCACGGTGCGAGGATGTCGTGGGTTGCTCCTGATCTAAATCACGCACACGGTATCCTACGGCTAACCCTTTCTTCCCTAGATGCTTTATGACGAGTTTGGAAACAAGATTGTTGACGAACACGCCGGCTTGCGTTTGTCCCTGGAGGACTTCGCGTTCTTTCGTCTTCCCACCGAGTTCCCGGGTCTGGACCAATATACAGTCTTCGTTTCCGTCGAAGAACTCCAAGAGATGCTGGGCGAGGCCGCAGAAATTCATCAGGCATATGGCTGGACACGGATACCATAAACCGGATAAAACCTAGCCTCTTGAAACTGACAACCTGGGGAGCCGCATCCGCTCTGATGGGAGCCAAAAAGAAAGGATATTTGTCATGAATGACCCTTTGACACTCACAAACTTTTCCAAGGCGTGTTCGCATGGCTTGGTCGGAACGAATGAACGAGGCAGGCAGGCATTGCTTTTAGGGATGACATGATACCCCAGGGAGTTCAGGGCAATATATATTCAGGTCCAGCAACGAGGGCTCAAGCCTCATCTGCCATGGAGAGAAAATGAGAACTGCACATGCCAAACAGATTTGAAAGCCTGATCTCTTCGCTGTTTGTTCTCACGATGGAGCTGGACCCTGAGACAGGACGTTATTTGCCCGCCTCCACTCTCTCCTCCCTTATCTATTTAGCGCCGGTCTAGACGAACCGGCGGCATGCATGTATGTCATGCATATTTGGCGGACGGAGATGAAGCTCCGAACTCGGCACGATAACCGAGAAGCTAGCCATTCCATTCCAAAACTATAAATTGACCCTCTACATGCATACATATCCCACGGCCAGTTCATTCCCCGTATGTCATCAGGGCGTTGCAAGGCAGAAAAGCTACGGCCAAGGGGGCAATAAGGCACGGCCAGGCCACCAAAAGACGTGGGAACTTGCGATAGGTCTCAAATCACTGCTGTCCTGATTGATTATCGCAGGAAGCCACCCACCCACCACAGCGTCAAAGGGGACGACGAAGAAAGGCACAGAGCTGGCGCTGGTGGCACAAGACGAGCAGTCGAGTCGGCAAAGCTATATCTTAGCTTGTTCCAGCCCGCCTTGCCCACATACATGTATACATATATACATATGTACACAGAGGCTCTGCCACACCTCTCTCTCTCTCTCTCTCTTGCCCCCTCTGGCTGTCCGTCTGCCTCACCTCTCCCCACCAAGTCTCCACCAATCTATTCGTTTCAATACATACACATTGAATCCGTTAATTTTCCTTCGGTGTCAGAATACCGCTGCCATTTTATGATGAGTACTGTATCAATTGGAAAGCTGAAATCGCCTTGATCGTCCAGCGCGCGCAAGGAACTCCATAACCACCTGAATGTCTCCGACCCACGATGTCGGTGTACGCGTTATCCGGAACCGCCTGCGTGGCTTTGGTGTAGCCTCCGAATTTTCGCACCTTCTCAATCGTGCACCCTCAACGTGGAGTGGATTGCACATGCGGGGGTGCACCGGTCCCTGGTTGCGGAGGAATCGTAGCCTCATTACTGATGGAGGTAGTCGCCGACGTGGGAGGAGTAGCTGCTTGCTGCGAGTCCTCTGCGGGGGCATATTTCATGCGCTTGGCAACCACTTGCACGGCGGGCACTTCATCAGCCGAAGTTTCAGATTCTTCTTGGAGCATTGGTAGGGACGCATGGCTGTCTGTGGAGGTGGGGGGGGCAGTCGCAGATGCGCCTCGGGCAATCTGATTTGCGTGATCGATGAATCTGTCTCGATCGGTTTTGGCTCGATCTCGGAGGTTGCGGAAAGCACTGGCTCCCATTCGGAAAGTGTCGACATTATGCGTCATGTAAAATCCGCCTAGTTGTGTAACATGATACTCGGGGGCTTCTCCAGGTGCTTTTGGCGCTGTCAGATGATGGGCATAGAGTACAAGCGATGTGGTCCCGTGATGGTAAGTGCTCGAGTAGCAGTAAGCGTTACCATCGTATACAGGTTCTGCCGATTTGTAATTCTGGAGACTGTGCATCGCTCGCGTACCGACTGCCCCACTGTAAGAGATTTGCAACTGTGCGACGTCGGCACGACCGCTCGCGCTCTTTCCCTCGAGGAAGAAGTTTGGTGCCGCTGGGAGGGAAGTATTATTAGACGGAACAATCTTGTCTCCGAGATCACAGCGGACACTCCGGTCGATGAGTTGAGGGCGCGCTCCGTCATACGAATCTGGTTGGTGCTGGGGTAGGTCTTTAGAGAACTCCTTCAGGTGATTGAAAATGCGGTCGGCCGCGGAATTCTGCTGTTTGCCCGATTCACCTGCAATGACGGACATGGCTTCAGCCCGTACGGTCTTCTCATCCTTTACTGCCCACCAACGGCTTCTTATCGCTTTGAAGTCCTCATCACCGAACCGCGACGGAGACAAAGAATCCCGACGCTTGCTCGTGTCTTCTATGATATCTCCGAAATTGTTGGGTTCTGAAGCCTCGCCGAGTGGATAGATACCAGCGTCGATCAGGTTCTGCGCGAAATTGGGGTCGTAAGAAGACTTGGTCTTGGTCTTGGTCTTGCTCGTTGCACCGCTGGCGCTGGGTGATGCTGAGCGCTTTCGACTTGGGATGGGTTGATTCATGATATCCTGATCAGTTCGGATAGCTAACTATAAGAGCACTTCATTAGAAATGAGCTCGAAAGGGGCGCGGGAACGGGACTCACCCCTCGAATATGGCTTAAATCAGGTCCGCCGTGTCGTGAAAATTGCTTCACGCTCTTGGTCGCAGGCCTTGGAGTGTTGATGCCGGAGGGGGATATCAACAGCGGTTGTTTGGCATTCAAAGTTCTGCGATCGTACTCTGCCAACGCAGCTCGACCGAGGTGGACCTTGGAGAGCCGATCCCAGTAGCCTGGAGGTCTGTGCCACCGGTACGCCTCGTCTTTATGCGTGTGTTTCTTTCTCTTCAGCGCGGGAGAGTCCTCGGGGGAGGGTGTAGGAAGAGATTGGGGTGAGCCTCGTCGCCGCTTCCTCGAAAGAAGATCCTCGTTGCGGACAGACATGGCCCGTCAATTGTAGTGATGGAAAAAGAGGGCGAGGAAAGGGCGGCCGTGGTGGCCGGTTTGAGGGAGGGTTGTACAGTCTGCAATCCGTGCAGGCAACACCTCAGACTGCGCTTCGAAACATTGATCTATTGGTCGATGAGGTCGGCGCACGTAGCAGCGCCTTGGTTCCAGCACATGTGGTGGAGTGATTGCAAGTGTGATTGGACATGGAGGTGGTGGAATCACGCGGGCAGCGCAGGCAGATGTTGGGGGGAGATACCTTGAATAGAGTTCACCTAGAATGGAAGGTTAGCCGAGTGCCATATAACGTGGCGACTGCCTGCAATTACTCCCTCGAATGCTCCCCCAACGATGGATGACCCATTTATCCAACACTTTCTCGAAATACGCCTAGGTGGGCGCTACCAGATATGTCAGCGGCTAGGATCAGGCTCGTTTGGACAAGTTTACATCGGTACGATGGTCTTCGGACACGCAATGAAACACCAACTCTGACTGATCCCTGCAGGGCGCGATGTTCCCACGGGTGATGCCGTGGCTATCAAACTCGAGTACACTTATACTACGAATCCGCTCCTCCGTCAAGAGGTCAACATCTATGAGGAATTAATGGGCCAGCCCGGCATCCCCCGGATGTTCTGGAGTGGCAGCGAGGGTGATTTCCAGGCAATAGTGTTCGACCTTCTCGGACCTAATCTCGAGGACCTCTTTCGATACTGTGGTGACAAATTCTCACTCAAGACGACGTTGATGCTAATGGATCAACTCCTCCATCGGATTGAGAGCCTCCACACAGTGGGATACCTCCATCGGGATATCAAGCCTGAAAACTTCCTCCTAGGCACCGGCAAGATGGGCAATGTGGTCTACATGACAGATTTTGGACTCGCGGAGTATCAAGGTGTGCCATACGATGGACCCAAAAGCTCCAAACCGGCAACCGAACCCCGGGTTTCCTTGGTGGGAACCTGCCGCTACGCCAGCATCAACGGTCACTTGGACGTCGGTGAGTACCGTGTATGTATTTCCATCGTTAGTTTCAAAGCTAAACTGGGACCTTACACAGCCCCTTCAAAACGTGATGACCTCGAGTCGGTGGGGTATATGGCCTTGTATTTTCTCAATGGGTCCCTCCCCTGGCAAGGCATCAAGGCAGCCAGTCGGCAGGAAAAACACAGGCTTGTGTACGAGCGGAAGAAGTCGCTCGCGGTGGCCGAACTATGTCAGGGTCTCCCCACTGAGTTTGCTACCTACATGAACTACGTTCGTGGATTAGGTGATCGGGACAAGCCAAACTATAAGTACCTCCGGGGCTTATTCGATCGCCTCTTCCGCCGTGAAGGCTTTGAGCATGACAACGTATTCGATTGGACCATTCGGGAATTTGAAAGGCTTTCAAGTGTGAATCAACAACAAGATTGATTCTGTGATGCCAGCATGGTTCACTCAAGGCAAGGAGAGGGATTACAGGGACCTCTGACATTGCAAACGAGCGCTGGAGAATGCCAGTTACTGATGTCTCGGGTGGGTTGGGCTTGGAATAATGTGTTCTGGGCGTTGTCTGGCTTCTTAGCACCTTAGCACCTCTTCCACTATTATATAGGCTTTCCTCCACGTTACCACTGGACATGCCACTGTCCTATTTCCAGGTCTCCTGTTAACGCCATTCAGCGGATGAACCATGCCTTCGATGACCCACAGATGCCAAACAGTCCAGATAGCGACAGACAAACTCCGCCATGTCAATGCTCGAATCCCTCTTTTGACTTGCACACCTCTTATTGTGCCCTATGGCTTCAGACGAACATTCCGGATCACCATACGCAGTGCCTTGCAGTTCGTCGGGCGCATTCCCTATCGGATCACCCGAACCAAAAGTCTCGTCGAAGCCAGCGAAGTCGCGACGCTGGATTTGCTTTCGCTCGTGCGGATTACCCGTTCTAAAGAACTACAATTACTCGACCACGCCCAGAAAAACACTGCAGGCACCACATACGTTTTTCATGGAATTTGTGCGTGGGGACCAACTTGGGTGACATCTGGTTTACCATGCCGGAGAAGGGCCGGGAGGAACTTGGTAGATGGTGAAGGTTTTTTACTACACAAGTATACAAGTATATGTGTGCATATGCATCGAACGGGTTTGGTTTAGGTTTTGTTTGTTGTATAGACGGCTAGTAATATGTAGCTAGCAGCCGCTAAGCCCACCCCGCCTGGCCCGGAACGAGGTATCTAGCGCAGTATGTATGCATGCATGCAATAATATATATTCGATCGACTCCTTTCCTTTTCTTTGTTTTCTATTTTTTTTCTCCCATCCTCTGCTTTTCCCAGAGCTCCTCCACGTTCTTCTCAAGACGATATACTAGGTAGGATTTCCATGCTACTCGTGTGAGTGAGGTGGAGGCAGACAGACTCGCCGTCCCAACTAACTTTTGCCGGCGCGTGTGGGGAATTCAAGTTCCCCCGTTCGCTAACACTTCACTTCCCGCCAGAAATCGTGCCGCTGCATGCGGAGTACATACTGACTACACAGATCGACCGGACGGATCCCCTCTCCCTCCCCCCATCCTACGATGTTGATGTTCTTGACTCGCTGGTTAGCGAACACGTACGCGCGAGGCTCTCAGGGAGTTGGCTAGTCAACGAGGGATGGGCGGCACGCTGGGTTGCACAAGCCTGCTCCATCCAGCAAGGCGCAGGCTGAAGCAGCTATTCTGGATCATCGGGCGTCGTGCAGTTTTTTCTCTTTTCTTTTCTTTGTGCTACCGTCCGTCCTCTACCCTCCCCGACATTTTCTTCGTCCGCAGTCTGGCCTCACGAAAAGTGTCTGAACGACGAGAGAATTCGCTTTCCAAAGAGGAAGAATAACGACAATAACAACAACAAGAAGAGTCTACCATTCAGACCACAACTCCTTTTACCCCTCTCCCGTCTTGTTGATCATGTCGAACCCGAACTACTGTGGTTGCAGGCTTGTCCACCCGGGTCCAAGAATCTACCACAGCTGCACGAAAACCCCGAACGCCCACCTTCCTTGCCATCATTTCGAGCCTCCTGTTGATGATCCCTACTCCTGCGGACGCGTCGATGTGATACTTGTGATTGAGCAGGTTTATCCAGCATCATCCCAGACCAAAACGGGCAATTCTCCCAACCATCGATCAGAAGAAGTGTGGTATATTGGAGGGAAAGAACAAAGAAAGCCCAAGACTGGTGGTATGAGCCCGGTTGAAATCGCGCCCGCCAATGCCATGGTCAGCTAAACAGCTACAAGATGGGGTTCTGTTTGTAGAGAGTTATGCTGGATACGGTGGAATAACCGCTGTCCATGATTGTTGATTTGGGCTAGCCTGTGTCATGTGAGCTATGTAAATGATCCCAGGCACACATGGGGAATCTTTACCTTGGGCTGTGAGAATCCTCCTTGGTCAAGTTGCAAGAGCCGGCGTATTGTCTCCGACAATCCACGGCTTCGAAGGAGTCGGCAAGAGACAGACAGGCTCAGACAAATGGCTGTCATTCACAGATTGTTCTTGTGTCTCTTTCGGCAAATCAGTCTTCGGTTGTGAAGAAATGGATGCAAGATCGATAACCTCAGACGAATAGTTGTCATTCGTAGATTGTTCTCGTGTCTCTTTTTGCAAATCAGTCTCCGGTTGTGGAGAAATTGATGGAAGATCGACAGACTCAGACGAACAGTTGCCATTCACTGACGTCTCTTGTGTCTCTTTTGGTGATTCGGCCCCCGTCTCAACTTCGAGAATTTCTGCGGCCTTGTCCAGCGCTGCGGCGAGCTCCTTGGACGACTTGAATCTCGGTATCCAACAGCTCTCGATGATCTGACCCAGCCAGACATCTTGGGTTGCTGGCAGATCTTCCCGTCGTGGGGGTAACCCGGTATTCCGCAACCCAACCAGACCAAGTCGTATGCACACTTGCGCCCGGTGATGACTTCGTACATAACGGCGCCAAATTGTCCCAGGTCACTCGAGATCGAATATCCGTACTTGTCCGACCCCTCCAGATCCCAATCAAGCGGCATCGCCTCCGCATTGCCAAAATCGCAAAATCGGATCGCAAGGGACTCGTCGAGCAGGAAATTGTCCAGGCGAATATCCGAGACAATCACCCGACGTTCGTGGACGTAGACCAGGGTGTGCGCTAGCTTGGTGAACCAGGATAACTGCATCTGGCGTGTGGCTTGATGTTCCTGGAGCCAATGTCGAAGATCCATGAGCATTCGATCCATCCGGATTAAAGGCTCGGGTGACTCCAGATCGTAGCAGCGTACGATCCCACTGTGGCTGCCTAGTCGTCATGTGATTGGCCTTCTCGGTTTGTATATGTTCGACCGCGATGGCTCGGTCGTCATACTCCCCCTTCTTGGGTGTCAAGGAATACACTTTCAAAGGCACTCCATCTTCATCCTCCTCGGCATCTCGTGAAAGGACTGGCAGTTTGACTGCGTACGGTCCCTGCTCAACGACAAGCCCTGATGCGCCTAGTCCGAGCCATCTGTCGGTCACGATCGTGCCGTCAACGTGTAGGTATTTGACAAATCGGACGGAATCCGAGCTTCTGTTCGCGAAGGTTAGTAGCGTTCATCTGGAGAAGGCGGAGTTGGATCTCGACTCACGTATATCCAAACGCATCCAGAAGTTCTGGGGTCCACCCAGGAGCCATGGTGATGTGCGTATCGAGAAGGTTGGAGAGTTAGTAAGGAATCATCGCACCTTTCGCAACCCCTTCCGACAAAGACCAGATATATACATACCGGGCCATAGACGGATAGCGCCTTGGCATGCATTCAGCCACGCCAGACTAGGTTAGTCTTATATGAATCACGTGACACAGTCAATCCTGAGGCCCTAAGGTCAGACGAGCCTCATACCTCAAAGTGGGATGATGCTGCTTGCTCTTGTCGAGTTGCAGTCAAGGAATAGATCACTCTGGTCAGCGGGAACGAATGGGAAGGGTGCGTCAGAAGTGTTTTCCAGATTACCTGTGTAATCTGTCTAATCACCGCTGGACTGGGCCAGTCTATCAATAATACAAATGACTCTGCAGCGCCACCGGTCTTCTGTGATTCAAAAACCACTCGCAGTCCAGTCTATAGCAGGATGAGTGAACCCGTTCGATACGCCTAATCATGGTCTCTAATCTATACAACATTTGAGAAGTACGGCTGCACCTGCACCCGCACTGATCATCGCACCTTGGTCGTCGTGGGCGGGCCTGTGTTGTTGGCCACTCCCCGCTTCCTCTCGATCTCCTCGATCCGTTCCTGCTCAGCCTTTTCCGCAAGCTCTCTTTTGCGCTTCTCGTCCCGTTCCACCTGGTCGGGTCTCTTGAGGGCGATATCCTTGGGGCGGAAGTCACTGAACAAAGTCTTGAAGATTTGCTCCACAACCCAGCATCCCACAAAGTCGGCAATCATCAGCGTCGTCAGGGACCATTTGAATTCGCTGGTGAACGGCACCAAGCGTAGCTTCTCGCTGAGCTCTGGTACGAACTCGGTGCTTCCCGCAAAGGCCACAAACGAACACGCGAGAAGACCCCAGTACATACCTCGGTTCTCACGAATGCTTTCGCGGAAAGGGCGTCCTTGGTAGTTGATAGCAAACGTCGACACTTGTTGGATCAGTTGCATGAGATAGACGGCGCTGTTGAGCAACGAGGGCTCGAATTCGCCCTCCAGATCAATCTCCTCGGCCGGTGGGGTGATCGAGTAAACCACGTTGGAAAGATAAATGAGCGTCACGCAGTGGATCGCAAATTGCCCCAGCACCGATCCGAGGATATAAGCGTTCAAGATATTCGGCTGCGGTCGTTCTCGCGAGAGGGCTTCCACAGGTTTGGCCCGAGAGATGGAAAGGAAGCACACCGACATCAGCATCCCGCTGATTGTTACCTGGCCGTCGCCGAACTTGATGCCGGCCAGATAGATGACGGACAAGCTGTAGGCGCTGATCAAACAGTTGAGAGCCAGGATCTTGTACATCTGGATCGTCGCCACAAGAGTGCATCGTCCCTGCCGGATGATGTTGGGGATCGCCATAACGTTGGCCAGTTTGCTGGTGAATGGCGCTGCGACGGAGGCATCTCCTAGCTTGATAGTCGGCGGCTCGCCGTCGTCGAGTTCATTTTCCATCATGCTCGAGGTAAACTTGTCTGCCCAACTGGCTGCTTTCTGCTGAGCCTCTTGTTGGCGTCGTTGTTGAGTAGTCAGATTGGCATTCGATTGCTGGATCGCATGTGCACCAGGAGAGGTGACGGTTTCGACGGCGCCGTCATTCACATCGCCATTCTCCAGATTGATACCTTTTTGCTCGGCAATTTTTCTGATGGCCTTTTCATGGTGGGGATTGCGAGGGCCAGGGGGGTAGAGATGTGCGATTCCCACAGGGACTGGCGGTGGTGGTTGGTTGAATCTTTCCATCAATTGCACTTGCTTTTCGTAGATCTCCTTCATTTTGGTGGTTCGGAAATGTTCGCCTATCTTATTGAGGGCTTCCTGAGAACCATTCAGCAGAGCAACGCCAATGTGGGCTTGCTTCAGCGCGCCGACGTCATTCGTCCCGTCGCCACACATCAACGTCGTGTAGCCTTGGTCTTTGAGACCGATCAGAATTTCCTCCTTCTGCTTCGGCGACACGCGAGCATAGACCCACGTATGCCTCAGTAGCGACAAGAATGCTTTCTGGCCGCTGAACTTGGCAAGAGCATACCCAGTAACGCACAAGTCCTTGGTCTCGAGAATCTTCGGGTCCAGATCGGCCGTGGGATCGACAGGGATGATGGTTTTCTCGTCGACACTGCGCCAGACAAGTTTGGTCCCCGAGTCATCGTGCTCTGGGGCATCCAGGATCAAACAGTCTCGGTCGACAATCTCGACTTCTCGAGCAACATGGACAGCAGTTAGCGGGTTGTCTCCGGTGATCATCACCACGCGGTGGCTGCTTTCATTCAACATCTGTATGGCCCGGATCGCATCTTCCTTAAGAGGAGTCTGGAGCACCAAGAAACCTGCAAATTGTAGGTCGCATTCGACTTCCTCGCGTTTGAGATCATTGATGCGTTTCTGGCCGATCTCGGCCTCGGTTGAAAGGTATTTATAGCCGAGAGCCAAAACCCGAGCACCATTCCGCGTGAAGTATTTGAAAGTCTCCTCGTATTTCGGCGGTGTCTCAGCCAGCATCTTCTGGATAGTTTCCGGAGCACCCTTGACACCAACAAAGGTGCCTTTCGCCTTGCGTCCAGATTTGGGGTCAGTCATCAGGACCGAAGCCACAGAACTCATGCGCTTGAGAGCGGACGAGAATTGGAAGCGTCGTTTGATTTGGACAACGTGCGAAGCACCGGCAGTAGAGAACGGTTTGGCTTTCTTCAATTTGGGTGGTGGAGTGCTGATTAGAGTGTCATTGTGGCCAAGGGTCCAGTTGAGAGCGTTGAGCGTGGCCTTTTCCATGGGATCGCCGACAATGTCCCCTTCTTCAAGTTTGACCAAGGCGTGAGCAGTCGCCAGAACCAGGGTGGTATAAACGCCACACTCCGGGACCTTGGTAACTGAGGTCTGCGCGCCATCTGCTTCGGTCGGGGCACCCTTCTTCCCCAGGCTGAGCCCTGCGACACCATCGACGACGAGATCTTCGCCGGTCAACGTTCCAGTCTTGTCAAAACAGGCGACATCCACTCGTCCGGCGAACGGGATCCGGAAAGGTTCTGTACAGAAGATGGCAAATTTGCTGAGCGCGGCAAGGCTAGTATTGACCGCCAAAGACAACTCCATGGGCAATTCGGGCGGAACAACACTTGTGACGATCAGAATGCAGTCGAGGAGAAGCTTGGACCGCTTTCGGTTGTTCTTTACGCCCTCTTGCCACACGTACCACGAAGCGGCCAGGGCAAAGATCAGTAAAAAGAGAATGAAGATCAGGGCTTCGGCGTTGTTGGCAGAGACACGCTCGGTTGAGTAGATCATGGTTCGCACAAGACTTCCTTGGCTGGTCTCAAACCCGGTCTTGAGCACAACAGCCATAGCGCCGTTGTCAGGCGGTGGAGGGATGCCGGACTTCAATTGTGGCACAGTTTCCGGCGCATCGTCACTAGCGGCAGGATGGGTTATCTGAAGGACCTTTGTACCTCCCCAGAGAAAAGCATTCTTGTCCAACCCCTCTGGTTCTATTGTCGCGTCGCCAGGGCGCAGGAGAATCGACTCTTTTAGGAGCGGGGTGCTCTCCCCGGAGAGCATGGCCTCATTCACAATAGCAGTTCCTTCAATGAGAAGCATGTCGCAGGCAACTCCGGAATCTTCTTGAGTCCGTCCCACAGACGCGAGGTCACCGGGCAACAGTTTGTCACTCTTGATCTCGATCCATTTGTTGACACGATACACCCAAATATCGTAGGGCTTGATGCTCATTCCTCGGAATTCATTCAGTGTCCGCTGTCTCTGCCAGACCACGGTGCTTTCGAAAGCCACCAGCATGAACAGCGTGAACAACGAATAATACCAATAATCATCGAGCAACCAGAGACCGACACAGAACACTTGGAAGATGAAGAACGGGGCAACAGCGTGCTCCTTAAACAGCTCCGTGAACGTGGGGACAGGTATATCAAATGTATTGTCGCCATAATGTTTGTGCACCGTCTCGATTTCGGCTTCAGAGCTGAGACCTCGCGATTGTTGGAATTCGCGGAGGAGGGGCTTCTTCTCGGCATCAAGCGCATAACTCAACGGCGCGAATGTTCCCTTCTCCGGCGAGTATAGAAACCGTCTCTTCTGAAATAGGAACGAAGTTCTTCCATCCGATTCTCTCTCCAATTTGCAGATTGCCGACGCACCCGAATTGACGACAGGGATGACCTTGATCAGTTTGGCATCCTCGACTTTTGTGGCTTTGGTCGTGGTAAAGGCAGTCCTCAGATGGACGCTCCATTTGGTGGAGAGCCAGGTCAGAGACTGAAGTGTGACGATTGTCGCAACGTAGACGAACGTCCATTCCGAGCCATCAATGTAATCGTCGTAGAGGTCCTCGTTCAGGTAGATAGCAAGGAAAACGGGCCATAGAATCGTAAAAGGCCATACGTAGGCTTTGAGGAAGAAGGGTAAGGGGTTGTGGAGGCTTGCCGCTTGTATCTGGTCATTGTCCACGAGTTTCAACCTACAGAGCGTTAGTGCGAGTTGTAAGGGGGAGAGCCGACCGGGATCTACTACATACGACTGTTGGGCCATGGCGAGCGTCAGTCAAGAGCTCGACGATAAAGAAGAACGTGACAGAGAGAGATGTGCTCTCCGAAATTGGCGAGAAAAGACCTTGGACACAGTGTCCTATCGAAAAAAAGTTGGCGGCATTAGATACGACCTTGCGCAGGCAAAACTCGGAAGACGGCGATTCGCAGTATGTTTAGCCGATTTGTCACGTTTGCATTATCTCTTGGCATGTTTGTTCTTTTGCAACTTTTGTTTGACTCATCAGCCTCCGGCCTTAATCACAACCGCATACCAACACGGATACGTCGAATCTTCCAGATTATTCTGGCACGCAACTTCGTTCAGAGAAAACGATTAGAGAACCAGTTTTGTGTGCGACGCAGAGGGTCTTTACGTTGTGCGAGACCTTGTGGGACTTTCGGCTTTTTATTTTGTCTCATCTCACGTGCCTCACCATCTAGCGCTCCAAGAAATCTCACCCGAGGACCTGCAGCGATATCTGACAAGGCTCATCACCCTAGCCTCATGGCTGAATCTGCAGAGGCAAGCATGAGCTTGCCGGAGCGTGTCAAAGAAAAAGTTGAGAACGCGGTGGCGGACAAGAAGCCCAAAAAAGAAAAAGCGCCCAAGCAGCCCAAACCCCCCAAGGAGGCAAAACCACCAGCGGAGAAACCTGTGAAACCTGCAAAACCCGCCAATGCACCGCCATCAGCGCCGGTCGACCCCGACGCCATGTTCAAGGAGGGCTGGCTGGCGGCTGTTCGGAAGGAACGGCCAGCCGACGAACCGGTCGTCACACGATTCCCGCCGGAACCGAATGGCTATCTCCATATCGGCCACAGCAAAGCCATTGCGATCAATTTCGGGTTTGCGCGATTCCATGGCGGAAAATGCAACTTGCGGTTCGACGACACAAACCCCGAAGCGGAAGAAGAAGTCTACTTTACCGCCATTGAAGATATTGTGCACTGGTTAGGATTCAATCCCGCCCGGATCACCTACTCCAGCGACTTCTTTGACCGGTTGTACGAGTTGGCCGAGAAGCTTATCACCTTGGACGGCGCGTATGTATGCCACTGCACAGACGAGGAGCTCAAAGATCAGCGAGGCGGCACCGATCCGAAGAACAAGCATGAAAGATACGCTTGCCCTCATCGAGACCGACCCGTTGAAGAATCGCTGGCCGAGTTTCGAGCGATGAGAGACGGCAAATACCGGCCCAAGGAAGCCTTTCTGCGGATGAAGCAGGATCTTTCCGATGGCAACCCCCAGATGTGGGATTTGGTGGCCTACCGTGTCCTCGAAAAGCCACATCATCGTACGGGCGACAAATGGAGAATCTATCCCACTTACGACTTCACCCATTGTCTTTGCGATAGTTTCGAAGGCATTACTCATTCTCTGTGCACGACTGAATTCATCCTGTCCCGGGTTTCGTATGAGTGGCTCAACAACAAGGTCGATGTTCCCCACAAGCCAATGCAGAGAGAATATGGCCGATTGAACGTCACGGGCACCGTCTTATCGAAACGCAAAATCAAAAAGCTGGTGGACGAGAAGATTGTCGCCGGCTGGGATGACCCCCGACTCTACACTCTGGTTGCACTGCGGCGGCGAGGCGTGCCGCCAGGTGCCATTCTGTCATTTGTCAGCGAGCTCGGAGTCACCACCGCTACTATCAACATCCAGATTGTGCGGTTTGAACAGTCAATCCGCAAATACCTGGAAATGACAGTGCCTCGTCTCATGCTCGTGCTCGACCCCGTTCCTGTGATCATTGACGACCTTCCGGACGATCACTACGAGGAGCTGGAAAATGCGTTTGGTCCGAAAGATGTCGACATGGGCTCTCACAAGCTGCCCTTTACCAAGAAGGTCTATATCGAGCGTGACGACTTCAGAGAGGTGGACAGCAAAGACTTCTTCCGCATGGCCCCCGGCAAGCCTGTTGGCCTCCTGAAGGTTCCTTATCCAGTCATTGCCACGAGCTTCAAGAAGGATGAGGCCACTGGGTTGGTCACCGAGATACATGCCAAGTACGACAAGCCAGCAGAGGGCGAAAAAGTCAAGAAGCCCAAGGCCTACATCCACTGGGTCGCTGATGCTCCGGGACATGGTTCCCCAATCAGATGTGAAGTCCGCGTCTTCGGCCCTCTCTTCAAGTCCGTTAATCCAGACGCGGTGGAGCCGAGCTTCATGGCGGATATACGAGACGACAGTCTTAAAGTCTACCCGAATGCAATGGCAGAAGTTGGATTGAAGGAGATCTGGGCCCGCGCTCCATGGCCTGAGGAAGCCGGGGAGAAGAAGGATAAATGCGGTCCTGAATCGGTCAGATTCCAGGCAATGCGTACCGGATACTTCTGTCTGGACAAGGACACAGATGAGGCTGCAGGGAAGATTGTGCTCAATCGGATTGTCAGTCTGAAGGAGGACGCTGGGAAGAGTGCATGATGGATGATGTATGACGGGCAGGGATGGTTCCGGAGTTTAAGCGGTTTATGGTGACGAATGACCTCTAAAGGGGTCTCAGGAAACTTTGTGGCAGATAGATCAGGTTAACTTTCAAAGTGTACTCGGTAGAAGTCTGGCAAACAGCATATTGAAGCGAAGACCTTGAGTTAGCTGGCCCCTTGAACAGGACGATCGACTTGCTCACTGTAGACAAGCCAAGAAATGGGGGAACCTATGACTAAGCAGCACAGCCACATTTATTTTCCCATCTCCGCCTCCCTCCGCCGAGTTGCGTCTCTGGAGTTCTCGCCCCTCTACGAGGTTGCTACCAACTCCCTCCAGTCCCTTGATGGGAACCCAACACCAGTGCAATGTCACGGCGCACTATCGGCGGTGGGAGGGTTCTGGGAAGCAGTAGAACCCTCGGGCCCCCGGCTCCTCCTGCTCCTCCTCCCAAGGCCACCACGCCTCTCCCCAGCCATGTGCTCTCCCCCTCTGCGTCGAGCCTGTCCTTGAACACCTCTGGGAGCGGCAATTCTACCCCTCCGTCGTTCGACCCCCAAGACATCGCATCACGAGTCTCCCTCGACCATGGCGCACCCGATCTGTCTGCGGCTACGGCTGCGGCTGCGGCTGCGGCAACAGACCGCTTGGTCTGCCCCATCTGTAGCGAGGAAATGGTCACCTTGTTGCAGTTGAACAGGCACCTGGACGATGCCCATCAAGAGATCGAAGAACAACAGCAGGATGAGGTAAAAGATTGGTTCAAACAACAAATGGTAAAGGCAAAGAGATTCCAGCCGCTGGCGGTGCTGAACCAGAAACTCAAGGGGTTGGACGTGTTTGAGTCGAACCAGGACCTGGTCCGAATCAGCACCCCGACCCCACGGAGCGAATCTGTCTCAAGAGATTCGAGAGACCTTCCTGCTCCGCCGTTGCCTCCAAAGCCCTCTGTCGTCGATCCGGACGACATCATCACGAAGTCACACTGGCAAAAGCGGACGGGATACGATGTGTGTTCGGATCCAACCTGCGAGAAGAGGCTGGGTTCGGCAGCGGGGATTGTCAACTGTCGACATTGTGGAAAGCTGTTCTGTGAGGAGCATACAATGTACCAGATGAAGTTGTCGAGATCTGCCAACATGAGCCTGTCCGAGGGCTCTGGTATCGAGTCTGCGAGACATGCTACAAAAGCCGAGAGGGTTACACGGACAGGCATGGCCTGGAAAGAGATAGGATGAACGAGTTTGAAAGTGCCAGGCGAGGCAAGCTCGGCCATAAAGAGATGGAGATATCGCGCCTGGAAAAAAGGCTGTCGAGGCTAACGCAGATACTTGCCAATCCTCCGGATGAGATCCCGCAGCCAACCCATAACAAGAGATGGTCATTGACCTGGGTTCCCACCGATCCTCGAAAAGCCCTCGAGCAAAGCATCGTGGCCTGGCAGAACGACGCGGACGTGCCGCGGTGTCCGTACTGCCAGCAAGACTTCAGCCAGTACTCCTTCCGGCGACATCACTGCAGAACCTGTGGGAAGGTCGTCTGTGGAGACCCGACAACTGGGTGCTCAACAGTGATCGGCCTCGATGTTGCTACTAGTACGTCCTCGCCCTTTCTATTTGGCACTTTTTTTTGACATACTGATATCGAGGTTGGCAGCTAACACCCACCTCACCATTACAGAAAAGCCTGCGCCTAATGATACCGTGGCCGTGGACGTGCGCCTCTGTAAAGAGTGCAATCAAATGATCTTCTCCCACCGGGACTTCCAGGCATCCCTCACCTCGCCGGCGATCGAAGCATTCACCCGATCGTACACCAATCTCCTGCAATTCGAACGGGGCATTCGGCTCCTGCTCCCTAAATTCCAGAAACTCCTCCAGGCCCTGCAAGACCCCGATCATCCGCCGTCATCAAGTCAGATCGCCGACGCGTCACGAACACGCAAGCGACTGATGGATTCGTTCACGCAGTATGACACGGCGGCACGTCGCATACGGGACATGCCCAGCCAGTCGCCGACACAGTTGAAACTCCAGAAGGCTATTTACCAGAACGCCACGCAGTTTCTCCATCTCCACATGCTGCCCTTAAAGTCGCTCCCGAAGGTCCTCAAACACGCGACGCCTCATGGCAACAACACCAAACCTGTCGACTTGCACCACAACGCGAACCCTCGCTCTTCTCTGGCCATCTTGAATGGAGCCCACCACGCACGGAAGGGATCCTCTTCCGCCGTGAGCGTCACTTCGTTCGCCACCACCAACTCGGCACGGATATCCGAACTCGAGGCCGAAGAAAAGTCGCTCCGCGAGCGCCTGATCGTCCTCGAAGAACAGAGGTTCCTTGTGCAGGAGATGATTGCCGACGCGAACCGCCGGAGGAAGTTCGACGAAGTGGCCGCCCTGGCCGGCAACGTGGAAGATTTATCCGCCGAGATCGATGCCGTGGGCAAACTGGTGGAAGGGATCAGGGGCGAGTTTGAGGGACTGTACACCAGCAACGGCCTGGGGAGCGGCGTGAACAGTCCACAGCGGAAGAACTCGGACCTGGGTACCGACAAGGGAATGGGAAAGATGAAGAGCGTCGAGAATGGATGAAGCAGGCATTGCATGCATGCATGCATGTATGCCACCAGAAGAGGGACCTGAGCTGGCGAGGCCCCTCCCCGGATTCAGAAGTACATGGTCTGGTGCATGTCCATTCCATTCCATTGCACGACCCAACACCTCTCTCTACCTATTACGTAACGTTTACCAACGAATCCTCTTTTCTTCCGATCCCCGCTTTGATTTCCACATCGCGTCGTTGGTGTTTGTTTTGTCTTCCCTCCGTCGTTGCACCGGCACCGGCACCGGCACCGGCACCGGCACCGCCAGGGAGGAAATCATACGAGGTAGAACAGGCGGGCTGGAAATATGCGCCATGGGGGACATTCGAGAGCGGTGCCGGCAACATGATAGCATATCTCTAGGGGACATACATGAATGGTTTATGGATGGACGCGTGGATGTTGTTCATAACATAAAAATACACCGCAGAGTCTGAAGGGCGTATGAAGGCCCAGGCCAAGCCTGTGCTATATACATTGACTCTTCTCTGTAAAAAGCAGCCGGCGCCTTCAATTCGACCAACTGTCAAAATTGTGAAGCCTCTCTGCTAATTGTCTCTTCCTGATTCTCGTCTCATCTGTCCTGTCTATCCCCTACTTGTTTACTTGTTTGTCTGTCTGTCCTATCTGTCCGTTGTGGCCCGTTGTTGTATAACGCCCTCTCTTCTCGTCAATGGTATCATTTCGTCGTTCTTCAATCGGTTGTGGTGGTGGTGGTGGTTGGGGCTCGTCCGGCGCGGCTATTGTAGCGCGTGCGCGTGGGAGATGAGGCTCATCAGAAGGTTCCTATTCGCGCGGACGACGCAGTTGGCCGATTCTCCGCGTGGTGGTCCTTCGGTGGTGCCCGCTTGGACTGCGTCGCCGGCGGCACGGACGGCCTGGGACTTGAACTTCACGCCCGACTTGTAGAGGGTATACGCGCTGTTGGCCAGTTTCTCCAGTCTCATCACCGGTTGTTCTTCCCTCCTAACGGGGTCTTGTTGTGCGTCTTTCTCGTCTCCTCCTCGGGGGGCATTCGAGCTATCTTTGCCAAACGGGTCCTCCCCATCCATGGACCAAGCCTGGAGGTTGACGCCGGTCTGGCCAGAGCCGTCACGAAGCATCGAACTCAAGAACGTGTCCCTGGGCCAACTGCCTTGTTGTTGTGCCAGCGTGGCCATCTTGTAATACCAGCTCGGGAAGTCGCTCGCCGGGCAGCATATCCGGGTCCATGCTATCTGGCTAGTCGGTAGACGAATGGCGAGGGCAAGTTCAATCGTGTCGAGGATGGACTTGAACTTGTCCTTGAGAAGGGCAACTTTGGAGGTGCCGTCGCGAGTAAAGGATTGGAGGAGGCTGAACAGGTAGTCGTCAAGCGTCGCCTCCATGAAATTCCCGTTCAGCTCGAGCGGGGGGATGGAGGGGATGTCGAAGTTCTCGCAGAGATAGTCGATGAACGATTTCAGATCGCCTGGCGAGGACTTGGAGCATAGGATCGCACTCTGTTCCGTCGCCGTTGTGGTCCGCCTGCGCCCGACAGCGTAGCTCGTCGGAAAGCGGGTGTAGATCACGAAATAGGATGTGACTTTCTCGTAGGTAAGAGACACGGACAGGCCTCCGAGAAGATCCTGGTCCTCATCATTTTCACCCTTGTTCACTCCTTCTCCTCTCCGCCTTCGTTTATGCCCGCTCGGATCATCCTCTTCGGCTACGACGACTTCTTGCAGCAACCTCCAGCTGCACAGGTTCAAGCGGCCCATTTTCTCCTTCTCCTCATTGTTTGCGTCTTGTGGGCGGTCTTTGTCGAGATGTGCACGGAATGCAGAGGCATGGCGCGAGAGCAGCTGTTGTTGTGTCTCGTGAGGACGGGAATCAGGTGGTCTCATCAGGGTGAACAGGAGGGCGGGAATTCTTGGGATGCTATGAATAGGCGTGAGCGCATCGAAGAGCGCATCCTCCATCTTTCCAGTCCTAAGGCGCTGGAAACAGACGGAATAGAATGTGGTGATGCTGCCATTGAGGAGGCTGCGGTGGTAATGGATGTTGTTGTTAGACTGCGGCATAATCACGAGGCGGAGATGTTTTGAGGGGGACAACAAAAGCACGTGATCACGCAGAGAAGCGCAGGCAAAATGACGTAATCTAAAAACCGCCTCAACAATACCCACCAGACAAAGAGCCTGCCACATTCATGCTGCATAACTCAATCATTTTGGCTCATTAGCTGTTTGCATTGATTCGAGAAGAAAAGAAAGAATTACGCGGGTGATCCGGACCGTCACCGAAAAAAAATCCAAAAACAATCAACAATCAGGATTCCCACCTGGTCACCCACGGTAGTACTAACTGATCGGCATGTGGCTTAAGTACGGCTGAGCGAACGGGAAGCCCTGTTTTCCACATCCTATGGTCGATTGCGGGAGATATTGTTCTAACACAAAATATAATCCACAAATTTCTCTCTCCATAATACGTGTCCCACTTCTATGGTGGCTAGTGAACAAATAGCACCATCCATGCTCCCTGCTCGACTATGAGACACTCGGTACGAAGACAACTGATAGTACTCCATCACTTGTGTCGGCACAGCTAGGGTGCACAACGCACATTTGCGCACAGCAGATTGGCAAATGAAAGCAAACAGTTGAAGGAGTGACTCCAGCAATGGGAACGAATCAAGGCGATCATATGAAAAAGTCACGGGAATGTTTGCAAAGGAATTGTCACCTTGAAAAGTAAGAGCTCCAGGCAGCGAATCATCAGTTACCGTATTTGTGGTGGCTCATGTACTGGCGTGGTCCAGTAACGGCCAGCCACCGCAGACACTACTGATATCCTCCGGGTAAGTGGTAAGTGGGTGAGTGAGTGAGTGACTGATAGAGAGAACTGCGATATCCAGAAATGAACTCATGTGAGCCACGCCCACGCCCGTATTTAAGCCGACGCCACCGATACCAGAGTGCCCTCGTCCACCAAAGTAGACTCTTCCTCATCGTCCAGCAAAGTGGAGTTGTCACCGTCAGCTTGTAATGTAGACTCGTCGCTGTTGGACGCCCAAGCATTTCTTCCTCCATTGTCTTCAGCAGCCAGGGCGTCAGGATCAGGGAGCTCATCGATGACGAACATTAGTTGTTGCAGCAGGGTCGGAGCAAACTGTTCGCAAATATTCAAGGTATACTGCCCACATGCCCATCTGTCCAGATTGTCCCTGAACCTCATTGTGAAGAAAATGTCCCGATAGTATGTCGCCGTGCCATGGATGCCTATCTCAGGATAATGCACGCACAGAGCGGCATGTCTATCGTCACTAAAAATCGAGAAACCGAGGGCTCTCCGGTGCAGCTCTGAAGCACGACCCGCTCGCTGATAGAGGTCCACAATGCCACGTGAGGCGACGGTCATGGCGTGGACGGCGGCTCGGTCGGCAATATCGCAGGCTGCGGTGCCACATTTGACAAAGCTGGTCAGGAAAGGGAATAAGATATTGTTCCTTGGTGCATAGTAGGATGTCGCTGAGAGGTTGCTGTGGAGCTTGCGCTGTTGGACCTCTGTGAGGACGGTGGGCCGGAATCCGTAGGTGTGATCCGGGCGAGGGGCAGGGCCATAGAATGGCACTGCTTGGTCCCACTTGAGGTTAATGCAGTCGATGAAAAGGTCGCCACGGCAAGAGTATTCCACGCTTGACAGCGAGATCAGGGCCTGGACCTCCATGAAAATATTGAGGCTACGGAGGCCGGATCCTCTGCTGTGAGGTTCCGGCATACTCGCCAGGAGCGCGCGCTCCTCTCTGGTAATGCGAGGCGGCAAGACAAGTTGGTCGCACATGTCCTGGTCGACCTGTACAAGTCCAGCCGCCGACGATTGGGCAAAGCCACCTCTGAGGGCCAGCTCACTAATGTAATTGGGGTGATCATAGGGTGCGTATTTGCCTCTTTTCTTGAACGATGAGCTAGCTGCTGGACGTTGGGTCGACAGGTCTTCGTACTGGGCAGAGAACTCGTACTCTGACTCGTCTTCGGGGTGCCCTATTAGCCACTGCTGAATGATGACGGCGCCGTGGGACTTGCTTGAGGAAGAGCGACGTTTGATCTGGCATGCTTCGAGTTCGATAGACGCTCGGCGCTTTCGAGGCACAATGTGGGTCATGAGGGATGAGGGGGTGCAAAGTTCAAGGGTTTGTAGGGATCTGAGCGTGTGGCGAGCCAACAGGTAGGAATGATATGCCGGATGAGAATATTGGCCGATGCCAAAGTGCTTGATCAAAGACGACCAAGGTTGAAATGAGAAAAGTTGAAACGAACGAGAGATGGAAGAAGAAGGAAAAGAGAATCCAGACGCAGGAGAGGGTCAGTTAAGGTACAGCAGAAGCACATAGCTAGAGGAAAGAACAGGGCGAGGATGAGGGAGGAGGGAGGAGGGGGAAAGAGGGGCTGGGGCCTTGTCTCTTGCAGACCTGTGTGTAGCTCAATGGTTATTGACGTTATCCGGCTCATGATGATGGACGTCTTCCTGATGGCATGTATAGGCCAGGCATTCTTGACGACTATATCAGCTATATATGTGATGCGGTCACTACATGCTCTGTGCTGTGAGCCCTGTGGTCTGTATACAGTTTAGTGTTGACGGAGTCGCTGGACGTCGGACTTAAGTAACTTCCGGGTCGGGAAACGCTGGCGATGTCTGTCCAAACTGCGTCAACTCTTCGCAAGTTCGTGTTTATATCACTCTCAGTGCTATTAAGGCGGTGGGGATACACACTTCAGTGCTATCAAAGCGATAGGGATAAACACCTCTTCCCCCTAGCCCAAGGAAATCTAGCCAGCGCTTCTTCGGTAAGCCTTTCTTGCTGAGGGGCATAGAGTGTAAACTTCGCACCCTTCCTTCTACGATCGGCCTATCAACCCTTTCGAATATCGACCGTCACGAACGCAAATCTCGATTACGGATACAGACTTCAGATACATAGGAGCCCGCGACGATAAGAGATCTTCCACGTCTCCTGAACGCAGTCTCAGGGGAAAGAGCAGGACTTTTATCTATGGAGGGGAAGGCGAATGGCTTTGGACTTAAGACTACGTACACCTTTGTATCGATATATTTGGACGCTCTCAGGGTAGGACGAAGATCGTATCCCTATTGCTGCTGAACGGGGTATAGGACAAGAGAGTAGGAAATCTCTTGAGCTGGACAATAGCCCTGACGCGTATAGTAGACGGTGTACCTTGTTGTTACGTGAGTGGAGATGGAGATAGGTGCTGTGCAGACGCGCCAGGACCAGGCTTTGACGCGTATAGGCTTGACCACCTGACCAGACCGCCTAAGGATGTACGAATCAATCAATCAATCACAGCCTCAGCCCTTCTCCACAGCCAGGTGACTCGTCAGAGCATGAGATCCGTTTATTCCACGATGCCTGCACACTGATTCAGACGAGGGGCAGCACATATAGCCAGGCGAGGTACTGTGAGGTAGGTCTGAGGCACATGTTGCACAAAGATATCCAAGTAACAGTGGCAGGAGCCAAGCAGACAAAGTTAGGTAGGTCTGAGGAGACTCTAAGGAGATACACCTATCATAGGGAGAGACTTGTGCGCTACACTTTCATTCTCCCTTTTTCTGCCTCATTCTCCTCGTCTCTGTCGCCGGAACGACAATTCTCAGGATATCTATCCTCCTTTGGCAAACAAAGAACTATTATACCTCAGTCCACGCCATGGCGCTCTGCCCAGTCGACGACTTCATGCGAGAAATGGACATTTTCGTCAAGGGATATCCTGCCATCCTTGGCCACGACATCGCCGACACCGTGGAGGCTTTTGGTTCTGAGACTGCGGCAGTGTTCAAGCGCGGCATGCGGGTGTTGGCGTTTGCCCCAGCCTCCTACCACAGCGGGGAGCCGCGATACGGCGGATCTCAGAGGTTCCGACTTCTTGAACCCAGCTGTCTCCAGGCACGGGACGAGACTCCTCCCAATAGGTTCCATGATTGAGCCCCGCTGGTCTGGGACCACTTCCAGATAATCAACTGAAGCTGTCGGTGTCACTGCTCTCACGTCTAGCCTCCTTCTAATTTGCTTTCTAATCTTCGCGTCTAGGGGCCAATGGCGTCGCTGCTAAGTGCCTGGATGAGGTCGACTCTAGTTATCCCATCCTCGCATCGTTGTAACTCATCGGCTCCTGGATTATTGCCGTCGCCGGTGAAGTCCGGCGCTGACGACTCGATTCCTCTGTTTCTGGATTCTCCAAGCCTGCAACTGGTCGACTGTTAATCTGCTGTTGACCGGCTCAGAGTCTAGGAGTGTAGCATCATCTTCTTCTTCATTACCACTGTCAGTCTTGTCCACTTCGTTATCTATCTCCCAGTCTTCATCTACAGCTTGATCAGTCAATTGCTCGAGACATCCTTCAAACAGTTCCTCGTAATCGTCTGGATAACTTCCGTCCTCGATTTCTTGAAGTATATCCAGGAATTCTACGGATGAACTTGATGCATGTAGCGATTCCAATGCCGCCTCCGTGGTTTTCGCCTTGTCCAACATGATCTATGGCTGCTTCCGCGTGTAATCAAACTTTTCACACTTCTCGATATTGGAATATATCTTGTTCCGACAATCATGAATCAAATGGACGTCTTTGTCGGATACGCCAACGACATCGTTCGCCCACGTCCAACCTCTCGAAAGTAGAAGGGATTAGCTCGCAGCGGTGCCTGGACACACCCATGCCTTGATTCGCGTTGGGACTCCAGCAACTTCGTTCAAGATGCAATAACCGGCCAGTGGTCTTGCTTGGCCGTCATACCCCTTCACACACAGGGACGTATCTGGGATCGACTTCGCCTTAGCTGCAAAGGGCCATAGCCATCGTAACCACTAACCAGCAGCTCGAACAGCGTCCATCTTCTGGTTATAATCCTGTCTCAACTGATTTCGCAGCATTCTCTTAGATCACATCGGCCTTCCAAATTACCCTCGCATCCCCAAAACTGCTGAAATACACCGACTGGTCAAACGGAACGGTGTCTACTGGCTCAATGGCGGCGAACCACCCAATGCCCACAATCTAGTCCAAAGCGAAGGATGGCCGTTCAACAAAGTCGAAAAGATTGGTTGGGCGGAACAAAAGGTTATAGAAGGACCTGATCCAACTACACGTCTGGATCTGTTGGACCTAAGGGCAAAAGCAAAAGTAAAGGCAAGGGTAAAGATAAAGGCAAAAACAGGGTCGAAGAGGAAGACAAGATTGAAGAGCAAGACGAATAGCCATAGGTTGTATAGTCACTTGACTGTATAAGTACCTAGCAACCAGATCTTCTACCTGCACTTCTAGCATTCCCAAGTGCCACCGTGCCTTCCTGGGATCAATCAACGAAGGAGAAATCGCAACGAATTGTCTTTGAAGCTATCGGCAGCGTGGATCCGCGGTCTCGATGCTCGACGATGCAATGCAGAGACGATCTGCCTGTGTCTCTCAAATCATCGGACAGGAACGGAGCCGTTCAATTCCTACAGTCATTCCTACTCCGACAGAACGAGTGACTCCTGCATCAAAAAGAGTGCAAATGTCTCCGAACGAAAGAACCTGACAAGATACCAAAGTGGCCATAATTAACCACCATAGCCTGCAGAATGCAACTCCGAGCCTTCAGGATACAACCATTGATGCACGGAGTCCTCTTCCGAACACGAACGCTCTCTTGAAATTCGCAGGAAATCTCATTCTCAAATGGTGCAAAGCCACTGGCAACAATGTCCGTCGGGCTGAATCGACTCCTGGAGAAGCGGCGAAAACCACCACGTTCGGAATTGAAAAGGCTGCCACGACATTTCGAGAACCGAGCAACAGTTTCCCGGCTCACACTCCTGATCTCCTAAGTCTCCAGCGTTGGGCTGTGCTCAATCGACTCAACAGCATGGAGCGTACAGAGATGGACAAAATATGCCTCTATAAGCACTGTTCGAGACGCTCTTGAGGAATTTCACAAATTACATAGCGGGAAAAGACACCAACTCGAGGCGATAAAGTCAATAATGGCGGCGGTTGTGCTATCGACCACTACACGCTCGAACGCCTACTCATTAGTTCAATTCTAGGAATGAAATGATGGTTGAACGCTAATACGATCCTCGCCGGCATTGTAGCCTATCGCAGGCATATTCTTACGGACGGATTTTGGGTTGTTTCAGCCGATCAATTAGAGTCTTTTCTCACCACGGAGAAGATCCCCAGTTCCTGGTCTCGAGAGGCTGGAGTCCGCAGGTTCGTTCCAGCGGGTGAAGGAAGGCATTGGTGGTTGATCTACATCAATCCATCCGAGAGAACTGTTTATGCGATCGACTCTCTCTTCAACCGAACGCTCATGAGCAATACAATCAAAAAGGTTCTTGATTTGATTAAGAACTTGTTGTTCCACACTTAATGGATTCGGGTCCGTCCAATTTGGGTCTATATGACCTTTCTTTCCACAAATGAAGTAGAGTAGGTGCACCTGTGGATTGCGTCCTCGATGCCGCCACTCTCTTGGGCCGTGATCACATCATGCAGCGGCTTGTCCACCCTTGGCTTGCACGACGACACCCCCTTTGTCGGCGGCGGACAAACAAGGCTTGCTGATCTGGGGTGCGTCTATAATCCAAGACCGCCAATGTCTCCGATCCCTTGGCTCCTAGGAGCCTTTCGACTACAGATCGCCCCGTGCTGTGGAAGACATCGACACCGCCGCAAAGCAGGACGAGATGACCGTGAGAGCTGCCAACCACGTCCCCGGCAAGGTTCGACCGTACCTGGATGTCCTTACCCCGTTCTGCACCGCCGAGCAGAACGGCCAAGTCGCCATCACTATGCCATTGAACCACGCGTCCCCTATTCCAATGGTCAGACCAAACTCGTTGTCGCCCCGGAGGGCGCTGAGAAGAAATGGGAGCATGTACAGCAGGGTAGCACGTCCACCCCATCAATTTTCCACCCCTTAGATTTGCAGCAACTTCCACTTCAACAGCGAATTTCTTCAGCCATAGTCGTTTAATTGCTTTGATTCTACTAGTAGCATGCGAAAGAGTCGCGAATATTGTGAATTTGAGCGTGGCACAGTATTCGGACTTCATTTGGCTGGAAAATCACAGCGCGAAATCGCAACACTTGTCGATATCCCTCGCAGCTCTGTCTAGTATATTATCAATCACCTTGAATCACGTAGCCACCAACGCACTGGAAGGCCTGAAAAGCTCTCAAAACGAGCGCAGAGACGAGTCATTCTATCGCCAAAGCCAATCCTAGGCATTCTTACCAACAAGTGGTGCAAAATTGCGATCTTGACGTCTCAATTGATATAGTTCGAAGGGTTCTCCAGGCTTATGGTCTACGCAAATGGCTATCTAAAAACAGGTCTCAATTAACGGCCGAGCACGCACGCTCTCAAATTCAAAGAATGGTCTTAGGAGGACTATTTGATCCGATGAATGCTCGATCCTCCGCAGATCTGGGATCGTTCTCGAATGGTTACTTCGCACACCAGGCCAGAAATGGAACAAAGAATTCATCACGCCTAAAAGGTAGAAGCCAGGATGGCTCAGTCATGATTTGGGCAGCGATCCTGATGATGTTCAATGGCGGACGATGATGGGTCAGAAGAGCTTGTGGACGCAGTCGACGTGGATAGTGTTCCGTTGTCTCTGCCTCTTGCTCCAGACTACTACACGGCTGATATCTGCCAATGTCAGCAGATGACCACCTTCCTGTGAAAGCCGTTGTGTTGAGGCGTGAGGCGTGATCTGATCCCCTACTCTCGGACCCCAGTCTCAGCCTTGTCCATTCTTTGTTATGATTGACGAGTCCACCGGTGTCAGGCAACTCGGGGAGCTTAGGGAGCCTGGGTAATTTGGGAACTTCCGGTAACAACTTGGGTAGTTTCGGTTTGGGCAGTAAATCTTCTGATGCCTATGTTCTATCGCGAGACTGGGAGGCCAAAAAGATGGGCTATTCTGCGAATTCCCATCTTGAAGTGCTTGAAGGTTATATTAATGCCTGCTAGGGCCCAGGTACCACCCTCATGCATGACAATGTTCTTATTCACAGCACAAAGAAGGTTCAGCAGTGGTTTGAAACCCCGGCTATTACGATGCGAGACTGACCACTATCTGCGTCGAATTTGAACTCTACCGAAAGGCTCTGGACAACAGGATTAACGCTGTAATCGCCGCAGAGGGCTGGTACACGCGATATTGCGCTTTTTTCTGTGTATCCCCTAGTTTATGTGAAAAATAGACTACGAGGCGTGAGCCCACTGGGACTCCTCAAGGCGCCAGCGAAGCGAAAAGAGACTTTCCAAGGTTGCAATAGGTCTGAGGGTCGTTCTAGAGGTCCTCCTGCACACAGCCCCAGACGTTGCCCTGGAGGTGGACCCGAGGGTTGTCCTGGTGATGGTCTTGAATGTCATCCTGGAGATGTTCTGGCACGTGGACCTGGCGATTACCTGCTAGGCACTAGGGCAGTCACTATTGCCGTCCACAAAGTGTATGGGTATTGTCGCCAAATAGGTGTGTTTTGCTGCAACTATACAGACCTATGCTCGACTGACCGCGACGAATTGCTGCCCACGGGGATTTACCACGCCAACTTTAACAGCGAGTCTGACTTGGGTCTGCGATACGATAGTTCCACCTTTTCCGTCCAATACCAGCGGCACCTTCGAAGGTTAAGGATTGCTTCGAGTAGAGAACTTCAAGGACTGGAGAAGGGTTCGGTCTAACCGGGGGCGATTCAAGGGTCGGAAAATCACGTGCCAAGACCCCGTCAGCTGAGATCGGAGTTATGGCACGTGACTGACATCACGCTAGCAAAGCGAGTAGAGTCCGCGTAAGGGTTCAACAGGCCTAGGGGCCGTCCTAGATATAGCTCTAAAGGTAGTCCTACATCCTGGAGGTGGCTGTCAGAGAGCCTTGGGGTGGGATCGTTAGACGAAGAGTCAGAGGGTTGAACACATATCTTGATTTGTACAAAGCTGTCCTTGAGACATCGACTTCTCGCACTGTTGAGGGCTTCTCCAGTAGTGCGAGAATAGAGGTCCTATTTATCTCCTTCTGTGTGTGCCTCGTGGGGGCCGCTTTGGCACTTGGGGCCGTTGGCCCCATGGGGTGTTGTCGGCCGGGGAACCCGGGTGACAGTCTGGGCCTACAAGGCGTCTTTCTTTCCTATAGGGGGTCCTTTGCCGGCGGTCCTTCTTTGTTTCCGTATCAGCTTGTTGTTGACTAGTCACGACGGGGGTATCCGTAGGCGTATCGGTGCGCTTGCGATTCGCCTGTGACCGTCGACCTCCCCTTTGGCCTTCGTACGTCCGTGCGAGTTCCTCGTGTCGTTGTGCGGAGCGCAGGACAAGTTCCTGACTAGTAATCTTTGGTAGCTCCCGGAGCACAGCGAGTTGAGTCTCTGGTCGGAGAGCCAGGAGGAATTCCCATGCATGTCTTTCTTCCTCTTTGAGAGTGGCTACGTCTTCTCGTAGGCGCGCCAGTGCCTTCAGGACTTCTCTTGCGCTTTGGTTATCGCTTTGATAGTAACGCCATAGCTTCCTGAGTGCGGATGCCATACGGTTCGCAGAGTCTTGTACGATATCTCGTAGGAATTCTGAGAACCCTATCCAAGTGGTAGGTCGGAGCGACTCTGGTTCTCTTAGCCATCGAGATGCCGCAATATCGCCTAGTGAAGTAGCCGCCTGGGCAATACGCTCTTTATCTGAGAGGCTTGGATAAATACCGAATCGCAGTTGCCATGCGTCGAGGTAGGCACGGAGCTCGCCGAAGCTTTGTCCCTTGAACTCCTTAGGAGGATTCGGCTTGAGATATTTAGCCGCGCGTTCCGGAGGGTCGTCCGCGTTTCGCTTGCGACTTGGTGGCGTGGTGTCTTCTATCTGTACCGGATTGCTTGGGGTCTCGCCAGCCAGTTCTCTCTCCATATTCTCAATCTCTTCAAGCCGTCTTTTCTCAAGTACTCTGCGTTTTAGTTCTGCGTGACGCTGCGCGAGTCTTGTCGCGCTGAGGTCTTGAGCTAGTTCTGGAGTTCCGCTCGATTGGGTAGTTTCACTACTCTCGCGGTCATGTGGCGAGTAGCGCACTTGACGCGTGCTTGCCGCAGGAGGTTCGGTGTGTTCCTCGTCGCTAATAGTAGCGTGGGACGCGTCTCGTGAGCTAGGCACAGTTGGTCCGCCCTCGCTGCGGTGGCGTGTTGTTGGTGCCATTAGTGCTTCAACCAAGAGACTATATCCGTCGTCAGGATCCTCGAAACAGTGCGAGAAGAATTGTCAGAGAGCCTTAGGGTGGGATCGTTAGACGAAGAATCAGAGGGTTGAACACATATCTTGATTTGTACAAAGCTGTCCTTGAGACATCGACTTCTCGCACTGTTGAGGGTTTCTCCAGCAGTGCGAGAATAGAGGTCCTATTTATCTCCTTCTGTGTATACCTATTGGGGGCCACCTTGGCATTGGGGGCCGCCTTGGCCTTGGGGGCCGACTTGGCATTGGGGGCCGCCTTGGCATTGGGGGGCGCGTGTTATCGGCCGGGGAGCCCGGGTGACAGTGGCTGTCACGGCCACAGCTAGGACAGTGCAGGACAGATCTGGATAGATCTGTCCCATGCTATGATTGGCTGGCTACAACTCTGTACAAGGCCCTGCTAGTACAGGGCTTGGCAGAAGGAAGCTTGGCAGAGGTGCTCGCCACACAAAATGGCGCCAGCACATTCCTTTCTTTCTTTCTTTCTTCCTTCTCTCTCTTCAGATTAGTCTCTTAGTACATAGGAATACACATCTTTGGAGCCATCTCCATCTTCCATGTGCCTTACCGTCACAGTGGCCCTCGGAGTGGTCTTGAAGGTGATCTTGTAGGTGATCCTGCATTTGGTCCTGAGGGCGGTCTTGGGGACTGCCTGTCGAGCACCAGAGATGTCGCCATCGCCGCTCACAAGGTGTAGAGGTATTGTAGCTAAATAGGTATTGTTTTGCTGGCAATCATAGAGACTTACGCTCAACCGGCCACGACGAATGACTACCCACCAGAGTCATATCAGTCTAGCGGTCTGCACAATAAAATGGACGTGTTGAACAATGGCATGAGTTGGCAGAAGTTTGTGCTGGAGATTTGAACGTCCTGATGAGAATCGAGGGTTCGGAGTGGTGAGAAAGCAGAGCAGAGCAGAGCAGAGCAGCACGTTGTGCTGGGAAGACAGCAAAGCAGGGAAGAAATCAGTGCTGAGACGAGACCGGGGGCATTCGATCTGCCTGGTTGTCTGCTCAGCCAGATTACGGAGGAAGGATAACCAATGCCCTTCCTGTTGCCATTTCCACCTCGTCGCCGCTACCGCTGTTACCAACTCAGCTTTCACCAACAACCCCACCACCACCACGACACCAAACCTCTACCAAACAGCCTCATTCTGTTTGTTTAGCATCATCCAATTCGTCTGTGAAACTTCCCCCTCAAAAAGAACCTCTGTAAGCCATCTCTGCGCCCCCAGGACCATTGGACCATTTGAAGATCCTTACCCGCTTCGCTGGCGCGTTGAGCAATCCGCAGCGCGTTCACGCGTCACAGTCTATTTGACAGGGGTTGAGAGAATGATGACAAGAGCATTGTCTTCCTGGAAAGATTGTTTGTGGGTGTTTGCGTTGGCTGAGATCCAGGTTCTTGCAGTTGGGTGGGCGCCCGTCTTGGTCTTTGTATAGACTTCTCTCTCTTGGTGGTCTTTATTCATACGGACAACGCTTTCAGCAAAGTCTCTCTGGTCAGTCAAGCTGAGGCGCGGGTGTCTCGCTCGGTCCGCGAAAGTGACACGGCCTTCTTTTCTCCCAATGCTACAGACAAGGCTGCTTGCACGACGATGCACGTCGTTTATAATGATGAGTCGGAATTCTCTGGCCCTTTGTCCTCATAGCGTCTCCCAGCGGACACAGTCGGGCACAGTCGCATCTGCGAACACCACACTGCCTCGTCATGCTCCCCATCTCATCCCCGGTGACGGCTTTGAGGCTCTTCCCGTGCATCAGAAGGTGAAAGAAGAGACAATTCCCAACGACAAGACGGGGGAGACTCTACCCTTCACGGCTCGACGACGTCTTCGAATGGAGGTACTGGCTCGTGGCAAGGCTCAGGCTCGGCTTTGGCACTGGTTCGACGCTCTGGCCTGTCTGGGTATTGGGTATGTTTGTCTCAACTTCTCAACTACTCCGTCCGCTTCTGATTCCTTTGTCCGTAACGACAATTTGCTAATAGTCAAGGACGCTTGTCTACTCTAGGATGCAACAAAGACCTCCTCCTCGCCCCAAGATATGCCCTTCTGGAGACGATCCTGCCAGTGAACTTGCCATATCTAGCCACGTTAAGTCCATTGACGCAGAGGACCATCCCGGCAAGGCGAGACTGCGTGTATTTCTTGCCACATCCAGATCCACAGATCTACGGGCGTCACGGACTTCACCAGTCCCGCCCTTCGCGCCAGTCGGCTCGACCCAACCCATTGGAATATCGCAGGCTGCTCCCGGACAAGGTGTTCAGCAAGGTTCTCTTGCAGCAGAGTCTGCATTGGGTTGTGCTAGGCCTCGACTTCGTCCGCTAGGCAGGTGTGGTGCAACCCGGTACATTTGTGTCCTGTCGATCCTTGAATGCCCACCCGTTAAGCACACATATCATATGCACTCTCCTAGACTTATGGCCCAACAATGTCGTGTTCGGCATGCACGTCCCCACCTTACTGTCCCAAGCCTCAGCAAGCGTAGATAGAGAACCCGTCGCCTCGCAGAGTGGTGGTGGACCGGTCATCCACGGCTAGTCGGCAATCTGCGATTTCAAGGGTCCGGGAATCAGACCAGCTGTCTAGCTAGCTGAAGGGTGAATGCGTTGCTTGGGATAAATAGCGATCGATAACTAGTTTACAGATATCGATGTCAACGCTTGAAGAGAGCTTCAAGGTTAACACGTGGGCAGCGCCCCTGCTCTTGGCCAGTTAGCTGACTTCGTGTTGCAAGAATCAGCGTCCTATTTGGAGCGTTCGTGACATTTGCGACCGATCTATACAGCTCTTTAGAAGATACGGACGCTGTTCAAGGGCGGCTGACTCTCTCGCGCCGTGAAAGACGGGTCTCACAACGACGAGCAGCATCTAGATCTAGCCGAAAGGGGTGTCGCTGTCGCTAATGGGGGCGGCCACCGTGATGACATTTCTGGCACGCTGCAGCAGCGGCGAGCGATCCTGTCGGGTCGGTACCGGGACGTGGGATGGTGAGCACAACACGATCCTTCTCTCGCTCCCTATCTCTCGCTATGTCTCATCCTTGACTGACAGATTGGTTCTGTATTTTTGGGCGTGCATCAGCAGACTATCAACCCCCAAAAATGGGCACCTGGATCCCTTTCCCCCCCACTGAGGCCCATCCTCGACCAAAGCCTCGAAACAAAAGAGAAGCGTGTCTCGGCTCGAGCGTTATTCCGACAGCAAACAGCTGCTCCTCGCCCTCGTCTCCTCTCTGGATCCCCGGGGAGCGGAGAGACTCTCGGTGGCAGGACATGTTGTCCGACGAGACGCATTTCTAGTCCAGTGGACGGCGTGCGGCCCAGTTGAGGGGGGTAGGCAGCGAGGGAGAAGGACAACAGAGCGAACGCAGGGGATGTGGCGGGATCTCCGGAGGATAGGACAGAGGACGGGGACCGGTATGCCATGCTTATGAGCACTGTTCAGAAGTTACCCGTTTGCAACTTCTACTCAGCATGCCCGATTGTTCCACATGGAGAACTTGTCAATGCCTGCCCTAAGGGACAACCCAGAAGACCGTGAGTCCTTCCTCGCTCGCTAGCTGGATGCAGCGCTTTGCACAAATGGTAGTACTCAGTTGCGACTTGCCCGAGCATGTCTCACCACCTATCCACCCACTTGCTCTCCGTCCAAGTTGGATGGTGATAGAAGCTCAGAGGCTCAGACAACAGCAGCAGCCCCTTCGAATATCAAGAACAGTACTCACGTGTGATTATATTCCCTTCTCACTCTGTTCTTCCTCCACGTTTTACTTTACGAGCCACTGACCAACTCCTCCGCACGGCGGGATTCTCGTCGCGGGAAACCCCTGATTCTACCTTACCTACGACGCCCGTGGCCTCAAGCTATGTACCTCAGTTGGGTGGAGATGAAGGAGATCCAGGATGCTGGCTCGCAATCGTCAAGGCAGGATACGCAGATCGGGCAAGCAGGGTTATCCTATGGATTTTCCCTCCAAGAACTGTGTGGCCGTGCACGCTGTAGTTTCAAATCCCCTTATCCTGGATGGATGTTCAGCGCCGGCACTGGGCGTGGTGGCTAGCAAGCTGGATGGCGAATGGACCAGTGATTCCAATGTGATAACGTCTGACCAGACGGGGGGCAAGGATGGATAGGCAGAAAGAACAAGATCAGATCTGCGAACAACAGCACAACACAATAGAACAAACACAAGAAACAACTTAATCGAGACCAGACTGCGACACTGGGCTCAGGTTGCGGGTTTGTTTTTTTCCATCTTTTTTTCTTTTTTTCCCTTCTTTCTGATTTTTCTCCTAGACTATCTAAATGAAGCCAAACGAAAAAGCCACCATCCACATGTATTCACTATCTTCAAGACCCAAAAAGACTTTGGCCATCAGCGGCAGCAGCAGCAGTAGCGGGAAGTGGTAGCGAAGTGAGAGGGATTGAGGCTGTGGTTCGTGCCGCCGCCGTCGCTGATGGATGGGGGCCGTGGGTCATGTATGGAAGGGTGCTGAAGACTCGGAGGAGATGACATCGATGTCGACTTCGACTTCCTAAGCTCGACAGGGATAGGAGCAGACATGGCCCCGAGACAACAGTAGGCAACAGCGTCTCCGGAAGACTTTGCGTGCCGGCGTACATGCCCTCGCGCGTGCGCACACACATGTATACGTCCCAGCGACCCGGCTCAACAGGCGTGTGTGTTGAAACGCAACGCCGTTTCGACATGGCTTGACATCTTGTTGAATAGATCAGAAGAAATGGTAGGAATAATTGTTGCAATCCATGGTTAAAGGAATGCCTCGCCGGACGGTCACCCCCTCTTGCACTTCTTTTTGTCTCCTTTTCCAAATCATTGTGACCGTCGAGTGTGTGTAGAGGTCGGCGACCTCGATTTGCAGCAACAACATGGCAAAACCGGGTGAATCAAAGACAGGAAAGACATAAGAGATGACAGGGCAAAGACCACCCCAACGGTCTTACCACTGCTCCATCAAGTCCCAACTCCACAAAGCAGGATCCGTCAGACTGCACCATTGTAGTCCGACCTCCCTTGTGACAGTAGCAGCAGCATCCACAGCATCATCATCAGCCACCTCTTCAACGTGCACCTCACATAGACCGCGGATCGTCTGCGAGGGGCGCGTCCGTATTTGGTTCGTGCCGCTTGTGCGGCAGGAATCGCAGGTAGGGGACGGGGGAGAGTTCGTCGAGGTCCATGGCGTGGATCCGCGCGCACCAGGACCAGTAGCCGTGCACGGCCCGGTCGTAGCCGCCGTCGTTCTCCAGCACCGTGGCGTTCTCGACCAGCACGCGTCCGTCTGGGAGTGTCACCTGGCGCACCTGCGGGCGTTTGACCGCCAGGTACTCCAAGATCGCTGCGGAAGAGACCTTGGAACAGTCCCGGAACGACAACACCTTGAAAGCCATGGAGGTGTTGACTTCTTTTTCGTCATCTGAATCCATCGGGGAAAGCAGCCCGTCGAGCCAGGCGAGGTCATCGACGGTGTCCAGTTCCAACGAGTGGCAGCTGTCCAGAGCGAGGGTGTGCAGCTTGGCGTGGTCCATCTGGCCTTCACGGGTTCTTGTGTCGTCCAAGGAGCCGAAGTACACGCCGAGCCAGTTGACGAACTGGACGTCGACGCCCGAGACGCAGCGGAGGCGCAGATCGACAAGGCGCGGGTTGGCACGGATCCAGCGCTGCAGCTGGACGCAGCTGGTGCCGGCGCGCTCGACGGTCAACTTCTCCAGATTCCGGAGGCAGAGCCGTTGGTGGTCGTTCTCCTCACCGATACCGACGCCGAAGCAGTCCCAGACGGTGTTAGGCATCAGGTAGCCCGGATGCGTCCAGTAGTTTAAGGGCAGGCACGGGTTCTGGATGTAGGGGTGGCACAGGCCGACGCGCAGCTCACGCAGCTCCGGGAAGCGCGTGGCCAGCACACACCCTAGCTCGGGCGACACCAGATCCCACATGAACAGGGTCAGGGCGCGCAGGTTGCCCCAGCGGCTGCTCCTATTGCACTTGGCCAGCACGGCGGCGGCAAGGTTGTTCTGAAGGCTGACCATGAGGCAGCAGCGAAACAAATCGGACGCCCGGATCTGCTGCTCGTTCTCAGCCTGCGCGAGGCGCCAACGCAGTGGGATGCACCGCCGCGGTAGGACGGCCTGCAGCACCCTGCGCTTGACGTCCGGGTGCTTGGGGTCGTCTAGCCTCATGCCATCAAAGTCTGCTTCTTCTGGGGTATCGTTGAGGTAGCTGTGCCCGGTCTTGGGTGCCTCGAGGAAGGCCAGCGCGCCGTGCAGCCGGTCGGAGAAGACGGCGAGCCGGAGATCGCTCGTCGTTGTCATGGTCGATGTGGATCTTTGGGGAGGATGAAGAGGTTTGTGGTGGGAGGACGAAGGTTAAGGGTCAGTAGGAAGAACCTTGTAGGCTTGGACGTCCGGAGCAGGGTCTTGAGAGGAGGATTGTCTGCGAGATTTCTGGTGGAAGTGTGCATGGAATATGGAGAGAAGAAGAAAGCCGGATCGTGAAATGGCGAGCAAGCAGCTCTTATAGGCACCTTGACAGGGGCGCGGTACATGGCGGTGGGTCGTTGTCGGCATCACTAAGTGAGGCGTATACCACAGCCGTGGACGGCCCACAGCGACACACATCTCCTGGAGTGGTCAACGACGGGATAGGGTCCATTATGTTGCGGACCATACCTAAAGGGGTCGGACAGACATGTGTGGCATTACTCTCCGTATCGTAGCCGCAAATAGAAGCAGGCAGACGGAATCATGGGATTTATTTGCGGATCGGCGAGTTGGTTTGTTGACCGCTGGGCTCAAGCTGAGAGTTGACCGTCGCCAGCCCGATCAAGTGATCATCCGGGAGCCTATAGGCAGGAGAGGATGGGGCATCTCGCAGGTCTTGAGCAGGATGTTGCACATCGCTTCGGAGCACTTCGCTGCTTATTGGTCAGGGAGCCGCCAGCCCAGGTGCCTTCAACCTGGAAAAACAGTAACATGACAGGGGATTTGCAGCGAGGGACCCCAGGGCTCATGCATCCAACTTTGCGTCGGTGTTGTTCCGACGCGGAGGCTCAAAACAAGAACAGGGAACCGAAGAGAGATGGTGGGAAGGGAGGTGGAGATTAGGGGACGCCGTAGAGCCGCATCAGTCAGGGATTGCAAGGAGGGAAGCCAGATGCAAACTGGAGAAGAGGGAGGAGCAGGCAGGCGGATACATACTCGGTACACCAATAAACGGAGATAGCGATGGCCTGGAGAGTAGAAGAGGAGGAGAGCTGATGGACATGGATTTGACAGAGAGTGAAATGTGAAATGTGCGACTGGGTGGTGGCATCAATGGCTGGCGGGACAACATACGGTATCAACTTTGGCGAAGGAAAGAGGAGGAGAGGCCGCCCACACTCAACTCCCTCGACTCATCTCCATCCTCTCTCCTCCGTGGCCCAGGGGGGATCTATTATTGCATTTATTTATTTATTTATTTACTTATTTATTTCATCCCTGCTATGTAGCAATATTATTCTTACCCTGCCTGACCTTGCCTGTCCTGACGGGGCCATGACAATGACAATGACATGCAATGTAATGCCACGAATGCCAAGCAAACAGAGGTGGAAAATGAAATCCCCATTGTGCGTCCCGTGGCAGACAGACTTCCATCCACGCCAGAAGTACCCAGACACCACACCACAGGTGCAGCTTTCATCCAGTCCATCGTTGTTCTGCTCGTGATTGTCATCAACATCATTATCATCATCATCATTATGGTGGACGTATCAGTCAATCAATCAAATCAATCAATCAATCAACAGCCTGATCGACCAAACAAGCAAGCAAGCGTAATGCAAGTAGCCAAAACCAACCAGCCAAACCCCCCTGTGAAATGTATGTACCGTACCGGCTCCAACGTCCCAGCTGCAGGGAGGGATTTGGGCTACATTGCCAGCCTCACAGCTAGCTTAGCTATACACAGGACACAAAACACAACAGATAGTGAATTAATGAACGAATGAATCAATCAATGAATCAGTGCATCAATGCATCATTGACCGACTGACTACCTATCCTTCTGAAGACCTATCTATTACAGTGCCTATCTCTCACCCACAAATTGGTGAAATGCTCCTATCGTTTGGCCCTATGGCGAGGAATCGAGGCGTATTCCGACACTGTTTCGACTTTTTTGTTCTGCCTACCTGCATGCATGGTCGTTCGTTCACCAAGCTCACTAGTTATTCAACCCAATTGACTGACTACTCTTGTGTGGCTCACACAAAGAAACCTCAAAGAGCTCGCTCGCTCACCATGACTTCTGCGGCTGCTGCCAACCCTGAAAACATCCAACACCCAAATCCAACAAGGAAAATCGACTGTGGCCGGGTCATACCACATAAACAAATCTCCACACCCACTCTTGCCTGTCTGCCCCTATCACAGGCTCAACCAGATGTCTTCGTCGCCTTGTTCTTCCTCTTCCTCTTGCTCGTGCTCCGTGTCCCCTGACCCAGCCATCCCCCTCTGGAGAGCCACCGCCGCGCAACTCGCCGCCACCACTTTCACCTGCCCCTTGCGATGCTCGACCACCCGGGCCCAATACCAGCGCCATCGCCGCTGGATCGTCACCGCCGCCCGGACCGCTTTGGTGGGCTGCAGGAGTCGAGAACACAAGAACGCCAGTGTCGCCACCACAAAGTCCCGGTCGAACACGTGCACGCCCTCGGCTGGGCTGAATAGCATCGCAAACTGCTCGCTGCATCCGAGACGCCTCAGCCGCTCAGCCAGAGACCGGCTTGTGCAGAGTCCCACATCGTAGCTGAGGTAGCCCTCGTACTCCTCGACAATGGCTTGGAACACCCGACCATCCGTGAAGCTGGTCGTCATGTTGATCACCTGGATCCCGTGCTGGCTGGCAATGGCCTGAGCCCACGCTTTCAACAACACCGTGTGTCGCGCTCGACCGTGTTCATCTGGTTGCAGGTCAAAGTAGTCGTTCTCACAGCTACTGGCCCCCGTACGGCACAGTCTCTTGATTTCACATTCGACATCGTCCCAGTCGACAAGGCTCGCCAGTCCCCATTGGCTCGTCAAGCCCCAGAGGAGTTTGACCGTCTTTTCGCGGAACCCATCCACAATGTCTTCGGCTTTGACGCTGTCTGCCACCGTTCCCAGGCCCTTGACCTGCTGTATCGCACTCAGTGCAACCTGCACGTTGTACAGTTTGGTCGCCCGGCCGGGGCAGGGATACTTGAGATGCTGAGACAACGGCCAACAGGAGTCCCCGTCTGTCAGGGACAGCTCTTGTCCGGTCGGCAGAAAGATACTGGTAGTTGAGTCCGAGTCGTGCACGAAGTCGAGATGCGGTGAGGCAAAAGGATACAAAAGCAGTTCGACGAGTCTCGTCAGCCGCACCCCGTCCCGGAGGTCCACCGCCAGGTTGTCCATCTTGTAGCAGTATTCCGCGAGAGCATGTTGTGCGTATGTGACCGTGTATCCGACATGCACCAAGGCTCGCATGGGATCCCCCACGCTAGGATTGAGCAGCTGGAAAAGGGCCTGGACGACGCCTACAGATGTCTTGCACGCCGCGCCGGGCTGGAACAGGCACCTGACCGTCGAGGCGCTTGTGGCAGCTTTCATCGTGTCGAGAAGTTTGATGACCATCAGACTGCGAAGGAGAGTGCGCTGGTACGACCAAGCGACATGATCCGTCGAGGCGTCGTCCGGCTGTCCATCTTCATTGCGGATCAGGAATATCTCGATAAAATGTTGCAACATCCGTCGGCCGACACCGTGCCCACGACCGGCCTTGATACGCCGACCAACGACCACCTCCAGTGCCGCGCGAAGATATGAAAGCTCATACGTGTCGAGCCACAGATCCGTAAAGGCCTTTCGCTTTCCCAGGTCGGTGCCGAGTCGCGCGGTACCCTTGAGCATATCCCTCGGCACACTCAGCGCACCGTAGAGCAGAGCCGCCTGAAGTCTTTTGTAGAGCATCACGTTGCTCGGGTCTCCGTATCGCTCCAGCAACTGCAACTTCAGCATTTCGCTTTCCACGGGCGAGGGCGCCGGGGCAGATGCACCAAAGAGGTTGTTGACCAGTTGCGTGATGGCGATCTCTTGGTGTCTGAGCCAGTTGTCCTCGTACATGGCCGGGTCGACGACGTCTTCTGTGATGACAGGATACAACTCACTGACTGGCGCAGCGTCCACCTTTGGGAGAACAAATCGACTGGGCACTGACGGCTTCTTCTTGAGGGATTCACGCTCCGATGCCCCGGCGCGTGACTTGGGTTCGAGTTCTTCCATCCGGGATGCTCGACCCAGGCGACCGGTCCGCAATCGTGGTCCTGCATTCTGGCTCGACTTCATCCTGGTACTGTGCCCGAGACTGTCCATTCGAACGCTCTTCCACATGCCTGCTGTCGGTTCGTAGGGCGCCGCATCCCGTTGTTGTCTGTTGAGTTGCTGCTGCGACAGAGGAACCCCGACCTCGAGATCTCTGCCTCGTCCCTCGACTCCCGACATGCCTTTTGCAAGCCTGTCTTTCTTCCCGAGCAGTGCCTCCTCTCCCGGTGGCACGTTCTCCTTCCCGCCACCCTGGCCCCAGCGATCCACCATCAGGGTACTTTCTTGCAGCGGTTTGGTGGTGGTCTGCAACGGCATGGGCTTTGCCGACGCGGCACCTTTGTCCTTTGTTGTTCCTCTGTTCTTCTTCGCGACCATCTGTGCAGCAATCCCTGTCAACTCGTCATCGGGCTTGCTTGGTCGCTCTGTATTTGTCGACGTGGCCGCCGATCCCGGAGAAGTCTTCACCGCCGGATCCAGATTCTTGATGGGGCTGAAGATGCCCATGTACATGCTCGGCATCGTCGTGTCCTCGGTCGGGATGTAGAAGGTCGCCCGTCGCGCCGGCCTGAGCATTGTCGTTGTCGTTGCCGCTGCATCGACCCCTCCTAGGAGCGCGACGGTGTCTTCGGGGACTGTGCGCAGCGGTTCTGCCGCCGTGGAAGAAGAAGACGCTCTTCCTTCGGCTTTGCTCGTTATTGGTCGTCTCGGTGCTTGACTCAGTCTCGCCGACGCACCACTGCCCCGCTTCGGCACCTGCGGTGGTACAATAACAATGCCGGACGGACCATTATCTGGAGCAGAGGGAGCGAGAGCAGCAGCAGCAGTAGCAGCAACACCGACCGCAGCTCGCTTTTGCGGCCGCTGCGGCGGTTGAGATATCGCAGCCCTCCTTCTTGCGCCCGTCTTCAGCGGGTTCTCGTCATCACCGCCTCCTCGTGCACCCACCCTCTGGGCCGTGTCCTCGTGGATCGTGAAGCCCAGCAGCCCGTCCTGCGCTCTTCGGCGGCGCGGCCTCGCGTTCTTCAGGACACCCGGGGCGAAGGGTGCGGCAAACGCAGAAGTAAACTCGAGGTTGGCGGTGGTGTCATCGCTCGGAGACAACAAGAGGGAATCTCGGTCGCGGTGGCCGTGGTGCCGGGTGCGACGTTGTTGTTGTTGTTGTTGTTGTTGTTGTTTTTGTTGTTGTTCTGTTTGCTTTGGGAGAGGGACCGGGCACGGCGTGCCAATAGCCGCAGCAGAGGACGGTGGCGGCATTATTCAGAGCAGAACTCTCGAAATTCTCGGACGAGATGAACACATATCTGTTGAGCACATGAAAGTCTTGTCGTCGTTGCAGTTGTCCGACGACGAGGGACTGCGGCTCCGGGAAGAAACGGTTGAGACGCGTGGGGAGACGCGTAAATTCTAAAAGAGCTTGGTGCCCCGAAAACGGCCCCCGCAAGAATTAATTAGTTAAGAAATCGTCATCGCTCCGGCGCTTGTGGCGCGGGGCAACGCCTGTGCCACTAGTACACTAAGGGGTATCCAGGACGAAGAAACATGATCGATATGAGATCAAGAGAACGACAAAGTCTTTCCTCGTAGCTGCAAATGTGCATGCACTCTGCAGAATGTTGGTGTACATCTATTTCTAAACCCAGAAGCCCGTCCCACCGCCCATACCCAACCTATGCCCATGCCCTTTTCCCTATACCGTCGCTATGCATATCATATACAATCAGACCTCCAGCTGTATGGTAGTTGCGACATTTCGGAATGTCCTCCGCAAGGCCCTTCGCCCAATCCTTCGCCAGTCCCGGGAGAATGACCTCGCGGTCCGGAATGCCAAAACTCCACTCACGATGGTCAATTCAGGAGAGCCACCCTACAACTCGTCGCGACCGGGAAAACGGAAGTCCCACGAACGGTCGGGGACAGGCAATCCCAGCCAGAAATTCCACAGCCGATTCATTTCCATGACGAAGATGGCCCCAATCTTGAACGGCAGCTCGAACCACGACCGCAGAACCATCTTGTATGCGCGCCATACGAGATCGAGCTCCGTCCAGAATGCTTCGGCAATGGTCCCTTCCTGCGGCGAACCACTTGAGGATGGGGTGTCCACATCGTCGTACAGGTCATCGAAGTCGGTGGTGTCTTCTGGATTGGTGGTGTCAATCCGGGCAGACAGCGAAAGGGGGCCCTGGATGTCCAGCACACTCATATCCCCCGTGTTAAGGGCGGTGCGAAACTTCTGGATGGCATCCAGACTGTGACTAAGGCGGCCGAGAGTGTTGACCAGGGCCACCAACTCGGTTCTCCTCAAATGGGGATTTTCGCCATTTTTATTCTCATCATACTCAAACAGAACCTTCAATGCGGCCCCGTAGCCCGCGGTTTGTAGTTTTCCCCAGAGCCGACATTTGTCGCACCCCACGCAGTCCATCAACCTGGATACATTACGGAACCGGTTGCGGAAGTCATCCTTGAGCACCATGACCGAAGGGTCTTGGAACATGACGGATTCGTCGAAGGTGTGCGGGCCCGACGCGGCGGTGTCGGCGAGCGCGAGGACTTTTTGTTTGGTGTGGAAATCCTGGTCGGGATCGCCCGAACAGAATGTGTAGGATTCAAGGTGTTTCCTCAACTTGGCGACGGCCCGCGTCAGGATAGCGTAGTTGAAGTAGATGTTGGAGATGCGCTCCGGGTATTTGTGCAGCCGCTCCTTGTAGCAGTCGAGGTTGTGGACCCATTCGCCGGTGGTTTGATTGAAGAACTCCCAGCAGATGTGTGTCGAGATGGACGCATGCATGCCGCTGACGATGCGGTAGAAAGCCCGTTGTTCCAGGCATTCATCGTCGAGGGGGTACAGATCGTCTGTATCGTCCACATGTTGTCGCCCATACTCTTGGAAGACTTCCTTCAGACTCTGTGCGGCTTGGAGAGGCTTTGGTTTCAGTGAGGCGTGTCGGGGGGACTTGGGGGAGAAGCAGTTTTCCTTGTAGATGGCGTCCCAGACTTGTCGAGCACCGAGACCCGAGTAGCCGGTGTATCGTTCTGTGTTATTAACCAGACTGACATAGTCACCCTTGGCCGCGGCGCCCTCGTCCTCTGGTACGCAGTAGTCTCTCTGGTCACATTCGTCATCCTCTTCCAGCACACAGCTCTCATCCACGTCCTCCCCCAATTGGTATTGCAGCGGGCGGTCTTTGGGTCTCTCTCGCTGCTGTGCAATGCCCGGGTGCTTGGCCTTTGCACCCTCCAGTTTGCTCAACTCGGCGGCGCGCCAGATGGGCGGGATGTCACTCTCATCGTCTATTGTCTCGACGGCACAGGCCCGGTTGCCGCACATGGAGTTCTCATCGCTCCAAAAGGGACACGCCTTGTTGTAGAGGTTGAGTCGGTAGTAGGCAAAGAAATCGGTGTGTTGGGTCAGGTCGTCGAGGAACGGGAACAGGTTGGCATTGAGCCGCTCGAGGTCCGAGTAGGAGGTGCAGGCATCGGTGACGATGGAATTCGGGTCTATGGCGCATTGAGGCTCGGCTCGAACGCAAGGAGGGCGCCACAGCAGGGAGAGGGCAACGAAGAACTGTGAGGCACGTTGCAGGCGCATGTTGTGGACGATGCTGGTGAAAACATGCAATTGCAAAGGACAACTAACCACAAACGAAGAGGAACGGCGGGGGAAGCAAATATGTAAAGTACCGGGTATCGAAGCGGGTAGGATTCTTGAAGGACCAACAGACAGAGGATTATTTACTATGGTATTGGAATTAGTTGACATTAGTGAGCAGAACGCAGAGAGAACAAACTGGCCAGATTCCAGATTTCAATGGCGCAGGCAAATCCGCAGTCGCCGCCAGGATCGCCCGCGTCGCTTCCCCGCAGCCAATGAGGCCCCCAATTACCCACTCGCCACCAATCATTAGGCCCTGAAATAGCATTCGCAGGCATCAAGCCACCTGTTATTACTCCAATTCCACCCCAATATCAGCACAGCCACCTTTATCACCATCATACTACCGAGTGAATCACGTGTTGGATCAGCCGATAATGAAACATCCGTGACATAACAGTTTTTTGCAAAGAACAGAGTCAGGGAGTTGATTCAGAGCGTCCACCATCCGCCCTCAGATGACCTGCGTTACCGACTTACGTCCTCTCAGCCGTTCTCGCTCGACCGATCGTGCCCTCCATTGATTGTACCTCCCAATACCGCAGAGACGCCACGATATGAGAAGAGGTGGCTGGAAAACTGCCTTGACAAGAGACTGCGCATGAACAATAGAGACCCTCTCCCCCGAAGAGCCTGCAGGTGCAGATGAGCTGGACCAGGAGCTGGGTTGTCTCATCTGTCTGTCGTAGCCATTGGGCTGCTAGATGCTGGGAACACCTCTTTCTGAGTGCAGACATCGTGGGATGACCAACCTGGGCCCATCCTGCAACAAATACTGTCTCGCCAGAAGTGGACATCCCACAGCCGCCATGCTCTTCTTGCACTGCAGGGACGATCGAAGCAAGAGTCGGCTAGACTAGAATACAATGTCCTTCAATGCTGTCGCTATGGTCCGCTCCGTCATGCACGAGCAGCATACCTGTTTAGGAGTAGTGCTGACTCAAGCGAACCGTCTCGGGCCTGAGAAAAGTCTGGCTACAAAATCCGGTGCCCTACTTATGCACAGCGACTCTCTGCATACCTTGTTGAGCCTGAACATGTGTCCACCTGGAGTAACAGAGAACAGCCGTCTTCCTATCGACTCTGCTCTGCTGGCATGGTGTATCGTGGAAGACCGAGCCCCTTTTGTGCCCGATGTCGGGCAAGGCGACTGAAGGTGCTTGATCATTGCGCTTGGGTTTGACTATGTCTAACGGCAAGGCGTAGTGCGATCAAGCGACGCCCTCGTGCTCCCAATGCCTCCGCGTGGGCGTAGCGTGTGCCGGGTATAGGGATCTCACGACCATCGTGATTCGCGACGAGAGCACTGAGGTGGCACGCAAGGCTCAACTCAAACAAGCCAAAGAGCCGCCTCTGCTTCTGCACCGCGATCCCGGGCCCAGTAGCAGCGCATGCCAGGCCGAATCAATGCCAGGAGTGGCTGTGGCTGGGCCATTGTTGCTGTACAAGTCCTCAATAGTCCAACAGCCGTCAACCCCGATCCGCGAGCACGCAACCTGCTTTGCACACCAGAGTTATCTGGATCCGTGGCTCTGGCCACCGACACTAGACCTAGGCAACGCAGACCATGCTGCAGCGTCCGCTTCGGTGACCGCCCTGGGCCTGGCGCTCCTCGCCAACACCAAATCGAGTCCAACACTGATGATGGCGGCTCGCGAGGAGTACACGGAAGCTTTGCGGTCGACGAACAGAGCACTCGAAGACCCTTTTTTGTCGAGATCAGACCTCACACTGATGGCTGTCATGTTCCTGGGGATGTTCGAGGTATTTCCTTTCCCTCCTCCACTCTGTTTGTTCGTGTGTGGGAAAGTGCCCTCTGATTCCTTCATTGACTAACCTTTCGTTCCAGGTGGTGACATGTACGGGACTCAATTCCATCCTCCAGTGGAGAAAGCACATCGACGGAGCGGTCAAACTGCTCGAATGGCGGGGAGAAGGACAGCTGCGAAGCCGTCGCGGCTTGCACTTGTTCCGACAGATGCGCGCCCAAATTGTCAGTCTCAAAGAGTCGAGAGCCGAGACCTCTTTCTTTCGCTTGTTGTATTTGTCGCAATTGACTGACTACTCGCCAGCTGATACACAACATTTTCGGAGAGAGCGACACATCTCCTATCCTAACCAGGTTGTCGAGTTTGGCGGCGTGCGGTCTCGAGGATGATGCCAGCCTCTCCCGGTTCGGCGATCGTCTGGCAAACATCAACGTTCAGCTGACCAAACTGTGCGCGGACATGAAACAGGGAATCATGACGGATCCTGGGGTGATCATTGGCGCCGCCTTGGCCCTTGATACCCAGTTGGCTTCTTGGACCAGCGGCATGCCCTCGTCGTTTATGTATTCTAAGATCCCCAGCGGTACAAACACGTGGGCGGCGACATCGACGACATATGGTCCATACACATCCCACTCGTATGTCTACCCGGATCTCCTCGCCAGCAACCTGTGGAGCAACTGGCGCGCGGCGCGATTTGTCATCCATGAAATCATCATGCAGCAGAAGGACGGAGAACAGGCTGGTTACACCAACGCTCCTGAATGGCTGGTTAAGGTCACACGACACAGCGAGACCGTGCTCCGTGAGTTGACAGCCGACATCTGCGCCAGCGTGCCGTACCACTTCTTGGCCGTTGCCGCCAATGACTGGACGGCGGGCGAAGGAACCCGTCCTCGTGAGAACAAGGTTCTCGCGGCCGGCTACAGCCTGCTGTGGCCCCTGTTCCTGGTCGCCAGCTGCCGCTTTTGCACGCCCGACCTCCGGCGCTGGGTCGTCGCGTCGCTCGAGAAGATCGGGCGCGAGATGGGCATCAGCCAGGCGCTCGCCATGGCGCAGCTGGTGCGTCGGGGGATGGGGCCGCGCACGTGGAACAACCAGCCGCAGGAGGAGGGGGATGGAGCGGATCCGGCGGACATTCACCCAGGCTCGGTCGATTAGGAGAAGGAGGGAAAGAGGGAGAGAATGGAGGAGGGGTTGGTTGGACAAAGTTGTGACCTCGCCGGGAATTAACAGAAGGGAGGGGATACGAGAAGTGGGTGCGTGGTACAAGAACGCAAGGGATCTGACTCCCATGTCACACGTGTACCTGCGTCATGTACTCGGTACACACAACCTCAGGCCCCACTCTATATACATCCCACCCAATCATGATAGAGGACATATAGTATTATGATCTTGCCCTGTTCAGTAATTCTATATACGGGTAGTCAGTTTTTAATGACCCACTCAGGCATGGATGGACTATCTCTAGCCGGCCAGCTAGCCTTTATCGGGACTTGCAGTAGCTCACTCACTCACTGGCTCTCCGACCGGCTCTCTGTCTGTCTGTCTTTTCATTCCATCCCTCTATGGATGGCCAATTTCATTATCGTCGTCCATGCATGCATGGTCTGTCGGCGACGAGTCAATCAATCAATCAATCAATCAACCAGACAGTGGGGTTCTTGATTCTCTGGCGCATGTCGACGCAGGCTTCCTGACCTCCACGTGCTTTGTTTCAGAGCATGGGCTGGTGACGGTCGACATCGTCACGGGGTGCCTCGTTCATGATCATGACCATCATAATGCACAAGTCACCACGGGCCAGGCCGTAAATGGTATCTATCTCTCCAATAAGGCTTTCTTTGCAACTTGTTTGTTTGTTCGTCTATTTGTTTGTTAGTCGTCCTGCTGCTCCACCGCGACCCCGTCCGGATCGAGCAGGCGAAGCTGAACTTCCGCATTATCGTCTTCGTCTTTTGCTCCGCCGCCCCGACCCCCTTGCTTCTTCATCTTCTTCCTCTTGGCGAGGATCCACGCCGTCAGCCGCGGCCGCACCAGCTTCAGAGTGAAGACGCACAGCCCCACGGCCACCGCCGCAACCAGCACGACCGACACCACCACGACCCATGGGTTGATACCCCGCAGGCAGCACCCGTACAGGCCTAGGTACCAGTGTACCAGCGTCTTCATCAGGTGGGGCTTCTCCTTGACGTCGGGCATCAGCCCCTTCCGCACCAGGTGCTTGAACTTGGGTCCGTTGGGCCCGTCGTTGAATTTCTTGAGCCCGAAGTATGGCACCGTCTCCTGGCGCGGGTCGGTGTCCGGGTACTGCTTGTCGCCCCAGTGTCCGTTGAAATTCAGCCAGTCGGTGGGATCGTCGTCGCCGCCGCCGCCACCCCCGTCCGGTCCGGCCGCGGTGAAGACCCCCGTATGCGGTTCGTAGTGGTAGAAGTAGGCGCGCCGGACGGGGTCCCACAGGCGGCCCTGGTCGGCGACGTCGATGAGGGCCTCGTCGTGCACGTGGCTGCCCGCCGAGGGGTAGTTGGCATGCGAGCCGCGGGCGCTGAATACGACGGGTCGCCCGTCCTGCGTCGTCGACAGGCACGTCGCGTCGTCCCACGCGCAAGCCTCGCCGCTGGTGTGGTGGCTGAAGTAGATGCCGGTCGGCGTCCCGTTGGCGAACCGGATCATGTTGTGCTCCCAGTCACCCAGGTGGTTCCCGTAGTGGTCGCCCGGCTTGCTGTCCGGGAATAACTTGTTCAAGGGGGGCACCACCTGCCGGATGTCGGCACCCTCGTTCCACGAGTAGAAATAGAAATAGAAAGCGTCCACCCACACCGCTGCGGGCGTCTGCTTCTCCACGACCACCACGGCACACGCCGTCGAGTTGTGCAGGGCGCCCGTGGCGTCGGGGGTCTCGCCAAGGACCCAGTCCGGGAACGTGGACACGTCTCCAACCGCCGTCAAGAAGACGTCGGTCCCGTGTGACGCGCCGAGTCGGTTCAGCAGGGACAGGTTCTCCAGATTGGGCAGCGGTAGTGTGTCTACGATGGCTTCTAAGCCGATCCGCGGCACGGTGTGCGATACGTGGGTCAAAATGTCGCTGGGCATGTACGGGTCATCGGAATGCAGCCAGACGATCGGGGCTGGAGAGGGAGCGTTGAGTCAGCACATGTTGCCCTTCTTGAATGGGAAGCTGTCTACTGACCGTAGTCGACGACATATGACGGGATCGTGTAGGGCGAGACGAGCTGGAGCAGCAGCAGTAGCAGCAGCACGTGCCATATCGAGAAGGCCAGGCACCACCGGTTCAACAACGGCCCGCCCATAACGAAGCCGCCGCGTTGGGTCGAGTGCTGCGAATCGGAGCTGGAGCAGACGCCCCGGCAATTCGGGTTTCGGCGTCGGCGTGGTTCGAAAGAAAGAACACGAGGAGGATGAAGCAAGAAAACAGAAGGAGAGAAAAGAGAGAGAGAGCGGAAGCCGGGCGGCAATTGAAGATGTGTCAGCAACATTGGCGCTAAATAGCCGAGGAGTGCCGAACGCGATGTGATTGGTTGCCGATAGCCGCATCAAAACTTTGGGTGCACCTCATCAACCTCCAGACGCCTGGGCCTCGTAATGATACTCAACCTTTCTTCACGCCGGCAGAACGATGCGCGCTGCGAAGGGTGCTCCGACGAGGATGAGGCGTGCCTGATGTTGTGGGTGGATTTGCACTTCCACCAGCGGCGGCCCTCTTCGACGGTGCGGACTCGGACGAGGAGGGAGCCCCTTCATCACATTGCGTCCTCTTTTTTTCCTTGTTGTTCTTTTGCTTCTCACTCTCCTTTAACAGCTCAGTCTCCATGGCACGTGCCTCCTTGATGGCCCACTCCACTCGATACTGCTGGTACATGATCTCCCCTCGGGCCTCTCTATAGGTCTTCGTTTCTTGGACAAACTCGTTGATCGATTTCTCCCGCGACCTCCAATAAGCCACGTCCTTTTTCCATTCTGGAACTGCATACTTCGGCCCGAGCAGCTTCGTCATGGCTCGGTCGAAGGTGGCGTCCAGTGACCGTGCTGCATTGGTACACTTGTCTAACTCCCTCAACTCGAAGCTGACGTATTCGAGCCAGTCGGTCCACCTGGTCTGTTTCAGGGGACATTTCCTCAGCTGCAGTTTTTGCGTGAAGTGGTAGGGGGCCAACCGTCTCTTGACTGCGTTGATGTAGGCGGAAAATGTCTGACCGTTGGGGAATTCGAGGGACGACGGTGTGTCTTGCCACTCTTTCCGAGCGCACCGCAGGTACCTAGGGGACGCCCAGCCTGTCTCGGTTCGACGCTTCTTCGACTCGAGGTAGGCAGAGAATCCCAACTCGCTGTCAGCCAACCCTCGGTTGGCCCATTGTGACTTGCGAAACTCCCACCATCGACCCAATTGCCTCTCCCAGACTTTCACCAACATCAACTCAGCCTCTCCCTCCCTGTCGGCCCAGCCGACGTGGAGCCATGACTGAACCGCTTCGTATCTTTCCATGGGCTTCTGTACGATGTGGGCCAGCTCCTTCATCGAGCACACTGCACGACCGCCATCTTGGATGAGCTCTTTGAGACATTTTCCTGGACGTTCCTCGGCGGGGCTCGGTACTTGAGTGCTCTCCTGCGCGAAAAACCGCTGGTATGGAGGACTGTATTCCGGGGAGTCGCCTCGTGTCCTAGCGAGATTTTCTAGGCGGAGTTGAAGTCCACCTATATCGAATGGTAGCCTGTCTCTGGCCACAGAATACTTGTTAGCTTGGGAAGTATCAGTGCGCTACCTATCGCAGGCTCTCACTCACCTAATCCATTTTTCCAAACGATTTCCCTCTAGTGTCCCAAGCTTTTCCACACCGGGGAAATGAAAGAGGTAGAATTTCTGATTCGGGTTGTCTTTCCGCCATCTTCTCATGAAGGCGTTGAGCTGCTCATCGTCGTACGCTGCGAGGTCTGTGGCAGTCACCCCAGCGATATCTTCGGCTTCCGGCCCATCAATCGGTATTTTTGTGGCTGGGTAGGACATGTCGAGCGGGGACGACATCTTGAACTTCCTAACCACAGAGGGGGATTGAAAAGATTGGTAGTACGGCGGAGAAGGGGGAGTGTTGTGAATGAAGTGGGAGAGGAGTGAGCTCTATTTATCGCCCGGCGTGTCACGGATCTAAATACTGTCGGTGTGACGCGTGCGTCACGCGGTTGCCAAGGCGATAAGATGTCATGAAGAATTCGTCGTGTTTGTCTCATTCTTTGTGGAGTTTCGTGCCACCCGAGATCAGCTGGGAATGCAATCTAATTTAGCAAGGGAAAGCTGCATATTTTGTCTATGGCTGTGGCAATCACAAGGAGATTACTCTTGGAAGGGACCGGGCGAAACCTGTATGCCTATGCTTGACCTCTACTCCATCCAATCACCAGTGCTGCGTTTTCTACGTACAGGCCCATGTCCATCATGGTGTCGTCTTGACCCGCAACAATCAGTGTTTGCTCGTCTTCGCTCGTTTCATTCTCCGTGGGGTGGCGTCGATGACATCTTGTTGATCTCCCGACGGGGGACACGTGAGAGATCCGCTGGGCGGCGACGCAACACTCTCCTCAGACAATTTCCTCTTGCGTGTGGATTGAGCTTGGCCAGAGGCCTTGATGGTCTGTTGCGACCCTTCGTCGCCGACAGAGTCGCGAGCGACGAACGACGAGTTACCCTCCTCAGCATCAACCACGCCGGCGCTCTTGTAGTTGTCATCGAGATTCTTGGGTTCAGCCGTGGAATGGGCGCCGAAAACCGAGAGTGTTGGTGTGGCTGCGCCCTCATTTTCCGACTTGTTGATCATGGCCTGTAGCATCTTTTGTGCTTCTGAGTTGACCTTGTCTGCCGACCATCTCTGGCGCGGGTCTTCAACCAACATTCCCTTGAGGATTAGTCGGAGAAGAGGGCCAATGTCTTCATCGTCTGACAGGAGTTTGACCCGATGCAGTAGGTGGTGCCTGCCGGCAATGGTAGTCAACGACTGGCTGCTGGAGTCTGAGCCCTTGCACGCCAGGTGTGCGATAACAAGACCAAGAGAGAAGATGTCAACAAGCGGGCTGTATGTGTCGTCCCTGCCGGCAGCCCCACACCAGACCCTGAGAGCCTCCGGAGCTAGCCAGGGAAAAGTACCGCACGCCGACTGCATGACTTCCGCCGCCTTGGCGAGGCCGAAGTCCGCAAACTTGACGTAGATGCTGCCCGGTTCCCTGCTCTGAACGAGGACATTTTCAGGCTTGATGTCCCTATGGACCAAGGGAGGGTTCAGGCTGTGTAGATATTGAATTGCTGACGACAGTTGGCAGAGCACCTGAGTACACTCGAGGGCCGAAAAGTCAGAGTAGCGCTCAAGCGAGCCTCCAGAGACGTACTCGAATGACAACTGCGGATATGGCGAGAAGCTGGCGCCTCGGAACTTGACAATGTGATCCTGGGGAATTCGGGCATCAGTTGTTAGCACGGGCGAACAAAGGAGCAAAAGGGAGATACCCGTGCCATTATGTCCGCCTCCTGCTTCCACGACCCCAGATCTTGCGGCGTCATTTTCTCCGGTTCCTTTGGCTCCTTCGTGGCATACTGCTCCCTGGTATTTGCGTTCCACACATAGTAGACGAAACCAAAGCCACCCTGGCCGATTCTTTGTCTGTAGAGGACCCTGGGACCCGAGCCCGGCTGAATGGATTCCAATTCCTTCCGCGACTTCTTGTCGACTTTGTCGACTTTGGTCACTCCAGAAGGGTCGATGTGGAAGGATGCAACGAGTGTTTCTGGGTTGGCACTTCCCATACGGAATTTCGTGACCCGGTCGATGTGTTGTGGGGAGCTGTAATCGCAATGCGGCAAGAGAATCTGGAACTGAATCTTGTCTGTGATATGGAGAACCGGTGGTTTGCCATTGAGAATGCTGGGGCCTTCCAGCGACCATGTGAAGTCGGACAATCGTGCTCCCGTTTCCCCATTGTAGGTGATCATGGTTCCATTTTGCGACTGTAAGTCTTTGATGACTGGGCGGTATAGGCCATCGAAGGTGATGGCGAAGTGTTTTCTGCTTACACCTGAAGCCTTGATGGTCAACTCGACATCAGCGTCTGTGCCGCATACCACACCTGCGGGGGTTTTCCCTCCTTGGCTATACCTCACGGCGAGGTGTGGAATGTTCTCATCTAAGCCATCCTGGACCTGGGCCACTGTGCGCTCTGGATCGTCCTGATCGATGTTCCCTTGGCAGGGTCGGCTTTGGCGGGCTGGAATGAATCGCGACTTGTTCTCAGGCAGTTCAGTCACTTCCACAGCGCCGTGGAAGCCGGGACCTTTGTGTGGTAACAACCATAGAATAATGTCATCATGTTGGGGATTACTCATGGTGTCTGTCAAGGCAAATTGCAGAAGTGTAATGAAGATTGAGTAGAACGCAGATAGGAAACCAGTGTACGCTCCAAAAAAAAAGGGACAAGAAAAGCTGTCCTTGTCCGAAGAGGGTGGTTATGCAATCCCTTGGCAAAGCTTGCTGCCTGGCGAGGTGCAGCCGTGTGAGAATCTTTGTGTCACCACGTTCCTTGTTTGGTGAGATGGTCAATCTCAGGCAGTGGAGACCAGGCTCATGGACCCCTGGCCCATTTGGTCTAGGGGCAAGTTAACAGTGAGACCCCCAGTCACCAGGTGCCCTGGCTCTGAGTTGAAAGAAGGTGGCGTGCATCTTGCCCTGGGCAAGCAGATGGCCACTTGTAGGTTGGCTGAGTCCTAGCCCAGTCCAGACCAGGCTTGGCCGCCTGACCTGCTTCAATGTGGGGACGGAGTCTTTATACCCAGACGAGACAGGCGCTCGGGTGGCAGCAGACTCAGCGACGCCTGCCATCTCCCATGGAATGGGTAGCGGTGAGGACAAGCGTTGGTGGCCATTTTGGGAGTCGGACAGCGGTTTTGATTGTGAGCAAACAGCATACGAGGTGAACCAGGAACCAAAGCAACCCCCCCCTTCCAAGACAGATTGACACGCTTGGCTTATGGTCCCAAGCATTGGAAATCTTTCCTGCAGTGCCGAGCTGGTGAGGCGTGGGCGGAGAGGATAAGCCAAAATAATGGAGGACGCTCGATACCGAGGTATGTAGATATACGTATGTATATGTTCTCCGGCGACTTGCTGTGTGACTACCAGTCAATCCTCCTTTGGGCTGCCACCCCGACTTCTCCCCCCGCTCGCACATTCCCCGTGCCTGGCATGGGAGCGACGGTCTTCTGCGGCCGCAGACCTTTGTGATACCCCAGCTTTTGATCAAGACTGGCAAATGGGTTCGGGGCTTCGTCCTTCTTCACTGTCCACCTGCTCGTTCCAAGCACGTTGTCCAACTCATGCACGGGCGGCAGCTTGAGGTAGACCCACCCGTCCTCCCGCGCTTCAGCCGGAAACGTGGCGATGGACAAGCCGCTGTCGTTCGAGCATGAGCCGGCACCGGCGTCCTTCTTGTCAAAGTCGACCTCCCCGTTCAGCTGGAAGTTCCTCTTGTGGTAGGGGCAGCTGACGTAGAATTTGCTGTCCTTGCAGTCTGCCGACGCGGTCTCCCCCACGAGACCGTCCGAGAGTCCAAACGTGCGGCGGTGAGGGCACATTTGCTGACTGGCGTAGTATTTCCCCTTCAGTTTGAAGACCGCCAGCTGGGTGTCGCCCCGGATGACAGTTTGTGACGAACCAGTGTCCAGGTCGTGGAACTTGTTCGTCTCCACGATGGGTTGCCAAGTCAGGCTGGTCCATCGAGTCCCTTTGAAGTCTTCGTGCACGGGATCCTTCGCCCAGTACGCTGGTCGGAACTGGCCTCTCTCCTCGACCTTCTCCACCGCAGGTTCTCTGTGATCCGCGGTGTTGGCGAATTGCTGGAACGCCTTCCGCTTCTCCGGGTCGTTCAGCACTGCCGTCCACTCGCAGAAGAATGTACCGACAAGTTCTTGCATTTGCTTCTCCAGCTCGGCGCAGATACCCAGCTTGTCCTCCAGAACCACCTCCCGCAGATAGCGGATACCGCCAGGCAGGTTCTCAACCCACCTAGCCGTTCTCTGAAGTTTATCGGCTGTCCGGATGTAGAACATCAGATATCGGTCCAGGATGGGGATGACATCGTCCGGAGGCACGTCTTTGGCGAGGATTTCTGAGTGTCTCGGCGTGGCCCCGCCGTTGCCTCCGACGAAGATGTTGAACCCTTTCTCCGTGGCAATACAACCGAAATCTTTGTTCTGGGCTTCAGCGCATTCCCTGACGCACCCCGAGATCCCACCTTTGATCTTGTGTGGAGCTCGAATCGACTTATATCTTTCTTCGAGGCGGATAGCGAGGCCCACCGAGTCTCCGATGCCGAAGCGACACCAGGTCGTCCCCACACACGACTTGACAGTCCGGAGAGATTTGGCATAGGCATGGCCTGACTCGAGTCCTCCGGCAACCAGCTCCGACCAGATATCCAGCAGATCCTGCTTCTTGGCCCCGAACATGTCGATGCGTTGGCCACCAGTGATCTTGGTGTAGAGGCCGTACTTCTTCGCCACCTGGCCAATGACGATAAGCTTGTCGGGACTGATCTCTCCGCCAGCAACGCGAGGTATGACGGAGAATGTTCCGTTACGCTGAATGTTTCCGAGATACTTGTCGTTAGTATCCTGGAGCCCGTGGAGTGGCTTTTCCATAACGTGGGTGTTGAACATGCCGGCGAGGATCGACGCAATGGCAGGCTTGCAGACCTCACATCCGAGGCTGTTGGGGTCGGTGCCGCTGTCCCTCATGACCTCACCAAAGTTTCTCAATTTCTTGACGAAGACAATGTTGTAGAGATCAGCTCGCGAGTATTTGAAGTGGGGACAGAGATGGTTCAGGACTTCTTGGCCCATTTCCTTCATCGTCTGGTTGAAGATGGACTGGACCAGAGGCATGCAGCCACCGCAGCCCGTGCCAGCCTTGGTACACGACTTGACGTCGCCAATGGACTTGCAGGAGCCGTCCTTGACCACGCTCGCGACGTCACCTTTGGTAACATTGTGGCACGAGCAGATCTGTGTGTCGTCCGTCAGGTCGTCGGCGTTCTCTTCACCGTCCTTGGATGCACCGATGATGAATTGGGATGGTGGCACTTCCAACGGCTTCTTGTTCTTGACCATGGGCACCAGTCTAACATAGTCCCTCGTGTCGCCGATCATCATGCCGCCAAGCAGATACTTGCCATCCATGGTGAACAAATATTTCTTGTACACGGCTGCAAATGGATCTCTGTAGGTGAGTGCTTTGACAGCCGGAGGCGGCGGACCGTCCGTGAGATTCTTGACTTTGTCTTGGCTGTCAGTGCCTTTCTTCTCCGCCCGGCTGACGTGCCGTCTGGGGAGATCCTTGGGTCCGTCCCTGTCGGCAAAGAAGTCCCCGAAACTGGCAACTTCGACGCCCAGAAGCTTCAACTTGGTGCTCAAATCTGGTCGCTTGAACGTTCGCGGGCTGTGAACCTTGGCTTGGGTGAGGTTGAATGACAGAACGTCGGCTTGTTCAACACCAGGGGCGATGAGCCCAAACGTTTGATTTTCCCAGCTTGCACATTCGCCGATTGCGTAAATGTTCGGGTCGCTGGTCTGCAGGTCGCTGTTGATAACGACACCTCCGCCTCGATCGGCGCATTTCAGACCCGCCGCCCTCGCCAACTCATCCCTGGCTTTGATGCCAATGGCGAACATGATGCACGAGCACGCCATTTCCTCGCCGTCCTCGAAGACGAGGCCCCGCACAGCGTGGTTCTCGTCGGTCAAGATTCTTCCGACTCTCTTGCTGAGCATCACGTCGAGTCCGAGGTTGCGGACTAGTTCGACGACCATGGCCCCAGCGTCTCCGTCCAACTGCCGCGACAGCACCCATCTATTTCTTTCAATGAGTTTGACCTGCTTAAATTTCTCCAGATCCATCATGGCTTTGGCTGCTTCGAGGCCGAGTAGCCCGCCACCCACAACGCATCCCGTGGTGCCCTTGACGGTGGCAGAGAATGCGATGAGTTGCTGGAGATCCTCAATTGTTCTGTATACGAACACCCCCTTGGCATCGTGGCCGGGGGTATGCCGTGGAAGAACGGCGTCGGACCCTGTCGCTAGAACCAAGATGTCATAAGGTATTGTGTCACCTCGAGCGGTGACGACCACTTTCTCCCCCGGCTTGATTTCGGTGACAAGCGTATTCAAATGGTAGCTGAATGAGTTTGAGGGATGGCCCTTATACCAAGACTCTGGGTTCAGGTACAGCGATTCGACTTGTCTGTGCTGAAAGAAGCTTGTCAACCCGACACGGTTGTATGCCAGATGGGGCTCCTCGCCCACGACCACAACGTCGTATTCTTTCCTCTTGGCATCAAGTTTCAGTAGTTTCTCCCTGTCCGGCCGTTTATCAGCCAAGTGTTCTGGCGGAATTTCAAATTCGGTCATATTGCCATCTGATGTGAGAGACTTACACAAAGGCTATGCCAACCATTCCCAAGCCGACAACCACCACCTTCTTCCTTCGGCTTGATGCCGGCATTCTGTCACCATCGTCTTCCACACCCTCCGGTGTACGGCTGATGGCCATGCCCGGCGACGATGTTGACCATGACATGCTGCTGGCCCTCTTCCGCCTCGCCTGTCGAGAGTTTCTGCGTCACTGGGGCGAGTATGTCACCGCCGGCACATCTTCAGGGTATAGGTGATCTGCTTCAGGTAGGAGCATCACATCAAAAGAGGAAGAAGAAGGAGAAAGAAAGAAGAAAGAAAGAAAGAAAATTCGTCATATGGCGGATTGCATATCTACTGCATGGGCCTGGTTCAAATCTGAGACGCCACACCCGCAACCCATGATCTCCGCGGGGACAGTGCACGTCAAAACGGTCGACCAACGAGACGAACAAATCCGCCTATCGGCAGAGGACTTGGATGTGTGGGTCACCGCCAGTGCTACTCCAAGCCAATAGGGGTGTTGCGCAGAGCCAATGGCCAATATCGCAATTGTCATTTTGCACCGTCATTTCTGTCGTCAAAGAAGTGATCGTGGACGAGATTGAAGATCACTTTCTCCACGGTGTCCGGAGATGGAGCCACAAAGATAAGACTCCTCGATAGCGTGGGATGGGGAAGAAAACAAAACCGCATCTTAAGTGGCTGAGAGACGGTACGATAACATCGATAACATCGTGCGATGTGCGGATCCAACTGGTCACTTGGCGTCGTCACGTGCGTCAACCGGTTGGAATGACAAAGTTGCCGAGTTGCCAAGTATTTCCTCGGAAGAAATTGTGTCACGTGATGCACCGAAATGCACGGGTGGCTCATCTCAGCATCGATGGGGGCACACTATTCATAAGTCGTATGTTGATAGCAAGAGTCAATTTGGCTCTGCATCAGTCGGGAGATGTTGTGCTGGCAAATCCTCCCGCGGAACTGGATCGGGCGTCGATGGAAGGCAGTTGGAGAAATAATCGAGGAAGAGAATGATGATATCCTGGTCAAATCACAAAGGCCGCACCTGAGGCGAAGCTCCTTGTGACAATGTCAACGTCGAAAAGAGCACAATCTGATTGAGTGACTTGGTGATCCCCGTGGTATCATTGCCATGTGTGTTGGAGGGTTTTGGCGGTTGGGGGGTTCTATCTTCACATCTTCACGCTTGGGTTCTCCAGTCACGCACGGTACGTATCCTGTGCCTGGATATCACATCACACAGGTTATTCATGCAGCTTGACACTTCATCTGTAGCCACTTCTTCAGGGACCTAGGACTAGAACATGCTGAAATGCCAACACTAAGCAAACCTGTGCTGCACGTGAAACACGACTCTTCCATTCCTCGCTTCGCTGACTGACAATGCAAGGTCGGTCAAAAGAACATAAGTTGGTCATCGCGCCACCCCTGCTCTAACAGCGCTTGATGCATGGTCTTTTCCATCGCCTCGGGTCCGCAGATGAGGACCAGCGCGTCGTCCGTCCGGGCCGAGTGTTCCTGAACGAGTTGACCGGTGACACGGCCTCGCAGACCGGTCCAGTCGTCGGGCGCCTGGGTGAGAGTGTGCAGGACGCGGCACCGGTGCTCGTTGCCTGTTAGCAGGGCGTCGAGCTCCTCCCGACACAGGATGTCCTCGACCAGTCGGTTCCCGTCGAATATGACGCACTGCGTCTGGTCCTCGGGATCGCGCACGACCGCCCGGAATACTTGGTAGATGGGCGTGATGCCACTGCCGCCACAGATCATGATGAACGACTTGACCACCCGCTCTCGCCCGGACACCAGACACGTGCCGTGGCCCACGTACTCGAACTTGCCGATCGGCCCCTTCATCTCGATGAAGTGCCCGACGGGAAGGGCGTCCATGGCCTGCGACATCTTGCCGCCCTCGCTGCCCGCGCGGGCAAAGTACACCTTGACCAGCATCTCCATGAAGCCGCGGTCGTCGATGTCCGAGATTGGAGTATAGCTGCGGATGATAGCCTCACGGGTCACAGGGTCCCGGAGCCTGACCATTAAATGCTGGCCGACGGGCAAGCCGAGGCGCTGCGCCGGATGTTCCAGTTTGAAGGTGAAGATACGTGTGTCCTGGGACACGATCCGCTTACCGTGCAGGATGGCTTTCTTCCACGCTTTGGGATGGAGGAAGGTCTCGGGAGGTTGGCCTTGGTGGTCGATTGATTGCGTCTCGTCGCTGCCCGCCGTCAAGGCCGTTTTGGCGGCTTCGTCCAGGGAGCCGATGTGGAACTGCGGCATCATCGCTTTGGCCGTCTCGCTGTGGATGGCGAGGAATTCCTCGGTGCTGTCCAGCCCCGCAGCCGAAATAATGCTCTGCGCGCCCCCGGGATGCTCCTTCAGGAACGCCGTGCCGTCGTACACTTCGCCTTGCACCACGAACCAAGGCTGTTGCTCCGTGTCGTGTTTCCGCAGCTCGTCGATCGTGATCGGGTTCTGCAGGCCTTCCCGGACCATGGAGATTTCCCGGGCTTGTTCCTTATCCGGGACTATGGGTGCCTCGCCCTCGAGTCTCTCCCCCCAAAAGCCGTTGGCCAGGTCGCCCCCAGCCTTTTTGACTCGCTCCATCCAGCCGCCAGGCATGAGAGCCGGTTGGGTGGGATGTTCGAAGCGAAGGTACTCGCCCTCAACTGTGATCGTTACCCGGAACCAGGGATTGTTCATCATCCCCAGAACGGACCAGTACATGTCCCGAGGCTGCACATTCATGCTCTCGTCCATGGCCCGTACGACGATATCTGTGGCCTGGGCGAGTTCGTCCGTCAGCAGGCTGGTCGACCAGAAGCACCAGCAGAAGCAGGTTTCACGCCACGACATGTCCAACCGGCCACCAAACAGATCTCTCTCCACCTGTCTATATCGATCCTCGACATAGTCAATCTCGGCCAGCCGCCAAGACTTGCCTTTGTCTAATGAGATCTCGACCCTCGTGATGCGTCGCCCACCACCGCTGTAGGCATATCCTCGGACTCGGTAGGTCTGCGGTGCACCGTTCAGGCACAGCTGCTCCTCGTGCCGGGGGTAGCAGACGGCCGAGTTAGGGCTGAGGTCGTAGATGGCATATCGTTCGTCCGTCCACCACTTGGGGTTGTTGGCGGACTCTTCCGGAGAGACCATGGTCGGCAAGACCCGGTTGTCGTAAACGTGGTACCAGTTGTCGCTAGGAGCATCCGTGATGATCAGCTTCGTCAGCCACTTGACAGACCGGCCCCCGATCTGGCCCGGGACAACGGCGCGGAGGGGCTTGCCGTGATCAGGGCGGAGCGTCTCGCCGTTCATTTTGTAGGCGAGCATGATGCCGCGGTTGGGATCCATGGCCCAGTTCAGCTTGACGGACGTGCCGTAGAACCCGTGGGGGAGCTTGTCTGCGCCTTCCATACAGACGTACCTGGCCTTCCTCGTGGGCCGGGCTCGTCGGAGAACATCAGCCATGACGACGCCCGTGAAGAGTGCCGTCGAGAGCCCTGCCGCGCCCCACGAGAATCCTTTGCTTTTACGCACCATGTTCTGCTCTTTTCGCCGATTCCCTGCGCACACCAGTGTGATTGGATATGTCACTTGCTCGTATTCGGTCATCAGCTGCTTCAGCGATATTGTCATGGGCTCGTCCACCAGGCCCTCGATAGACAGTTGCCACTCTATTATGTCTTCATCTTTGACCTGAGGTACCGCACCGTGGTTTCGCACATAAAACAGCTCCGGGCTCGTCAAGAAGCCTTCGTTGAAGAGTTCAGTGAGCGGCGCCTCGACATTGAAGGGATGGACGCCGGTCAGTCGGATCAGTCGGGGATCGCGAGGGACGTGACGGTCGGGTGTCTTAAGATCGACGTCGAGAACTCGAACTGGGGCTGCGGTTGGAGGTGGGAGTGGTACCTCGACCTTCTCGTCGTCTGGATCTGAGATTCCACCCTCGGTGGGTGGCGGCGACGGTGGAAGGACGTCTTGGACGGGCTGAGTGTCCAATGCTTCGATCTCCTCGGGAATACCCTGGCTTTCTGTCGTTGGGTCTTCCATTTTGTGACGTAATATATTTGTATATGTGTATATCTATACCGATATGGCCACGAATTCCCGCCAAAGCAGGTCGCTTGCGTGGCCGCTAAGGAGCGTGAGAAAAGAAGTTTCAGGAACACATTGAAGGAAATTGAAAAGGAACGGGAAGCTGCAGGCTCAAAGGGTGACCCAGACGTGCAACGATGGCCGTTACTGAAGGTTTCACGAGCGTCATAGGATATCTATCAAGGAGCTGGAACGGCCCACCCAGCGTGTCCTGCGTCCGCGTCCGCGGCGGTATTTCTAAAATCATTGTGTGTAGGGTCGTCCAGCGGGTCCTCAAATCAGAAAAGAAAGGCGCGGGCAAGGGAGAGAGAGATGGGAGCAAAACCATTGCGATTGAACATGCAGAGGGAAAAATGATGAAGATCCGCGGGATAAGTTGTAATCGGTCGAGGTGCGGGTAGTGCGAGGAGATATTGTACCTTCTGCTTATCTCTAGGCCCTTTCCCGTGTCCGGCTAGACTGGGCCTCGGCCGAAGTGGAGATACAAAAATCTCTGACGTGTCTGACCGACGGAGGACGCCGCTTGTCCAGCACAGCAACGGCGCCGGAGAAGTGAGATAAAGTGTCACAGCGAAACCCTCTTCCTTGTCTTTTGAAATCCTTGATCCAGTGCAAGGTATCCCCGTGGGAAAATCAGTGTTGGACTCACCTGGATCCAAGCACCGTGGCACCATCCCTTCATACGGTGGAAGTTGTTGATACAGACACTATCGATAAGAGAAAAATTGGGTATGAGCTGTGCTGGACCTGCTTTCTGCTGGATAGGGCTTGTTGCCATGATCGGGCCACCGACTCATCCTGCACAGCTCCCACCCCCTCGGTCGAGGGAATGCTGAAGCTGCTTGCTCGAGAGGCCAGTAGGACATTGCGATGTAGAGGTGATTGAATGCTCCCATCCATTGATAGCCAATGTATCTGGTTGATTCGAGGATCACAATCATCTGTGTGGTCTCTGGTGACGCGGTGTATGTGCCAATCAGAATCACGTGACTCATCATGTGATATGGGTCGAGTTGCAGTAGCCAGGAGGTGTCCAAGGTACCAGGTAGTGTCCAGAGTCTCATTCCGTCTTGTTGCCATGTCGTCTGCCAGACATACAGACAAAGTCAACATGTTGGCGTCACTCTATACTGCGAGAGTGAGTGTTGTGGGTGCTCTTTGCGAGAGTCTTTCTTTGCGCGATCTTGGTGTTGAGGATTGACTGTACGGCGTAGTTCTGGGACTGCGAAAAAGAGTGGGCGAGTGATGTTGCTGTTTCGCGTTTCTCTGTCGCCAAGCCGCTCCCGGTGGGCCGGGCGGCCTTATCGAGCCAATCATCACGCCATATCTCGCAGTACCCCAGAGAGAACACGCTCCCAATTTGACGCTGCGGATCTCGGACGCCCCATGGATTTTTGCGCCTTTCTTTCCCTCTCCGACGACTAACTAATATGTTATCGTCGCGTACAGCATCGTGCTGATTGCTATGAGATTGCAAGCCAAGTTGATTCATGCTCAGTCCCCCTCCTGGAGGAGACACGAACCGCACTCTGTCTTGTACCGCAAGGGATATCCGTCCGAGCCTGTCACTTGGGGATGGGAAAACAGCACATAAGGTAGCTAGATGGTCGCTAGAGAGATGTAGGAGTATCCTGGGCATTACTGCAGGTCTTTTGCGTAGTTCGAGGGGACAAGCAGTTCAACACTGTGTGTGTCGCGGACATGATCTCTTGGCGCTGTCGCGTGACGCGTGAGAAGATCCCCCGTCGGAAACTCTCACATACAGGAGGAAATGGATGGCGTAATTCCCCGCCAAAAAGCTGGTGTGGGCGCACGACCCATCAGCGATTGCTGTGTGCTCAGTCCTCCCCTAGTGGTTAGGGGAGCAGGCACTATGGCGTCTTTTCCGAGATCGTGGGAAATGGGGTCTTCAAAATCCGCGAGGTTAGAAGTTGTTCGCCGTTTCATTCCCTGGTAGCGAGCCGTGCTGAGGTAAGCCGACGGATGTTAACCACTAAAAACGAAGGGATAGTGCATCTGGCCCCACTTATTACTAAGACTCTAGCCTCAGCCCAATTAGAGAGCCAGGTTCACTTATTCGACTTGGCGCACGTGACTTTCGGCTCAAGAAAATTTTGACTGGCTGCCTCAAACTCTTTATTTTTCTTTCACCGCCGACGCTACCTCAACCCTCTCCAACTGCGCCTGCGCCATCTTTTTGTCTCTTGTCTTGCCCGTCATGCCTCAGAACGAGTACATCGAGCGCTGGCAGAAGCAGCATGGCAAGAGGCTGGACCACGACGAACGGGTGCGCAAGCGCGAGGCCCGTGAAGGCCATGCCCTGTCCGACAAGGCCCAGACGCTGCGCGGCCTGCGGGCCAAACTGCACCAGAAGAAGCGGCACGCCGAGAAGATCCAGATGAAGAAGGCCATCAAGGCGCAAGAAGAACGAGACGTCAAGTCCGCCGCCCCCACAGAACCCTCCTCCACCCCGCTGCCCAACTACCTCCTCGACCGGTCCCAGGCCAACTCGGCCAAAGCGCTGTCGAGCGCGATCAAGAACAAGCGGGCCGAGAAGGCGGCCAAGTTCGCGGTGCCGCTGCCCAAGGTCAAGGGGATCAGCGAGGAAGAGATGTTCAAGGTGGTCAAGACCGGCAAGAAGACGGCCAAGAAGAGCTGGAAGCGCATGATCACCCAGCCCACCTTCGTCGGGCCCGACTTCACTCGCCGCCCCGTCAAGTACGAGCGCTTCATCCGCCCCATGGGCCTGCGCTACAAGAAGGCCAACGTCACGCACCCGGAGCTGGGCGTCACCGTGCAGCTGCCCATCATCAGCGTCAAGAAGAACCCCCAGAACCCGCTCTACACCCAGCTGGGCGTGCTGACCAAGGGCACGGTCATCGAGGTCAACGTGTCGGAGCTGGGTCTGGTCACAACGGGCGGAAAAGTGGTCTGGGGGAAATACGCGCAGGTCACAAACGATCCGAGTCGAGATGGGTGTTTGAATGCGGTTCTTCTAGTTTAAGCGATTGTCACATGCGGGATTAAGCATCATCAGGAGGGTCAACGGGTGATAAAAACGTATGGTACCAGTCTATCTAGGGTGTCTTATGGCGTTGGGTTGTGTTTTGTATCACACCTCCTCGGCGAAAATGGCGTGGTCAGAATATCCCATGGCTTTGACGGCGATTTTGGCGCTTTGTAGCAGCCTCGCCTTGAGACTTAGAGTCTGGCCGGGTTTTTCAACTATTATTTGGGGCGGGTAAACCCCGAAAGCATCAGCCATTTTCCATTTCCATTTCGGTGATGGACAACCCATATGACCGAAGAATGCCCGGTCTAAAAAAAAGGGGGACAAAAAGCGGCCTAAGATACGGAGAAGGAAAAAAGCAAGTAGAAACTTACAAACGTTGGAGATTTTGGCCATGACGCCGTATGTCGCCTTGAAATCCAAGGGTTTGAGGGCGCGCCAGATCCGGACCACCTCCTCGGGCGGCAGGGGGATGAAGTTGGGGATGCTCCAGAGGAACTGGTACGAGACGGTGTCGGCCCGCTTGCCTGGGTCCGGGTTGTGGCCGGACTGCACGGCGAAGATGGTGTCGGCCACGAACAGCGTCGGCAGCGGCGTGTTGGGAGGGAGTGAGTGCAGCACCTGGCTACCCGGGAAATGGCCGCCGCAGATGACCGACGTGAGGCCTGGGAGAAGCTCGGTGCGGGGTGCGCTCAGTAGCTTGAGTGTGGCCGACGACGTGTCTTTGCGGTTGGCCCAGACGGCGTCGACCTCGGTCATGTACACGGGGCACTGGAACGTGGAGGACCAGTCGGCCCAGGTGCTGAAGGGTGGTGGGAGGTTAGTTGGGGGGTGAGAACATTTGCGGATATTGCGGGATAGAAGATTCACGGGAGAGGAGAGAGAATGAAACTCACGTGTAGAAATGCGGATGGGAGATGATAATGAACTTCAATCCGCCCAATCCGGTGATCTGCGTGCCATCGCATCAGCCAGTCAGTCGGGTATACAGCCAGAGTCAAGCAGGGTCGTCGGAATTGGCCCTTGGCTCGTGTCTTGGACAACGCAGGACAAATGACCATCACTAAGAGACTGTCCGTGTTGTCTTTCAGAGAGTCTGTACCTCTTTTCTCGTGGCTGTATTCAAATGTACATATGCACACATACACACATACCTTGTCAACCGTGTCTTGGTCCAGATATGCAACCAGATCCCAGAGCACATTGCCGTTCGGGGTGCGGATCAAACGCGCACCCTGCCCGATGCCGAACTGTCACCAGTGAGGAAAGTATGTCGTCAGTATGAGCCGTGTATATATCAATCAGATGCAATGTAGAAGCAGACAGATACAACTTCGAGAGGGGGAAACGGAGTGGCAGTGTTGATCTGCATGTGGTGATACTGTATGACAACTGTGTGTACTGCAGGGAAATGCTGTTGTTTGTGTGTTCATCTGCTCATCCACCTAGCACCTAGCACCTACCTTGGGCTCGGTATGGATCTCGACGACAGTGTCATTGTGCTCGCACGGCTCGAAGACGTTCTTGTAGGGGCCGGCATGGAGCTTGCGCAGCGTCGTCCACGCCTGGCCTGACTCTGGGACGAATTGTCTGGGATCCTATGGGACAGGGAGGTGTGAGCAGAGTGTCAGTTTCAGTGTTCAATTCAGTGGCAGTGTCAGTGGCAGAATGATACGAGATCTATCGCATAGTGTGTATGTCTTTCTTGGGGGGTTGGCTGGTCACCACCAAATCATTTTTCCCGTTGAAAGAGGAGTGTGGTGTGAAACATGGTATGCCTCCGTTGAGAGCATGTTCTGTTCCCCTACCCAGGCAGGGGATCCCATCACTCACTCGTGCCCGGCTGAAGTGAGAGGGAGGGACAAAGGGAGAGGAGACAGGCAGACAGACCTCACAGATCCGACACTCGTCCTTCCCCGTCTTCTCGTCCACGTCATACTGCGCACCACACGCACAGCAGATCAGCAAATCATTTGACGTTGAGAGCTTCGGGGCCCCGGCAGCCATGGCTCTAACTCGACCCGGTTGCGGAACGAATGGGGGGGAGGGGTGGAAATGGGCTGTACGGGTAGTCGCCAACGGTCGAGATATTCTTGACCCGAGCAATGAAGGGGGTGGCTGAGCGACTGAGTTTGCAGCGACTCTACACCGTCTTGTAGACCCAATCACTCACGGAAAAGGTCGAGATCTACGATGATGTTGCTGCAGGTCAGAACTGATGCAAAGGATGGTGTCAATTCAATTGACTTTTGAGAGTGGTGGGAATGGCAAGAAAAAGCGCGAAACTTGTGCCGGACTTCTCCGTTTTCACCCATTGCAACCCACCACGCGCGGTCGAGGATACGAGGGTGATGAGTCAATGAAGGAGGAGGAAGAGGAGGAAGTAGACAATCAGCCAGCCAGCCAATCTCACAGTCTTGGGAGAGCCTAGAGTTTGGCTCGGTCTGCAGCCCATTTTCCACACACACAAATGGCCTTTTGTGGTCTCTGGTCTCACAAGCGGAATTCGGAGACCAACAATGTCATTGTTTTGTCTGCATCAGGGTCGTGAACATAGATTTTATAGATTATGATGTGTCGGGCTCTGGACCGGTTTCATTTGGATATCTTTCACAGAAAATTGCTAAAATTTCTAGGTGTTAAGGAACTTGTACAGTAGGTCCGCAAAAGTCACCGGACAAACGCCGTTTTCCACCAAAACAGGTAGTTTTCAACAGTCAATATCTCGATAACTTATTATGGCGACCCCTAGTTATTAATATAGTAGAATATACTAGATTATCTAGGCTTTGTATAATTATCAATTATATATCTGAAAACGCGGTATGCGAAGAGTTATCTCATATATTAGGAAGAGTTAGTTTAGTTATCATGCAAAAAAATAAATTTTCTGTTGGAATTAACCTAATGCTTTCTTTTATGTAGTACAACTTTTCGCACACTACGATTTTAAATATATAATTATAAGGTAGATAAAGTCTAGGTAATTTAGTACACTCTACTATATAAATAACTAGGGGTCGCCATAATAAGTTATCGAGATATCGGCTGTTGAAAACTACCTGTTTTGGTGGGAAATGGGGTTTGTCCGGTGACCTTTGCGGACCTACTGTATATTGGCCTATTCCTTCCTGAGGAGTAAGTAGAATACTAATTGGAGGCAATTGATTATAATCACCAATTCAACACACATTCGTAACAGCCCTGACTCCCCGACGAGTCTATACTAGAGTGCCTGTGACCGTGAATTCTGGTAGAAAGCAGGACCAAAGCTCATCGAGTTCTGTTCTCACCATGTTATATGGGTGCTTGTGTACCTCCCTGTCCTAAATATGTGCTTGCTAGTCCCCTACATGTACAAGCTCGCTGTAAACACTACATCCCGTCTGATCATCTCCCTTGCCTTGTCCATCTTCGCATATAGCGACGGATCGCCGATCAGCCTCGCCGCACTCATGACCTCCCTGCACGTCTCGTCCAGTCTGGTGATGACCCGCACAATTGTGCCCTCCATCACGTCGGTCAGGTCGGTGATCCGGTTGAATGACATGCCCCGCGCCCACTCGTAGACCACCTCCACCAACCCGAACCGCTGTCGTGAAGCGAAATCGTTGGCCCCGTCGTCCGAGGATAGGATCACCTGGTGCAGAATCTGGTAGTGGTTCACCCGCTCGGCGATTTCGATGATAGCATCTCTGCCTCGCTCCAGATTGCCGGTCAGCTGGGGCTCGTTGTCCGTTTTTTCCTGGAAAACAAAGGACGAGAGCAGGGCGACAATCTCTTCGGGCTCGAATCTAGACACGCAAGCATATCTGTCAGTATGACTCTCTGAGGTCGATCGCACCTCCTTTGAAAAACTTACGATGCGAGCACGTTCTCCAGAATCAGCTCCGTGATCACCAGCTCGTCGCCCGAGTGGATCTCGCACGCGACCTTCCCCTTCAACTGGACGCGAGCCTGGTCGTCGATGAAACCCAGGTCCTTCAACACGGCCGTGCGCTGCTGGTAGTCCGGCAGCAGTGACAGGTTCTGGTCCGACATCAGCATCTTGAGCGAGTGGATGTTCTCCCGGATCAGCCACTCGTCGTGCTGCATGCCGTAGTGCTTCAAGAACTGCGGGCACTCTCGCAGACAGTGACTGGCCTCAAACACCCGTGCCGCTTCCTTTCGCTTGAGCAGCAGCTCTCGGATGTGCAACTCGTGGACTTTGCTCCAGTCCTGCTCGTCCCACGCACTCAAGTCCCAGGAGGAATAGGTGCGGACGAAGTCATCCTCGGCGAATTCCTGTCGCGCCGAGTCGGACTGCATCAACGACCGCACATCGACCTTGACAATCGTCTGGGTAATGCACTCCACGTCGTCCAGTGCAACCTGGGTAATCTGCCATTTGACCTGCGAAGCCTTTTCAGGGAGAGCAGAGAACATCGTGCGCACACGGGGCAAGTATGGAAGCAGATCTCGGGTCGACCGCTGTGCGTCAATGTGTGATAGTTCCAGAACGTTGAGCCCGCGATTGGGCCCTGCTCGCACCCCGTCCTCGAGGAGCACTCCTACCGTCCGGATGCCGTCCTACGTCGACAAGTTAGATGGTCACAAGTAGAAGGAAAATAAAAACTAGAAGACATAGCCCCCCACCTTTTTGAACACGATCAGTCTCTTCGCCGTCCACAGCCGCCGTCCGACTGGCGACGACAGCAAGCTCACGTGAAGTTCCCGGGTCAGCCGCTCGAACTCCATGGCGGCTTCATGACACGCCTCTGCATCAATATCGCAGACGTCGCAGGGTTCACGCTTGATCTTGTCCAGGTTCGCCTGGGACAGGGCGACCTGCTCTTGGTGCTGGGGAAGGAGGGCCTGGGTCGCATTCTCCGAGAAGCTGCGCTTGATCATCTCCTCGATCCTCAGAGCCTCAACCCGCATCAGGTTCAGGATCATATTGTAGTGCAGGCGAAATTGGCTGCGCAGCTTGGTGGCCGGGCCCGTGATCATCTGCGTCAGCTCTGCCGCCGCGGGCGCCTCGTTCTTACCTGGTGTCACGATGATGACGGTCCCGACCGTATCGAGACCTCTGCGGCCTGCGCGGCCGGCCATTTGCGTGTACTCACCGGGCAAGAGATTTCGAAATTCACGGCCGTCGTGCTTGCGGTAGCCCGAGAAGACTACGGTGCGTGTCGGGAGATTCAGTCCCATCGCAAATGTCTCCGTGGCGAAGAGCACCTTGACCAGCGTCCTCGCGAAGAGGATCTCGACGATTTCCTTCACGATGGGCAGCAGGCCGCCGTGGTGGACGGCGACGCCGCGGCCCAGCATCTCGCGCAGGCGTCGGATCTGCGGCAGCACGCGGTCCTCCGGTCGCAGTCGTGCGATTGATCGCTCAATGATCATGTGGATCGCACTCTTCTCTGTGGCCGTGCAAAAGTCCTGGTTGGACAGAGAGTCGGCATTTTCCTCGCACCTCCTCTTGGAGAAGACGAAGATGCACGCCGGCAGCAGATTCTCCTTTCGCAGGTACTGGACCAGGTGTACCCAGAGGTTTCTGTCCTGAGCAGCCGTCGTGCGACCCCCACCGCGTCCCGTCCGCGCAATATTGCCTTGACCGCGAGTCGGCACGGATCCCCGGCCTCTCTGCTGCTGTGTATTACCTCTTTGATTCGAACCACCGCGTTGAGCCTGGGTCCGACCTCCTCCTCGCGGACCCGCGGCTTGTCCTCCACGAGTAGTCGCCTGGGCCTCGACCGCCTTCTGCTCCTTAACCTTGTCCAGTCCCGACAGGATGTCGTTGGCTGCTTTCCAACCCTTTTGAAGGAACCGTTTCTCTGAGTCCACGATTTTGTGGATCTCCTTACCCGCCCACAGGTAGTGCTCCAAGGGTACGGGTCTCTTGGGAGTCGAAATGACATAGATGTCCTTTTTCTTGGTGCGCCCGACCCACGACGCAAACTCGTACGTGTTGGGCACGGTGGCAGACAGCAGGATCAGCGTGACGTGGTCCGGCAGCATGATGATGACCTCTTCCCACACCACGCCGCGTTCGAGGTCATTAACGTAATGTACTTCATCAAAAATGACAAACTCCACATCACGAATGAGGTCTGCACCCCGGTAGAGCATGCTCCGCAGAATTTCTGTGGTCATTATCAGGCAGCTCGCTTCTGGGTTGATTTGCACATCACCCGTCAGGATCCCCACGTCATCAAACACGGTCTTGAAGTCACGGAACTTCTGGTTGGACAGGGCTTTGATGGGGGACGTGTAGATGGCCTTGGTCATGTGCTTCGCCGCTAGGGCGATGGCATACTCTGCCACGACCGTCTTTCCCGCCGAGGTATGGGCCGCCACAAACACCGAGTCACCCCCTTCGAGGTGATAGATGGCCTCCTTCTGAAAAGTGTCGAGCTCAAACGGCCAGGTGCGTGCCATGTCCGGCACCAGATCCTCGAAGTTGGAGATCGGCTTGTTGATGTCCACCACGTGAGCCCATTTCTTCCCAGGGACTTTGGTCGTCGCTGCTCGTAGCAGCAAGTCGCCATGCGGTTGGAGGGCCGGAAACTCTATTGGCAATAGCTCATCGACGTCGGCATATCCTTCCTCCTCGTCGCTGTCACCTTCACCGTCGTCAGATTCATTCGTAGTCTTGCGTCCATTGTGGTCATCCACGTGCCCCGGAGGCGCAAGATCCACCCCAGCGCCACCCTCGTTGTCTGCGTCCAATAATGTCTTCTCGACGTCGTGTGCATCCTCTACTTCTGTAGGAGAGTCTTTGTGGTCGGACAATCTCATGCCCCTCAGAAACCCCGGCGGCACCTCCAACAAGCCATCACCACTGACGCCAAAATCAATGATTCGTGCGAGTCCATTGGCGGCTTTCTTCGTCTTGGACGATCGCCTCCTTTCATCCTCGTCCCCCAGACTTGCCTGGTCTTCGTAGGCCTGGATCGTATCTACTCCCTCAAGGCCTCCTGGCGTAAAAGGAAAAAAGCCAGCCGACCCCCGCACGAACTCGGCTCGAGTGGCTGGTCGACGAAGAAGCGACATAGAGTTCTTGGCCGTGGCACCGGTCGCGGGCACCGTGACCTGGTGGTAGCCAGCAACCTTGCCTTCCAGACCTTGGCGGTCGAAGCGCGTAACAGTCCGGGTCTGTGGTGGCGCCAACTGACAGAGCTCGGCGTAATTGGTCGAGGGCCAATCACACCGTTGTTGCACCTTATTCAGCCATGCAGGGGTCAGAGCGGTCGGCGCTGACACGACTTGGTTTTCCAACTCATTTTTGATCTGTTCCACGGCGGACCCCATGGCGTGCCGCACGGTACCCCAAGGCCCAGAGAACTCTGGATGCAGCGCCGACGTGGAAGAATGCGAATGTCGCTCCGGTTCCAGGGAAGGAGGAAGGGATCAGTGTGAAGAATTGATTGTGAAGGAATGTGGTAATGGCTCTACGCAGTACTGTAGTCGGCCTAGTGCTAAAGGTGTGAACGTGACCAGGAGAAAATAAAAGTGGAAATTCGATTGTGCTCGTCTGGCTCTCGCCCGCGTCCTAGCCGTCTCCTAGCTGGCCGCCTTGCATCGTAGCGTGCATTAGCGTTGTTTCAAGGCTCCACTTGCGACTTGTGATTGGCTCTCGTGTCGAGGTCTAGTGGCTCCTGAGTGGCTCAGATCTCGCTTCTTACTGGCTCAATAATATTTTGTGTTCCGGGACTGGTCCGTCATTGTCCTGTTGAAATTTCCCAAGCGTTGCACAAAGCCTCAGGAGCCAATCGTTTCGCTGTATTTCACCGCGCTCGAGGCAGCTTGAAGGCTTGATTTAGCGGCTCCGCTAGGCCCATCTGGCTCCATATTTCTTCCAGCCACCCCTCTTTAATTGAGGCCGGCCCAAAGGTTACCGAAGGGTTGTCTGCACTAAGGTGAGACCCGGAATCCGTGCTGGTCACCATGTCAATCGTCCTCGCCTAGTGCAACCCCAGCTTGATCTTGCCCTCCTGGCTATCCATCCCACCCTAAGAAAAAAAAAACCACCACCCGAATCTCAGCTGCGTTGGTAGCTCGACTCCGTGCCCTTCAACTACACTCATATCGACGTTAGATTATGAGAGCACGACGGTGCGGGAGAGCGCGAAAGGCAAGAGGTCGGACATTTATTATCCCACAAAACCAGGAGGGCTGTGGTTCGGCGTAATGAACAGGAGCGGCAGTTGATCCCAGTCAGTCTTGGTTACCGGACACCGCCACTTTTCGACCTTTATAAGGTCTGAGTCCCAACGACAACTCTCCCAAGCCAGCTGTGTCGCAGCATAGGACATGGGGGCTGGCCGGACGACAATACAGCAGCAGGCCTTGGAGGTGGCGCCCACGATTCAATATATACACCGCCAGCCCGGGGGAGGGCGCTTCACTTTCACCGACGTCAAGTTTTGGCCGTACTCGCAGTCATCAACATGCGACGAGCCCGTCTTTGCGGTGCTGGGCCAGACAGAGGTCATCATTGGTCGTGTGTCGGCCCATCCTCGCCGGCCCGTCACCATCCTGCACCATCTGACCAATTTGTTCGTAGAAGCTCGCGTCCGCAGCAGTACGAATCGTGCGTATCGGACGCAGGGGATGAATTCTTGCGCGTGGGCGTATATATATCCACAGAGGCCCTTACTGATAGTTGCAGGCGCAGCAGGGCTAGTGGAGGTGATTGATGCCGTCGAGGGAAAGGTCTGCGAGACGCACATCGGCCATGAATGGGCAACTATCCATGATGTCGCCGTGCATCCTCTCTACCCGTGGATCTTCGCCACCGCCTCTCAGGATTCCCATATCCGGATCTGGGATCTCCGGCAATGCTTGAGACCTCACGCTACTCATGTCATCATCCTGGGTGCACCAGCAAGCGGCCACGAGAGAGATGTGCTCCTTCCGGAGCGGGACTCGCAGCCGGAACTGAAAAGGGCCTTCTGCGTGAGCAAAGCCGAGCTCGAGGAGAAGCAGAAGAGAGGCGTGCTATCAGCGTCGTGGCACCACACTGGCCGGTATTTGGTGACGTCGGGCTTCGACTGCCAGGTGTGCGTGTGGACTATCCCGGACCTCCATGATGGATCCCCCTTCTGGCGGTCAATCGACCCGGAGCGCAATCGACGGAACTGGTTTGATACAAAGGTCATCCGGCACCCTCATTTTATTACCAAAGCCCCGCATTCCAATTACGTTGAATGTGTACGGTTCTTTGGCGATTTAGTGGTGTCCACGGCTGCCCTCGAGGACACGATTGTGGTCTGGAGGATAACCGGGTTCGACTCGAAGAGGCGTCCACCGCCGCGATGGACAGCCCCAATGACGGAGAGCTGGCTGGAGACACGCAACGCCTTCATGCGGACCGTGGTCACCAACAAGAACGGTTCGAGGAGGCTGGTGGTCGCGAGCGAGTTCCAGAATAGGGCTCCCTATGAGAGAGTCATAGAGCTGGCCGCCCCGCTCGGCGACAGTGGCTATCAACGGTTTGGCTTGCTGCTGCCCTCGCGAGCGCACCCAAGGCTACATCCCATGCTAGCGTATGGCAATGCCGCCTCTGAAGTGTGTTTCTGGGGGCTTGACGGCGGCCTGACGCGACACACGGTCAGAGTGGACGAAAGAGAAACGGTCTCCAGGGGGACCAAGAGAAAGAGGCCAGAAGCTGAATCCCTCCCACCTCAAGACGACTTCCCTCGAAAGCGTCTGACTCCTGACCCTCCGTCTTTCAGGCTCCTGCGAGAAACTCCAGAGGTCATCTTCGAAGACGTGAGCTCCAACAGAGAGCACGCCAAATTCACACCACGCTGCGTAGAGTTCAACAAGGAGCACCTCGACGCCCAGCAAGGCTCGATACAGACTACGAAAGATATCGTAAAAACTAAGGCAGTTGCGACAGAGATCCGGAAAACCCCTGCACACGTTAATCAATCCCGGGTAGACGTCACGACTGTCTTTGTTGAGTGCAAGACAACCTCAGCAGAGGTGAAAAAAGGGGCAGTCGACGTTAACAGCAACAACCACAACAACAGCGGGCTAGGATTTCATGCACAACCGATCCCTGCGGCTTCTTCAGCGCTTGACGAACTCTCGACTGAGTTCCCCAGCGCGAATCCTGTGTGGCTCGAAGCACTTCTCGCCGCTAGAAAATGGGCGTCCAAACAACCCATAATCAATGAGTGGGTTGGCACAGTCAGGCCCTATAGCCAGCCCACGGATACTGAAAAGTACCAAAATCCTCATTATCTCTATGAGCATCAAGCTCACTATAAACCATCGAGTCCAGCCGTTGTCTGGGAGATGGCATCCGATCCCTCCGCTGCTGATGCAACGCTTCATGAAAGGCCGACTTGTTCAGACCCGAAAGGTTTCCTCGAACACTCCCTCAACCTCCCGCCTATAGAATACGAAGATCATACCTCGTCTGATTTGACTTGCAATAAGAGGACTGAGTCACAACCAGACAGCAGAACACAGTCCCCAGCAGCCCGTGTTGGAAAACTGACGCGGTCAAAAGCAGCAGCCCAGCAGGGGCTGGCGGCATCTTCATATACGTTAGCGCCGCCTTGTAAAGCTGTCGTTGAGATACCGGCTCGGCCAAAACCAGCCGCGACTCAGTTATCTCTAAAGACCATCCCAGGTGGGAGCAAATCGCCCTGGTCCGAGACCGACGGTCATCGACCGTCGCAGGACACCCGGCCCGCCAAACGACGTACAACTTCTGACAGAGGATCGACTCAGGTAAACCTCATTGCCTGTCATTCTCCAACATTCTCACGTTTCGACGGCGGTACCATTGCCGTTGAAATACCCTCCCCTGCTAAACAGCAAGTTGAATCCTCAAACTCTACGTTATTGCCCACCCCTCCCCCTTCCGTGTCTCCAGAGGCGGCAGATATCACGGGAGCAGATGCAAAGCATGCCTGGAAATCGACACCTCCGACTCTACTTACTCCATCCCCATCTCCAGGATCTTCTCCAGAGGTTGATGATTTGAACGGCAACGAATGTTCTGCTGGAAAGCGAGCTTACTCGCGACCACCCACACCTTCTCCTTCCGTATCTCCCGAGCCTGTAGATACCGTCCAGGATGTAGACTATGGTTCGACACCATTCATCCGTTCCCCGTTGGTGTCTCCAGATCCAGAATGGTCTCAGAGCCTGATCCCAGGTCCTAAGGAATATCCCGACAATTTGGAGGTCGATGGTGAGCGAGGATTTGACGACACTATGGACTTTGAGTCGGAGCAGTCTACTGGTTCGGACACTGAGGGTTCGACTTCCAACCCCTCGGAGACTGAACAAAATCGATCCGTCAGCCCAGAGTCAGCGGAAGAGTCTCCTGATTATGCAGCTGTCGACTGGGATCTTTTCGAAATGCAACACGTTGACCAAGAGCCTTCTGACCTGGCAGACATCCACGAGGATCCTCTCGTCGCCAGGATGCTAGAACCATTCGCTGATACCGCTCGACAAGACGTCCACGGCGAGCCTCTTGACACGCATACAGTATCCAAAATGGCGACGTCAAGCTTGGAGCCAACCACCCATGACTTTGACAGACTTGTAGACCTAGAAGAGGTTGGCTTTCCGTCCGCGGACGATGTAGAGGACCCGATTGTTCCTGTCAAGGCAGACGCAAAGGTTTTGCTCCCTCAGCTGCAGTACAAGGACGAAACTCCATTTCGGACGCGAGCAGCCGGTTGGAGCATATGTGGAAGGTGGTGCATAGTGGCTGGAGAATCTGCCACCGACCCCACTGATGGCTGGGGTGGCTTTGCCTTGCTACACCGTCAACGTCTGCTGGACAAGGATGAAACGACCTACGTGGGTAAACAGCTTGAACGTGCACTCGACAAGATTGGAGCCATCCTCGGCGCACTTGCTGACCGCGAGGAAGCTGAGGCGATGTGCAAAGAGTTCCAAGCCATTTGCGAAGACCTCAAGGATCGCCATCGTTATCGTTTTGGCAAGAGAAAACTTCACGGTTGGATGAGAAACCTTCATCGTCTTCACCCGACAGTCCTCGATGAGTCGGGGGCCAGACAGGAAGACCTCGACGAGCTGTTCAAAAGGGACCTCAGGGACGACTTCAAAGAGGACATGGAAGATGACTCCGGAGAAGACTCTTCGGGGGACTCCAGAGAAACCCTCGAAGAGGGCTTCACAGATGACAGCAGAAGGCTTAAAGAGTTGATACATCATGTATCCGTACACGACGACGAGTCCATGGCAGATGAGGATAGCCCAGCACCTATTGACGATGACGAGTCCATGGACGACGACAACGACAACGACAACGCAGTAGTAGTGTACGACGCTCCATACCGTCAAGAAGATGTAGAAGACCACAACGACGATGGCGGAGTGGTAGAGCTAATCCCCTCGAATCGTAAAGAAGAAGCAGAAGAAGAGGAGGAGGATGTCGATGAGATATTGTGGGACGCCGAGCTCTCGTCCGAAGACGAAGAATCTGCCTCTGGTTCTGAAGACGAGAACGAGGACGAGGACGAGGACGAAGGCGACGACGGAGACGAAGATGATGATGATGACGACGACGACGAAGACGAATCCGAGTCGCACGCCGCTGCGTCCGACACCGAACCACCCGAACAAGAAGAAGAAGAAGAGGACGAAGAGGACGAAGAGGACTCGGGGGAAGAGTTCTATCCGGAGACTAGGCCTGGGTATCCTCGACACCCGCTTCAGTTAAGGGCCAGTGCTTCTCCTACTGCAAGATTTAAATGATGCCGCTCCACACGGTGTCCTTTGAACCTGTGTATCATCGCCTTGATTTTTGAGGGAGCGCTAAGAATGTATTATAGCTATACCTGTATATTGTGTTAGATGACCCGTAACGTCGAAATGTCACTGACTTGATGAAGAGCTTTGAGCCATGCTGGATCGAGTAGACTTCCCTCGTGGTATGAGCCGAGTCAATCAGCTAGCCCAAAAGGCACAAGCGTAGATCCTTGTGGACCACTAGTATATTCTGGGTTAGCCCACATTCCATTAGCGTTACCTAGGTCGGCTTAGTGTGCTTGGCACTGGGCGCGTCAGACAATAGAAAGCACAACGTTTCCTGGCCTCGCTCCTTGGATCCTCCGCATTCTGCAAACCCTCCCACGCGAACCCTACAGATACGAAAGCCCACACCGCGCAACTCGCTTCGCCTTAGCTCGCCACGAGCTGCAAACCGACCGCCATTGATTGCTCACACGTCGATTTCCCATTCTTCCCAATCGTCCGCCCTAGGCCACGTTCGCGTTTCATAAGCCGTAGCAGGAGGCTCCGACCCCTCCTCGCCATTGTGATCCAAACGCGCAGCGCATGCGACACACCTACCTCATGATTGTCCTGCGATACACTCGAACATGATGAATGACGACGCTCACCCCCCGTCGGCGCAGTCGGTGCAAACTCAAAAGTTCCTGCGCTACAGATCTGTCCGCCAGTCCGCTGTGAGAGACCCTGCGCCGACGCACGATCCTGCTCCTCCCTTGCCGCAGACGTCACAGGCCTCGTTGACGCGTCTCCCTTCAAGATACCACCGGCGACCGCCGGCGATTCAGAGTGCGCTACTCCCGAACGAACCGCCCCTACCTACGACCCTCCACACCGCGACGGTCTCGAGGCCCCGAGGCCAGACGTTCAATGGCGCAACTGAACAACAGTATGGACAGGACACACGGGTAGAAGACGGTGCGCGCCGCATGGTTATTCAACACAGTGACTTGCGACCGACGACGAGGCCGACCACCAGCAAGAGCACGCCGCGCAAGCAGACGTTGACCTCTAGTTTCACAGAGCCTTCGCCGGAGCAGCTGCGCAGTTCTCTCGAGATTGCGCGCGAAGAGGCGCGTTTGCTGTTGGAAGGGGAACAGGACCGAGTCAGGGCACTGCGGCGACAGCAAGAGCGGGAAAAGCGCCGGAGGCATGAAGAAAAGTTGGCACAAGAAGCGCGTCAACGAGAAGCCGAGGAAACCGAGGAAGCTGCACGAGAAGAAGCCAGGAAGAGATCGGAGCGGACCCCATCGGAAGACGCTCAGTGGCGTGGGCGAGACGTTGATGAACAACATGCAGCTATCGCCCCCCCAACCTCAGCGGATGCTATTGACTCGAACAAGTCGAGAACGCGGACGATGATCATCGGCGGGCAGCCCCCTCCCAGTAAAGAGGATAAACGTGCACATCACCGCCGTGCGTCCTCGGCGATTGAGCAACTGCGACAGAAGCCCAAGCAGAGCCATACCAGAACCAGCAGCACTGGTAAGAACGACGCAAAGCCCACCAACGAAGCAGGGATCCCGAAACCCAACTTCGATGCCCCAGTATCGGCGGTAAATGCTGGGGAACGAAGGGTCAGCGTCAAATGTAAGGAAGCGTTCATTACTCTCCCTGTTACACCCTCCACAACATCCAAGGATATCCTGAATTCGGCCTCCGTCTGCATGTCCAAGCCGATTGACCCTCGAACCGCCGTCCTGCTGGAGTCCTTCTCGCAGCTGGGGCTCGAGCGACCACTCCGGCGGTATGAGCGGATCCGTGACGTGATGAACTCCTGGGACAAGGACACACAAAACCATCTTTTCATCATGACCGAAGGCGAATGTGCAGCGCCGGGCCTGCAAATCGCCGACGCTCCCAGCCAGCAACCTTCCGGGACTGTCGTCCACATCTACCATTCGCAGAAGCCCGGAAAATGGGACAAACGCTGGCTGAGACTCCGCGAGGACGGCCAAATCACCACGTCCAAGAACGAAAATGGCATCGATGCCACCAACATCTGCCACCTGTCCGACTTCGACCTGTACACGCCCACAGCGCGACAAGTCAAGAAGCTCAAGCCGCCCAAGAAGCTGTGCTTCGCCTTGAAGAGTCAGGAGAAATCGGCCATGTTTCTGGATGGGGCCAATTTCGCTCACTTCTTCTGCACCAAGGACAAGACGGTCGCCGACACATGGTACCGCGCCGTACACTCGTGGCGGAGCTGGTATCTCGTCAACATGCTTGGTGCGGGACAACCAAAACCGACGGATACGGCCGAGACGCTCAGGCAAGAAAGCAGACCCGGGACCCGGGGGTCCAAGGAATCCCTACCTTATGTGCTTGGGTCGTTCAAGCCGCTGCTGGATTTCAGCACCGCTCTCGAGGCAAACAACCGCAAGCCCGAAGCCCCCGATAGCGGCACACATCATCATCGGGCGTCCCAATCCGCGGTCGACGACCAGAGGCCGTTGATCGATTTCGTGCCGGAGCGACCGAGCATCGATGAGAAGGCGGGCAGCCCAAAATTGTTCACGTCGCGGCTGGCGCCAGCTGCTGCTCCGCCACCCACGTCGTTTCCGCGAAAGTTTATGATCGAGTCGGCAACGACGACGACGAACAACGGTGGTCACGCCGCCGCCGATGACACCTCCAAGGACGGTCCGTTCACGGGGACAGGCCTCCTCGCTCGCAGCGCCAGTCGCCGATCTCAGGACAGCCATGGTCAGCGATCCGGTCGCGGAGGCGCCCCAGGCAAGCCGTTGGTGGACCTCACACCCACGAGCGAGTTCACCGACGGCAGTCTGCTCCGGAAGATGGAGGCAATGGCCCCTCCCACACAGGGCGTGCTGGAACCGAAGATCGACCGGCAGAAGAGGCGCGAGGTCGACGTCGCGGTCGGCGAAGGGTTCTAATTGCCACAAGCAATAGGCTGGCTCCTGGCGGGCCAGGCAGAAGGAGGACGGGAGACACGTCACAGTGAGAGGATATAGGGCAATCTGCCATTACGGCTAATAATGACCGGACAGCATGAGAGTATTATAATGTGGCTGAACGACTTCTATGAATGGGGAGCTGATCGTGTCATGTGTCTCTGTATACAATGTATATCTACATCGTTTCTCACGAAGTCTGTCCCACTTGCTTCCCTTCTCATACGCCTCGAGATGTTGGAAGGTGTTTTAAAAGGGCGAATATGGCAGTGAGAGCCAATTCACGGAATATCCACCTGGAAGACAGAAGTCCAGTCCAGCCTGGGTCCTGTGGCTCCTTCGTCTTTTGTTCGATGTAACTCATATTGAAACAAATCCTTGATCCATACATGGGTATCCGGCTCATTGTCGGCTTCAAGAGAGGCTCTGTTCGCTGTTAGGGACAGGTCCAAGGAGGTGTTGTATCGGTACAGAGTCAGAGTTCCTGCGGTCTTTAGCCCACCAGCCCTAACGCAGCCCACTTCCTTCACCCAAATTCCTACCCATCGAACGATTTTGACACAGCAACCGAGCAGGAAATCAGGTCTGAAGGCCATACACATTGTGATAGGGCTGTCTCAACCCAGACGTTTTGACGGAGGCTGTGGTCAATTGACCCTCGTTGCTCCTGCGAAAGATGCCTAGTGATTCATAAGGAATCAAGCTGATTTAGTCTTGACAGCACGGTACAGCAATGCACTGCCATCTCTGACACGGCGCAGCCTAATGGCACGAGGCACGATGCATGACGCCCGCCTGCACAGAGCCTCGTATCGTCCTGCGAATCCTCCCAGGCATCCTTCTGGGATGCACAATGCCGTGTGCAGCCGTGCATACACCCGCATAGTCACTATGGCTGACCCCTCCCCCCCCTCCGCCTGCGAAGCCCGCACCACCGCCGTACAACTCTTAGCTGAGGCTGCCGCCACACGATCGATGAACCCCATCACCGCCCGCCTATGCAAGAAATTCCACGAGGGGAGGCTCGCTGGACAAGAACAGGGTGTTTGAAGAGTACGCCCAGGGCATCACAGCCGCGAACGAGGATTTGGAGGGTCACACTGAGCGGCTCAGAAGACGACCACGCCCGTCCCGTCGTCTGACCCAGCTCCAGAAGAACGTGGATGACTCCTTTGCGACAGCAGCTGAGGCTCAGAAAGGTGCTGAAGCCGCTGCAACTTTCCAAGAGTCAGGGGAACACACAGACTGGCAGTGCTTTCCGACAAACAACTCTAAAGGCCATCTGCAAGAGAGGCACCATCGAAAGGGCTGCGGCAGAAGCAGGGACTGCAGTAGATGTGGCGTTACGTTCAGCCTTTCTGAATCTCGTTGGGGGTTGGCATCCATTTCTGTTCCCTGTGCTGCGCATGGTTCGATCGAAACGAGGGTCTTTCATTTGGATCCTCTGTGCGATCTGAAATTCTGGAGCCGGTGGCTTGCCTTGTCCTCACGACTCATAGCCCCTGTTCTGACTACTACAATCTAGTACCGAAGCTGGTCAGGGCGACCTAACGCAAAAAAGCGAATTCAACGTCTTGTCCGAGGGCCAGTCGAGAGAGCACACACCCAAGTCTTGGATAGGTTAGAGTTGATGTCAAAGGAGCATCACAACGTCTCTCACGGCTTCGAAAACAGTTTTGACCCTCCGTCTCACCAACCACAAAGCATAGGCATGGTCTCAACAGACATACCAGCTCCTGTTACCAGTGCCGAAGCTATACAACCTGACTGATGCACTGCTTCGACGATGACGGCTCCCTTCTCGAGGATATGGCCCATCTCCAACTTGTGCAGAAAAAGTATCTGGAGGATCACGCTCTGCATGCTCTATGAAGCCGCCGGCTCGACGCAACATGGTTGAAGGGGGCGACGTCGGCTCCAGCAGCACCTACGGCGGGATAATCAATTCACCAGATGAGGAAGTGGCCTTGCTCCACAACCGTACTCATCCATTCATCCAGTGGATTCGGACCAAGTTCGAGGTCCTTCTGGGTCAGTGGTATGTCTGGCAGTGGGAAGAGTAGCCTTATGGACTTTGTCTATCAGAATCTTCAGTCTGGAGGCCACCAAGGCTTTGCCCATTTTGCAGGGCCTAGGCGAACCAAAAGCCCACCCGTCTGAAGTTCTAGGGTCTCAGAAGGGCCACGAGTGTTTTGTTCAAATCTCTCCAGGGATTCTGGGCGTTACTCTGCTTTCAGATCCTCGTCCAGGTCGAGGATCTCCTGGAAAGGAATTGGGGCTGAGCTTGATCATGCTGCACCTGCCAGCCTGCGGGCCTGACTTGTCAAACCGGGCTCCCACGCTCAGTTTAGAATTCTACTCTCCTCCTCTCCCCCTCCTCCCTTCCACCCACACGCTGTAGGGATTTTCTTTACCCTTCGGCCCACTGCTTTCCCGTCTCATCTCGTCTCCCCTCGTTGGTTGATCATCACTTCTCTGGACAATTTTATCCCTATCTGCGCCCGTTTCGGGATACATCGCATTTACACACGGGAGGTTGGTTGATTGGTTAGTTGGTTGGCTAGGCAGCTAATGCTGAAAAATTCGTAGAAACTCTGCCCTTATCGTCAGTCGATCGGACGAGAAAGTCGATTTTTTGGGCATTTGGTGATGTCTCCTGCTTGTGCAAGTCCAAAGAAAGCACCAGTGGTGCAGGAAATTCCATCTCATGCATGACGGCCCGCAGTCTGCGAAGGAGATGCCGCTGATGGTGCAGAGTTGGGAGGTTCCCCGTTCATGGAGAGCATCCAGCCCATTTCTTACAAGAGCCGAACAATATCATACAAGACGTGCCTGCCCCTGCCACGATCTCAATTCGAATAATGGCAGCATTCCGCTGCAAAATGGCTATATTGTCAGCTTTGTGACCTTCCAAGGCGAGAAACTCCGAACATTCAAACAAGACCCTGGGGGCTGGCGAGAATGGTTCAATGGGCGCATGCAACTCTCACGAATTCACTGTCGTTGTGGTACTGTGGCTTAGTGGACGCTCGAGCAATTTTGTGGTTGATAGGCGGCCAGATCGATCGTTTTGCTCGACTCAGTTAACCGGCTTCAGAGTTCTAAGATCACGACAGACAGATGGAGATAGGAAGGTTCTTGCTCACAGTAAAGATGTGGATCCGTCATGGCCGACAGTCGACGCTTCATGACTCATGTTTCGATGGTCATCACTGGCGAGGTCGGCATTGCCATGAAGCTCGCCTCCAGAATATCTCGATGCCGGTCAACAATCAACAACGATCCCATCCTCGGTAAGACTGGAGCACAAGAAATCGCTACCACGATGACCTCACGCCCCTCGTATCGACGACCCCTAGTCAATGACAGGCAGGCCACTCCGCATACAGGCAATGGTTGAGACGATAGCGACACCATGTCTTTGCCCTTTCGTTCCTGGGTCTATATACCGTTGGAGTTCCCAACGCGGTGGTTTCTTCGAACATTTTGACGCCAATGTCATCTATTACTCGACGGCTCAAGCTGATCAGGAGGAAGATCACGTAATCAGAAGCTCTCAACGGTGATGAGAACATCCTCCATATATTGTCATACCCAGGGAGACGCATCGAGTTAATCATGCTGATTGGGGAAAATGAGGATGAGATTCTTCGCCTTGTTGCTCAGCATCCCAATGTCAAAACGGATGCCTGCCAGTTCTCAGGCACCGCCAAATGGGGAAATGGAAGTTTCAGTTCCTGCATCCCCTATTCATGTCAATCTTAATGGGCACCGGCGCGTTACATTTCGCGTACCTCTCCTGTGCAAAAGTGGAGAGGACCTCTGTCCTGGAAACGCAATGAGAAAATCCGATATGAAGCGGCTACTTATCAGCAACAGCGCCCAGATGTCTCCATCTCCATGCTCTTCGGCTTTGTCCTCTCTGCCGGCATGAGTGTAAGTCTGATCCCTCTGTATAGGCCCTCCCGAATCAGGTGTAAAATGAAACAATCCACCGCTGTTAAGAAGACTTCCTTCTGGTGCCGAATTCGACACTGGCTCTTGAGTCGACTTCGCACATTCGTCGGATATCCACCACCTTCGCCTATTGTCCCGACAATCAGGCGTCTGCCCTTCCCATATATTTTCTTCTCCTGCAGTACGCAGAGGATGGAAAGTTAATCTCTGAAATATTTGATTCTCACATGCACGATCCATCACGACGACGGAACCTATTCAAAGATCTATCTCGTCTCATGATCTCGTTGGCGAAGATCTCTCAACCTCGAACTAGCTCTTTCACCATCGACAACAAGGGGTTTGTGTCACTCTCGAACCACCGTTTCACCATCCAGCCTCAAGATATGGAAAATCAAGGCATTTCAACTGATATTCCCCGTCTCTGGACTTACGAATGCATGGAAATTTTACGTCCTGGATCTTCTGGCCCACCATGACAGCCGCCTTCGCTATCAGCCAGACTCCATCCATAGAGGATGAAGGTGGTGGGAGGAGACAGATGTCTGTGATAGGGTTCAGGAGTTCTATTATGTCGCAGTTTATCAACTCCAAGATCAAACCCGGCCCATTTTTCCTTGGTCTGACCGACCTTCATGCCAGCAACATCTTCGTCAACGAACACTGGCAGGCAACGTCGCTCATAGACTTGGAATGGGCTTGTAGACACCGGGCGAAAATGCTGGTGGCCCCATAGTAGTTGATTGGTCAGTTCGTGGATGGCCCAGAAGGAGCTCATCTTGAGACATTCTACCAAGTCCGTGAAAATGGTTCATGACCGAGTTCTAGTAGCAGGAGAGGCTTCTCACGTCAGAGGTTAGTCGAATTGTCCTCATGGATGGGAACCGAGAACGTGGATTATTCCGGTTTTTCCATGCGCTCGAAAGTACGAAGGGGTTATACAACCTCTTCCATGAGCACATCATGCCTCGATTCTCGAAGGATACAGAGCTCCCTGATATTCCACGATATTAGAGTCATGACACGAGCAAGATTATCTGTGCGAAGCTGGAGGAGAGAGAAGGTTATCTCGAACAGTTGAAGTTAGCAGCATTAGTCGCAGACTCGGATTCAGATTGAGGCGTAGGCGCAGTCACAGAGGGTGTACTTGCGAATCACCGTGGATAGAAGGTGTTCACTTTCTATTTCTTGCAACCTGAGCGACCGCTCCAGACGAAGATAGCTGTTGCAACGTCCTCAGGTCGATTTGTTGAGTCATGATCGTGGCCTCCTGGTCCTTTCCTTCTCTGGCCTCGTCCGTGCCCTCCAGGGTCTCCAGGGTCTCCTTGCCGGACCGGGGCTCCTCGTACGTAATCAATTCCTTCCTGCCCATGGTATTGTTAACCTCAACGAACGTCAGTTATGACCATCATATAGAAGGAGGCTCATTCGCAACCTTGGCTGTGGCGGTGGAGTATGTTGGCTGCGACTCCTTGTCTGTGATGAATTCTTTCTTGTCCATGATTGAGGTAATCTCGAAGACTGTTAGCCATAAACACCACGTAGGAGGAGGATAAGTCGCAACACTGGCTGCTACTGTGGAGGACGCTGGCTGCGGTAGAAAAGGCCGTTGGCCGCAATTGGGGAGGAACTTCGGCTGCAGTGAGGAAGGACGTTGGCTGTAGCAGTGGAGGATTTGTCGACTGCCCTATATCGAGGAAAGTCAGCTCAGCACAAGACGTGGATCCTCACCCAACATAAATGCTTCTGCAAATATAAGTATTCACCTCTTTGCATACCGATCTCAGCCGGTGAGGTCAGGCACAGCCATAACGATTGAGGCACCCACACTCCTCGAACGGCTGCTGCGGCCGCCAAGGATCTGCCTGCTGCCCCTTTGCTACGGAGTAATTACAGCTCTTCATCCCCTGTACCGCCGACATCTCACCAACTCTCGTTGACCAGGCGCCAAGATGTACCACCCAAGGACAGCTCAACCCATGATTTTCGATCCAAGAGACTTGTTGAGCTATAACTAGTACCATATTATACGTCTAGTTTAGCACTATCCAACGGTGCTAAGTCTATAAGTGCGATGCTGGCCGGTTGAGATTTTGATGGGGCGGGAGAGAGGTTCAGCGAATGAGATTCGGAGAATCCAGCTTGGCACTGAGACACCAACTGAATGTGGTACAATGATTATGGTTACACAGGGAAGGCAGGTAACACAGACTGTTCTTTCCCAACTGCTCCTCCCAGGCCATCATGTCACATGGATCCTGTTTGAGTCACACCTGAACCCGCCCAATCTTTCCAGCCATGAATTCCCCTGCGCACGTCGGCCCCTTCTGACCAGCAACGATGCAGGCGAGTCGACGCTTCGGTGACGGAGAGATCTCCCATGAAGAGGCTGAAGACAAAGAAGAAGTCAGCGTTCTGCACAGGCTCAGCTACTTCCCACGAGTGCCCGAATTTTACAATTTTCTGTGACGGCGCAAGAGTCTCCTCGAGGAGCGCATCGCCTACCACCCTGGACTTGAGGGCTCACTTTTTTTCCCCCTTGTCACGTCGACGGCTCGAATTCTTGACGCAGAGAAACGCTTCAGTTTCTGCGGGCAGGTCTCTATCGACAGATCTCCGCGGGCCCTCATGCGCTTCGGGCTACCTCAACCGCATGGGAGACCAATTTCGGCCTGGAAATGCAGACGACTGGCTTTGTTGTAAAGCTGGGACGTATGGCTGGCTACGACGAGATTGTTCTGACGCACCAATCTTCCAGCTCTATGGATTTTCCCGGATTTTCTCTGTCGTCGGGACAATGTGTAAGCAGCCTAAACCGCCGCTTTCATCCCTGCTAACGGTGTAGTTCATCACTATCGATTACCTCTCTCCTATCCGGCGCATTCTGTCCCTCCTTCGAGGTATACTTCCTCCAATCCAACGATAACCTATTCCGTCGTCTCTCGTTCGTCATGCATATCCTGTCCCATCGGCGCTGGGATCATACCTACTTCTGGAATACACTCAAGAGCGAGAGGTTCTCTGGGATAACTTCAACGAGCGTTACGACGATAAGACGTTGCGAGCCAATCTATTCCTCAGTATCTTGTTGGCTGTTCTCATACACTCTCGTACACTTCTCCCTGGGATCGGATCGTTTGTTGTGGATGGCAATGGCTGTTTATGCCTCACAAATAGACCCCTGGCTATGCAGATCCACGATGCGTTGGAAAATGGATATTCCAAGAGATCAAAACTACATACAGTCGACTCGTATGTATGTCAATGCACTACTCTCAAACCGCAATGCTCGTCTTAGGCATGAAAGAAACGCAGTGAACGATGAAGCGGATTGCACAGGTCAAATTTGCGCCCTCTCCATTGCACCGTCTCCGACATCTCAGTTCTTCGACTGGAAGTTCAATGCTGGACCATTCTTCTTTCGTTCCACCCACCATCACCAAAGCAATATGCTAATGGACGTGGCTTGGATGGACTCTTCGTTGTCTCATTGATTTGAGACAGTCATCATCGCTCCTCCCTGGAATTCGCGCGACCCCTTTCTTGGCTTACGGTGCAAGCGGCTGATATCCTCGATCCTGAGAAATACAACGTCTATCGAGACGCGTTTGGGGAGATCCTTCCAGACGAACACCTGGAGATGTATCCTGCCCGGAACCCTCTCCATTCGATCATTATGCATCAGGGGTGGTATCAAGGGACATTCTTGTCTACTCCTGCCCTGGAAAGGTTAAGCTGCTCGAACGAGCGCTTCCACAAAGGATTCCGGTGAATCTTCTCGACCAGCCACGAATCTAACGGTCAGTTCTACCTGATTACTTGTCAGTATTGGTCGCAAACATCACAAGAGTTCGCCAGCCCGGAAGTCCAAGAGAAGCAGAAGTATGACGACGACCTCAAAAATGCGTTCGAAAGCAAACTATCAGATGGTTTCTCTTCGGCCTTGGTGCATGCTCGATGGTCAGCACTCTTTTCCCGTTTGAGCACTCCATTCTCCTTTGCGCTTCGCACTGCCGTCCCAACGGCATCTTGCAGTCTCTGTATGCTCTTCTGTTGAGCAGCTGGTCCTGGAAGAGACAAGTTGGTATCCCGTTACGAGATCGACCGTGATTGACCCTTCGAAAAAAGGATCAGTGTAATGCTCAGGAGACACGATTCCCTCGCTACTCGGGGCACTTGGTTTCGCAAACGCACTGAGGCAGGTTCCCACGCACCAGCGGCGTGTTAACCTTGGCACAAGAGACCTGCTCAGATGTCTTTCGAACCCTGCCGTTGCTGCATGCTTTCATCTGATATCTCTCCTCTAATAATGCAAAAGTGAGGAAGAGGATAGAAAAGGGGAGAGTGGGCACAAGAGAACCAGATAGTCTCCTCAAGCAAGTAGTCTGGGAAAACCAGCCTGTATAATTCGGAATGTACTAGGATGTCTGAAAACTCTGTCTGGAACAATTCCTGCTAGGTCTTTTACATAGCGGTCAGTTCAGCATTGTGTACCCAAGGCCCAAATTCCCCTCTGTACGCACGCCCAAATGGATGAAGTGTTCCTCGCGTTGTCATAAAGCTGGAAGTAGCTCTTGTTCAAGGCACGGTGGGCTCGTTCGTTCGTTATGTCTTCCGTCGCATACGAATCTCCTCACCACGCCCCAGCATCGTCATCCTCCGCGGTCCAAACACTTTTGCATGCCCCCGGCATGCTGCAGATTCTCTAGAGAGGATACGACCCGCTGGGTATGGCGCTCTTAAACCTCTTCGCCTCTGGGATGGTCGTACGGGGCCAAGCCCAGTACCGATCTTACAGATCAGGGAGCAGATGGCAATGAGTTCGGCTTGTGTCGACTGGATCGAACCGGTGACGCCTCAGATCATCCGATACCGCGTCTCTCCAGAGACCAGCGGGGATTGCTGTTGGATCAGCGTGGTCCCCGCCAGATCGCACAGCGTGAGAACGAGATCCTCGGCGTCGAAAAAGTTGCGGAGATCCTAGGACCATGCTCTCGCAGATAGGATCGTCATTGACCGTTCTGGAGGAACAGGAATCGGATCCCCCGGGGCCGTGACGCCGACGAGGTTCAGGACGCCCTCGTGCGCTCGGCGAGCGCGTGAACACCTCCCGCTCACGGCCGCGACAGAGCGGAGCTATTTCGACTTAGGCAGGCTGGTCGAAAGACTTCACAAAGAAGCGGTCTTCCCCCAACGAACAAAGATTCATTGCCCTTGATGGTGCTCTCGCTTGTCTACAAAGGAGCATTTCAACTAGGATTTCACCTCTAGAGGCGGCGTAGGGCTTCTGTCGTTACAAGTGTCGGTGCCAGGTTGGGGACCAGGGAATGATGTCTCGGGACGGCGACTACTACCACAGCCAGCGACTCTGTTCCATGGCGACGTCGCTACCTACACTGCTTCTTACAGCAATGAGGAGCAGAGAAGGAGGAGCAACGATGGTTGATACGATGACCTTGAAATCTCATGATAGAGGCTCGATAGGATAGTACTCGTACCGGCACTGGCACTGGCAGTGGTAGTTACAGTGGCAGTGGTAGAGCTAGGCGAGTCCGCAAATGAACGACTATGCTGGCTCAATTCACAAAATATGACCAGGGACGAAGAGGTGGAAGATGCACCCAAAAGCCCACTCCGTCGTCCAATTCGACTTGACTGACATAACTGCGTCGTGAACGCCAGATCGACCACGGACATTCCTCTAGCCTCCCTCTTGGGGGTAATTGGCATGGTTCAAGACTCCGGCGACGGGATCGAAGGCGGCTTAGACAGCGACCGGGCGGACCAAGATAGGCACAGGATATGGGCAAGCTGTAAGCAAGGTACTGACCGGTCTCCGCGGAACGTGGCGCCATCCGCCTCTCCAGGGCCCATCATCTATCTCTCCGTCGAGAATCCGCAAGTCAACTTCAGAGAGAGGGTATTGCACAAGCTCGTCCAAAGTCACGGGCTCGCACATGCTACTATGATGGGCTACAAATGCGGTAGTAGCAGCTAGTACAGCCATAACTCTGTACTAGTGTGTCTTCACTCAAGCGGAGGGCAATCACTGGGTTTGATAGAGAACAGGCAACACGACAGGCAGCAGTGATAGATTAGATCAATATTGAGCAGCTTTAATTCATACAGAATAAATAGAGTGCCAGTTGTGCGCCGGAGATCTTCTATTCCTCATCTTTCCTCGTCTCCAAGAGACTGTGGCCACCCAACACGATCTCCAGGTCTTCGCCGATAGCATCTCGTTAATCTCGGAGCCGGGCAGGATATTCAGACAAGATAATGCACCTATTCACAGTAACAAAAATGTCACGGAGTGGCTTAATGACCATGGAATAAGTGTAATGGAAACGGCCACCATTTTCGCCAGATTGGAACCCTATCGACACCCTCGGGTTTGAGCTCAAATGCCTCGTTGACGCGATCGATCCAGAGCTTCGACACACTATACGAGAGTCTCATGAGATACTCGATCGATTTGCTAACGCCATTATAAAAAGCCTGTGCTGGTACCGATAGAAAAAAGATCAAAAATGCCGTGAAGAGTATGGACGAGTGGGTCAACGCTGTTATTCAGGCCAAGATCTGGGCTGGTGTACGCGATTTTGAGCCTTTGAACCTGACGTTTACGTAGTACATATGGGCTACTAAATGAGCTATAGTATAATTATTTACCATACGAATTGAGTGAGAAATCAATACATTGGGGATGGTGGTTGCCAGGACTCAGGTGGTCGGAGTCTTTGAATCCGACTACTGTATATAGCCTGGGCCTGAAAACATGTGCTTGAGTGCTGCAGGAGTCTCTCACATTCCACTGGGATCATTACATACCTTAATACTCTTCATTATTATTGACTGCAACGGTGGGTAAATTCAGCCACGACATCCAGGGTATTCAGGTCAGAAGCTTGAAAAAGACTACATCTCCGCATAAACCCGACTGTCCATCACGAGAAATATCTTGCACTCTCCTCCTCCTCCTCCTCCTCCTCCTCCTCCTCCCTCCTCCTCCTCCTCTTGCCGGAAGCCTCTATTCTTCCCCTTGGAAGAAGTCGATGATGGCCCGGGCACCCTTCGGCCCAAGCCTCGGGGTGGGTAACACAGGAAGAGCGGGTCGTCAAGCGTATTGAATTTGTTCCGGAAGCCAGTCTTCTTGTCCAGGTTGAACTTGGCGGCGAGGGTTTGGTAGAGAGAATCGAGCGTGACTGCTTTTGCGCCGCCGACGTTGTGTTCACTGCTCAGTTTGGCCGTCGCACCCGCACCGAATGTGCACGTCTTGTAGCCCGCCTTCGCCGCGGCCTTGAGCGCGGCCTGCACCGTCAGCTCGATGGCCCCGTTGGTCGCACCAGGGAAGTCCAAGGCCCACTTCACCTGGACGCCCCATCGAGGTGCGAGTTGCGCAAGCACCACCAAGCTGTGAATTTTACCCTGGTCGTCCGTGGCGATGAAATACTGGCGGTGCGACGCGTCCTTGAACGGCGTAATCACACTCAGGTGGACCTGTGCGCCCTCTCGGCTGTCTTGCCACTCCTTGACGCGCTGTTCGATCTGGTGACGTACGTCTTCCGGCACGTCGCTGCCGTATTCAGTCACCTTTACACCTTCCCTCGAGGCGTGCCTGATCTTTCGATCCACGTCGCCGCCGATGGTCAAATGCTCGTTGTTAGCAAGATTGACCCGCTGCTCGGCCACGTTGGTGAAGCTCTTCCACCCCAGCTTGTCGCCCAGAACCTCTTCGACGTCCTTGTCGACTAGGATGAAGAGAGGTTTGAGATGAGTTTCTCGTCGAAGCCACTTCAGAAACGCTGTCACCACATCTTCAAGTTGTTTTGTTTCGCAGAGCGGATTCCCGGCAATGATTGCTCGGCCACGCAAGGGGACGTAGGCGATTGCTGCGCCCGTCTTGTCATCCCGCCAAATCTGGAACCTCTCGTCCATCCAGGAAGTGTTCGTGGCGTCGCCATAGTTGGCCACCAGGTTCTCGAGGGGCTGGAGATATCCCTTGGGACGTTGCAGAGTGCTGTCTTCGGGATGCCGCAGGTTTGGTTCCTTTTTCGCAGGGAAGCTCTTCGGATCGCGCGGAAACAGGGATGCGAAGCGCAAGTTGCCCAGGTCCAAGATAAGAGCGACAAGTCGTTCAAGACCAATACCGGCGCCAGCATGCGGCGGAGCTACCCACTCGAAAGCTTGCACATACTCCTTCAGGTCGTCCGGATCCATGCCTTGAGCTTTCATGCGCTTTTTCAGGAGTGTATGTTCGTGAATTCTTTGTCCACCAGAAAGAATTTCTTGCCCGCGAACCATAAAATCGAAAGAATTTGTGAACACATCGTCGTGGGGATCTGGCATCGTGTAGAATGGACGGGCGGCTGCCGGAAATTTATCGAGAATGTAGTAATCGGTGTGAAATTTCTCCTTGATGAGCTCCCCCAGTCTTCGCTCGGCTCGTGTTGGTAAGTCTTCGTGCTCAGATTGTTGACTTCCATCGTCATTGGTCCAGCCCGACTCATTGAGCAATTTGACGCCTTCTGCAAATGTGACCCTCGGCGTCTCGTCGAGCCAGACCAGGTCATCGTGCGGGAAGCGATGTTTGACGGTATCAATGTCATTCCTATTGCGGTCATAAAGGGTTTTGAAGATCTCCTTGAGTATCGCGTCAATCAGCCACATGGCTTCATGATAATGTCTGTCTATGGCCATTTCCAGGTCCAGACCCGTGAACTCTGTCATGTGGCGAGGAGTGTTCGAATTTTCTGTACAGCAATGTCAGCCGTCTGTTGTCGGCTAAAGAGAACAGGGTGGTTACATACCAGCACGGAATACGGGGCCAATCTCAAAGACACGAGGGAAATCTGCTGAGATGCACATTTGTTTGGCGAGCTGTGGGCTTTGAGCCAGAAAAGCCGGACGGCCAAAGTAGTCGAGTTTGAAGACGTCCGCTCCACCCTCAGTTGCGCCTCCTTGGAGTTTGGGTGTATGGATCTCCAGAAAGCCACGGTCCTCGAGATAACGGCGGAAAGTCCTGCACACGGCAGACTGCACACGGAAAACTGCCTGTACGGATGGTGTTCGGAGGTCGAGTAAGCGGTTCGCCAGCCTGACTCTATCGGATATAGCCTGACCGTCAGTCGCCGCGTCGGCGTCGTATACACTGAACGGCACTGGAGCCGTTCTTGCCGAGAGCAGATGCATCGTTTCAATCTCCAATTCCACGTGCGACACGCTGGTGCTCTTGACCGTCTGTTCGGGCTCTTTGACTTTCGCCCGGACGACCACGATGGAACCTGGTCGCACGTGTTCCACCCACCGAACCATGTTCTCAGAGATACCGCCGTCTTCGGCCCTGAGTACGCCTTGTATCGTGGTGATTTCGGAGCGAAATATCACGAAAGCAAGCTTTGCGCTGATATGTCGGACGGTGTGGATCCGGGCGCGAAAGGTGATTTCCTTGCCGATAAAGCTGGCGTTCACGTCCACGAGCGAAGTCCATTTTGCCGACCAGACGTCAACGTCGACCTCATCTTGAGATTGCACCAGGGGCAAATTGCCATAGCATCTCTTTGCTTCGGGAGGGTCATCGTTGTCCAAGAAGTCATCCGGGCTTTTCATTGCCTGGCCATGCCCTTCGCCTTCCCCCTTTTCCTCGTCCTCGTCCTCCTCGTCGCTGGACCATTGCACTTCCTGTTCGATGATCTGCGCAACGTCATTTTCGGGTCCTCCTCGGCGGTGCTTTTCACTGCGACTCAGGTCGTGCTTGTGTTGAGAGATTTTGTCGCCGAAGTTTGTAAGTGTACTCATGAGTCTAGACATATTTTAGGGGCGGGCTTGAGCACACAGACAGGGAGGGGTTCTGATTCAAAGAGACAAACAGATTCTGGGTTTTGACTGTAGTGTCGCATCACCTTTTTAGCAATTGCCGGATGATCGACCCGGCATGTCACCGTCGATGATGAGAGGCAAGATTTGACGTCATTCTTTCTGCAATCGGCCAGCCTTGTAAGGACTCGCTAAGTAGCAGACCGTTGATGATCTTCAACGGTTGTTTCAGAATCCTCTGACCAAGTGAAAATCAAGTCTTTTTGGCTGTCGGTGCCTGGCCGCCCAAGCGACTTGCTTGGCAGGAATAACGGATGACGAAATTGGATTCATCACGTGCCATTTTTCTTGTCGCCATGAATGTAGAAAAGATCGGCATTGGACAGAACGACACACTGCTCAGTGTGCTAACCACCAGAATTCGCCCAGCGATGCCCAACAGGATGGAATGAGACAACAACAACACAATTCAATGGAAGAAGCCTGACGTAATTTTACCTGAGGACGTTCCAGGCTGTTACAATGGCCAGGTACAGTCGTTTCTGAAACTTGCCTTCGCCCTTCCTGACACATTCATTGTAACCTTTTTTCACTGAACTCGGGCTGGCTTCTTCTCAGCCTGACGCTGGAGACGCAGGAAGATAGAAGCAGAAGGGCTGTTTAGGATTGTCGTCCGAAGAAGAAAAAGGAAAGCTAATTACCTCGGCAAATCCTGACCAATGGGACGTCATCCAGAGTCTTAACTAAGCTTAACTCTGCCTAGCCAATTCCATCCAGCCACAATGGATATTAGTTGACTATCACCACTGCGAACAGTTCAGTTGGTATATTAGTCAAACTATGCCCTGGGTGGGATGTCAGGAGCCCAGGGGACGCAATCAAGGCTGAGAGGAAATATGCGTGCGCAGTGGGCACGAGACTCCATGGAAAGCATACGCCGCCCCATGTATGGTATGTGTGTATCGGACAAGATTCATCACAGACATCTTGTGCTATGTCTCGAAGTTGTTGAAGAACAGAAGGCACAATGCGATTGCTGATATTGAGCTCGGCGAAGACGACGCGCCTCGGATCATCATCGAGGATTTCGGCCGAGAGGCCTTACCTCAGGAGGATCGCTCCTTTCACTATCATTGCCCTGGAACAGTTGGGGTGAGGGATTGAGAATCTTGGAGGCTGCGCTCGAGCAAATCGAAGCCGCGATAGGTGTGATCCGCCTATCTGGAGGATAAGTAAGACGCTTCAGATACTGTATAGCTCCATCGGATTAGGTTAGGCTCTTGTATTTTGCTCGATCTTCAAGAGCCTTCGAAGAATCGGGCAGTATCTCATAATAACAAAACTTCTCTTCGCCCATCAGCAACTAGACGCGTATGGTAGAGAAGTATCTCCATCGAGTTGCAGTTAGTCGCATTGTCGTCTTCGTCATCGTCGCTCTCTGCTCTTGGAAAGACCGATCTCTTCCTGGAAAAGCAGTGCGGCCACGCATCGGGGCTGATACGTCATCGGTCAGAGAGACGACGCCGCCGGAGTTGATCAAAGTCATCGTGTTGTGGACTCCAGACAGAGGATATGGGCATGAAGCATGCAACGCGGTAAGCTTTGCAAGGATAACAGAGCGTGCAGCCGATGTCGTGGGAGAGTTTCTGTCGAAACAGCCCGTGGACCCGGCCAATGTGCTGGTGATTCATGAAATGTAAGACACTTCCGCAGCGCCTGACCCGGGATCTAGCTTCGGAGCCCGCTTAACTCAATGCGTGATGGAGCTCATCGGCATCGCCACCAATCCAGACAATATCAAAGCTTCCACCCAGCGATATCGAAAGTTGTTTGATGCAATGCAGGGCACGGGAGATGCCAAGGGGTTACGTATGCGTCGCTGACACAAACTCGAGACACGGATCCTCGCCAGTTGTTCGGCAACGGGTATACTTTTGTGATGGGCCTGAAGCACAAGTATGATCCAGAAGGGTTATTCGATAACGCAGAACCAAGGCTGCGACCCTGACCGAGACGGAGCGTTCGAGAAGATACGTGAGCAAGATCTCGACAGAAAATCAACCTGATATTCGTCATTTGAAGTCTTGGCACTCATGACATCATCCGCGACCTGCTTCCCACTTCCCGTCTGCGCATGGCCGACGACGCTGCTTGATAGACAATGATCTGCCAGTAGATGTCGCGCCATTCTCCATATCGTCGGCCAGATCTTTCTACACCTTGGCACTCTCTGCACAGTCGCCTCTCGATGCCTTGATTCTCCCTATTTACCAGCCACTTCACGTCTGCTCGCCTCGTGTCACTGTCAGCTCTTTCATCTTATCACAAGACCGCTACATAATTCGCTCACTACTGCTCACTGCATCTCAGATCTCCGCTATTTCAGGCAGAGTGAAAGCCTCCCTGCGACTCTCCTGCCCCTCCTTCCGATACATTCCTCCCAATCCGCCGACTGTCGCCCACCATGGCGGCTACGTCCTACTCGACCGACCCGACCCTCTACCTCTACACCTCACTGACAGCCGGATCATCTCATATCATTACCGCGACTTCAAGGCTAGAGACCATCCTCAAAGCCAACAGGATCCCGTTCCGGGCACTGGACTGTGCAACAGATGAAAAAGCGCGTATGCTATGGGGCAGAAGATCCAAGGGAAGAAAGCTGCCAGGCTTGGTCAAATATGGAGAGATAATTGGCGTATGTTGTGCCCTACCGTGTCTCAGCACCGCTCTTTGCTAACCAGTCTGCAGGATCTCGAGCAGATCGAAGAATGGAATGAGTACGGAGAGCTCAAAGAGCAAATCGCTGCCAATCAAGATTTTGGCAGCCTGACTGCATCCACGACCTTGGCTCCACAAGTTCCAGTGACGAGCACCTCTTCAACCCCCTCGAGATCAGGCCCTCCTTCGCGCGCTTCGTCTGAGACTCGCCACATATCGATTGCGGAACCGTCGGAGAAAGAGAAGGAGAAGCATTCCGCAGCTGGAGATGCAAAGGCACACAAATCGGCCGAAAACCCCATGAACCTAGCCATCCGTCAGTTGGGGGCAGAAGCCGCAGCCAAAGCAACACAAAAGAAAGGCGCTGCTGCCCAGCCGCCCAAAGCCGCAGCAGTGCCGGCCAGGGGACCGAGCACGACGGATCAAGTGCCCACTGCCGCCGCTGACAGGGTGGGCACCGAGGCAGCGGTCGAGTCGGCCGACACGGCGGCGGAGGTCACGGCAGCCAGAACGCCAGCCCAACTTGCATCCGAAGGCGCCGTCAGAACATCCGTCGAAAAAATTGCTGAGTCGGAAGACAAACTGGCCGCAGGCGCGGCAGAGGATACATCACCTTCAAAAGAAGAACAAATTCTCGAAATGCGTCGGACGAGCAGCGTCGCCAAATCCAAGTCGAGGTTGAGTGATGTTACACCGATAGAAGAGAGCGATAGGATTGTGGCAGATCCGGAAGAGACATCGACTGCATCACAATCTTCGATTGCCGTGCCCAAGGATGAAGTCAGTGCCAGTTCTTCGACGAGTCTCCCTTCGCAGGCTGCGCCACGTAAGCAGCATCGTGGGAGTGACATTGGAGAAGCGTCCCCTGAGGAGATTCGCGCGCTGGAGAAGAAGCTGAGTATCCCAGAAGAGGACGACGATGGGGAAGATGCCGTCGAAACAACCCCGAGCAAAGCGGTTGAAGTCTCGAGTACCGACAAGGCGGAGAGCGAGGCCACAAAAGGCACGAAGCCACAGGAGACAGAGCCCAAGGATGCAGACAAGGCTGGCGTCAGTGTGGGCGACTGACTGATTTGACTCCATATCTGAGACGCGCTCATTGCTCCAGGGGGCTGGTCTGATTCCAGCGGCTTTACGATGTCCAACACGATTGGGAGTTTCTCCATGGTAAGCGGGACGGGGGCAAGTGAGAGCAGCGCGGCGCAGCGCAGAGCGGAAGGGTAGAGCACAGCACACCGAGCTTGATATGTGATGTTTTGCTTTTTGAGTGCGATCTCGACGCAGCTTACATACGGGGTTGTATGTCTGCGTGGGTACAGGTAGATACGAATACATGACGATTTCCTCAAACGAATCACTCGTCGTGGGTGGACATGTTGATTTTTGTGACGGATCATGTAGTCTTGTGTATATTTCCCCCCTGGGTCCCAGCGACGGTGCTCCTGTCCGTCCGTGACCACCGACCTCCTCCACCCTCTCTCCTTTTCCTTGACCTATAGCCTGTGTCGGAGGCCTCTGTCGTTCGCCCATCCTTGCCCGCTCATCTCCACCTCGGGCAGCTGCCAGCCCGCCTCGGCGGCGACCAGCTCGGCACACCGCTCGCCGACTCCCAGCACCGTCAACATGGGGTTGATGGTGGTCATGGCCGGGAACACACCAGCGTCGGCGATCCTCAGGCCCTTGAGGCCCCTCACCCTCAGGTTCTCGTCGACCACGGCCAGCTCGTCCGTGTGCACGTCTCCCATCTTGGTGGTGCCCGCCGGGTGGTAGACGGTGTGGGCGACCTTGCGGGCGTACTCGGACAGGGCCTCGTCCGACTGGATGTGCGGGCCGGGGGCCACCTCGCGCTTGATCCAGTCCTTGAACGGAGCCTGCTCGGCAATGCGGCGCGCGGCCCGGAGCCCAAAGACGAAGGTGGCCGCGTCGTAGCCCTCCGGATCGGTGAAGTAGCGGAAGTCCAGCGCCGGCTTGACGTTGGGGTCGGCCGAAGTGAGATAGAGCTTGCCGCGGGATCGCGGCCGAGGAATATTCGGGGTCATGCAGAAGGCATCGATCGGAGTGTCGTATCCCAACCTTGTCGTGTTTAGGCAGAAGGGGATCTGGTAGCAGTGCATCATCACGTCCGCGATCTTCCCGTCCGGGATGGCGGCCGGGTTTGTTGGCGTGGATTTCGCCCCTGCCGCGTCGGGAGCTTCGCGGCGGAGAAAGATACCGGCGTCGGAGTCCATGGTCGTCTGGTTAGGTGGGACCGGTCGGTTGAGCTCCCAGATGATAATGGTTTCTGGGTGATCGAGGAGGTTTTCACCGACACCCGGAATGTCCTTCACCACGGGGATGGAGAGGGAGGACAGTTGTTGAGCCGGGCCCAGGCCGGAGAGGAGCATGAGGCGCGGTGTGTCGACGGCGCCGGCGCAGAGGATAGTCTCAGTGCGTGCGGTGAGAGTCAACTTCTGGCCTGACTGGAGGGTGATATTGACGCCCGTTACTGTGTCACCGCGAACATTGATCCTCGAGACCCAGGCATTGGTCAGGATCTTAAGGTTTGGCCTGTCTTCTTCGCCGCGAAGGATTGGATGTATGTAGGCCACACTGGCGCTTGATCTCCGGCCGTCATCAGGGTTGTAACTGACGGAGAAAAAACCCACACACTCCCTTAAGCCGCCCGTGGCTGCGATGTGGGCATTGAAATCGTGGACAATGGGGATGTTCATAGCGGTGCTGCACGATTGGACCCAATCTTTGCACAACTGATTTCGATGACGAGAGTGAACAGGTTGAACAGTGTTTCGGAGTTTGTTTAGCACTCGCATGAACATGGGAAAGGTCCAGCCTTTGGCGCCCATGGACTCCCAGATCTTGCAGTCATACTCAAACGGCCGGAAAGAGATGAGCGTGTTGTGACTGGAGCAGCCGCCCAAGACTTTGGCGCGAGAATGCCTGATGTGAGAATTCCCTGCGAGAAGAACAGCGCCGTTAGTCCTGGTCTCGTCAAGTCGTGAGAGAAGACGGAATCGCCAACGTACCCATCGGTTGCTCGGTCGTGCCATAGTCATAGTCAAGTTCTCCACCGAGGAGGCTGAGCCATTGCTTGAGATCCAGGACTCGATCATCCATAAAGTCACTGGGACCGGCCTCTATCAACAGAATCTTCTTCCGGGGAAGATATTCAGCCAGGCGGGATGCAATCACACAACCCTAGACCACTCAGCACCATGTTCATTCCCTTTGATACGTGAGCACTTACTGCTGTACCACCACCCACAATCAGATAGTCATAGCTATCAACTTCGGACACATCCAAATGATTGGTTGTCATCGTGAGCCTCTGGGATAAGTGACTGGATGACGGTGCTGATGTTCGACAACGAAGAAATAGATATCCGGGCTTTCCAAGGCAGTCCGACCAGAATTATAGACAACTGAAAAAAAGTTCCTGGGGGACGAGCGTGACCCACATAATCTATTGCGTAAGAAGCACTGGTTAGTCCTGGATATCGTATCATTCTCCGTGATGGATGACCTGCGAAAACGGTCCTTATAAGCATAGAGATTTCCGACTCTGTATAGGTGCCCCGGTTATCCAGTCAGGCGACGGGGCTATCATGCAACTTTACGCAGGAGAAGTTGCACGGCATGTGGACCAGTCTCATTCCATATTTTCTGGACTCGGTTAGCAATGGACCCTTGTCCTGTGGACTCGGGGGAAAAGGAAAAATGGGATATGCGGTCCCTGTCGGCTGGTGGCGGTGAAAAGAAAACGAGTGAAAAAGCTGGGTGGAGGCAAGAGAATGAAGTCAAGCACGGCTGGTGTTGCCTGAAGAGGCAAAGAAGCTGATAAGTGACAGGCTATGAGCACGAGCCTGGCTGATAAAACGATAACCTTTTTGCTATCGTCCTGAGATGGTGTGAGGAGGGTTGATGATGAAAATCGATGCCTACAAGGGGAAAAGAATCACGACGCGACGAGGTTTGTGGAGGAACATTGGAAGCGGTGGGCAACCCGAAGCCACCGAACAGCCACCTAGAAGCTGGCCACTAGGGGTGCCTAACTGCCTGTGGTTAGGCGATGCTGAGAAACATGGGCGCCAAAGCTGCAGCCCAGGCGGCCGGAGCAGCTGGAGATGCCGGAGAAGACGGGCCTCCCAGAATGTCCACTAAAGCCAATGGCCACCTTGGAAGGCGACTTGTTGCCCCGCCTCGCAGTAGCATCGGCTGTACCTCGCAGGGCCATGCGGAGAAGACATTACGCAAGAGGGAAAAAAACACAAAGGCAATGAGACACCGACTGTGACTGCGCTGAGGCACAGGACACAGACAAACCCTCGACCTCTACACACAAACACCTACACATCCCATCGCATACCCTCACCAACTGAAACCTCGACTCACCTCCTCCCTGTCTCCCTCCCTCACGCAGAATGAAGCTCCCAGAGCGCTACACTTTCTACGCCGGAAAGCCTCAACCTTCCTCACCTTCCCCCAATACCTTCCATTCCATCGATCCGTCGACCGGCAAAAATGTCTGCACAATCCACACGTCCTCCCAATCCTCCATTGACTCGGCCATCTCGTCGGCAAGAACAGCCTTCCCTTCATGGTCCAGCACGCCGCCCGTCGAGCGAGCCAGAATCCTTCACAAGGCCGTCTCAATACTTCGGTCTCGTAACGATGAGCTGGCCAAGATCGAAACCATAGATACGGGCAAACCCTTCTCAGAGACGTCCACTGTGGACATCGTCACCGGCGCAGACGTCCTCGAGTACTTCGCCAACCTGGTCGCGTCAGGCGGCTTGAATGGTGAATCGTTCCGTCTAAGAGATTCTGCTTGGGTCTATACCTCAAAAGAGCCGCTCGGCGTCTGTGTCGGCATCGGTGCCTGGAACTACCCCATCCAGATTGCGCTGTGGAAGTCGGCACCATGTCTTGCTGCTGGGAACACAATGGTGTACAAGCCCTCAGAGGTGACGCCGCTTCATGGCCAGTTCCTCGCCGAGGTCTACAAAGAAGCCGGTGTTCCTGACGGCGTGTTCAACGTCGTCTATGGAGCGGGCGAAGTGGGTGCTTACTTGACGAAACATCCGGTCGTCGCCAAAGTTAGCTTCACCGGGCAGGTCTCAACGGGGCGCAAGGTTGCAGGTTCCGCCGCCGGCGAGATGAAGTACGTGACCATGGAACTGGGAGGGAAAAGCCCCGTGATCGTGCTGCCGGATGTCGATGTTGAACAGGCCGTGGATGGAGCCATCATGGCCAACTTCTTCAGCACCGGCCAAGTCTGCACAAACGGGACGCGAGTTTTCGTACCCAGGCACTTGAAGCCCGAGTTTGAACGAGTGTTGCTGCAGAAGCTGAAATATGTCCGCCCGGGAGAGCTGATGGACATGAACACCAACTTCGGCCCGCTGGTCAGCAAGGCCCATTACGACAAGGTGACCAGTTACATCAAGTACGGCATCGAGGGGGACAAGGCGAAGCTGCTTCACGGCGGCCTCGACCAACCTGCACACCTCCCGGCGCACCTGCGGAGCGGGTTCTGGGTGCAACCCACCGTCTTCACCGACTGCACCGACGACATGAGGATCGTCAAGGAAGAGATCTTCGGCCCGGTCATGGCCATCCTGCCCTACGACTCGCTCGACGAGGCCGTCGCTCGGGCCAACGACACCGAGCTCGGTCTGGCGGCAGGCGTGTTCGGGAGGGACATCAACCAGTGCCACACCGTGATCAAGCAGCTGCAGGCCGGCATCACGTGGGTGAATACCTGGGGCGAGTCGCCCGCCGAGATGGCCGTTGGAGGCTGGAAGCAGAGCGGCGTCGGGGTCGAGAATGGGCGCAGAGGTCTGGAGGCCTGGGTGCGGAATAAGAGCACGCTGGTCGAAATGGGAGGCAGTGTCCCGACGGTCTTTGCCAAACTATAATGACACATCTACCTACATGCGAGCTCCTCTTCAATGTAGTGGAACAAAGCATCTATCATGAATGCACTTGAATCTTGATCCTTGGTTCGCAAATATATCCATGTCATTCGGCGCCAGTCGTCCGAGATTGTGCTAGAAGGGACTTTTGCCCACCTGCCTGAATCTTCTTTGTCGAATTCATGCCAAAACTCCAACTCCAAAGACGCCTTCGCCGACTACAAACACTGTAACTCGGATATCAGATGATAGCCATATCATGATCCCGAGAGCAAGGGTGGGAATAACCATCCATTCCCTGTCATGCGTTCAGCTGTCACCGTAGCCATCACTCTTATCGCCCGGACAAGCAGCGGTCCTTAAACATTTGCAAATCCCACTGATCTCGAGCGCAAGAGGGAGTCCCACGCGCTCCGTGCCATTTCATGCTGCAAAGGTCGACACGCGCGAGCCCATGCGGTCAAACATGAAATCCCCCATCTTCTTATCATTCATGGCGATGGCCGAGTCCACCAGCCTCGACGACATGCTGTCCGGTGTCAGTTCTCCATCGTCTTGATCCACCAGCTCTTTCTTCTCCGTGTCGATTCTCAGGTCCTTCAAGCCCGCCCGCCAGTTGTCCAGCCTAACCTGCGACCGTTGAGGAGTGGCTTTGGCAGTCTCCTGTTCGACAGAGACTTGTTCGATGCTCTTGAAGTACTGTCGCAGAGAAGGTTAGCCGGCACGTTCTGCCCTTCGTTGTCTGCATCGCATGCTTACCTTGACAGTCTTCACCTGCATTTCGTCTGTGGCGGCATCATCGCAGACAATCATGGCATTCTCGTGCATCTGTAGAGCACTGCAAGTCCACATCTGACTGACGCCCCCTTCGATCGTTTTTGCCAGAGCGACCGCTTTGTTGGAGCCTAGGACGATGACCAGCACCTCCCGCGCATCCATGACGGTGCCCACACCCACGGTCAATGCTTGTCTGGGGACCTGACTGAGATCGCCACCAAAGAACCGCGAATTAGCCCGAATTGTATCCTCTGCCAAAGTCTTAACTCTGGTCCTTGACCGCAGTGAAGAACCTGGCTCGTTGAATGCAATGTGCCCATCTGGTCCGATGCCGCCCAGAAAGAGGTCAATGCCACCGGCGCGGGCAATCTTCTCCTCATAGGCCGCACATTCGGCTTTGAGGTCGGGGGCATTGCCGTTGAGGATATTGACATTCTCAGGGCTGATGTCAACGTGGGCGAAAAAGTGCTTGTACATGAAACTGTGGTAGGATTCGGGGTGGTCTTCGGGCAGGCCCACGTATTCGTCCATGTTGAAGGTCACGACATTGGCGAACGACACCTCACCGGCCTTGTGCGCCTCAACCAAATATTTGTAGATGATCTCGGGGCTGCTGCCAGTAGGTAGTCCGAGGACAAAGGGCTTTTGGGGGGTCGGGGCGAAGGCATTGATACGGTTGATGATATGTCGGGCGGCGTACTTCGAGGCACTGTCTTTGTCGTCGCGGACGATGACCTTCATTTTGATAAATAGGCTCTCTTCAACAGTCTGTGAGATAATGGGAAGGGTCTACAGGTAAGGCCACAATAGTCGCGGAGGCGGGGGGAGCTGGGAATAAAAGAGACCAGCGACAGACCGTTGACGTAGCCGGCAGCTCAACCTTTAGCCAGGCCATCATGAGAGGGATTACATAGGTAGGGGCCAGAGTGCAGAGCGCCCACGGAGACTTAGGGCCCTGGTGGCACAGAGAAGAGATTTTTGCGAGAGGAGGCAGCGGAGGAGCAGGTAACGGTGGTGGTGGTGCAACAGTTGCAATATTGTCATCCAACCAATGAAGCACCCACCGGAATGCTGGAGCAAAGAGGATTGGGCATGTTATCAGCGGGACAGGCAAGCAGCCGATGAAGTCAGCGAGATAGGACAGCCGTTGGGTGCCGTCGCAACCAATCCACCGCTGTGACGCCGGGAGGGTTGAAGGAGTGTGGAAAAGAGCGCAGGCAGCGCAGGCGGGAAGATTCGAAGGGAAAAGGTCGCAAACAGGGCAAACATTCACACCTGTTTGTAACATTTCCCTCTCGCATCCGTCCACGTGACACGGACCAGTGTAACCGTCCCTTTTGCTGAGGTGCCATCCGCCGTCCACATCCCTCTCATCTACCAACCACCACTACCATTACATTGACGCGACGTTGCGACACTTCCCATCTCAAAATGCAACATCACCTTCTCTGCCCGTTCCCACGTTTCCCAGTTCTTCACCCACGGTTTGTCTGATGCCACGCGCACCTGGCCTTCCCCGGCTTTCCACTGGTCCGAAGTTCGTGTCTTTGCCTCTGTCAAACCCCTCTGAGAGTGCTCGGCGCCTGCACCACCGACTCCTGAGCCGACCTCCCCGAACTCTCTCCTCCTGCTCCATTTCCTCTCTTGTCCGAACTGCCCAGCCTGCTCACCTGTCCGTCCATCCAATCGCGGTGCATGTGGGGAACTAATTCCTTCTTCTCATCATGGCTGTGGCCACTACCAATGGGGATCTGCCCGGCCGGTGGGACGAATCGAGGTATGTCCATGCCGTCATCCTCCGCCCTTGCGACGCCGGCAGAACTAACTATATATCTGGCAGACAGCTCGGCCAGCTGTTCATGATGGGCTTTGATGGCACCTCCGTCACTGATCAGGTCAAGGTCTTGATTGAGAAATATCACGTAGGCTCCATATTGCTCAAGGCCCAAAACCTCAAATGTGCCGTCTCCTCTCCTGTCCTTGTGTGCTGCCTCCTCACTTCCCTTTTTTGGTGACTGACACTGTTACTGTGAACAGCTGCTGAACAGGCGACCCGACTCGTGCTTGATCTTCAGACTCTTGCGCGTCAGGCCGGTCATCCGGTTCCCCTCTTGATCGCTCTCGATCAGGAAAATGGCGGCGTCAACAGCCTGTACGATGAGGTTTATATTCGTCAATTTCCCAGTGCGATGGGCCTGGCTGCTTCCGGCTCGAAGAAATTGGCAAAGGATATCGCCCGAGCGACCGCTCAAGAGTTAAATTCGTGTGGCATTAATTGGATCCTAGGGCCGGTGCTGGATGTCCTGACCAACGCCAGAAATCAGCCTCTCGGCGTTCGGTCCGTAGGCGATGACCCTCATGAAGTCTCAGCATTTGGCGTTGAATGCATCAAAGGTTACCAAGAAGGTGGAGTCGCGACCTGCGGCAAACATTTCCCTTCCTATGGTAATCTGGAGTTCTTCGGTGTCCCGGATGACGTGCCCACGATCACAGACTCGTTGGAGAACCTGAGCCAGAGTGCTTTGGTCCCCTTCCGTGCGGCGATTGCCCATGGCGTTGATTCGATGATGGTCGGTGGCGTTGCCATGGCGTCCTCTCAAGTCAATGTCATGCACGCCTGTCTGTCGGAGCAGATCGTCCGAGATCTGTTGCGCCACGAAATGCGCTTTGAGGGCGTCGTCGTGTCTGAGTGCCTGGAGATGGAGGCCCTGAGCCGCAACATCGGCATCAGTGGTGGGACAGTCATGGCCTTCAAGGCCGGCTGTGACCTGATCCTGACGTGCCGCACTCTGTCAGTCCAAGAAGACGCCATTAACGGTCTGACCGCTGGATTGGATAATGGCATGATTGAAAGGTACCGAGTGCAAGAGTCGGTACAGAGAATCCTCAACATGAAGAGAAAATATACGTCCTGGGAAAAGGCATTTGCGCCAGCCGGGATCGAGAATCTCGCACGATTGCAACCGCTTCACACAAGCCTCTCAACCACAGCTTATAACAAATCAATTACCGTGGTTCGAGACCAGAAACATTATCTGCCGTTGTCGAGAGTCATTAACCCCGATGAAGAGCTTCTCCTTCTTACGCCCTTGGTCAAGCCACTACCCGCCTCCGCTTTATTCCATCTCTTACAAAGCGAGGCGTCGACAGTTCCCCATCTAGGGCGAAGTCCCAGCATCGATACGAATACGTCGATCATGAGTGGAGAGCAAGTCTTCCGAGAACTTGGTCGGACGCTCGCCCGGTATCGCAACGGCAAAATCTCCCACACTTCATATACTGCAAATGGAGTGAGACCTCTGCACGAAAATCTCCTGAACCGAGCTCGGGGCGTCGTGGTCGTCACGGCCGATGCGGGTCGAAATATGTATCAAAATGCATTTGCCAAACACATCTCAATGTTGTGCAAGTTGGCGGTCGGTGCGGATGGCAGCCCACGAGAAAAGCCCTGTGTTGTGGTCGCCGTCAGTTCCCCATTCGACTTTGCATCGGACACATCGATCGGAACGTACGTGTGTACCTATGATTTCACCGAGACTGCTATGCAGGCGTTGGTCCAGGTGCTTTACGGTGAGCTCACTCCGTCGGGAGTGTTGCCGGGCTCGTATAGCCAGAAGCCTCAGACCAGTCACACCAGACAGCAGTGGCTCGTGGAAAGCTTCAGCGAGGATCGGGACTCGGCGGCACTAGACGCGCTCATCATCCAAGCCCAAAATGAACCTTCGGTCCACGCTGTTGCGCTGAAAAAAGCCGTAACCAGCACGTTTCTCCTTCGCGATCCCGATGTGGAGGAGGCGCATTTCGTGGTCAGAAACAGCAGCACCAAAGAGTTGTTTGGTTTCTGCACCACATATTATTTCAAGAACAGTGGCGTCGGGTATATCGGCGCGATCATTGTGGACCCTGCGCGCCGCCGTCTATCCATCGGCCACTCTCTCCATGACCGTGCTGTGCGAGCATTACTTCAGAAGAAAGGCATCACCAAATTCCAGCTTGGGGTCAGGTTTCCACATGTGTATCTGGGGATCCCTAAACTGGATCCGCTGGAATACAAGCGCCTGCGCCAATGGTTTGCCAAACTCGGGTGGAATGTTTCGCTTTCAACACCTGTCGCAACAATGATGATTCGTGATCTGTCAACTTGGACAGCGCCTGACGGACTAGCTCAGGCATTGACAAATCCAGAGGTCAAATACGATCTGGTCCACGGAGCCGAATACACCGAGGTGATGATGGACCATCTCACAAGATGTGCCCGGACAGATGTTCGAGGCGTCTACCAGATGGCCCTGGGGAATAAGGAAGGCTGTGGGATCATTCGAGCCAAAAGGGCTTCTGACCAGTCTATTCTGGGAAGCATCCTGATGTGCCGAGCCGAGTCCAAGATTGCCCGCCATATCCCGTCGCTGTACAAACAAGTTGGAACGGCGTGCCTGTCGTCCCCCGTCATTTCGACCATGCACAGCGATCGAGTCTCGCTGTTCCAAGGCCTAGTCCTTCTGGGGATACGTCAGGTCAAGAAACAAGGCTTGCGGACTCTCCTGCTAGATTATGTAAGTTGCGGAACCTCCATCATCCCTGGGAACGTGAACGGCTGATCTCTGTCTTTTCTTTCTCCAGATCCGCGAAGATGCTTCAATGAATGGCCTGAAGGCTTTGGGCTTTACCATCAGCAATAGTTTTGAAGAGATCTCGAGCGATCCGGTCCACTGGACAATGATGTCCGCAACATGAATGGCAGGACGGATTGGAACCCCCCCGACACGTTTGACTGTAGCATTAGGGGTCCCCCCCTGCGTGCACAATCGGAAGCGATACTCAGGTCGCCTAACCTGGCACGTCCGCCATTGATTGCGCTTGGCGCCAAAATCAAAGGCAATTGCCGATGTCTCGTCTCACCGGCGCCACGAAGACGCCTCGACCATTCGATGTAAGCCTTTCCGGTCCCAGATCCTTCATCGAGTTATTGAACGGACCTTTTGACAATATCGCAGCAGACACATGTCGGCGACAAGAGAAAATGAAGTCAAGCGCCGACCCACTCCAGGGCGATCCTCACTTTACTCCCCCGCCAGGTACGAGCAGCAACAACCTCTCAACAGCCGGAACAGGGCCACTATCTATCCACAACTATACGACAGAGCTGTCTATCTGCTGATGACTGTCGTGGGAGCGGACGCCGAGGCTGGCAACTGGAGGCTCGCATAATCTCTACCGCGATTTGGCAGAAGATCAGTGGACGCTCATTGGACCAAAGCGGACATTAGATGATTCGCACTGGACTGGGGCAAATTAGTGCGAAATGATCGGAGGCGCTAGCTGCCCTGGAGCATTACGGCGAGCACGGAGCAGATCGTATTAGGAAGATAGAGTGAGTTTCTGAAAAAGGAAGCCTGGGACACGGCGGTTGTTAGACGAAGTCAATCCCTGACAGGTACTCTCTGTGCCTGCGGAATTTCGGACTTGTTAGTGTCCAAGACTTTGCTCGTTGTCTCACACGGTCCACTAAAGCAGGTGGTCGTTTAGAGCGAGAACGTCATGGGACCTTTGTGAGTGGTGTGTGTGCCTTGCTTTCTCTTATATCTCCGAGCCAGTTGCGTCCGGCCTCTGTATCTGATCTGACACCGGAAGTGCGTTTCGGTGCCTGAATGGATGGCGTCCCCCAGCGTCAGCTCGCCGCCGGCAAGGGACACCTTCACGCAGGTGATGCGAGGCTGCTCGGCAGGGCAGAGCAACATGGGCTCTCGGTCGCACAGAGTTGCTTCTTGAAGGCAGTGGTCACCATGGTCAGCAGTCTAAGATCAGCCGTAGTGCCGTGGCTCTGCATGATTAGGGCATGATGCACCATCAAGGCCCTCACCGTCGCAGTGTGTGGCCTTGCCCCAACGGGCAAGCGCATGCGCCAGAAGGCAATGAGCAGACCGTTCTCATGCATGTCAGGCTTCTCGGGCCTCTCGGGCGCAGCGATGATCAGCGATTGAGACACGGGAGGAATCAGACTAGTCCGAAGAGCAAGAGGCGAGGAAATGCTGCGAGTGGCTAGAGATCAAGAGGTGAGCAAAGAGGTGCGTCCGCCAGAGAGCAGCCCGGTTATCTGACTGGACCATCGTACGATGGGGGGGGCGCTGCACTCACTGCACATGATTTGGGGGCAACTAGAGAGGATGTGGCTAATCCGAATGCTAAGTGTGAGAAGGCCGCTTCCAAGTGTTTTCCACGGCTGCTTCGATGCATGAGGGGCTGACGCAGAGTGATTCAATCGCTTGGGATGGTCAGAAAGGTTGTTTCAAGAGGTGGGCCACGGACACGAACAGACTTCTTTTTACGAGGGCTTTGCCTTCTGGCAGCCGGACAGTCAAAAAGAGTGAAAGAGAAAGGCTGACTCGAGTGGTTTCGGAGGGAGCGAGCGGCCAGTTTGACCAGCGAGCTACCTAGGTTCCCAGGTGTTTAGGTGGCTAGGGTACCCAGGGGAGAACGAGCTGGACCCCCCACCGAAGATGCATTTTCCAGGTAAGAGGGCCGGTTGAATGACGGAGCAAATGCATGAGATTGCCCAGGATGGCCCACCCAACTAAGCCTGTTCTCTCCCAAGTGCCTTTCCCTCCCCGTCTGGCTTGCCCCCATTTCCTTCTAGAAGACTCAAGGTTTGCCTTCTCCCGATCCCAGCCACCGGCGCAAAGTGCCTGGTCCGGGTGGACACTGGGCCACTGGGCCACTGGCTCTTGGGGCAAGCCAGGGGGGGGAGTCTCTATCTATCTCACTCGAATCCCTCCCAGAGCAAACAAATGAATGGCTTCTTCGCTGAAGACTAAATGCCTGCAGCAGGCCACCGCAGTCAAATCAACTTCAACATCCGCCCATCTCAGTTCGTATTTTGGACCTTCCGACGAGCCTTTTTCCTCCCTCTGAAATCGACTTTACCAATTCCCTGAGCTCATTTACCGCTGAGATTTGCCTCAATCTCATAATCCTCGAGTCGTTCGTCGTCACTGCCAAGCTGCGGAATTGACTTGCAGACCTACCCATCCGCTGCGCAGCCAGGGAACACCCACCCCCCCAGCTACAGTGCCCGCTTCCTGTCTGCTACTCCCTGCTTCCCGCCTCCCCCCTTCAAAGTTGGAGTGAAGGCTGAACGACTCGTCGAGAGCACCTCGCACCTGAGAGCAAAAGCGCCCGCTGCTTAGACAGACTCATTCGCTGATTAACAAACCACAACCCTCATCCGGGGCGGCTCATCGATAACCCAATCTTCTGTCCTCTTCGGCGGTGGCGGTTTCGTGAGCATTACGCTGCTCTCGAGAATGCCGACGAGAATTTTCCTCTCTTTTCAATAACGATTTCTACCTTCCAAAGCTCCGTGGCCCGCGTGTGCGCAGCTCTCGGTCGCTGATCTTGACCTCTCCACCACGCCGCACCCAGCATCTGCCCTCGCGCACGCAGACTGACACGCACACACACTCGCACACACCCGCATGGCCGCCACCATGGATGGCTATGATTCCCTCGCAATGCCCTACCTGCACAGTCCAATGCCCTTTGGCAACGGTAATATGCAGAATCTCGACTATATGAGTGTCCCGTCGGTGATGGACTTGCAAGACCAATACTCCAACTTCGACTCGGAACCCTACATGAGGTAATGTTGCTCGACCCAACTCCAACGGCACCCAGGGCGGTAAATCTAACGTTGTTCTAGTGGCGACGAGCTCAGTTTCGCACCCTCGAGTAACCTGCAGCACCCTGCGATGCTGAAGCGATACTCTTCCAACTTCGAAGACCCTTTCGCCGAAAGCACCATGTCCCAATTCGAGCGAGTGCCCACCGAAGGCCTGCCTGGAAGTCCCTCGATCGATCGCGACAGCAAATATCTCAGCTTCTCCATGCCGCAGTACAATTTCACACTCCTGGACGACTCGTTCCGGCGATCCTCGGTCAACATCAATGCCCAGCTGCACGGCATGTTCTTCCTGGCCGAGTCGCAATGGCCTGCGACGGCAGACACGCCCCCCCCTCCCCCAGAACTGACCTGCTACCGGCGCAATCTGTTCCAGATCACCGGCTCGGTGACCCTTCCCCGCAACCTGAGATATGTCTTCACCGATGACGGGTCGAGAATCCCCATTTATGAGCTGGAACTGGCTGTGTCAGCCACGGAATCGGTCGAGGGCAATTCGGTCAAGATCATATCAGTGCCGTGGAAGACGCCGGCATCGGGAGAGGCCCCGAAGCCAGAGGACAAGATAGAGAAAGAGCCTCCGACCATTCCCTTGGACAAGATGACGGGACAAGACCTGGACACAGACTTTACGACATTCCCCATCCAGTGGAAAAGGCTGCAGTTCCGGATAGCCACTGCCAACAATGGTCGACGGAAAGAGCTGCAACAACATTTCACACTCCACCTGAAGATCATGGCATCCCTATCGACAGGCGGCAAGATCTCCATTGCCGAAGCTCACTCAGGAGCCGTCATTGTCCGAGGCCGGAGTCCTCGCAACTTCGCAGCACGGAAAGACTTGCCTCTCAGCAGCAGTTCAACAGCTCGGAAACATCTGCCAGCGGTATCACGAGTTTCGAACAGTCAAACCTCAGTTCCCCAAGTCACATCGGCCCCCAAAATCAAGACACCTGTCGAAGAGTCACCACCGGTGGCCGGTTACGACAGCATTGACATGAAGCCTACAGACGTCGATGGCGCCACCTGGGTGTCACAAGGTATCCAGGATTCTATCGCCACTCCCTACTCAACGGCCATCAATCCTCCTGTCCCAGCGTTTCCGGAAGGCACGACGGAGCTGGCAACGCCGGGTACATTCCCGTTCACGTTCCCTCAAGAAATGGCGCCAGGGAGCCGCCCGATGAGCCTGCACTTTGGCAGTGATGATGAGGGAGGTAGCCCCCATCCCCAACAACAGGGATCACGACATTCATCCCGGCCTCCGACGTCAAACCCTTCCCCTTCTCTGGTGAACAAAGGCCCCTCGGGGACGTATACGAGCAATCCGGGTATGTCACCTGGGCAGCTTGCCAACCAGGGAGGTCATCGACCCCGACTACATTCTCACCAAGTCTCCATGACTAGTGTTCCCAGCTCGATAGTTACCATGAATGGACAAGGGTCGATGCCGACAGGGGCTCATAGACCAGAACTTCTGGCGACCAAGTCAGGCCTCCCATTCCATCCGGAGGGCGAGAGTGCGGATCAACTCTACGAGTACTTCCCATTAGGTTTGGACGACTGGATGCCACCCGTGGACGCGGTGTTCCGCCCACATGTAGTGCATCACAGCGGACCATTACCCCCTGATCCACGATCCCCTGGACGACACACGAGCAAACGCTACTTTTCGGAGGTGATGTAGATATCCCTTGCGGCTCGAATGTCACCTTGTCTTTGCTTTTTTTTCTTGGTTCTTTGACTTGTTTCAGGACCCTCCTAGTGGAGGATGGTGGTTGAAACCGGGGTCCATGAGGTTACGTGAGCTACATAGGACTTATTGATACCCATCTCTGATGTGAAATGAAAAGTGGACATATACCAGAAGACAAAACGGCATGCATGGAATACACGAGTTACGACTACGGGGTAGGGCGATCCGCAACATCATGGATCATGGGACAGGAGAGACTTGAAACTCAGATACCGACAATGTGTGGTTTGGTGTACCTCACGACAAGGATCCAGAATCTTGAGCAGACACGGTACATACGAATGGATATAGTCTCCGCTACCTTCTTCCTTGCCTTGAACGATTGGCCACCGTGAGCATTGACTGTTCAATTCAATTACTTGAACTGAAAATGGAATTCCATTCGTGTGTGTACACCCTACCCCCGGGTCCGTTGTGAAATCCCCCGAGTCTCGCTATGTAAGGGCCGAGTTACAGAACTGGGAATGTTGGACCACGACTCGATTTGGCTCCGTCCACCGCAGGTCTCCATGAAGTGAGGGTACCGGTATGCAGGTCGTCAGCGGACCTGGGACGCTGGACCTATCAAGTACGACTTTCGGCGAGTCCCGACACCCTTGCCACGTTCTGTGATAGGCTTCTGTGTATCAGAACTAATGCAGAATGACGAACGCGCGCGGGCCGGGGGGAGGAGGAGAAAGAAAGAAATCAATACCCCCGTGCGTGGCGAGGCAAATCAGGCAGGTGCCCGCCACATTAAATAACAATATTGGTTCATGGGACCACCTACCCACACACATACGGTAGAGAGGACGCCGGAAGTGGGTAGGCGTGGGCGAGGGCGGGTTTACAACCGGACCAAGAGAGCGGTGAGGAGGAGGAAGGGGACGAGAGAATCACTCACTGCTACCGGGCTTCGGTGTAGAGGAAGGAGGGAGGCTCTCTGGTTCTCCCTCTTTGAAACTGTGAACCCTTGTACCCCTTGAACCTGACACGGACCACCAAAAAAAAAGAAAAAGAGGGCTGGGAAACTAAAAAGGAAAATGCTCAAGAACCCTGGAACGGAACAAATTCCATATCCGGTGAGGCGGTTATTGTCGGGGTGGAGAAAGGGGACAGGTAGCGAGGTAAGGACGACAGACAGTGGGGATGGGATGGGTGGAAAGCAAATTATTGATAGACGACAGACTGTATTATGGGACATGGAACATGGAATGAGGCATGTACAGAGACTTGCAAAACCGGTTTCCTCCTTGCGAATAATCTTTAAAGATTCTTGCTCTGGAGTGGAGCAAGCCGGAATCCACACGTTTCCAGATCCGGCTAAGCTCTGTCAGTAACATCTACTGTACCAATAATCTCTAGTTGTTACCACCAGCCGTACAACACATTACAAACCTCACCATACCGTGGTTGTCCTGACACATCTATTTTCGCGCCCCAAATATAGCGCCACGTGCCACACTGTGCCACACTGACTCCGTACCGGAGCTACTATTTTCCGGAACAAAGAACTAGTTGTCAGACCATCATTTTCTTACCACCACCAACGGTGTCATGGCCTCATCTGACGCTCGAAATGCCACGCCGCTATTATAGAGACGTACAAGCGTAGATTGTCCCAGAAATTGTCCTGCAGGGGGTAGTAGATGAAAGTTGCTACTAAATACCTCTTAAGACACAATGCAAAATGGGTATGAATGCAGCTGCGCTTGCGGCGGCGTTCAACTGTGACTGAGACGCCGCTATCCTGAACTATGACACCTGTGACGGTAAGGCACATGGAAGATGGAGAAAGCTTCAAAGATGTGTATTCCTAATGTACGAGAGACTAATCTGAAGAGAAAAAGGAAAGAGAGAAAGAAGGGAGCGTGCTGGCGCTTATCTGTGTGGCGCGCACGTCCGCCAAGCTTCCCTCTGCCAAGCCTCCACCTGTCACGTGATCCACCTGTCACGCTGTGGCCGTTACATTGGCCGTTACAACACCAAACGCCGAGATACAAAGGAGTAGGTGAGATGCAGAGAAAGTTGCAAAATTCCTTGGACAACACACAGACGTACAGTAGTCAGTTGTGGTAAAGAAAGGACAGTTAGCGAGAGACACTATGCTACTGTACCGTGACGCGAGCCGAGTTATACTACATCAAATGTTGTGGAGGCATATTATCTTCTCCTAGGCAGGGAGGCCCTTTAAAGCAATGTATAGCAATGGCATCATACAGCCCGAGGATTAAGCCACTTACACAGGTTACCTTAGATGCACCAAGAGCCATCACGACGTCTCTGTTCGGCTGGTCTATTAATCCAACTCACCTTGACTGTGTAAAACCCTAGCTAAGTTGCTTTTAGCAATAACAGTCCAATGATGCCCTTCGCCCAAGGATTTCTTCATGAGAGTGACTGTCTGTGTTAGGATTAGAGCAGCTTCTTCTAGCCGGCCTTGATCTCCTAGCGTGGACGCGAGGTTATTCATCGCCGAGATCGTCGATGGATGTTCTTCTCCCAGGATACGCCTCCTCTTCTCTACCACTTCCTTCTTCATCTGCGCCGCCGCCTCGAGCTGACCCTGCTCTCCGAGCGTAGACGCGAGATTTCCTATCGCCGAGATCGTATCTGGATGTTCTTCTCCCAGGATACGCCTCATCTTCTCTACCACTTCCTTCTGTATCTGCGCCGCTACCTCCAGCTGGCCCTGCTCTCCGAGTGTAGACGCGAGGTTATTCATCGCCGAGATCGTTGATGGATGCTCCTTACCGTAAAGACCTTTAAGGGTTTCGAGCACGAATAACTCAATCAATCGCACATCTGACCACCGGCCGAGTTCGTTTATAAATGAGCCCATTCTTTGCACCGCGCTGACGATCTCTTCCCAATAAGCCCTCTCCGTGGTGACTGAACTCACCACCCCAAAGCAAGTCATGATGTGCGGTGCTAATCTCAGTCTATTCTGAGGAGTTGCACCGCATCGGGATATGGCCTCCTCTATAAAATCCACGCTGCCTACACTGAGATTTTCCTGCTCCACCGGGCTGAGCCGATCGTAGCCCCACGCATGCACGAGCCGGTGCATACTGTAGCTTTCTTGATCTTCCTGCCAGTGCACGAGAGAGTATCGGTCGAGAATCCGGAAGCTCTCCTCGACAACGTAGAGGTCCAGCTGCATCTTGGGGAAGAAGAGATTTCTCCATATCCTGGCGTGCGGATCTTGGTGTCCGGGATCGTGAGGTTCTAGCCCAAACAAATCCAGATATATATCGTCATTGCTTAAGAACGCCAGCATCGTGAGGAGGTGGGCTGCCGCCGAGTATTGCTCCTGCACAGCCCGAAAGGATGTTTCCCATGTTGTTAGGACACTCTCGCTGTACTGGTGCACCAGCTTGGTTGGCTTGCGCTGTAGTAGTTCCCTTCGTCGTTGTCGGTATTCCACCAGATACGCGCCCACATTTGATCGTAGTCGCGGAGTCTCCCGGACATACGTCCCTGCCAAGCTGACAGCCAGCGCGAGACATCCTAACTCCTCCACAATTTCTTTCACTTTCCCACTCGTCTCTTTCAAGGGTGCGGTAAGTTGTGAGGTCTTGTAGAATAATTCAACGGCTTGTTCGTGGTCCATCTCGCCCACCTTCACGCCTCCTAAAGTAGCGCGGTCTTCCACAGTCTTACTGCGGCTGATAATAATAATATCGACAGTCGACGACCCTGGTATAAACTCCAGTAGGTCCACATACTCCCGGTCGTCCGGATCGTCGACGGAATCCACACCATCGAACACAAATAACCATCGCTCGTGTCTGTGACTGAACCAGCTCTTCACTCGTTGTACAGCCTCGGCGAGACGATCTTGTCCACTTTCCCGAGCCGACAGAGGGACATCGAAGAGCAATCGATGGATATTGACGAAGTCTCGCTCGATCGTGCTTTTCTGGCCGGCTTCGATCCAGAACGTGGCATTGTAGTCGGACCGGTAACGCTGGAGATAGTCTAGCACCAGTTGTGTCTTTCCCATCCCCCCCAGGCCCCATATTGCCAGTATCCTACTCTTGTAGTCCTGCACTGTTTCGTTGCCGTCTCTTGCCAATTGTTGTCGGATCTGCTCGCGGAGTTTGGGTCGTTCCACGAACGTCTTCACCGGGTGGAGGGAGCTGTGAGCATAGTGGCCCACATAATTCGCACGGGCCGATGCGGTGGCATCTTGATCAGCATCAGTATCTCTAACCCAGCAATCTGACGTTTCTCTACGTACTGATGGTGAGACCGCCTACCACATTCCCCTGTACCAGCACACCGCCAGACACATGTGTGTCCCCAAATTGCGATCCTTCTTGGTGGACAGAAGATGGAAGCGGCCGAATAGCCGCGGTAGATGACATCAGCATCGGAAGGCGCCAGGTTTTATCACCAGGCCAGCTTGATAGACGTAGCCAGAGACGAACACACTGGTAGGGCGAAAATAATGGCTGATATGTACTGTATCGCGAGAGATTACAATGGTGAGGAAACAGGGAAAGGCTGGCGACGCGCGGGCGCCAACACTTTGCTATGAGGCTGAAGGCTGCTGCTCTCCCTGCATGCGCAGCTGAATATCACGTGCAGCCTTTTCCGCTCGGTTTTCAGCCTCATGATATGCCGCCGAGCTGTCGACCACGTTCTGTATGAATCATTGGTGTCACTTTTGTTCCTGCTGTTCAGCTCGAATACGTTTTGCCAGGAACGTTAATTTCACCAGGGACTTTAATTGTCCGAATCACATCCACCACCCAGAGGAACCTCGACATGTCGCATGTCCAACCCCACTCGAGAGATGACTTCGAGGTGGCGATCATCTGCGCCTTACGCACCGAGTCGGACGCGGTCGAAGCTTTATTTGATTATTTTTGGGAAGAAGAGATCGAATATAAAAAGGCCAAGGGCGACTCGAACTCCTACACGCTCGGCCGCATCGGCCGGCATAATGTCGTCCTGGCGTATATGCCAGAAATGGGAAAAGCAGCCTCGGCGACGGTGGCGGGGAGCTTTCGAGCCAGCTTCCCGTCTATTCGGCTCGGATTGATAGTCGGGGTCTGTGGAGGAGTCCCTCGAGACGAGAAGGAAAATTCGGATATCGTCTTGGGGGACGTCATCATCAGCACAGGCGTGGTTCAATTCGACCTCGGCCGTCAATTGCCCGACCGAGTCGTCCGCAAAGACACCCTCGAGGACAATCTAGGACGACCAAACCTCGAACTTCGCGGATTTCTGCACAAGATCCAGGGATGGCGTGGGCGCATGGAGATGAGGAGTCGGACTACCGAGTATCTTGGCGAGATTTGTAGCAAGCCCGGCTTTGAAGAGTGGAAATATCCAGGAATGCAACACGATCATCTATTTCCCGCGACCTACCGCCACAAGCATCACGTTCCCAGCGAATGTACAACATGCGATAAGTGCCTCGGCGATGCCGATGTTGTCTGCGACGATGCGCTCTCGTCAGACTGCACACTGCTTCAATGCGATCTGAAGAGAGTGATCCTGAGAGAACGAAGTGGAGCACTTCAAGCTAGCGATGAAAGCATGGGGCAGGCGACGTTGGCCGTAACGCCCATAATTCATTTTGGTAGGGTAGCCTCAGGAGACCTTTTGATGAAATCGGCTAGTCGCCGTGACGAACTCGCAACCCGGGAGAAAATAATTGGCTTTGAGATGGAGGCCGCTGGAGCATGGGACACCTTCCCTACCGTGATAATTAAGGGTGTCTGCGACTACGCTGATAGCCACAAAAACAAGAAGTGGCAGAAGTATGCTGCTGTCGCCGCGGCCGCTTGCACGAAAGCATTTCTCCGGCAGTGGCGCGGTGTCGAAAAGAATATAGACACGACCCGAGACTATCCAAGACAATCACACGGCGGAACATCCCCAAATATACGACAGGGCGGGTCTGGATTCCACGGACCGACGGTGGTATTTGGAGGAACGGTGTTTCAAGGTAATTATGCTGGGATCTAGGTAAATCTAGAATGATCAGAAGATTTCATTGTGGGCCAACTCAATGACCAACGCAGTTGATTTATTATTGTTCAGTATCTACCATTTCGTGCGTCGAACGAGGATAGGAAAATGATGGGTCTGACAACTTGTTCTTTAGTCCGGGAAATAGTAGCTCCGACACGGTGTCGAGTTAGGCGTGGCGCGAGGTTACCTTGTTTTGGGCACGTGGTTGCTTTGCCACAAAAATGGGAGGTGTCAAGATAACCACGGTATTCTGAGGCATGTAATGGGCTGTATGACTGGGGCTAATAGCTAGAGATGATTGGTAGATATGGCTGACCAAGCTTAACTCAATCTGCTGGGATGTGGGCCTTAGCTTACTCCACTCCCGGACAAAGAATCTCGAAGATTATTCGCAGGGAGGAAACCGGTTTTGCAAGTCTCTGTACTGCAGGGGAAAGAAAAAGAAATGAAAAGAGGGCAGATATGCGTGCAAATAGAGAAAAGAAAATCAGATAATGAATCTGGTCTGTTCCCGTCGTCGGTCGGACGAGGTACGCGACGTTTCTGTTGTTTTCAGCCCTCCATGTGTGTGTGTGTGTTTGTGCTCGCTCGAGCCAGACTCAAATGGCGCCGGTCTATGTGCTTCCCAGGTACCCGGTACATTCATGTTTTAACTGGCCATAATCATGCATTCGACAGGATGTTTAGCTATGGTCTTGCTGCTTGCTCCATGTTTTCATATGCAGCACCTGCTATAGACTTTGAGTTTTTATTTGTGTCGTCGAACCCTCGATCCTGTTGGTGTTCAAAGTGACATTGCATCTACCACAGACAACGCCTATCGAAAGTGGAAGCAGTCATCCCAACAACCCGAACAGCCCTGGAGCTGATGTATTTGCGACAGACGTGATCGGAGTCCACGAGGAGAAGAGAAGAGTGCAGTGATGGGTTTTCAGACACAAACACATGAAACAAATCCAATGGCGTAAGTACGTGCCAATTCCATCAGTAATCAGAGAGGAAATGTGCTCGACCCATGCCCGAACGGACGAGACATTGAAGAGTTCAAACACAGTGGCAGCTGGTTGTCTGTTGGAACCATGTTCAAACAACAACAGTGACACTTCGACCGACAGAAATGTGTTCAAATCAGAATGTGAAACATCCATGGCAAGTTCGTTTGTCGCATCCTTTAAGAAAGATGGATCATCGGTGCACGATCGCACACGAATATGTCCGACGACCAGCCGTTCCTTTGGCGCAGACACTTCTGAATCACTTCGGTCTCTTACCACAGATAATGTTGGCTGGCCTGCATGCTGTCGTCAATGTCCGCTGAAGTTGTAATCACCGGTGAAAAGGAAGACTCTTCAGCCTTCGCCAGCGATCCTTCCGAAATCCTAAGTGTGTGCGCAGTCTCCTCGCCAGAACCACGCCGATCACCAGTCCTACCTTATTCCCGAGTCTTCGACGGCGATCAAGCAATTGGGCGCGTTGCCAGGGGTGGCGAACTGCGATGTGGAGGAGGATGGAAGCTGCTTCATAAGGAAAGAGATACGGGTTGCACCTTTGGAAGCAGCATACATCAACCCCTGTTCGTCGATGGCACTGGCGAGGGGAAAGATAGAGGTGGCACGAGGTCCAGCGATTGGTTTTGCCTGGTAGAACGGGTTCGCACAGCTGGCGCTTGCCTCCTGAACGCGTTCGATAAGGGCACAGTTCATCCATCTGATTAGAGGCACCGACAATGACCAACACACAACCTGCGACGCAACCAGCTTGACTTTCAATTCGCACCAACTTTTCGACGGATTCGGACTGTCCCGTGCCCACGGGTCGTGAACCTTATTCCTATTTCATCGATGCGCAATCAATGTAGGAAGGTATGTCGTGCTCTCAAGACTTGCCTCTGCATTGCACCATTCTCCTTGGTCGATACTCGAATGACTGAGTCATTCTTTCCACGACAAGACTCGCAATTCCGCATGCCATCGCGCGTGTTGTTCGCTCGAGTGGTGCTGGCTGACACATTGACACTTTCCTGGTCTTGACCCCTCAAATGAGCAAGTTCAGATGCGTGAAAGATTGAGTGCAGCATATTCATTCACTGTGTTTCATACTCCGCACAATGCAAAGACAGAGATTCACTCAGATGCACAGGCTAGGCTTATAGTTTGTAGGTCAGTGCAGGTGAAAATGAAAAGCTCGTCAGTCAAAATTAATCCATCTGTCTGACAAGAATATCTTCATGATAAGCCAATGGAAATGCATTATCTAGGGCTGCAGGACATTGACATATGTTTAAATGACAAGTGGCTTGCTGACATTGGCTAAGCAAGCCCATTTTCACATGTTTCCCTGGCGGCAAGCAGGTTGTAAAAGGTGAATCTAGTAGGTGTCTATCGCAGTAGCAGAGCTGGTTGATATGATCAGCCTCAAAAAATAGTGACCTGATGAATACAGCATGAAGGATAGTCAGGACCGATCACCCGCGAATACCACATGGGAGGACAGGGAGGACAGCCGAGGCTTTGATTGCTTCCGATAACCAGTACATGTCTGTATGCACACAATTCAGCTTTGTGGCTGGCATGTATTTCGGTTCTCCGGTCAGTACCCAGAGGCGCTGTGTGAACTCTGAGTCTCAGCGAAGATGTTAGCTAGAGGCGCCGTATCAGCCAAGTTGGCAAAGCAGGGAGACCTTTGAGAGCAGTGCACCCCCGCCTTCCAGAGATTGTATCTCTCTTTACTATGCCTACGTCCAGAATTTGAGATGTGGAACTGTAATGGAAATGAATGCATTCATAGCTATCGGCGAGGGTTTCAGTTGACCCTGAGCAAGAAAGTTGCTTCCCGCCAGATGGTCGTGGGAAAGTCCAGCACCATGCAAAGCCGCGACCAATCTGCAAGCTTGGCCTGCAATATATTCAAACTGATCGTAATCTGTGTCAGCGCCTTACCATTCACCCACCTGAATAGTATGCCCTGGACTTCCTGGTCGCCAACCCACCTGTGGCCTGTTCGACGCCGAAAAGACTGTAGGACGCTTCTCGTCGCGTTTCGTCCAACTCGAGCTTACTCCAGCTAACGGTTAACATGTATCCCAGAGACAGATTTGCATTGAGCTCATCATTCTCGACGCCTGGACTTTCCTGCGTTCGTGGGCCTTGAAGACGGAGCCAACCATTTCCACATCCAGAGTCAACTGGGTTTCAAATCCCCCAGAACAAGGTTTGAAGGCTGCAAAATGCTGTTGGCCGCAGGTCTCAGGAGGCCATGTGCACCAGGTAAGGCGATGTGTTGTCACGCCGTCATGTGATCGGCATTCACAAGATCCCAATTTTACCAATGGTAGAATGCCCGTCGCCGAGTCTCACGATGTCCGCTTCATACGGGCAGCACCGCTTCGTGTCTGAACAGAAGATCGACGCACTAGCTTCACACCGCGAGCCCAACCAGATCCCTAGTTCCCGTCGGTCTTGCTTTCATTGCTGTAGCCATAGCTTCTGATCCTTCCTCGTTGTCATCGCTCGGTGTGTCTGAATCTGAGCTCGCAGACGACGGAACACGGACAAGAGTAGAAGGTTGATCAAAAAGAGCCCCTCTCTTTCCAGCCCGCATCTCCGCAGTCCACTCTCTTCGATGGAGGTAGTGACAAAACTCTTCGGAAGAGATTGCAATGGACGGAGCACGCAGCGACTCGGGGCTCAAGTCTTTGGGCGCGAAATCCACGATCGGGATCTGTAGTCGGGATCCTGGAATTCGCTCTCCGTCGTCGCTTCGCAATCCCTAAATGTAACACTTGGTAAAGCATTGCAGGGGAGGTATAGCCTTACCTGACTTTGATGTTCAATCAACAATCGATGTTGCTTAGTATCAGATGGATACTCGATTCGTGGTCTCCAATTTTCAACACGATCTTCTTGGAGCGAGGATAATCTTCGTCCAACGCGACACCAAGTCGAGTATTTCCATCTCTTTCAGCGATGTAAAAGTTCCCCAATCCCGGCAGATCTTTGTTCTTCTGTGAATATCCCACCTCCAGTACGACACCTGCATATTGTGCCCCGTTTTGACCGAACTGAGCATCAGGACTGTGCGAGCCGATCTTGCCTTTCCTAATGGGCGTTCGGCGAGGATTGTGGATCTGGTTCGCAAGTTCTCCCTCACATAGGTGCCTTGATTCCTTTTCCATGAACCTGCAGAAGCCTTCTTCGACAAACTCATGCTGAATACTCGTAGCCACACGAAGACGAAGGTCGAGGTTCGCGGGAAATAGTCATACCTGTGGATTGACATCAGCAGCTGTGCAGTCGGGCAGAGTATTCATATCTCATACCGAAAATCATCCTCCCAGTGATATTTCTCACGGATCAGTTTTTGTAACGCGTCGAGGTCATTGTGGCTTGAATAATACCGCAGCGAAAGGTCGGAGCAGAGAGAGCGACCGCGAACTAGCGTTCAATCCCCTAGGCAATGAGCACCAGAGCAGAGTTCGAAATTGCGTCGCAGGGTTAGTGATGCGTCAACGGAGTGTCTGTGATAGTACAGGTGCTCATTCTGCGGCCAGACTACATGGAATGCAAAGGTTCGTATCTTTCTCTCTCAGGTACTTGTATCCCGAGTGCGCAGACAATGCTCTCAGGCCGTCTTGTCTCGTCGTCAGAAAAGGGCGGATCCCTCCTGAACACAGAGAAGGAGGAGCATAGAGGGTGGTCTCCACGACGTAGCGGCGCAGAATTGCATTGCCATTCCTGATTGTAGCGCTGTTGTGTCTTCCTTTTTTATGCAGTATATCCTTTTTGTGAATGTCTCTCCAAATAGCCTCTGGTCCTGGCGCAAGCTCCAAGCTCGGCCGCTGTGCGTGGTTTCCGCACACAAGCCATTCCTACAAGGGCGAAGGAATGATGCGTCAAGATCCAGCAACCGTGGGAATGTTCGAGGCCAGCGCTCACGGGGAATGGAGGCTTAAGGGGCGTGCAAACAGAGAAAGATTTGGCAAAGGCGTCCTGAGATCTCATGCTGGGGGAAAGGCGCATCTTCGTAACCGGAGGGAACGAGACAGGACACGCGCGTGGTCTCAAGGGCCGCAACACCAGAATCGCTGTCAAGGACCCCAGTGGGGAGCCTTTCCCGCCCAGTAGGAGCAGAACTCATGGTTGAGCAGGGAAGTGTCTTGCAGGCCTGGTGTCGGTTCACCTCCTCTCAGGATGCCATCTTAACGATTTTCGAGGGGGAAGGGGGGCTCCATTGAGTGGACGGCATCAGCCCAGTCAGGGCACAGCTAATAATCATTTGTGCATATCGGATGGTATTAGGAGTTGAAGAGCGCGATCAATGAAAGTACCTGAGGTCTTGTATGGTCGCGCAGTTGTTTGGCACGTGATATTGGCTTGGCGCCGTGTGCATTACGCTCCTCTTGTTGCCATCCCATCCTGATTTAATCTCCCATGTGACAATGTGCGACACTTGCCAGACAGCCATAAATCGAGGAGAGCCTCAGGGTGGCATTGAAACGCCACCGCCGAGGCAATCTGATTCTCCTCCGCAATCTCCATCAACGGACGAGAAGAATGCGACACCTCTCCCCAGCTTGCCAGGGCGATTGAGCAATACAAGAATGGTCAATGCGTCCCTCAAGGCGCTTCCTGGGGTTCTATATTGATGGGCTCCAACATCAAGAGCCGGAAAGGGAGCCGGTTTAACACAAGTTCTGCAGGATCAGTTTTCGCAGACTGTCATTTCTTTTCCGTGATAGAGTGCTTACCGCTTGTACAGACGCGCCTTCTTCCCTCTACGACTCCTCTTCGTTCTCCGAATGCCTTCAACCGTTCTTGAGCGCTTCCTTGCAAAGGTCCATGACGAGATGAGACGCCAAATACGCGGCTTAGAGGACCCTCATCAAGAATTTTCCCACTGTTCGTTCTCTCTGACCAAGAATGCGGGCGACGCGATCCGGATGCATCATCACGCCATATAAAAAGAACTGCGTCCTGGAGTGGTGACCGAGGCAGCATATTCGAAGAAAGCAACACTTTAAGAGATTTGGCAGACGACTACATCTTGGGCACGGATTGGAGCAATCACACCCGGAGTGTATTGGATATCTCATGATATAATGAAAGCAACTCCCTCAGTGTGGCAGTCACAGGCACCGCAAGAAGATGACGAGGACGTGTGAATCACTCCTTCTGGAACTCGAGTATTCCTAGACTACAATGGTGAGCCAAATCTTCATCCATTTCTGGACTACGTGTCCAACCGCAGGACTTTGCGCGTGTCGAGTTCTGCGAGACACTCGAGAACCTGAGAACGTTGTTGTGCCGAACGCCACTCTCTGCGCCTTCCTGACCGATGTCAAGCCACGGCCTGGAGTCAGAACGCGACACCGTGTAGGCAAATGCGATCCTTGAAACTCTCCCATTACTTGTCAGAGTCAATATGCGCGGATCTACCCCTTCACATCAGCCGCGTACTTCGGTATCAAGACATATCTTACATCTGATCATCTCAACTGCCAAGGATTCCTCAAAAAGTTCGTGGCCGACCCCGCGACCTGGTTTCATTCTGCTTGGCAGAATCTTCCACCACCAATATCCACTGGCCCTCGTCGTTGCTTGGCTTGTATAGCCAACCTTGATTTTGAGCACGGTTTGGTTCTCTTGTGGCCGACTCGGCCGTTCACGACACAGGCAGTCACCGGGAGCCATTATTGACTAGGCACTGGTTCCGCTGCATGGTCCTTTTCCACTTGTGTGTTCTTCCCTTCATCAGCCGTCGCCAGCCGCCGCCTGTTAGGCTAGACCGCGGTGCTGTCGCCAATGGCGCCTTGCAAAACCACGGGATGATGCCCCGTTCGTTCCACTGCTTTGCAACAAGGATTTTTCGTGCCATTCTTGATCTTGTGACGACGCCTACCTACGCTTCATGTTATGCATCTATTTCCTCAACTCGACCAAGGTTTCCTCTTTCTATCTATCTGCCACCAATCCCAATCTGCTTGTGCATTCCTCCTCCCTTGTCTCGGTCTGCTGTTAGCCCTCGGTTGGAAATCAAACCCGCCAGGCTAAGGGAGTTACAACCTTACTCAATCGGCCTCGTTGCACAGAAACACTTCACATGACTTGTCCTGGACTACCGAGTCCGCCTTGTGGCAACTTGCGCATCCCGTCCCTTACAGACACCCTTCTCTCTTCCTCGATTTCTATATCTCTCTGCTCGTTACCTCCCTGGACTCGACTGACCCAAACCTTTTCCTCTGCAATATTTCCTTTGCCAGCCCGTCTTCCTTACCTTTTGGCCCCCCCGTCTTTCTCTGTGCCATATACCACTTGTTATCCTTGCTGTGCAAGACAATTACATAAAAGAGACTACTACTTCTTTTCATCCATCCTTCCGTCTATCTATCTATTTGTTCTCCATTGGGTCGGCTGTCTGAACACCCCTTGTTGTCTTCATATCATTCCATCCTGTACTCGTACTCATCCACGCACAAAGAGGCCTTCTATCGTCAATCTCACTTCACATGTACTCCCACACGCTCCAGGGATCAGTTTCATACTTCTCCAGCCTTGATAATGCCTCGGGGCGTTTCTCGGGGGCACGTCGTCGGGACCGACGCTCACCCGCGTGAATTGGTCTTCCCACATGGCTCATCCGGCGTCGTTCCTCTCACCCCCACTATCCAACACAGCAACGTCAACGACGGAACACCACCCGGCGGTCCCTGCTGCTCGGGCGCCGGCCATCACGGCTGTGGTTGTGGGTGTCCCGGCTGCTGGTGCCGCCTCCTCACCCACTTCAAGGACGAATCGAACCGCGAGACCTACGGCGGCCAGGGAGGAGGTCGTCGTCGTCAACATCATTTAGACATGACCAGCCCGGCAGGCACGAACCGGTCTGATGGCGTTTCTTCCCCTTCGTCCTTCAACTCCTCCTCGCCATCCGCCACGACCAGTGGCAGCCTTAACAGCGGCTTCGGGGCGCCAGCCTCGCTCGTCCGACATCGTCCGGCTGCCAGCGCTGTGATAATCAACGACACTCGACACACCGTCCTGGAGTCGGACCCGGACGAGGACAGCCCCCACCCGTGGCATACATTCGTCGAGAGCCCCATCAGCAGCAGCCTCGACCACATGTCCCTCAGCACCGGCGACCGATCCATTCTGTCCAGCCAGCACGAGTCATCACTTGTGCACGAGCAGCGGTCGAGTGCGTCCGCCAGCCAGATTATCGCCCAGGCCGGTGCCGTGTTCGACGGCCTCGCCTTTGCGCCTCGCTTCCTGCGCCTCACCCCTGAGTGATCGTCAACACGGCTTGCTCCACCACGAGATCTGCGCCTGATCGCTGCATGCGCCGAACAGCCATGGCCAGAACGTGTTTCGCTTCTGCATGCTCTCTTTCTGTCTGTGCGCCACAGTTTGTCGCTCTGTGGCCATGTCACGAATTTCCTTTGTTGTCTCCAAGACTTTATGTCCTTGGTTTGATATCTCGGTGCTTGGTATTGGAGAGGATGATATATCTTATATCGAGATTCTCTGGCGTCCGAGACGGGTTCTCTTGGGAGTATTGTCTGGCCTTGTCGTTTTCGAGGCAGATATATCTATGCATGTAACTCGGTCACATGTACTCGACGATGACGCCTCATGTCTCTCTTTTCTCACAACGACTCTTGTATTTGTGTTGCGGATTGTCCTGATATTGGTACATTCAGATCATGATTGGTTTTCATTGCATTGGTATAAAGAGAAGCAACATATCGGGACTGGCTTTGCGACTGATCAACATCACTTACAGCATCGCCATAGTCAGCCTCGTCTTCCCCCTACCCAGGGATATCCCCACCGCCACCAGCCCCCGTATCGCCTCAGCATCGCACGAAGATACCGCTCAAGCCTTGCCGCCGCCCGACTTCAGAATCATTTACCGGGGTGGGAGAAGACGACGCTGACGACGACGATGCTGGTGCTTCTTCTTTCCCTGCTGCGAACGTCTTTATCGCCAATTTTGTTATCGACCCAACAAGAGCCCTACTTGCACAGACTTGCCCAGCAACTTGGCCTACGGCACGGGCATTTTGGTAGTATTAGCACCCGCCTTTGAATCTGGGGAGGCTTCCTTTTCACCTCAGTCAGTGCGGACAAGCGAGGCACTAAAAGGTGCGCGGGATACACCCATGAAATGCAAATCAGGCATAGCGTTGATGGAATCAAAGAAATGTCCCTTCGAATCCCTTCTGTCCACGTGCAGATTGTGCAAACTAACCCGTCATTCTGCGTTTTCCGCGGCCTTTTTGAGTTCGATTTCGGCCTTTTCGCTCTCCTCGCTGGCCTGCTCTCCGCTCTGGTCGATCAAATCGGCCCTGCCTTCCAATTCCTCCTGGTCTTCCATGGCGGCCCGTTCGTCGTCCACCCGCTTGTGAAGCTCCGTCTCCAGATCCGCGGCAGCTTGGATCTGCTCCGCTGTCGCGTCCGGCCGACTGGCAATGTCTTTTGCTTCCTCGTACGCTTTCTGGGCGGCCTCGCGCTCCGCGGTGGTTCGCTGCACGGTCGCCTGGCCGTTCGCGACCTGTTGGGCCATACTTGTGGCCATGGTCGTCGCGACGCTGGCCACGAAGCCGTTGACCCCTGCCGTGGCAGCTGCTTCGAGGAAGCTGGCGCCACCACCTGCCGGAGGGTTGGCGAGGGCCTCGACGTGCTCGTTCGTGACGACGCCGACCTGCGCCTGGGTGATGGAGATCTGCGCATTGGGATCAATGATGTGCGCGGTAGCGAATGCATTGAGTGGTGGGTTCGTCCTGGTATCGGCAAGGCCCTTCACGGCATCTCGCAGGTCTTGACCCGCCACCACCGTTCCAGTAGCCTGCATGTCAGAGATCATCGCACTGCTCGGAGGCGCGCCGCTGGCTATCCCTTGCTGGACCTGGTCCCTGTATTTTGCTTCCAGCTGATTGTCAATCGCTCTCCGGATCCCGGGCTCGATGACTTGTTCGAGCAACTGTCTCATATCTTCCCTTTGAGCCTGAATGATGGACCGGATGCTCGCCGCCTCCATCGCTCCCAAACGAGTATCCAAATGGGCTTTGGCGTCGTCGAATCTCTGTTTATTGGCCGTCTCGAGCCCTTCGATCCGGGCTTTGGCCTCGGCCTTTTCTTTCCCGTCATGCCTTGACCACCACATCGCTGCGACGGTGAGGATCAGTGAGATGACGCTCAAGCCGTCTGAAAGGAGTCCAAATATAGTGGCTGCATCGTCCGTGGAGTCATCTGGGAGGAGGGACATCCTTTCCAACGCCGACCTGGACTCGGATGGGCGCCGCTCCAGATCTGCCCTAGACGGAGGATTGATCATTGTACCGGCGAAGGTTTCGGCCACGCCGTCCTTCGATGTCAAGGAGCCTGTGAAGGAAGTGGCTCCCGGAGAATTTTGGTCGAAGGAGATCCCAAAAACCACCTGGAACGCCACTCCACCCACATCCCAGGTAATGGTCCACAGGCCAGAGGAAGCATCCTGGGTCTGGGTCGGGATGGTGTTGACTGCCATGTACAGTATTGACCCGTTGAGGGGGTTGACCGTGAGGATTCTCCCCTTGTGTGAGGCTGGGCTGGTGACTCTGTAGATGCCACCAAACATGCGCAGATCAATCTTGTCGACAGAACCCGCCGGCGCGGGGCTTTGGTCCGGCGACAGTACAGCCGTGGTGGACGTGTAAACCATACCCAGAAAGTCATCAACCTCAAGATCGCCATATCCATTCTGTTCGAGCAGGAGAAGAGTTTGGTCGACGCCCTCGGGGCCAGCACTGGCGGTCGCCTGGATAAGGTCTCCCAAGAATGGATCGGCCGGATTTGACAAAATGGCAGACTTCAGCTGATCGATCATGGCTTGCTTACTCAGTTGATATGCTGATAGAGGCGGTTGAACTGTCGCGAGACCACCATTAATTAGCACGGGGCTTGGTTGTCCCCTGCGTCGGTATCTTACCGGGAACGCCGCCGCCGCTGCTCCTCTTCCTGTGCAAATCCAGATTGCGCAATCTCACACTGTCGAGAGCTGCATTCTGGTTGATCGAACCGGTCAAGAAGGTGTCGCGCGGAGTAGCAATGCCTGACACGGGAGGGGTGGGCGAAGGCCGAGACTGTGCTGTCACATCCGAAGCCTGAAAGACCACTTGGCCGGGAAAGAGCAGATTGGTCGTCAAGAAATAGTCCATCGACAAATTGGCCTGCTGTGTGGGCGCCGCGACTGAGATAGATTGCCACTCGGGAGGAATGCCACCCACAGCTCCATTTGCCCATTCGTCCCATCCAGACGGCTGCTGTGCAACCACGGTGTTGCTAAAGTTCCCAGGATAAGACACAGACATCTTCAGCTCGTTTGGATTGGTGGTATCAGCATTCTGCCAATCAGCTCGACCGTTGAGAAAGAAGGTAGCATTCACACTTCCGCTATGATCGTGCTCGATGGGCCCCGCGAGCGGATCTACGGTCGTAGTCGTATATCCCCAGCCAATATTGAGAGTTGGTCCTACGTAAACGGCTGCCCCAGCATGAGGGTTGCTATTTGTGGCCGTCAGGAGGGTCAACGTGCCTTGGCCATCCTGAAAATTGAAACTGGAGCCGTTCACGTAGCCGGTACCAGGGTCACCGGCATCTGTTGGATATCCAGGCACGTTGATGTTCTGTGGAGGAAATTTGTAGGCGAAGATCATGCCCTCTGATAGTTCGAGATTATGAGCACGTGATTGGAATCAACTGGATGGGTTGGACTCACCGTCGCCGAGCACGGAAGTGCAGGTAAATTGCTGGTACAGCGGAGACAAAAAGGGCTACGCCAACCGGATCAGCTTCATCAGTTCGTCGTAGGTGTTTTTGAGGGACAGGCTCACCATGAGGAAATAATTAGCCATGGTCATATGGCTAAAGTAAATGGTGGCCAGGTTTCCTGTGGGCAATGGCGACATAGGTTGGCCATCCGAAGTGGGACTAAAGGTTGGGTTATCGCTGCCAGGACTATCGCCCAACGCCATCCACATGCACAGTGCTCCCTTGATGTCCTTGCTCGGGTCCGGGGCGCTCATGGTGAAACAGAAAGACTTGGGTTGAAGTGTCGTCACAGATTTCACATCGTGGCTATTGCTGATGCCAGCAATGAAATATGACAGCTCCGCACTGTTGAGGTAAGCTGTTATCTCACCGACGACCAGGCTGGATACCAGAGCCAGACTTGGAGGTGGATTCGTTCCCGGAACCGGCTCCACCGTGACAGTCGTCGGCGATCCTGGTGGACCGAAATCCAGACAAATTCCTCGTCCGACTGCTTCCCCTGGGTCTATGGTGACTGGGTAGCCGGTGCCCACGGGAGGGTTTTTGTCATCTGGGGCTGGAGTGAACGTATTCTCCAAGGTCCCTTTGACATTGACGAGGCTGGTGGCTATCCTCAATTGCAGATTGGGTGGAATCTGTTCTGTTTTGCCACCGGGGATACGTTCCGTAGCGTATCCAGCAAGACCACAAATCAGATCCACCTGGTTGGTGGTGTCGATGAATTGCAACTCCGGAGTGGAAAGCTGGACGTAGAGGTCGACAGTAATGTCATCTCCGCCAAAATCTGTGGTGAATGGTTAGAACCGCCAGTTCCCAATCTGGGGGATTCGACCATTGGATCTTTTACCTTGGATGGTGGTGACGAAATGATGCTGTTGAAGCAGCCCCAGCTTACTTGCTTGATGCGCAAACAGTTGGTTGATGGCGTCGGCCTGGTAAGCGACCATGACATCCCACCCTTTCAAGCAATCCTTTTCCTTCATCGTTGAGACCATACCCGTGAAATCGGTCGCGCCTGAGTCCATTGTGCTTGCTGCCATTGAAGCTCGAATATAAATTCCAGATATCAGGCGATGTCAAGTGCAAGGTGATGGCCGTGTTGAGGGAATGGAGCAGGAAAGGAGAGTTGACGGATCTTTATATGTGAGGGACATCAGACCGGCTGAGTTGTCACCATCCCGGTATATGGCCTCCTGACTTCAGCCGCAGTATTCAGCTTTTCGAAACGACGCGTGTTCATGAGCAAAAAGGGAGCAGGATGTTTGAGCTGAGCAATCCTGGTCTTTTGAGTGTCTATCGAACTAGTTGTGTTTCAGCTGCAAGGGTGTTTTCAGCCAGCCTTCGTTCCTCTGCCGTTCAACCAGAATCCGAGTCACCGACATCCCATTTAGGGGGATTGCAAGAAAGGCAGATCAACGCAAAACGTGTTCCTGTGAACTCGAAATTGACAGTACCTTCGGAGTCATGAGAGTATCTGCTTCTGCCCTGTGGATTGTATGCTAGTCTTCAGCAATGGCAAATCCCCCTGTGTTCGTCCCGACGACGCCGAGCGGCAACGACAGCTACATATGCTATCTCACCAGCGATACTTGCCTTATCCTGAACTCGGGAGTGGATCCAATAAAACTTTCCAATCTTAAGTTGACCGTGGACAATTGCTTCATCTATTCGGAAACCATTGAAGTTGACACAGACGTCTTGGCCTTCCCGGGAAATCACCTGGGCTTGTTTTGCACATCATTGATCGGGCCCAATACCTTCACCATCGATGTTTCTGGCTCCGATGGCGCCCGCGTAGACCTCGCCCTCTCGGGCACGGGGTCTTTGGGGAACCCTGGGCGGCCAGGAGGGAAGGTGTGGATATATGTCGAGCAGATGACGGACGACTTGATCTATGGGCTCAAAATTCGAGCACATGGCGGCCATGGAGGTGCTGGAGGAGACACCACTGATCTCGCAGCCGGCGGTGGGCAGGGTGGAAATGGAGGTGCTGGAGGTAAGTTCACTCACTTCTCGATATTCGTGCCTCGAGAAAGCTGAGGCAATGTCAGGGTCAGCAGAGATATACTACGGCAGTGTTTCCGGCACACTTTTGGCCGCTATCAGAGCGGCTCAAGCCATCTCATGGCCTTCACAACTCACAGCATGCCTGAAAGTCCTCGGGTCTTGTGTGCCTCCTGCAGTGTCGGAACGATGGGTATCTTCACAGATGTTGTCGGATGCGAAGACCACCCTTGGCATGTATCAAGAGATCTCTGACGCATTGACGGCAGTGACAGCGGCCCTGGGGCCCGTGGCCAATCCTACTGGAGATTTGTCTATGCCACAGCCACTTCCCGCCACATCTGACACAGCTGGCAAATGCTTGCAAATGATATCAAAGCTGGTCCAGAACCTTTCAGCACCTCCACTCCAAGCCAAAGACTCGATGGGATCTCTTGCCACTGAGGTCGTCAATTCAATCAATGCCTGGTCTCAAGACGGCAGCGAAGACTCCGAGAGTCTCATGGTCACTGCCATTCGGAACTTGTCGCAGAACCTGTCGAACACAGGCAGCGGAGCGGACCTCTCCAACTTGTGGAATGACCTTTTTGCAGCTATCGAGGATATGGAATTGTCGTGGCGGTCAATGGCATCGGTCTCGATGGTCACTGCATTTGGCGGTGTGTTGCACCCTCGTCAACACTTCTTTGGCGTTACTGATAATAAGGATAGGCCGTCCGGGCATTGGCGGCCGTGGCCCCCTGGCAAGCAGTCCAATTGGTGCACAAGGGGCTCCAGGACCGAAAGGAACTACTTCCGCAATACTTCTGGGTTTCGATGGCCGACCTGAAGATCTTGCGGTGTCACAAGTATGTGCATTTCCCGACCAGTGTCAGATGTTGCTTGACGCTGCTGATCGCTTGTTCTTCACGAACAATCCCGTCGACATTGGATCTGCAGCGGTCTATTACCTCAGGTTGAGCCAAAGGCTAGCTTTCGTGCCGAATCTATCGGTCGCCGTGGAGTCCAGCACAGAGACCGCATCCAAGCTGCAGCTGGCCTATGCGTCTGCCGAAGCATCCGGCCTGACACTCTCTGCGATTCCGCGACTACAGCAGGTCTATGCCCGGGCCAAAAGTGGTCTGAACAAGATCTCGCTGCAGCAAGACCTTTTCGGTCATTCGCCGAACTGGGACCCCAGGCTATCCGTCGATTTCTATACAGATGGCCTCGACCAGTTACTGGCCAACCTCAAAGACATCGAGGCGTCAGTCCAAGGGTACTACAAAGCGATAGTTCTCGGTAACGAGGCCGACAGCAAGCAGAATTTCCAAACCGCCTCAGCGGCATTCAATAACAATACGGATCAAATAGCTTTTTTGACTGGTGACAACGGCATCCTCAAGACTTCGGCAACAAAAATTACAGCTTTGACCCCTAAATTGACCCGGGCACGCGACGATATCAAAGCCAAAGTACAGGCGGTGGAGTCAGATATCAGGAAGAACATCAATCTGAACCCCACGGATCTCTTGGATGCCCTGGCCACGGTTGCCATGGCTCCGTCGGAAGGATTTGCAGCAGCCGAGGGGGCCAGTGTCGCCTACAAGGCGTGGACGACGGTGGACGACGCGCAAGGCGATTCGGTCAACAAAGACTTCATCATCAGTCAGCTGGGCAGTTGCGAGGGGACCCTGGAGTCGCTAAGCGAGGCGTATTCCGTGCGAGATGATGGCCACGTGAGCGTCGACGATCCCGGAGCCATGAAAATCATTGCGGCGGCCAATTCTCTCGAAAATATCGTGGCCCGTTACAAAAGTGCCATCACAGGAGCGGACGCCGACGCCTTGAAGGCGAGTCTGGACACGTACATCTCGGTCATCCAACAGAGAAACGACGCCGTGCTCACCTACAACGCGGGCCTGCAGATGCTTCACGAGGCGCACGTGAATGCGGCATACAATCAAAAACAGATGGAGACCTTGGGCACCGCCATCGCCACGGCTGATCCGAAGCTCCCCGCCGTGTACCAGTGGTTGGACCAAACCCAGAACCAAACGCGGCTCGACATCATGCAACAACTGAATTACGCCGCCCGGGCATTGAGGTTCTGGGGATTATATCCGACCTTCACCTTTGCAGAGCCGGGCCCGCTCCTGGGATATCAAGACCTGCAGAATAACTACGATACCCTGAAGTCCACTTTCAAGGAATATATCGCGAAATACTCCCTGACGCCCCCGCACGTGTGGCCTGGCGACGGGGAGCCCGGCATCGTGATCGAACTTGACCGGTCCCAGATCCCATCGTTCCTGACGCCGACATCCGATGGCGGGAAGTTCGAATTGTTCTGGATCATCAACGCCAGCGACCCCTATTTCCCCGGCATGTACAACATCCGTCTCAGTCAAGTGCGGGTCTGGATCATCGGACCCTCCCTGACGCCGGACCCGCTGGGCCGCCAGCTCCTGACGGTGGAGATCCAGCACATCGGCAACGAGCAGATCGTCTCCCCGGAGCGCGAGATTTACACGTTCGTGCACGACGCCGTCTCCTTTCAGTTCAAGTACGACGTGAGCAGAGTCAAGACCAAGGCCGACTGCACCGACCAGGTCATTTTCGACAAGGAAGTCATTGAAGCAGGAGACTTCACCAGCAAGACGCCAGACACAGACCTGACCACGGCCCTGGCACCTCTCGGGCCTTTCACCATGTGGCGCATCATCGTCGACCCGGCCGAAAACCCGGGCCTGGTCATGAATACGGGGAATGTTTCCACCGTGATGATGGAGTTTCAGGGCTCGAATATGGCCCCTTCCTCTTCATTCGACGCCGAGGAGAGTTGACATGGCCACTAAAAGGGGCTGCGCTCCAACAGAGGACGGAGAAGGGGGGGGGGGGGGGGCCCGATGACTTGGCATAGATGCTAGGACAGCCCCCCCAAAAGCCAAAGTCCTGTCACCAAGGAATAACCTCTTCGCGACTCTGGGGGTTTGGGGTACTGGCTTGGAAGGAAGACAAACCACGACTCTCGCGGGGATGCACTCAGTCTGCGAATGCTCCACGGCCGAGCGCGAAGAAACCATTCTGGCGGGGAACACTTGGCTGAGACACGAGGCCATATTGAGGCATTCTATTGAAGGAAAATGGTAACAAGTTGGACATTATTAGCTTGACTCCTCCTCATCCTGCCCTATTCTGCCGTCGAATTGCTTGTTGATGCGGTGGACCCTTGTATCTCGTAGCTGGATTTCCACACGCCCGCCCATTGACTGATGCATCCTTGTCAGCTGCAAATACAAAAGTCACCAAGTTATACAAAAGCGAGAGGGTTTTGGTGATTCGAACCTCGTGTGACGCTGCACGCAGCCGAGGGTGTGAAGGAACCCTATGTTTGGGTTTACAGTTCGCCCAGTGGCAGCAGGAGCCTCGTCAGCTCTGCTTCGTATTCCTTTCAGCTCCATGTTTCAATTTGTTTTCTCTTTCTATCTTTCAGCTCAATTTCCCCGTGTCACGTCGGAGTCTTTCAGCCAGGCCCATGTGAAAGATGCATGGACCCTCCACCAACGAGGGGCCGAAGCCTGAGTCCTTCATCCCAATAAGGCGGCCGTGACACTTGGCGGGAAAGCTTTTTCGAACCGCACCCCCCACGAGCTTACAGACGAACGCGAGGGTAGTAGAGTGGCCGCTATCATCAATATGAGGCGGCTGCTTCCATCCGTGCCTCTCACCATGTCATTGTACATAAGTGCCTCTCAATGGCTTCACACCCGTGATTCTGACGCGTCGCAAAGGTTGGATGCAGCCATGTCCCAAACATCGAGAAGCAAGCTGACCAACTCGTCGCTGCCGGGGTCTCCAAGCAGCCTATGGTTGTCGAGGTGTCGCTGCTATCGACAAGCCATGGTTCAGGGGCGCCACGCCTTGCACGCACAATACGAGGAGAATCGCCCTGGCTTGCAATGAACAGTTGCCCAATCGAGCCGGCAGTCGACGCCGAGCTGAAAACATGGAGTTGGGAGTGCAAAGAGCTCATTCAGCTCAGCTATGTCTGCAAGTATGCTGGACATGATCTATAAGAATATCTGATGTTGTTGATGTCTTTGCTGTCTCACAAGTGTGTTCTTCCATTACTCTTTCTATCAGTCCGGACCGAAGTCTGCCCCAACAACATACTCGTCCGCGTTGACTTTGCAAACCCACTCGTCACAATGACTACTCTCGGAACGGTCTCGGTCGACTCCCTCACGGCCGAGTATAGGGCGCATACCCTCGTCCTGACCGCCGACGGCAAGGTCACCGGGGACGTCAGCCACCCCCGCTTCTATTCTCTGCGCTCGAGTGGGCTCGTATTCGAGCTCGAGGCTTGGTACGGGCCGCCCATTCCACACCCGACGACCCGACCATACCACGTCACGGCCAGTTTCAATGTCCAAGTGCCGGGCGATTTCGTCACCATCATCACCGCCAACTATCCCAAAGGCAAGCAGGTTCCCATTGTCTGCGAGGGCCAAGACGACAACGGCGGCCAAGGCACGAGCCCGGCGTCTCCGGCCGTCACCGCCCTCGGCCCCGTGTCCGTGGGACCGATAAAGAACATCAACGCGATCCTCAACAAACCTTTCCAGGTTCCGGCGCACGCCATCGTCCCGAGACTGGGCGAGGTTTCGATCAAGTTTCCGGCCGACTTCCTGACGCTGACGGACGCACGCATCGAAGACACCAACATCGTCTGGTTCTTCGACCCCGTCAAGCTGGGCTCCACGCAGGTCAGAGTGACCACCGAGTTTGGGATTGAGCCACTGCAGACGACACAAATCTATGATGTCCATGTGTACCCTCCTGTTCAGGATGGCAAGGCTGCGCCTGCTGCTGCTGTGACCACATCAAATGTGAAGTAGCTCGAGCTCGTTGCCTGGCAGAGGGCTGAAATTGGAACAGAGCCCATGGGCGATGAGCGCAATAATACATAGTTCACTCAGTGTGTACGTGTGAATAAATTTTGACTGCGCACCGAGCAATGCCCCTAAAACGGCACCTCTGCGTAGCGTATTTTTGCTCTTGGCTTCTACCTAACAGTATAACGTTGCACGTATAATGGTGGCCCAGTGACACTAGAGTCTTCCTGATTCGCCATATTCTTCCCATCGAAAGTAATATTGGGGTACATGACAGCAAGGTTAGCTTTGCTTCGACTTGGACTGGAAATATACTGCGACTGGATTGTGAGGTGGAAGGCTGGAGGTGTTCGGCGACTGGATGTTGAAGACTCGGCGCGATCACAGACGCGTGCGCACGTGCGCGGCCAAGCATGTCCTAATTAGGATTAGTTCACCGGATATCCCACGCGAGATTCTGCAGGCGCGTTCCAAAACAAACACAACCAAACACCGCAGGCTTGATAGCTAACTGCCTCTCTTGTATGATCACCAGTCATGTCCAGCTTGGGGTGAGCTCTGGGACTCTCACCATCATTGAGGTCTGACTGCACCCAACATCCATCAGCATCTTCGGGGCAAATGCGACGCAATCAGCGCAGGCCTCGTTGAGCCCAAAGAACATGGACCGGTGCTGGAACTGTGAGGCAGCTCGTACCGAGTATTGCCCCATGATAGTGAAGGGGCAATCTCGCGGCCAATTCATTAACCTCTTTGCCAGCGAATCATGCTAACGAGAGTAGTTCCTTCCCATGGCAAATGCTGAGATGTTTACCTTTGACGCCCTCGGTGACTATCGAAATCGACCTGGAATGGTTTGGCCATTCGAAAGAGAGGGATTTTGCAAAGAGGCAGGACGAAAGCTTGCGGGAACGTAGCCAAACGAACAAGGCTATGAAGATCACATGCATGAGAGCGGCCCTCTGTCCGATGCCGAAGATGGATTGTGTCGCGGCGGACTTTGCAACAGGCACATCCCGAAACCTATTGGCGCCGTACAAGATGGAGGCCTTGGAAAGGCATGGCGCACCAATGGCCTCGATAAATAGGGGGTTTGTTGCCATGGTCGCAGGCCGCTTGTAAAGCTGCCCGATGGAGAATGGAGATCAACTTCCACCGACAAAGAATTTGCGTCCGGTGGTATGGATCTGAAGACCTCAAGCACAATTGGTCTACATTCAGAGAAACCCTCCTCCTCCTCCTCCCTCTCGTCGCTCTCTGCGACACCGACACCACCGCCCTCTCTTACGCCTGCTCGGGCTTCTTGCTCTATTGCAGCTGCGCGGGCTCGCTTGCGAGCCCCAGACGTGTGGCCCGTCTCACTCTCCAGTCCCAGCATGTGGCCGGAATCCATGAAGAAGAAAGAGACCACGACCAGGAAAGGCTGGAGTGAGTGAAAGCCGACGGATTCCGCCCGGAGCAAAGAGGTACCGTCTCAACAACGCGTATCCAAAGATGCGGACCGATCAGGATTCTCTTGCAGAAGAATACTCCTGGTGCTTGGGGCCCAGATCGACTGCCAGTGACAGGAATGACATGGGACAGGTGGAATGAAGCAGAGCCTCTACCAACACAGGCACATCGAGTCTATCACTGCAGCACCGAGAGTCTCCTCCCACAGACACATTAAGTCTAGCATTATGAATACAAGGTCTTATCACTGGAACCACCTGGAGCCAATACTGTTCGAGGGTCGCTTACACTGCTGGAGCTTGTAAGTCGATTCATAAATCCCGACCTTTTCAGCGCACCTAGATATCTGTTCTGAGTTACCAGACAGCGGCGTGATTGTGACGGGGATCAGCTAGACTTTTGAAAACAATCCAGCAGTAGGCGACTGATCCGACTGCATCGGGAAATAGGTTTTCCTGTTCGCGTAAGCAGCGGATCAAGTCTCCCTTAGCGAGGGGTAAATAATATTAGTTACATTTCATCACAGCTCGAAATATTGGAGCGCAGTTCAATAGACCGAAGACCACACACTCTCTCTCTCTTTCTCCCCCTGCAAACAACCCTTTGCACCACCACCCTCTCTCTCTGTGTTCGCCCCGGACTCGAACTCTCACCAACCAAACACCCACATCCCCAACCCTTTTTACCCCGCCGAAGCTCCTCCATTCCTCCGTTCCACCCCGAGCACTTTGGGTACGTCAAACATGACGCCGCCGGCCATCATCGCGCCCTCGATCCTGAGCGCCGACTTTGCCGCCCTCGGCAGTGAGTGCTCTAAAACAATGGACCAGGGCTGCGACTGGCTCCACGTCGACATTGTACGTCTCTGCGCTCTCCCCCCCTCTCTCCCCTCCCCAACAAGCTATATATCCTTCGTCCTGCGTTTCGGTGTCGAATAAGAGACGGAGAGGGAGCCACACACAGAGGGAGGAAAGAAAGATACAGGCATCCCGGAGGGGTTATTCCTCCTCGAGAGTTTGACATGCATGATCGATCCCAAGGCACAATACAGCTGACATTTCCTCTGTGCTGGGGTGGGCTGCCTGGCTAGATGGACGGCCATTTCGTCCCCAACATCACATTTGGTGCGCCGGTTGTGTCCAAGATCCGGTCACACGTGGACAGACCCCAGAAACCAGGTGGGAGAGGCACATTTGATTGCCACATGATGATTGCAGAGGTGAGTCAACACGTCTTCCGCAGCGAGGGGAGGGTGAGAGACTGCGGAGTGGACTGGACAACACGGCGACTTGATGGATAGAGAGGCGCACGAGGCGGTAGATGTGTGCCAGACTATTACCATTCTCCTTCTCCAAACGGGGGACCGACCGTCTGGTCCTCTCTGCTACTGCGATTGTGCTTCTTCTTCTGTTCTCTGTCCCGACGGGTGCCCCCGACCGACCTAATTTCTAACGAACAACTTCATCCACAACAACAGCCTCACCGCTGGGTCTCCACGTTCCGCGACGCCGGCTGCGACCTCTACTGCTTCCACTACGAAGCCGCCGTCACCTCGGTTGCGGCCACGAAACCCGAAGACAAGACCACGACGCGGCCCACGTCGCCGAGAGAACTGATACGCTACATCCACGAACTCGGCATGCAGGCGGGCATCGCCATCAAGCCGGAAACGAGCGTCGACGTGCTCTGGGAGATCCTGGAGGCTGAGGACAAGGAGGAACGACCAGATGTAACGAATCCCCCCCTCCCTACCTCCCCAATGCCCGTGTTGTCCAACCTTGATCGAACATTTTCATATACCATATGACTGGCTGGCTTGGTTTGAACTGACGGGTCCCCGATTTCCCGACAGATGGTCCTCATCATGACCGTGCACCCAGGCTTCGGCGGCCAGAAGTTCATGGCCTCGGAACTGCCCAAGGTGACGGCGGTGCGGCAGCGCTACCCGGACCTCAATGTCGAGGTGGACGGCGGCCTCTCCGAGTCGACGATCGACCAGGCCGCCGAGGCCGGCGCCAACGTCATCGTCGCGGGTTCGGCCGTGTTTGGCGCCCAAGATCCGGGCCACGTGATCCGCGTGCTGAGAGAGGCGGTGGAGAAGAGGAGGGCCGGCGGCAGGTTATGAAAAGGACCGATGTGAACGATAATGATGATGGAGATGATTCTGAAAAGTTGGCGGGCAGACCGCGAGCGAACGAACGAGCGGCGACAGAGACGAAGGACAGTGAACGGGGAAAGCCACCTTCGTGTGCGGCAGGAAGAGAGAGCCATCTTGGTACCGTCGTGCAGAGAGAAAGAAGCGCTACATACATACATATAGTTAGTTGTTCATAGACCGTTGTAGGTTGCATTGGTATGTCAATCATGTAAGTGATATGACTCCATTCGTGTCTCGATCAGAGAGATATATATATCCATTCCCACCCACCACGCACTCCAAAGCCCCTGGCACGTTTCTGTTGAGTTTCGAATCCTATTTTCATTTTGCGTTGTACACACGAGTTTCTTTCTCGGGCAGCAAGCTCAAGCTCCAGCTCCAGCTCCAGCTCCAGCTCCAGCTCCAGCTCCAGCTCCAGCTCCACAGTGGCATTCGGGCCGCACCTACCTTTTCAAAGATAGATAGATAGACAGATATGTCCAGATATGTCCCTGCTCTTGTGGTCCTGGAGGACAACATCAATACCCACTCTTCCCCTTAACCACATTCTTCGCGCCTCCTTTCTTTCCAAACATGTCCCGCACATCCCTCAGCAGGTGCTCCGGTCGCTCGTAGGCATAGAAGTGGCCCCCGCTCGGGTGGGTGCGGTCGAAGACGATGTCGCCCTGCGTGCGCGTCCAGGTGCTCGGCAACACCCGCACCTCCCGGGGCGCGTGGCTCAGGCCCAGTTTCACGCCGCCGCCGATGTACTCGCGCGTGCGGTCGCGGGTGATGCGCGTGGCCGGGTCGTCCCATTCGTGCGTCGCCTCGTAGTAGATGCGCAGGCTGGCGGCCGGGCCGGCGGTCGAGAACCAGTAGATGCTCAGCCAGGTGCAGACCTCGTCGTCGGTCCACGGGTACTCGTCGCTCCAGTCGTGCAGTTTCTCCCAGATCCACGCCAGCAGCGCCACGGGCGAGTCGGCCAGCGCGTAGCCCAGCGTCTGCGGCCGCGTGGCCTGCTGGGCGCGGTAGCCCGACGACTCCTTGAAGAACCAGGCCGTGCGCTGCAGCCCTTCCTTTTCCGCCGCCGTGTACGGCGTGATGGCGTGCTGCAGGGCCAGCGTGGGGTGGGTCAGGAACGAGGGGGCCTCGCCCTGGTCGAAGTTGACGTGTGTCGCCTTGCAGTGCTGCGGGTACCGCAGCGCGATCGCCCGCGTGATGTAGTACCCCCAATCGCCGCCCTGGGTCACGTACTCGTGGTAGCCGAGTTTCAACATGAGCTTGTGGCACGTCTCGGCGTACTGCGCGATGGCGAAGCCTTTCTTCTTGGGCGCCTCGGAGAAGCCGTAGTTGGGCAAACTGACGGCCACAAAATGGAACGCTGGGTCATCCGAGCCCGGATCCGGGGAAGGCAGCTTGTCCCAGATCTTGACCGCCTCGATGAAACTGCCGGGCCAGCCGTGCACGAAGAGCAGGGGAATGGCATTCTCGACGCTGGATCGTTGGTGGACGAAGTGCACTTTCAATGGCTCGAAGCCGCCATCCACCTGGATCGTGGTGCGGTAGTTGGGCAGCTCGTTCAGCTTCTTCTCCGCCTCCCGCCAGTTGTATGTGTCTTTCCAATATCTTGTCAGGCGCTGGACGTCAGCCAACGGAGCGCCATAGTGCCACTCCGCACCTTCGAGCTCATCCGGGAAGCGAGCCAGCGACAGGCGAGTCTTGAGGTCCGAAAGGGCCGAGTCGGGGACGGTGATGGTAAAGGGTTCAATGTCCGCCATTGTGGGAAGCGTGTCTGCGAGATTCTCGAGGAGGACTCGGAAGAGGAAGGGAGGAACTTTGTCAGAAGAGGTGGTCTAGATATATACACGGTTGGGTGACGGTGAGAGTGTAGGTCTGTTTTGTCAGCTTTTCAATGGTGCGCCCTTCCACCTACGTGATGCCCACAGATCGACGATGCGGGCAAGCATCATTCAAAGAGTATGAGGCGTTGACGGCCATAAGAAGGAGAAATGGTGAGCTCAGGCTGCGAATAACGACCATGGGCCCGGCAATGACAGTCGGGCGCGTCAAAGTCAGATCAAGACTCCGCCCGGGAAACTGCTGCAAGGAGCGTATTCTTCTCGGTCCCCGCACCGGTGCGAACGGAACCGATCGTCAAGATCCGAAGCCCAACCTAGTGACACAGGTTACTAATGCTATACGCTCGCCAGCACCAACGGCACCAAGTACGGCATCAACAATTGAATTTCCCGGCAGAGAGTGGGCAGTGTTGTCAATATAAGAGTCTACCGAGTGCTATGGATCAATCAACACACCGACTTCACGTGTATTCCGCCGTCTTGACCAGCTAGAGATAGCTGCATCATGACTTGAGCGAGAAGGCCAAAGGTTCGCTTGCCACTGAGTATCGTGGTATACGTTACAATCAATCACATTCCATTCTTACGTACCACCCCGCCACCCCGGCGGACGGTCTGACCAAGAAGAGCCCAAAATTTTGATACCATTGAGACACAAAGGGAGAAAGGCCCATGACAGCTCTCACCCCCAAAAAAAAGCCATCAGAACGTGAGCCCAAGAGGGTTGGCAGCAGCAGTGGGATTGCCTTGGATCTTGGGTCGATTTGCCGCCGCCGTCGTTGTCGGTTTTGGCGCAGCAGAGGTGTTGGGTTTGCTGGGTGTCTTCTTGCTTGAACCCGGCTGCTTGGTGTTGCCATCTGCTGGCTTGCGCCTCATGGCCCCGGGGTTCGGCGTGGTGGGCAATTTGTTCACGCTCGCAGCTTTATTGGCACCATTGCCCTGTTTGTGCTGTCTCATGGCTCCAGGGTTGGGGGCGGTGCTGGTCCTCGCCGCGGACTGCACAGGCTTGAGGGGGGCAGAACCGACTTTCTTAGCCGGGGCGCCAGCGGTAGATGTGGCTTTGTGCGCGGTCTCCGATGCCTTTGGCCCAGGAGCTGGCAAGGCCTGCCGTGGAGTTCCTCCCTCGATCTGCTTCTGGGGCGGAGCCGACTTGCTCGTGGTCATCAACCTCTTTGAGGGAGGTGTCTTTGGTGTCGCTGCCGGTGGACGGTAGATCTGTGGACTGGTGACCTGTCGCCTTCCCCCCGTCTTACCTCCACTCAATCCCAGAGGGTTACTCGCTGTCGCTGCTCGGACTCCCCCAGCCTGCGTCCAATCCATTATGCCATTCCCATAATCCTTGACTCCATCCCCGTATCTTCGAATGGTGGAATGGATTGACTCTCCTACCCCGTTAATACTACTGCCGACTGCATTGACCGCTCCACCTGCAAATGCCCCGGCACTTGCCACGGTACTGGATACCGTGGGAGCAAGTGCTTCACTGACCTTCCCCAGAACCCATTGAGTCGCCATTCTTCTTCTTTTTACGCAGCCGGGGTGGCTGAAGGGGTTGTGGGGGTGGCTGACTTTCTGGGACCAAGCTTCGGAGGCTTTCGCTTGGGCTTCTCTTCGCCGGCAGAGGTGACACCGTTGACGCTTTCAGCGGTCTCAGGCTTCTGGGTGCTAGGCGGGGCTTCTTGCGAGTGGTGGGGATGCACTGGTTGACGAAGGGTGGTCAACTTCTGCCTCGGTGGCGGTCTGGGAGTTCCAGTGTGATCCTCGACCACGGGTTTCGGCGGGAGTTTGGGCGCGGTACGGACCTTCCACTCGGGTTTGGCCTTGGGGGCAGTCTGTCCTCGAGTGGCGGTGATGTTGATAAAGTCCTTGTCAAAGAAGATATCAAAGGATACGTTAGGCATTGGGACCTGCGGGAACTTGAGTCTGCACCTGAGTCAAGGTACAGACAAGACCATATAGTGTGAGTATTTTCTGAGAGGACAGATGAACCGTGATGTCAAGAAAGAAAGGGCTAGATTTTATCCCTTCAGTATGTTTGCTTTGCAGAGCTTCTGGCTTTTGATCGACAGCAGGCAGCATGCGAGGAAGGATATGGACCAGTTGTGCTCCCACAAGAACGTCATCTCGGGCTCCCCACGCGCCGTGTGATTGGAGAGCCGCAGCACCGCCACCGATGCCACAAGGGCCCTTTTCCTGTTTTTCCTTGCTTTTGACACGCATCTGGACCACGGCGACCAGGGTGCGCTCTCCTAGGAATTCCCTTCGATCGTTGATGCCACCCCAAAAGCACGATGAGCCCAGCAGCCACCGGAGCGGGCAGTCTTGTCATTTGTTCGCATCCTCGGACCCGTCGTCCCCTTCCCGGTCGAGATCGAGAGGTGAGGAGAACGCCACAACTGAAACAGAACTGACCAACGGTGCTTTGAGGAACACGGCTAGCGATCCTCCCCCGTTGCAGAGACACCATGGACCCTCTGTACGTCAGGGTGGCGTTGGCCCAGCAGCACCCAGCCTTTACTATAATCCACGTACCAGTCTCGCAGTCTACAACTGTGGCTGTTCGCCTATCGTGTCGAACAACAATGGGCGGGAGGAGGAAGAGAAGGAACAAACGACTTTGGTTCAAGTACAGTTAGTTAAACAGCAATAATGGCTCCGTCCAGAGCACCCGCCCTTGAGCCGGCGGCGGGTTTTTCGCTCGACTCAAGACCCGACCGGCCTGATCGTGTGCCCCTTGCAAAGGGCGAATTCTCCGTTGCGTCCAGAGCTTTGGCTTTGTCGACCTATTTCTTATCGGGTGCATTGGCTATCAATATCTCCCAATTTCTTGGGGCGCCATTGCGCGCGATTAACGAGGACTGGTACAATGCATGGATTGCATTCACCAAGCAGTCCTTCGGATTGCTCACCATGACCCTCACCCAGACGTTTGCGCCGACAAAGGTCATCGTCTCGGGAGACAAATCGGTGCGAGGACAACTGCTGAAATCGACCGAGGGAGACTTGATTTTGGATTTCCCGGACCGGCTTGTTCTCATTGCAAACCATCAAATCTACACTGACTGGCTTTACCTGTGGTGGATAGCCTACTGCAATGGGATGCACGGTCGCCTCTACATTGTCCTGAAAGAATCACTGCGCAAGATTCCGGTCATCGGATGGGGGATGCAGCTGTATCAGTTCATCTTCTTGAAGCGCAATTGGGAACAGGATAAGCCGAACATGGCCAGCGCACTGCAAAGGCTCAACAAACCCACGGATCCGATGTGGCTTCTGCTCTTTCCCGAAGGGACCAACCTTGCTCCCAGCACTCGCAAACGAAGCGCCGAATGGGCAAAGAAGAATAACATTCCCGACACAAGACACGTCCTCCTCCCTCGAAGCACCGGCCTACAGTTTTGTCTCGAGGAACTCAAGGACACTGTGGACTACCTCTACGACTGCACGATCGTATATGAAGGGGTCCCCCGTGGGCAGTACGCACAAGACATCTTCACTCTGAAAGCCGGCTATTTAGAGGGCCGGCCTCCGAAATCCGTCAGCATGCATTGGCGCCGATTTGCGGTCAAGGAGATCCCGCTGCACAACGACAGAGCATTTGAACTCTGGCTTAGAGCCCGCTGGCGTGAAAAGGATGTCATGATCGAAGAGTACTACCAGACCGGCAAACTCCCAGCCGACTATGGCGCCACGAAATATAAATCCGGTAAGGTCCTTCGGGGATGCGGACATATGGAAGTTCCCATTCGCGCCAGTCGTTGGTACGAGTTTCTCCAGATTTTTGCTCCGATGGGGATCCTCGCGATGATTTTGTACATCTTCTACGGCGACCTGCCGAAGCGGTTCTGGAAGAGCATCAACAAGCAAGCGCTCCAAGCAGGAACAGAGGACATCAAGAAAGCCGGCATTCAAGCCGGGAAAGGGGTCCAATCTGCCTCTTCCGCCCTGGGTGGCTTGACGTTGGACTCATTCTTTGAACCCGGGAAGCAGGAAGAGACTTTCGCAGCCGGAGCCGTGGCCGTCCAGAAGCTCCTCACCTCACCCCAGGCGCAAACTCTTCTGAACCGCGCCGACTTCATCCAGGCATTCCTGTCGGACCCCCAGAAGCTGGTCCAGGACAGCATTACGGATACACAGCAGAATTTCATGCAACAATTAGCCCAGGAAGAAGCCAAGAGACAACAAGGGAGAGTAGCCTCTACTGGTCATACGGTCCCATTGAAACCTGCCACCAACACGACGGCGAACGGCGGATTTTGGAACAAGATCGAAGCAGAAGAAAAGAGCCGGCGTGGCTCCGTCGTCTCCAAGACCCCCCAAAAGAGTACATTCTGGAACGACCTGAAGGCCGAAGAGCAGAGCAGACGGGGCTCTGTCATATCCGTCCCGACATCGACCAGTTCTCGACAGTCAAAAGGCACATTCTGGCAGGATCTCAAGGCAGCTGAGGAGAAGAAGGCAAACAACACCACGACAACAAAGACGCCCCTTGCGAAGAATGGAAGCAAGAATCTCGCTCTCCCCAAGGGAAACTTTTGGGACGCGGTCAAGGCCGAGGAGAACAGTCGGTACGGGACGGTGACAACGTTATCGAGTAACGCATCCACGGCTGTTGCTTCCACCACTTCCGCGCCAGGAAAGACAGTCCTTGGCCCGCCGCCGAAGCCCGGCTTGACGAAAGCCCCCGCGAAGCTCGAACCGGGTCCAGCAAAAAAACCGCCTGCCACCCAGAATGCGTCAAAGCCGACCACAAATGGGCAGAAGACTACTGCTGCGGCGGCCCCGGCGGCGACCTCACGCCCGGCACAGAAGAAAGAAGCGACCCCGACCACGACGACACATGTGAGCAAGAAGCCCGCATCCTCGACTCCTGGGAAACCAGCGAACCCAGCCTCGAAGACCAAAGCCAGCACAAGCACCGCGTCGAAAGCAACTCCGATCAAGCCGTCGTTGTCGCCCTCGACCGTCTCCAAGACTGCCAAGCAGGCGTCTTCCACAAACCCGACTCCAGCGCGGAAGTCCAAGATCATTACCACGAAAGAAGCCAACGCGGCGGCGGCGTCTCTGCCAAAGAACAAAACCAACACACCCACGCAGCCGCCGCGAACCACCGCGGCAGCCTTGAAAAAGCCTAGCGCACAGAACAGGTCTGGCCCAGATCCCACGAAACCCTCACACTTGCCCTCTCCCGCCGCCGCCGCCCCCGCCGCCACGCAGAAACCGGCGGGGATGAAGGCAAGCAGCGTAAGCAGCAAGGCTGGGCCAGGTCCAAAGGCAAAGAAGAACACCACGATGACGACGACGAACAACGGCACTGCGCTGTCGAAGTCGAAGACTTAAAGAGAGCCTCGAAAGGAGGGCAATTTCGCGGAAAGACGGGACGAAATGACAGCGGGTCGCAAACAAGGGGGCCACTGTGCGACATTTCGCGCTGTTGAGGGTGGCTGTGCGTGCAATTGTTGCCTGTTGTATCCCCTACGCCTCTCTGTGCCACACCATGCCATGCCATGTCGTGATACGTTACAGCATGTTTAGTTTGTTATTGTACCTTTCAATAGGATACCCAATGTTTCACAATACACTCACAGGTCACGACAATACCAGGGATGTCCTGTTTGCACCACCAGAAAGCCCTTTGAAGCACGCGGTATGCCGTTGTCCACAGCTTCCACTGTATACATATATGGCCCTATCTCGACGCCTTAGAAGGCAGTCTTGAATTCCACCCACGCACGGAGATGCTGTTAGTCGGTCATCCGCCACCCATCGTTGCATCAAACGGTATTCGCTTGCATATCCCCTGTTTGTGCCTCACTGTGATTATTGCCTGGCTCCAGTCCCTGGGTTAGTCTGTTACACAAGGCTGTGGGCATGTGCCATACAGCCTCGTAAGAACAGTGACAGCGCGTTCAGGCTGTGGGAGTGAATGGGCAGATTGCCTTGCCTATCATCGAATATCCTGACAACTTACAGCGCTGAGAGTCCACGGTCCTATCTATCACCCCTCTGGCTCTTGACCAAGTCTTGCGTATTCGCCTCTTCACCCGGCTGCCTTTCGCTGGTCTCTTTGAGCCGTTCGTCGACATCTCCATCTCCATCTTGATTGTGTGGACGACCGATTCACCTCATCAAGACAATCTCCACAGCACCGTGTCAACCTTCGGCGCACCGGGAGCTCTGTTCAAACATCACTGGAGACCTCTGGAGTGCCACGCTGTCAATCCTTCGATGGCAATGTCTTCACGAGCAGCTGCAATGACTGCGGTGGAGCTCAGAGAGTGAGTCTTCATGCAGGCCAAAATTCTTCTCATCACCAACCTATAGCCACGAACACTCAGATCCATTACAGCAAGCTGACAGTGAGAACGAATGCAGTCTCCCACGGCAAGAAAGCATTACGGTCCTGCACCACGACAAAGACGCGACTGGTGGGGACAACCTTCGTATCGTGACCGAAACGCTCCCGAAGAGCATTGCGACTGCGTTCTCAAGCAGGTGGGAGGCCGAGCTTCCCCGCGGAAGCAAGAAAAGCATCGGGGACTTCCGGAACACTGCTGGCGATCCAGCCGACACGGTTGTCGTGACCGGCGGCAGCCCTGCCATATGGTGTGACATAATCAACTGGATGCTTGCAAGTTGCCAGGGGTATGGATTCGCTCCGACCCCAAGTGCAGAATTCAAGCAATATTCATTCCAGTACTTCGTCCGCAAGTACGCTGCTTCCATTGGATGTGACACTCTTCAGAAACGAGCCGAGCAGCGGATGGCGCGCATCTCTATGGAGCAGGTGCATTCAGAAGACGTTCGTGCCCTGTGGCTCGTCAATCCCCCAGATGAAGAGATGAGAACATTTCTTGTCGAGCACGTTGCTGTTCGTTGGTGGGAGAGGCGGCTCAAGGCCAAAAGCGCATATTTGACGCTCCGAGAAGAATTCCCCGACCTAAATGAGAGGATCAACACTTTCCTTACTCAGCTGAAGAACGCTTCTTGTGAATCTCGTGGGAACAAGACACCAAAGCATCGGAGACAAGGGGGCAACAACAAGGCTAAAACCGACAGTGCCCCGAACGCTCAAGCAAAGGGGCGCAAGGACCAGCAGAGTAACCGTGACGAGACCCAGACCGTCACCTTGAAGGTGGAAGTTGTGAGGAAAGCGACCAAGAAAACTCCTGCTTATGCAAAGCTCGACCTGGCTTCCATCGGGGTCACCAGAGACCAATTCTGTGGTCGGAGATCTTAAAAGAGTGTTTCCAATCCGTACAGACCAACCTTTCTGTGCACTTCTGCGGTGTGGCCTGATGGTTACAGGCAGGAAAGGACGCGCGCAGGCACCTCCGCCCAACAGAACAACATCAGGACATTGTCCATCATTGCCACTTGCTTCTCCACCTCTTCGACTTTCATGTGCTTGACGGGCTGGACGTTGAGCGAGGTGCAGGGAGACGGTGCTACCAGAGATCGAATGGAAGGAAGTCGAGGAGGGAGATGTCAGTAGGACTGCACCGGGGAGCTCAGATTGAGGAGGAGGCAGCGTAGTGTGCGTGCGGTCGACATGACCGTGGCCAGAGCGTACGAGACCATTCTACCCATGCAATGACAGGTCAACAGACTGCAACTTTGATCGTAATCCTCGTGTGCCATGGGCATCACCCGTTCCGGGGAGGAAGCTGTACTGGCAGCGAGATAGTAATGTCAACTTTTCCTAACAGCGGAAAATGTACTTGTATGGGAATCCGCGCGAGATGCAGTCTGCAAGATGTCGAGCCGTTGCGGTGACACAGCAGCGACTGCATGGAATACAAGATTGAGGAAGTCTGGAACAGAATGCGAAGCCCCTGCAGGAAAACCCTCCGACCGAATGGAAATATACGGAGTGCGCAGTAGGGACCTCACACGCCACCGAGACTCGCTTGTGCGCCGTAAGCTTCAGGGGCATCAAAGGCCCAATGCAAGATGAAACCAGCTAAAAGGATAGGCACGGTAGGCTTAATCCAGCACCTTCCTTTAACTGGACAAGAGAGGGCTTTTAGTTAAGACTAGCCTAACTGCATGAGCCTAGTAGGCGCGCTAGGCCAAGACCCACCCCTCTGCACCCGCCCTGCACCACCCCCAGAGAGGCGGCCGGCTTGACAGGTGCCACCAATGCCCACCAATGCCACTCGCCTAATCCAGTTACAGATACGAGGCCACGAGAAGAAGTGAATCACTTCTCATGCAGACATCAACCAAAAGTTTTTTTCTTGTTGCTTGACAAACGTGTTCGGCGCTTCCCCTTTCCCACGCCTCTCGAATGGAAGAGACGCAAATCACAGCTGCAGACGGCCACCCACGACAATCCTCTCTCTCCATCACGAATCACCCACCACCCTGGCCAACGAACGCTATCACATCACCCAACACCAAACACCAAACAGCGCCATCGCCACCGCCGTTCTGCTAGTTAGCGGCTGCAGTCAAATAATCGATCGGATCGTCGATTCCAGTGGCGTCTCATTGTCCTTTCCACACCTCAACTCAGCCTGGGCGCAGGGAGGCGCTTACCCCAATAGCCAGTCTAGTGAGCCGATCCCTGCGAACCTCGTTATCTCCAGGTTTTGACGCATCCTTAGGTTCGCCAGAGTCAAAATAATTTACTTCCATCCATCGTGTCCCCTCTCCTCTCCCTCACTGCTCGTGGTCGGCTGGCCGCCAAACTGGGGGCTTTTTCACTTCCGTATCAAGGTCAAAGGGAGGTCGCATCCTTCACTCCTCTGACATTTCAGTGAATTCAGGGCACGGACGCCGTTTGGGCGAGGGGTGAAGAATGCCCGTCCTGATTTGATTTCTCGAAAAACCAAGTCTCAGGGGAAAACAGCGAACACCACCGAGAACTCCGATAGCCAAATCCTCTTGGTTTAGCAAGGCTTTGATGCCAGTATCAGCCCTGTCGGTGGGTGAACTGATGGCAAGCTCGGACTAGAAAATGCCTTCAGCACCAGAAACTCCGGAGTCATCTCGACCACTTGCGGACCACTTCTGGATCGCCGGTGTCGACAGCCAACAACTGGTAGATGCCTTCTCTCAGCCACGATGGTCTCACGATCACCTCGAGCCTATCAGCGTCGACTTTTCCATCAGAGAAGAAACCTCTGTCGACAATGAGCAGTCATCCATCCTCCAGTCTCCTCGAGCCTCGATTGGCCATTCTAGACATGACTCCTACCAGAAACTCTCGCAACTTTCTGATGAGGCCAGGGAGACCATCCAGAGTCTCCACGAGGAGCCGCGGCCCCGCAGCAATCGCAGCAGCCTCACTATTCGACCGGCCGCGGGCCCTGGCCCCAATGCTCGGATGTCCTCACTGATATCGGAAGCCGATTTTGAGAAAGCCATGGCCAAGTTCGCCACTGACCGAGACGCCTTCTATCTAGACCTGACGTTTCATCCGAACGAAAACACCAAGCCTGCTCGTTCCAAGTCGCGGCCCAAGACTCAGAAGATCATTGCTCAAGATGAGGCCGCTCTGGTTCCCAATCGCAATTTTGGAAGCATCCGCCGACACCTTTCCTTCAAGGACATGTCCAGCACGAAACGCCAACCATCCATGGCTCGACGGACGTCGACACGCACCTCCCGTAGGCTGAGCAGTTACAACTCAGTCATCCCCAGCCCAGAGACCTTCCACAGCTTCCCTGACCAGTATCCCCTGCTGCGGAAATTCGAACCCGTATTGCTGGAACGATATCCTGGATCCCGCACACTCGACAAATCTCAGATCAGGGCACCTTTTCCAGACTATGTGCCCATGTTTGCCTTCCCGAATGACGTCAAGATTGTAGCCTCTGAAATCAGGCCGAGGTCAAGCTGGCACGAATTTTCCATGACTGCATCAGACAACTCGAGACTAACGGGCGTGACGGTCATCATATGGATTCCAGTGAACCGCGATCTTGCCGCTGTTTTGGAAAAGAGGTGTGAGCAATGGAGAAAAGCTCATATGTCGGAGGCTGAGCGAGAGATGGCGACGTCACTTGCAGAGAGATTGGCAGCAGAAAGTGCAAGATTGTCTAGGCTTCTAACACAACTGCCCCAACTCTCGCCCGATTCAGCGGAAAGAGAGGCTTTGGAGGATGAAATAGGCACGGTCGAAGAGAGAATCAGTGTCATGTCTGACATGCTCAGACCATTGCGGCACAATTCCGAATCAGATATCCAAGGGCTGACCGGCGGCGAAACGCGCTTCTGGATCCCGAGAGCTTACGGAGTTTTGGGGAGAGACAAATCCATGGCGAATTTCTGGAGGCAATGGCTTCGAGCGGTTGTCGTCCCGATGACCGATGGAGGAGTCTTGCGGGTACCGGCCAGCTCCCCTAAAGTCGGTATGTGGCAGCCATTGGAGAGGTACGTTGCTGCGCTGTGCCTCGAAGCACCAAGTCCCGTCTCATCCAGGACCCAAGTCCAACTCCCGATTCGAGAGCTCCAGCTGTATGCTAAAAAAGAAGCGCCAAATGAACTCCCGGGCAGCAGGACGACCGATCTGTACCCCCTCTTCCGAGCCCTCACAATCCCCAACATTGTTCTTCTCCTCGAATACGTCTTATCGGAGTCCAGGATCGTTCTCCTCTCAGCCCACGTCGCAATGCTGCAGCTAGTCAGCAAAGCTATCCTGGAACTCATCTGGCCCTTCGAATGGACAGGGATATACATCCCAGTGCTGCCATCGCGTTTGGTCCAGGCATTGGATGCGCCCTGCCCGTACATCTGCGGCATCGACCGGAACTACGAGAAGTTCGATCTTCCTGATGACGATTATGTTCTTGTCGATCTGGATAAGAATGAGTTGCACAGCACCGCACCACCACCGTTCCTACCGAAACAGCAACGGAGAAAATTGATGTCTCTGCTTTACCAGGCTGCGCCACTGCACCAAACCTCTGGAGTGCCCACCGGGCCCCCTGCCTACGCAATGGAGACATACCCGTGTGATGCCTTTGCTGCAGAACTCGAGTCTACCTTCACCGCGGTCACCAAATCCACGAATCTTGACAAACTCGCGAGCCTCAGCTCCACCACGTTCGGGCCACAGGCCACAACTGACACCATTCGGCGGGCCCCGCTGCTGAACGTCTTTCTTGCTTCTACACCAACAAGAGGAAAAAGCACTGATCGCCCCAGGACATCGTCAACAGCCAGACACTCTACATTCACCGATTCCGACACTCAGTCGCCCGTCACTCCTAACTTCTCCCTGTCGCCTAACCCTGGAACGCCACGGACCGAGACGGGGTACGCTCTTCAGACGTCCCTCCGGGAGAAGAGATCTGGTCATTTCGACTCGTTGTCCAAGAGAAGCTTCTCTGGGTCTACCCACATGATTCGCAAGGCCAGCCTTCCGTTTGTGAAGCACAGTGCGAGCCCTTCTTCGAGCACTACGCTTTCAGACAATCGAAATGGGTCAATGTATGCACCCTCTACGTACGCACAGTCGACACTGGCGGCTTCTACCATCATGCCTGGAACGCAGACACAAGCCGTACGAAATGGCGAAGGTACATATTGGTCAGAGGGCCATTATTTGCAGTGGCGATCCGCAGATGGTCCGTCCACGTGTCTCCTATGCGACGAAAAGGCTCCCGATGGATACTACAGGTGTTCAGGCTGTGGCTTCGTCATTCATGATCGCTGTGTTCAAAATATCGCTATTGTCTGCTCTGCAGCATTCTACCCTGACCAGATCCGCGCCGCCTTTGTACGATGCATGGCCAGCTTGTTGTATACCTATCGGAAATTCATGCTACCTGCAACTCCTCAGAAAAAGAAGCTTGGAGCTGTATACACCTTTGACAGTGACGCATTCACCCGGAGTCTGACCCCGGACCATGCTGCGTACATGGGAATGCTGCAACAGACCCAAGCTTGGAACGAGTTTATCATGGACCGTGAAGAGAAAACATCGACCCCGTCGATAGCGCTGTTCGACGCCATTATCACGGCAAAGCGTCGCCGAGCCGGATTGCGGTCATCTATATCCAGTCTCAGTCTCAATAGGAAAAGCTTCATGGCATGGCCGCCCTCTGGAGGTCTGCACGCCGACACGCTCTCGGATACGTCGCAACATCAATGGAAGATAGTGCCAGTACCATCCAGTGTTGATCGGCCAGAGCTGGGCGCCGCAGCAAAAGGACGTGATTATCACACCATTGTCACACGAACCCCCGCGAAGCTGGAAGAGGCTTTGTTCAAGCAGGATGAAAAAGTTCCGAATTTGCCTACAATTCCCAAAAGATCCAGGATCAGCATACTGACGGGCAAAATGAACGGTCTCAACATGCACGCCCCATGAAAGCTCTATCGACGATGTTTTGATCCTGCCACCTTTTCCAAGACACATATGGTTATCAGACCCAAGAGGCGCCGTCGAGGGAAGCTCTCATGCTGCTTTGCGTCGACTCAAGAGGTTGCCAGTGCTCAGGGAGCCCCGCTCTCCCATCGCGGTCCTCCATTGAATGGCAAGTTGACCCAAAACCGCCCGGCCATCACGTTTGATATTATTCTTGAGTTCCTCCAACCCTTCTGCGAGACCTTGTTCCTGCTCGACCAGGAAGGCTACTTGTATTATATCTCGGGGTTTCAGAGCGCGATGTTCCACAGCAACATCGTCATCCTGCTCAGAATCCCAATTCAATGATGTCGACTTGAATGGCATCTTCGCCTGGAGTTTTGTCTCTTGCAGCAGAATCGGCGCATCGGATACGTTTTCCAGTTGCGCTTCTAAAACATAGCGGAGCAATGTCGCTCTGCCGTACGGGCCGTGTGTCTTGTCAGCAACCTCAACAGCTTTCAGTTCCGTGGTTTTAGTGCGAACGCTCACACAAGGTTGAGCGAGGAACTGGTACAATTTCCGAAACGACCGGACCCTGCCGCCTGTGGCTTGACCGTCCCCGGCTGCGGTCTCGGTGTAGGTGACGTTGACCGCGAGCACATGGTTACCTTCCTCCTTGAGGTCGAACCGAATGATTCTTTGCAAGGCGCTTCCGGGACCGGTGTGGTTCGGAGTATGTTCCGTCGCGTCGTCAGCTGCATAGAGCTCAAGGGGCACCGCCTGGGATGGTGTTTGCATCTCGGCCACGATCCTCGTTCCCGACACGGTCTTGGCCGTCTGTGCTGGGGGGAGTTCATTGTTGGCGCAGAGAGCGCAAGAGAAGGTCTCGCCAACATGAGCGGAACCGAATGATGGCGGTAAACCCAAGCTGGTGGACAAAACAAAGTCCTGGTCGATGGCTTCGGATGGATATGCTAATGAAGCTGTATGGGGTATCGTCGTATCATTTTCGTGGGGGAGAGGATGTTGCTGTGCCAGAGCAGGTCGAGAGAGTCTGAGGACGAGCGTTAACTAATTGACCCATTTTGCCTATTTCCCTGAATACGTGTAGCCAGCCACCGACACGGGACTCACGGAACGCACCTCAGCACTGAAAGAGTTTTGGCAGTGTATCAGCAGAGCGCAGGTAGAAATAGCGGTTTGTGTAACAGTAATTTCAGGATCCGACACTCAGACATACCTTTTAATGATATTGAATGTGGCTCTTTGGGGAAATTGCCCGTATCGGCGCGTGGCCGAGCCATAAGCTCTCTTCGATGGCTGGGCGAGATGGCATCAACGGTGGAGAGTCTGGACTCGGGGAATTGGGTTGTGAGATTATCTTCCACCTCCTGGTAGATGGCGAGAAGCTGGAAGAAAATAATGCAAGAGAGGAAGATTGGAATATCCACCCAGATAGACACACAAATGCGCCCCAATCCGGAATGGGGGATGAAGAGCAAGATGGAGCGCCAGATAATGTTAATGATACATAATGGAGAGGCGGGAGATGGAAGCGAGCGTGGAGGAGAGCAAGTCGCAGGGAAAAATCCGCTTTCAAATGACATCAAATGACACGAGAACTCCGCCCTGTCAGCTCAGGCGAACCGTCAGCGCCAGCGCTCGTCAGTCGTCGTCAGACAGGCCATGCAGAGCGCATTAATTATTCCTTTGTCTTGTCAGACGACGACGAAGAGGAACAAGCAGAAAAGGAACTCTTGGCTGACAGACCCATGAGATGTGATGGAGCTAGCTAGTCCCTCAGGACGAGACTGCGCACGATCAAGATATATACACTGCGTATATTTTATGTGTTATCACCATTGAATGCTATCAGGATCGGGGCCAGGTGCATGTCTCGATGGGGGAAGGCGGGGTGCACATTGCTGTCTTTTTCTTGCGACAGGACTCGCTTCGACGGGCATTTCTCACATCTCGGCGGCCCAGCCAAAGGTCAAAATCCACGACGCCATCGGCAAGTGGCATATTCAGAGTGATACCAACCCGCCCTGCTCCGTCTCCCTTCTCTTTCTCGTGGCAGGGAGAACCACACGCAGGGAAACCCCTCACTTCGAGAGATTATCAACCGGTTTTTGTGTGGCTTAGCAAAAGGTGAAATCGATCAGTACATCGAATTGAAAAAAGCCACCAGAAATCCAAAAATATAACAGCTTCTCAGATTCAGAGATGTCATGGCGCAACCCAGCGATCCCCTTTCCCCTCCCCTCGTTGTGCCTCTTCCCATTTGCCGTGCCCTGACGTGGAGATTTGATGTCGGGCTGATCCGAGGCACATGGACGCAACCGAGGGTAAGTTCTGGAACGAATGACTCGACATCACATTATTCACTAGGAGAATACTTGAGGTAGAACTCGTTTATGAAGGAAGGGAAAACCAGAAAAAACCACGACAACCCAAGAGACGTTGAATAATCCCCCCGACAACAAATAACAACAGCAGCAAGAATGGCCGACAAAATCGTCTGCGTCGTCGCTTACCCGTCGACCACAAAGGACGGCAAGCCCGCCCGCTTTGACATGGACTAGTAAGTGGAAAGAAGAAGGGCAGGGAAAATGATGTCATGATGATGGATGGGAGCTGAAAGGAACACGCGTGCACACGCACACAGCTACCTCAAGACGCACATGGGCGAGATCATCGAGCGCGACTGGAAACCGTTTGGCATGGGCAAGTGGACCGTCGCGGCCATGGGCGCCGAGGACTCCCTCGACGGCAAGAGACCCCCTTACATGGTGACGGCGACGATCGAGTGGGACCGCCTCGACGACCTGAAGCAGGCCCTGGCCAAGGGCAGCGAGGCCTCGGGCAAGGACGTCGCCAACTACACCGACGTGTTTCCCGAGATCTGGGTCAGCCGGGTCACGGGCACAAGCAGTTAGATGGGAGGTGGATGGAGGGATGGATGGACGTGTGTATGTGAGGGACGGGGAAAGGAGGGAAGGGAGAGAGGTAGAGCAGGAAGTGGAAAACTGGAAAACCGGGTAGGCAGGATGGGAAAAAGGTTCCAATCGATGCCTCATCCATGACAGCAGCACTGTTTTTGCTCACATATGACATATCCCTATCCACGAAGCAGGACATTTTCCCCCGTTCCATCACCAGTTTCGTCTTCCTCCAGTCTTCGTCGGAGCGAGAAAATGCACCGCGCGCTTTTCATCCTTCGGCGGATCGCCAGGCGGGCACAAGAAAGAAGATGCCTGTACGACCTCGGGACTCCCAGGGTCTCGGTGCCGACCCTGGCATGATCTTGCACCTAAAGTGCACGTCGTCGTCGTGGGTAGGGCCTGGGTCGTGGGCGTGAGCTGTTTTCCGTCGCGGGCGCCCGAGTTGTCGCACAGGCTGGTAATTGATATCTCCTTTGCTGCCCTGATTGTCCCCTTGCCCACCGACTCACTGTGGAAATATTGAAAGACCGGGGCTTCAATACCAGGCCCAGGCCCAGTACATATTATGCAATATGCGCCTGCGTGAATACGGGATTGGCACGAGTTGTTTTACTCTCCCGCAGTTCAAAATCACCGACGTGTCTGCAGGAACGAGGAAACGAAAACCTGTGTGTTGTCATATTGCGCAAATCCACTTTTCTACCATTCACCTTGGGCAGTACATAAAAGAGACCTCGAATGCATGCGTACTTCATGGAAGCTGATTGGTCCACTGTCAGGGATCCGTCGATCCCTGAACAACTAAACACACATAGCCCCGTCAACCACGAATCATGGGGGGCAGCAGGCAGGGAAGACAGACGGACATGAAGTTCCGGCTCTTTCAGCGGATCCTTATGTATGTACGAGATGCAGGAGGAATTTGGGGCCGCCGGTGGAACCCGTCATGGCCACCGCCTCGCCATCACGCAATACTGGACAAACATGATGACACCTTGCTCCGCATACATGATTGACCCGCGATGGGCGAAAAAAGTCCACCGATGCTTATCCTGTATTACGACGAAACCTAATAAGGGGATTTCTTTTTTGGACGTCCCTTTCTTTCGAGACCCAGTACCGAATCTACATACGTGTGAAGCGCCCACACACCGAAGTCCGCGAAACCGGTTTTGGCTGATAACTTGCATATATCAGTACGAGAATAAATTCACTGGCATGGCGTCGTTCCGGAGAACAGAATCTTGACCGTGAAAACGAACAAAGGGGAGATCAAGACAGAGACGTCTTTGTATAACTGCTGCAATGGAACAGGAGCATTACACAGTCAGTGAGATTCTGACAGAGTCAGAAGTATCAGCGCCGTTCCTGGTCGATTCTGCGAGTCCCGATGGCCGCGGGGAGAAATGGAAGCCTGGCCCGGGCTTTATCTGGATTGAAATCGGTAGGAACAAGAACGAACGGGGCGCAGTGGGTGGGTTTTGCTGCTCCATGCATCCGAGGCTGATATACATACCCCTGAATTCACAGCCATCTTCTCCAACGTGTTTCTGTCCGGCTTCGACGGCACCATCACGGCCTCGACCTACGCCGTCATCGGCTCCGAGTTCCACGCCGCCAACACCATTTCCTGGCTGACGACCTCCTACCTGATCACCAGCACCGCCTTCCAGCCGCTGTACGGCCGGTTTTCTGACATCCTGGGCCGGCGCACGTGCTTCTTCACGGCCACCGTCACGTTTCTGCTGGGCTGTCTCGGGTGCGGGTTCGCGCCCGACATCATCACGCTGAACGTGATGAGGGCCCTCACGGGCCTCGGAGGTGGGGGGCTCATGACCATGGCCACCATCATCAACTCGGACATGATCCCTTTCCAGGAACGGGGCATGTACCAGGCTTGCCAGAACGTCCTGCACGGATTTGGCTCCGTCTGTGGCGCCTCCCTGGGCGGCCTGATCGCCGACCATGTCGGGTGGCGGTGGTGTTTCCTCCTCCAGGTGCCTGTGTCGACGTTTGCTTTCGTGGTGGGACATTTTGTGATCAAGAAGAACGAATCCGCCAAGGCGGCGGGGGATGAAGAGGATGTGTCGTCAGGACTGGGGAAGCTCTCGTCAAAGTGGGAGCAGATCGATCTCTGGGGCGCTGTTCTCTTGGTCCTTGGTCTTTCTGCGCAGCTGGGTGCCATGACCATGGGAGGGAACAACTACCCTTGGAGTGACATCCGCGTCATTGGTGCCATGGTCTTGAGTGTGATCCTCATCCTCATATTCGTCGTGGTGGAGCTCCGCACGAAGGCAGTCCCTGTGATGCCCATGTCCATGTTGCACGGGACTCTTGCCATATCCAATCAGATAAGTAATGTCTGTGTTGGCATGGCTGCCTACTCGGTGCGTTGGGTCTCCAAGATCCCTGATCATACATCTGTTGACGGACGAGATAGTTCCTCTTTATTAGCCCCTTGTTCTTCCAAGTTGTGCTTCGAGATAATCCCTCGGAAGCTGGTATGCGTCTGGTGATTCCTTCTCTGGCGACCCCTGCCGGAGGTGTTCTTTCTGGGATCGTCATGTCTCGATGGGGTCGGCTGAGTGAGCTCGTGAGAGCCGGCTGCTTCATCATGATGGTGGGGAATGGGCTCGTTGCGTCTCTGAAGTATCAGGACGCGTCGTGGAAGTACATGGTATATCTGTTCCCCGCGAATTTTGGCCAGGGAATCTGCTATCCTGCGATTCTCTTCACCTTCCTGGCTGCGTTTGACCATGGTTGTAAGTGCAACGGCGCCGGCGGAACGCCAACTACAGCCCTGCTGACTGCGTATAGATCAAGCCGTGTCCACCTCAACGGTGTATCTGTTCCGCTCGATGGGCACCGTCTGGGGGGTTGCTGCATCCTCAACATTGCTGCAAAATATCCTGGCCCAGCAACTTCCGTCGGCGCTGGGAGAAATCCCAAATAGAGACGAATTGGTGGATCAGATCCGTCATTCCGTGGCGGTGTTGGACCGTCTGCCACCGGACGTGCAGTCGGCGGCCAGGCAGGTGTACTACCGTGGCTTGAAATACGCCTACATTGCCAACACTGCCGTCGCAGCAATCGCTTTGCTGTCGGCATTCTTTGCCCGGGGAAAGAGCCTTCATCGACAATAGAGAGATCAGTATAAATACGAGCATCCAATGGACATAGAAGTACCCACCAATGGAGACCGTGCCCTTCGTTTTCAGAGCTGTGTTTCAAGCAACTCTGTTGTGCGAAGCGAAAAATAAATACACCGGGCCACAATCTCGCAAAGACCGCGCGGATTTGGAAAGTCAAAGGCCTTGCAGAGAAAACATGAGAGAGATTGTGGACCGCCCAACCAGAGAGGGATTCTGTAGCGTATGGAACCCGCACACCAATCGCCACTGGGCCCATATGACCTTGAAGGATTCGAGTCGACCTGCTCATGTTCCAGAATGCAGCCATTTCGAAATCGGGAGGGCCCAGACGCGCTCGACACCATTCCAACCACCTCCCCCACCGTGGGAAGTCCATGCCACGGTTGTGTCAACGGGGCTTCCTGTGCTCCTCACCAGTCGATGGATTTTGGAACTCATCTCTTAACCCCTTTGTGACCTCATGTTGTCCCTCCCACCAGGCCGAGGATGGTCTACTGAAGCCTAGGTCTGCTGTTGGTGGATAGGATTTCCGGTATAAGACACTTGACGTTACTGACTGCTGTAAGTTCTGGCGGCGTGGTTGACGGCTAGTCCGCTCCGGATGGCTGATCCTTGACCGAAATGCGACATTCCCCAGTCAACAGAAAGCTGCTGTGTCACTCACTCACTGACTGGGATATGATGCTTTCTAGACATGAAGTGACAGTTGCAACCATATACCCCTGCGTCGCCCCTGGCGTTAGTGCCAACTCCACAAGCCGGCTTCGCAGGCCAATCGGAGAAGAGATGGTATATGTTTGATCGATCCTGGCGCGGCGGATCGACAGACGCCTGGTATCGCTCTATTCGGGTCGTCCAATGTCTTTGGATGTAGGGAGCCTCGCCCGCCATCCCCGCCTGTCCCCCTAACTGTCAGTCAGGCAGCCCTCTCGGTTCCAGTGTACCAACACCACACACATGTGTCGGGACTGCAATCATGTACTCCTGTCGTGGCGGAGGGACAAAGAACGTCGAGATTGTTCTTTAACGGACAGGGTTTCCAAGGGGTTTGCCTTCCATCTGTGCATCTGTCGCTACTGTTTCGTTCCCTACTTCGTCCGCCTTGCTCGACTGGTGGCAACTATACCGCTCGACTTAGCCTCATCCGAGAGAAAGGAAAGAAAATGAAACCTCCGGAACAGTCAGAGCACTTGCGCATCGTTATTTTGGGAGACGGTGCGGCTAGCCAGGCGTTGAGCTATCGAGTAAGACTCTATCACCTTATCGAATACATACTTACTCCATGAACAGTTCGAAACAATCAATCGCATCGACCAACGTCTCTATTCTCTGACGGGAGACGTACTGAGATCTGTTCAAATCGGAACCGAAGAGAGCGAAAGGGATATTATGATCGAACTGTGGAACAGAGGGGGTTTCGAAATGCCCAACATTCTCAATTACTATTGTTCACAAGGGGAGGCATTCTTGGTCGTCTTCAGTATGAACTGTAGAAAGAGTGTCGATGCCATCACGAAATACACGTCTGCGATTGAGCAGGCGGGCCGGGGGCAGTGTCCGATAGCCCTAGTGGGATTGTGCAAGCCTCACCAACCAGCGGTGGTGACGGAGCAGGAAGCCACAGAGCTAGCTGCACAGATGGGACTTACGGTCTTCTTTGTCCTGAGGAAGAGCTTCGGACAAGTCATGGCACCGTTTGTCCACCTGGGTCGACGCCGTCTCCAGCAGACTGGGTCTGGTATAGTGGATTCTCGGCCACGGACTCGTTGGTGGCTTCGTTGGGGGCTTCGTTGGGCTACCTGTTTCGGGTGCAGAAAGTCATGATGTTGATCCAGAGTCTCATTCAGCACAGATTTCAGTCTAGATGGGTCTGAACCCTGTTGATTTTGATAATTTTGACCATAGCGACTCCTTGACCCTTATCCCCAGTCTGGCGACCAGGAAATCTCGACATGTTGGCTGTATCGGTGACATGGTCCTCTATCCTCGTGGGCCATCGATTTGCGGTATTCAGCACGTCGACAGCACAACGACGTTTCGTTCCGACCGATTGCTCCTCGAACATATTCCTTTTCTCGGCGGAGGGTGTACGGACAGAGAACTTCGTCATCGGCATCTTCGAGATCTCTCTTTCGAAAGGAAACACTCGTCAGGTCGTTGATCAAGCACTCTCTGTTGCGATAAGATTGGAGGAAGGTGTGGCGAGAAAGAAGGATGTCTGCGCGTCATGGTGGAAATCTTTTGTGGAAGGTCTGGCGAATAACAACTTCAGCACTCACTGATCGCGGCGATTGTCCATTCAATTGTCCATTCAATTGTCCATTCAATTGTCCTTCCACTGGATCGTTGTCTTCAGTAGATCAATCAAATGTGTTGATGCTGCACTCCCTGTTGTTCCCCTAAATGGCTTCTACCGTTCCTTCTCTCATCGTCGCGGGCTTCTTTTCCCTTTCGATTTCGGCTCCGATGACAGCTGAAGACGCGTTGGCCTTCCGGAAGCTGAGACCCCCAAAATGCATGACCCTATTCGAGCTAGCCCACAGAAGACGCGTAGTTTCCTTGCGAAGAGCTCATACACGTGGTCTTACGCGACGTCTATAAATGGGATAAATCTATTGACGGCCGACTGCGTGAATCTCCCCGGAATGTTAGGTCACGTTCCTGCATTTCTGGATTTCCGTAAAGACCTGCATCTCTCCCAGGTCAAATTGGAACATGCCGGGTACGACGATACCAGAGAGTTATGGGTTACCGGGAGCTCAGTGTGGGAAACAACACAAGGTGAATGCCATCTTCGGAATAAGACTATACAACAACGCCTACTCCTTGGGATCACTCCCCCCGCCTCACTCTCATTCACCACGGATAGTCGATTTCAAGATTAGCCTGGTGCGGAAAATATTGACGAGCCCACTGGGGAGAATTACATTGCAGTCCTGACGCTTGCCTGGTGATATATTTTGTCTGCCAAATGGATCGAATTCCAACCCCCTAACCACTTGGGCAGAGACTGCCCCTCAACTTGGGCGAACCAGTATATCTTACCGATCTTGCACAATTTAGTCTGGTGGACAGTCCTGCTTCCTCAGACGCTGTGCACGTTGATCTGGGGATAGTGAGTCATGACGCCGCACGGTGGTGGGCTGCTATTCTTGCTTCTGGGATGGGGTGGGAAGCTGCGATCACCTGCTCTGGAAAGAGATACCTCTCTCCCTGGTCAATCCGTATCGAGACCGGACAACCATTTCTTTTGTGGAGGACCGAATCAACGTCGCAAGAACGACACCTTGCGGAACTCGAAATCGCTCACAGAACTCCGCCATCCTCCGCGTTGGCTTTGCAATACCTTTCGGAGTTTTGCTCTCACCATGGAATTTCCAGCCAATGCTTAGCGGCTCTTGCAACAGCTTTAATTATCCCGTACCGGGGACGATCCGGTCGACTTCATCTCCCGAGGCCACGCATCGAGGCCCGTTCTAGACGTGGTCCTTCCACCTTTCAATACAACTTTGAGGAGCATCTTCGGCTTCTTCCATTCTACATGTCCCTCAGTTGCAATACCGTAGGCATAAGACCTCTTTTGCATGGACCCTTCTATGAACCAAGCGTGTCCTGCAATCTTGTTGATGCATGGCTGGAAGGGGCTTTCGAGACCATCGATCCCATCATTCGACGCAAAGACTTTTCTAGACTGGCAACGGTTATGGGCAGACGACAGCATAGGGTTGCTCCTATTTGGCTAGGCTATTATTCTCGGAATCGAGAAACAAATTCTTCAACCTGTACGTGCCGGCTTGTTTGCTATCCACATGCTCTCCGCTGCGTGGACTTCAACGTCACACTCGTTCATTGGCCCGAGGCAACAGATCCCTTCAGAAATGAACAATCAAAAAATAAGTCGTGCGGATGAATGCCGACTTCTATACATCGCGCAACCTAATCACTCCCGAGTGACTATCTGTCCGTGGGAACCTTTCGGAGACACAGACTTAGAAGACGCAGATCTTGAGGTTCGAGAGCATGCTTGTTGCACCGGGAAGCACTGTTTGCAATACAAATATTGGGCTTGGGACCTACGGGACGGTAGGAAAAGCGCTCCTGATTGTGACTTCACCGCGAACGACGGTTTTATGGGCGCCAATGGAATCACAGGCGACCTTCTGGGTAGCCCTCAATGTCAGGGTGATCCAAATCCCGAAAGGTTATCTGAACTCGCAGCAAGAAGTATATTCGGCTGGTTGCGATCAGATGGCTACCCGTTGAAAGAGCGAGATATATGGATGCATCCTTGGCTCAATGTCAACGAATCTTCTGACGAGGATGCTGACGACCTTTCTGAAAGTGTCAGTGCAACCGGGGAGCAGGAACCAGCTATTGAAAATTGGATCTCGCAGTCTGTTGATTAATAATACGGATTGGGTTACAAGGGTCAGACCATCCCAACAGAGGTTCCAAACATGAATGAAGGCCATTCTGTCGTTTTGGAGCAAACGTCCTCGGGACCCCGATCTCGATCTGGGAACACATGATGTCCTCCCCAGATAAGACCGTCTCGATACCTCTCCGGGGATCAAGGATAGATCCGCACCACAAAAATGGCTTTGACGATCCAGATTAGTCTTACGTACCGACGCTGCTCCCGATCAAGCAAGCCGAACTTCGTAACAGCATGACAGGTTTTCAGCTGCAGGTACACTGCAAGAGAAGATTCCAGAGACTTTCCAAAAACTAGCACCACGAATTGTACAACAAACCTATGCAAGCCCAAGGAGTTGGCACGATTCGCTGCAGGGCCGTATGTGGTGGATGCTGATCGAGAGACGACAAAGAATGCGGCCGCTTGCGGTGTGCCGCAGAGAATGCTATCAGCCATAACACAACAATGAATGGACTGCAACCATGGATTGACCTGGCCACCATACTTGAAAGATCGCAGGTCTCTGATTCTTTCAACAAATAAGACAGCTCCAGAACCTGGCTTCACTTTCGACTGCGCACACGGCCCTCTCATGCGTGTTGAACATCTCAGACATCTTTGTTCCATCCGAGATAGAGGGATCGCCCCTCGCAAATGGCTCCTAGACAAGGATATGAAGGTCGGCGACGACCTGCCAGAGGTGTGCTTCTCCTTCCCCGATTCCATCCTCTGAAAAAAACAAGTCATATTGATAATTCAAAGGAAGCCGTGCAAAGAGTGCACCGAAGAACGAAACCTTGACTTCTCCTCATGAGATATCTCAGTCGCGGACCCCACAATCACCCAGCACAGCCACCGTCGAAGATACTCCTACATTTCCCCCGGCGTCGCCCGTCCGTCCAGTGACCAGAGCTCAGGCAAAGAAACTCCTTGCCGAAGCCAAGCGCCCGCAAGAGCGACCACGAAGAAACTCGCCGTCTGCAACCGTACCCGCTACAGCAACAGGTAAATCACGTATTCGAAAAGACCGGCTAGCCAACTGTTATCCCGACGTGCACTCCAAGACGCAGGAACGACAATACGTGCCAGGATTCAAACTTTCCAAAGGAAACCTGAAGAAGCTCCAGAAGCAGCTGCTTAGTGCTTCTGACGACATGGCTTCTGTTCGCCCAACTACCCGTGGAAATCGAGGGGGAAAACGAGGAGGCAATCGAGGCGGAGGTAGAGGTGGGCATCGGCGTGGAAAGGGCACAGCAGCGTCGACGACAGATACTTCGACCGAGACGGCTGAGCCTCAAGATAGTACGACCCCGGCAACCACATCGACAGCACGTGCTCACTATCGTTTCAAGATCCTTCGGAGCGTTAACATTGACTTCTCCGTACACTCACTCCCGCAGGATATCCAATCGCAACTAGAGGTTGTCTTTAATCGGAAAATTACCACTGAAATGGCGAACTGGATCCTCCGTTGCACAAAGCTGATGTCCAACGACATCAGCCATATGACTCAAGATAACTTTCCACAGGATGACTTCATCGAGCCGTTGATCCACGTTCTTGACCTTTACAAAGAGGATGTGGCTATCTTGGGAGTCGCCAGGAAGTTTGGTAAGGCCTCTCTTCACACTCCAAAGGTCCACTTCTTCGCGTGCTAATCCTTGGCCTAGATTTCCATTCGAGCCTAAAACCCCAGCTTTCGCAACCAGGACAGGACAGCGGTGTCAAGACACCACGTCCCGATTGCATTGTTGGCTTTCGGAAAGTCGCGATAGATGACATATTGTCAAAAGGTAAGGGAAAACTGGCGCCGATGAGAGAATTGGAAGCCCAAAATATCCTGTGCGCGGATCCAACCTCGAATGGTGCGGGTGTTCTGTTCCCTGCCCTGGTGATCGAAGGACAGGCATATTCTACTGGGGCGTCTATGTTCAAAGCCGAGAATGAAGCCGCAGTGGCTGCAAGTTGCATCATCAACCTGCTGCGACTGTTTACGGACGTCCACGATCGTTACGCGCCCGACTCCCCGCGTGCGAAAATGGCACCTTTCGTCTTTTCCATAACTACAGAGGGGCCGCAACTTCAACTCTCCGTTCATTATCCCCGGGTGAATGACGGGTGCACCTTGTATCAGTCGACCGTCGTGGGATACTGGCATGCAGGTGTGTCTGGTCACGTGGAACAGTTCCTTTCGAAACTAGCACAGCTCATGGACTGGATGAAGAACGAGTTTTTGACGGGAATAGTGGATCAACTGGTTGTGGTGGCTGAGAACGTCTAGGAACCTCTGCACACTGGACACGGTGCTGGCCAGGATGGTGGCTAGGGCTGCGACGTTGCAAGTCCAGGACAGATTTCGTGAGACTGAAGGGGAAAAGGCATTCAAGACTTTCGGAGATGGTTGGGTTCAATAGCGGCAATAGCCCCCTTTGCCATCTGCTACCTTTATTGAGTGACTGACCGGAACCTGGCGAGGTTTTTGTAGAAGAGGTTATGACCCTCTTTTCCGATGTGTTCCTTTATATGGATCAAGTACTGGGCCATTCCTCGTCATTCCGTAGAGATGGCGGTATGGAGGGTAGCATTAGCTGCCTTAAAGCAGCGGCAGAATCTTGGTTGCTGGGTAACTTTCCGTGCCAAACAAAGCGCGTCAGATCCGGACTTCAGACAGACAGACAGACGGACAGACACCTCTTATCTTAGCAAACAATCAATTGAAAAGTGCCACACATAGACCAACATCACGTAACCATGCGCATGACTCGTGCAGCTCTGCGAGCCCAGGCTCAAGAGGAACCGCATCTCATTTACGAGGACGCCGACGCGAATGCTAATAACTCGCCACAGGATGATTGCGCCGACGCCGACGCCGACGCGAACCAGGATCTCGTTCGGCCCCCATTGAAAGACATCACCACCGAAATCAACCCTTGGACCACGGACGATCCCTTCACAGACGACCCAATCGAGCCCATGCAAAAATCCAAGAGCAGGAGGAAAGCGCGGAAACCCAAGCATGACAACGCCGCCGCAGAGTCCAGCCAGGGAGAATCGGACGAGGCGCAGGAGCCGCAGCCTGCGAACGCGAACGACAGCCACCAGAGTGAATCTTCTGAAGGCCACGGCAGGATACAGGACACGCCTTTGGCTGTCTCTGTCGACCAACTTGCTGTGCAAATAACTCAAGTCACAGTCGAGGCAGTGGACGCGATCCAGCAAGAGCAAGCGATAGCCGCATCGAACTTGACCCCCCAACGCTGCCACACCGGGCCTCCCAAGACCCCCAAGTTCGATCCATCTGTGCATAAACCAATGGAGGAGGCTACGTCGTCGTCTGCTGCAGACACGGTTGAAGATTCGTTTGTGGAGAAGATCACATCGAGGACCCCGGGCAGGTTGCAGACACTGTTGGAGGAGAACAAATCCCCGGACTCCTTCGCCGGCCAGATGAGCTCCCGGACACCCCGCATCGAGGATTCTGTCGAAGCGATTGATGCCCTCGAAGATGCGATCGAGAAGATTTCGGAGACATTGCCTGCCCTGGACGAACTGAAGATGGAGTCCCCCGTGAAACTGCGAAGGAACACGCCAGCCCGCGTCTATCTCGAGCCGACCAAACCCCCAACAGATCCTCAGCAAAAAGTGAGCGGCCGACGACCAGCACCACCTCCTCGGCGCCTTCCACCGAAGGCTGGAACAACTTCAGGAGCTTCAGAGCGCCTGAAATCGACCGCTGGACGGGCATCTTCAAACATTAATCCGACCGCCAAAGCAACCACCGCCGCAAAACCTGCGAGGCGACCGATTGTTGACGGCCACAAGGCGAGAGAATCTTCTAGTCTGGGTGCCGCACCGCCGCTTTCGTTCTCGAATTCTCCTGTTAAGAACCTTCCCACCACCAGCAAGAAGCAGCCTGCCAATGGTGCCTTGTCCACCAGCAAACCCGGATTCGTACCCGCCAAATCCAACAAGTCGCCTACAAAGCCCAAATTTTCACTGCCGGGCGAGGCGGTCGCAGCCAAGCTCAAGGCCCAGAGAGAAGAGCGCATGAAGCGCGAGGAAGAAGCGAGCAATGAGAAAAAAGCCTTCAAGGCCAGACCGGTGCCGGCAAAGATATCTCGTCCCAGTGTTGTGCCACGAGAGAACAAGGCCAGCCAAGCAAGAATGAGCATCTACGCCACCGGCGGAAACAAGGAGAACGTTGAACCCAATCCGGCCGCCGCGACGCAGCCAAAACCGCGTCCATCATCGCTCGGTTCCAAGACGAAAACAGCAGAAGCTCTCACCAAAACCGCAAAAGCGAGCAGCAGCGCACGTCGGACCACCACGTCGGCCACTCCGGCCAAGCCACGCGCCTCGATCATGCATCTAGCCACCGGTCAGAAGTCGACAGTGACCAAAGACGACGTCGTGCAACAGAAGGCCAAGGGCAGGGAGGTCTTTGCACGGTCGAAAGCTGAGACGGAGCGGCTGGAGAAGGAGAGAAGGGAAAAGGAAGAGGCCGCGCGCAAGGCCCGGGCGGAGGCGGCAGAGCGAGGACGACAAGCGAGCCGGGAGTGGGCAGAGAAGCAGAAGAAGAAGATGGCCGCCGCGAAGATTCTGGCTGCACGGGAAAAGGAGAAGGCGGAGATGGGTGGTGGTGGTGGTGGTGGTGGTGGTGCTGCTGCTGCTACTGAGAACATGGCAGCTCAAGGGCAGACCGGCACCGTGGTCCCGACCTAATGGCAAAGGTCTGTCTGCTGTGTCTTCCGGGTCTCGGTGTCTAGTCTAGGCGAGAGAGAGAGGGAGAGAGTTCCTGATGTGGAATGTCCTGCTTTCATTACAAAGGTCCTTGTTCTTTCAGCGAAGGTGTTGTTTTGGTATGGACAAAATCGGGGGGAAAGGATTTCACGTTTGGGCTCGGAAGGGATTTGAACCAAGTCATTCACTCACTCACTCCTGCGAGCGACGACACGATTGATTGATTGTCTGCCGTCGGTGGTGTCTTAGTTTTCTCGTTTGTCACAGGCACACGGTGTCGCTGAGCTGAGCGAGAAAGCCTACCGCCGGGGAAGCCCCAACGTTCGGTTAGGTTAGGTCAGGTCCGGTTCCTCGATTGGATTCATTCAGAGTTGTTCACCAATTGTGTTGTCTATCTTGCTTGGGTCTCTCCTTTCTTTCTAGCAACCACCACCCTGTTGAGGGCTCGGCGCCTCGGACTGTCGAAAACCCAGGTCATACATAACCAGAGTATCGTAGTAGACTCGACCTTCATCCCGTCCGGCCTGCTCCAGAGACATGCATGCACGCAGCCACGCACGCACGCTTATCCATCCCCATTTGTGACAAAGTAAGTCCTGTGCTGGTGTTGTTGTTGTTTCTTTTGCTTCTGTTTGTCTCTCTCTTCAGCCGCCATCTTCCGCCTTGGGGTGCACGGGTATGCGGACCAAGGGCACGGGCAGTTGTTGGTGCTGCTGCTGTCCTCGATCTCGTGCCGGATTCAGATCTTTCGCCATCTCGTTGTTGTCTTCTCCTCCTCGTCCGTCCCCATTCCCCTCCTCCGGCCCGTCCGGCGCAGGCGGTGAGGGCACCTTCATGGCCGCCATCCCGATGACCTGCAGCACATTGTCCCAGTTCGCCAGCACCAGCGCCACGGCCTGCGCGCCGTCCCGCAGGCTGCCCAGCTTCGTCTCCAGCTGCTCCAGCTGCGCCGTCAGGTGCGCGCTCAGGTCGCGCAGCTGCCGCAGGTTCTCGAGCTCGGCGCGCTTGCTGGCGATCCGCGCCTGGAGGAGCTGGTGTTGGTGTGATGAAGCGGAGGAGGAGGATGACGATGGGTGCATGCCGGGGCGGGAGTACATCTGGGACATGGTGTGGATGGATTGATGGGTGATTGATTGGCGTTTGTTCGTTTCGTGAGTGAAGAGATAGATGGTGAAAGGGACGCAGGGCAACGGTCTGTGGAAAAGGAACAACTGAGCCCAACGGAGGATTGTACGTCAGGTCCTGTGTCGTGAGGTCCTTTGTCTACCCGTCACCTGCACCCCGGGTGTTGGTAGTATCGCACTTCTCGTATTGCGTATTGCGTGTGATGCGTTCAAGTCGGTCCGCAGTAATTAATTGTTATCGCGGAATTCCCCCAGTTCTCAATGACGCGTCTTCATTGGACCGCGACATGTGCCGAGCCTGCAGCTAGTCCAAAAGAGGCACGTTGTTGACGGCGCCCTTTTTTGGCCATCCCGGACCACAAACGCCTCCCCCGACACCCTTGACCCAGCCCTGCACTTGATCCTATTGTCTATAATACTGCATTGCTACAGACGTCGCCGCCTATGCTGCTTGTCTCCAAGCCCTAGACCGAATTGACATTCAGGACTTGGTCAGCTGTTGAACAACGACCCAACGCATGCTATGACAATCGACCTGCGATGGCAAAGCTCAACGATCCACCCCTTCCACCCACGGAAAGTCTTGAGTCCTGTAAGTCTACGCATATACCGAAGAAGGCCCTACAGCGCTCTGCTCTTCCTACGTGCGGGCAGAAGAAGCTAACGGGCCTCGTCCCGCAGTGAAACGTCGCTTTATCCGCCAAAACCGCGACATCGCCCGCATCAACTCGACGCAGTCGCAGCGCATCCGCAACCTCGAGACCGAGATCTCCCGCCTCGTGGCCGAGAACATATCCCTGAGAGAACAAGCCATCGCGGCACAGGCGGAGGCAGAACGATGGCGCGCCGCGAGTTCGGTCAGTGCGGACATTCTCGACTTGCGGGACCGGCTGAACAGGAAGGTCGAGGAGGTCGCCGAGATGCTGGTCGAGATGGGCAATCTACCAGAAAAGGCGGCCAGAAAGGGACGGCGGAGAAGCCGGCTTGCCAGAGAGACGATGAGCAGTGCGACAGAACAAGAATGGAGGAACAGGCAGTCGACCAGAGAAGCATTGGCTCAAGAGAGGGGAGGAGATTTCTATGACGGACGGCTGCCTGCGATCCACGAGGATAAGCTGTATCCGCGACGGACACTGGAGAATACCGAATTGGTGGCCTTGCGGGAAGAAGCTGCCCTGCAACAAGCGTCCGAGTCGCCGGAACTGGGACCTCCGCCTGTTGTTCATTTTGACGTCGTTTCCGACCCCCCCGGGCTCGACTCGGCACGAACATCCGAGGATGAGAATGTCGTTGGAGAAGTCATGCAGCTACCATCACTCCTGGAGAGGAGGCGAAAGCGTCGAACGAGCACCTTGATCCACGACCTACCGACGGAAGAAACGTCGGGACCAGATGTAATGCCGAGTCAGCAGCTATTGAAGTCAGGTGCCAAGAGGAAACTGGATGTCTCCGAGCTCGACGAGCCGGTTCTTCAACAGCCGTCCAGTGAGAACGATGACTTTGTCTTTCAACGCCGGCAAGAGATCTGGAGCAACGCAACCGTCAACAGCAAAAAGGCCTCGAGGTTCACGAGGCCGCCAGGGCGGGAAAATGAGGATGCGACGGATATGGTGAAGCAGCAGAGCCCCCAGAAGCATACAAACGCCAACAGGAAGATCCTCGCACCCAAGAGTACAAACTCCCCGGCGAAGAGAAGGGTACAAGTGCCCGAAAAGCTCAAAGACGACCGAGATCTGCAGGAAACCCGTCCAGCCATCAAACCGACACGACAGAAAGACCCTCAGGCACGTGCGGCGATGGCAAACGTCCCTGGGGTGTTGAATGATCACGATGTGGTGAAGGACATTCCGCCAAAGACCCCGGCGGCAGAAGCGGGCGACATTCTCTCACCTGTATCCACCGAGCCATCCTCTCGAACATCCCACCAGCTGAAAGAAGCCGCAGTGCTGAACTCGGTGGAGGATGTGCTGAACGGGAGCATCGGGCGGGGATCTCGCCGCCCCAGACCACAGATCAGCTATGCCGAGCCTAACCTGAGAGATAAGATGAGACGGCCTGGCAAGGGATTAGTCGGGGCGGTAGAGGGCATCGAGAAGCAAAGAGACAATGCATCGAGCGTCAGAGGTCCCAGTCTGGACCGGGCGACATCCGAGGACGTGGGCATCAAGCACGAGAACGAAACCGATGGCGACAGTGATAGGTGGAGAGACCTAGCAATGCCCTCCTCGACTACTCGCAAAAAGGAGGATCCAATCAGCCCCTTGAAGGGCAAGGAAAGGAAAGACAAAGAAGACGATGAGACCAGGAAGCCGGGCAAACAACTCAAGTTCAAGACTGCGGACGAGCTCGAGCAGGCTGTGGACCGATTGAGTATCTTCGATCCACCACTCTCTTCTCCGGTCGATGATTCCACAGCCACACGGACACAGACAGAAGGGCACAAATCGTCGAGGAGCTCAGCAGGCACAAGACGAAAACCGTTGTCCAGCGCTGCAACTACAACTAGGAGGCACTCTATGCAGCCTTCTTCGGCCTCCTCAGGTCAAGCCGCCGGCCTCCCTTCTGCTTCTCGCCATCTCGCTTCCGATCCATCCACGTCCGACGATCCACAGGCGCCGCTGCCTCGACCGGGCTCTGCGGCAAGTCTGCGTGGAGATGCCACGTCCAGCAGCAGCAGCAGCAGAACTTCGGCCATCAAGGATCTCAAGCGCTCGCACAGCGTGAGTTCCAGCCTGAAAGAAAAGGAGCCGGAAACCGCTGGGGCCGATACGGGGCTCCACGTGAATTCGAGGGTGGAAAGAGCACTGAACCGACGGCGGAGTATGATGGTATAGCGCAACCTTGAGAGGGTGAGGGTGACCGGGAGTGTGTTTCTTTGGTGACCTCGAGGTCGAAATTGTTGGATCTTTTCCTTTGCTCTGGGGACTTGGACAGCATCAATCAATTGATGAATTGAAACGCGAATCCCCCTCCAACTTTTTCCTCCTGTCATTCCAGTGAACGACATCTTGGGGGAGTAGGTAGAGTGGGAGGTAGAGAGAGAGACGGAGAGAGATGTTCACGTTTTGCTCCCCTTATGACCCTCTCACGTATTCCCAATAGAACCACATCATCAAGTGATTTGTTGTTTGTTGTTGTTTAGTTTAACCCTCAGCACCGCCGCGCCGACAGACCTTTCATCCCTGCCCTCCGTTTGCGCCGCCGTCGTTGTCGTCGTAGTCCACGTTCACCGACATGGCCATGACGACGCGCTCCAGCCGCGCGGCGTAGTCCTTCAACTCCCGCCGGCGCGCGCGCCGCTCCTGCTCCATCGTCCGCACCTGGTCCGCCAGCGCCGCGACCTCGTCGGCCTGCTCCTGCGCCCCGCGCCCGATCCCCGGCAGCCGCGTGATCAGCATCTCGATCTGCTGGCCCTTAAGCACCAGGTCCTCGGCCAGTTCGCGCTGCGCCCGCGCAAACGTCGCCGCCGGCACCGGGTGCAGCGGGAACGGCGCGCGCTCCGTGTCCTCCGGCCCCGGGTTGACCACTGCCACGGCGGCGGCCTGCGGGTGCTGTTGTTCGGGGTGTTCGTGGTGTTCTTGTTGTTGGTGGACGGTGACGTCGCCGGCGGAAGAAGGAGGAGGAGGAGGGTTTGCGGGTTGGGAGATCTGGCTACCGCCGCCGCCGCCGCCGCTGCCTCGCCCTCGAGGCCCAGCGACGGCGAGGCCCGGTGGCGGGTTCGTGAAGGGGTCGTTGGGGTCCGGGTCGGGCGCGACCAGCGGGTGTCGCTGCGAGAGGTAGCTCAGCGTGGCGAAGAATTGGGTCAGGAGCTGGTCGTAGCAGGTCTGGAGCTGCGTGAGGATGTCGCTGGACATGGTGGGTGGACGAGGAGGGAGGAAGGAGGAGAGAGGGAGGGAGGGAATGGTTATCGTGTAGCTGTTGAAAGAGACGTGGGGTGGCGTGGTTCAGTAGGACATGTTGTTGTTGTTGTTGTTGTTGTTGTTGTTGTTGTTGTTGTTGTGTTCATCGTGGGGTCTTTCCTTAAGCAAGGGCGCATTTTACATTTGGCCATGTCGCGCAAGGCTGCACTACTGCCAATAGGCGTGGTGCAGCACAGCCTTGCCTCTGCTGGCCCTACTGGAAGCATTTCTAAAGGACGGCAATGTTACACCATTTTTTCTCCTTTTTTTTTCTGAGTAACCTGAAAGCCAAACGATACAATCGACATGTGCGACCTCTACGAAATCACAAACATCGTTGCGGGGGTGACGAAGAAGGAGTACCTGACCGATCCATGCCACAAGGCTCCGGAAGATGTCACCAAATGCCCTAAGTACAGGCTTCATGTGGCAGCCTCTAGCCGCCGGAAGAATGAACCCCTCCCAGACTGGGCCAAAAAGGGCGGAAATTCTGGCAGTAAGGTTGACAAGAGGTGAGCTGGAAGTCTTCGAAGCCAAGACACATGCTGAGTATTGGGTCGACAAACAGCGCGAGCAAGTAATTGGATTGTCCTAGGACTATCCTGTGTGATAGCCCGTCGCTGAAGTCCTGGAATATCGCCAGAATTTTGAAATCTGTCGCTGAAATTCTCAAATCTGTCGCCAAAGTTTCGAAATCCGTCGCCGAAGTCCTGAAATCTGTTGCCAGAGTCACGGAATCTTCAATATCTGTTTCCTTTGAACATCAAAATCGAATTGGAGTAGCAGTTTAGGTAGCCACAATCGTTTCATGCACGATGCTTCTCTTCCGCCGTGGACAGGCTTGTTTCACTTGTATACGATGAGAGCACTTCCTCGGCCGACGTAAATCTTCCTTCCCAACAACCCCGGATAGTGTTGCCACAGAAGGATCCTGACACGTCCGGAAATATGTTTTGGCTGAAAAGTTCCTCTATTTTTTTTTCCGCCTGTTCCTGAAGTGCCCACCAAGCTCGGAGGGCCTCACGGTCATTAACCGTGGGCGGCTGGGGGTAGAGTTCACTGTGTGGTGATTTGAGGTAGACGAGTTCGTACAGTGTTGAACCGAGCGCAAATAAGTCTGTCTGGACGGTGTTCGGGCCGCTTGGATCTCTGGGAAGGAAATGCGTCGCCTTTTCGTATCCAAGGGCAACCTGACCCAGGCAGGACGACGCATTGAAATCAGACAGGCGGGCGTTGAGCTCGTCGTCGACCAGAATCTGTTTGAGGTTAAGGTCCGAATGAATGATCTCACGGGGGTGGATCACGGCGACAGCCTCGATGATTTGTTGCCCCCATCGGACCACCAAGTCACGCGGAATCTCGTCCTGGTGCAGATGGAGGTACTCCAGGAGATTGCCATTCGGATAGAAGACGAGGTCAATATACTCGTCATCCTCGCAAGGGATCCATCTCGCAATGCGAGGGTGATTCCCTATTTGCTCGTACGCAACCTTTTCATTGCGGATGGCGATAGTAGGACACTCTGGGTAGGAACCCTCTGCAGGGTACTTCCGAATAATGTTGCCGTCGATGAGATAGACCTGGCTGAAGACTGACCAATGGAGCGGCGCGGTGGAAGGTTTCGTCGACATGTCGATTGGCGCTGGAGTGAAGCTGGAGTGAAGCTAATGAGGCTGGCTCATTCTCTGCGGGTCTGGTACTTGCACGGTGTGTGCCACAACTCAGCAAGAGCACACTGCGCGGTCGCGGGAGCAATTCACTTCGTCGAAGTGAGGGCAGAGAATCCATGACGAGAATCCAAGGGGTAGATATGTGCAGGGGAATGTTGTGCTGTAAGGAAAATAGGAGGTCTGTGTAACCAGGATGAAACCTCAAGCCTCTGGGCCCTCGCCACTCGGGCTTTCAGGCTACTGGGGCCCGGCCCTTAACGTGCATCCCTACGCAATGGAATGCCCTAGGTATAGACGCACTTTTATTTAGCACACTTCTCTGTCCAACACAAATGCGAATATCGCCCATTGGAGGAAGGGAACTGACAGCATGGATGTTGAATCACCCATATACCTGCATATTGTATAAAATCACGAGGGTTCTGGGACCAATTTGCGCTGAGATCGTCTAAACCAGTTCGTCTGCCCTCCTTTCCGGCGTCTCGGCAGTGACAGCACTCCAGTGCTCGATATGCTAGACAGCAGTCCCGTATTGCGAGGTCACTTCTCTTGCACGTTACGTATCTCCGAAACGGAGAGGTTCAGTCTTTGGGTGGTGCTATGGTGCATTGCCTACCTGGTGCACGGTCTGTATGCGCTTATGTGGGCCTCCAGCCGAGGTCGCTTGGCACGAACATAATAATACCAGTGTTGTTGTTATTTACGGTATTATTATGCATTTGGACAAGCATCCGATTCAAGCGACCCACGTCAAATTGTAGCTGTATCGTCTGTCTTTTGAACTCGCTTTCGCGCTTTACTATATTTCAGTCCGTCTGATCTACGCCACAATCGTAGAGGCGGTGTTGGGGGGTTGACTTCACACATTTCAGCCTCCATCCTCATGCCTGCTCTCTGCACAGGCACCACGCTCCCACATACAGGCGACTGAGCCTTCTGAACATCCACGTTCAGCCTGATTAAACATTCTTCACAATGCGTCTGTATAATCGCTGGGTCAGCCCTGGCCATGTTCCAGCATTCAAAGGCTACACAGCCTTCAGTCGCCCATCACTGTCCAGCGTCTACCGCGCCCGCCTCGTAACCGACTTTGCCGTTACTACGCCGTCATTGCGACCATCACGACCGCCTCTCTGCGCCCGTTCAATACGTGACTCTAGAAGGGCTTCTGACGGAGGAGGTAACGGAACTCTTACTGAAAGCAGCCGGAGTTACTAGTGACCGCCGACCTTTGTTAGACGACGTTACAGGGAAGGTGGCCATGTTGCTTCAATCACATCCTCTCGCCCTGATCTGGGCCGGAGTATATGTGAGGCGCGGCTACTGCAGCCTGGCTGCTTCCCCCAAGGTGTATGAACGTTAACGGAAGCGACTCCTCGAGTTCCGGCCATCTCAGGCTCGGTCGTGGTATCGAGACGTGTATGCGACGTTTGAAGCGTCGGTGGAGATCTTACAAGCGAGTCTAACAGAGTCCTCACAAGACGCACTGGAGCTGCTACCACTCCTGGCTATATACGGGCCCAGCCAACTACCATTACTCCTGTTTAAAGCGGCATAGAACGGAGCACAAAGGATCCCGGCCGGCCCAGTCACCGATCGGAACGAACTGAGACTGACGGCGTGGCACGCGTCTCGGCTACCATCGCTTATGTAAGCCGGTGGCGGTGCGTTGGATTCGTCTTGGCTGGTGGTGGCTGTCCACGCCCTGAGGGCTTTTGCACTGGTGTCGATCAACGTGGGCGAGGGGCATGTGCTCGTATCGATACATCCGTTGGTGCACGCGTAGGCGCGGGACCGCCAAGACGAGCACCAACATCATGCGTCGTGGGTGACCAGGGGATGTGTTGTGGCGGTGTCGCAGAGTGAGGACGACATATGGCGAGTGCACGCCCGGCAACTACAGCCTCACCTTCAAGCGACCACGTCGTGGGAGATGGGCTGTGCATTTGCGTGCGAGAATGAGGTGGCGGTGTGCAGCATATTGATAGAATATGGATGGCTGCTTCAGGGTATGAGGGACGATCAGACACTGTTCGGGCTGCTCGATCGGCTATGTTTTCACCTCGGTCTCGACAAGCGCAGCGTGGATCAGCGGCGGATGGAAGTTTATTGGTCGAAACTTGTTAAACTATGGTAAAGCCCGAGATGCGGTGCAAGTGCTGGAGGAAGTGGTGTGCATTCAAGAGCAGACACTGGCGGAGGATCATCCACATCGACCGGCGTCGCAGCACACGTTGGCGGGAGCATATCAGGCGAATGGACAATGTGTCTGCCAAGGGAAGGGCGGTTTCGGGAACCACTGCAATAAATTGGTTTGGTCGTGCCCATATGTATACGGTATGGCGACCAGCGGAAGCATATACACTCTGTGGGCACCTGTCGACTACTCGGGTTCTGGTTAACTCATCTCGACGTAACTTAGGTAACCACCGGATTAGTGCTCGTGTAGACTCGCCCTGGGAGCACTCATCGCATGCTCGCCAGCGGATCGCTTCCTTCTCGCTCTCCAGTTTAGTCTTCTAGTATAGCGCAATCCACAGACCTTCGAGCATCCCTCAGAACCCTTCCCGTACCATTCCGTCACAATGTATCTGAACTTCGATCACTTAAACGCGGGCACCGAAGCTTCTAGATCGTTCTAGGCAAAAGCATCTAGACCGTAATAGAGTATCGAATTATAATATTCCTTAGTACATAAAGGCTATCTCCCCCAACCTCTCCCTCTTAAAGTTAATTAGAAGAATAAGAGAATCATAGTTAAATCGGATTCTCAAGCGCCGTTCTCGCGTAGTAGCTTGACCACCGCTTCGTGACCGTTCTCTACGGCCCATGACAGCGGCGTCCGGCCATCGTTATCTCGGGAGTCCAGGTCGACCTTCCCCGTCTCGAGTAGTAGCTTGACTATCGTCTCGTGTCCGTTCCGTGCAGCCCATGACAGCGGCGTCCGGCTATACTGATTATCTCGGGAGTCCAGGTCGACCTTCCCCGTCTCGAGTAGTAGCTTGACCACCGTCTCGTGTCCGTTCTCTATAGCCCATGATAGCGGCGTCCGGCCATCGTCATCTCGGGAGTCCAGGTCGACCTTCCCCGTCTCGAGTAGTAGCTTGACCACCGTCTCGTGTCCGTTCCGTGCAGCCCATGACAGCGGCGTCCGGCTATACTGATTATCTCGGGAGTCCAGGTCGACCTTCCCCGTCTCGAGTAGTAGCTTGACCACCGTCTCGTGTCCGTTCTCTATAGCCCATGATAGCGGCGTCCGGCCATCGTCATCTCGGGAGTCCAGGTCGACCTTCCCCGTCTCGAGTAGTAGCTTGACCACCGTCTCGTGTCCGTTCCGTGCGGCCCATGACAGCGGCGTCCGGCTATATAGATTATCTCGGGAGTCCAGGTCGACCTTCCCCGTCTCGAGTAGTAGCTTAACCACCGTCTCGTGTCCGTTCTCTGCGGCCCATGACAGCGGCGTCTGGCCATCGTCATCTCGGGAGTCCGGGTCGACCTTCCCCGTCTCGAGTAGTAGCTTGACCACCGTCTCGTGTCCGTTCTCTGCGGCCCGTGACAGCGGCGTCCGGCCATACTGATTATCTCGGGAGTCCAGGTCGACCTTCCCCGTCTCGAGTAGTAGCTTGACCACCGTCTCGTGTCCGTTCTCTGCGGCCCGTGACAGCGGCGTCCGGCCACATAGATTATCTCGGGAGTCCGGGTCGACCTTCCCCGTCTCGAGTAGTAGCTTGACCACCGTCTCGTGTCCGTTCCCTGCGGCCCGTGACAGCGGCGTCCGGCCATACTTATCTCGGGAGTCCAGGTCGACCTTCCCCGTCTCGAGTAGTAGCTTGACCACCGTCTCGTGTCCGTTCCCTGCGGCCCGTGACAGCGGCGTCCGGCCATACTTATCTCGGGAGTCCAGGTCGACCTTCCCCGTCTCGAGTAGTAGCTTGACCACCGTCTCGTGTCCGTTCCCTGCGGCCCGTGACAGCGGCGTCCGGCCATACTTATCTCGGGAGTCCAGGTCGACCTTCCCCGTCTCGAGTAGTAGCTTGACCACCGTCTCGTGTCCGTTCCCTGCGGCCCGTGACAGCGGCGTCCGGCCATACTCATTATCTCGGGAGTCCAGGTCGACCTTCCCCGTCTCGAGTAGTAGCTTGACCACCGTCTCGTGTCCGTTCCCTGCGGCCCATGACAGCGGCGTCCGGCCATACTCATCTGCCGTATTGAGGCTCGCTCCTCGTTCATATAACAGTTTCAAGGTCCGTATTTGTCCCTCTTCCGCCGTCCGTAGTAACCAGGCATCGCGTAATGTTGGTGCCTTCTCAAGGTTGATCTTTCCGTCCAACAAGGTGGGGTCAATTGCTATTGCATGGTCCTCCCACTCGTCGGATGCATATTTCAAGAAGGCATACCCTGGGAAGGAATCTTCCAGGGAATGATACGGTACTTTATTCAGTTGCTCTGTGCCAGGGAGGCCCTCGCGACGTATAACTGAATTACCGTGGTTGAATGCGTCGCTGCTCAAATATCGCCAGCACACCTGTAACATGAGAAGATTTGCGCTGTCTCGGGAAGTATGATACCACGCTCCCTTTGAGCCACTGTGATCTTCCAGTAAGAAATCTTTCACGGACTGGTGACAGAAGTTGACTGTCGTATCGATATCGTTGCTCGCAATAGTTAAGCTGATGAGAGAGCCACATGACGAACATATGTCCTTATAGTCATCCAGATGCTCAATTTGCAGCACTAAGCTGTTCTTCCAAATCGCAAATGCGGCTGCTATTTCGATTTTCTTTAGAGGCCGCCGGGCAGCGACCATACTGAGTAAAAGAAAGCGAGCACGGGATTGCTTGTCGACTGAATCGTTTTCGTTCAAAATCCGGGCATAAGTCTCGTTAAGCCCCGCAGGAAGATTCCTAAGTTTGGACCGCACGTCATCTTTCGGTGTTTCACAGAGAACTTTAAACATAAGAGATACCCAGAGGAAGGTTCCTCCGGCTTTGTTCGCAAGAGCCTCTCTGATGTCGTCTTTCAGTTCCTTGTTATAGTCTCTTCTCTTCGTAAGTTCCTCGACTTTGACCTCAATGTATTCGGCCAGATCAGCATTAACTTTGCTCGAGTCTATGCTCAAAGAGACACCAACTCCGCTTAGTTCATCATGGATGTCGCTAATTTCGGGTCTGTAGGTAATAAGGAACTTAAATTTCCCTTCCCCTGATGTTGGCGGTATCTGAAAAAGTGTATTGATGCCAAGGAGTAAAGCCTTGCGCGTAGATTTCTCACATTCATCCAGAGCATCAATGAGGATAAATACTTCACCGGCGCGGCTGTCTCGGAGCATTGCTTGAAAGATTCGCCAGAGAGCAGTGAAGTTCTCGAAAAGTTTCTCGAAGACGCTGCTACTCTTGTGGTCCTCAAAGTCCGTCTGAATATGTTTGAATAGCTCGTTCCTTTGAACCAGTAGCTGCCAGACAAGGCTCCGAAGTAAGGCTGCTGGTGTTTTCCGCGCTTGGTCTTTGTCGTCGCAGAAAAAGTAAGCGAATATAGTGTCGGGAGTTTTCTCAACTTTTCTTTGGAGTGTCTCAACAAGAAAGGTGGACATCATCGTCTTTCCGATACCGGGGGAGCCAACAAGGCGAAGAAGTCGTGGATCTTTATCGGCTCCCCAGGCAGAGAATTCCTCCCGTTTCAGAATCCACTCACAAGTGTGCCCTACTCTTTTCTCCTTTTGAGTCTGGATTTCGGACAAGATATCTACCGGTTTTACAACTTCCATCGCTCGAAGGCATTCCTGAAGTTTCCCTGAAGTTCCTCTATCGTTGGCTAGAATGGCCCTAGGGTTTCGGCGGCGCTCGAGCGCCGTTTCAGCACCTTCAGCCATTCGTAATATCTGTGGATAGACAAGCTGAAAAGAGGGATCCTCTGGACCATAGAATTTGTTGATCTTGAGGTGGTCTGTGTGGAGAGACATCTTGGGATGGCCATCGATACAGGCACTGCTCTCGGGTACAACCTGAGCTTATGTCAGAAGAAGCGGGAGAGAACAGTCACAAAAAATAACACACGAGACGCGGGGGTACAAGAATTCCCAAGGGTCCCAACCTGGCCCCATAGTTTGTCTTAAGCTGTTCGAAGCAGCACATAACAGGCACGGACTCGGCAAATAACCAACTGGAGAAGTGATGCAAGCGATCTGTCAGGGTGTCCGACTGCTGTTCTAGGTCTCGAAGAATTCTGTCTTCGGTGACAAGACTGGGCGGTGCAAGCGACGCAAGTAAAGCACCCCAGGATGCAGCAGGGCTGCCTCGGTGAGGCGTACCTAGAAAGACCACCCCGACCGTAGATTCAGCAACGGGAGTGAACTCCGAGCGATTTCGGGACGCGTCGACGATGGCCTGCTCAATTCAGCACCAGCTCTTGAACGAAGTGTCAGCACTCAGTAGTCACTGTCACGAACCTGCTCAATGAGGTTTCCTCCAAAACTGTGACCAATAAAGATCAACGGTCTACGGCTTGCCTGGTAAGGTAAGTGATTACTTCGACATGCTCAACTGAAACTAAAGGCATGTTGTCTGTCTTACCTCCTTGCGATTGTTCTGAAGACTATTCAGCAGAGTCCCCGAAATGTCAGAGATCCTTTGCTGAGGTGCATCTATCAACCATTTCGAGTCGTAATTAAAGGCCATAACTCGACAAGACATTTTCTTTGGAAGGAGCTCTTTTAACCAATTAAATGGCTTGTCGGGATATCCAGAGCCACCGGGAGGGTTGTTCTTTGGATGCCAAACCCAGGCATAAGCCGGGTTTGCGCCAAGTCCGTGGACCGCCACGATACTAAGATGGTCAGATTTGTACCAGACCATTCGAGGGTGGAGACATACTCAACAACTGCCTTCGGATTGTCGTGCAAAATCTGTAGGGGATACTCAGCTGGTGGTGGGGTGCTCTCATCTAGTGTCTTGTCTCCTTCCTTCAAAGCGTTTTCCTGATCTCCCGAAGATCTATCCCGGCCATCTGAGACGTTACTGGCTCCATGATCTGACTGTGATTTACGCTGCCCAGATAATATGTCCGGCACGCGGTGATGGGCACCGGAAAATAACCTTGACCGAGGAGTGGCGATGTACGCAAGGAGAAGAACGCAACAAACCCACACAGCTTTCCAAAATGGCCTGTGCGACCCGATAAAAATGATTGCGAGGATAACTGCGAGGATCCTTGGGAGGTTAAAGGGAGGCATCGTCGTGGTGATCGGACTTGCCTGGGGTGTAAGGTTTCAACGGCGGACAAGTGGGGTAGAAGTCAAGCTCTGGACAACGGAGGACATTTCATGAGGGGAGGTTTGTCAGGAATGAAAGGTATTGCGGAGTCACGTGTAAATGCGCATTGTTTGTCATGAAATGCTCAATTCTCTCCTCCTTCGACGGGAGAGCCGTCTGCATATAAATACATGTAGTAGGTGCGACTTCTTCGAGGCATTCTGAGTCTAGATCCTAGTGGTTTGATCAATCAAAAGAGCGGGTTGGAGTTACACTCAATTGATAACTGTCAAAGTGCTACGGTAATAAGTGCTAACCTGGGACGGCAGAGTTTACAACCCCTAGTCCCAAATAATCCTAGTGTTGAAATGCGGAAGAACATTGTTCCGTTGTTTGCTGCCAACGGGCAGGAGACTGCGTGTCATGTGACCTAGTACGCGGTCTACCATGTGATAAAAGTCAAGTGATGTTTAGCTGACATTTCTGTGATTGCAGGGCATTGTGGCGCTCGAGCCAAACACAAGAGAAGGCCAAAAAGCCACTCTTATATGACTCAATTCTGGTGTCATTTCAGCCACAATAACATATACAAATCACATCTCCATGGCGGGACCTGTCTCCTGTTTCTTCCAAGTCACGTGATGCTAGAGGCTTGGCACTGCGTACCGAGTACATCCTTTTTAAATTAGGTTTAGCTTACTTCTCGTAGACAGAACTCTCAGCCATAGATTACTCCATTTGCACCTCTTACACTCCGCCTGTCCTACTGCAAAGATGATCTCTTCAACCGTTGCCCGAACCATGGGGATTGAGAGGCGCCCGACTGAAGCAAAAGAACAACTAATCCGTGAATAAAAGAAAAGAAAACAATGGCAGCGCAAGTCGCTCCCTTTACCGTTCGGCTTCCACCTCCCCAGACAGATGATCAGGCTGGCAACCAGGCGCAATCATCTGCCCCACCTGGCCCTGCTCAGAACTCTGCTTGGCAGCAGGCTGCAAATAACAACAACGCCAACATCAGTGACGGGCACATTCTTGCAATGATCCCCGCCTCCTATCGCACTAAGAGCCATGATTTGATTCCTCCAAGACTAGATGACATCTCTTGGATCGAGAATGAGCTTGATGTCCAAAGACTGCACCGGATCAAGGGCTGGTTCTGGGTTGTGGGTCGGCCCACGCCGCCGCGCCCACTTCACCACCAAGTTCTCCTTGGTCGGGAGGTTTTCGTCACGGAGCAGATGGACATGCACCTCGTCTGGACAGGCGGACGCATGTATCTCAAGCCGTTGCCGCGCTTCATCCTTGAACCCCACTTCTGGATCAGGTTCCTCGCCTGTGCGAAAAATTGTGCTTGTGCCGTAGGAGACGGCACTGGCCACATTGTACAGGGACCTGCACCCAATACCACTGCCACTGCCACGGCGACAAAAACGCCTACAAATCCGAAGAAACCTGATGAGCCCCAAGAGTGTAAGAAGCGCAAGCTGCGGAAAACGGCACTAGGATTCCTCTTCTCCTACGTCGCGCTAATCCGCCACGAGAGCGACCTCCGTCTCGCCAAGGACAGGTTTCTGATCCCCTTAAACGCTGACTGGACGTACTGGACGACACTTATACAGCAGCTGGACCCCGAGCACATCTATCCGAACATCGACGAACGCTTCTACTATGGAGAACTACGGCTAAGCCGGCTGAACAAGCTCTACAGGTTTACCCAGTGGTCCCCTCGCGGCTATGTGTATCGTTGGCAGGAGTACGGCAGCTTCATGGCGGAGTACTTTGGACTACTAACAGCCATGACGGTATACATTGCCATCATCCTCACGGCGATGCAGGTCGGCCTGGCCACCGATCAACTCAAGGCGAACCAGGCCTTCATGAACGCGTCGTATGGGTTTACCGTTTTGTCAATTCTGGGTCCGTTGATTGTCATGGCGATCATCTTTCTGTTCTTTCTGTGCATTTTTGGCAGTAACTGGTACGCCACCGTAAAGTTCAGCAAGAAGAGGCTCGGCGCCATACGAGCTGATCGGCGCGGTGATGAGCAAGTCAGAATGCATGCGAGCTAGAGGCGTCGCGTCATGTCGATAGGACTACTCAAGGGCCGATCCGCGCAGCTGCGGTTGCAATGCATGCCCGGGAAAACAAGGTCAGGTGCGCTGGCAGGTGCTTGGGCCTCGCTGCTATGCCCAACACACTGGCCAACTAATAGCGTTCAGCCACTGGCTAGACACAACATCCACAGACTAAACAGCTGAGGCAAGTCGATCTATTCCATCTGAAGCTACTCGGAGCTCCGGTCTTCTAGCGTTCATGATTCAGCTGGCCCATGAGGCTCTTGAGGATATGGATGGTCGATAGACCACGCACTCCTCCGCCGTCGAGCGACAGCAGTCAGAGCCCGGTGTGGTCGACGGGTTGGGCGGGCCCCCCGTCGCTCGTTCGGCGGAGACCGCTTGCTCCATGAGGTCGGCCGACGCTGGGAGGAACGAGAGGATGGTCTGGAGGAAAGATGAAGAAGAAAGATGAAGCACAGCATCTGTTAGGCAGATGCCTACGCTTGAAGGTGTCTGCGCACAGCATCGTGAAGGGCGCTCGATCAGGCTGAATGTGTATCTCTCGACAGCACATCCAGTCCAGGTGAGGCAGTGGGTGTCAGTGCAAAGCAAACTCCCTTCGTACGCGGATCGCCCGCGAGTCCACTTTTGTGCATGCCAAAGTTTACGGGAGGGATACCATAGTGCCATCTACGTGAACGACGAAGCAAGACTATCTCGGATGTGTACGGGGCGCAAGAGAAGCGGCACAGCAGTCCGTGGGTGCAATTATTCTCAGGGAGGTCCTAGATATCACTCTTGCCGCGGCGCCGGTATAAAGGACTGCAAAAAGCTCACATGCATTTTCTGCGTGTTATGGACCGCGAGATTTGGTAATTTTATATGAACATCAAATCTATGGACAATTCAGTGTCTATGCCATCAATTCTGGCCCTCCCGTGGGCGAACTTCGCCGATGCGGTGAATAGACAGGCATGTGAAATTAAAGTGAATCCGCACCCACTGCATTTCATTGCGCAGGGATGGACGTTTACTTGTTAATAGGCTCCTGCTGGTATTCGTAAGCGGGAGATCGGCCTAGTGAGCCGCCCAGAGCCGGACCTGGGGACGCCTAGTACTGGGCATCTCCGCCTAATAGCCGCCAAAGTCTGTTGCTGACCTACTGTACCTCGTGCCTGCCGGCCAGTTGATTGTCGTCGCCACTAATATCGAGCGAGCAATATCGTCAGATCAACAGCCTTGTCTGCCTCTCCAGATCAAGAGATTATTTTCTTCCACTTGCCTCTGCCGGGTTCGCTGTCTTTGCTCCATCCCATGAGTAATCCATCCTGTCGACGACTTTCTGCGGCTGTCACTGCGTCCCTCTCATAAAACATGTCGGACACTGCCATTCGATTTCCCTAGACCTGATTTGAGTCTACGTCACAGGCCCTCCTCGTTCAGCCGCAGCGACCTCCCAAAGTCAACCGTCCCACGGAAACCCCCTCCAAGCCTATCCCCGCCACCCATATTGAACCATGCATCAATCCTTCACAGGCAGCGCCCGTAAACCTCGCCAGGTCAATCTCTCCGGCCGCACCCACGCCAATCCATGGGCTGCCCTTCCGAAATCGAGCCAAGCCACTCCGTCCGCCGCAAGCAATACAGTTGCCCAGGCGCAGGCAGACCGGGCGCGGAGACAACAGGACAGAGACAGATACAATGCTACAAAGACTCTCCAGAGATTATGGCGCGGTCACGCGAGCCGACGGGAACAGAAGTCGCGATGGAGACAGATGTGGGATGAGAACGAACAGCACAGGCTGGGCTTGCCGCGTCGAGTGGACTACCAAGGGCTTGTCGCCGCAGGCGCAACGGTCCCGGCGTATGACAACTCGCTACAGATCCTCCTCCAGTTGCGGCTGTTATTACGATTTCAAGAGTTTAGGAGAGGCAAGGCAAGGGATGACATGGATCTGCTCAGATTGCTCTACTTTGGCGAGGCCCTACATCAAACCTTGGTCTCGTTAGGGTTCGAGTTGGACGGCGGCTGGAAGGACAGTCTCTCTCGCCTGGGACTGGTCGAGGCTCGCTACCTGAAGAGCATTGTCGGGGACCACACGACCGATGAGAGATTATCTTACGGACCAAAAATCTTGAAAACCATCACCATGCTGGCTGGATATATACCGGATGAGATAGCCAAGGACTCCGTAATCTACTTCGAGGTGATCGACTTGGCGTTACGAAGACAAGAGGAGGAGACGTGGCTGCGGAGCTCACTGGAGGCGATAGCTGCTCTTCTGAGAAGTCCTTCCACCCACAAGCAGACTGCATACACGGCGTTCGCAAGACAGTTCCTGACCAAAGGTTCCTTTTCAGGACGCCGAGATATTCTGAAAGAGCTTTCCCCCTCCTTAAGTCTTCAGGAGCTGGCGCAGGCAATGACGAAGGAGGTTGAGGACCCGGACGGGAGTGGCACGCGTACATTGACCGATACCCAGTTATTGTGGCAATTGGCCCATCTCATATACATTCACGACATTCTGCATAAAGGTTACGAAGGTCAGAGTACGTATATCGAAGCGGTCTCGGCTCTCTTGGGGGAATGCGCAAATGATGTGGCCGAACGGATGGACCTGACCGATCAGCACATGCTCAACGATGGGATCAAGACTGGTGCCGAGCCTCTGCCGGGATTTGTGAGAGACATGCTCTCAAGACTGCTGCAGCAGGATGGACTACGAGCCATTTTGAAAGAGGCAGGGTCTTCACCGACGTCAGGAAAGACCAGCGACGACACAGACTTTGACTCCGCGAAGCGACTGGCAAACTTCGCGGTTGCTTTGCTGAGAGCTTTTCCTGCCCGGGCACAGGATATTCGGATGTCTTTGTACCAAAGCCCTGTCAGATCGGTCGAGAACGCAGATATGTCCACCATCCAATACTTCTGGAACACAGCACGGACGACCAGCGTTTTCGGCAAGATTGCCCAAGACTACCGAGTCGTGCTATCGGTCCTCAGAGACGCGGCTCCAAAAACCAATCAAATAGGCCAAGCACCGTTGTCCAGAGATGAAATCGCTCGCTGGCGCGATGAGTGGCGGATCATCTTGCTCTTCCTTGAGTTGTATACGTTTGTGCTCAAATTCATGGATGATGATGATTTCTTCTCCTATGAAAGATTGCACGCTTTTGGGGCCGCTGCAGGCTCACCCACAAGTTTGTTGTCGCGAAAAGGAATGCTGCCTCTGGAGCAAGTGGCACTGATGACGATATTTTTGAAGAACCTGGCGTTTACCCTGTACTGGAACGCAGCCGACTTGGTGGAGAGCAATGATCAAGAGGAGGAATTAGCCATCTCTGCGCTTTTTGGCCGTCCAGGCCGTTCATCGGTCAAGAATACGGAAAAGAAGCAACTTAACCTGACTGGCAATGGTGTATCGCAAGGCTACCTCAAGGGCTTGGTCACAGGCTTGCTGCGGATGCTCCATGAAAGAGACTCCAGACGATCATTTGTGCCCCCTGACCACTGGTTGATGACCAACCAAGTGAGCATGGCTGGGTTCATTTCCGCGGTTGTTGCAGAGGAAGAGAAGAAGCACGAACTGGATGGCGAAGATGATACCGAAGAAGAGCAAGATGAGCTTGACCGGGACGTTGAAATAGATAGGTCAGTGGGCTCAACGGCGGGCGAGGCTTTGCTGAGCTCCATATTTGGTATCCGGCCATCACACGTCCCCAGAAGCAGGGCGTCGAGAATGGCGGAGTGGGCAGAAAAGCAGCGACTGCAGGTCAGGAAAAAGCGACAGTTGGAAGCAGTGGCACCGCGCCTTGAGATCCTCCGCAACCTCCCATTCTTCATCCCGTTCGAGACACGGGTCCAGATCTTCCGTGAATTCGTCCAGCGAGATCAAGTCCGCCGACGGAACGGCACCACCGACCCGGACACGTGGCGTATGATCGTGGCTGCGAGGCAAGCTCGAACAGTTGACGGCCGGCCGATTGGGGTAGACGTCCTCTCCAAGCATCATGCTGAAATATCTCGTGGCAGGGTCTTTATGGATGCCTTCGAAGCTTTCTACGAGCTTGGGGACGGGCTCAAAGAACCAATCCAGATCACTTTTATTGACCAATTCGGCGCCCCGGAAGCTGGCATTGACGGAGGAGGCGTGACCAAAGAGTTTCTCATCAGTGTGACCAACGAAGCATTCGACCCCAACCCCAAAATGTCCATGTTCAAGGAGAACGCTCAGAGGTACCTGTTTCCAAATCCTATGATCTATCAGGAAACTGCAGAGTATCTGAAAATGCCAGGGCTCAAATGGAACGTTGACGGGGTTTCGTCTCCGCTGGTTGAACTTCTCCGCCGTTACCAGTTCCTGGGCCGAATTGTCGGAAAGTGCCTGTACGAGGGTATCCTGATTGACGTCAACTTTGCTGGCTTCTTTCTCCTCAAGTGGGCGCTCACTGGCGGGACGACGGTGGGTTCGAACGAATCCGCCTATCGAGCCACGATCAATGACGTCCGAGAATTCGACGAGGAATTGTACCAGGGCCTTCTGAAGCTGAAGAACTATCCGGGCGATGTGGAGACGGACTTTTCGCTTGACTTCACGGTGACTGATACGGTCACGTACGAAAACGAGGATGGCACCGAAGCGCACAAGACATTCACCACCGAGTTACTTCCGAACGGCGCCAATATCCCGGTTACCAACACCAACCGATTGCTTTACATTGACCGAATCGTGAGATATCGACTACAGCAGCAGCCCAAGGCCGTCACGGACGCCTTTCTCAAGGGCCTCGGTCAGATCATTCAGCCCATGTGGCTCGCCATGTTCAACCAAAAGGAGTTGCAGAAACTCGTTGGTGGCGACAACACCGAACTGGACATTGCCGACCTCCGCCGCAACACGCAGTATGGAGGAGTCTACGCCATCGGCGATGACGGGCAGGAGCATCCCACGATCCAACTATTCTGGAAGGCCCTGCAGGAGATGTCGGACGAAGACAGGCGGAAGGTGCTCAAGTTCGTCACCAGCACTCCCCGGGCACCCCTGCTGGGATTCAGTCATTTGAATCCGAAGTTCAGCATTCGTGATTCCAGTGGGGACCAGGACCGACTCCCGAGCACCTCGACCTGCGTGAATCTGCTCAAGTTACCACGTTACGAAGACCTCAAGACGATGAAAGAGAAGCTTCTGTATGCCGTCAACTCAGGGGCTGGATTTGACTTGTCGTGATAGAGGACCCGGAGGGAGATCGGCCGTCTTTTTGGTCTTGACATGATAGGAAGAGATGGGGAGAGACTGGGTCAATTGGTACTATTCTCTTGAACGTGTATGGCTGGGTCGGGGGCTATGCATGGGCACCTAGGCAAATACCACTCTAAGAAGGTCTTTTTATTTCACTTGCATTGGCTGGCTATTGGGCGAAGCGAAACAGACCTTTCGAGGTCGAATCTCGACACGAGTACCTTCCATTTCCATCTCTGGACCTGAGGGTGGCCCTGAGCCTCGCTGCTTCAACCTGAGATGCTCCTGCACGTGACTGATCATGGGGGTGCCGGCCTGAGCAAAGGATCAATCGCGTCCATATCTGGGCCAGGGAGCCCTGGTCCCGGCACCCGCCTATAGTTGCCAAGTTATCGCCTCGGCCTAGCCTACAGTACCCATAACTTGGCACCCGATTCAAGTTGACGTAATGGTCACAAAAGTTCCCTTTCGCTAAATTGGTTAGTCCGGGTCAAGCTTCGCCATCTTCCTACTCCCCCCACTTGCAGTTAAGCATCGCCACGACATCAAGTCAAGTGCTTTGTGGCTCAGGCATGTTGGCGCTTGCGCTGTTGTTTTGACGGCAAGGTAGATTCTGGTAGACAGGTTGACGAAGAGCCGACAACCTAGCTTATTGTTGTATTTTTCTCCACAAGGGCGGCGGCTTTCACTCCATGATACAGCTACTAAGTAGCTAAGATTGGATCAGATTCTACTGTTCATCGCTACCGCCGCAGATCATCGACTGAGCCTGGCCATTCCGATTCATCTATGTCGACTGGCCCAGTAAAAACCGTATACCCCTACGAGCCAGATCAGATATCCCGACAGGAGGACCCGTCTGTCGTCTCAAGGACGGGAAGAGCAGCCATGGAGAGAGCCTTGCAGGGATAATCCACTGGTCTTGCGTTCTGGCGGCACGCAAGCGTCTCATACCAGCGACGGGATGCGACCGGATTCTACTATAGCCAGGGGCTTATGACATGGTGGATGTTGTTCATGCGGATAGGTAACTTTTGGACCAGGATGTTGATTCATGGTACACATTCTAGAAGCTATCCTAGTCTCGTCTCTACTGTACAAGCCACAATCCTCGTGAAAGAGAGGCCTGGATAGGAGCCTCAATCTTTCAATTTAACGAAGTATTCGGATTTGCCATGACACCTGAGGCTCTCTGTGCTTCACCGAGTATCTCCATCATTTTCAAGGCTAGGCCTTCGTCTTCCTCCTTTCTCAGCCTCCCGTTTGGGAATACCACTCTCCGGAGCCTATTTATCCATGGTCTCACCGGTCTGTAGTACAGTGTGACGTACTGTTCTAATGTCTCCAGGAAAACTTCCTCATCCGCAACAAGGCCCAGTTTTATCCCAGCGAGCTCCTCTGGGTCCATGAAATTCCATTTTTCGAACCTGCGAACAGCCCTACCTTTCGTATTCGGGCCGTCGTAGTGGATACAAATCCAGAAGAGAACCCAGAAGAACGACTCGTAATCATGCATAGCCGAGTGCTTCTTACCCAATAGTGCCCAGATGGCCATGAATGCTCTTGTACCCGTTTTGCCATGTGCGCCTGAAGATCCCTCCCGCTGCGTCCGTATCGCGAGATCGAGGTCAATCAAAAATGCTGGCCAAGATGGATTGGTCGGGTCTTCGTTCATCATCAGGTTGCCCACCGATATGTCGCGGTGGAGGATGCCGGCCTGGTATAAAGCTTTATAACCTAACATTATTAGTCGATGAATATATTTCACTGTAGTGTCCCTACCTTTGATACAACCTTCCAACGCGGCCAGCATTGCGGCCCAAGAACTTGCCCGGTAAATGGGTTTTCCGTAGTCAGATACGATAACCCTTCGGTGGATCCGATTCAAGGAGGTTGGACTAATTATCTTTTTGGTTGGGGAGGTGGAACATGTTCGCTTGCCCGCCGGAATTGGTACTTGAATAGAGCTGGATGACCTCTTGCGCCCGATGCCGCTTGGAACTTTGAAACTTCTGCCTCGTTCAATGATCTCCTGAGAGACCGAGGTGCTCGGAGGCATCATCGAGCTTTCTGTCTTCCGACTCTGGCTGAGAAAGTTCGCAGCTTTAGAGATATCCAGCACCTTGCGAATATTGGTCTGAACATCGTCGTCGATACTACCCACCTGAACTGTTTCATGATGATAGTATCTGGCCACATTCTCCACTCCTTTCTCTGTCGCCTCTCGTAGGAGTTCCCCTTCTTGGTCGCGCTCGGGGTATTGCCACGAATCTTTGATGACAAGAGGAGCCCTAGACTTATCGCCTTCTCGATAAGCTCTCCAGCAAGTTGTCGCTCGGCCGACCACAGAACTCCCACGTCTCATCAAGGCGTCGAGTATAAGTCGTTCATCTCGGCCGTTGCGAGTGATCTTCATATACCTTACACCATCCGATTCCACAATAGTGGGATCAAATCCGAGCTGCTCTCTATCCATCCAGAGAAATCCTAAGACTGCCGAGACAAATCGTAGGCCGTCTTTATTGATATCAAAGGGCTCTGAAGCAATCCCGCCAACACGATCAAACTCCCATAATCTCATGATCGAACCGCAGAGAGTAAATCCCAAGACAAAGCGACGGGTGTCCTGAGCGATCAGCACCTCTCGAGCATACCTTGCTAGGTCGAGCCATGTTTTAGTGGCCATATCAAATGCCGGATTACCTTTCAGCTCCCCGGGTACGAGAATCTGCGACCAATGGTATACGGCGTCTTCGTCCGCATCAAGGTCCTCCACAAAGCCGATATCTGGCTTCTGTCCGGCTGTAGATCCTTCCGAAGCTTTATTGGGTCGTGTTAGCGGGCCTCGTGAGGTGCTTGGGATTGAAATAAGGTCTTCTGCGAAATCTCGGAAGAGCTGAACTCGCTCAGCAAACCACTTCAGTACCTCCTTTTCCTGAGCTCCTTTCGGCCAATCTCTCCAGCCCGTGTCCTCTCTATACAAAGGAACACCACCCTCCTGGCATTTTTTGAACACAGCTGCGGCATTCTCTTCCAGACAGGGGATCTTCCCGGCAAATACGTCGTGGAAACCAGGTATGCCAATATATAAGGGCCCCATCTCTTCTTTCAGTAAGCCGTCCATATACTGTCTCTGCTCAGACGAGTTGACAACGCTGCTGGTACTGTGCGTATACGGGGTTTGGAGAAACTGTGCTTGCGGACGAGGAGGTGGCGTAGCTTCGGTCATAGCAGCATAAGTCTTTGCAAAGATGATTTCGTCCGGCTCCTTGTTCACGACAACTCGCAGAAGCGGAACAATACGCTCAGCATCAAACTCGCTAGATTCGATGACAGGAATGAGGCCGGAAAGTTCGGTAAGAAGAGTACCGCGACCAGTGGTCGATGGAAGTAGCCGAGACGCGGGAAGACTTTGGACGGCTAACACAAGGTCAAGTGCAAGGGTTTTGAAATCTAGGCACGTCAATATAGACCTGGGGAAAGGGCTTCCGCGGATTTGCCTTGGTGGCTCAGCTGAGCAAGAGAATCTATAGATGGAGGGAGTCCAAGTTTCTCACAACGTGAGCTGTACGCGTCGCGAAAGAAAGTAAGCGCATCCCCGATGGGATGCGCTCCAACAATATCGCGCCTGGAGAGTGCCATCGTTGTCTGTGGATCGTAAACCACTACATGTTAGTAAAATGGCCATAGGTTCCAGAGGTACCGCTGAAGGATGTGTCGAGTTTGGATAGCGTTTGCTGAGCAGTGCTCATTGAAAGGAAATCCGCTCGGCAGACCTTCTCTGAATGCCTGGGCTAGCTCAGCCCTGCTTTGCAGCCCCTACCGGTGTTGGAGCCCCAAATTACTCAAGCCTGTCAACTGCTGATCATCCACTTACGTCCTTACCAATTACACTCTCGGCTAGAGCGGACACCATTTCAAAAGGCTCTCTTTAACTGATTGGTGCGTGGGCGCTGCCATGGAAGGTCAACCAGGTTGCGCCAGCGGCATCTCGCTTAGCGGCAGTTCAATAGACGCGGTGTGTGATGCAGCCTGGCACTGGCGGCCATCGAGGCGAGATAAGGCGGCCCAACGGCTATCTCACACCACCAGCAGAGAAGGCACTGGTGGAATAATACGTCCTACGCATGTCCAGTCAGGGGTACCCTCTATCTGTTAAATTTCTCCGCTCTTTGGCACTCACCATCGCTCGCCAGCGTTCTTCGGTCTTCCAAGCTCGACCTCCTGGGAAAAACTAGCCGCAAGGGTTCTATGCACGCCATCCGGAACTCAAGGCGAGAAGGGTCCAGGCCCTCGACTGAACACGACATGATCACAACATCCTTGACAAAGTCACCCAGTGGCTCAATGTGATCGGTGACCAACTCCATGACCCCGCGATTGTCGCAGACAATGTCTACAACATGGACGAGACGCGCATTCTCATGAGTGTTTTGTGTTCGTTGAAAGTGCTCGTAAGTCGAGACGATCTTCGAGATTCCCGAGGAGCTGGCGTCAAAAGGACGCTGGTGACGGCCCGTGGAATGCATTTCTGCCGCGGGCCATCCTTTGCCGCCACTTATTATTTGGCCGGCCTCGACGCGTTGCAGCCCCCTGGACTCCACATCCTACTCCCGGGTGGCACTTTGCTTGCTCGAAGAAATGATACACTGACAAGGATATCAGCTTGTATTGGATCCAGCATGTGTTTGACCCCCTCACGCGATCGCGAGCCTGGGACAAGCCGCGGGTGCTGATCAATGACGGGTTTGCCACGCAGGAGTCCCTGGATCTGTTGAGGTTTTGTTTTGAAAACAATATTATTGTGTCGATTGCCCTCCCATACTTCCCACAAGCTGAGACCGTGCGACGGAGGCGTATTCGGGCCGCTCAAAATGGCGTACCGCGAACAAGTGGAACGGCTGTATCGAGGAGGCGCCAACACTGTTGTATACCATGTATACCCGGATTCCTGCGTCCGAGAAAGCATCCCTAACATTGTCGCTGCATATCAAAGACATTCCAACGCCTCGCCGTCCGTTGAGTCTCGTCATATCGTCGACCAAGCAACCATTAATCCCGAGGCTCCTGTTTCTCCTATACAAGTCGACCTCGTTTCGAGAAGTGTGAGCTGATGATCACGACAGCCGCCAGAATGATCAGACCAGAGACAATGGATGGGGCCCTGCGTTCGTTAATACCTCTCCATAATTTAGGTCAGGAGAAGACTCACGCCGTCACGCGCAGAGAGCTTTCTGTTTTGCGCTCGCCATCGCGGCCGCCCTCTCGCACCCAACCATTCTCAGTTGGGGCTGACTACTTGTCGATGATCTTGTCAATCTCGTCGATAACTTTTGTGGCACTGTTGTATTGGAAAGTCCAGCATTTCCGGATCACGGGTCCCAAAAGTAGGTGGTTGGTGTCGGGAAATTCGCCGGCCTCGTATAGCCGCTCAATCTCCTTGTCCGTCTTGCCATGGTAGGGCCGCTGTGTCGTCGAAATCTCGAAGATGACGCAGCCGAGCGCGTATAGTTCGGTGTGTACGCTCGGCTTGGTGCGTTTGTTGGCAAAGAGGTGGAATCCCTCGTGGGCCCCCGCGACGACAGAAGGTACTCTTCCGTCTATCGAGGAGCCAGCAAAATCGCATAGCTTGATGTCGTCTTGGTCGTCAAACAGCATATTAAGAAACGCAATATCGACCTGAAAAACATGCTTCCCATGGAGATACTCGATCGCCTCGCTCGCCTGCCTAGACCATTTCAGGATTTGTTCTTTGGTCGGAAGTACGTTCCTCTCCCGTAGTTGAATCAGCCGTAGACGTAAAGGGTCTTGGAGCCGCTCCAGGATGATGCCTTTGGGGTGCATGAATATGCCATTGACAATGCGTGGGTGGTCCCCGAGGCGTTCATAGATTTCCCGCTCAGTCTCGTGGTCGGCTCTGTTACCTTCACCCAAAGAGCGTTTAATCACCGTCCTCTCGTCCAATTCGAGTATGAAACCTGAGGTGCCATGGGCGACCCAGTGAAAGTCCCGAACGGGTCGTTCCAGGGTCTGCGCCCACTCAGCCATTTGAGCCAAATTGATAGAAGACGAAGTTGTTCTTGGCCATGGGAGAGGAAGGGGGAAGAATGAAGAATAACCATACTGGCAAGTTCCTCTACCGGACGAATCACAACGGGGTGTCACAGAAGCTTAGTATATTAGCCTCTTGGCATTAGCGCTTCTAGCCAATCAATGTGAGAAGTCCCGCAGGTCTAAGTCCAGGCATATCTATTCACGTGCCATTCCAGCCCAACTCCTCGTTACACAGACGCTGCCTACTGTACTTGGATCAGTGTCTTGTGACTCAATCCGCGACGTTCACTAATACTTACACGTCTCTCTCTCGCAACATGACGTAGGGCACTCGGACAAAAAGCCCCGGCACGAAAAATGTGCGAGTTCTTTGACATTAATTTTATCTACTCCGAATGTATTCAGGATCCGAAGCATGTGGTCGCATGAAGGACATCACGCTTTGCGAACACCCTCGACTTCACGGAACCTTTCGTTATTGCCCACTTGAGCATTGAGGCACAGAACATCTTCCTCACGTCCGTTAAAGGCCGGGCTCAACAGATGAGGTACGTCAAAGTATGTGTTCTTGGATTCTGAGATATAGTATATCATTAGCTATATCTTCTCTCCGTCGGATCCTCATCACGGCGTACCCGGACTATCATTTGTGGCGGTCTGTGCATTCTTGGTCATTCTCTTTACCCTCTTATACACCTTCTCAAAGGTAGGATCATCCTCCGTATTGAACTTGCACATCGCACTGTGGTCGGCGTCCACCGGAATCTGTTCAGGATCGTGTCTAGATGAAAGCTCAGCCGCCCACCCTTCAAAACGGTGTTGAAAGAGTGTGATATAGCCCTAGGGCTTCGAAAGAATACCATTAACGCAACAGCCTGTTGGGCACCAACTCGACAGATAAACAGGAAGATGACTACCTTCTCTTCAACGGTTATAGACCGCGAATCTCGAAGGCCTCCTCTACCACGAATCCACGCCACAAGCTCGTCAAATGTCTATGTAGAGCAGCCGAGATTTCGATGCATAAGGACCGAGCTGCGGCGCCAATCAGCGAGCAGTTCAATTCCATAGCGAGCATTCGAAAAGGGCGGTTGGCGATTGAATCTGTGAGCAACGTGGCCAGTAATTAACATGACAATGATAGCTAGGATGACGCTTCGCGTGGCGTCTGGCATGGCGGCTGACATGGCGGCGAGTGGTCTCGACAGCTAGGCGGGCGCGCGGAACGAGATTTCAACAAGGAATGCTGTACAAATGCAGTAGCGAGAAGACATCGTACATATACGTAACGGTTTGGGCAGAGTGGATTTAGATTCCGCCAGTCCGCACTCCAGGCAACTTCAAGCAACCGTGAATGTGGCACAAGCTTCCGGAACTGAAGAGTCGGGCCAAGAGAAGACCTTACAACCTCGACACATCAACGGCACCCCTGCTGGTACCAATAACAGTTCCCACGTACAACGCAACTGGGCCCCTCTCTTGTCTGCTTGCTCGCGCTTTTCCAAGTGCCCTAGAAACGTCGGTATCCCGAGGGAGTCCCCACTTTCACCCGGGGCATATTCATCTTCACGCCGCGCTGTGAGATGATGAAGAGGATGACGCCGAGACCTTCCAAAACCAAAATGGCGATTCCTGCGAAAAAGGTGTAGTTCTAGAGAAAAAAAGGTGATTAATATGTGTTTCTCAGAAGAGAGTGTTTCTTTGCACGGCCACAGGCGAAGGGGCGGGAGATTTGTCCTGTCCCTAAGAGGGAAACCAGACTGGGAGGTCGACGTACATTCTCAACGCAAAGGGCGTTCCAGGCCACAGCTCCGTCCTTGGTGGAGTGTTTGTAGCAGGTCCACGACCAGATATCCCATTTCGTCTTCTTACTACCCATGTTGTCGACGATCTTGAATTGGATCACCGCAGCAATCCACACGAGCAGCATTATGGTGGAGCTCACATAGACTGCCCAGACGTGAGATGCCCCCTTTCGCGCGCTTGCACACTGTTTGAACAAAAAGATCAGTCTGGATTTCCATGCCTTGGGGTATATGAAGCAAATGCCACCAAAGTGGTGCTTCAGGCAAGAGAGGGGAGAATTTGAGAGTGAACATACACAGCCACAGAGGCTTCCGAATGCTGTAAGGTGGGTGACGATGGCAACCACAGCAGCTCCTAGCATGACCCACGTCGGCCAAGGGTCAAGAAAAGCCCAGATCCTGGTTTGGATTCTCGTTTTCGTGTTCTGTGTCCTCTGTTCACGCGTCTTGAGCCAGATGTACACCGAGTAGGCCTGAATGCCGAGAACGGAGATGGCCAAGACGAGCGACAGGATTCTCAAAACGGTGCGGGCGGGTTGAAAGCGGGCGTGAGGTGCGCGCTTCTTGCCAAACCCGCCGGCGTCTCTCCCTGGCAGGCTCGAAGAGCCCAGCTGGCGGGAGTCCTTCTCTCGTTTCAGCAGGGTCTCGTCGTCCGCCGAGGCATCTATTTGTTTGTCGGCCTCGTAGTTGTCCTGGGCGTGCCGAAACGGCTCGTAGGAAGACTGGCGAGGATCCATTATTTCGAGGCACGGAGAAGGAATCTCGCGCCTGGGAGAAGTAACTGAAGTAGATGTTGTTGAAGGTTGGTGGAGAGACTGAACGAGGTGCGAACGAGGTGCGGACAGGGAAATTAATGTGGTAGATAAAGTCTGGCTGCTGCCACCTTTGTGGGTACTTCCAAGGTCACCGAGACATACCCAAAGCAGTAGGACGAGTGCCAGAGTATTCCAGCCGTGTCTATTCTAATTCCCTCCTGATCAGCTTCGGCTGAAGATTGGTAAACGTACCAATCTTACCCGTAGAGCTGCTCGATCCATCCCACTGCTTGGACTGGTCAATAAGCCCGAGCACCGCTCGGCCTAGAGAGCCGCTAATATAATGTTCAGTCAAATTATTTCGAGCATCGCCCTGACTCTATCTCTATCCGCGACGCCAGGGGCCGTTTGTCAGCCGCCGTTTCAGGAAGCATAGACACGAGCTAGGCCGAGTGCGGATACCTGCTTCTTGTATAGGCAACGCCTGGATCAGCGGAATCAGATCATCTCCCTAGTAGCTGCTCGTTGATGCACGACCGGTTTCTTAGTTCCTAGTGCAGCATGCAATCCATCCTTGTCCGGATGACTCCCTGATTCGTTCCATCCTCAATATCACTTTGGGCCTTTCGCAAGGTTCTCCCTTCGCCACATTTGGAGGGATACACCACAAGGAGAGATAGTCAGGCTGGTCCTTTCTCATTTCTCGAGGGGGCCGACTGTGTCCAGATTCGACAAGTTCCGCCCAACCCTCAGCCGTGAAGGATGGACGTATAAGTAGAGGCTCTCGATGGGCGGCCCTGCGGCCAGAGTTGTTCATCATCGCAAGTCAAGACCACTCGTCCCCTCTCAAGATCCAACTCACATCTTCCATCACAACAGGCCAGCCTAGCCCAGCGAAATATATCTCCTGCCTCACATTCAAGAGCGGTAACAGCCATAGCGACCATGAAGATCCTATTTTGCCTCTCTCTCTTCGGTCTGGCTACCGCTGATATCTCCCTCCAAATCATTACCGACAACAACTGTGGTGCGGATGGCGGCGAAATTCTTCAAGATATTCACGCCAATCTCGGCAACCAATTCGACAGCACTGAGTGCATAGCAACAGGCCAATACAACTCGGTCAACCTGGTCAGCGTCGATCCGGGCTTCCAGTGCAACCTCTATGGCGATGCGGCATGTGCCAATTTTCTCCGGACGGTAAATACCGTGGGCTGCGAACCCATCATCGGTCTCGGCACCATCTGCTTCGACCAATCGCTCTTTACCAATCCATTCGCCCAGTCGACGGCGGTGATCTCGGTGGGCACTCAACCAATCAATCTTTTCGGCGGAGACCTCTTCGATGCCGTAGTCAAGTCCTCAGTCCAACACTCGTGCTCGGACACTGGATGTGATAACACCAACCCGCTTGTCCTTACAACGAACATTCCACCCAGCAACCCTGCCTGTCACGAAGGGCTCGATCAGATTGATCCGTCAGCGTGTGCTACGGAAGACTGTACAACCACCGTCACATTGACGGGCAACTTTGACAACAGCAACGAAAGAGACTATATGGAGAGCTTGCTGCAAAATGTAGCGGCTGGTATCGTCTCCAACCCAGTCTCTTTTCTCCAGGTGGAAATGAAGTCGCCCTCCTCAGCCGTTCAGGCAGGCCTGACACTGGATTTCGTCAGTCAGTGTAACTCAGTCTCTCCACCATCTTCATTTGATTGTAGCTCAGCAATTTCAGATGTCGGCTCAGCTGCCTTGGCTTTGATCCCGGATGTAGGAGGAGTCATCGCCACCATTTTCCAAGTTGCTTGTGATTCGAACAGCTCATAGAAAACTTACCATTTAACGTGATTCCAATCTCTCCTCCACATTGGGCGTTAAACTGCTCTCGGTCGATCTTAACCGTAGACGTATGAGCGAGCAGGATATGGTGGCCGACTACTCAAGGCTCCCTTGAACCATCACCGATTGCGCTCTTTTTCCGGTTGCTGGAATAGCCGGGAGCGAATTAACTAATGTTGCATCTAAGAACAGCACTACAAAAGGGCTCGGTGAAGGTAATCCAATACTTGACCCGCGACCCTATAGCTTTAGATATAACTCGGGCGTAGTTTAAAAAGTCAGTAATAAAACTCCTCCTTGTTCAAAAACCCGCCGTAGGGCTTGTCTAGCTCGTTAGGGAGGTCCTAATAGTGGAAGAGCGTGATGAAGGGTACGATACTTGACGTAGTGTCGAAGCCCGGCTTCGTTTAGGGGGTTATTACCGCCGCCTAAAGAAATGACGCGGGACTAAGAGATGGAGAAGCGATAAGCTTTGGCGCTAGTCTGCTTAAGTAATTCGATATCTTAGGCTGTTCGATGTATTCAATTGACAGTTATAGGACACCTCGAACATATCTCGAAGCTCCTTGTCATATATCTCCTTGTCCTCAACTTTCTTCTTGATGAATGCGTTGGCACTCCGTGTCCAATAAGGGTAGGTAGAAGTAAAAAAGTGCACATCGTCGCCATGCTTATCACAAAATTGTGGCTGTATCTTTCGTAGAAGATCGAGTGAAGACCACTAGGGCTTTCTTAAAGCCAACACGTACCAGAAAGTTCCAATCTCCCAGCTAGCACTCATGATCAGCGAGTAGAGTGGTCCACTTTCTACCAGTCGTAGACGTTTCTCCTCTTCTTCAAAGATATTCATAAACTCCAATCGTCGCTTGTTATATTCTTGAAGATTGATCTCATCCACAGCTTCATTCGTTAGCCACCTGGGTGGCTGCATAAATTCCGCAGGGAGAAACTGCTGTCCATTCGAGATCAATATAGCATTTGAGGTTCCAATCTTCGTCCACAATCAGGTTATTGGTACTTATGTCCGTCAGCCGAGCGCAAAAAGGACCACGGTTTAGCTTAGGTCTGAAGAATTCTGGACGTACAGCTCTCAGCATGGCTAGAGCAGACATCTGGGCGGCACAATCTGCCTCGTCTTTGACCGCATTTGGTTGAAAGCGTAAGCGCTTATCGTGGCAGGATAGGAGGTCATTGACATAGGAGTCGACGGTATTGTATGTACGGTCTCTCGGAATTTCGATGGGAATTCCACTGTTTTCCAAATCTTGTATCTCCAGGGTGAGAGGTCTGTTTGCCAACCGTATGAATCCTTGGTCGTCGATAGTAAATGACGCAATCTGAGGGAAACAGACTCGGCCAACTCTCAGCATAACTTGTGACAGACTGCGAAATAGATTCTTTCTGAGTCGATCATCCGTCCGACCGGTCTCCCAGGTCTTTGACAGCATTTGCCCTTGTTCCTGGTCGATATATTCAATGACTAGGTATCCGCCCAACTCATTCGATAAGCTGCTTCGATGTGGAATCAGATTCGAAGGGACACGACGGCCAAGGCAAGACAAGAACTGACTTTGAAGGTAGTGATACAAGTGAACAAGAAGAGGGCGGTGCTCAGCTGCGGTAAACTAATGGAAGCCGGTTAGCTCTTTTGTTCTGCGCCCGAGGTAAAAGTGACATACACATTCTCCGTTTGAAAGCGAAAATCCATAGAGATGAGGGATGCGCACGTCTGGACATTCGTCATGCATCCATACGTAGGTTGCAGCTTCACATTGAACCCAGAACATCCATCCTTTTGGACGTGGAACTCGCTCGACTATACAGTCTGAGTTTAGTTCCTCGCCAGCCTTTCGAGTAACGTACGTCCGTCGATGTTTATAGCCTGTTATCCACGTTTCATCGCTCCAAAGAATCTGATTTCACTGCTCTTTTGTCCAGGAACGAGGTTCGAGTGCCCATTCGAGTCGTACTTGTCGATTAGCCTCAGATAGAGGTGGCTTTCGTAGAGCGATTCGGCGTCGATAGCCTCGTTGGTGAAGAGCATATCGGATCGATTCGGCACTAACTTCACCCTCAGGCCATAGTGCTTCTGCTACTTGTAAATAGGACATTCTTCTAGTCTTTCTTGACTGTATAACGAACTGTTCAACGTAATCCGCCTATTCCTTGGTAAGCCGTGGAGGCCTACCTGCGTTGGAATGCTGTGGACTAGCCCGTTGCTTTTGACAGGTATATTGAACTGCGCGTTGAGAAACCTTCAGAAATGAGGCAATAAACTCGTACGAATAGCCAAGTCGACGCATTAATAGGATCTCTCGACGTTGATCTCGTGTTAGACGCTTTCGAGGTGGTGTAGAAGGTGTTGTAGAAGGTGCCATATTGACTGAAAATCAGTGGTGTTGCCTGGTATTCGAGAAGTGAAATGCGCCGTCTGGGATAGAAAGGATGGACGCGTCTACACTAGTCCATAAATGGACTAGTGTAGACGCGTAACGAAAATTACCCTGGAAGAGTGTAGGCTCATAGTCGAGGCCCAAAGGGGCCCGAACTGGCTTCTGAGAAAGGGCATCAGACAAGCTCCCTAGGGGCTCGTCTAGTGCTCGGGCGCGCTCCCCCGTACTCTGCCGAGGCTCCCGCGACGCTCTCCCGTGCTCGGCGGGGCATCCATCACGTCCCCGAGTAAAGCGGCCTCCCTCCCTTTCCTGAACGAAAATGGCAAGGGACAATATACGTCAGCTCGAGGAGAAGGAGCAGAGAGCGGATCAACCACTACTCACCCACCAGGACGGAGGCCGTGGAAACAAAATCCCATAGGATCGATCTTATTGACTGTCGCGCCATAAATCCTTCCGTATCCACCCTATCTGTACAAATACAGAGGTCTAGAGTGGTTGCTCACCAGCGAGTGCAAGATCCGAAACCGGGAGGCCGAAACAGACAATATTACGCAGTACATCTCTCTCTCCCCTTCCCTCCCTCTACCGGCCTTCTCTTTTGCTTTCTGTCGTTGTTGTTTTTGCTTGAACTCTGATCGTGCGCAAAAGGCTTTTCACGAGACGGGCCGACAAGATGAGAGAGAAGCCTCAGCTCTCTGCAGGAGAATACCTCTCCTTGCTCTACGCCGTGACTCGAGCCGGTCAGTCAGTCCTTCGCCTCCTTGACCCCGTGAGATGCTCACAGACAGACGACTGATGAGGTGGTTTGGGGAAAAACAGAAAACAGTGGGCACATTGACCTTCACCACCCTCACGGGCTGGACGAGGGGCGAAGACTGCCCAAAGGACTACAAGCGACATGTCATCTACAGCTCTTGTCGTGAGATGTTCGGGCGCTTGACAGTCAGGCAGATGCAGGCCATCCAGCCCACGACCATCGAGGGATACACAGCCTTTGCGAAGAAGCAGAACTTCGAACCGGAGATTGTCGAGCTCGATGACGGTGCGTGGGGGTGCTTCGCGGGACCGAAGACGGCCAAGAAGACGCTGGTGTGGTTCCACGGCGGGGGATACACGTTCCCAGCGACCGACGTGCACTGGACGATGCTCTCGAATCTCATCGAGCTGGCCAAGAAGAACGACGAGACTCTCCGGGTCATGCTTCTAGAGTACGAACTCACTCCCAAGGGCTATTACCCGTTGCAACTCAAGCAGGCGGTCGCAGCGATCAAACACCTGCTGGACTCGGGGTTGACGCCCTCGCAAGTAAGTGATCAGTCCCCCCCACCCTTTTGATGACTAAGCCTGACGTGTGTCGTGAACACACCCAGATCCTCTTCGGCGGCGACTCAGCCGGCGGTAACCTCGCCGCAGCCCTCATCGGCCATCTGTCACACCCGCACGCCAGCGTATCGCCCATCCCCCTCTCCAGCAACCTGGGAGGTGCCCTCCTGGTGTCTCCATGGGTCTCATTCACGCAAGAGAGGGCGTCGTGGAGGGGGAACTACAAAAAGGATGCGTTGGCCCCGACCACCGTGAAGATCTGGTCCGACAGCTTTGTGGCCCAGTCTCCCGAGGATAACTGGAACCAACCTGCCGAGGCGCCGGCGGACTGGTGGAAAGATATCAAAGTGGACAGTGTGGCGATTCTCGGGGGTCAGAATGAGGTTCTGATCGACGACATCCGGGAACTGGTTGAGAAGATGAAGGTACGTACGTTCACTACACGACTTGGTTCCGGGATTCGATCGCAGGACTGGTTCTGGTGCTGATACTGCGGTCTAGGTGCACAATCCAACACTCGAATATCTGGAAGCCCCTGGCGAAGCCCATGACGCGATCATCCTGGATAGGTCGTTGGGGATAAAGGACGAGTTAGCATCGGAACAGTTCATCAACAAGTGGATTCTGGACAGGCTGAAATAGAGAGCAGAGGGGGCATCATCCGCCTATCACGCACTTTGTCGTGGCGTGGAGCTTTGTCTTCTGATAATCTGTTGTCGGGTCATTGAGCGCGCAGAAGCAATTCCTTTGCACTTTTCACCTTTTCTCCGCCGCCACAGATCGACATGAGTCAGTTCATCACGATCAACAAAAAGACCTTGTGTCGGAAACGGCTGATCTAGAAAGCACGAGCGAGCCAGATATCCAGCACCAACCAAATATTCTACCCTCAGAGGACAGCAAGTTGTGCAAATAGTCAACTGATCGATCGGCGAAACTAGGAAAACATCCATACAACGAAGAACCACTGGCTGTTCCTCCACAACTTTCATGACCAAACGGCATTGATAATCTTCAGTCGGGGACATACATTGCAGGGGACATTAAGCACCACATGCTGGCTCCCCGGTTCGGGCTTGATGAGATTAGGGCTCGAGCACCTCTCGTTGATCCGTGGGAAGAAACCAGCGGAAGCCCCGTCCAAAAGACATGGGTGGTTGGTCTTTACCTCTGGAGTCCCTGGCGGGTGCAAGCCCCTCAACTCTACAATTGCAGGATCATTCACGATTTCTTCCTGTACACTTATACCCTCACCGATTTCAATCTGGGCCAGAGCAGACACTATTCAATGAGTCTGTCTTGCAGTGATGACTGATTTGCTTGGCCTACGGATGTAAAAGTAATCCCGCCGAATCTTACAGGAAATGGTCAATTATATCGCTGAGTCTACCCTACCAACCAACTCCGGCTTTTGCCTTGTGTATATGGTTTCAGACCACTAGAGGAGCACGAAGTACAATACAAGACCAGTATTTATCGAGAGTGGTTGAGAAATAGTTAGGTACGGAAAAATGATATAGTGCCACGTACTCCATCAAATACGTATCACACTCGGGTAAAAATACCCAAATTGTCTGGCCTTTTGCACGGCACCAAGACCACGAGAACGAGCTGCGAAACGGTTGCATCATTCGCTGCCCAACTTTTGCCTGTGTCTTGAGCTTTTGGGGACCTACAACTGCCCACCCGCCCACCGCCCTCCGCCCTGGCTTTTCTCTAAACAGCCCACTACGTCCTCCACACATGTCGAATGCGCGGGCCGCGGCCTCGCTCCTTGCTCGGTCATTCCCAGTCCCGTAATCCTGACGCTCGACCTTTTCAGACGGAATCATTCGATCCGGTTGCAGCTGGCGGTCCCTCCATCGAACTAGCGACCTTTACTGGCGCCGAGTCTTCAAATACAGCAAGAGAAGGAGAAAAAGACACAGGCCGGGAACGATCAGAGAAAAGGCTCCAAACTCGCAGAGCTCGCCGACCGAGACGACGAGATGAAGTTCTCCCACAGCATCCAGTTCAACGCTGTTCCGGACTGGAGCAGCAACTACATCTCCTACAGCAACCTCAAGAAACTCATCTACACCCTCGAGAAGCAAATCAACCGGCCAGCGGGTGAGGCACAAGCTCAAGATGAAGAGAGCACCGCCCTGCTGGGCGGTTCGCTCGATCCGGACACCACGTTCAAGCGCATGCTGGACTCGGAGTTGGACAAGGTCTGCTCGTTCTACCGGCTGAAGGAGCTGGAAATCTTCGGCGAACTCGACCAGCTTTTGAAAGATGTGGATTTTTACAAGGTCGAGACGCATGACGTGGACATGGACGAGGTGGTCGAAGCCGAGAACCGTCGGAAGGCCGTGCGCTCGTCGAGCATATTCAACGTGCCCTTCCGTCGGCGGAGAAGGGCGTCGACGATGAGTGTCAGTCTCGAGGAACCCGAGGGCGAGGATGACAGCGATAGCGACGCCGAAGACCATGCCGCCATGATTAGGAAGAAGGCACCGTCGAACCGCCCACGGAGTAAGAGCACCTGGAACACCGATGGATCGGAAAATTCTGCCCTGGCCGAGTCCCGCGAAGACCTGAGAGCGCCCGACTCGCCGGTGTTTCTTAGGAGGAGACCGAGCCTGGCCATGGAGCTGGAGGCGTCGGATCCGGGTCACCTGTCGTCGCTGTACGATTCCGGCATTAATTTGAAAAAGCGGATCATCAGCATCTACGTTTCCTTGTGCGAGTTGAAGTCCTTCATCCAACTCAACCACACCGGCTTTAAGAAGGCGGCCAAGAAGTACGACAAGGTGTGCAACCGCGACATTCGCAAGGACTACATGGAGAAGTCGGTCAATCCCTCCTACCCGTTTCAGGAAAAGACGATGGTGCATCTCGACGAGAACATCGCGAAGGTGGAAAAGGCCTACGCCGAGGTCGTCACCAAGGGCGACCAGAGCATGGCGCGGAGAGAGCTCCGACTCCATCTCCGGGAGCACGTCGTGTGGGAGAGAAACACCGTCTGGCGAGAGATGATTGGCATCGAGCGGAAGGCTCAAGCCGCCAACTTTGGCATCCGGCAGACTCTGCTGGGCGGAGTACAAGATCCGTCAAAGGCACGACTACAGGGTGACCGAGAAGCCGTCGACACAAAGGAAATCGTCACTCCCGTGGGCCGGTACAGGTGTCCAAAGTGGTTGTTCAGTGGCACTCTGTTCGCTCTCGTCGGTATCCTGGCGGTTTTCCTGGCCTTGCTTTACATCCCGATCATGAAGAGTGCAGAGCAGCAAAACTGCTTGGCCATGTTGGTCTTTGTGTCGTTGCTCTGGGCCACCGAGGTGATTCCCCTCTTCGTTACCTCTCTGCTGATACCTTTCCTGGTGGTCGTCCTCCGGATCATGCGATCAGAAGATAAACCTCATCACCGACTGAGCTCGAAGGATGCGACCAAGGCCGTCTTTGCGGCCATGTGGACGCCGGTCATCATGTTGTTACTCGGCGGCTTCACCATCGCGGCAGCACTGTCGAAATACCACATCGCAAAGATGATGGCAACATTTGTGCTCAGCAAAGCCGGCACCAAGGCCCGCAACGTGCTCATCACCAACATGTTCGTCGGCATGTTCTTGAGCATGTGGATCTCCAACGTCGCCGCGCCTGTGCTGTGCTTCAGCATCATCCAACCGATCCTGCGCAACTTGCCCGCAGATAGCAACATGTCCAAGGCATTGATTTTGGGCATCGCTTTGGCGTCAAACATTGGCGGCGCCGCCTCGCCCATCGCCTCTCCGCAGAACATCATCGCGCTGCAGAACATGAAACCTTCGCCCAGCTGGGGCATCTGGTTCTTCATTGCCTTGCCGGTGTGCATCCTCAGCATCGTGATGATCTGGCTTTTGTTGGTCGTCAGCTTCAAGCCAGGCAAAGGCACTACCATTGTGCCCATTCGACCGATGAAGGACAAACTCAATGGCGTGCAGTATTTCATCATCTTTGTCACGCTGATCACCATTGTCCTGTGGTGTGCTTCCCATCAGTTGGAAAGTGTGTTTGGGGACATGGGCGTCATTGCCATCATCCCTCTCGTCTTGTTCTTCGGCACGGGCATTTTGACCAAGGAAGACTTCAACAATTTCCTCTGGACGATCATTATCCTCGCCGCCGGAGGTCTTTCTCTGGGTCGTGCAGTATCCTCGTCGGGGCTGCTCCATTCCATTGCCAGGGGCATCACTGAACGGGTAGACGATCTATCCATATATGGGGTCCTCGTCGTCTTTGCTTTGTTGGTGCTTGTGGTTGCCACATTCATCAGCCATACGGTGGCGGCACTGATCATTCTACCGCTTGTGGCCCAGGTGGGCGAGAGCATGAAGGAGCCGCACCCGAATCTGTTAGTCATGGGCGCGGCGTTGATGTGTTCAGCGGCGATGGGGTTGCCCACGTCCGGGTTCCCGAATATGAGTGAGTCCTCCATATTTCTTTTGGCATTCGTCTACACTCCGCTAACGAGACCTGCAGCTGCAATCATGATGGAGGTGCCCGAAACAGGCGTGCGGTATCTGCGCGTGAAACACTTCTTGACCCGCGGTATTCCAGCTTCTGTGATTACGTTTGCCATCGTGATCACAGTCGGGTATGGGTTGATGATGGCTGCCGGTCTGTGATTTGGGCAGGAAGCCGTTAGCCATTCCTTCCACGTGTGCTCGTTATTTATACCCTATATTTCTTGGAGCATGGGTAGGGATGGGGGATGGAGAAAGAGACCGGTCTCACTGACCACCGATACGACTGTAGACATAGGTACAAGATCTTATTGGATATCCCACGACCACGGCTAGGATCTATCTATCTATCCGGGTCATCTGGGTTATAAGCGCCCGCCCGCAAACCTGGGCAGGGCTCCAAAAGCGATAGGCCAACAGGGTTGTTTTGTGTTTCCAGTAGTAGCTTTGCTGTCCCAGCGCTCTCTGAGACAAGAGACAATATGATCGAACAACAACTCGGACAAGTTTTGCGAATGCGGCCCTGACATTCACAACCGTATGTGTGCGTTGCCTGCTGTCCGCGTATTTCTTGAACCTTGGCTGGGAGGACATACAAGGACCAAAAAAAGGATCGACGAATTTTTGGTAGTTATGACGGCGGGGAAGGAACATGGATCCCAGCGCAGGACAGACGGAGCGGATGCCTGGTTTGGCCTTGTCTCATCCATTCATCCATACGTTACCTCCTCCACCCCCTTTTGCCTCCCCTTCCTCCCTCTCTCCTGGCAGAGGGACAAGTGCCAGACCATTTGCTCTGTATAGCTCCGATCCAATGGTTCAACGATATCAACATCTTTGATCTCCGATCTCCACGATATATACTATACTATACTGTATATCATTATCAAAGACGGAGTGCGTGGTAGTATGTGTCAGGGGTCGGACTGTGCGACGTGACTAATCTCCACGTCTGTCTACCTATCGGACGTGGACTGGAAGAGGATGGTATTGTGGATCAGACAGATGCGTTGTAGTGAGTGGTGGGCGGGTGGGTGGTCTGTCGATAGATAGATAGATAGATATATCATTCCATACGGTAGACATCTCCATATCTGGAGAGGGCTCTCGCTCATGCATGCCTCGAAGCTCGCGGTCCCTCTTCATCTCGCCTCTGTCTCGCGATCATCTGGCCTCCCTCGGTGTCTTTCCGACGTGGTTCACTTTGGTAGCCCCGCATGCGAGATCTCGGTCTGCAACGGCTGCGGCTTGACGGTGTACGCTATCCCCCGTGCCCCTTTTTTGGAACTTCGGGATCGTTGCCGCCGCCGCAGCTCGAATCCGCCCTGCGCCCACATGACGCCGAGCGCCGGGCCGGGGTGGCCCACCGAGAGGGCCAGGACGGTCAGCGCCATCATGGCGCCGTCGAGGACCATGAACAGGACCTCGTTGTTGGCGAGGGCGCTGCTGAAGCCGCGGCTCAGCTCGGCCACGCGGAAGCAGCAGCGGACGAGGATGGCCACCGTGGCAATCGCGATTGCTGGAGGGATGGTTGTGAGCAAAGGAAGAGAAAACAAAGAACTAAGGACGTAAAGGGAGGGATTGGAGTGGCATTAATGGCTGAATGGGAACGACCCACCAATTAGGAAAAGCCTGAATGCGAGTGCTCTGCGAAGTGCCGCGCTGTTGTGGTTGATCAGGCTCGGGCGCGTGTGGATGCGGAACACGATCTGCAGACACAACCCGCAGAAGAGGGTGGTGGAAGCCACCTGGCTGGCCAGGCCGGCGATCATCAGGTTGACGCCGGTCTGTCCGAGGCTGGGTGTGCTGTCTATCGAGGCCAAGGCACCCCCGGCGGCCTGCAGGATGAGGGCGACCAGGTCACATCCGACAAACACGATGGTGATGGTCCGCGGGCTGAGGATGCTCAGTCGGAGACCGTAGACGGCGATGATGCGGGCCAGGCAGATGTAGATGGCGCCCGAGAAGAGGGCCGGCCCCAGCGTGAGCCCGACCAGGTAGATGATGAAGGAGTTGTTGTCGAAGTCGTCGTAGTGCAGTCGGACGCGATACGCATATCCCAGGATCTCCAGGCCGATGCCGCCCAGCATGCCGCACATGAACCCCCAGGTGCGGTATCGAACACCCAGCCAGATCTGGGCGAGGCAGGCAAGGCTGAACACCGCCAGGTAGAAGGCATTTCCGGCCAGCGAGGGAATGTATTGCAGCTGGCCATAGTCCTTGACTGAGCAGGTGGCATAGGTGCAGGTGGCCGGGTCGAACGTGGAGTTCATATTTGGGGAGGTGTTGTTGATACAGCGTAAGGGGATGAGAGAGAGCTGGGGAGAGCTTGATTCTTCCTGGGATTCCTCACCTTTTCAGAGAGCAGTATATATATGCATTTTCAGCGGGCATCCCCTGATGAGGGCGATTGGGATCCTGCCTGGTCCTCGCAGGGCTATGTCCGTCCGGTCATGGTTAGGACCGACTGCGCCTTCTTGACTTGATACAAGGCCCCCCTTGAAATGTCGCTCTGATATCATTGTGGCCCGAAGATACATAGGAAGCGGAGTTGTCGTGCATATAAGAAATGGTGGTGCCTGACGAGGCTCGGTCTTTGAGTTTGCACTATTCCTCTTTCAGCCACTTACAATGTGAGCCTCAATTCCACGACTTCTTAATGTCACTGCAAATCTCCATAAATTGGCCTGCCTGAGACCGCACAACATGGGTTCTCTTCTCCTGTGCTCCTCATTCTCGGTCTTTGACTTTGCCAGATGTCGCTCAGTTCACCAGTCTCAGTCCCAGCTCCCTCAAAGCAGAGGACACGTACCAATGTGCGGCAATCTAAGTACGGTTGCTTTACCTGCCGGTGAGAAGTCCCAGCATATCATTCTGAACCAGGAGCCATTTCCACTGATCACGCTGACCTGACAGGGCTCGTCGAGTGAAATGTGACGAGGCCAAGCCGCATTGCCGACGATGCCAACAGGGCAAACGCTCCTGTGAAGGCTACCCTGAAGGAGCGCCTACTGCCCAAGAGCAGACGGAGCAGACGGCACACACGGCCGTTACGCTTTCTGTCCATCTGGGGAGCCTAGGTGGCCTCAATCTCCGCGAGCCCACACAGCTAGGACCGGACCCAGAACTTGAGCGTCTACGGCTTTTGGCCTGCACCGTGTTATCACAAGGCCGGCCTGGTGCAAGAACCGAAGCGGAGACGGCCTTTTGGAGTCGTCTGGTGCCCCAGCTCGCACTGTCCATCCCGAGCGTGCGAGAGGCGGCGGCTGCTTTTGCAGCGTCTTACGAGCAACAGATGCTGAAAAGATGTGCCGGTGCCGCCAAGTTCAAGGCATTGCACCAGATCACGGCCGCCATCGCGAAAATCCGACACGATGTCATTCGGCTCCCTCACGGCCCTCTGCCGGTCCTTGTAGCCTGCATCCTGTTGGCCTGTGCCGAGACAATCCAGCACCGACACACGGATGCCCTACTTCATCTGCGAGGCGCCTTCTCGGTCATGAACTCCCGCGAATGGCTTGCCGCCAGGCCTGCGAACAGCAAAGCCCTGCTCGACGATGACCTATCGTGTCTGTTTGGAAAATTGGACCTGCAAGTCATCACCTACGCGCTGGCAAACCCCGCAGAGCTCCAAATCCCTGTTGCACCGGGTATGGAACCCGACGTTGTCACGTTCACTCCGCAACAAGCTGATCGGGAGCTCTTCCGGACGTTGCACGCTTGCTACAGTTTCGCCACAATAGCCGCTCAATGCAAATATCGCCCTCGCGCAGCCTCTCGGGATTCGCTGGTGCTGGAGCAAGGCCGTCACATTGCCGGACTGACCCGGTGGCTCTCGTGTTATCGACAATACTCAAAGATGGACCACGAGATTTCACCGCTCAACAAACTGCACGGACTCGTGCTTCAGGCACATTGTCTCAGTGCGCTCATCTACATCTCGAATATCCTCGAACCATTCGAGACGGCATACGACAAGTTCGCTCCACAGTTTCGACAGCTCGTCGGCTGTGTCGAGCAAGCCATGACTGTCAAACCCACCGAGGCCGAGATGCCCACCTTCAACGCTGAGAGGGGAGTCATCCAGCCTCTCTTCTTCACGGCTATCAAGTTTCGTGATTCGGTGTGGCGGGCAAAAGCGACATCCCTACTTCGGAAATGCGGGAGAGAAGGCCCGTAAGCTCACCCTGTTCCGATAAAAGAGGTTGTTGTCCCGCATTTGAAAATGAGCTAACAATTTCGTGAAGATGGTCCGGGTCCGTCGAGGGAGCTGCTGCGGAATGTGTGGTGCGAGCGGAAGAGGCAACGGCCTCTCAAATAATAGCCAACGCCGCCTCGTGCGTGGTGTCATCGTCGTCGTCGGCGTCCCAACCCGTGTTTCTTCCTCAGGATGTTCCCGAACAGGCACGAGTAGCCGGACATTCTCTGTTCGAAATCGTCGACGAGGACTCCTCGGGCGAAATGTCGGCGGTCATCGAGATGTCCCGATGCCGCGACATGCACGCGCTGCTGCTTGACGAGTCGCCGGAGCCTGATGCCAAAAAACACTGGCTGTACTGGAAAGAGACATGCCGGCTTTCGCTCGCCTGAGAATGAACTCCTCCACGCGCCGAGTTGTGCGCCGTATGCTTTCCTCGTGTCAGATGAATATATATATATATATATATATACCTCTTCCGCACTGGACGTCTTCTAATACTCATCGGAGTTTCGGGATACGGTCACTCAAGGGCTGCCTGCAGGGGTTCTGGTAAGATTGCCACGTGTGGATAGCAATGTTATTGATTGGCCCTTCAAGTCCAGACCACAGCTACCCCTGCTCGTGGCTAGCGCATGTTATCTTTTGTATGCATTTGGCTTTTGATACACCTCGAGTGCTGTGCAGATGGTACCCATGGAACTCTGTTGATGTTGCCTTGCCGCTTAGAGACCGAGGGAACACGACAGAAGTCGTTCCGACATGTTGAACCTGCTTCTCGCGGTCCTGGGGGCCACATTGCTGGTGGTGACCGTGACTGCCAGCTATGTACTCCCCGTGGATAACATTGATACGATCAAGATATCGTTATACAACTACGGTACGTTTGAGCCGCAATCGCATTAACTAGAACCTGACCCCTCCCAGATTTCGGATTCCAGTCAATGAAATTCAAGCTCCCGTTTCCTAACAGTCCCTGGGGCGCAAACGAGACGGAGTACTTGGTCAGTGATTTGTGAAATGGGATCTTCTGGTCCCGGATGAATGATCCATCCTGGCTACCGACTGATGCTCCTCGTAGCAATTCAAGCTCGGCGTCGGGACATGTCCAACCTGCTTCGACGTGGTCTGGGACGGGACCAGGCCGGAGCCTTACCCAAAGCACTTCTATCACCCTTACACCCAGGACTCGTCGGGCGCCATCCACGTCGCCGAGGTCACCATCAGCGACTTCCCCCGAGACACCACAGTCGAAGACGACACCGGCGACCTCCACTTCGCCATCATCTCGGTGGACCACCAGCCGTTGGACAAGCCCCTCGCATTCATTGTGTCCTGGAACTTCCAGAAGCCGAAGCAGAGACTGGGGCGACTTGTGTACGCGCCGGCCCCTCAGATCATCAAGTTCGCCGAGTTCGACGCCTTTCCCACGTACCCGCCAGTGCCCCCGCTCATGCCGAATCGAACGTGCACGCAGGCCAAGGAGTTGCAGCTGCTCGAGCACGGTATGTCCCCGTGTATCTATCGAGCGTTTTAGCGAACGAACTGCTGACTGCGGACACCGTTAACCGGGGGACAGACGAGAAGACCCAGAACGCGACTTTCGCGGTGACTTGCGCGGGTTGTTTCAACTCCACCTACAATGCGCCAGACTCCCTCGTACGTCTGTCCCAGTAGGGATATATGCATGGCCGAACCCCCGTCGACTCACTCCTCCTCTGAGAGGCACTGACCATGGTCTCGCAGACTTTCTCGCTCCAACCCCAACCACAACCTCAAACCATTAATCCCGATGGTGACTTCACGTTCGTCCTCAACGGCGTCCCGGAGGCGATCATGTACAAGGGGGGTTATTGCCACACGCGCGACGGCGGGTGTCGACTGCGCGTGCCCGCCCCGGACGCCTTGGGCGCCATCCACACGGTCGATTTCATGCTCAGCTCCCGCCGCCAAGTGGTCCGCGGCGAGGACAGCGAGCTGGGCTACATCAGCCCGTCGGACACATTCACCGTGCACTTTTGGATCATCGCCCTGGACGGGATGTCTCGACAGCCCCCCTTGGTGGCTGAGCAGGTCGCCTTCAGCGCCCAGTGGGACCTGCTGTACCGAGTCGACGGAGGGCGGATCCCGCGCTGGGAGAGCCTCGCCATGGACCCGACCCCCATCCGGTTTCCGTGGCCGTGGCCGGCCAAGGGAGGTCGGCTGGGCAGACCAAATCTCCCGGCCACAGGTGGTGGTGGTGGTGGTGGTGGTCGGACAGGCCCACGAGTTCCACTCACCTCTCCGCTCCTGGGCCCGAATATGGCTTCTCAGGGTGTATTAGTGGTCGTAGGTTTCGTGATGGGCGTGGCGACGTCAAGCTACTTGAGACGTGGTCTGTAGAGATTAGAAGAGAGAAGACATCCCTGGGTTTTTCGGTATATCCCTCCCTCCCTCCCTTCCTTCCTTCCTTCCTTCCTTCCTCCTCCTTTCCTTCCTCCTCCTCCTCCTCCTCCTCCTCCTCGTCCTGCTGCTGCTGCTGCTGCGTATTCTGTCTGCCCCGAGCAAGCAAGCTCTCGCGAGCCATGTGACTTCGACTTCGGTACTACATACACCCCGTATGGAATTCCCCCTCGAGTACATATATTTCATTAGTACGCATACGTACATCCATACTTTCTTCTTTCACGTCCTCTTTTCCTGATTCAGTCGAACCTGTCCGTCTGATCGGCATACTCGGCAAATGGCCGATGTGATATTACGCAGTATGTATTCTTCCCGCGCACTAAACCATTTCATTGGGGGTGAGGGGAAAAAAATCAAAAGACTGACTTCATCTGGAGTTCTATCTGTTGCAATGACTCTTTTCTTCTGAGTCTTCTTCGGGGGTGTGATTTCGTGAAACAACAACATAACTATAGGAACTATATAAATTGCCTCCCCTTCCTTCCTTGAGTTCTCTTCTCTTCTCCGGAAAACGAACCAGCAACCAACCGACGGATCAACAAACCAAACCCAGAAGAGGGAACGAAAATGCCCGAATTACAGATCTCATCGACACTGCCACTGAAATCTGGGAACCGGATCCCCGTGCTGGGCTTCGGCACCTGCGCGAGCGCCACATGTACTCAGTCGGCGCTGGCCGCGCTGAAACACGGGTACCGGCACCTCGACACGGCGCAGGTGTACCGCAACGAGACCGAGACAGGCGCCGCCATCGTACAGAGCCACATCGACCCGTCGGAGCTGTTCGTCGTCTCGAAGCTGTGGGAAGACATGTACAGTCGCGAGGGGGCGCTCGCGGGCGTCGAGGGCTCGCTGAAGAAACTCGGCCTGCCCGCCATCGACCTGTACCTGCTGCACACACCGCGACCGGGGCGCGTGGCGCGGCACGAGGCGTGGTTGGGCCTGCAGGACGCCGTGGAGAAAGGTCTCGTCAAGAGCATCGGGGTGTCCAACTGGTCGGCTAAGCACATCGACCAACTCATGGCCGAGCCTGGCGTCTACATCGAGCCCGTGTGCAACCAGGTCGAGCTGCACCCGTGGAGCCAACAGCGCCAGCTCGTCGCGTACTGTCAGGCTAAGGGCATCGTCGTGGTCGCCTACTCGCCGCTCACGCAGGGCAAGAGGCTGAATGACCCGACCATCGCCTCGCTCGCGAAAAAGTACGGCAGGACCCCCGCGCAGATCGTCCTGCGGTGGGGCCTGCAAAAGGGACTGGTGGTGATCCCCAAGAGCGACAAGGAGCCGCGGATTATCGAGAACAAGGGTATTTTTGGCTGGGAGATTTCGCCCGAGGATGTTGGTGTCATCGACGCCCTGGACGAAGGAATGAAGGCGAAGGTAGGAGACTGGGATCCTGATGCCTGGGACTGATATTCCGGATTGAACGTCTGATTCTATATCCAACTGTTTCAATCCCTGGCACACACTTGTCGCTCTTCATCTCCAGCGTAGTGACCCTCTTTCTTCCGTCCGTCTCACTAGGCTTTTCAACCTGGCACTTGGCAACCGTCGCTGACAGCATCAGTCTGGTAATCTTGGAGTAAACCTCTTGTCCAGCTGGGCCTGAAGACCGTCGTCGTAAATGTGTGTCGCAATTTTCGGAAGCCCAGCGGGTGCAGATCGTGCCAGTGCCTCTCCGCAGAGAGGACTCTTCAACTGCACCCGTCGTCCCGTATTTCAGAACAGTTGCGGACCTTAGATATAGACCGCAAGTTTCAAAGGCCGCTTGATTATTTGTACCAGCCCATCGTCCATTGTCTGCAGGAGTCCAATTTTTTCCTAACACTCCGCGCACCGCGACGCTTCTGTGTGGTTTGAATGGAGGGCTATGTCCGCATATTCGGTGCTCCCTTCCATAGGCGTCTGCTCTGGACAAGTAGTGCAGAATGCTGACTTCTCAGGTGGATGTTGTAATCCTGGAAAAATGTATGACGAGTCATCTCTTTGGTCAATCCACACCCTTCGACTTTATATTCTCGCCTTCCTCTTTCTCCATCCCGTCACGCTCTGGCGCGGGCGGCTGTCGCTTGACGAAGAAGAATCTCCCCATTCTCCGAGATTCTCCGTCCGCACCGAGGGCCCAGGGATCCTCCACCTTACTCCAGGGCAACGGATCTTCTTCCCATGGCTGGCTGTCAGCCGTGAAGCTTGTCACCTGATAGGTATCTCTCCTTCTCCTGATCGTGCCGTTCCTGCCCTTCTTCTCCTCGAGCGCAAGAAACTCGGCCAGCGTGGCCTGGGTGACGGTGTGTTCTTGTCTGTGTTCTGAGGTTTCGTCGCGGATGGCCACCAGCGGTTCAACGCCTGTGGTGTCGACTTTCTGGATTTCCTTGACAAAGTGGACTTGGTCACGCAAGTCCCGGAGCATCTGGGCTTCTTCGGCTTGGGATTTGGGGGGAGGGAGGGCGGAGAGGCGGAGGAGGTGGTGCAATTTCTGGCGCGTTATCTCTCTCGCTCCGGGTGCAACCTCATCTCTCGACTGTAGTGGTGATGCTTCGGATGAGGAGTTGTCTGCCCTTGCCGCCAAGTCTCTCTTTGTAGACCGCCGTGATGACGGAGGTAGGAGCTGAGACACAGACCACGTAGGCGTCTCGAGGAGGGACTGGATTTCAGGGCAGATGTCGATTTTCTGGACGAGCCTCAGCTCTTTTTCGCGAGCAGGGCTGGTGACAGGTCCGGACAGAGCAGTGCGGATGTTGAATGCGTGTCGCGGAATCCGAGGCATTTCGAACTGCAGAGGAGGACCGTTTTCAATCTCCTGGAGAGTGAGGCCTGCGGGCTACATTGGTCGATACTGGATGGGAGAGTCAACGTTGTGACATTTCTTCCATCGGCACCGCTGCGGTAAAGTGAGAGAGCAGCCTAGCGCAAAATGGTGACGTACATATCGTACGGCGGATTATTTCGTTCCCTTTAGCCCTTTACTGGCTGACTGGCTTTGGAGGGGCTGCACTGCGCTGCACCTGGACACTCATCCATTCATCAACCAGGTATTTAATTCCAGGAGCCACCTACACCTCGAGTTACGGCTTGATTGATCTCTCGCAGCCTGTGCCCTCTCTGTCGCCCATATATCACCCAGATACCTGCAGGAACTCCGGAGACCCTGCACTTCGCACCCACCGCTCTCTGTGTTCCGAATACCCTTCATTTCCCGCTTTCCCCATGGCTCAAGATCCCCGAGCATTACTGCAGAAGGCCGACAAGGCCGCTCAAGGCGCCTCCGGTGGATTCAGTCTGTTCGGCGGACGGGCAGAAAAATGGGAGAACGCGGCGGACCTCTACACACAAGCCGCCAATGCGTTTCGAGTACAGAAGCAGAGTAAGCACCAATCCAGGCAAGCATGACGATGTGGCAGACATTCAGAACACCATCCTCACTAACATCCTGTGCAACAGACCTCGAAGCCGGGAAGGCCTTTGAGCAGGCCGCCTCGATCCAACAGTCAAAACTCAACGAACCCGACGACATGGCCAATACCCTGACCGAAGCCTTCAAAGTCTACCGCAAAGAATCTCCCCAAGATGCCGCCCGCGTGCTCAGCACTGCCATCCAGCACTACACGGCCAAGGGCAACTTCCGGCGTGCGGCCACGCACCAGCAGAACCTCGCCGAGGTGTACGAGATGGAGATCGGCGACCAGAAGAAGGCACTAGAGGCGTACGACACCGCGGCGCAGTGGTACGAAAGCGACAACGCCGAGGCGCTGGCCAACAAGCTGTACCTCAAGGTCGCGGACCTGGCGGCCCTGGAGGGCGACTACCAGAACGCCATCACCAAGCTCGAGGCCGTGGCCAAGTCCAGCCTCAACAACAACCTCATGCGCTGGAGTGTCAAAGACTATTTCCTCAAGGCCGGCATCTGCCACCTCGCCGCAGGTGACCAGGTCGCCACCAAGAGAGCGCTCGACCAGTACCGCGAGCTAGACGGCAGCTTCGCGAGCACACGGGAGAACATGCTCCTGACGGACCTGGTGGCCTGCGTCGAGGAAGGGGATCAGGAAGCCTTTTCGGACAAGTTGTTCCAGTTCGACTCGCTGAGCAAGCTGGACAAGTGGAAGACGACGCTGCTGTTGAGGGTGAAGAATGCGATCGAGAAGGAAGAGGAGGATTTCTCATAGAGGCTGAACACTGGGGAGAGTGTGCATGAATCAACTAGACAATCTCAGGCCCTGGACAAATCCATGACACACCGCCTGTGTCCTCGGGACCTTGCCGGGCGAGCCACCGACGCCGACTCGACAGGACAGATTCAGGATCAGGATCGAGGAGGCCTGAGGAGAGTTGCATGTGTGTGGGGGGGATAGCAAAGGGGGGATGGACAGACAGACAGACAGATGGTCGGACAAGACAGACAGGCGATGCGGATTTTCTCACAATGCTCGGTCGGGGCCGGCGTCAATGGCGTTTTATAACAGCAGCAGCAAGGGATCTATCTATCTAACATGAATCCATCCATCCATTTATCCATTCTCCCCTCCGTCCTGGTGGGAGACGACATTTATTATACTGTGTTCTGTTCTGTTCTGTTCTGCTCTGACTCTGTTCTGAAAAGACAAGCCATGTTACATCGTACCTTTGATGGGAGGGCATTGAAACCCGGCCAGGTCGAACTCCCGCCGGCCAGCAGCAGCACCAGCAGCAGCACCAGCTCTACCTACTGACGATGGCCAGATGAACCAGACGAACGCGCGCACACACACACACACACACACACACACACACACACACACACACACACACACACACCCACACACGCACGCACGCACGCACGCACGCACGAAATTGATCGAGTGATATCCATATATCGATTGGCAATGCGATACATAATGACATGATGGGTTGACTGTGGTGAAAACTGTCCGTCAAGACCAGATCATGCACTTCATTTTCCCGTGTCCAGGTTTCCACTTCTGGACAACACACAATATATCGAGACACCCATTTGCCATGCAAACATGCATCATGCGCATCGTGAGACACGTTCTTTTTTTAATCTTGCCTCTTATACAGCCAGATCCCCGGAACCCTGGGCCGAAAAATGCCGAACACAAGTTGGTAGCATCCCTTGCACAAACACTTTGTTCTTCTAATGCACCTATATTCCCCTCATATACACCATTCCCACCTTTTGTCGTGCCTGGCTGCTGAGGTTTTTCCTGTTTAACACCACGTGAAAAAGGGTTTCTTGCTCTTCACCGTTTCCAGTCTCTCCACAATGACCTTCCGCCGGTGTGTCGAGTCCATGTCACTCGCCGCGGCATACCCCAAATCGCCCTCATCAAAGTCGTCTCCCTCATAAACGATGCTCGGAACTGATCTCGGCTTGTTGCCACCATAGCCACTCCTTGTCGACAGGGACCGTTGTCTTCTTGTGGCACGTTCCTTCGAGGTTGCGTTATTGCTCTGGGTAGAACTGTCGCCGCCACGACGGGGAAATTCGAAGCTGAAGCGCGTCTTACCCTTGGCCGAGGGTCGAGCGGGGAGTGTGTAGGCGTTGGGATGGTGGCCGAGACTGCTACGAGCTTCTCGAGCAAAGTCCAGAGAGTCGAAACCAGGAGCCGTGCTGCTCAGTCCACCATCATCGTGAGGACCAGGCAGATATCCCAGATCCGCTGCGCTATCTTCACGAGTGAGGTCGAAGCGGTTCGGATTGGGTAATTCGTTCGTTGGGGAGCCAAGGAGGTCGTACTGTGGTGCTTGGTGTCTGCCAGGGGGGGCCGAGGCATATGATGCCCCAATGTCCATCTCTTCTTGTTGTTGATATTGACGTGCTGTGCGGCGGTTCATCTCGGCGGAAGGCACACGCATGGGGATCGCCACAGGAACATCGACCAAGTCGTCCCAGACACATACTCTGGTCCGTCTGGTCAACTCCAAAGGACCGTGATCTTCTTGTTTCAACGTCTCCACGACATTCCAGGCTTGCCCTTTCATCACAGCGATCTGCCGGGCGAACATGCTTTCCTTGAAATCTGCGTCCAACGAAAAGACCCTCCGCAGAGCCATTTGAGTTTCGCTCCACCAAGCGGTTGAAGTCAACAGAGGGAGGAAATGATCCCGGGTTCTCTTGGAGAATGGTTGCCCGATCAAGGAGACGGGCAGAAACAGCCAACCAAAAGGGAAACTCCGCCACTGGAAGATGGATTAGCGTACGGCAGCTGCGCGGGGATGTCTATACATACAGCATCAGGGTGTTTCCAGGGCCACGACAAACTATTGTCGATGGCCCCGATGGTGATGGAACACTGGAGTTCCTGGTGATTGGAGGGCGTCCCCGATCGGCTCTCCATCGCCTCGTACCGCTTGTATGGTCTGGAGGTGTTCGACTCCGTCCGTTGCGGATTGATGTTCGGGCTCACCGATGATGGTCGCAGGTGTGCATCTCCATTTTCGGTGGTGCCGTTTGGTTTGGGGGGTTCTGCCACGATAGAAACTTCTTCCGTCTTCCAATCGATTTTGATCATCCAGTTGTCGAGGCCCCTGTCGGTGTTTCGCATGATATAGTCGAGAATGACCAACTTCTCCAGCTCTTCCCGAAAAGCTTGCCGTATGGCAGGCGTCCAGTGGAACTTGGGTGCCTCTTCTGACGGCGGAGGGGAGACCACTCGAGGAGCCTCCTCGTCGTTGTCTTCTGAACCTCGGCCGCCGGGAAGACAATGGCTCAACGGTCGTCTCTTGCGCGAATGCTCCATATCTGCACGAAACTCGGTTGCTTGATCCGGCCAGGGGTTCTCGCGGAGGAACAGATTGGCGTCTCTAAAGCCTTTCAAGAAGACCTGAAAACTGCCAGGTTTTGCGGGAAGGCCTTTCTTTCCGCCCCAGGTGCTTCTCCTTTCCCAAAAGTCGTAGTAGAAGACCTTGGACGATAACCAGACGACGTCCGTATACGGAACAATGTACGTCCTCAGCTGGGAATCCAAAACATATGCAGCGGCTTCAGACACATAGGACAGATTGGGTATCAGGCAGGCTCGGCCGAAGGCGAACGGTAGCAAATTTCGGTGCAACCACTTTGTCCATTTGGGGTTCCTCGAAGCGTATGGCTCTTCGTCTTTGGGCTTGAACACACCAACCACTTTGCCCTCACTGTTGCGTGCGAAATAGCTGCCGGAACTCCCCTGCGAGATCATCTTGGGATGTGTCCCGAGTTCGATGGCGACTCTGACGCTCTCCACGATATCGTCGAATTGCTGTTTGGTCATTCTTTGCGTTTCGGCAGCAGCGTAGGCAGCCAGATCGGAGGCTGTATAAGGGTGTACGCCGGGAGGAGCTTGGAAGACCGAGTGGTGTATCTCCAGCTGTTCCTCCTCTTGGGTCTTGCCCTTGACCGAGCTGATCTTGAATTTGGAAGCGATCTCTTCTGCCCATCTCTCCAGCCGGGCGTTGATCGCCTTGATGTCCACACCCGAGGAATTACTTCGGACTCGTCTCATCGATCGTCTCCGTGGATCGTGGTAGGCGCCTGAGCGCATCGACTCTCGCGGAGCCGGTTGGATGGAGGCATATCGGGTTGTCAGGGGCGAGGATGCGTAGTTCTCATCTCCAGAATCTTCGTCTCCCAGCGGACCGTCATCCTCGTCCGCCTGCGCCAGGCGAGCGTAGCCGGAGGTTGGTCGCTGTCGAGGCATGGCTTGATGTTCACCGGGCGGAGAGGGAGAGAAAGACAAGGACAAAGCGTGGGAAGAGACGTTGATGTCTTTCACATGCTGACGGCTGCGAATCTAGAGACCAGCAAACGTCGACACCACCGTCATTCGAGAAGACGGCAAGGAGTAAGTGGCTCTGGAGCCACGTTCCTGGAAACTTGGTTTTGGAAAAGTGAGCCGGAGTTTGGGTCTCTGAACAAAGTGGTTTACTGCGGATTATTACTGGGTGACGGGCACCTAGCTGGGCACACTGGGGTGCTTTCAAACTGCGCCAATTATTTTGTGCGTCTCTGCATTATTACGGTGGACGAACATAAGCACATTGGTGCGCAGTCCGATGGACGGTCACTGACGGTCTACCTCGTACAGGAGAGATGCCCTGCCGACCACGAGGTCCTCAATAATAATAGTCTTCTTTTCGCCAACCACTGCTGCCTGCAAGAGAGTCTCTGTCCCTGGGTAAGTGAGTGATGGCATGGACAAACCATGGGTAGCCACCCTTGCCCCCTTTCTCAGCGAATTGGTCAACCACGGAGTCGAGCATTTGGTTATTGTGCCTCCCTAGGATATTCTATCCGTGAGGCCTGCGCAGATCTTGTTGTCTTGACAGACTCGTTGCGATTCAGACGACTGATATCCATAGATCGTCAGATAAAACCTGATAGATCTCCGGATATCGATTCTGTTGGAGCTTCCCTCTATCAGCCACAAGTCTCGAAGATAAAACTGGCACGCCTCATCAGCCACAACTATTCCTCATCTGTCCAAGCAAGTTGGATCCTCCCTCCCATCGAACCTTACGCGAGGAGGGTTGCCCGTTAATCTCGGGATAGCGGGACTTGATCGACAAGTGTATTTTTCTTCCTTTCTTTGAACGCGTGACATTGCTAGAAGAGACATGGAACCACAATAGGAGACGGTTGGATCCTTCTGTACCTCGTACCACGCACATGGCAGTTGTGGAAGTGGATCGAGTTTCACTTTCATACTTTGTAGTGGACGGTTGCCTTGGCCGGCGAGCCGCGCACATTGGGTCGTGGAGTCGGTAAGACAGTTTTGATGAGGGCTATTGATGCCCATCTGCACGTCAGTCAGTTAGAAACGAGCCTTTGAGCGGCTATGAGCATTCAGGTTGCTTTTAGACTGTGCCCAGAGGCGCGATAGGGAAAAAAAGGGGGCACTTCGGAAACCGGTGACCTCCACCGTGAGATTGGACAATCTCTTTCATCTTTCCCCAGATTTGCTAAAGCGCCGAATCAGCGCCACGCTGGCCCTGCTACCTGCTACCAGTGGTTGTCGCGCAGAGACTTGGATGCAGCTCGATTCCCAAGGGCTGTCTCTACCGGTGCAGTTCACAATAGGCCCTCGACGTTCGTGTAATAATGCACAATGAGGCTGAGTAACGGTCATATCCATGCCCGGATCTCTCTCCGTTGACCCTGGTCCGGTCGACCAGCTCATCTCAACAAAAGCGTTTACGGTCAAGACAAGGCGCAATTAGACATGCTGTTAGGCTTCTCGGCGGGGACCAATATTGTCCTCACCAGCCAGGATCCCCTCGATATGGGAACAGCCCCCCCTACTGTGAGATTGTATTGGGTGAAGCAAAATACTCCAAGATTCCCGTCTATCGATAGACGTGCTTTCAGTCCTGCGATAACACAGCCCTCTCTTTTTTTTTGGTTGGTTATATTATTGTTTGTCGTTGACCGCAGTTGCAACAAGGTGCCTGTGGCATCCTTTTGTTGGTATTCAGGCATAATCTCCATCACCTTCGCCTCGCCTCTCACCCAGGCCTCTCTCCCTCTCGCACCCAGCCAGACCCGTCGAGACCACGGTTTGGTCTCAAATACCACTGAACACGGCGTCCGCAGTTGCTCCCCCGCTCTTCCGAGCTTCAGTCCTTGACCCGACCTACCGACCACCGTCAACGTCATTGAGTGACTCGAGACTGGATGAATATGGCGCCCTGAGACGAGACCAGCAAAGAAGCAGCTCACCGTTGCCGCCTCCGGCAGTGCACGGAAAGGACATCTCGAGACCGTCGTCCACCAATCTTCCGTATACGGGCAGTCACTTCTTCAACCAGCCCCAATTCCATACCAGAAGTGCGAGCTTCACTCTGGCACGGGACTATCACTCCGAACCCCGACTAGCACTGCCAGGGTTATCGGCCCTGACCTCCCTGGCCGCTGCTGCACCACCACCACCCCCAACTGTCAGGTATGCCGAAGACGGGAAGGGGATAACAGAGGGAAAATAAAAGCTGACAACGGGGCGACAGATCCTTCTCTGGCAGCAGCTATGGTTCGCAGATGAGTTACTCGGGCAGCATGGCCCCTGTGCCCACGCCGGGAATAGCAGGCAACACGCCGGTAAGTTGATGGTTTCTTTCTACCACCCCATGGGATGGGACGTGATGATTGATGCCAAGACTGCATTGGCCGGTCACGGGGTTAAACTTCGGTTTCTTATCGTTATCGAAAACCTGCCGTTCCTTGGATTCGAGATCACCACGGCAAAAATACCATGGCTGCTTCAATATCCTCAGGTGCTGACCAGAGTGCCCCCTTTACACAGCCGGTCTGTCAGAACTGTCAGACGTCGACCACGCCGCTATGGCGCCGCGACGAGGCCGGTTCCGTGCTCTGCAACGCCTGCGGCCTGTTTCTCAAGCTGCACGGCCGCCCGCGACCGATCAGCCTCAAGACGGACGTGATCAAGAGTCGCAATCGAGTCAAGACCACGAGCACAGGTCCCAAGAAGAAGGTAAGTCGTACCCTGTGGGTTCGGTGTTGCTGCGCATGCTTCTGACACCACCGCGCAGTTTGAGCCAAATGGGGGCCCGCCCCCTCAGACCGACAATTCCAACGGGATCAATCCTCACCGACGGGTTTCACAGATGGCCGTATCTGTCGCCTCTGATCGATCGCACTCGCCCGTGTCGCGTACAGGGACCCCTGGAGCTCACCACGACCCGAACATTGCCCCTCAACATATCTTCGACGGCGTGTCAACCGCGGCAGACCCTCACTACAACAACAGCAACCACCACCACCACCAACACCACCAACACCACAACGGTTCTCCCACCGACCCATCTCTCCATCCCAACCCCACGCAACCCTCCCCCAGCACCGCCTCCATGCACAATAACAGCAGCCAACACGCCGAAACGCCCATGAGTTACGACCAGCTCGCGGCCCTCAACACACGCCTGCGCACGCGAGTGTCCGAGCTCGAAGTCATCAACATGGTGTACCACGACAACGAGCAGAACCTGTGCCGCGAACGAGACCGGGCCATCCAAGAACGGGAAGATTGGAAGCACAAGGCCGAAGAGTTGCAGCGACGACTCCAAGAAATTGATGAACAACAACAACAAGGACACATTTCGAAGAAGCCACGACTCTCATCACAAGAACTCAAAGAATGAACATCTGTTTTTCTTTCTCTCTCTCTCTCTCTCTCTCGCGGGTATATGAAGGAAGATAGATAGAGCAGTGCTCTACTGTCCACCTTGCATGGTTGCGTGGGTGTATTCTCTGTCAGTGATACCCAGGTGCACGAATTTTCTTTCGGTCGGTCGGTCACTCGGTCACTCGGTCGTGACATAGGTACATAATATGGTGAAATGTGGGTGGGTGGGTGGGAGGGGAGAGGGGATCTTAATGGGCTGAACATGGCGCATGTTTTTGGGAAGGGGGGAAGGCTGGCCACGACGCAGCTATCTATGCAATTGGGGCGTTTTGAGTGAGCAGGTGGGTGAGTGAGAGAAATTGAAATACCACCGAAGGCAAGGGCAGGTGCGCTTTCGCTCTGCCGCCGCCGCAGCCGCTGCCATCTGCCCTGGCATGAGAATGGACGAACGATGAAACACAGCGGCTTGGGGCAGGCGATGGAGGACGAAGGAAGGAAGAATGGCATGTTGGTTGGTTGGGTTTTTCTGGTCTCAAAAAAGAAAAGTTTTGGTATTTTAACTACCTACCTAACCTACTGGAATGAATTGACTGATCACGCCTCCCCTTCCTACAATGCTTGGTTGGTGGTTTGGTTGGTTGTTTGCTGGCAGAGAATGGCTGGTTTCTGTTGATGTTGATGGCCTCCCTGCCTAACAATAATATGGATTAGACCCCCGAGCAAAGCGATGAGGAGCTTCCTGGAAGAGAGGATGGATGGATACCTCGCCATCTCATCGTCGATTCTGACCCCGGAGTCTGACCCGGGATATCCAAATCCAAAACTTGTGTCACACACACACACACTGTCTCTCTCTCTTCTTCATCTCTATAATATCTGCAGTGGTTTGTGCCCTTTCGGTTGGTCGTGCGTGCGTAATGGGTTCGGAATACCATGTATTGCATAAATCCTCTTCGTGCTCCCCCCCTTCACCAGCAACGTCTCGCTCGACCTCGACCTCGACCTCGCTTCACCAATAATATACTTGACACAACCAATGGAGCCACTCCTTCCCTGAGCCGCTCTCTATCTCCATATCAACACCTGGTCTACTGCACCAACCTGCTCGCCACGGAAGTATCCCCCACCATCGTGGAGCTCCGTTATTTTCAGGTGCGGCGGGGTGCTTGTGCATTCGGATTCACGGGATCGGGCCTAACACGCGTGCCGCGTTGGGTCGGGAATTGAACTGGAACAAGAAATCCCGCATGGTCTGGCGGACCTGGTAGACCACGTAGATGTCATACACGTCGTTGTCGCAGGGACAGCGGCCCACGAAGGCCGGGAACGTCTGGCAGGCCGTCATGGCGTCGTGGAGCGGCGGGTAGAGTCGGTGCCAGAGCGGGAGGGTGAGCAAGGTGTCGTCCCAGGCGTCGTTGCGCGACTTGGGCACGATGCCATGCGGGTAGCACGTCTCCCAGAACGTCTGGTCGGTGCCGACCACCAGGACCCCGTTGCGGCCGACGCGGGTCGGGTGGGTCACCCCGAGCAGGGCCAGCTCGTGCGCGTACAGCTTGAAGATAGCCTCCTTGTGCGTGCTGGTCACCACCGTCTGGCCGAGCCGGCGCAGCGCGTCCCGGTACGCGACCACGACGTGCTCCCGCGCGGCCATGAACCGGTCGTGGAACGTCCGCGCGATCAGCTCCACCAGGTCCTCGTGCAGCTTGTCACTCGCACGGCCGACGACGCCCTGCCGCCACGAGATGCCGTGGAAGTATTTGCCCATGTCGACCTCGTACGTCGAGCACCAGTGCTTGAACCGGTCGCGCCGTAGCACCGCCGCCGTGGGACCGTCCATGTCGTCGAGGAGGTAATCCAGCCACACGTGCAGGCCGCTTTCGATGCTGAGGGTGTCGGTGTCGTCCCAGACACCGTCATTGCGGACGTACAGGCCGAAGGAGGTCCGCCACCTGCTATAGTTCGCGATAAACACCGTGAGGTTGTACAGTGGTTGGACGTACGGGGCGTCACGCGGTAGCTGGACGGCCGCGGACTCGGCGTACCTGATACGTGCAAACGGGAGCAAGAGGGTCTGCGCGTCCAAGATGGATCCACTGCCAGCGCGCCTGGTGTCCAAGGTGCGGGTGACGGGGTCCCAACAGGTGTAGCTGGGGACACTACAGTGCCACTCGCCCTTCTCGATCCACTTCCGTAACCCTCTGTCGCGAAGGTGGATGGTGATCCAGGGCAGCTGCCTTGACGTTCGCCCTGTCGCGACAAAGATGTCCCCCTCATGTCTGGGCATCAAGACCGGCTCGTCCCATCGGGGGAGCAACGCCGTGGCAAGCCGGTTGGCCTGGAACCAGCCTCGCACCAACTGGCCCGGGTCATGGGGTTCGGGGGCGTCGATCACAATCCGGATCCCAGCAAAGAAATCCACCGGCATCTTATCGAGGAGGTCGAAGTCGGGGTGCGCCGAGACGGCGTCGATGGTGCAGTTGTTACCCCATGGGGCGTTGTCCGCGTCGATAAGCGTGATCACGGACGCCGACGCGGCCGGGTCGATATGGAAGCCCAGCACGAACTTTCCTCGGAGGTACGGAATGTGTTCGTGGTAGATCTTTCTGTTAGCGAGGAGGAGATTCAGCGTGCGCGCCTTGACGCACTCGGCGTACACCAGGCTGCGGACTTCGACAGGAAGGGAATCCATGTAGAAGGAGCTGGGAGGTGATTAGGGAGCAATGTTTGATGTATACATGACGAAGCTGGGAGATGATGAGGGAGGAATATTTGTTGTAGACATGACGAAGCTGGGGAGATGATGAGGGAGGAATGTTTGTCGGAAACATGACGAAGCTGGGATCTCTGTCTGGAAGGCGCGTCACGCGCGTCAACGTTTGGAGGGAAACCACGGGGTTGACCTGGTGTTTGTACTATCGATGAGAGCCAGCGAATACGCAGTTTAAAAAAATACGCAGTTGAAACAAGGGTCCTCGAGATCCTCCAGATTCTCGAGGAGCGCCTTGTCGACTCACCTCAGCCCATCCGTGTGGGCGTCCAGAACCCTGACGCGCCACGAGAGCGGTTCTGGCCATAGGCAAGCTGGCTATGGCATAGCATTGAGAAACTTGAGTCAAAGGAACCAAAATTCAGTCGTGGTCGTGGTCGTGGTCAGCAATGCAGAAAGAAGTCAGTTCTAATACGGGAAAATCAGAAAATCCGAACCCCGCATTTTCCGGCGGATTTCTTCTCCGGATGATCCTTGGCATTTTTGTGCTGTTTTGTGACATTGCCCCGAAACCTGCCCGCAACATTGATCCATGTCCCCGGAGCGAAGTCCTGACAAGCAATATGTTATTTTGAGTCCTTCTACCTCCTACCTTTGAGCCTCGACCTCACTATATATATTTCTCTTGGAGAGCTCCGGGACACTGTGTACGGGACAGGGGGGTATAATACCAGTACATGCTCCGACCATAAAGCTGAGTGACTTCCTTCGAGGACCTCGACATGAGTTCCGTTGTCCCGGTCTCTCCTCTACGTCTTCCCCAGTCCTTCAACTTCGCCAGTGATGTCGTCGACCACTGGGCGCAGAGGGACCCATCCCACGTCGCACTCTACTGGACGGATCAATCCCTGAGCACGACGAGGCAATTGACCTACAGCCACTTCTCGCGTCAATCGCAACGCATAGCAAGTCTTTTAGCGTCCCTGGGCATCAAGCAGGGCGAAACGGCCATCATCATTGCACCACGAGTACCGGAGTGGTGGGAAACTGCGACGGCCTGCCTCCGCTCCGGGGTCATCTTGTGTCCGTGTACGACACTGTTGGTGGACAAGGACATCGAGTATCGACTACAAGTCTCGCACGCCACCGCCTTCATCGGGGACGCCACGTCGGTCGCCAAATGTCTCAAGGTCCGGGGAACTTGTCCCAGCCTGCGCACCATCATCCAGATCGACGGGAGCGCGCCGTCTGGTGTGGTTGACTTCCACTCAGCACTGGACAAAATCCCCGCCGACGCCAGATTTTCCGTCCCGAGCTCCCTGGGCCCCAAGTCTCCCGGCATGATATTCTTCACTTCCGGCACCACGGGCCCACCAAAGATGGTCTTGCATACGCAGACGTCGTATCCCTTGGCGCACGCTCTGACAGGGATGCATTGGCTGGATCTGTCGCCGGGCAAGATCTACTGGAATCTCTCAGAACAAGGCTGGGCGAAAGCTGCATGGTCGTGGTTGTCCACGTGGAACTGCGGCGCAACCCTCTTCATCCACGACGACAGGCTTGCGTTCCATCCACGGCGGACCCTCGAGGTGCTCAACAAATTCCCCATCACGACCCTCTGCGCACCCCCGACGGTGTACCGACAGCTGGTCCTGGACGAGAGCCGGCGGTTTTTCGCCACGGACCAAGGCACGCCGAAAGCGCTGCTCCACTGCTGTGGCGCGGGCGAGCCTCTGAACGAGAGCGTGGTCCGCATCTGGAAGGAGATGACGGGCGGGATCGAGATTTTCGACGGCTACGGCCAGACCGAGACGATCGTCGTGTGCGCGAATCAGAAAGTCAACAAGGTCAAGCCGGGCAGCATGGGGAAGCCGCTCCCCGGCGTGCCCCTGACCATTATCGATTCTGAGGGGAATTCTGTCACCGCGGGAACGGAGGGAGATATTGCCATCGCGGTGTCGAACACGAGGACCGACACCGATTTCTTTGGCTTCTTCGAGGGGTACATCGACAAGTCCACGGGGGTGCTCGACACCAAGATCAGGTCCTATCCGAACGGGAAGAAGTTCTTTGTCACGGGCGACCGGGCGACGAGGGACGAGGACGGATATTTCTGGTTTGTGGGAAGAGCTGACGATGTGATCAACTCGAGCGGATACAGGATAGGTAAGTCAGCCATGTGACCTAATTGCTGCCTGCATTGAAAGATCTAACCAAACGGTTGACCAACCGCAGGCCCCTTCGAAGTCGAGTCGACGCTCAAACTGCACCCGGCGGTGGTCGAGTCCGCGGTGGTGTCGTCGCCGGACCCGCAGCGCGACGAAGTGGTCAAGGCCTTCGTGGTGCTGACGGCGTCGGCGGCGTCGCAGATCAAGGCGTCCGGCGCCGCGGCCAGCGACGCGCTGGTCCGGGAGCTGCAGGATTTCTGCAAGCAGAACGCCGCGCCGTACAAGTACCCGCGGCGCATCGAGTTTGTCGACGCCGCGTTCCTGCCCAAGACCATCTCCGGCAAGATCAAGCGCGCCGAATTGAAGGCGCTCGAGAGGCGGCGGTACAAGGAGGCAACACAGGGGGCGAAGTTGTAGGGGCTACCGCCAAAAGAGGGTGGGTGGTATGTTGTTTCTGGATTGAGCATTGAGTCAAGGGCAGGTGCGTGTGGCGTCTCGAAAAGTCGGCCACCAACAGTCCTTGCTCGAAGACTAGTATTTTAGAGCCCGAACAATGCGAATTGGAACTCATCGGCCAGGGTAAAAGAAGGGGAATCAAGCCCTGCCCCGCTCCCGGCCTGCCGTCACAGCTGTCAGCCGTTTGGGGGGAGGGGGGGTAGGGTGTTATGAGATGAATCCCAAGCAATCGTGAAATGAACAGGGAATAATCAAGCAATTACTCCTTTCGAGTGAGCCGCATCGTATGCAGGTGAGGCTGGGATAATACATATGTAGGTCGGCCTCACCACTGCAAGGATGGTGTTGCGGAAGAAGGCGGGAGGCTGGCTGGCAGGCTGGAGTCGAACAAGCACTCGCTGCAGGGGAAAACTAGTGCATGCATGCGTGCGTGGCCCCAAGGAAGTGTGGAAACGAGGCAATTGACTCTTTGCTGTAATTTCATGAATTACTTCTCGTGTGCTGTTCCCTGGCGCCCCATATGTATACAGACCGCCCAAAGAGCGTGTTGCTGGGGCCTTCTATGTACGTACGTATGTTTGTATGTATGTACCGAGTACGTTACATATGAGGCGCCACGTTTGCATCTCGCAGATGTGATTGATAGACGTATGTACGTGCACGACTGATTTGCTGCACATATTGCCAGCCGGAATTCTGCCTCGTCCTAGGTCCCTTAGGGCGTGGAACGTCAAGGGCACGCGTGGTGTGTGGTGAGGCTGAACAAGTCGTGCCGTGTCATGCCATGTCATTGCCTACTCGTTGCCTTGTACCGTGCTCTCTGTCTACAGTATCTCCTATGTAAGGCGTCGAGGACGAACGCCCCGGGCTACTGTAGCGCCCGGTTGTCGTGACGGAGCCTGACCCTCAGAGAGACGATACCCAGGACTTTAAAACTTTAAAGATGGCTCTTTTCTTCTTTGTCAAACAAACAAGCAAAGCATCAAGTCTTCCGAGTTTTACTCGCCCACTAGGAACTGGCTTCTGGCATCTTCTCGCCTTTCTTTCTCTGTGGACTCGCAGTACAGCTTCCAGACCCCCTCAGAAAAGATGTCGATCGATCATGACTATCACAACGATAGTGACGAAGAATACTATCACGATAATTATCGCATTTGTGATGATGATCGTGATAGCGATGGTCATGATGTCAACGACCACAACGAGCACCAGGAACGCTACAACAGCCTGAGGATCGAGTGGGACGAGGACGCCGACAATTGGAACACGAGCAGCAGACACTGGGAACCTCTGGAGAACATGCGAATTACGCAAGACGAGTAAGTTGGACGAATGAGTTCAGCCTGATCTAGATAGACTTTGGTCATTATCCTGATGCGCACAACCGATCATTCGACTGATGAAATCGATGATAGAGAACCACGACACTGTGACGAAGACTGCGCCCAGTGGGGCGACTTGTACGGCGACGACGGCACGCGCGACGTGGATCCGGATCTGCGCGCCGAGTTGCAGAGGGAGAAGGACGAGCGGCGCGGGGGGTGGTTCCAGGACCAGTTCCAGTACCGCCAGTACCAAGTCAGGAGAGAGGTACAGCAGCAGCAAGATGAAGATGAAGATGAAGAGGATAACGATGAAGATGAACAGGAGGAGGATGACACAGATGAGGAAGAGGACGAGGAGGAAGAGGACGAGGACGATGAAAGTGGTAGTGCTAATGGGAGTGATAGTGATAGTGATAGTGATATTAGTGATATAGATATAGTATCAGCTGAGGATGAGAATGAGGATGAGGATGAGGACGAGGTTGACAATGGCGACTGATTGATATAGAGATGTTATGCACCAAGCACATGGGGGACAGACTTGTAATGAATGATGGAAAGACGGACAGGATCGTCTGAACCAGCGCTAATAATTAAAAATTAATACAAGTATGTAATTGGTGCCAAACGCGGCAAACCAAGCAAACCAAGCAAAGCGGAACAAACCTTCTTTGCACTACTTGCCTTGCCTTGCCTGGCATCGGTTTGTCCTCGTCTCGTCCTTGAGACTAGTGGACTGACTGAACTGCATGGCATACCTGAGAAGCTTGATGCTCCATCTACCTATTCACATCTGTGTCTGTCTGTTTGCCTGCTGTTCCCCAGCTGATGCACGCCGTTTGAAAGGCCAGAGAGTTGTTATGACGAGCACCTCTGCACTCGATAATTGAACCAATATCGTCATCGCCATTACATATTGTCGTCAACCTCTCTCTCTGTTCCTGCTCGACTCTCTGTCGATATCAAGAAACAACACAACACAACACAATACAACACCATACCACAAAGAAGCAGACAACAAACAACAACGCCGTCAAAGTGTGCAGAGCAGATTTGATTTGAAACTACACCCATAATCATACCGCCGTCGCGACTCTTCCTGTCCTTGAATTATCTTCGGTCTATCTGTCTATCGGAACTACTTCTTCCCTCCCTCCTCTCGAACGATGATCTAGCTAGGGAGGAAGCTGCTGCGACCGAGAGATCTGGGGCTCGCTTGATAAGAATGATCGCAATGGCAATGGCAACGGCAACGGCGACGGCAACCGGAACCTCTCTGTCAGGTGACTCCACTCTCTTCTCGCTGTGCACGTTTCTGCTCAGCGTCTACACCCTCGGCGTCTCGGCCGATGTCTTCATCTCCTCCACCGTCCAAGTCGCCCGGCGCCTGCGTGTCTCTGAAACGGTCATCGCGCTGCTCACCGCCGGCGCCGAGTGGGAAGAGCTCGCCGTCGTGGTCGCCGCCGTCGCCCAGCGCCAGCCCAAAATCGCCTTGGGCAACGTCCTGGGCAGCTGCGTAGCCAACATCTTCGGCGCGTTCTCGCTGGGCGTGCTGGCGCAAAGACAGCCCATCGTCCAATACGATGTCAGCGCGAAGATCTACAGCGTCGTTCTCTTGGGCGTCACCACGGGCGTGGCGGTGCTCTGGGGATTCGGCCAGCTCGCGGGCCACGTCTATGGCGCGGTCCTGGTGGGAGGTTTCGTCGTGTATCTGGTGGCTGTTGGCTGGTCCATCTATCGGGGCGTGCTGGATGCGCCGGAGGAATCGGATGCGGAGTCGGATGCTGGTGGTTCTTCTAGTGCGGGATCGGATGGAGGAGATCCAGAGGGACGGGCCACCGCTGCTGGCGACGGAAACCCTCATGAAGAACACTCGGAGGCGAACGAGTCAAGCGCCTTGCTGGGGCGTACGAGATGGCGGCCTTCCACACTCTTGTATCTGGTCAAGCTGATCCTCGCCTTCGTCGCGCTCTCCATCAGCGGCTATGTCCTCTCAGAATCCTCCCACTCACTGGCGGCAAGATTCCACATCTCCGAGACTGTCTTTGGAGCCACTCTCTTGTCCCTGGCCACCACCCTCCCAGAGAAGCTTGTCGCCGTCATCAGCGGGTACCGAGGCCACCCAGGAATGTAAGTCCACCTTCCTGAAACTCGAACAATTCCACCCGTGCAGTTTTCTCATGGAATGTCGACGCTAACGAGAACGTTAGCATGGTGGCCAACACCGTCGGAAGCAATATCTTCTTGCTGACCCTGTGCCTCGGCGTGACCATTCTGAGCTCACAGAGTCTGGCCCAAGGCTCGAGCTACACCAACGAGATCGTGTGGACCTGGACATCGTCGGCCTTCTTGACCGTCATGATCTTGCTCGGCACGCACCGCTTGGTGGGCTTGGCCATGCTGCTCGCGTATGCCGCGTTTATCGTCCTCGAATTTACACTGTACAAGCCTTGAAAAACACAAAGCTTTCAGACGGGGATCCCAACAATCTCGTCGCCTTGCTTGCCATCCGGCACCAAATCGCCGTACACGGTAATGGGGATCACCACCTCAAACGTGTCGCACTCCAAATTCTCCGCCGCCACATTCACCGTGCCTCGCTCGTCGTTGACCACTTCCTCGAGCAGATCCGTCACGAGTCGGAACTCGCCCTCATCGTTCTCCACCGGCTTGATGGTGCCAAACTCGAAACGAAGACTCCAGTCGAGGTTCACCCCGGAGGTGACAAACGTGGGTGTCGCGGACGCCGGGATGCTGGGCGCAAATGTGGCCCGTCGGGCGAAAAGGATGTTCTCGGCACGGGCGGCGTATATCTTCCGAGTGATGCGGTTGATCGTGTGGACGGATCGGACGGCGAGCGAGGGGGCGACTTTCTCAGATGTCTCGAGGGTCGATTTCAGCGACGCACAAGGGACTTGGCCGTCGGAGAAGTCGATGACGGCGGTGACGGTCTCACCCAGCCGATGGAGGGGCCGGTCAATGACGATGACCGCCACCCGCGACCCGTTCCGCGAGATTTCGAACCGGTTCGGGCTCGACTCACCGTCCGACAGGGAGTTGCTGAAGAGGATCGCTCGGTCGATAGCCTGAAGCGCCTTCCCACGACTTCCCGTATCTTGGGTGTTTAGAAATGCCTCCATCGTCCCCGAGCTGGACTGCCGGCGGCGATTGTGGTCTAAGAGCGTGTCCACGAACTGCAGAAACTCCAAGCTGGACGTCTCAGCCGACTGCGTGGTCGGGGTGGCTGCTTCTTCTTGGTCCTGCGGTGTAGATATAGACTTTGTACGCGCGAGGTCGCGCAGAATGACATGCGGTTGCATCAGATCGTGGCCGTAGATTTCGCCATCGTGACTGACCCCGGGGAAGACGCGGATGGGAACGGTCACTTGGCGCACCGTGTGCACGTCCCGACTCCCCGGGACGCCCTGGACGCCGACGGTCAGGTTATATGCGATCTTGATCGCCTTGCCCCGGTGGCTGGACGGTAGGCCCCGAGGCAAGGGGTAGGTGTACGAGTAGGTCTGCTCCTCGCCGGGCTCGAGGTGCATGTCGACGAACAGCAGCGACTGCGGCGTCGAGAGGATGGGGATGGCGCGGGCGTTGGTCACGGCGTGCATCTCCTTGACGCTGCTCATGTTCTCGCCGCCCATGAGGCTGTTCAGGGACCCGCCCAGCGCGTTGAGGTTGAAGGATCCCAAAAACCCGCTGTTGGGCCGCGGTTTCTTGACCCCGACCACGCCGCCGCCGGCCTGGCCACCCAAAAAGCCTTTGCTCTTCACCTCTTCAAAGTGCGACTGGTCGATCAGCGACGCGTCCAGCGTGAAGGTGGCGCTCAGCTGGGCGTACCCCATCAGGAGGTTCACGGCTTGCGGCCGGTGCGGCGCTGGTCTCAATGGCGGTCGCCGGGGCATCGACGACGACGACGTCGAGTTGATCCAGGTCGGCCGATGGTCGGACATGATGGAGGGTTGCTCCGACATCAGGGTTTCTTGCGAGTGGTTGCTGAGCGAATAGAAATCGCCGCTGCTCCGTTCGCTGGCAAGGTCGGGGCCTGTCCCGGAGGGTCTGGCAGTTCCGGAGGTGTCGACAGGACTGGGGATTTGCACGGCGTTGGGCTCGTGGTCTGAGTGCTGGTTTTTGGCGTTCTCTAGGTGCGTGACGGTGTTGAACTCGAAAGGAGAAGAGTCGCGGCTCCCACCTGCTCCTGGGGATAGAGGACTTCGACGCCCCCCTCTGGGCGGGAGCTGAAGATTGGTAGGAGGGTCTCGGTGATATTGCTGGCTCGTTCTTCTTTGAGGAGCTATATCTCGATGAGCTGATGTTTACAATTCAACTATTGAAGAACGTGCTTAGGATCGAGCTCACCATGATAAATCTGTACGGTCGAGGAGCGTGAATGGCTCGGCCTTTTGGGCTTGGTCCAGCTCCCCGGAGCACCATATTCAAGATCACCCGCGATAGTCGGCGAGGTCAGCGAGATGATCGACACAGATCTCTGTTGCTTGTGGGTTGGCCTTTGAGTACTGGCCGAGTTGTCGGTGTACAATGACCGGCCTGCCTGGTCAGCAGCGTGCTCGTGGCCGGCCGGCCGACCATTGTGGCCATTCTGGCTCAATCGCAGCACAGTGCTGGGCTTCGCTGACTGGGCGGCGGCCAGCTGACTGATACTCTCGCGCCGCTGCCGTCGCAGGGTCTGGAAGGACGGCGTGAGTGGCTCGGACGAGGTGGGCGCGACATTGCGGAAGGTGATGGTGCATCGGAGCTGCTCGCCCGCAAACACGGATTGATCATGGAAGCGGACGACTACATGGATGTCCGAATGCATGCCACGCCTGCGAGGCTGTATGTTTGATAGAAATGGTGGCTTTGAGAGAGAGGGAGCCAGAAGTGCACGAAAGGTGGAAGAACAAAGAGCCAGAGTTTCGAGGTGTGGTGGAAGCGCGGGAGAACTTCGGCAGTCGGACAAGTGGTTATGTAACACGCAGTCACGTGGCAGTATGCAGAGCACGGGGAAACATTTGGCCATAGTGTACAAAAGGACCGGTTCAGGAACAGCACGAGTCGTAAAGCGACATGGCTCAGGCATCCGTATATATACACGCAGTAATGTCCATTGAACTGGCTCGGGAGTGGTGTCACGCCGTCACTGCAACCTGCGCAGCCACCTTCTCCGTCGTCCGGGCCAGACCATTGTTGGCATAAAAGTCCATGGGATAAGTCCCGTCTCCTTTCTCCCACCCTTGCTTCGCACCCAGCACCACAAGTGCCTCGTAGGGTGTCAACAGTGGGCGGGGGAAAGCATAGCCCCAGTCGATGCTGAGCCTGGGACAAGCGATCTGCACCCAACAGTCCACATCTTCGAACAGGGCGAGTTTTCCAGGGAAGATCTCACTGAGCAGGAGATTGACGTGTGATATGCCCGCTGCGTCGAGGTATTTCTCGATCATGGTCAGGATGTGAGGGTTGCCTTGTCTCCCCAAAGCACCCAGTATGAGGCCCCATCTCTTGGCTTTCTTCGCGGTGCTGATGGCCGCGGCGCGCATGTCCAGCATCTCATCATGGGAGTATGTTTCTCTCGTCAATTTTCGAGAGTAAGGATCGTATCGATACGCGGGCATCTGTGGATTGGCGATCATGGCGGCTTCCAGGTGAAAGCGGCCGTCGCCCAGGTACAGGATCAGATCGACGTTCGCGTCCGGGCTGATCTTGGGAGCCGTACAACCAAGCACTTCGCCCTTGCTCAGTGGCATAATCTGTGGCACCACCAGCTTCAGGCCCTCGGCTTCGAGGGCCGGCCGGATGGTGTGGAGTGTGGCATTGAACTGGATAGTACCCACCATGGCGACTGTCTTTCCGGGTGGAATGTTTCGAGAGAGCGTGCTCACCAGGTGTTTCGTGTCGATGGAGATGTCCACGAAGATATACAGGGTGGGGATCTTGGTCGCCGAGACGGGAATCAGACAGCTGTGAGCGTAGTGGACCAGCAGATCACACCCCAGCGCTCTCGCGGTGTAGTCATCAATACAGCACGCGCCGTACGTGACGTCTCCCATGATCAAGGTCTCGGTGCCGGGGCAGAATCGGGTCAGGATGTCTGATATGGTCGTGGCAAACATCAGCAACCCCTCGGGAAACTGCAGAGCCACCCTCTTGGCCCCGAGCGTCCGTATGCGGTGGATGGTCTTGGGGATCTCGAAGCTGTAGTTGTGCGGGAGTAGGGTAATCGCAGCTTGGATATCGGGGTCATCGAGGATTTCGGGGGGTACCTGGTTCAAGACTCTTGGGGGCTTTCGTTGACCTGTCTCCTGTGAGCATATGTCTTGTGCGATGATCTCTCTGTTTTGATTACCTTTGTGAATGACAGCGGTGGTGTCTTCCACCGTGGAACTACTGTCAGTCTCATCTCGCCGCTGTCTCGCCTGCGCTTCAGCTGTGCGTCTTCCCACAAACCGTCTCTTGGGTGTCCGGGTGCTGAAGACATTCTCATCTGCAGAGGAAGGAAATGCACCAGGCATAGACCCCGTGTCCATCTTCAGTGTCTGGCCCAAGGACTGTAGGCGTGTCCACCAGGTGATCTTCTGTGGCTGATGGGCAAGAAAATTGTCGACGTCTCCAACATTGCAGTCTGGTGAATTTGGATGCGGGGAACCATGACTTAGAAGTGCAGCGCCGCTTTACCTGGTCTCGGCTCACTTTCCGCTCTCTGCTTCATTCTGTGCCTTTCTAGGTTTCCCTCTCCCTCACTACTCACAAGATCAGATTAAAGCGGCATTCGCTCACCCACCAGGATCCAAGGCAAACGAGTGCGTACCACATCATTCATCACAAGTTTAACCTGGCTCTGTCCTGGTCCTCCCCGCCGTCCATGACCACCGCCCCTCCTCGTTCTCGTCCTCGTCCTCTTCCTCGGTGACGACAAAGATGGTCACGACCTCTGGCTTCAGCAACACGCCGGTCGCGCGCCTCCTGATCCTGACGTCTGTCGGCCTGTCCATCCTTACGTCCACGCTCTCGATCCAATACCTCCTCCCCATACGACCGCACCCGCATCTCTGGCCCTACCTGCAGGTCTCGCGGCTATTGACCTACCAGGTCGCCCATACGTCCTCGACCGAGCTCCTGTTCGCCGCCGTCCTGCTGTACCAGTTCCGCGTGCTGGAGCGGCTCTGGGGCAGCCGCAAGTTTGCGAGTTTTGTTGCTGTAGTGTTCTGGTGCAACCTCGCAGTCGTACCCCTGCTGGTCGTGCTGCTGAAGCTCATCACCCTGGGCTGGTACAACTACCTCCCCAGCGGCTCGACCGGACTCGTGTTCGCGCTGCTAAGCGCCTGGGCCGAAGAGGTGCCGCGCATCTACCGGTACAAGATCGCTACCGGTGGTACCCCAGCTACGGCAGCGACCACCACAGGCAATAGCGGGCCACAATCACAATCGCAACAGCAACAAGTACCTGGTGTGATCTTGAGTGACAAGTCGACCACGTACCTGCTAGCGGCGCAGTTGGCGCTCAGCCAGTTCCCATACTCCCTCCTGCCCGCGGCCGTGGGTTGGACGGTGGGCTCGGCGTGGATGGGCGAGCTGCTGCCTGGTGGACTGGGACGGTGGAGGATCCCGGCCTGGATGGTGGGCGAGTCGAGTCGGCGGAAAGAACGGGATCGATACGAGGGCCTGCGGCGCCGATTGGAGGAGGAAGGCAGTTCGGCGGACGGGATGAGGACTGTGAGTGATCGAGTGGGTGCTGCTGGAGCTGGAGGGGAGCAGCAAGAGGGTCGCAGACGAGGGGGCTTTGGACGACAGATATTGGGATATTTCACGGGATCTTAAGAGAACGCTCGCCGCTGCCTGTGCCAATCTACGTATCTACCTGCCCACGTAGATTCTTTACAGTCGGAGGAGGAAGAGGAGGAGCTGCCAACCCCCGAAGAGAAGAGGTTCTGCAGGAAAGGGAAAGAAAAATGAAAAACACCCACGAAAATGGCGGCCGTGAATGATCCTGCTCCCCCCTCTCTTTACACATGTTTACCCGCACACAGCAGACTCCCATGAATTCGCGGCCGTACCTCTTGCATCCAAGCGACGTGGAACTGGGTCTACAGAGATTCAAACCGCGCTACGTCTAGTTGAAGGGGTCGGGTCGGGTGGGAGGGAGTACTCGCGTGTACAGAACGCGGGTGTCGAGTAGCATTCCCCGAGCAGCGTCCCCAGACACGCGAGAAGGGACAAGATGATACGTGGGAGAACCCAGAAAACTATGACTGGCAGTCCAAAAGACATGTAGAGAGTTGGTAGAAGCAAGGTCCCGAACACGGTGCTGCTATATGGATGAATCAGTTCGACAACACCGTTAATCCTATGTAGTAGCGATAGGCCCAAATGAGAAAACCACCAGCAGCAGCAGCAGCAGCAGCAGCAGCAGCAGCAGAAGAAGAAGAAGAAGAAGAAGAAGAAGAAGAAGAAGAAGAAGAAGAAGAAGAAGAAGAAGAAGAAGAAGAAGAAGAAGAAGAAGAAGAAGAAGAAGAAGAAGAAGAAGAAGAAGAAGAGGAGGAGGAGGAAGAAGAAGAAGAAGAAGAATAAGAAGCAGATCAAGAGCGA